GGGGTGGGCGTGGGCGAAAAAAATAAATAAAAAAAAAAGGTTAACAGTGTTTGGTGGTAGTGGAGTGAGCAGAAAGTGACGAGCTTCCGGGTACGGAGGAGTGGGACAGTGCAGCAGACAGTGCGGAATCTCGCATTCTTAGAAGGGGGTGTGTGTTCGCGTGGACGCAGACGGTGAGAGGGGCTGCCAGGGAGCGGCGCAGGGCCTGTTTGGATTTTTTTTTAGCGGGCTGCCGTGTTCCGTAATGGGGGGGAACGCTTGCTGCGCTGTTGGGTGCTGGACTGGGTGGTGGATGGGCGGACGGGTTGTTGGCTGGAAGAGAGCAGCAGCTGGTTGGCTGCATTGATGTTGTTTGGTGCGGGTGCGTGCACATGTTTTCTGTCTGTCTTTTATTTATTTTTACTTCTCATATTGCTCTATGCTGCATGCGAATTAAATATTGCTCAGTTAAACAATATATTGTGCCGCCACTAGACCTGTAAGAATATAGTCTCCGTGGCTGGGCGATGGCCGTAGGCAATGAACATGCTACAGCGAACGCCGCCTAGAAAAAAAACAAGAAAACCCCCCTTTGGCTTGTACTGGGGGAACGAGCACCAGCAATACACTGAGCAGCCAGAGACAGAAACGGGTCTCCTTCAGGCGGGAATGGAGAGGCGGGCGGGTGGGCCGGTGCCGTTCCCAGCGCTGTGGCCAGGCTAAGGCAGGGCAAGCGTAGGCGGATGGACGCTAAGGCCACTGCCAGACGGTTAGTGGTTTTCCACCGTACAGTAGCGTGGGTTGCTAGTGCGCGGCGTGACGAACGATGATGACTCGAAAATACATAAATGGAGAATAGACAAATATATTTATACATAACAGTATCATTCTCATAAATCAGTCGTGCAGAATATATACGTTTGAATTTCGCTTCATTTTTGTAGCCTGCTCTTCGTCCCAACTATAGGTGTATATGCCATTTCATCATCGTAATATAAATCCTCCGACCAGCCCAGCCCAGCCCATGCGACAACAAAAGCCGGCACTGTACGGTACGCCGGGCACCCGTCAGTAGGGCCGCCCACTATACGACAGCCAGCAGCATACCGCGCGTTGCATGGCCTGTATCTTTTTTGCGTTTGCCGGGTCTCGCGCGCAGGCTGTCGTTAATGTGACCCTTTGTCTCGCCCATCGATCTTGGGCTCTACTACTGCGGCTGCGACTACTACTACGATTCCAGCTTCTTTCTTTTCTCGTCCACCCAAAATGTCTTTTCCTCTCTTTCATGCTGACACGCCCCCATTGCTCCCTAGCCTCTCTCGTTTGGCATCGTACCATGTGGTGGTGCACAGCCGGGCGGTCCTAGCCGCTCTTGCATGACGCCGGCCCAGGTGCCTCGTCATTCTGGTGCCCTCCCCCAAACTACAGTACAACCGTTTAATCGCCGTTTCGATGGGAGAAACAAAACAGCAATCCACCATCCCGATAGAAACACAAATGTATATGAAACAAAAAATTAATTAAACCATTGGCATATTTCCACCAATCCGTAGCCACTCCCACTTACCCTCTCCAATGTCATCTACGATGGATAGAAAACGGCCTACTCGCCCACCCGCGATATCCTGTTCCCCTCCCCCCTGGCCCCCCCTCCCATGAAAAAAAGCGCTTGCGCGGCCGATAGAGTTGCGGTGCCGGAGCGGCGACAGCTGGCCACCCGCCGCCTGACAGCTGCCCCGTCCGCCAACACCTGGCACGAGAAGGGCAAAAAAAAAAATACGGCACCTGGTGCCAGCTGCCCACCCCCCCGAGCCTGCCGGGTGCCGGCTGGCGGCGTACCTAGACAGGCTCGAGCCTCTTCGACAGGTCACCTTTTCTCCCCCTCCCTCATGTTGGCTCTCTCTACCCACGGCAGCTTTGCAGAAAACAGAAGGCGTCCACGCAAAACACATCCTAAAATGGATACAGCTTATGGTAAGGCTAAAAAGGGCTCGCTGGAATGCAATTCTGATCCGTCACCGCCATATCGGCCACTAACCTTGGCTCAACCCCACGCTTGCTCGATGCTGGGTGTCGCCCGCCCTGGCCCTGCAAAGACGAGCACGTCACAACGGCACGCACAGGTCATGCGCTACAAGTCTGTGCTACCTGCTTCCCTGATTGACAAGAGAGGAAGGGAAATCGCCATGATGCCCATCCTCGAGTTTCGTCCGATGGGACCACCAAAAGCAGGCAGCGCTGAACAGAAGCAATGCAAGCCAGCCAGCCAGCAGCGTCACCGTGACTAACTCAATCCCAAACGAATATTTAGAAGCCGTGGCTTCATTCAGCGCTCAACTTGCAGTTCAGGTCGTAAAGGCCAACTGCACCGTGCCACCACCATCTGGCCAGACAGTGCCTTTCAATACTTGGGGTGCGTTTACTAGGGCCCACTACAGCGGGCGTCCCTCTAAAAGATGCAATGGGCACTGATCCAGCCAACAACGACGCTTGGGCGGCCCATCGTTGGCCGATTCTGCACAAGGCTGGAGGATACACCCATTGACTTGGAAGCCATATGAAGTTTGCGAGCTTCAAAACCTATCTCCGTCTGCGGGATCCCATATGCTAATACCGACGTAACCGTGGCCAGTTTACCCCGAAAACAAACGGGCATTGCGCATGTCATCACCGAATTGCCAATATTAATATCCTCAGCACTCAAGAGGCTCAGCAAACATGGGAGTTGAGCCACGCAAATCCTTGTGACCTAAGCGGAAAGCCGAAATCTATACGCAAATAGGCAAGCATCATGACGCTCCTCTGTTTGGTCAAAATCGACGCACCTGAGTAAGGGGGGCATAAGATGCCGCCTCGCAATACAAATGCCTGCTTCTGGGGCTGAAATTGAAATCCTATCGGCCCGCTCCCACGAGTCTTGGGCAGAGTTTCTTGGCAGCGCTGCCGGGGTCTAAGAGGCCTTTTGTTGTCATGTCTCACGATTACTTGTTGAAGTGCTGCTCGCTACCGTTGAGCTGCCTATTTGGACGTCTTAAATTGGGCATGGTAAAGATCCGCCGTTTAAGCACTCAGGTTTTGACAAGGATACCTAAGACCAGGCCTCTCCTGGCCTTGTCTCTCAGTGACAATAGTGATGCACCAGATGTACCGGTTCTACGTATGATTTCCGGTTAACTTGGTGCCTTAAAGTCTTCAGTGTGACTATCAATGCTATGTCGCTGCGGGAAGTCGGCCTTCAGCGAGCCATTTGAGTGTCCGTCAGGTGCCTCACATGCTCATCCGTGAAATACAGATTTAGTACCTGATGGGCTGGAGCGGCTCGTGCCGCCATGGTGGTTAAAGGGATGGCATCCATGCCAGGGATAGATGCCAACGCGGCGACGGGGGGTTGACCCCCCATGTGCCGCAAAGCACCTTTCAGGCACTTACTCACCTGCTGCAAAGAACCAACGTCAACCCAGCCGTTTGAAGCAGGCAATTAAGCCGGAGATCCAAAGTATTTTTGATAACGCCCGGACGACCTCCCGCTTGCCGTGCGTAACATTTACACTGTGCGAAACAGAAAAAGAGACACTAGCTCGAGCTCGAGATGCCCCTGGCTGCCTCTTCTGCCAAGGGAACATGAACGGATGGGCTAACCAACATCAGAACGAATCGCGACTTGAGCCGCGCCGTAGCAAACGGCTTAGGGCTAAACTACTGTAAAAAGGCCTGTCGGGGTGTTTTCTTTCCCTGTTTGCTTTTTTTTTTCACCTGCTCTGTCCTTCTCCTCGGCGAGGTGGAGCTTTGGTTGGATGGCGAAAAGGCATCCTTGACCAACGACTGGTCCAACAGAAAACCCATGGTGAGCGGGAATCACAATAGTCGGCGGAGCGGCGCCCCAAATAGCGCCTCCCGAGGGACTGGACACGCACCGAGCCTTGGATAGCGTGAATGCCATGCTGAGCCAACGTAGGCGCAGGTGGCCAATGAGAGGCCGAGGCCGGGGTATGAGCAGCTGTCGACTCCATCAAACTGCGGTGCCCAGTGGAACAAGGGCCTTTCAGGGGGGTGTTCACGGTTCACAGGGAGGGGGGATTCGAGCTAGAATGGAAAACACCGAGTGGGGAGCGCTCATGCATGGAAGCTTTTAACGGAGCACCAGAAGCTCGGGCCACTAGAAGTGCAACGGATGTGCAGGATGGAAGCTCCCGTGACGTGCAAGGGGATGCTTGCTCTCGTTGCAACGAAGCAATCTACTTGAAGCAAACTTCACGGCAGGCCAAGGAAAGACAAACGAACATTGAAGAAAGAACCAGAAAAAGTTGATATGGGGCGGGCGAAACAAGGCCAGGGTTTTGCTGGATTTGTTTCAAAGCCGCACCAAATTCTGTTTGTCCCCTGGTAAGGCCCTGCGGTAGGCAAGCCGTCATATTTCTCAATGTAGACAACAGTGCGTGCGTGCGGCCGTCAGCAGATGCACACTTCCGTCTGTCTTGAGGAGAGAAAGAGGCGGCGGTGTCTACACACTATTCACAGGAAATAGACTTGCGACATGAGGGCCACCAAGAGAACCTGTTCTGTTTAGCCAACCAAAAAAAAAGGCCCTATTACCACGCGGGATAAGTCTGGCGATCACGGTTCGCCCCAACCCAACCCGACTGGATGCAACGTCGTGCATCTAGAGGACATGGGACCATGGTGGCAGTAGAGTAGTCAAGCAATGAGGCCTCGCTCATATTTTGTGATCCTCGTATGACTGCCTGTCCCTGCAATCCCATTCTGGGCGCAAAAGAAGATTTGATATCCATGGAGGGCTTTATTTTCAAGCCTTGCCGCAACAAGCAGCTGCAAGGAGCCGGTGTCCCGCTGCGCAGCATGACGGATGCTCAGGCACGGGCGGTTGCTGCCCCGCTCTCTCGTCATCGGCGCAAGTGCAAGGTTCAGCCTTTTGGACCGCCAAGGTAGGATTAGGCAAAACCGAGCCAGCAGCTAAAAAAGAAATATGAGACAGGCACCAGAACTGGCCAGTGAGAATTCAAATCATCCTTTTATTTCAATAGCTCTCGGTATTAGGCAACGATTAAAACCCGGCAAGTAAAAAATAAGGACACAGCCTCTGTTCCCCAATCCCCCGCCCACGCCAAGTTGGAACCATTTGTACCCATCTCGACGCCATGTGGAGCCCTCAACGGCTTATGGGCACATTGTTCCCTGTATTTGTACGCCTCCTGGGCCAGAGCCACGGTACCTGCTGCACGAACCCGCGCAGGCACCGCTGATGGAATACCGGGAAGGGGGCCATCTGTCAAAATGGGCACGGGGAAACACGACCAGCGAACCTGTGGCCTGCAGACAGCAAACAGCCTTGTATGTGAGCAACCCGATGCGGCGGCAGCGTGCAGTAGCAAGCGCTAATGCCTAAACGCGCCGCCTCACAAGACAGAAGCAAGGCATCCTACAGCATATCAAGCGGTGAGTCCGCCAGGGATGGATGGATGGCTCAGGGGAGATTGCACGGTTGTGCTTCCGTCCTCCCGCTAAGAGGTCTCCCGTGCCGCGGAAGACTGTCCCGTCCTCGATTGGCACGTCGCGAAGTGTAATATGGGTCGCGTCTGGTGAAAAAGGTATCCTCCTTTGAGACCGCTGTAACGACGCTATTGTCCCAACATGCAGGCATTTGCAGATGACCCCTCGCCTGCTACGGCAAAGTGCTCTTGGTACCACCAGCAGTAGCATAGCAGCAATGCGCCGTGCCAGGTGATTCTTATCCTTGTGCCTGGCCACCACCGCAAATGTGGACAAAAGGGGGTCTATAAGCCAATGCTATCAGGAAAATGAACAAAGATGAATCTGGCGAACCTCGCGCAACAACACCTGTTTTGCTCATCTCGATGGTGACGGATTTGGCAGCCCATAGGCCACGAAGCATGGGGAACAATACGCCACTGGACGGTGGGAGCTACAGCGACAAGCCAGGGCATCGGCAATGTGCGCATTAGCCGCTTCTAAACTCTTTCCAATAGAACGGTTCGGCCGCGTGCAAGTGGCGGGGTTTTTGATTCTATTACATTTCACTACTGTCCTGTGCTTTCGCTGCAGGAAGCACGCAGAGGCAAGTGTGTGCGTCGCCACCAACCAGTCTTCACGCCCAAGATCAACTTGGCTAGCAAGGGCCACGCACCAAACGAAAAGGGTCTTTGTCCGTGGCCAATCCGAAAAGACGGGCCATTCATTGGACACCCGGCAGCTCGGTTCGAACGAGGCGGCCAGCAGCAACAGGCAGTGACGCGCGGTGCCAACTTATTGGCTGCTGCAGGTGGGTGGCCCTGCAAAATAGCGCTGGGCTCTGTGACTAGTGAGGGCCGTCCCGCAACGCCCACACATCGCAGCTCCATCACGTGAGTAACAACCCATGCGGGCCAGCGTTGCCCATCGGACAAGCTGGCAGGGGGGCACAGGCGGGAGCGCCCCAGTTTTCCGCCGCTGCCTCTCCTCGCGTGGCCTCCCAAAACTGTCCACTTTACGCAACTCGCCGCTTGCTGTGAGTGTCTTTTTCTTTTTTCGAAGTCAATGTCGTCCTATTTCGAGCAAGACAAAGGGAGTAGAGACACCGAGCAAGAGGGATGACATCGAAAGACATTTGTCCTTTGTACAAATACAGCGATGGCCCTGCAGCAGCCACCAATTGAATAACCGTGTTGCCGTTGCCGAACACTTTGCGGGGGAGCAGACGAATCGTTTCGATACCCTCATTTCTCTTCCCGTTGCAAACAAAAGCAATTGAATGCATCTCGCCGTATGACAAGTCTCTTTTTAGCGGTCTACAATGAGGGGTAGTAGACATACACGCGCATCTACATACATACATACACACGCCCCCCTTCCTCGACACCCAATACAACCAATGTCGAGCTGTTGTTGGTGGTGCTCTACTTACGACTGTGTGGTGGCAGCAGATAGACAGCTTGGTACATCGTCTTTTTTTTTCCCGCCGGCTACTGGCCAATGTCGGAAACACGGCGCAATTTTACGGCTAACTATAGGGCGTCATCCCCCCAAAAATACTGCATGACATCGCTACGGTCCGCTCAAAGTGTCCGCTTTTTTTAGTTGCCTTTTGGGCACGCCACCACCACCACCACCACCACCACACATAACCACACAGGTTTAGTCTGCCCAGCCCCAAAACACAGTGTGCGCAAACTCGCCTTGCTCGCACACCCTCGTCCCGCTGGCGGCATCCCGCTACACCCTGCAAGGCCTGCATGTCGGAGCATTTATTGGGCAAACATGCTTGTTTCTCTATGCAAGTGACAAGCCGCGTTCTACTCTGTATGTATGCCGAGGGTTTTTCGACTACTTACTTGAAACGAAAAAGGGATTTTGCAGCTCGCAAGCAGCAATAGCTCGTGCAAAGAAGCATTGACATGGCGCCAGCATGCAGGATACCGCGGCCCAGCAGCAGCAAAGTACATGGCATCTCAGGGCAGAAAACGCCGCTGAACTGCCTACTGTAGAAGTTACACCAAACTGCGCATGCACTGAAAGCAAGAGCAAAAAAAACAAAGGGGGCAAAAAGCGGTACCAATCCTTGTACACAGAGCAGTCATATTGTTTGGCGCCACGGGACCAGCCCAACATGCAAGGCCGTGGTCCCCAGGTATCCACTACGGTGCGGTAGGCGAAGGATGGGCGTCACTCTCGCGTGAGCAGAAAGCAGCCTGACGTGTTTATAGAGATCTATATCCCGCATCTACATACATTAGTCCAGGCGAGAAATCTGATCGGACGAGTTGCTACCAAAGCTAGCTTTCCAGCATGTCTAGTGCTGTCGCTAAGCGCAGCAACACAGCTCGCAGCACTGCCCTTTTCTCCATTCCCTTGCCTGAGTAAACAGGCTTTCCTAAATTAACTGCCCCCCCAAGGCTCCTTGCTGCCCGGTCTGGACGCACGCACTCAAGCACATACACGAATTTCTGCACAGTCATGGTATAGTGGTGCGTTGTAAGACAACATGCACTTGTTTTGACTGGAGGTAGAGCCCAATAGGTACTTATCCGGCGGTGAAGCGGGCGTGCGCACCAGTGGCGCCAGCCGCAGATGCCCAGGGACGTGGATGATCATGACAAACTACGCATCCATTGTTTGCCGTCGTGCGTTGTTTGATGTATGAGAAGCAAAGGGCCAATGTATCGTGCAGTACGCTGGTAACTCAAGTAGCTCACAAAGGGGGGAATTCGCTCGACGATCAACGCAAGCACGAACTCGTTTGTCACGGCATGTACAACTAATGTCCGTTCGCAAGCAATATACGTCCGTCCCAAAAAAAAGCAAGGGCAAAAGCGCCAATATGTGCGGGCCGCATCGGTAGATGGTGTTCGAACCGGGCCGCTTTTACATGGTCCATTGTATCTTTGTTCGCCACATACTGTCCAATTCGCATGCTATCGCGGGCACCAGTAGCAGCAGCAACCACAACACAGCAGAAAGTCCATTGTTTGCTAACGTGCATTGTTTCGAAGCAGCGTGCCTGCCCTCGGTCGTGCCTGGGGATAGCGTTGTGATGGCGTCTGTCACGCACTGGCAGCCCCCAGCCTAGCGTCCGTCGGTGCCAACCCACGCTAGGCTAACGCCCGAGCTAGCACCAGCCAACAACGGAACGGAGCGCGCTTGCAGCTGCATAATCACACTTTGATCGGGTGACACCCACGGTTCTGTGCATTGGGCAAGCTCAGGCTTCTTACTGGTAAACCCAGGCCGTGAGGGTCCCCTCTCTTTGCGGGCTGGGCTGCAGGGAGAAGTCAGCCATGCAGCCACTACGTCCTGTAGGTACTGTACCTGATGTACTTTTCATGTCGGTCGGTAGCGGTTAAGCTGACCGCCTAAACAGACCGGCTACCTGTCCACGATGGTTTCGTGTTGGAGGGTGACGTGGGAGAAACCCTTTTGTGTCGAAGCTTCTGACGAGCAGCCCAATGGCTGTGTTTTAAGCGGTATGATGCCGGCATCCCTGAGTGTTGGCTCGCTGTCGTCGCAGACGGACTATAGTTTACCGATGCAATGCACCGCAGCGAAATTACGCAATTGGGCAATGTTGCAGACCGGTCTCTTGATTCAACCGGCACTAGGACAACTGCATACTGTACGTGACCGACCCAACTTCGCCGACGAAACAGCCCAACTTCCAAGGTTTCTTTGAACATTACGTCTGCGGCGATACTAAGAGGGGGGAGCGCCGTAAAGCTAGCGGAGTATTCCCTCAGTGCAGCCCCGCCAGCCGTCGCCTCTTCGCATCCACAGGCCATGCATATGCCCCATCAACGGCCGACTTGCATCTCGCACCGAAGCCGAGCCAAAAGTAGCGTGCTGCATTAATACGGGGTAACAATGGTGGGTCGAGCCGCCATCGCCACAATGCGATCGTGATTGTCGACGGCGGAAAACGTGTCGCCTTGTGGATAATCGTGCGTCTACCACACAGCCTATACTTGTGCCAGAGCATTTTCATGACAGGCCGTGGCCATGTCTGACTTTGCAAGGCGCTTACAGGTGCTGTTTCTTTTGCATTCCATCATACTGATATAGTAAGAGTCATAGAATTTATGAATGAGCTAGTTTCAACAGCTATCAGGGTTGACGACGCGTGGTGACTCGATGCCAAACTCGCCGGGAAGTCTCCGCGGACAAGCATAAAAGCGAAGCAGCACAAAAACGATCTTTATGTTGATTGTAATCCACTTCAACTCGTTTTTAATCATCTTTGCTTAGGAACTTCGTAATTTACACTGCGCAATTTGGCCAATCACTAACAATACGTTTGCCTCCGCCTCTTTTCACTTACCCCGCCAAACTTGCCGTCTCCATCAACAGATATCAAAGATCAACTACCTACACAGGCGCTACAAAATGTCGACAGTTGCAGAAGCCAATCAGCAGCACTTCAAGTAAGTATTTTCTTGAAGCCCCACACTCTATTGGCCTACTCTTTCTGTGCTGTGTTCGCTAGCATGGCGCTAATTCAATGACAGTAAAGCCGCCGCGGACTATGACAACCGATATAAAGAGACCCTTGGTCGCATTGAGAATGAGCTGCGAGACAATTTGGACCTCATTGGTATTAAGCAGGGTGGCCGTCTTCTAGACTATGCATGCGGAACTGGCCTCCTTTCTCGGGTAAGATGAAATCATACTACAACTGACGTGCTGATATTCTTATTCTGACCCAATTTGTACAGACGTTCCAGAGCCATGTTGGCCAAACTGTCGGTATAGATATTTCAGAGAACATGGTGGAGATGTTCAATGCCAATGCTGCTGCTAAAGTGAGTCGCGTTTGTTCTTGTCACCTCGATACTTGTATTGACCTAGGCATATAGGGACTTACCAAGGACCAATGCTATGCCTACTTTGGAAATCTTATCGATCCATCCGATGCCGTTGGACCACCAAGCCTAGCCGGTCCTGAATTCCAGTCATTTGATGTTGCTGGTGTCGGGGCTGGCTTCCATCACTTTGACGATACCATTCTCGCTGCCACGCGACTTGGAGAGCGCCTCAAATCTGGAGGCACTTTTTTCATTGTCGACTTCTTACCACATGCGCCACTTGATCACGGCCATGCAGGTCACCACAGTGTGCAGCATAATGGGTTCTCAGAGGATAATACAAAGGAGCTCTTTGATAAAGCTGGACTGGGCAAGGACTTTGCTTTCAAGAAGATGGACACAGTCTTTGAAATGAAGCGCGGGGATACTACAATCACAAGACATTGCTTCCTTGCTCGCGGAACGAGGATTTGAGGCCCTCTATACAGTGCAAGGCTTAATGTGCCGTCCTTTTTTAATACTCCATAATAGATTTCTAAGTAGTCTGGAAAATGGTTTAGTTTCACATGTTTACCACAAAGGCACCTCCCAGTAGAATGGCCGGCTCGTTGATGCTATGGTGTTCGTAGCTATCGCATGTTAGCATAAGTTTATTGAATTTGTCGCACTCGATCGTTTATACCTGAGGGTGCCGACACCGCCTGCTTCCAACAAGAAGGCTGGGCCGTCCTGCAGCGTCTTTCCAGCCCAGCGCATGGCCAGCGCGCGCAAGATGTGGCCGTGTGCAACGACGAGAACATCGCCCGCAGACTCGGCGTCCTGGGCAGGGTTATCAAGATGTGGCTTGTGGTACTTTTGGCGGATATCGTCAATAAGACGGTCAAGACGCTCAGTTACGTCATCGGGTGATCTATAGACAACAAGTCCATCAGCACACGTATACCACATCGGACTGTTTGTTCCGTCTGCCAAAGCCATCTAGTGAATTAACAAATTTGACTTACTCTCCGCCTGGGCATCCATCCCGCCAGATGTCCCACGATCCTTGTAGACCTTGTTCGGCACGAAGTTTGCGAATCTCGGGGCTTGTGATACCCTCATAGTTTCCATAGTCCCATTCGCGGATATCTTCCGTGATTTCAACCTTGGCCTTGCACACTAGACCGTTGCATGCATTCTCTCCGTGCGCTTTCCACGGCAACTCAGCCTCTGGGATACCCAAGTTGAGCAGCTCAAAGGTGCGTTGAGCACGTTTCCGAGGCGATACGTAGCTGGCCGCAAGTTAGCAAGTTACACAACGCATCCATGGACAAAATCCCAAAATTCCCGGGGAAGCGGATCGAAGAAGCCGGTCGACAACTTGTACGGCCTGAAATGTGGTATCTTCTAGATTGTCGCACGCCGCCCGCTGCCCCCAATAGCGATGAGCCGGATAGAGAGCCCGACGCAGTAGCCCGAGCAAGATCACGACAAGCAAATCAGCAGGTGCCACATTGGGCGCCGTGCAGGGATTGATTGAGCATTCGGCATGTCTCACTTTTGTAAGAAAGGCGGACAGGGCGTCCCGGGAAGCCAGGGCTACTGCATGCACACGCACCCATGCATGTGTTTCGGGGTGATAGCAAACAAAGTAGCCCGTGAAGATAATACAGTAACGGACGGCAGTGGCTGAGCTGAGCTGCAGCATGCAGACATGCACATCGACACCTTCAGCTAGCTTGGGGCTGGCCTGGACCAAAGACGCTTGCATCTGCACCCGACAGACAGGTTGGTAGCCGGCGATCGGCAGTTTTGGGTTAATGCTGCGGCAGCGGGAAGCGCATCGAAAACAAACGGGGGGGGGGGGACAAAGGCGCTGGAAAAGGGGCACAGTGGCTTAGTTTTACTTACATGTGGGCAAGCTTGTTAGGGACGATGAGTCGATCATGGCCGACCATGGCGTTTCCCGTGGCAATGACTCGTTTCTCGCCGTTGGCTGTGAGGGGGATATCGGTGCTTCCTGTGTGACGGCCGTTGAGGGACCATTCGGTCTCGCCGTGGCGGACGATGAAGAGGCGAGGCGTGGGCATGGCTGGTGGTTGGTGGTAGAGTTGGTGAGGAGGAGGCGGAGGAGGAGGCGGAGGAGGAGGGGCGGTGCTTTAAGAGTGCTGTATATGGTTGGTAGCTGTGATGGATATTAAAGGTTGTCTATGGTGAGGTAAAGTAGAAGAGTGAATTGATTTGTACTGGAACGGAAGAAAGAGAAAAGAAAGAGAGAAGGAATAAAGGGTTGGTTAGTTGGAAGCTTATGAGAGCTGACAGAGGCAACGGCACGGGCGGAGATCGCGGGGCACGTCTTTCGGGGTGCTTCGGTAGAGGGGCGGGCCAGTGAGGTCATTGACAAAAAGCTCCAAAAAGACGGCAATTCATAGACAGACGATAGATACTTAAGGCAGGGAAAATTAAGAGCAGTCAATCAATGGCAAGATTATCATACATAATTATTTCTCTGCAAATTTCCTACTAATTCCATGCCCGTCGCAAAACATGTCCGGCCCCAGACAGCCGATGACTAAAACTCCAACGCCGGCGGCCGAGACCGTCGCCGCTCGAAGAAAAAGTCCGGTTCACGTTTCGCCATCATCACCACCATCACCACCACCCACCGTCTCGACAACCCACGTGCCGTCGCCCTCCATCATCGCTGTCAGACCTTCACCCTCCAATGATCTCATAGCAGCACAGAGAATCTCACTCCTCAATCCGGCATCCAAATAGTGCGTGCGCTGCGCCTCGCTCTCCCTCAACCTCCTTTATCACAATGCCCATCGGCGCAAACCTCACCCCTCGCCAAAAGGTCAACCGCGGCGTCTGGGCCGCTGCTTTCGGTGCCGTCATTTGCGTTGGAGCCCTGACTGGCGCACAGCTCAAGAGCGACGAGCAAAAGACACAGGTACGCACGACTCAAACAACAAAAACGACGCAGCAGCTTCGTAGCAACGACTAACAAGCTTTTCTTTTGTAGGCTATCAAGCAGTTTCGCCAGACGACACCGGCTGACCAAATATCCATCCTCGAGGACCAAAAGAAGCATCTCCTGCAGCAAAAGGCCGGACTGGAGCGCAAGGTCCAAATGTTCCAGTTGCGTGTCAAGGAGAGGGAAGCCAAGAAGGAAAAGAGCGAAAAGAGCTCCTGACATGGAACTTGGCTGTATTCCCCGATATGCATTGTACAACTATATTTAACGATACCCCCGATAGAATGTAACATATAGTCATTTTTTACGACATGGTTCCAACTACAAAGACTGTGACGGCTCGTCTCGCGGAAAGAAAACCTCCATACAAAATGGGCCCATTCAATTTTTTGTCTAATCTTTTTACTTGAATGCTAAGAAATGCTGTCCAAACTTCAATTCATCAAGGCTCATGCGTGTGTGTCTGTCTTTGTCCGTGTCGTAAATTCCTTTTATTCATCAGCGCCATCAGCACTGGGCAAGGGAATGGCCTTGTACAGCAAGATTAGGGCTGAGTGGTACTCGCCGCCACCTGCAAGCGCATCAATCTTGTCTGAAGTGACTTCCGTCACCTTTTCATCGTTGAACCACCACCATTTGCCGTCCTCCTCACCCTTCTTGCCCGTCTTGGGATCGACAGGAGCAGCCTTCTTGACGTAGGCAGTGTAGTGACCGCTGTCGGCGCCAGCACCCTGGTGGGTGACGACACCACGAAGCTCGTAAATACCAGACTGGTTGGCGCCCTCATCATTGCGAAGGTCCTCGCTGATAAGGGCGTTGAGCTCCTTCTTCGCCTTCAGCAGAGCTTCGGCCTGTTCGGCTTCAATCTCGGCATCCGTCTTGAAGACTTCCTCCATCTCTGTGTCGCCGTCGGCACCAACAGTAGGCTTCTTGTTGCCAGCCTGCTTGACATCTTCCTTCTTGGCCTTTTCCTTCTTCTCACTCTCTGTGGGCAAGCCAGAACCACCGGCAACATCGCTCATGTCGTGGTCGCGGTTCTTCTTTCTTCGCTTGCGAGAACGCTCAATGTCCTCCTCATCCTTACGTACCTCACGGACCTTGTCGCGTACAGGAACTAACGCCTTCTTCAGCTCGTCCGAGCAAAACTCAACAATGTCGAGCTCGTGGGGGAATGTAACCTTGCGCATAATCTTGGCCTTCTTTTGGGTGTCGCGCTTCCAGAAGAATCGAACAAAGTGCACAGTGAGATATTTGGGAGCCCTGGAAATCTTGGAGCTCTTTGTGTATGTGGTGTCGCGATCGAGAATCTCAGACTTCTTCTCCAATTTCTCACTCAAGCCAGACAAGATGCCGTCTCGCAAATGGTTGGTCTGGGCGTCAATGTGGCAGTCGAGCTTGAAGAATTTGGCCTTTGACTCAATAGCCAGCTCACCAGCCTTGCTAGCTTCTTCGTCGTCGCACTTCATCGTTGAGGTGAACTCGCCAGCCATGTACTTGTCGACAAACGATGTTTTGCTGTTGTCAGGACCACCGACTTGGAGCTTCTGGCCCAGTTGCTGGACAATCTGTGACCATGCCTCCTCTGCATCCTGCTGGGCGTATCCTTCACCGTGTCTCGACTTTTCCGCAAATTGGGGGAAGACCACACGCAGGGCGCTCAGGAAGTTCATGGGTGGGAACGAGTCCTGAGTGTTGCCCATCTTGGTGTATAAGCTGGAAAGCTGGGCGGCAAGATCCATTTGTGACATACCCGTTGAAGGGCCGGCAGAGGTCGGGCTGTATTTTGTCAGGGCGGTCTGGAGTTCGGGAATCGAGCGCAACGTCTGGAGGGTCGAGTTGAGGTAGCAGGTGTTGCCCAGGTTCATGAGACCGGCGGGCGTAGCACCGACTTGCTGTGCTGCTTCGGCTTCCGTCATGTCTTCGACAAATTTGATCGGCTCCTTAGGGCGGGCGAGAGCAGGGCCGCCTGATCCAGCACTTCCGAGCATGGTGAGGATCTGGCCATCCTTCAAGCCAAGGCTCCTCATATCGGTATCATCGCGGATCTGGCCGCCTTTGACGAGGATCTTTTGCCTGTCAGGCTCGACATTGGTTAGGCTAAAGAGCTGCAGCTTGAAATCCTCGCCGCTGGCGTCTAGGTCGACCTCGACATTGTGCTTCTTGCCTTGGTGTTTGACCACCACTACCACAGCGTTAGCGCTCTGTTTACTCCAAATGAGGGGCATTGAGGGGCAACAAACCGTTTACAGACATCGTGACGGCTCTCAAATCGGAATCTGTGGGGATTGTAATAAATACAACAAATCTCAGTGGTGCACAGAAAGTCTTGACGGACAGTGCAGGACCAGCGTTTGGGCGTGGCGTGCTTATGGAAAGAGAATCCAGTGGAGGCAGCGAGAACTGCGTCACTCCGCGGGTACCTGAGCGAAGCTGGCGGCGCGTTGCTGGTAAGCTCCTGTGGGGACGGCGGTCAATGAGAAAAGGTACATGGAATGTCCTCCAAATTACCAGTGTTGGCCATGTACCATCCGTCTGGTTGGAACGGTCCAGTCACGTGCAGGCTGCGCCCCACCAGTAGACGTCAGGCCTATGAAGCTCCAGCGACATCAACCCCGCCGTGGTGCAACGAGTCTCCGGAGACGACGGTTAACCAGCACGAGATATTGTCGCAAGATTGAAAAGCTTGCCGCCATGGTGAGTAGACAGGCGCATCACCATCACCGGCCCATATAAGGTATACTAATTGACCCGCCTGCCCACAGTCTCAATCCCTCCGCCCTTACCTGCAGTGCGTACGCAGCAGCCTGACGGCCGCGTTGACGCTGTCCAACTTTGCCTCGCAGACAGTCGAGCGTCACAACGTCCCCGAGATTGAGGCACAAACATCGCCCGAAGTCCTCCTTACGCCGCTGCACATTGCGAGAAACGAAAACGAGCGGGTCTTGATCGAGCCCAGTGTCAACTCCGTCCGAATTAGCATCAAGATCAAGCAGGCCGACGAGATTGAGCATATCCTAGTACACAAATTCACACGATTCTTGACACAAAGAGCAGAGTCCTTCTTTATTTTGCGAAGAAAGCCTATCAAGGTCTGTAGCGCCGCCGCCTACGCACGAACTAGTGACTCGACCGTTGCTAACAATGTTCTCAGGGTTACGATATTTCCTTCTTAATTACAAACACACACACCGACGAAATGTTGAAACACAAGCTTGTCGACTTTATTATTCAGTTTATGGAAGAGGTGGACAAGGAAATCTCCGAGATGAAGCTCTTCGTACGTTGCCTCAAGAATCGCAGCTATGAGACAGGACTAACAAACGACTGCAGCTGAATGCCCGAGCTCGTTTCGTCGCTGAATCTTTCTTGACTCCTGTAAGTACCTTTAAAGGACAATTATGGCGGTCGACATTGCTAATTTATCCGCAGTTTGACTAAATAGCGTTGCGCAAATACGGAGAATTCGGACGGTTGCCTGGTGCATGATTTAGAAGCATAACCGCTGGCGCGGAATCTTGACAGAACAAAGCAGATTCATGGCTCAAACATGGAAAAATAAATAAAACCACATTGTTCAAATTCATTCTCCGATAACGGCCTCGTGGCCTAACAATCATGCTGAATGGAATCTGACCTCACCTTGCAGGGGCCACATTTGGAAGCAGCCGTCGTCTACCTGCAGCCTGCAGAGTCTCCGTTTGTTATCCATTGTCCCGAATATGCCTGGTGGGTTTTTCATATTCGCACTGCTTCTATTGTTGTCTGGTCGATGGTTGGTGCTTGTCTGCAGCCCAGCCACTGCCAGGTGCCCGCCAAGTGCCAGAAGTTGGCAGTACAAGCGCCATTGTTGCTCCGATTCTGAATACACGTTATGAATACCGCCATGGATCCATCCTATTTATTTGGTTCCTCAATCACTTTGACCCATTCAACCTACTGAGTGTCCGTTGCTTATGAATCGGGTAGAATTTTGGTTGGTGGTCCTATTGTCTTAAGGCCCATTCTTCTCTGTCAAACAGCTCCTTCAACATTTTGTGTCGTGGGCTTTCACTCTTTCTTTCTTGATTCTCCCTTGGACTCCTCGCTAATTTTTACTTTTGAGTTCTTTTTCTCCTATCCTTCCATCCTCCAGACTGATTTTGTTGCGCCATCGCCCTCACATACCTACAATTTGGTGTAGCACGCTCGCATTCTACGCAGCGTAAAGGTTGATAATGGCACCAACTCTATCAGAAACGACTATGAAAATGGATTTTGTACCATCTGGGCATATCTCAAGCAAGCTCGATCCCACGTCTCCGTGCTGGGTGCCTGAATCCATGCTCCGCCAGGTAGATCCCCAAACCACACCGTTATAAACACTAAAACTGACACGCACAGTCACACCAGGATGCTTGCCTCAACAACGCCGCCTCACCGGAGAGGATAGATGCTGCTTCCGAGAATGAATCCCCAGGGTATGACGAGCCTCGTGGTCGTTATCCACCGTCCATTATCTCAAGCCCCGAAGATGTTTACAAAGCCTCTGTCACGGGATCGGAAACATCTCCGTCGCAGTCAAGCGTTTCTATCAATAGTGAAGTCCCAACTCAATTATCCGAGTTATTCACTCCAACTATTCAAAAGGGCCACACAGGCATTCCAGCCAGTAACTCTTGGCAGTCCATCCCGACCATGTCAACACTTGCGTCCCCGGATGTCACGCCCCAGAAGGGGGATGGCATGGACCGTTCAATGCCACCAAGACTGCTTCAATTGACAGAACCGCGCAACTACGCTCCAAGAACATCTGGTCTTGCAGCAGCGAGAGAACCTCCACCAAAGTTTGATCTCATGCGACTGTCACCTAAAGCCCCGCGAGACCAGGCTTCAGACGATGCTTTTGTTGACAGTTTGACCTCTTTAGGCTTACAGAGACACTCTGAGCTCGCCGAAAGGACTACAAACAACGCCATAGTGCCTTTTCAGCGTGACCAGTTTGAGCAACGCCATCAGACAACCGCTGAGTATGCAAATGGACCCCAGCAAGCGCTTCCCACTCTACGAACGGCGCTCTCTGAGGAACATTTTCCTTTTACTGATGCTGCTCGCCTCTCGCGACCCAAGAATAATGGAGTAATCCGGCTCAAAAATGTAAGTGTCCGCGTTTAGTCCAAGAAACTATAAACTGACGCCGACATGACAGATCCCCTTTGGAATTAGCAGAGCCGAGATCATTGCCTTGTTGGGCCGAAGTTCTCGTATTTGCAATGAGGCAGAAGAGCCTGTCCATGTCATCATGGAAAGGGTCAGCAGCAAAACTATGGACGCTTATGTCGAATTTTTAACCCTTGACGATGCAATGAAAGCTGTCGAAAGACATCATGAGGTCTTGGCATCTGGCAAAACCCATCGACTCGGTAACCGCCCTGTTCAGATTGAATTGTCCAGTCAAGCTGTTTTGATGGCTGATCTATTTCCCAACGCGAGAGGCATTCGCTGGGACGGTGCGAGACCGGAGATACAGCAATGTGCTCTGAATGAACCCTGGAATATGTTCAAGGGTTTCGTGACCGAAGAGGAGATGATTATGCTAGTGAAGCATGTCGAGATGCCCCAGAGGGTATTTACAAAAAAGACCCTACTTTCATTTATTATTTTACTGACTGAAGACTAGTCTCCCTTTTCCAAGGACTGCCCTCAGCGTCCGTATGAATGCTTGATTAGCACCATTAAGAAGTTCCCGTGGTACATGTCTGCACACATCACCATCAAGCAACGGGGCGCAATGTTCCGTGCAACGTGTGATTTGATGAATCTTTTGTTGAAAAGTATTCAAAAGTCTCCTCAGAGCACACAGGTGAACAGGCAATTGCTCGATCGTCTTGCTGCCGCCGCAATGGAATGTCCTGGGTTTACACCATTGATGAAGGACGGCATTGCTTGGATCATGAACATGGAAGGAGAAAAGCTACGCCGCTACAATCTACCCCAGAATCCCTTTTCTTGGAGGCACATATATGCTCTGACTCCAAAGTGTGGCTCGTCATTGGATGTCATTGAGGTATGTACATCCTTTGTTGCCTCCATATAACTGACCAGATACTAACCATCCATAGTGGTACATTGCTGTGATCCGGGAGCAGACACACCGTGACCACCTTGCAAGACCACTTGAGCAGCGATGCGTTATTGATGAAAGATCCCAAGACACCGACATGTATTGGGGCTACCTCTGGGTAGAGCTGGGTTACCACGTGGGCCCATCATTCGACGAACTTACACTGGCGCAAGTGGCCCTTAATGAACGGGGCGCCATTGAGCGCATCCTCGCTCGTGCCCTCCCTGCTGCTAATTGAGGAAGGTCTGAATTGCTTTGTTTTGTTGGCTTTTTGAAATGTTTTTACATCAAATGGGGATGGGGTGAAATCGGCGAGTATGGAACAACAACATTGCCACTTGGGGCTACGCCATGACAACTCAAAGTATATGGAAGAACATGCTAACAATACACCTTTGGAGAGAATCATTTTTGGTGCTTCTGGATGAATTGACGTTGGAAATGGGACTCTTTTAAAGCAGACATTAGAATTGAACAGACAAGGACATTGCACGGTAGCTGCGGCACTCTGGAAATTAGGCACTGGAAAAAATGTGGCTTGCAACCTTGTATTGCATCGGCTAAAGCAAGCCTGGGATATGGCGCAACAGACAACCGACACTGTTACGGGGCCAATATTTTTGTTTTGGCAGAATATAGTGAACTGTATAGCTACAGCATAGCTTCTACTTAGTATTCGAAAAACAACTACATGGTTTTATAAATTTGAGAGATCTGCGCGTTGTGGCTGCTTGGTAGTGAATGTCTGGTGTCCGGCTTCTATAAAGCAGAGTGGCTAAGACCAACAATGCGACAGATTGGCATCTAATGGGACGAATTTAAAGGCACTAAATATAAGATGAATGCCATTCGCACGTAAATTAATTCATTTGAAACAAATTATTTCTATGCATGCGCTACTGCATGGCCATTCTACGCCGCGTTTGTTTCCGGGTAGCAATCAGTGAATCACCGCATCCAATCAATGTTGTCGACAGGAGCAGTAAAAGTGTTTATTAAAGAGGGCTAAATAACATTACCACGCCAATATTCTCAACCATCTTCCATACCAGAATATGCGTAACCCATTACTATAATATTGCTTATAGTATCTCTTGATTATCAAATCGCTATCTACACGTACCAGCTCCTTAAGTATACAAGCTTGTGTAGAGAACATGTCTTTGTAGCACCCTACAACCTCCCAACTTGGCTACATTACTGGTGTAAGGAGAGAGAGAATAATAGGACCGCTAGGGCCACAGCTCTCCTCATTATTTCTAGGGCATGGCTTTGAACACTCTGATAACGCAACAAGATTGTTGTTCTTAGGATCTTGGATATTATCGCCGCACCAACACTCTCTACCGTCCTCCACACCAGAATATCTATACTGCTTGGAGGCACAGATATTGCGACAGCTTGGTACAGTAATATCTCCCTGTACTGTTTGCTGTTCTTGTAAAATTCGCTTTGTAGCGGGATACAAGTCTTTGTACTTGGTTTTCATTTCCCTAAGCTTACCTTTTATAATTCTTTCTTTTTTAGATGTTACAAAGGTACGAGGACGTGAGAAAAGTTATACTAATCTCAATCATTTTCTAAACTAGACACAAACATCTATATATGTTGCTCGTGGCCTCTTATTGCTTCTGAAGAAGCCAAACCAGTACCTATAAACCACGAAGACTTGTAGACGATCATTAGAAAAATACAAGAGAAAGATGGATCAGGTTATCTGTTGAGTGTAAGCGTATATCAATGATAGATAAGTAGGAAAATGGAGCCTCTTACGATAAAATTTTGAAAAATCATAGTACTTCTCTCTAGACAATTGTTTAGCTCTTACACACTAACCTAGCTTATTCGCGTTATTCAATAATTACGAAAGCCGATTTTGAAAGAAACTTGATAAGTCTCTGCAAATTATCGTCTTTCACATGCGCTTGATATGCATGAGAGATCTAAGGTCCAGTTTAAACAACGTTCGTACATCGATGGACGCACTGCTACCTAGACAGTCTGGTGGTGTCCTACAATTCCAGCCTAACAGTCGCAATTAGAGAAAGAAAACCTCGAAATTGGTTAGACCATTTACTGTAATATATAAATTACTCGGAAAAGAGTTAATACACAATTTTATGCTAGAATATCGTCGCGACATGTCGCCGTTATAGTGCCGCGTTTGTTTCCCGGGTAGCGATCACGGGATTTAATCAGATAACAGGGGTTATTGTTTTAAAACATCTGGCAACCCAGCTACCGCTGCACACGTCACTCACTTTCATCACCCGCCCACGCAGCAAAAAATAGAATCCATAGAAAAAAAAGTCATCAATATGTCTACTGAGCAAGCAACTACACCTGCGGCTGAAAAGCCAAAGACTCCTTTGGAGACCCTCACTGCTCGTCTCCCAGACATCACTAGCAAGGCCGACTACAAGGAGATGTGGGGAGTTGAGCTTGCTGGCCCCGACCACATTCCCACGCAGGTGATTCTACAAAAGTACTTGCGAGCAAATACCAATGATGTTGAGGCTGCTGCTACACAGCTCACGTCGAGCTTGGAATGGCGAAAGAAGATGAATGTCACGTCGCTGCTCTCCGAGACGTACGACCAGAGCAAGTTTGGTGATCTTGGCTTTGTCACCGTGCACAAGGACGATGCTGGCAAGGACACTGTCATTACGTGGAACATTTATGGCGCCGTCAAGGATAACCAGAACACTTTTGGCGATGTTGAACAGTAAGCTATTGCCTTGATTTTTTTTTTTTTTTGCTTGTTTTAGAAACCAAATGGATGGGTGCTAACAGTGGCCGTTTGCACTAGGTTCATCAACTGGCGTGCGGCACTTATGGAGCTCAGCGTTCAGAAGCTCAAGCTTAACGAAGCCAAGGAACTGATTCCCGAGGACGGCGACGACCAGTACCAGATGCTCCAGGTCCACGACTACAAGTCTGTCAGCTTCTTCCGCATGGACCCCAACGTCAAGGCTGCCAGCCGGGAGACCATCAAGACCTTCTCCATGGCATACCCGGAGCTGCTTGCACACAAGTACTTTGTTAATGTGCCCGCCATTATGGGCTGGATGTACGGTGCCATGAAGCTCTTCCTTGCCCCGGCCACGCTGCGCAAGTTTCACCCCATGACTTCAGGCACTACTCTCGCCACGGACCTCACCAGCATTGTCTCTACGTTGCCCGCCGAGTACGGTGGTAAGGGTCCCAGCGCCAGCACTGGCGAAACTGTCAAGCTGGGAGCAAAGGCACCTGCTGCACCTGCTGCTGCTGCTGCTGCTGCTGAGACCTCCGAAGCGCCCGCCAAGAAGGACGAGGAAGCGGCCCCTGTCGCAGAGGCCGAGCAGCCCAAGGTTGAGGAGACCAAGGTCGAAGAGACCAAGGTCGCCGACGAGCCTAAGGTTGCCGAAACTGAAAAGGTTGAAGAAGCTGCTGTCCCTGAGGCAGCTGAGGCCAAGACTGCCACTGCTTAATTGTATTCATTTGTCGACTGCGATAAATGATTTGTGTTTTTTTAAGACTGGGGTGGAGAGCCAAAGTATAGATTATACTTGTAATGGAGGAGGTTAAGGATCGGACAGTGTGGCTGAATACCCCTACTCATGAGTTTTATGCACTATGAATTTGACCAAGATTGATTAGACGTTGCCGCTTCTGCTAACTAATGTGCTGTTTGTATCTTGATGAACAAAATTGGCCCAAGACTGTAGTCCAATGGGACGTTGGGAGGGCCCGAGAACTGGTTGTGAGGCTAGCGTGGGCTGAAGTGGCCCAGGGGAGGGAGACTTTGCGCAGACTGAAAGAGAAAGCCGGCAAAGGATACGAGGCATTGTGTGAGTAAGCATTCGGCGAGACGGCATTAGTTCAAGTATACGTGTTTTATTTGCGGCAAGAAATTCCACTTTTTATAACGATTGCCGACCAAGTGTTGCATGTTGTGAGCAGCGCCGTTGGAAGCCACTAGCACAACGACAGAGATAGAGACAGAGTAGGCGGACGATATCACATGTGCAATCCGGAATGTTCGGGATGCAGTACGAGTAGAGTTACATGGTGCAATTGATTGCCTTTAGGCTTTGTCATCTTGTGAGCTAAATTGATAGAGTTGGCGGGTATGCACGCAAGTTGAGCCAACAGCGGACATAAAACGCGGAGGAGGACGAGTGAAATTCGCCGGAGGAGCGGCAATGACAGAGACAAGTTGAAAGCAATATTATTATGAGTTATGGGAGGCTGTGCTTGGAGATTGCAAGTGGCAGTGTAGTGAGATGATGGTGAGGTGGTGGTGCTTGGTGGTGTGATGGGATGTGATGCTAGAGTTGGGCGATGAGCCGGCTTGTGTTTCAGGGAGTTGCGGGTTGCGTATTTGTGCGGAGCGCGTGTTGTCCCCTTCTTCTTTAGTAAATTGTATAGACACAAAATATTATATATCTAGTGAAGAATAAATTATATACTATGTAGGGTTTGTCTACTAGAAACAAAGATGGTGGTTGAAGGGAACAGCTGATGGTGTGTTGGTGTACATGGCTGAGCTACCGTTATCCTGTGGCCTCTTTACCCGCTGCCTGAACAAAAAGTAGCGGAATAAAACAATTGAACCCTTAAAAAACGAAAAGAAAATTCCTGTTACCACTTCTATCTTTTGACAGTTATTTTCATATTCTTTCTACTAATCCTTTCCTGTGTGTCTCTCATCTCCCTTTTTTTTTTTTACTGCTAGGCGACCCAAAAGCGCGTACGCCCACATATCTCAGTTTTGCCTTTTCTGCGCCGCACCTCTGCAGCCCGCTACAGAAGCCTTCTACAGCGGCGGACTTTAGCGCACCTGGCGTCCCCCTTTAGCGTGCTGGCTGGCTCCACGCCTTTCTTCGCCCATCGCGCACGCGCCCAACCAACCAACACGCTCCAAACCAAAGCTGGTGTGCAACCACCACCACCACTCGTCTTCGCTCATTTCCTTTCCTTTCTCCCTCCTCCAACGCTACAAACACGCTCTTCAATCGCTGCTTTTCTTTCCATCGTCGTGTGTTTTTCTACCGTCTTTCTTTCTCTTCGTGTTTTTTTCTACGCTCTGTCGCCCAACTCGGTCCTGCCGCGAGGCATTTCGCTCCCCGTTCGCCCTGCTCGCCCTACCGCTGGCTAGCTTCCCGCGTAACGCCTCACATGCCCACGCCGTCACGCTAATTTACCTTTTCTGCTGTTCTCTACGCGCAGCGCTCTCGTAGCCTCTTCTCGACAAACCATCGCCGTCGCCATGTTCCAATTTTTCACCGAGAGCAGCAACAGCAGCAGGCTGTCGGCTCCTCCTACCGACACCTCTTCCCATGTCGCGTCCTCGTCAGGCTCTACGCCTCCTACCACTGTTGCAGACAGCGCCAGCCAGCTCTCCCAAGGCTCTGGCGACGAGGTCATGACCGACGACGTGATCCCTGCCTCCAAGCCAACCGTTACTCACGATCAGCCCGCCTCTCCCCAGCGACCCCGCCGTTCTCGCCTCAGCGCGCCCATATATAACTTGTCCAAGCTCTCTGGCACCGACGGCCACGGCAAGCGTCGCGCTAATGGCGATGATGTGGCCGACCGCCGTCGCCGTACCATCTCAGGCGACACCCTTATCGGAAGTTTCCTCACACAGAGCCCGTCTCACAAGACGCACAACCTCGACGCGTTCGATGCAAACTGGTCGCCTAGAAGCGCCAACAGCCCCCGCACAAGACGGCAAGCACGCGAGTCTCCCAGAGCACTGCGCGCATCGTCGAGGCGCATAACCACTGGCGGCGTGTCCAATTTCGGAAATAGAGTCTCGAAAATCACAAAGCGAACTGGTAGAGCCGTCGCCAAGGGTGTAAGCAGAATCTCGCGCGAGCTTAGCCGTCTGCAGGACACCAAGGAGTTTGCTGGCTTGGACGACAAACCTGTACTGCACACCATCTGGTCCAATGGCAAGTTTGTCGACCCCAATGAAATCAAGAAGGCGCCCGAGCCCAAGAAGCCCAAGGCGAAGCCGGTGGAAGAGGAAGCTGAAAAGGAAGAACCCAAGGCGCCCGAACCACCCAAGGAAAGGCAGCCCAAGAAATATCTCGACAAGGGCCTTTACGCCGGCCAGGAAGTACCAGCAGATATCGCCAAGGGTCTCACCATCGCGGAAAAGAAGGAGCTCGCGCAATATCCCGAGCTCGCAGCCAAGCCTCGTCCCAACTCGGTCATGCCACCAGTTCTGTATACTGGTTTCCGCATGCTCATTGCTGGCCGTGATTTTAAGCTTCCTTTCCTTACCTGCAACCCGCTCCCGCCTGGCCAGCCCAAGCCCGATGAGTGGAAGAAGATGACCAAGAGTGAGTGACATCTCCTAACAAGGCAAATTGTCTGCATCAGCTAACTAACACCTTTCTTCTAGACCGATTTATTGGCGATTCGAAAGACTACTGGCGAAAGGGTGATCATTGGGGAGACTACCAGTCCAAGTGTGTCTGCAAGCCTGACGACCCCTGCGGCGAGGACTGCCAGAACCGCAGCATGCTTTACGAATGCGACGAGTACAACTGCAACGTGGGCAAGGAAATCTGCAACAACAGATCCTTTGCCAATCTGCAAGCAAGACGTGCCAAGGGTGGCAAGTATCGCGTAGGCGTGGAAGTCATTAAGACGTCGGATCGCGGCCACGGCGTGCGAAGTAACCGCTGCTTCCGCCCTCACCAAATCATCATGGAGTATGCTGGTGAGATTATCACAGAGGAAGAGTGCGAGCGACGAATGAGAGAAGAATACAAACACAACGACGTAAGTATCATGTTCTGATCTTGATAACAGGACGAAACCCAGTGCGTGGGATGCAAACTAACTCTTGGTATAGTGCTACTATTTGATGAGCTTTGACCAGAACATGATTATCGATGCCACGACGGGCAGCATTGCGCGCTTCGTCAATCACAGCTGCGATCCCAACTGCCGCATGATCAAATGGGTCGTCTCCGGACAACCGCGCATGGCGCTCTTTGCTGGTGACAAGCCCATCATGACGGGCGACGAGCTCACATACGACTACAACTTTGACCCGTTTTCTAACAAGAGCGTGCAAAAGTGCCTGTGCGGCTCCAAGAACTGCCGTGGCGTCCTCGGCCCGCGACCAAAGGAAGTGCGCGTGCCCAAGACGGACCTCAAAAAGGCCGTCAAGGCAACCGTCAAGGCCGGCAAGCGCAAGCTCAAGGAGTTCCTTGGCGACGAAGGTTCCCCCGGCGGCAACAAGATCAAGAAGCGCAAGATTAAGCCCGCCACTGGCGTCAAGCGCACTCTGTCTAGTGTCAGCGTCAAGGCCGCCAAGGGCGCCGCATCTGCTCTTAAGAGGGGCATCTCGAGCATCACGGTCAAGAAGGCAACGGGTAAAGCTGCTACCAAAAAACCTGTGGTAAAGGGCAAGAAGAAGCTCAACGCACCAGCACTGCTTAAGAAGTCTGCTGCTGCCGGTAACCGCGGTGGCCGCAGCGTGAGCGGACTGAGCAACAACAACTCGCGCACCAAGCTCATTTCTGCCTCGCGGTCCTCGAGCCTCACTATTGTCGGCATGAGCGACGAGAACATTCGCGCTGGCCGCAAGCCTAGCGCTACGCAGAAGAAGACGCCGGCAAGCCCCAAGGCAGCGACTGTCAAGACGACGCCTAAGCCTCGCAAGGTGTCGAGCAAGAAGACGACTACCAAGATGCCTCCTCGAGCTGCTGGAGCCAAGGCCAAGGCCAAGACTGATTAAACCACTAATTGGTCAAGAGACAGTGGATTGGCGCGGCGTTTTGGTTTTCCTTTTTTTTCTTGTTATGGCGAACTGACAATCCAAGGTGTACGGCATGTGTGCTTTTCTTGTTCTTTTCATCATCTTCATCGTCATGGTCATTTTACCTGCCAAATTTTGCAGTTGCATTCAACATTCAAGAATCTTGTTTTATCGTCTTTTGTCATCAAGCATTGCATTTCACATGTATGTTTTGATCCTGTAAGGAAAGGAGGGGATGGATCGAAAGTGTGGTTCATTTACTGGCTACAAGTTGCGGCACACATGGTATACTCTACTGTCACTGCGGATTTTGCTGGCCCCCTTTTCATTTTCTTCCACTATACCGTTTCAGTTTCTCTTCAATGTTGGTAATCGGCTTTTGTTTTCTTATCGTCTCTTTTGCAGCGTAAACGGGGACCCCAGCTTTGAGGCAAGGCGCGTGGTAGTGGTGGTAACAAGGCCTGTGCTTGTTTTCGCGTTTTCTTTTCCCTTTTTGGTGCCAGCGGCGTTTTACAGGCAGATACGAGGGTCTATTGGTTTTTTTTCTCTGGAATCGGGTTGTTCTAGGTAGCACTTTCTAATTCGACTGAGCATTTTGATGCGCTCTGCTTGGCTGTTGTCTCGCTCTGTGATGTGCATCGCTCGCATGTGTGTGTGGTCGTGTTTGGATCGACATGGGAATTGTCGTCTTGGGAATGAATTAGACGAGCAAGTAAGCTACAGTAGGGAAAGCTTCCCGCGCGGAGGAGGTGAGCAGGGTTGGGGTCACAGCCTTGCTCTAATGGAAGGCTCGCTGTCTCGGTCTAGAAGCTGTTCTATTCGTCGCTGGACCAGGAGGGAGGGTGTCTTTGAGCGCCACATCATCTCGATCGTGTCTCCGAAGATTTACTCTTTTGTCCATGGGTCTAGTGCTTGTTTCTCAGCTTGGTTGGTTGGTTGCCTCGCCGCCGTCCATCGGAACAATGCCATGTAGCCTGCCGTGACTCGCGCGGGGGATTTTCAAGGGGAAACTGTAATTATGACGAGGCTATATTGCTCATGTCTTGCCCTTGTGCATATCTGTACGTACCGAGTGCTTTCGGGGTCCTGTCTCAAAATGCGGAGGCACTCCGCCAGAAACCGGTGCAAGACCGGTGTAGGGGTGGTGGCATGTGGTTGCGTGAGCAGACGTCTGTGTGCAGCAGCAGGAGATAGATGTCATTGGGCAGCTAACGACGCTATATGGTGTGTTTGACTGCTCAACCCGTTTTTGCATGAGAAAACAGGGCAAGACATTTAGTTGACGGGCCGGTCGACTAGCGGGATGGGGGCTGTTTTGTCTGGCAGCACGCATAAGAAAAGTGACGATGACGACGGGAATCAAAGTGGCTGTGTGTGTGGCAACGACAGCAGCAGCAGCAAGACCACCAGTAGAACTAGCATCAGTAACAGGAGGCAAGCAAACAGTGGGAAGCCAAGACTGCATGGCGCAGTATGGTGCTTGCAGCGTACCAAGTACTTGGTATTTTGGTTGCTGTCACGGGCCGTAGCGGCAGGCGGCAGATGGCCGTTATTGGTTGCATGAGCAGGATGACATCTTACGATGCCGGACAGTGCGGACGATACGCGTCAAGCGAGATTCGTGATGTGAGTCTTTGATTTGGCATTTTCGTTGCCGTATCCTTTGTAGTGGAGGGGGCGCAATGCGAAGCGGGCGCGAGAGGGTGGTGTCGCTTAGAGGGAGAGGCCTATAGGATTTGCGCATGCTAGCCACTTCCAGCACCAAGTTAGGTAGTTGAATGACTGGTGGTGCATTATTATACATACATTACATTACAGCGAGTGAGGCAGCTGAACCACGACTAGCGGGAGTTGGAGCTAGCTTGCTGTGGCTGACAGACAGCTTCGGACTTGTAGCGTGGGCCGTTTTGGCTCGGCTGTCCTTGAATTGGCTAGTACGGCAGTAAAAGGGCAAGGCGACAAACGCCTCGGGGCTGATTTTGTGAGGCGTTTGTCGTCGACGGCTATAGCTTGCATTGTGTGGCAAGTTTGTCGAGTTTAGTACGCCGGGTATTGTTTGTTGGGGCCCGGGATGGACGCCATCCGCGGTTGATGCCGTCTATTCTGGCGGAGGTTAGCTACGGTGTGGCTTATTTTGGTCGTTGTCTAGACTGCCGGCGTAGAAATTTCCAAAGAACAAGGAACAAAAGGCATGCAGCAGACCAAGCAGGGTCACGATAGTCTGGGGGAATGAGTGGTGGAGGGGGAGAGCCAGCAGCAGCAGCAGCAGCCAGGTCTTGGCAAGTGGGTTGGTTGGTTGATTAGTTAGTTGCAGCACAGTGCAGTGACAGTTGCAGGTAAAGGGCCAAAGAGACTGCACTGTTGATGCGCCAAGCATTCAAAGAAGCAGTCAGATAGAGAAACAGACAGACGAATGTCAAACGTACAGAAGCAAAAGGACAAAAAGAACCAAAGCGACAGGCATCTTTTGCCGGTGGGTGTATATTTGTTTGTTAGTGGATGCAACGGCGGGCGGGTAGAAGGGATCGTCCTGCGCCCAGCAAAACCGGTGTAGTTTAGTGCATGACGGCACCCGTACAAGTGCTGTAAATGGTACTTTTTTCCAGCGGCCTTCGCAGGTGCTGGCTGCTTTGCTACAGGGGCATCAGCATGGTGGTGGGTGGGTTGGACGGCCCGCGTATCTTTTGGGGCCCGGGCCGGCGGGCGGGGAGGGAAGAGAGCACGAAGCTAAACTAAAAAAAGGTGCAGCCCAAAAAAAAAGAAACTATCTACAGTACACCTGCCTACTCAAGCTAACAAAGCACTGGAAGCTGTTGCTGGCGGGTGGCTTTTGAGTGCAGTAGCGGCCTGCAGCCAGAGTGCAGCGCAGAGCGTGCCAAGTCGATACACTACAGTACGTACAGTAGACAACTATTATAGCACCCATCACAGCACCCCAGGTCTTATAGCCGCAACATAAAATTAAAAAAAAACAGGACACAAGAGCCGATAAGACAAGGCGAGACAAGCGGTACAAGGTACACGAGACAAAATATGTTTGTCGTCTCTACTCTTTTTCCTCCATTTTCCACCCTCCATTCGCGCTGCATGTCTCGTTAGCAAGCATTTTCTTTATATTTGTCATTCTCTCTCGTCTGCTGTCACTGCATACTTACAGCGGCACCTGCAGCGACAGCACTAAGCGCTGTACTGTAAGTCGGCCACCCCACGCTGGCTGGCGCTGCGCTTAAAAGACTACCTGATCCTCCTCCACCCACACAATCCCGTCCCAACGCAAAGGATTCGACGCACTTGACTTGCCATTCTCCGCTTAAAAATATCTTTTCTTCTCTTTATTTTACCTATTTGAAGCACAAAATTCCCTTTCTATACTTATACTTTTCATCAAACCCCCCATCCTCCCAGTACTGGCTGGATTCGGATTCTCTGCTTGCAGTCCTCAACCCCATCCATTCGGCTATTGCAACCTTGTACCACTACCCAAAAACATACAACCATGACCACAACAAGCATGAACCCTCCTCCGAGGCCTCCTCTGCACCCCCGACGAAGGGTCATTGACGATGGCATTCCCTTTCGAGAGTCCATCATCACCAGCCGCGAACGAAACGGAAACAGGCCCGTCGAGCGGCCCCAAGTCCTCTACCAGCAGATGCCCTGGCGCATCACGAATTCCATGATGAAACGAACTCTCCGCCGCAACGAGTGGCCCAAGAACCCGCTGGACCGAGACGGCCCTCGCATCCCGCCGCCAGCAAACTACCCACGCCGCTGGAAGATTGACCGCACCGCACTACGATATCTCTGGGTGTACTCCGACTTCCCCATCCCCACACATCACAACACCTTTCAGGACACCGGGTCCTGCTACCATCTCGTCCAGCGCTTCCGCAACACCAAGCGCCTCGTCGACCTGCCCGCCGACAAGAAGGAAGTCATCAAGGCACAGCTCCGCGAGATCCACCGCGAGTACCGCACCTGGTCGACCTGCAGGCCCGGCCTGCCGCGAACCCCGTACATGGTCCCGCCCTCGCGTGTCACGGCGGGCGGGTGGAAGATTCATAGTGTCTGGAAGCCTCGCCGCGACTTGCCCCCTGGCGATTATTACTTTGCACACAACGATCTTACACAGAATAATGTCCTCGTGGACGAGACTGGCCAGTATATTGTTGCCATTACTGACTGGGACTGCTGTGGTTACTGGCCCGAGTGGTTTGAGAAGCCGCTCTGGGAGCTGGACGACCCAAAGGATGCGGAGAAGGGCGACCCCGAGGAGATTGAACGCTGCAGACAGTGGTTAATGGACAATTGTGAGGAGGTTGTCATGGAGCATATCCCAGAACCAGACTGGACGGCCGAATAACAGAAACGCACAATACAGATTGTACAGTGTCGATGAAGGGCGGGACGGTATTCTTTTGTTTTGTATCGAATCGTATTAGCGAGCGTATGGCATGGCAGCAGACTCTATTATGAGCTTCTTCTTTATTTTGTCTTGGGTATTTCAGATTTAAATTACATACCATAGCATCTATGCAGAACTTTTGCTAAGAACTCAAGGAGTCTATATAAACAGTGTATTACAAGCATTGACGTTATGCGCCGCTGCAAGCCACCAACATTGGCCCGCGTGGTGTATAGTACTACCGCTTTAGGCATGTCCACCACTGCGCTACGTTGTAACGGCGCAGCTGGGACAGGGGGGATCCTTAGCGGTTAAACCCACTAAAATCCGCCCAGTTCCGCCCCCAAACCCCACCATTTCAGCGCAGCCCTTAGCGTCCGCTGTGTATTTTGGTTAGTGGGTTTAACTAGTGGCTGTTCAGTGGTTGAGCGCCTGCTGTGCGGTGCTGGGCTGTGGCTGTGGCTGTTGCTCTCACTGCCACACTGCCACACTGCGCCCAGTTCGGCAAAACTGGGCCAAAACTTGGATCTGCGCAGCGCGACCTCCCCCAAAAAAATCACAGGCCGTGGCATCGTCACTGTCGTCATCATCATCATCTTGCATCGCCCTCCTGCATCGCCCATCGTACGGCGGACAGCCCACGCAGGCTTCCTCATCGCCGCGACTTGATTAAAAGCATAAAGGTCATCGCAGCACATACACGAAACTCCAGCTAATGCAGTCATGACGCGCAACGAAAGCCGCCAGCGCGCGGCCAATCGCTGGGTCCTGCGAATCATTCCCGCCTTTATCACAGCCATCTTTATCTTTGCGACATATATCGTCCTCTACCAAATATGCAGTGCGTCTCCAGCTATGCTTTTGCTATAGAATATCAGGGTTAAGCGCTAACCGCTAATCTGACAATGCAGTTCTATATATTCTCAATCACCAACACAATACAGGCATGGTCGCCGGCTTCCTTATCCTCTACTTTGTCTTCTTCTTCCTCATGGTTGCCGCCTACCTGCGCCTCTTTATTTCCATACAGCGCGACCCCGGCCTTGTACCGTTTATGAATCCTGCAGCGCATGCGGCCGACAGATCCAACGTCCCGGAGAAGCTACCTACCCCCGACTACAGTGTTCCGACTACCGGCCATTCCGAATCCGATCCCGACACGCCTCTTAACCGCAAGTCCCACGGCGTGTCTTGGGCACCTCCCGATACAAATCCCGACAGCCCTGGCCTCGAGCTTTTCTATTCGAAAGACGTCTTTGTGTGCGAGGTCGACGGCCGCCCCAAGTGGTGCTCCAGCTGTAAGCAGTGGAAGCCGGATCGCTCGCATCACTCGAGCGAGCTCGGACGCTGCGTGCGTAAGATGGACCATCTTTGCCCTTGGGTGGGTGGCATGGTAGCCGAAAGATGTAAGCATACTGTGCTCTGTTCGCGGTAGACAAAGTAACTAACGAGTTTTATAGCGTTCAACTTTTTTGCACAGTTCACCTTTTACTGCGCGCTCTACTGCGCCTCATGTCTAGGAATTGGCCTATATACACTTCTCCAGCAGCAGCAAGAAGAAGCCATCAATGGCTTTGTCATTGCCATTGTGGTCATTTCGGCGCTGTTTCTGTTGTTTTCTGGTGGCATGGCGCTGACATCGATACGCTATTGTCTAATCAACATTACCAACATTGACATGTTTCAGCGGTCCCGTACGTTTTACCTGGCGGTTAGAATACCGCTCGACACGCCGCCATCGCCAGCTTACAGGACCATTACTTACCCGCTGTCGCATGGGCACCAGCAACAGCCAATGGCGGTGCCAACCGCTGAGCAGCAGCAGCAGCATCATCACCAAGCTGACGCAGACGTGGAACGGGACGTGCCGCTGCATGTTGCAGAGCGGGATAGGCTAGCGCGGAGGAAATTTGCCGTGGTGCAGACACAGAGCAGGGAGAATCCATGGGACCTGGGCTTCCGAGGCAACTGGCGGAGCGTCATGGGCAACAACGTCCTGGAATGGCTGCTGCCCATTCGCCACTCGCCCTGCTGCGATCACGAGCGCAGCGATAGCGACTATCAGATCGGCCCGTTGGTCGACACCCTAAGGCAGCGTTATGGCGTGCCTCCTCTGGCTAGAGAGCACGGTCGCGGCACAGCGGGTGGTGGTGGTGGTGCCCTAGGCCAGCATGGTGGCGGCATCGAGCTGCAGGGCGGCCCGGCACTTGATGAGTTCTGATAGAGACCCCCAGCGTTGTTTCCTCATCCCCCTCCACTTCATCTGGCAGCGGAAACACCACTACCAGCAATAAGAACGACGTGCATAATGTGCCCGGAGCGGGCGGACCAATGGGCGGGCGCTTGATGGTCCTTTTTGGGGGTCGTTGGCTTCTTCTTCTCCGTCTGCAAGCAAAGTCCAAGAGGAAGCGCCATCTCAAACTGTTTTTTCTGTTACACATTTTGATTCCCCCGCCATTTTACGACACAAAAGATGTATTTATCTGCATTTCAATATAGACACAGGTGATGAATCACCTTGAATAGACTCTTTTAATAATCATATTTGCTCGCTCTCTTCTCGTTTACTCTGCGCGGTCCGCGTATTCACCCGTCTTACGATCATCCCAAAGCTGTAACCTGTTAGTGAGCCAGGTAACTTAAACCTTGTAAATCAACTCGCACATTGCCGAATCGATATACCCCTTGAAACTCGATCCAAATGGGTCGCTGATGCGTTGTACTCGATCGTGACCGAGGAACACGAACGTATCAGACAGAAAAAGCAAGCAACGATACGCCAATGCAGCTGGTGGTCACTGTAGACAGAGAGCTTAACAACGCAAATAGAGCGTTGATTGTGCGGCTTGCAGTAGCGCCTTGGGGAGGAAGTGGCTTTCCCCCCGATGCGCTGCAGCCGCTATTAGCTGTTGGTACTTATGCCGGTGTTTGCAGCCGGAGGAGTTTTAGTCCAAACGGTCCCTCCTTGCGCCGCAGCCAGCCCGCACTAGTGTTTCCCCAGAACGTATATGCGGGACATGTCAGTCAAAAAGAGCTATCGAGTGAATTACGGGACCGGGCAATCAAAGTCCGCTCGTTTGCTGGTCGGCGATGTCTCTTGTGTGGCTGCACGCCTTGCGCATGTACAGGGATATTAGGAGGGGGGTTGCGCAAAAAAAAAAAAAGGGCGTTGGTTCTCTTTTTTTCCTTTGTTGGCTCGCAGCCCGGGAGGAAACATCAGTTGATCACCAAGCAAGCAGAGCAGAGGGGGTTCTGTTGTGGCGTTGAGTATCTTTCTTCACTCACCCCGTCATCGTAACCGTAGAGCAAAAGCATAGCATCTTTTTTTCGTTTTCGCCAACCGCGGAAAACCATTTATACCACAAGCCAAGGCGGCCGCGACAATGGCTCTGCTTCCGCAGACGAGAAAACACTTACGATGCACGGCACCTCCAAGCTTCGCCAGCGCTTCAGCCAGCTTGTCGAGCAGCTCCAGGCGGACATCTACATGGCGCAGGACCGGGCGGATAGCTTGCGCCAGCAGCTCCAGGACCACGAGGACGATGCTGACCTGGCGCTGAGGGATGCTGGTGCGTGGGAGGCGCGCAGGGACGAGTTGCAGGGGGACCTGGCGTGGTGGGAGGCGCGTGTTTGTGTGTTGAAGGATGAATTGGCGGTTGCGTGCGATGAGTTGCGCGGGTTGCAGGAGGTGGATGACGGGTTTTGAAAGAAGAGGGGGGGATTAAGAGTTGGAGTCGATTGGATTGGATTACATCTGCCTGATGGGGATGGCTTTGAGGGGGAAAGAAACACAGGGTGAATATTGGGATATGGGGGATATTGGGTTGGGGGATGGGGACATGGAGTTTACTGGTTGTTATCTGAACAGACGGCGGAGGGAGTTGGGGATACAGCGTATTTTTGATTACATCTTGGGATTTTATTCTTCTTTCTTCTTATGTATCTTTTCAACTGTTTTGCGTTTTTCGTACAATTGTTAATCATCACATAGCAAATATTGGGCGTTATATTTTCTGCCTACTGATTTACACCCGCCACCACCACTCTACGCGCTCTCGTTTTGGTGGGGTAGTTTTCTCCAACGTGCAACTTCACGCTTCACATCCGCGTTTTCCTGCGACAACAACATCGATCTCACCAGAGGACAACATTCTGTGTCAATATTACAGAGACATGCGGCGACAACTACTACACGAGACGAGATAACACAAATAACAAAAACAGCCTGGATGTGCCGATAACGACAACCACCAGCTACGCCTGCTTGCAGCCTGCTCACGATGCAGTCGCCTCCGTCCGCATCCAATGACGACGCCCGCAGAGCAAGCCGCTCAAGGTTCACCTACCGGCAGCTCTCGCAGCTTGCTTCCTACAACACATCCAATCCGCTGCGGGTCGTTGCGCACATCGACCTCGATGCCTTCTACGCGCAATGCGAGATGATACGCCTGGGCGTGCCGGAAGACAAGCCGCTCGCTGTCTTGCAATGGTAATACATTCACTCCAGCTACATGTCTGTCTCAATTGCTGCTGCAGACAAACAATCACACTGCGTACACACGACAACGCTAACAACCTGTTTACGCTTACTCTAGGGCTGGCCTCATTGCCGTCAACTATCCCGCCAGGAACAGCGGCATTGGCCGTCACTGCAACATCACGGAAGCAAAGAAGCTGTGCCCGGACCTAATTGCGCAGCATGTCGCCACATGGAGAGAAGGAGACGACAAGTGGGCTTACCGAAGCGACGCGGCAGAGAACATCGCCACCGACAAGGTCTCGCTCGACCCATACCGCATCGAGTCACGCAAGATCTTGACGCTTATTCGAGACTCTCTACCCTCCAATCTTCAGAAAGTGGAAAAGGCTAGCGTCGACGAAGTGTTTCTGGACCTTTCGGCTCATGTTCATTCTATAATGCTGCAACGCTTCCCTGAACTTTCTGCGCCGGCGCCCTACGATGATCCCACCGAAAACCTACCTCTCCCGTCGATTGTAGCGCTGGATTGGAAGGCAGATGCGCTTGTGGACTTGAGCGAAGACCAGGAAGCCCTGGATCCAGACTGGGATGACGTTGTCATGCTGCTCGGTTCCGAGATTGTTCGGGATGTGCGAGCAGCTGTGAGAAGCAAGTTGGGTTACAAATGCTCTGCTGGCATTGCTCGAAACAAGCTGCTCAGCAAGCTCGGCTCCGGCTTCAAGAAGCCCAATTGCCAGACCGTCATCCGAAACCGGGCCGTGAACCTCTTTCTACGAGACTTCAAGTTTACCAAGATTCGTAACTTGGGTGGCAAGCTGGGTGATCAAGTCGTCGAGGCATTCAGCACCGATAGTGTCAAGGAAATGCTCGATGTGCCTCTGGATGGACTCCAAAAGAAGCTGGGCGAAGAGACGGCTGTTTGGCTTCACAACACCATCCGAGGCATTGACTACAGCGAAGTAAATCCCAGGACGCAAATCAAGTCCATGCTCTCCGCCAAGTCGTTTCGTCCGGCCATCCACAAACCTGAACAGGGCACCAAGTGGTTGCTTATTTTTGTTGGCGACATATACACGCGGCTGGTAGAAGAGGGTGTCTTGGAAAACAAGCGACGCCCGCGCACAATCCATCTGAGCGCCCGCCATGGTGGCCAGACTCGAAGCAAACAGATCCCTATACCACAAGGAAAACCCATAGACCAGGTCATGCTCATGGCACTGGCAAATGACCTCTTTGCACAGATCCTAGCCGAGGGACCCATTTGGCCATGCAATAACTTGAGTCTAAGCGTCGGTGGCTTCGAAGAAGGTGTCAAGAACAACATGGGAATCGGCGGTTTTCTCCTAAAAGGGGATGTGGCCATCTCTTCTCGGGCGGCAACTGCTCACCAAGAGTCCCGGTCAGCATCCCCTGAGCGTCCGACCAAGAAAACCAAGACCGAAAGTGGCAACATCCAGCGATTCTTTAGCAAACCTCCGGGAGGCGACCGCTCCGGCCCGCCTCTACGAGACAGCCTCCCGTTGCACAACATATCGGCGACATCAACAAGAGACTGCAGTCCCGCGCCACCAGTGAATGAGCCAGTTACTGATAAGCCCTTTGGTTGTCCTCGTTGCGGTGAGTCGTTTGATGAGCCTGAAAGCATGCAGAGCCACCAGGATTGGCACATGGCCAAAGACTTGCAGGACGAAGAGAGGCACCTCTCGCGGCCACCAGCTCCAGTCTCCTCATCTCGACAAGCGCCGAACAGACAACAAGCAGCAGCTGGCCATGTTAGTAAGAAAGCTGGTCGTGGGAGTTTGGCAGCCGGCAAACTAGAGCAAGGTCAACGAAGGCTTAATTTTGGCTGACTCACACGGATCAATAATTCCTCTATACTGCTGCCTGTCTCTGGCAAGTTGGATTCGTGTGAACAAGGTTGACCTGGCTCGGCGCCTGCAGGCCAGCGCATGCGTCTGCATCACGTTGAGGATTCATGGCCGGCAGCGGTCGCTGCATGATGTTTGTATGCAAGTAATCGGTTCCACGGTCTTTTCACTGCCCTGTGTCTAGCGCAGCACATGTCATTTGTTTGGCAGGTGGATGAAACAGCCGTCCGTAGTCCCTTTACGCTGAAACACAGTAGGGCTACATACAGTTATGGGGCAGCAGCACCAGCCGTCTGAAAAGATCCCCAGCTTGTCGTCGGTGTGTGGACTGCCGCTTAAGCACTCGCGTCTTACTATGACCTCTAGTAGGTCCTGCATCTTAGCGTTATAGTGTGCTTGGCTCTCCGAGCGACAAAAATGGGCGGCTGAAAATTGGAGCCCGGCAAAATACGCGTTGGTCCCTGATTGGGTGCAGCGCATTGATACCCAACGGGCACCGACTAAAGGAGCGGTCCGAATCGCCCGCCCTAGTGCTGGAGGTACTGTAACTTGGGTGGCAGGCTAGCAGCAACCAGTAGTAGAGCTTGGGTTGGGTTTCTGGGTCGCCCAACCGCGTCTGGGTTTTGGATGCCCTGTTTACCGCAGTGCGTGGCGACACTGATGCTCCATGGCCGTGCCGCGGACATGGGCAAACACTGCTGCTGGCCCATCGAATAATCAATATCCAGTGTAGCACAACAGCTAAGATCGGTGCCCAATCTGAAAACACTTTCCAGACCACTTTCGCATGCCGCATTTGGGCCCGACTACTTGGTCGAGTGTCAACTAGCCAGCCAAAAGAGACTGGGCATAGAATGTGCCATGTTTTCGCAAAAGCTGGCTTTTGGTTGGCAGTCGGCGCCCACAGGAAAGTCCACCCTGCGAAGCTTGCCGCCCTCGTTCATCTCTCTCGGCAATTGGATTTGCAGCGTTCTAGGTCCAGGGCTGTCCGAAGTGGGAGCTGTGCGAGAAAAGCGGTTATGCTCCCACCCTCCACTCCGTTGCCTTGGGAGCTTCGGTCTCCAGAAGAGAAAGCTGCAGGGCCCCTGTTTGCCGGCGAGCCCTACTTTTTTGGGTACTCGCCTCCAGTATATTAGTGGTTAAACCAACGCCACCAATCTGACGGCTAGAAACCCAACGAGACAAGAGACATCAGCCTTTTCCTGGTACCTGGTTGGCGGGCTGCGGCAGCAGCTACACAAATTTGACTGGATCGCGACAAACGCCAGGTACGGACAGCCCAAGCCAAGGTCATGAGAGCAGCATACTGTACACGAGTACGTTTACGCTGGAAGGCTGACCGTCATCATGCGTCCACCCAACGACGCAACCCGAATAATTGTGCTTTTTTGTTGTTTGCGTCAGTGGCCGCCGAGGTTGGTCGTTGTGAATAGGTGCACTGTTCGTAGATGAGGAGTAGCCTCGAGTTAGCCCACACACGTGTAATTACACAACATAATATCCATCTGTAACAAACTCTTCGCCTCTTTCGTAAGCCTGATCTCGCCAGGCCAAGCCCTGGGAACCACAGAACCTGGCATGGCATACAAATCGTACAGGGCCACCTGGTTAGGTTGGGGACAAAAAGCTCCGTACTGTACTGCGTCCCCTGCCTGCACATTGCCTCATAGACGGGGCTCCGCTTGCTACAGTACCCAGATGGCACTGGGCCCCAACGCGTGTCATGATACAGAGCAGGTCAGGCCTTGACAGGTGGGCTACTGTAGCAATGGCGTTGGGTGTCGGGCTTCAATCCATGGTGGCCTTGCCCCCCAAAAGCACCAAAGAAAAGGCGCCCCCGGTCCTCAGGCCACCCACCGGCCAGCACCTGGCACCAGCTGCACCCGCTGGCAACACACTGTAGTTCGTCCGCTTGTCCCCCCTCCCGCCTTGTGCGCCCCCCTGCCCCCTGACAAAGGGCTGCCTTCCATGTACCGTGGACCGACAATCTTCTTCTTCTTCTTCTTCCAAATTTGCATCCTTTTCCCTCATCCCGCGCATTCCCAGCATCCGACCTCCTCGACGCCTAATCTTCGCCACCTCTCCCCGGCGCTGACCCTCGAAACCTGTTTTACCTTCAACGAGCGCCGTCTAATAACTTGCGCACGCCTAGGGACCACGACCACTGCCTTTATCCTCAGAGCCATCTCCTCCTTATTCTCTCGCCTCTGACAAACAGTCATCTCGGCGCTTATTGCCCACAGCATCTTGTCCAGCATCTTTCTAAAGCAAGCATCCTCAACTCTTAGATCCGTCGCACTCACATATTTCGCCAACCATGTCAAGACAGCCTCGCAACTCGGGGCCCGTTACTCCTGCAGCTCCTGCTGCGCGCATGAACGAATACTTTGTCCCTCGTGATGGTATCGACAGAGAAGTCATTTCAGCTGATATTTGCCGCTACCTTGGTAACGATGCGCTCGTTCGCCCAGGTCACTACGAGGTACATATCAGTGGGCTTGCGATGTGGGTGGAAGGTAAATGCTAACTCCATTTCAGAACCCACAGACTGGCCAGAACGTTCAGGGCTATTACATCACAGCGTACCGCAATCTTACAACAGTAAGTAAAGCTAAAAGCGCTCAAGATAACCCATAATTTTGGAGGGTGTCTTCTAATCAACCTCATTTCTAGGCAATGATTGAAGACTTGAAAGCAGATTCTGCACGATGGGACAGCGAACGCCGATCACAGTCCACGCGCAACGCAAGCGCACCTGGAGGTATCCAAACCTCGAGAGATGGGCCTATTTATGTTGGGACACCGTCTTCTAACTCACATTTAGGGCAATATCGTTACTCGGAGACACATAACTCGCGCCAAAACCTTGGCCCGACCTCGGATACTCCGCAGCAGTTCCAGCAGGATGGCTATGACCGCGATCCCTCCTACGATGCCCCCAAGTACCCAGGAACCGGTGGAAATGGATATGCCGGTGCCTCGCCTTCTTACCCCCAGCGAGATGCGCACCCACAAGCTTCTGGCTACATGCCGCCCAGTGGCGGCAATTATGGGGGCTATAGCCAAAATCCAAACCAAAACCAAGGACCTCCGACCCAGGATATGAGATACGCCCAACATTCCGGACCCATGATGAACCAAGGATTTCAAGCCCAGGATACGGCTCCATACATTGCCACCGGAACCAATATGCCCGCCAGCAGGAATTTCCAGGGAGATAGCTACAATAACCAGCGCACATCTGTGTCTTCGGTGCACATTCCCCAGCCTACGTACGCTGCTCCTGTCCAAGGGCACCAGTCGTACAACTCTCCGGCTTCTCAGCACCACCCGCAAGCTCATCCAGTAGACGTAGGGTATGGACGAGGTAAGCATCTTCATACTCCTGTCTCGGCTGGCCTGTTTGCTTTCAGCGCCTAGCTTAACGTAATCTGACCAAATCCTAAGCTTCTCCCGCAGGCCCTCAACAGGGATATCCCCAAACCCCTCAGTACGATGACGCACCTGCTCCTCCTCCTTCGCGTAGCACAGCTTCACCTTCCCACAATACGCCATCCTCAGGCGCTGGAAATGACCGCCGGAATGAACGTGAACATGGGCGACTGTCCTCAGATAGGCATCAGCGGCCGCCGCCTCGACGCTGATGGACCAGAGGCAAAAAACAAAAGATATGTTGCACCGCGGCACGGTGAGATTCTCGCAACAAGTTATCTTTCGCAGTCATGGATCCATTGTGACCTTGTCCGTGTATACCACTCCTGGAAATTCTGTCTTTTTGCGTGGGATATCACGCCTTGGCTCTTTTCTTACATCCGCCGGATGTTGATCTACAACCTACTTTGGATACTCAACTCTTGACTGCCTGTCTGTCCGGTAGCTTCTTACCACCTCACTCTGGACCGCTACTGCTCTTTGTGGATAATTCCTTTTTTATTGTGTTTTTGTGTCTGGACCGATTACACATAATGCTTAACGAATACGTATACTCTAACATGGGTTGGCAACCCGCCAATACCACCTGGATCTCATCTATATTCCGACATTTTTGGTGCTACTTCTGAAAAATGGACCGCTTTTCCCTCTGGTTGTTTCTATCTTACCGCAAACCATACACTTGTTTGTTTTTTGTTTTCTTTTTTCTTGCACGGGTCACGATAAAAAGAAGTGACGGACATAATTCATGAGACTTTGGCGCATTTGTTTGGGGAGCATACTTTTTACGTGGAGGGGGACTACGGAAATTGTTGCTCATGACCTCACACACGTTCTGACCGCGGACCTTGGCCACCTGGTTGAATCAGATCAGATTTGGTGGGATATGTTTTCTTTTTTGGCACATACCCTACCTTTTCCTGTCTGGTTTGTCTCGTTTTTACATGATGGCAGCATTGGCCAATGTCGGCGGGCCGTGGCGGCAGCTTGTGTACATCTCGTCAATTATATCATCAAGCTCCTCCTTAGATTTGTCTTGCTTTTCTTGTCATACTTGCGCTGGCTTCACCTTGATGGTGAATAATAGAATTTTTTGCGTCCCAATTTGCCAAGATGTAATAGTTCCAACGCTTATTCCGATATAATGGAGATTAGAGTTTGGTAGCGGCAGCGCTAGAAATGGCGTTAGATCGTAGCCGCTGCGGCAAGAAAGAGCGGTGACGACGTTTGCTAATGCAGTACGTAGATGGCCAGAGCAATAGTACTAATGGTTCATAGCTCTCCAATCATGTTGAGACCTTTTCATTGCTATCAACTGCCTGAGCCCTAGCATCTATAAGTGCATTGGGATGAGGGGGAACAATAGTTTTTCCACGCACATCTGATGATGACTAACCAAGATTTCCACGTTTTTCGGCATTCTGGTGGTGGTGGGGCTTGTGGTGGTACCTGAGCCAGAGCCAAGCTGGCGCCACCGTGTGCGTTGGGCAAGGCGCTTGGATGAAGAGTGTGTATGAGTTGCTTTGATAGCGGGTTGGGACTTCTACTCTGCTCTGCTATTTACTCGTAATAGGTTGGTTTTGTTGAGTTTATTCTTGCCTTAGGGGCATGCTCAACAGCTTTGTTAAGTCGCAATGGTAAAAATGAATAAAACCAGGCTGTGGCAGCTTTCTCGCTTAGAGCCACAGGGTCCTTGCACAGTAGCAAAGTATCGAGAACCGTGAATGTAGCAGATAACAGATACGGCTGTACTGCTTTTGCTGTATGTAGAAGCGAATCTCTGCATTTATTTTATTCCTCTATGATCGGATTGTCATACTCGCTATTTCAGCAGCGCTGTGACATACCCCTTACTCAACCCTCGAAGCGTACCCGGCACTCGCACCACCACACCCAAGGCACATGTACCCCCAGGCACTGTAAATTGTCGCTGGCGCCCGCTGCGGAGTGCTGCCGCTCATCGCTGGCGCTAACTACGCGGCCCATCAAACCCACAGGGTGCAAGTGGCGGGGAGGGGAGGGGGGGGCAAAAAAGCGGCTGGCTTTTTTGACGATTTATGGCAGGACGGGCAAATCGATGAAAATGTTTTTGAAAATAGGGCGTTGCTCTTTGAATGGATTTCTATTCAATAGTATTTTTTCACCCATATATCAGCTCTTCCTCTTATACACTGAGCTTCACTATGACCATGAAAAAACCAAATAAGACTTTTTGCCCCGCCATTGTCACCACCAAACAGGCCCCCCAATCCACCACTGCTGCGCTGCAGTGGCCTCTCTGCTAACTGTGGCTGCTATTTTGTGCCCTCCTCCTCTCCGTTTTCCTTTCCCTTTTCCTTCGTCGCCCGCCTCTCTTCTTCCCTCTCCCACCTCTTTCTCCCCCCCACCGCCTTTGAACAATTCCAACTGCAACCATGGATTCCACCGCCGTCAGGGCCTTGCTGGCGTCTAGCTTGGTTCCGGACGCCGATACTCGACGACGAGCCGAAATTCAGCTTAAGCAGGTATGCGTTTGCAATTTTCCCGCTTGTTTGTGGCCCGGTTGCTGCTGCTTGCTGGGTGCTTTGGTGCTGCTGCCGCCGCCCGCCCCTCCAAAAAAGCAGTGGTTGTGGTGCAAATGCTTGACAAACAAAAACCCTGCGCGACGGGGAAAACAGCTGCACCAGCGCCTTTGTCACGCCAATCTTGTACGGCCTATTGACTAATTCTTGTTTTATTCTTGCAGATTGAGGAGCAGCCTGGATTTTTGGTTTGCCTGCTCGACATCTTGGAGACCGATGTCGATGCCAGCGTCCGCCTAGCCAGTACGTACTGTTCTTTTTTTTCCATACCCCTCCATCGACCAGGCCGGTGCATAGAGCAACAAACAGTAGCGATAAACTACCGAAGACGATCAGCAAAATCGAGGAGATGGAATGGCCGTGACAATAGCCGCTAACTGACATCTCTCTTTTTCTCTCTAGCCGTCATCTACCTCAAGAACAGAGTCAACCGATCATGGTACAACGCCGAACCCACCCCCGGCGAGAAGCTGGTAACGGACGACGAAAAGAACCAGATCAGAGACCGTCTCGTCCCCATCCTCGCTTCGTCTCAGGGTCTTGTCCGTCCTCAAATTATCCCCGTCATTCAGCGTATTCTGCAAGTCGATTTCCCCGCCAGATGGCCCCGATTCATGGACTTCACCACCGAGCTCCTCCACACAAACGACGCCGCCTCCGTCCTTGCTGGTCTGCAGTGCCTGCTCGCCATTTGCCGCGCCTTTCGATACAAGGGTGCTGACAATTCCGATCGTCAGCAGTTTGATGAGATTGTCAAGGGCATCTTCCCTCGTCTTCTCGCCATCTGCAACGAACTCATTGCTCAGGAGAGTGATGAGGCGGGTGAAATGCTTCACCTCGCCCTCAAGGCCTACAGACACGCCACTTGGCTCGAGCTCTCCCCGTGCCTCCGCGAAAACGATACCAACATTGCCTGGTGCACCGTCTTCCTCCACACCGTCTCCAAGGTCATCCCCGCAAGTGCCATGCAGGATGAGCCTGAGGAGCGCCAGAAGCACCACTGGTGGAAGTCCAAGAAGTGGGCTTACTTTAACCTCAACCGTCTCTTCATCCGGTAAGTCACATGTTATTAGTGCTTCTTTTGTTCGACTGGCATAAGATATGACCTGCTAACGCTTTTTGAAAACTTAGCTACGGTAACCCTGCTTCGCCTGGCAAGGGTGACGACGCTGTTCAGTATGCCAAAAACTTCACTGCCAACATCGCCCCCGAGATCCTCAAGCACTACCTCGCCGAAATCGAAAAATGGGTTGCCAAGACGTCGTGGCTCAGCAAGCCCTGCTTGTCCTACACTCTTGTCTTCTTGGACGAGTCCGTTCGTCCCAAGGAGATGTGGACTCACCTTAAGCCGCACCTACAGACCCTTGTGACCCATTTCGTCTTCCCAGTCCTCTGCCTCGGCGAGGAGGATATCGAGCGATTTGAAGACGAGCCCGAGGAGTACCTCCACCGCAAGCTCACCTACTACGAAGAAGCCTCTGCTCCCGATGTCGCTGCCACCAACTTCCTTGTCAACCTGACCAAGAACCGCCGTACCGAGACTTTTGAGATTCTCAAGTTTGTCAACGCTATTGTCAACGAATACGAGGAGGCTCCCAACGATAAGAAGAACCACATTGCCAAGGAGGGTGCCTTGCGCATGATTGCTACACTTGCTCCCGTCATTCTTGGCAAGAAGAGCCCTATTGCCGATCAGATCGAATACTTCTTGGTCCGATATGTCTTCCCCGACTTTACCAGCCCTCTCGGATACCTGCGAGCACGTGCCTGCGATACTATTGAAAAGTTTGAGTTGCTCGACTTCCAGGACCAGAACAACCTGCTCACCATTTACAACCGCATCCTCGACTGCATGGCCGATACTGCCCTGCCTGTTCGTGTCACTGCAGCCCTAGCCCTGCAACCCCTCATCCGCCACGAGGTGATCCGCGTCTCCATGAAGCAGAGCATCCCCACTATCATGCAGCAGCTTCTCAAGCTCGCCAACGAGTGCGATATTGACGCTCTCGCCAACGTCATGGAAGACTTTGTCGAGGTTTTCGCCACTGAGCTAACACCATTTGCCGTGGCCCTTTGCGAGCAGCTCCGCGACACCTACCTACGTATCGTCCGTGAAATGATCGAGAAGGAGGCCAAGGCTGGCGACGACGGTGACTACTATGCCGAGTACGATGACAAGAGCATCACCGCTCTCGGTGTTTTGCAAACCATTGGCACCTTGGTGCTGACTCTTGAGAGCACACCCGATGTGTTATTGCACATTGAGGCGGTCCTCATGCCCGTTATCAGAATCACGCTCGAGAACAAGCTCTACGATCTTTACAACGAAGCCTTTGAGATTATCGACAGCTGTACCTTCACCGCCAAGGGCATCTCCCCCAACATGTGGCAGGCATTTGAGCTTATCCACACTACCTTCAAGTCTGGCGCCGAGCTGTATCTCGAGGATATGCTTCCTGCTCTCGACAACTTTGTTCAGTACGGTGCCACACAGCTGCTGCAGAAGCCCGAATACGTCCAAGCTCTCTACTCCATGGTCTCGGATATGTTCCAGGATCCTCGCCAGGGTGGCCACGAGCGCATTTGCGCTGTCAAGCTTGCTGAGGTTATGATGCTGAGCCTGCGCGGTAGCATTGACAACTGCGTCGAAGGTTTCATCGTCATGGCCATGTCGCTGCTGGCAGCGTCCGAGGTTAAGCCCAAGAGCTACAAGCTGCACCTTTTGGAGATGGTTATCAACGCCGTCTACTACAACCCTCTCCTCACACTCCAAATTCTTGAGAGCAAGGGCTGGACCAACCGATTCTTCAGCCTGTGGTTTGGAAACATGACTGCGTTTAGCCGAGTTCACGACAAGACGCTTTGCATCGCCGCCATCTCATCGCTGCTCAGCATCAACCCCGACCAAGTCCCCCAGAGCATCTCTGTCGGCTGGCCCCGTCTTCTCCAGGGCATCACGGAGCTCTTCCGAACCTTGCCATACGCCATGAAGAACCGCGAAGACGCTCTCCGTGATGACTTCACTCTCAACGCTTCGTACGACTACGATGACGAAGAGGAGTGGGATGATGACGAGACCAAGTGGGAGGGTGAGACTGAGGAGGCTCCCGTCGAGGAGGAGAGCACTGATGCCAAGGATGGCAGCGCGGCCTACATTGAGTTCTTGAACGATGAGGCCTCCAAGTTCAGCCGCGCCTACGATGATGATGATGATGATGATGAGCTCACAGAAGAGAGCGTCTTGATGGAGTCACCCTTGGATAAATTAGAGCCATATGGCATTTTCAAGATTACCCTCTTGAGTAAGTACACGTTGTAGTATACTCCCTAAAACGAAACGAGAGACTAATATATGCCACAGAGATGCAACACGAGCAACCTACATTCTACGCCAACCTTGCCCAGCACCTGTCTGCTGAAGAGCAGAGCATCCTGCAAAACATCGTTGTCAGAGCCGACGAGATTGCTGCCCAGCTGGCTTCGAGCGCTGCTGCCAATGCAAGCGTGAATTAGACCATGCGACACGAAAACCGAAAGGAGTACTTGGATTGGAGTCAAACAACTGGCCACCTGTGGGATTTTAGACAGGTTTGAGCAGGTTTTGCGTTTTTATTTTATATTTTAGCTTGGTTGGAGGAATAATTTTGGCAGGTTTGCCATGTGTGGTTCCTTGCTACATACAATAGGCGGCTGCCAGTGGTTCTGCCCGCACCGTGTAGAATCGCAATACCATGTAGGAAGCAAAAACCGATTGGGAAGAGGAAGCCGTGGGATTTGAGGCTTTCCTGAATAGAAAAAGCTACAGCGGGCGACGAACTGTGATGATGCTGCAGAGGAGGAAATATAGGTAGCGCGTTGCATTGACATATACCATCACTAAACAAAAGGACACTTTTTGACATCAATTGACCATGAATAGATAGACAAGCGCTAAGCAAGTGACTATTGTTGACTAGACGTCTATTGTACGTGGTACGAGTCAGTAGTATAGCGTCAAGCTAAGTGGTGAACTAGTAGTAAGTGACGTAGTGCGGTGGGAGCAGCCTGATTTTCCCTCCGTCCAACAACAACAACACTCCTTAACTATAACATTGGTTCTTCAGCGACAATGACAAGCATATCCAGGAACACGGATATCGACAAATCCCCCAGTAATACCTCGCCTCTCCCAGAAGAACACAAAGACACGTCGGTGGTGGCGCCAACATCATCCGCCGACAAGCTCGGTCCGCCCAACCAGCCCGTTCCCCGGGTACGGCCACGAACAGTTATAGACGAATACAATGATAAGGTACGGGCTTACAGAGAAATTGATCTCCCCGATGAATGGGCGCCAGTAGACATCGTGCGCGCATATGTCATGGCTGTGCTGCACATGTTTTATGCGGTACCGCGAGACGAAGCGGACGCGGTTGCTGAGAGATGGGAAGGGAAACGTGGTACGCATTTCCGCGCTCTCAAGTCCGAAGAAGAATTTGCATGAATATTTGGAGACAAGTATGGGTCCTGGCTATGGGATCATCATGAGGTGCGCAGGATCAGACAAGAACGTAATGCGGCTAGCGAAATGATCTTTTTCAAAGGTGTCGGCATTATAGCTATTGTATGTTTTGCAATCTTCTGCTATTTTCAATACAACTGAAACAAATGAAATCACGTATTATATCCCTTTGACCCTTATATAAGAGAATCTTCGAGTTGTTGTAGATTACTTTACTTCTACTATCGGTATAGGTCAGCTGAGTATCAGATTCTCCGCCCGCAGAACCAACTATATTCTAGATTATTCTTTGATGTACTATTCTTTGATGTACTATTTCGGCGGTAGCTGTATTTATCGTTTATATGTACCTCTACGTCATGCTTATATACGCGCGCGAGCCTGTGACAGCATCTTCCAGTCCTTAGCTGTAAAGGGAACATACGAAGATCCTGAAGCAGGCAGCCAAAAGACTTTATCCTCCTTGCCACCCTTCACTTTGGTGCCCATGGCCTTTGGATCGACACCCTCTTCGCGCAGCGGGACCTTGCTGTTCTTATGGTTGTCGGTGCTCATGCCACCCACGGCCCCGCGGACACGAATAAACACGGGCACAGCATAGTGCGGCAGCTCCGCGCGCAGCCGTGTCACAAGCCCAGCCCAGCTGAAGCGATCAATAGCCGACGGGTCCTTAAAGGAGATGGCGGCACACCCAGCACGGCCGTCGTGCGCGGGCAGCTTGACGCCGTAGACGTTTGCCTCTGCAATCTCGGGCACGGCGCCAATGATCTGTGTAACCTCCGAGGTGGATACGTTCTCGCCTTTCCAGCGGTACGTGTCGCCCAGACGGTCCATGAAATACCAGAGGCCTTCGGAGGTGCGGCGCAGAGCATCGCCTGTGCGGTAGTAGAGGTCACCCTTAACAAAGACGTCGACCATGAACTTCTTGTCGGTGGCTTCTTTTGTTACGTAGCCGTGCCAGTCGCCCTTGGACTCGAGCTTGCAGATGATCTCGCCGCCTTGCTCATACGGTACGCGCCGCGCGAAGCCAGTCTTGGGGTCTCGCCAGACGTCGCCGGTCTCGGGGTCGATGAAGACGGGGATGAAGATGTTGTGGTAGTGGCGGCGGAGGAGGACGCCGTGGTGGCCGACGGCGCCGTGGTTGAAGCCGCCGCGGGAGAAGTTGGATAGGCCGAAAACGCCTTCGGTACTACCGAAGAATTCGCCGATTTCTTGAACGCCAAAGCGTTCCTGTTGAAGTGGTTAGCTTGGGGAGGAGTTGGAGACGGTGTGTATTATATGGACGTACCTTGAATGGCGTCCAGAGTTCGGGACTTAAACCGTTGCCCCAGACCATGCGCACTTTGTGCTGACGATCTGTTTCGGCTGGTGGTGCGGAAAGGAGATAGCGGATGAGTTCACCAACTGAGAGTCTGATTAGTGGTGTGATTGAGTTGAGGGGATTATACGTTCTTACCGTAGATGAAGATGGTGGCTTGGCTGTCGATGCAATCTTTCCAAAAGTTGGATAGGGAGAATTTAGGCGCAAGGGCAACGGAAAGACCATATGTCAGATCGCCGGTTGCGCCAAAGCCGCCTGTTCCGTGGTATAGGGGAACGCAAACGTATGATCTGTCGCCATTAGGGCCGTGTTTCTGCTGGAATGCTCTAGTAGGGACGCTCGATAGGAGATATTGTCTCGTCATGGGGATACGGGCACCCTTGGGTAGGCCGGTTGTTCCACTGAGAAAGTCGTTAGCTTGATTTGTTCGTAATAGGTGAGGGGTAAGGGTCGCGGACGTACCTGGTGTATAATACACACATGGGCAGCGTGGCGCAGTTTTCGAATGCATTAGTGTGTGGTCTGGCAGTAGGGTAGGATGAAATGGACTTGTGGAATGCGTCGTCGAGGGCAATTGGCTGGATGCCCAGTTGCTGGAGCTGCTTCTCGGCGGCATGGATTCGCTCGACACAGTCGGGGGCGTTGTCGTAGAGAACAAACTTGGTCTTTGCAATGCCTAAGCAGTGTGCTAGGGCGTCGGACGCGAGGTTGTAGTTGATCAGTGCCGGGGCGGCACCAATGGTAAAGAGACCGAACCAAGCAAAGAGAAACTCGGGTCTGTTGTACATGTAGAGGGCCACCATGTCGCCTGGCTGGACGCCGAGCTTCTGGAAGTAGTGGCCGTACTGGCAGACCTTGTGATATGTCTCGATCCAAGTGTAGATGCCTTGTCGTGACCAGATGCAGACTTCGTTGGGCTGTTTGAGAGCCGATTCTTCAAAGAGGAAGAAGAGTGACATTTTCTTGTCCTTGACTGTGGGGTGAGAGTAGGGTTAGTAGTGTACTATTGCGGAAGACAGACTCGGGGGAGAGCATCTGGTGGTTCTTACTGGCTTGGAGGGTTCTGGCCTCGGCAGTAGTCATGTTCTTTATGGCGTTGCGGTCCTTGGAGATGTGAAATTTGGCATCGAGATAGGCAGCGCTGGCGGCGGCACCAGCAGCAGCCAAGAGGCCCTGCGTTAGAGTGGCTGGTGGAGGGGAGAAAGGGCGTAATGTTAGTATAGAAAGAGAGTTGGATCGAGTGATGAGAGAGCACTTACCGGCCATTTGGGGAGCTTGTAGGAAACAATGAAAGGTGGTTGGAGAGAGAGGGATGCAATAGTCAGTTCTATCTTGAGCGTGGAGTTGGTGATCTAGACGAGTCTCATCTAAAGAGAGAGAACGAGCAAACAGCAATAAAGGATAATAAAGCCAGCGGAATTGGACAATAAGAAGAGGAAGTGGAGAAAGAAATGACGACGCGGGGGAAAAAAGCGACAGGTGAGCAGCAGCAGAGCAAAGGATTCCCGGAGTACGGGCCGTTGGCTAAAGGCCGATTGCCAACCTCGGCTGCTGTAGGCCGTAGCGAGTCGGTGCACTAAAAGGTGGCTTGTTCCGGGGGATCGGGGCTTTGTTCCCCCGCTAAAGAGAAAATCGTGGGGTGCAGAAAATTAGCGGGCGGGCGGGCAAGCAAGCCCAGGTTGGTTTTCCGTGGAGTTTCCGTAGCAGCCACTGATGGCGAATAGTAGTAGAATTAATTTTATATATATTCTTTGTTTAGCTAGGGCTATAGTAGTCTGCTAGCAGCGTTGCAAGTCTTGCTTCACATGTCAGTTGAATTACAAGCAATGGCACCACCAGTACCCAGCAGCTCTTTGCTCTTGTCCGTCCACTGAAGACGGCATGCTTTACAGTGGAGTAAACAGCGGTGCCCCACGTTCTTACAAGCAAAAGCGGTCAGCCAAGCCAGCCAGCCAGCCAGTGGCCAGTGGGCGATTTTGTTTTAGCGTGCTGGGTTGGGTGTGGTTCGGTTGATTGGTTGATTGGTGCAGCCTGCTGTTTATTGGTTAATTAGCACTAGTTAATAACTGTACTGTAATGCTGTACACTGGCAATTCCTCACGCGGGGTAAAGCACAGCGAGGCAAGGCTCTGTCTGTCTGTCGCTTCTTCTCGCTTTCGCTCCTCCACCCGCCCTCTTTGGTTGTTTTCTGCCCGCTGCAACTCTGCTTTACCACCAGCAGAGCTTGGTGAACCTTACCCATTGGTTGCATACGTATTTATTTTCATGGCGTATACAACACTTACTCTCACATCATGCATCCATCATTAACCACCACCCTCCTCGCCCTCCTCCTCACTCCTACCATCACCACCGCCACCACCACTTCTGACGCTGCCAGCACAACGCCCCAATTCCACAACTCCGCACGCCACACAGCGGCTGACCCTCACGTTATCTACGATGCCAATTCAGGGAAATACTACGCCTATTCGACAGACGGTGCCGACAAGAATCATCTCTTTGCCATCTACACCAGTCCAGATCTCTCTACGTGGTCCAAACACCCTGGTGGTGTCCTCAACGCCTGCTACGATGATGCCATGAACAAGCTCCCCAATGGCCAGGCCTGCTGGGCCCGCGACTGGCAATGGGCACCTGAGACATACTACAACGACAAGACGGGCTGGTACTTCTTCTTCTTTGCTGGGAGACTGCGTCAAGACATGACAAAGGACTACTTTCGCTACTCGGCCTTTGAAGAGCCCTCCAAAATTGGCGTCGCCGTGTCTAGGTCTCCTACGGGACCCTTCCACGAGATTAAATCCAAGCCAATTGACTGGTTTCCCTTTGATCCTGCGTATCACGATGTCAATCTCATCATGGACGCCAAGCAGATGCTGCCGCCGCCATCCCTCGAAAACGGCCAAAAGGCGCCTAAAGGAACCTACATCCCCACCATTGACCCCAACGTCTTTTTTGACAACAACGGCCGCATTTATCTGTATGCCTCCCGAAACGCCTACCGCAATTGGAACTGGGACGCCAAGCTGGGCAAGTACATTGAAGAGTCCAACATTATTGCTGTCGAGTTGGACCGCGCCTGGTGGGACGATCCCCATGCGACAACCATGCCCCAGATTGTCGCTTCACAAATGGACATCAACGCCCAGAATGCCCCCAAACCGCCTTGCAATCCTGGTCGCTACAATGGCACAGGTGAAATCGGTCACCCGCTACGTAAAGATGGCTGGAAGACTATTATTTCGTACGGAGCCGACCCGCAGGCGTGGGAAAACTTTCACGTCAACGACTACCAAAAGTACAATGGCACCAAAAAGGACCGCCGGTGGTCTGAAGGAAGCACGCTCGTCACTCGCCCTGGCGCCAACGGCAAGCCTGCGTACTTTATCACCTATAGCGCCAACAACTTTGAGGCGTCCAACTATGGTGTTGGATTTGCCGAGTCGTCCTCGCCCCTTGGCCCGTTTCGCAAGTCGAGCCGCAACCCAATCATCTCCCAACAGCCAAACGCATCCATTCCCATCTTCTCAACGGGCCATGGAAGCATTGTTGCATCACCGCCCAAGGACCATGGTGTGTTTGTTGGCGCGCAGGACGTGACTCGCCAGACTCCCCCAGACGCCGAGCTCTTCTACGTCCACCATGGTAGGAACAGCACAGACAGCGGCAGATCCCTGTACACGACCCGAATTAAGCTCGACGCCACGGCTGGCGATGCAGCCATGTCTGCTGCTCTCACTTCAGATGACCAGCCTCTGCCAAAGTGGACATATCCCATTGAGGTGGAGGCTGTTTGCAACGAGGATGACACCACAGTGGCAGTTTACGCACGACAGGGCTCTGCATTTGACATTTCAGAGGCAACAAACAGGGTTGTGGGGCTTCCTGGCGATGTTCCAGTATCCGAACTAGAGCCTGCAGTCGACGGTGGCTTTATTGTCTCGTTTGGAAAGCATGTCGACGGCGTAGCCTACCAGCGTCTCAAGGTAGACGGGTCCTGGGACACGGTTGGCCAAGCCAAGATCTCCTGCTAGGCTTTTTATTAGTCTTCTTGTAAATGGTATTCCTGTTTTGGATATTTTCATGTATATGCATAAATTGAATATAATCCCATGGCCAGTATTTATCGGTCTTTTATAACCCCACGACACCTTTCGTTGCCGGCGATCCGGTGGGCGGCAATTATGCAGCCTCTGAAGTCTTTGCAAGTCCAGTCAAGGCATTCACCAGCTTTGGGGTGTGCACTACGTGGATCTTTGTGTGGAAAATCGAAGCCATTTCACACGCACGAGCCGTATAATTCGAGCGGCTCGCAGCTTAGTCATCGGGGGTCTCGTGTCTGTAGCCAAATGCAACGCTAACTGGTGCTAGGATGATCGGGGTGCTTCGTCATGCGTTTCTTAAGAATTGCGGTATAGCAGGGCCTAATGCATTACATCGTAGGCTTCCCTATAGCAATCAATCCTGCTAACGAGGCTGGTATCCGCAATATTTGACCATGGTTTTTGACGGCACCCCTTCCAACGGCTGCCAAGCCTGTCGAAAGCGCAAAATAAATACTTATTCATGTACATTCGAAGATTCCTAAACTTGACTATTTCTTACTTTATTATTTACTATAGCAGTTCAAAGAATCAATTTCACAAGCAACTCGTACAATTGGCTATTACCCTAACCCTGATCCTTTCGCTTACCGTTCTTTTTGACAGCGTCGCCCCCGCAGCGGGGCACCGCCCACCCACGGCCGCTGACCGGCGGGTGCCGATGGGCCAAAGCATCAGTGACTCCAAAATCCTCCCATCCCACCACCTTTCTGCCGTCCTCACCACCACGCAAACCCTTTTTGTAGCGGACGCCAGGCTGCATCACAGCGCTAAAGAGAGCCCTGAATTAATTAGCCGTCAGCTGCAGATATTACATCTTGAGCTTCTCCAGTGGCTTGTTTTAGTTTGCCGTAGCATCGCCTCCAAGAGCTCCGTGATAAGCAGCCCGCCAACAGCCAGCTAGCTAGCCCATCATGACTACGAGATACCGCGTCGAGTGTGCGTCCTGCGAATTCATTACCACTTCAATTCACATGAATCTCTCATTGCTAACAATAATCTCTCAGACGCCCTCAAGACTCACCGTCGTGACCAGTTTATTGGTGCAGTTACCCCGCCCCCCCCTCCACCTCTTGCTGGGCAATACAGATCAATGAACTAACCAACTTCAAATTCTGCAGAATGGGTCAAGGCTCTCCTCGCCGTTCCCTTTGTGCTCTACTCCCAACCTGCTGGTGTCGTGAGCGATGACGAGTCGCTCGAGCAAGCTGCCGCAGAGGCACACCGTCGCTACGCCGAAATCATGCGCGATGTCGAAAACATGATTGACGACCACAGTCCGTCCTTGTCCTCTTCTGTTGCACACCCTCAAACTAACCATCTTTGTCTTATAGTGGCTCGGCAAAGCTTACCCTCACCATTGCCCTCCAAGCTAGGCATGCTGGTCCCAACAGCAGGGCCGTTCTTCACACGCCTCCCGCTCGAAGCCGCCTTCAAATACCAAGACAGGAAGCGCCACATCTCGTCCCGCCGCTACGTCGCCCCATCCTTCAACGATGTCCGCCTGGTCCTCAATTCCGCTCAAATCATGGCTGTCAACAACGGCTCGCTCCAGCTGGCCACGTTTGATGGTGATGTCACCCTCTACGAAGACGGGCAGAATCTCGAACCCTCCAGCCCCATCATCCCCCGCATGCTCGGTACGTTAACTTTATTTTCTAGCCTCTTCTCAGCTAACGTAGTCTTCTCTCTATAGCCCTCATGAAGAACAATGTCAAGATTGGCATCGTCACCGCCGCCGGCTACACCACTGCCGACGGCTACTACGCTCGTCTGCACGGCCTTCTCGAAGCCATTGCAGCTTCACCCGACCTCGACCCAATCCAGAAGCAAAACATTGTCATTATGGGCGGCGAGGCCAACTATCTCTTTGAATACTCGCCCTCATCTCCCCACCGCCTGGCTCCGGTCCCCCGCGCCGACTGGCTGACGCCCGAAATGGCATCGTGGTCTGAGGCCGACATCAAGGCCCTTCTCGACGTCGCCGAGTCTGCCTTGCGCGACTGCATCCGCACCATGAACCTGCCCGCACGACTTATCCGCAAGGACCGCGCCGTCGGCATCATCCCCGACCCTCCTGACATGCGCATCGCCCGCGAGTCGCTCGAGGAGACGGTCCTCAATGTCCAGCGCATTCTCGAGCTCACCAGCCTCGGCAGCGCAACACAGGCGTCCAACACCGTATCTGCAACGCCCTCCACTCCTCGCAAAGGCGTGCCCTTCTGCGCCTTCAACGGTGGCCGAGATGTCTTTGTCGACATTGGTGACAAGAGCTGGGGTGTCGCTGTGTGCCAGGAGTGGTTTGGTCGCCGTGCGGCTGCTGCCACGGCCGATAGTGCGTCTGTTAGCGCTCCATCGCCTATCAAGGGCGAGCACACACTCCACGTGGGTGATCAGTTTCTCAGTGCAGGCTCCAACGACTTCAAGGCCAGAAGTGTCGGTACGACGGCGTGGATTGCAAGCCCTGCCGAGACGGTGGACTTGCTCGACGAGATTGCTGACTTCACAAAGAAGAAGCTTGCCTAAGGCTACATCCAGCTTGTTTTGGAGAAAGTTTGTCTCACTTTTGTCCTATTTGTGATGTCTTCTCTAGTTACATGTATAACAACTATAAAATACAATACCCTATTTCGCCATGACTAGCCGCTCTTGTCGCCACCACGTATCGTGACAGTATATATACTTCATTATTGCCGCTGAGATACCCGGAACGGATGGTAAAGTCTAACATTGACTTACTCAATACATCGTTGTACCGACGGGAATAAACTTTCCGCCTTTGCACGACATCGGATGTATCAGCGATACTTGCCGTCTTCCGTTCATGCCGACTGACGTCATCGGCGCAGCCTTGTCACGAGAACCACAACACCAACACGAGAGACAGAGTCAAGAGCGAAACGGAGGAATTTTTATCAAATGTGACGAGATGAAAATGTCGTCATTCTATTATCATAGCCGCTTACTTTGCGCCATAGCGCATAAGGCGTAAAAACGTGCGTGCTAAAATCTAAACCAGTCTCCATTTTATCAAAGCCGGGTATCGCCAAAAAGCACCAGAAAAGGGCATATGTGTGTATGTGCTTCTGTCAAAAGGAAATGAAAGGCATAGCCGTCTGTATCTTGTAGCTATCTTCCATGAAGTAAAAGTCCCTGTTAAAAAGAGGCGAAAAAACGCAGCCATCAAGCTTGCTCGTATTGCGTCGAAGCGATGTAGTAGTAGTAGCAGTAAACAACGATGAAGTCCGTTATGCAGTCCTTAGTAACCCCAGCTTCCCTCCCAGTCTCAGTGTCCAGGTAAACAAAGCCATTAGTCTCCTCTCCGTGCGCCCCTGTCCAACAAAGGAAAACAAAAACCAAAAGAAAACCAGAACTAGTGGGAAAACAAAATGAGGGCACCTATGAGGCCCTGACAAAGGCGTGTCATCTGTTCACGCTTGTTGTCTTTGTTGTAGTATGTACTATGAAAATGGACCAAGACAGCAACATCAGAAACGAAAGTGACATGGGGACTACGACGTATATACAGGTTGTCTAATAGTTCCCCGGCTGACTTTGTTTCTTGAGTTGTTGAATGATCTGATGCAAAGGTGTATGAGAATAAAAAGCAAAGCGATAGAAGAATGACACGCTTGCTTGTGTTTTAGTAGCCAGCTTGGCCAGGCATCTTGCCCAGAGAATGCGATCCGGAAGTCTTGGGAGGCAAGTGGCTGTGGCAAAAGATCTTCTTGGAGATGCCTTTGCTAATGCCTCCGTCCTTCTTGGTCGCGTCAATGGTCAGGGCCTGCTCCTCATAAGACTCAAGCTGGCAGCACTCCACGTTCTTCATCCAACGGTAGTTGTTGACTTCGGCAATGGAGATGCGCTTTCTAGGGTTAGGGTGAAGCATCTGCAGCAAGATGCGGCGGAGGGCAGGGGGATTGACACCAAAGTCCAGAGCATAGCACTTGGGGTAGTCTGTCTCTGTAATAGTGGCATCAGGTTCAGGATGTTGGTCGGTCCACTTCTGCCAGCCCTTGACGAGCTTATCGTAGTGCATGTTACCAGGTTCAGCGCGAGTCCAGATGGCACCGCCAAATGTCATGTAAATCATGATAATGGCAGAGCTCCAGACATCAAGCGCACGTGGATCGTACTCATCCATCTTGGCCAAGACTTCGGGAGCGATATAAGGCTCACTTCCGCAGATGCCAGGGGCGCAAAGGCGAACCTCGCCCATCATGTTCTGACCACATTGGCCGCCAGCCTCACGGAGACCAGGGTGCGTACCCGAAAAGACTTCCGACACACCAAAGTCGGTAATCTTGAGCTTGCTGTCCTTGGTCATGAGCAGGTTTTCCAGCTTGATATCACGGTGGGCAATGCCATTCTCGTGCAAGTAGGCTACACCCTGGACAAGCTGCTTGAACAGGCAGAGGCGGTCCTTCAGCTTCTGCTCGCCCTTGAGCCAGCCCTTTTGGACGAGGGCAAACAAATCGCCCTCGGCACAGTATTCCATAACGTGGTTCCAGCGGCCGTGGTCGGTGCAGAGGCGGATAGTCTCGACAATGTTGGGGTGGTGCAAGCTCTTGGCAATGCTAAACTCGGACTTGATCTTCTTGTCGTAGTCATCCTGGCTCTCACGGTTCGACTTGCCACGGAACTCCTTGACAGCGTAGAGCTCGCCAGGGCAGCCCTTGCGAGCCATGAGCGTCACCTTGGACGCAGCACCCTTGCCCAGATGCTTACCGTGACGGCCAAGCAGCTTGTGTTGGTATTCAAACTCGGAGAGCAGGTCGGCAACATCGACGGTGAAGTCGTCAGGCAGGCTGAGACTCATGCGGCGAGCCTTGGCACCGGTACCAGCATCGGGGGCAAGCGCCCAGGGAAGACGCTCTGGCGGGTATGCTGTTGTGCCTTCATGGGTGGTTGTGGGAGCGACAACAGGTCGGTTGTTGCCGGCGTCGAAGCTGCTGGCTCGGCGGGGGACCTTGGGACGGCCGTTGGCACGACCAACGAGGTTGGCGGCACGGCTGCGGAGGGTAAAGCCGGTCGATGTGCGCTTTTTCTTGTTGAAGTCGTCGGGTGTAGGCAGCGACTTGCCAAAGAGGGTGCTGCTGCGGTTGGGTCCGGCCATCTCAAGCGGGGAGTCTGGTGTTGTGGAGGAGGGCGTGGTAGAAGAGGTGGATTGGCGGACGATGATTTGAGGAGGGTTGGAGATGTCACGAGGAGCACTGGTAGGAGGGGCGGGACGGCTGCTACCGCCATTCATGAATGTCTCGACGTCGGACGAGGTGGGCGAGTTGGAGTCGAAGACTGGCGTATCCCGCTCGACGCTGGACGCCGAGCGGCGGAAGAGCATAGACATTGTACGGCGAAAACTCGAGGTCGAGCCACGAGTTGAGCGTCTAGAAAGGGTTCCTGTAGCGTTTGCGTCGTCAGACTCTGTGGCAGCGCTGGTGCTTGTGCGTGTCAGTTGTGGCTCGGCTGGTCGGGGCGTAGTCTGATCGCTTGTAGGAGGAGAATTGAGAGCGGCCTTGGTGGGCGTGGGCGTAGGATGGTCCACGGGCAAATTGGCCTGATCGAAATGATTGTTAACGCTGGTAAAGTCCTGGGAATGACGGCCGCCGCTCACGGGAGTGACGGGTTCAATGGGCGATTCGCTGCCGGACTCGCCGATTTCTTCCTCGAGAATTGGTTGAGAGACGTCGGAGGGATATTGTCTAGGTGAGGAGTGGAAGCTGCCGCTGACGGAATAATCATGCGAAGGATGATGGGAGTCTAGCGGATCTGATGATGGATCTGGAAAAAGAGGGAAAAAAGAATCTCAGGTTAGTCGTTGGAAATCAGGCGAATGATTGAACACCAGTAAAAAAACGGGATGGGATTAGAAATGCATGCAGAGAACCAGCGTTCGGGGAAGAGCGAACTTCTGTGGCGAGGGGCTGGCAGCAGTAGCGTGCTGAAGGCGGATGGGGGGGGCAAAAGAGCCTGATTTGACAGCGCTGCGGACAAGAGGGCCGAAGACCGAGTGCGAAAAAAATGCTGAAAGCGCCCTAATCACGTCACAGGCTGCTGTAGTTTAGGGCGGTTGGCCACTGAAGCCGCCAGTGCCAAGCACTAGCACGCCGGAGTGGGATTGGTGGAAGTGGGCAGGTAGCCAATCAGAGGCCGCAGCGGGGGCAGTTTGGGGGAGGGCGGGCACGCCAGTGGTCATTTTTCCCAGTGGCTTTTGCACGCAGCAAGGCAGACTAGACTGGCAACAGCTAGCGGCGGGTAGTTGGTGGTGGTGGTGCGCTGGGTGAGGCGCCGGGCTAGCAGGAAGCGAAGGATAGAAAGAAAGCAAAAAAAGAACTCACGATAATTGGATGGAATGTCCATAGGGCCAACAGTGACCTGTACTGATGATACTGTCGACGCCATTTCGACGGTATTTTTTTCTTTTCTTTTATGTGTCGTGTAGTGTCGTGCGCGAAGCGTGTTGGGGCTCGGTTTGGTGGACGTCGCTAGTAGTAGTCGTAGGCAGCTGTCGTACTGTAGCTGGGCTTGGTGAGGGGGAAGACAAAGCCCGCTAAGACGAACGAACGATGGGCTGCTAGCAGCACTGGGTTGATAGCTGGCAATGGTGAAGTGCAGACAGGAGCAGGTTGAAAAAAAAAAAGGACAAGAAAGACGGGTCGTCAACAAACTCTCTTGCTTGTTCTCTTTCGTCTTGATGGTTTTTTGTCGCTTTCCCCAGGTTATCCCCGTAGTCAGCAAGCAGCATCCAAGAGTGGGCGGCGCGTGGTAAAATATGAAAGTCAAGAAGCGAGCGAGGGCCGCGCCGCAGGGCAACACACTGTGCTGCTACAGTACGGAAAAAGAGGGCCGGGGGGAGGGGGGAGTGCAGTGGGGAAAAAAGCCTTTGAAGCGTAGTGGGTGTGGGACGCCCCCCCTCTCGCTCTCTCTCAGCACCGACAAGGCCTGGAAAACGACGTAATCAGTGGATCAGCAAAGTACCCAAGTACTTTGATTACCGTATCTGTTCTGTTCAGCGCTCCAGTCACTCCTCTACAGCGGCTAGCGGGCTGGCTGTTTACCCTGGGACGGACCAGAGACGAAGATAACAAAGAGAGGGCAAAAAAAAAAGATTGGGCCAGCCAGAGGCGGTCTGAAGAGAGACGGAAAGAAAAGGAAAAAAATTTACAGAGTAAAAATAATATCATATGAGCCAGCTAGCAAATACTGGTACTACTGTTACTGCTGTTACTACTGCTGCTGCTACTTCTTTACTTTCTGTATTTTTATTTTTCACTGCCTTGGCCTGTGACAAGCATGGGGTCAAAATAGGCACTTGGCACGAGGCACTGCTGAAAACGAACGCCTGTGAGGCAATGAGAGCCAGGTGAGACAAAGGGAAGAATGCCCAGTCCAAGCCACCCCGGACAAGAGCGAAAGCCTAGCGTTTCCTACCACCTGGAGCAGCCTAGCCTCAGCAGGCAGCCGGCCCGAAAGACGCCCTGACCTGTGCTGGTTGGTGCGCTCTTCGAGAAGAACCTACGTAGCATCCGGTCCCGTGTGGTCTGTCTGTTCGGCCCAGGGAGAGACACAATGGGTCGTCGGCCGTTGCAGTGAGGGAGGGAAAGGGTCATTCATCTCTTGTTCTCTTTTTTTAAGCTTCTTTTTTTATGCTGGTCGCTGGGCGTGCTATCATCAACAAGTAGCCAAGGGCAGGCAGACAGCAAGCAACCAGTAAAAAGTCAAGCCAAGCCCATCTCCCCGCGCACCAGGTCTAATTGAGAGCTGCCCATCGCCGTCGCCAAGGTTCCCTTGCCTGTAGCTTGTCATCGGAAACGTTGTGGTATGCCAAGTCTTGTGTCTCTGCTTGCGATTTTGGACCGTGGGCCTGGACGCCCAGGTGCTGGTGCTCCCACTATACTAGGGAGATGAGCCTCCACAAGCACCAGCTATCAGCAGAGCTATTAGAGAGTAGAGTTTGACTCTGCGCCCGGGATAGGGCAATCAGCTTAGCGAGTCGATTTTTTAAGTTCTTTACTGTTTTTGTTATCTTGATTCTTCTTTTTTCCTGCACTCGTCACAGAGTGTGCCCTTTGGTCAATGCGTAGGTGGCCAAGCTGGTGCTCGTGCTGTTACTGCTACCACTGCTTCAATGCCAACCGTGTCTTGACAATAGTACTGCTACCAGCGAGCTACAAGCAGAAGCGGCACAAGGGCACGCAACGAGCAAGTACTGATATGATGCGGCAAACATTTTGACTTTTAGTCTGGGGTCAACGTAGAATACGTTAGGTGCTGAGGGGCGTGTCTCCAGCGCAGACAATGTTCAACTGCTACGTACAAACCTGTGTACTCTGAACCCGGTTCCAAACGCGAAGAGGACAGCCTGAGTTGCGAGCGAGTTGATGCAAAATATGACCTTTCAGGTGCAGTACTCAGCTGCTGTGAGGCTGATGGGAACAGGGTTTCAAAAGGAAAAAAGAGACAGATGCCGCGATTTGATGATGACACAGGGATGTTTCCGATATGAGCTGGAACGATTTGCACCGTCGGGTTCCCCTTGACCAGGGGCCGTGACCGAGCACCAAGTTTGACGTTGGCATTCGTGTTTAAACACAAGACAGAAATGCGAGGCCTCTCCTGCTCGCGTTTGCAAGTTCACAGCCTGCGTAGCGGATTTACTTGCTGTGAGCCTTTTGGAGAAGAGGCCCCCAGATGCAAGGTAGACAGACAGCTGCATAGACAACAGCCAGCCCCGAGCGTGTGGGATTCCAGTACGCCAGCCAGCCCCACGGCCGGCCTGTAGGGACAACCTGCAGCGGCCACAGTAGTGGGTGGCAACACTGTAAATTCGGTGCAAGTAACATGTACTTTGGCTGCTGGCGCAGGAGTGGCCAAGGCACGCCACACCCGCGATCGATCAGGTACTCGATACTCGATCCCACCTTTCTGGTTGCAAGTGTCTCGCCTTCATGACGCTGTAATGCCGGAGAAAGAAAAAATTGCGCTGGAAAAAGATTCTGTAGTTCCTCATGCTGCCCTGTCTCGTGCTTCAAGTAGCGCTGCAGGAGAGACGAATAAACCTAAAACTCTGTCCCTTTTGCCGCTGAGGCAAGGCAAGTCAGTGACAGAGCGGGCATTGCCGTGGCGGCAAGGTACTCCATAACCAGTTCTAGCGCTCCGCCATTGTTCCGCCTACCCGCTGTAATTTACAGTACAGTACAGCGCAAAGTATTCAAGACTGACCAAACCTAAACGAGCCGCAACAACACGCTCGGAACTAAAAAATGCAGTCAGCGTGCCTTAGCTCCAAACTCTCAACCATACAAGCAAAAAGGTTTGATCAAGGCTGTTTATGCCCGAGGGTCGATCGCTGACACGATGCTGCTGCATGAGCTTGGGTTGGCTGACATGGGTGCAAGCCAGGGATATTACGCTTGTAGTAATATCGCAGGCGAGCTAAGATAACAACGCAACGCTGGGCCACGCCATATCCGCCAGTTCTTACTCGTCCGCGCATATAGAAGCTTTCCGTGTATTTTCTCTACAGTGTCAATATTTGTTTTTTTAATCCTTGGGACTGACTAGTCAGCGCTCTAGAACTGCGCCATTGCGTCGTCCCCCTAGTGCCGCGCGTGCTGTAAGTAATTACTGTACCTAGCCTGCCAGGTGTCTGCCAGCTGCCAATGGTTCCTACCTGTTGTTGCCAGGTGCTGGTACGACTGCTGGCAGTGCTAAAACAGCCGCCCCCGAAACAAAGTCGCCATCGTCAGTCAGTCAGCCAAGCTGCTGCACTGCACGGCACCCCTGCATTTCTATTCCTGTCTGCTCCTCACATCTCACATGCACCCGTATCGTGACGGCCCGGTTTAGCTTGTTATTGGCCTTTTCTATTGTATTCCACGGCTTCTTCCTCAAGAGCGCGTCGCAGAGGTCGCCGTCTTCCGCCTACGTTTCCGACGGGTGCTGGCTGGCCCGCTAACTGTCCGAGCGCTATTGAACACCAGCAGTCAGGTTGGTGACGACACTCTCAAAACGGCTCATAAGCGAGCAGGCTAGGCATGGGCTGGGCATAGCTGTCCGTATTTCTCGTCTGAGCTTGCCTGCTTGTCCCCCAAGCCTTCTCTGACAAGAAGCCAGCGCCTTTCGCGCAAACTCAAAATGGTTTTCTTGGGGGACGGACAGCGGCTGAGCGTCCAAGCGAACGTCTTGGCCGAATGGCACCTTGAGTCTACCGTTTTGTAGCATTCATCGGCGCCTAGTGTCGGTCCACAGGAGGAAGCCAAGCCAAACAAGCCCTTGTCTAGGCTGCGGACTGCAACTCAAAGGCCACCTGACGGAAAAGGAAGGCCGCTATTCTGTGATCTTGCTTGCTGTGCTGATCCGGATCATGGAACAACGAGAACAGGGCCTAGTTGGCACATTCTAGAGTAACATCGTCTCTAAGCTTGAGGTCAGCATCACAGAAAATAGTCGTTGTCATCGGCAACTTTGCCGAGCCTGTGCAACGACGGACTACCCTCCTGACAGCGAATTCTAAATGTGGCAGCAAGATTGGCAAATGGGGGCGTCAATACAAGTTGCAAATGACCCTTTTTTTGCTATTATTACTTTCACCACAATAGGCCCGCAGATGCAATCTAGGCTACTCCTCCCCCACCTTATGAACGGTCGGTCTGCAGGGCAAAAAATTGCTAGTTGTAGGTCTGGCTGGCGCCACCTCAACAATCACCGACAAGAGCCCCATCCACCTCTGATTTGAAAGGTGGTGGTCTGTCTTTGTTTAATCTTGTAAAATAGGGTTCCAGATACTTCGCCTGGTGATTGGCGTTACAAAAAAACAACGCAAAAAAACGCCATGTACGCATACGGGGTTACGGGTGGCTTGCTTCCAAGGATTCCTTGTCTGTTCTAAAGAGCCGCCTCTGGAAGAGTCTGGCCCCGCGATTTGCCAAGAGTGCCACGACGAGCTGTCGCAAAAAGTTAATGATGTTCCGCATGGGATGGCTGCGGCTATTGGGGGACCTTTGCTTGGGGCGTTTTTGTCGGGATATCAGCCTCTGTGTGCGCTGTCGCAGCTCTGTTCGCGAAAGCGAGGCGCGGGGTTCCGCAGGAGGCTCAAGCACAAGCCCCACGATGCATTAAGCATGGACAAGATGCATCTTTCTGCATTGGTCGTCCGCTCCTTCAGCCCACCAACGCACCCCGTCGCTAACAACAGCAAAAGCCGCCTGCTGCTGTCGTTGCTAGTGTCTGGTGCTAACTTAGCCCGCATACGCCACACGCTACGGCGGGGCCCCAAACCATCAACGCTCGTCCACTCACGACGTCTCATTGGAGCAGCACGGCTCAATCGGCATCAACGACGTGACCTGCGGCGACTCACCAGCGCTCGAGACAGCCGTTCATGTGCGCATTTCGCTTGGCCCCGAACATCCGATCGCCAGCCAGCAATACAGTGTCTCGCTTTCAAGGTCAACACTGTCGCGATGCCGTCCAGCTCTTCTCCGAACAATAGTAAATTCCGGCAAAAAGCGCTGACGGAAAGGCTCCAAGCTTGGGAAACAGGCGGTGACTTTGCCAGCCTCGACAATCTATTTCCCTTGTGGGCTGCAAACAGCAATCACAAGATACAGATGGAATCTTCAGCAACGGCAATTTGCCTGCCGAAAGTTAACAACGGGTTATTGTGTTTTTATTTGCCGCAACGGGCGACTACTCGGCCGACGTACCAGGCCTGCCTGACCTGACGTAGAGACCGCCACGCTACAACATTCGCTCACATGGAGGATAACGCTAGCCGGTCGTTGCCACTCACTTACCCGTTATTTCCGAAGCCTGCCGCCAGTTTGCTGCTCCAAGCTCTCTTGCTTTCAGCACATTTGCTGCAATAGCGGCTCTTCAGATTCGGCACCTACCGTCTCCTCTCAATTGTTTAGCGGTGGGCTCATATGAAAACTTCATCATCTCCATTGACACGCATGACCCCCTCCATCTCTTTCGCCAATGTCGTCACAGGTGCGTAGTGCGGCCTTCAGCCCGACGCCGGCAAAGACGGCATTCACAGGCTCCGGAGGAGATCTGTAGCTACCTTGTGCAACAATGCTCCTCCGTCGATGTATTCCAGCCAGGCGTCTGGCTTTAGGCCGTGTAAACTTGATGATAGGCGGCAAGTTTACTACTGCCACGGCGCACATGTTAAAATTCCATCTTCAACCCTCAGGCGTCGCTCTAAAAGTCAACCAGCCACGGTCAAACAGTGTATATATATCTATATACTGCAGTTAATATGCAGCATTATACCATCACTAGGTGCCAGGCATGTACTCTAGCCTGAGTACCTCTGCTCTCGTCCGTGGGATTCTCTCCACCGTTACATTCGGCGACCGCTGTAATAGAACAAGCACATGGGCCAAGATGCAGCAAGAGAATCTGGTGCTGCGACTCTGTAAAACCTTAGCTTTCATAGTCCGAGCGCTGAACGCACATTGCGAGCTTGGAGGGTTGGTCTTTTTTGGCTGGTTCTTACAGCGATTATTGGCGCCCACTGAGACGTACTCTGTGTGGACAGGCGCAATGCGCACAACCTTCACAACTCAAAGTCGGCGACTCTCTCGCACCAACACAATGTCACTTTTGCATGGGCTCAATTCACTCGGTGTTCTATTGGGGAATCCTTGATTCAACATTTCCAGCACCGAGGTAGTCTGGGGTGGTTGGGCGGGACTAGAGGCGAGAATTATTCCGTCTCACGTTAGGGAATTTGCCAAGACCTACCTGGTTAGGGCCAATATTACCGTTCCATAGGCGCCATGGTGGCCTAGATCCTGGATTACTAGTTTTACAGGGCCCTCTGCACCATCACCGCCCGCTATTGTCGCCCTCGCCGAGCGCTATTCTAGCGCCCTTTGGGGACCACACTGCTTTTGTCTGCGGACGGTAGCGGTACGTCCCGATCAGATGAGAGGCTTACCCGATCGGGCAAGCCTGCCAAGCCTTACGCTGTCTCTGGCCAATTTGGTTGTTGCGGTACGGCAGACCGATTCAGGAGAATGGCAAAAAATGTCCTACAACGCGCAAGACGTGGCCTTTTTTGGATCAAGCCGCCGTTTCGCCTATGGACTAGGGACACACAAGATCGACGAAGGAGGCGATGGTCTCACTCTGACCGAACGATGGGTGTTGCGATTAATCTGTCTCGACTGTAGACGCACAAGGGCTTCCTGGAGCGCGAATCGTTCGTTCACTAGTTTTGAATCCCGTTCAAGTCCGCGGTTCCTTGGAACTATGGATTTCCGCTGCCTTTCGCTTTCCAATAGTTCTGTTGGCGAAAGCCTCGGGCCTTGCGCGACGTCGACTCCTGAACATCTGCCGACCACTCCCATGTCACCGTTCCCAACTTTATTTAACCTTTGAAATAAAGTCATTCATAGCGTGGCTCAGGGGGGCTTTCAGTGGCTGTGATAAGAACCTCACATTCCTCAATTGGCGGTTAATCCTGGCAAGCTTGGCGTCTCGGCAGCACTGGAATTGTCTGCCAGGATTGTCGCGCTTGTCTACCGAACAAGTCTTGTAGCATCTCCTAGAATTGGCTTGTCAAAAAAGGAGACAGGGAGAATCGGGCGCCAAATATGCCAAGAGCCAGAGCAGAGGCGGTGTTCACATTTGCGATGGCTTCCCCGGCCAGACGCCAAGGAGCTACGGCTAATTACCAGCTAGGCCATCGACCCTGCTGCCTCAACTTTTGCGGAGGATCGATACCTTATGCTAGACAGTGGCCACCATTTCGACTTGACACCTCATCAATCGGACCCATGCCTCTGAATCCCTGCGGATCGTCGCTAGTTACGCCCCTTCACCTTAATTCGCTACAGTTTGGAGCCTCCAGGCGTCATAGAGGAAAGTGTGAGGCATGGCCGTGAATGGTGCTAAGCCCGCCTTCTATTCTGTTTTATGTGTACACGTTGTCCACTGAACGGAATACTCACTCTCTTTGGCTAGATTCTCGACATACAGCGCAGTAAGCTGACATCTGTAGCTTAGGTTGACCAACACAGGCTGACCAATTCCGTGTGGCCTTTCAACTCCGACGTCTGCTCCACGTCCAGATCGTACGCCGCCACGTCGGGACGCTTTCAATCGACGTGCGGATGTCTTGTTTCTGCTTTCTGTATCTTGACATTGATTTCCCGATTCTTTTCATCCTAACACACCCCTTCTGGAACAAAGTGCACAGTGCGGGAACTTTTGGACTCCTGAAGAGCACAGCCCAGCCAAGGGTGGTAGAGCAGGAATGTAACCCGACCAGCCCAAAAAATATGCTTAAAAGCTTGGCTACCCTAAAATCCGAGACACTCCATGTCGTGCCACGGAAACGCAGAAGCTTTTGAGCATCGCATCCTTAATGCCAATGTAGGGCCAAGTCAAAGATTTGCGGCTTGGAATTCAGCCTCTAATGCAGGCGTATTTGTACGATAAAATACAAGGGCTTGACAATTACGGCCGTGTTTCCTCCATTAGTGACCGTCTTGTTCGCATTGTGGCTTACGATCGCCCAGACACACCACATGATTTTCGGCACACTTGCGCTGCATGATACATACAGCACCGCTCGGCAGACCCAACCTGTTTGGCGGGACGTGTCAGGGACGGGCGGCGCATTTGGGATTTACATTCGTCCCTGGCGCCGGCTGTGTAACTACAAGAATATCGATGAAGGCGCTGATACGTTGGCGTTACCCTTAGCCTTTGTCATGGTGATCGCAACATAGAGTGCGACGCGTTTTGAAACAAGCGTCAGCAAGATAATCGTCAGAGCGGCCACTACGGCACTTGCACTTGCGTAAGGGCCGTTTTGGTTAACTGAGAAGGATGTCTGTCCACTGAAACAAACACGGGTTTTTGCATCGTGGATGCGCTGGTTCGACCTTTGCGCACCATGAGGCCCTTTCCGTGACCAACCTCCCGGGCTTGGCAATGCAACCACCCCTAGAGTCGGGTGCTTGCGCCGTGCGACGAGCTGTGACCCAAGCCTCTAAAACTCGTCGATTCTCAATTGCATGCGTTAAATCGCCGAGCTAAAAGGGGGCCGCGCAGGTTTAGATTGTGTATAATACTTGCATGGACCTCGCAGTGCTTGGGAGAGCGTCGGGCTCGGGGAAACACCCCAAACAAAAGAACCTCGTCTGGGGTTTTCCCCCGCAATAGCGACGTTTAGATATTGCATATTTCCCTCACCTTCTCAGCTGGAAGGTGGCCTAGCGTCAACGACTTTTTGGGCTCTGCACCCTCCCGCCTTCAGAGGGACCTTTTGCTGCCGATGGCCATAGCGCGGCATGAGACTTGCTGCTGCAGCTCCCGTCACCGAGTGATTCAAATGGGGTAGCAGCTCCGACAAAGTTTGGCCGAGACATTATGAGCCAGACCTTGAGTCTCTAGATGTATAGTACATGTTTGTAACGGCCAAGTCCAAAATGGATACGGTTGGTTGGACGTTTTCACGCATGGGATGCTGCCTTTGCGGCTTGTCTGTCTGCCAATCTCGGGTGACGGCCAAGTCTTTTGATAATTGTACGCGGCATGTCGCTTGCCGCAGTGTTTGTACCCGTTTGCCACTCTACAAGTTTGATGTTATCAAAGCAAGGGACCTACTTTGACATCTTTACGCAACATATTAGATTCGATCAGCCAGCATCCCATCTAGGTTGTTAGCAGGCAGCCTCCCGAAGTCAGTTGACATTCATGACAGACCATCCGTTTTGGCAAAAGAGCAAAAGGCAAGTCCGCCTACGCTACGGATTCTTGCTAAGCGACCAAGCGGCTTCCCGAGAGTGGCGTTGAGGTGTTGACTCCTCTCTCTCAGAAGCATCACAGTCATAATAGTCTGACTCCAAAAGGTGTAACAATGTGTTCTATGAGCTTCATTTACAAATTGTAAGCTAGAGTCTATAAAGGCGTAAACAACCAGAACCTCAAGCTGAAAATGAACCGTTGCTGTGTGAGCTTCAACTATGGGAGGACACCCCGTGTGAACCGTCGTATCGGGTCTCTTTCAAGTTCTGCATGTATCCCCAAGTCTTTACGGGATGCGACCTATTTGTGTTTGCCTCTGTTACGAGTACTATATCAAAATAAGGCGTAATCCCGTTCCAGGGAGGCCGCTATCCGCGACGGCTATCCGCAACACCACAACGCCTACAGCATACTACGGCAGCAATCCGTACGTAGGTCAATCGGCTTTGGAAATGCACACGAGTGACCCGGGATGTTAGGAGATTTATGGCGGCAACATGCAGGCTTCCTTACCGCCAGACGCTTTCATCATCTCCAAAGTCGGCCCAGAGAAGCCGATGGCCAGTCATGGCTCCATGGGAGACGAGATGTCGATATCCGAAGCGTCTGTGATCAATCATAGATAAAAAGGCCATTGAGCGCCCTTTCATCTCAATATCGTTAAGCAGCAGCAAGCAGCTAAGAAACTTTTTCAAGCCTTCTTGTGTTCCTCGATCTTTCATTTCCCGAACCCCAAACTGTGTATGGATCATTTGGTCCATTACTATATCAACAACAACAGCCACTGCACGTTTCTCGAAGGCAAGATGCCCGCCGTTGCCAAGGTACGCCGGAGATGGGGAAACCACTTTGCTCCCTATCGTCCACTTCGCCAGCCTCGATACCGCAGATACTATCTGCGATATCTCGATCTGCTCACGGAGCCACTCCACCTGGGAAATCCAACTCCTCCTGCCACGCCAAACCTTGGTCTGCTGACTGCGGGCTCCTCTTCCCAGGCTGACGAAACTCATAACCGGGACTACGAGTATGTGCGCTGCCACATGTTTATGCCAACACATCGTCCCCGTCTCATGTACTGGAAGCCAGGCGAAGGTTCCATTGCCATTGGGCCAGCCATCTCGGTTATTCCTCATGCTGTTGAGTTGAGGAATGACTACGGCATCATACTACCTGCTGGGATGGCTGTGGTGGTCTACAATGTTCACTTTCGTATGATCTATTACGAGGATAACGATGATGTCGACGACATCTCTGGAAACATTGGGCTGTCTGGAAACATTGATGTTGAACCCACGCCGTCCATCTTTGCACGACCTGCTGGAGGATCTATCTTTGCAGTACCCGCTCAGCAATCGATCTTTGCACCACCTGCTAGGGTATCTATCTTTGCCGCACCTGCTCCAGCTGCCGAACAAGTCGAAACCGATGTTACCGACGAGTCTGAGGCCGTTCTTACTGAGCCTGCCAAGGATTCCGGCGACAATATCACCAACAACACCAGTGAGGAGGACAAGATGGAGTAGGAACATGTGGTGGAAGACTTGCTTACACGGTAACAAGTCTCCCGACCAGCAAAGCTTTGGGAGGAAGATGTTGGGAGGAGGTACGAAGGATGGGTATACAAGTTTTGTGTGATGGAAGGGGGGGAGTGTGGCATGGTTTGGAGTGGTGGCAATGGTGACTGGATATTTGTTGGGAAGTGCGATATGTAGAACAGCCGTCGATTCATTGCCAGACAAGATTGGTACCCAATTCAACGATTCGACAAAACTACAGTTCACCCCGGTGTGTTAAAAGTACGTTGCGAGAAGTTGCGGCAAAGGAGCGCCATGGTTGCCTTGCAAGGCGCCGGGAATACCTGAGCATAAGTAACAACACGTTGAAACAGGGGACGATGAAGAAGAGACAGTCAAGTAGTACCGTCCTGCAGCGGGTAACCGGTTGATTCGGCAAACAAGGGATATCATGCAGGTGTGGCAGACGGTGAGAAGGCGGAAAGAGGCGCGATTGGTGGAGGGCCTGGCTGAGCAGGGAAGCTTGCATGCCACGTCCCTAGCACAGGGGGATTCTAATTATGAGTCTTTTTTAAACAGTTGATTCTCACGATGGTGTGTGGCTGAAGGAGTGAAGAGCGAGATGGTGTCTGGAAGGACAGAGTGGTTGTTTGGCTGGGTAAAAGAAGCGAGAGACATGCAGCGTCATTGGCAGCTGGCGCCGGCTGGTGGTGGTGGTGGGCACCTGGCGGGCAGCTGGCAGCATGTGAAGGCGAGTGACGGGACCGGCCAATGACGTCGACAGTAGAAGAAAGATAAGCAGAACGAAGCGAAGGAATCAATTCGCTCCGCAACGCCGCAAATTGTAAAATAGACACAAAAAAAAGATGGCGTAAACAAGGTAAGGTAATCCAGTAATGATTGTCAATCGCTACAATTTCCCCTTTCCCAGCGATTGCTTCACTCTTTGGAACCCTGTAATTGCTTCGATAGCGATACGTATGCCTGCTGCTACTCACTGGTCGCGTGCTCTGGGGCGGGCCGAGGGCCGTTAATGCAGACAAAAACCAACTGCAGTGTACCGTAGGTGGTGGTGCCTTGCCGCTGGACCCTGTAACTCGTTCTTCTTCAGTGGGCGGCTGCCGCCACAGAACCCACTAATCGACCGCTATTGCGCCGGCCGCCCCCAAAAGAAACACCGCAACCCACACTGGAGTTACAGGGGCTGTAGATTGGCGGGAGCCCCCAGGTAATGATGAGTTGAGATGATTTTTCACGCTCGTCCTTTCAATGAAAATAATCCATGAAAAATGTAAGCAATATCTAAACTATTCTATTAGCTAGCTTGATTTTTCACAGCGTCTTCAAACCATTTTAAGCGCTCCTAGCTGCTGTTCTCTAACTATCAGGCCGCCTTGCATCGGCTAATGGCCCTGTTGCTACTGGAGTACCCTCTGCTCGCTCGGCATTCACACCCCGAACATCGTCCAGCGGCCCAATTTCCTTCCCTGCTTCGGCTGCCCTTTCCTCTTCCACTCTCTCAACTCTACACCAACTCGTTTCAACGCCGAAACAAAACAACAGATACAATTCAACACCACCTAGCGCAAGCCCATTCGCCCAAATCCACTGCAGCTTGCCCTTCCAGCCAGCCTTTGTCTCCCTTACTCGGCCCCCAAGCTGGGCTGCCCCATGGGCGCTATCCTCGAATCCTCGCTGTGACGAAGCTGCCCGACCATTGTCAACTCCCAGGCAGCTTCCATTTGCGCTCTCTCTCCTCTACAGCTCCCGAGCTTCTATAAACCACGATAACGGCAATGTCACTCTCCTCCCCGCAACTGCCGGCAACCTCTCCGCCCAAGTCCGCCCATTACCATCCCGTATCGACCGCCGCCGCCACATATCCCTTCCAGCCAATCTACGATACTGCGCATCAATCCTTCGATCCGTCCAGGTTCTCCCCAACGATATCTCCCACGCATAATCCAGCCGCTGTTCAGTATCCTCCGGCACACCTGCCGCTTGACGCCTCGCCGGCTACCATTCAACGGTTCCACAGCGTATCTCCCTCCAATCTGCGCGCCTCCCTCGCCCCTCGCCCCTCTCTACCACATCTTCTCCCACAGCATTTGCAGTCTGACGTCGGCTTGAGCCTCGACGGCACTGCGCCGCTCTCCCGATCCGTCTCTGTCGATACTGCTGCGCCGCCTCAGCCGTCTGCCCAGCTTGTGCAGCGGTTGCAACAGCAAAACTCAGCCATCCGCGAAGCCTGGGCTGCCGAACGAACTTATCTCGAAGCGAATCGCCGCCGTGTAGAAGAGGTGTACCAGGAGGAACGAGCCATCATGGAAGACATTCGTGATACATGGCAGTCCGAAAAGGACGATATGCAGCGGGAAATGCAGGCTCTCCGCGAACGCATCCAGAGGCTAGAAGGAGAGAATGCCGCTCTTCGCGCCATTGCCTCTCCAAGAGGGTCGCCTAGCTTCCTCCCTGGTAGAGCTCCGCGAGACGGATCAAGTGATGGCTCACTAAATTCAAGAGCAAGATCGCAAAACCCGCCGGCCTCCGGCTCCCGCCAAATCCTCGCCGATCTCTCGTCGCTCCCTCCCGGTCTTGAAGGTGCGTCCCGACGACCTCATTTTGCTAGCCCTGGCAATCCTTCGCATCTCTCTCCAACACATGTCGGCTCTCCTCCGTTTGCTCCTATAGATCCACGAACACAGCCTCAAGTTTCTAGTCAGCAGGACTTTCTAGCTTCCCATGACGGCTCCAGCGATTCACCAATTCCTGTCATTGACGTCCACGAAATCGACCCAAAGCTTGAGGGAATCCCCATCAAGGCCACCGCTGTACAGAAGAGTACATTCTCTGAAGTCTCCAACGCTTCGTCTTCAGTAGCATCTCCTCCAGCTGCTAGCAGTGATCAGCATCAAGAGTCGGCGGGTGAACAAAATAGCCTCCTTGTCTCCAAGGCGCAAACACTGCAAGCATTGGCTGCGGGAGAATTTCGACGCCGCACTCTACATGCCGGGCACACGCCAAACCACTCCATCTCTGCGTTTCCGACCATGACTGCTACTGACAGTACATCGGCAAACTCGGGCACAGGGCAGAGCGAAGCCGCGACACCGAAGGCTGCCAAAACCGAGCCTCTTGACTCGGAGCATGATTCGGACTCTGCCAATGAACTGCGGCACCAGACCAGCTATACAGATGCTCCTCCTGGAGAAGGTGTGTTTGCAGCAGACGAGCAAGATCCCATCTTCGAGCCAGAGGACGACAAGCCTCTCAAGGGGCCGCTCATGGTCAAAAACATTCCCGCTCAAGACGAGATCTTTTGGGCTCAAGTGAACAAGAAGCTTGAACCAATCAGCCACGGCGAAGATGCCCTCCCAACTGTCATTAAGTCGCAGCTCGACCAGGCCGACTCCGATATGCAATCGTCTGCGAGCAAGTCAGTAGCAGTCGGTGGTGACGGAGCTGCGGACGACGACCTCGACGATTCAAGTTTCAGTCCGTCGGCACAGGCTTCCAAGCTCGAGGCTGATGTTCCCCTGAAGCTCCGAACAACCACAAACTTTGGCGCACCTTTTGGTTCTTCATAGACACTATCCCTCATTCCTCATCGTTCCCTTTTCATCATGTCCTTACTTGCATATCATGGCAAAAGCACTCATTTGTTTACAAATACCCCTTTTCTTGTTTGTCTCTTAGATTAATAACCGTATCTCTTTTCAACTGCAAGACATTGGCTTGCAGACACATAGCTGTATATAAATAAGGATATTGTTGTTATATGTATTTATCCACGGTGATTCTATAACTTCTACGGGTATCAGTACTGTTTTAAAGAAAGAGCAAGTTTCTCACCGTTTAGTGTAACGGGTCACAAGAAAGGATTAAAGTAGTTCGCTGGAGGTATTTGATTAAATGCATTTCTCATTACATCATAGCTCTAAAGACTAGCTTCACGAATTCGATTCCCTGTCCGCCTACACTCCCATGGTAAAGTCATGCTCAATGCCCGGTGTCACACTAGCCATAAACTGCAATTATAATGGTTAGTAATTGTATATTTTTCATAGACACCTTGTCTCGAGGGTGATTTAGAGTGTGATGGAACACTTACCTTGAGGAACACCACCAGGTATTGGTCAACGCGGATCGCAACTTCGCCATCATCCACAACTTCATTCTCCTGGACCTCCTCCCACTCGTCCTTGCTATCCGCCGCCTCTTGAGCACCCTTGACGTCCAGCTTTCCAATCTCATCGACTAGACCTTCCATGCCTGCATCGCCGGCCGCCTTGCCAGCTCGCAGCTTGTCTCTTCGGATGCGCAGAGCGGCATCGGCGCGGTCAAGCAGTGTCTTCATGACGGGAGCGTGCTTGCAGGGGTGCAGCGACGCCATTTTAATGTTGTTGGCAAAGAAGGGGAAATCTTCTAGTGTGACCGTCTTGTCCTTGTAGTCGCCGACAATGTCCTCCATCATATCCTGAGGCGGTAGGGGTTGTCCGTTGGGGCGGTAGCCGGAGAGGTACGCGCGCGGGGTTCGGTAATACGGTGTGTACATGATGTAGATGGTATATGTTCGGCGACCGCTTTTAAGTCCAAAATATTAGCTTCATTGTGCGTGCAAAAAGGGCGATACTTTTTCTTGAGTAGCGTTGTTGATAACATACCTAGTCTTGGAAGTTGTGTCGCGGATGATGGCCTCAGCATCGTCTTCGTCTTCCATGTCGGGGATTTCGTCGTCATCCACATCCGCTACGTCTCCAATATTTCCTGCATCATCGACAGTTCTTACATCCCTGGCCTTGAGCACCTGCGATCCGGCCAGACCGCCGGTTCGCAACCACCCGTCCTCGTCGTCGCCCTGCTGCCCGGTGCTCTTGAAGTCCTCGCCGTCGTTGACGAGCGACTCCTCGTGTCCGGCATCGCCTGCAAAGTCGTCGTTGAGGCGGCGTTCACAGGGCACATTGCGGGTGACAAGATATTGCTTGCCGGGAGGTAGATAGCTCACTCTGCGACTTTCGTCGTCAGCGTCGCCCCAGGCCCATGTGGGAAACTTGTAGACGAGGTAGTCGCCTGCGGCAAGGAACTCCTCCGGTGTGAGCTGGCCGGTCTTTCGGAATGTCGAGGTATGGGATACTGGCGTGTAGCGGTCCCTAAGCGTGTTGACTGTTGAGCGAATGTAGTTCATGGTTGCCACGCGGGGTGCGGCAGAAAACAGACGTATGATGGATGCAGATGGCGATGTCGTATTCCGGCGTGTCTTTGTTTTTAGGTGCAAATGTAAATGTAAATGCTGTACTCGTATAGATGGTGGAAACGGGATATGAGGAGGATAGAAATGTCTGCCTGGTGATGCAAGAGGATGACATGCACTGGCGGTTGCCCGAGATCACATGGCGGGGTGGCATGGTGGGGGGCTCGCCATGATTGGCCGCGTTGCGTCAGGCTGAATAGGCAGCCTCATCATCACGGAGCGCGTACAGATAAACGCTAAAGGTAGATAAAAATTTATGCTTATTTGTTACTTCTAAAATCGCTATGCTATTTATCTACTTCATCATCATCATCACCGTATTTTTACAGAAATATATACAAAAGGGATATACGCGGGTTGGCATTCCCCTTACTTTTCCTCGTCAGAACTGACGGCCTCGCCAGCGTCAATAGCTGCCTGGCGTCTCTGGGCTTTCTTTTCCCGCTTCTTCTCCAGTAGCTTCTTCAGCTTCTTTGCTGAGTTAAACACGCCGTTTGTTCCTGCGCTGCATGCCGCACATGTAGGGTCCTTGCGGTAGCGCTTCAGAGCGCAGGCTTCGCAAAAGTAGTGGCCGCACTTGGTGACAACCGGTTCCTTGTACGACTCCTTGCAAATAATGCATGCAAATGGGATCTTTTCTAGCATGGCATATTCTTCTTCATCGTCAACGTCAGCCGCCTTGTCGCGGTTGGCGCTTGCAACGACGGTGCCGCCAAGATGATGTTTGCCCTTTGTAGAAATCTCCCACTCCTTGTCTAGCTGCCATCCCTGCTTGAAGTCTTCTCTGGCGTGCAAGAACTTGCAGTTGTCGCCAAAACCACAGAAGCCCGTTTTCTTGTAGTCCTTGCAAACATCGGGGGAGTAATCCGTCACAGTGATTGTTCGGATGTTGGTTGGCGCCTTCATCGGTCCAACAGTCCGCTGTGGTGCGTCTGGGTTTTTTGTGATAAATGATGTTTGGTTTGCTAGGCCCTTGTATGTGCCATCGGGTGCGCTTGGGTTCGATCGAGTCGATCCAAGGAGATTCTTGGCTGAGAATGCATCCTTGCTGTCTTCGTCGTACCAGTTGCTTTGTTTTGTCGCGTCGTTGGCGTCGGATATGGGAATATTGCGGTCTGCCGTGTGAGCTGTTGCAGACAGGTCCTTTGAGATTGTTGCTGCATCTTTAGATGAGGCCGTTACAACAGCGCTCTTCTTGTGCCGCTTGACTCTCTGTCCGGTTTCATCTTCTGACGAGGAGTAGTCGCTGTCGCTGTTTGGCGGCGGCGTTGCTGGGCGTTTTCTTATGTTGGCTTTGCCCTTGGCTCCTCGCTTCTTGAATACTGCGACTGGCGCATTTTCCGTCGCTGGATCCATGGATGTGAATGTTGTTGGGAGGAAGAATTGCGTGGCAAAGAATCGGCATGCGACAGGACGAGCTAAAGTTTCGGTGATGTTTGCTTTGGGATGCTTTTGCAGTGCTGACTAATGTGGCGACTCGCCTTCATATTCCAAATGATAGCCATTATGCGATCTTGTTAATTGTATTAAATTATAGATAATGTCTTGTGTCTATTTTTGAATGTATATATTGTCCTTATTAATCAATTTTTTGTTCGGTACGCCGTATAATTTGGCCATGTATCTCTGTCGCGTTGCGTACGTAGATCTAATCTGTCAAATGGGTCAATCGCATGCGCCACTAAAAACTAAGCTTGATATCGAGGAGAACTGCTCTGGGCACAACCATCTATCACTTCGCAAAAAACTATATATTCGAGTGGTCATCTACAAATTGATCGTGCGTAAAATAATCATATATATAAAGACTCACCTCGCTGTCCATAAGGAGGATCGGTGATAGCGCTAGTAGTTCCACAGGATGCCAAGAAGACTTTCCTCCCCCAATTACAATCCACACCATCGTGTACAATAAAAAAACATCGTACACCAGCGTAGAGACACCGACATAGACTATGCTTCTCCTTTTTGCAATTTTTTAAAATATATAGGCCGTTTTGTCCTGGCAACAGAGGTAACTGTAGCGTAGTGCAGCGGCCGCAGCTGGAATAGCATGCCATTGACGACACTCACATCACCTCATGACACCTATTTTACTAGGCCTGCAACTTTACAATGATACTCGATCTTGACAGGTTTTTTTTGGGTGATACCACAGCGTGTCACTTCCAATTTCATCCCAGGGCATGCTACATTGGGCAGAACATGGATTGATTGAGCAATGGTGGTCTGGAGTGCCATCCCAATGGGGAGAAGGTCACGTCAGTGGTGTTTTGCGAATGCTACGCAGAGGTAGTATCTTGAAGAGGGTAAATGCATGGGTTTGTCTGTTCTAGGTGGGTTTTTTAGAGTCGCATTACCGAACTGGTTCAAATTGAGGCAAGCTGAAGAGAGTATGATGTGCTGCTGCAACGTTTACGACTTGGGGATCACGAGAAGAGAGCCCTAGATAGAGGATGTTACGAGTCATTAAGGAGGCAACAGGACAATAAATTGTAATTATAGGTCAATTGCAAACAAATTATCATCAAGAATTATTCTCAAGAATTTTTTCAACAGAGAAAGCCGTAAGCCAGCACAATACCTTTTGGCACCGGCGCGTCCCGGGTAGCGCCTTTTGTTTTGGTGTCCCAAATAGGCAACTGTGGGACGCTACGCCAAACTGGGCAGCGCACATGGAGCGCGTTGGGCGATGAGATTGGAACAATAAGACGAGGCTGAATTGCATTGTTTATTGTTTGCGTCTGTTTTGGGAACACAGGCCAGTGATTGGTGATTGCTGTTACATTGGGACTACAACATGGACGATGTGACTTTGGGGCAGCAGCGGTAGCCGCAAGTATGTACTCTGAAGGGCGGCCAGCAAGCAAGCAACAAAGCGCTTTCAATACTCTGTAGTGCGTTCCTTGTGTGAATGGAGCACATGCCGACATCTGAGCCTTTTTCATTTCCGCTGCATCGTCTGTGTGAAGGAATCAGAGACAGCGGCTGCTGCAGCCCCCAGGCCACTTTGTTAGCACTGGGCCGATGAATCCATGTTTCAAGGACCAAAAATAGGCCAGGGCTCCCATGTCGAGGCTCGTGGCCGCTGGGGTGGAAGAGAAGGGAAGGGAACGTAAGCTGAGCGAGCAGCAGTGTGACGAACCTGTGCGTTGCGGGTGTGACTAAAAAGAACAGCTCGCTCATCATACAAACCAAGAGTAGATATGCCGAAAAACACGCTTACGGAGCTTGATGGTGGTAGCAAAGTCAACAAACCAGAGATGGCGCCATGCTTTCCAAGGCACTGTAGAGTAGCTTTGAACGGCAGATGGGTGGCCTCTGCTGTCTTGGCTGTTTTTTTTTCCCAATGGCAAGAATTCACGATCCATTACGCCAGAGACTCGCCCGTTTCTTGCTTCCCTGCTTTTTTCTTTGGGTCACCTTTGTAGCTTTTTTCGCATTACCCTGCTCTGCTGGGGGCTTTGCGTCCCCCGGTCTGCTGCGTTACAGGCCAACCCGAGGTGCTACTGTCGCGTTGTGCGCAGGTACCGTATCTTAGTGTAGGTACTTTGCACTACTTGCTTGGGGCACTCACTTCCAGGGCACCCCCACCTGAAGCCTCTGGAGAGCCCCACGTCATTTTACAGTAGCTTTCTTTTTTTGCTTCTTTTTGGTGGGTGTTGGCGCTGTAGACAAGGTGCTGCTTGGTGTAGCTGGTAGTGGTTGTGGACGGACGGTAATTAGAGCGGGCGGTTTGGTGTGTGATATGGGCATACCTGCACTCTGCTCTATAAGGAGAGATGGAGTAGCTGGACGCAAAACGGGATACAAAAAAAGACATAAAAAAAGAATAAGCCACAATTAAACGGTCCAAACAAAACAAAACAAAAAAAGACCAGCGCAATGAACATCAGCTTCTGCTTTGCATTAACCGCTCAGCCTTCTCCCCCAATGACAGGCCGTGGTCGACGCCCTGGCCAGCGACGCAGCCGCCCACTCCAATTTCCAGGGCCTCTTAGTGGTCGAAGCCGCACTCTCTCAGTGGCTCCCCAGTGGCCCCGCCCCTGCAACCTGCACGACAGGCACCCACTAAACCAGGCACAGCGCTAAGCTGCAACTGGCCTCGGCGCACTCTTTATGCCCGCTTGCCCACCTGTCTTTGTTTTGTTGCCATTTTCGTGTCTCTCTTTTCTTCTTCTTTGCGATATGCGACAGCTTTGGGGAAGATAGTCTAAGTTTTTTTTTTTAATTCGCAAAAAGTGGTTGTGAAATAAAGAAAGAGAAAACAAAGGGAAAAGAAAATTAAGATTTTTCTTCTCTCTTTGTTTCTGTTCTTTCTATATTCGCGCCAATCTCGCTCTCCTTTTTTTTTCCGAACCACCACCACCAAAAGCTTCGCTCCATCGCCCGACGCGTTTCTTCATCACCACCACCACCACCCCACCTGGCATCCTTTCGTCTTTTGCCATCGTCCTTCGCAGCGTTCTTCTTTTTACGCCTCTTTTTATTGCCAGTGTCATTTTTAATTCTTTTTTTTTTATTGTTCTGTGTCTTCCTTTTTATTGCGGCCTACGATTCATTCTTCGATTCCGAACCACTTTACCTACGACCACACATTACATCTAATCTGGGGAATGAGCTACGCGCCCACTACCGCGCAAACTTCATTCCAGTAAATCCTCGACGCCTGCACCAAGAACACGGAACAGGAACCCGCAAAAAAAGAAAGCTGCGCGGAAGAAAGACGACCCCTCGACGCCGCTGCATTGTTTGCTTGCCCCGTCCACTCGACTTGTTGGAATTCCGCCGTCATTGTCGAGATTCCCCCTTCGCTGCCTGCAACTCTCTCTTGGACTATCACCAAGATCCAGCTCTGTCTTCCTGTGATACCAGCACCTTGTCTGTTGCCGTCCTCCATCCAAGACTTGATCCAAAACCTCGTTTCACAGCGAGCGACTTCTTGGTGTCTCTCCCCACCCCCCTGCAGATTCTCATCACCACAGACGCAAGGGGCACAGCGTCACCTCGATTCACTCCCGTAACCAAACAAAAAAGCGCGACTCTCTCCGCACCGCCGTGTTTACGACTGCCTTTGCATCTTTCTGACGATAGTCGTCTAGAATATTCCTCTTCGCATCAACTTGCAAGACTTGGTGCATGGTTCTCTGGTGGCAGTAACCTTTGCCCTGCCACGCACGCCTCCCAGCACAGCATGGCGTCGTCCGTAGCTTCGGACAAGCCAAAGCTTTCGGCGCAGGCTAGCTCTGCGCCCGATCCCTTTCAAGCCGGCGCTCCCACATCGACTCCTCATTACCGGTTCTCGAATTTTGACCATGATCTCTTCGCCGCCGGACCTGGCTCATCTCCTCGCCAAGCCAAGCGTGCTCTGACTGCGCATCTCGCCGAAACGGACCGCCGATTAGACGAGGCTGGCAAGCTTGGTACTGCCTTGGTTGCTCAGCGCAAAGCTTTGGCCGAGCAGATTCAAGAAATCGAGAAACTCAGTGCTGAAGGCGAGCTCCAACCAGAGCTTCGCAAGAAGCTTGTGGATATCGAAAAGGAGTACAATGACCTTGCCCGTGAATCTGCACGCGCCTTTCTGCCCAAGCAGCGCGTTCCTAGCAATGAAAATGGTACAGGATCTCCCTTTGTACCCGAAGGACGTATTGGCAGAGTAAGTTATATTCTTATTATGCTCTCAACGCAATGCGGTAAATACTAACACGGATTTAAAACAGCGTTCAATCAGCCCTTCCAAGTTCGATGGCCAGGCCACTGGTTCCCCCACAAAGCTTAGCGTACCGAATCGGAAAATTAGAAATCAACCATCTAACCGCGTTCACGACATTGAATTCGCAGCAGAGATTAGTACATCTCTGATTGCTCAAGTTCGCAACCTGCAATCGCTTCTTGCCGAGCGCGAAGATGAGCTGCGAGCTCTCCAGTCGGAGAAATCGACGCTAGAGATTGACTCGGAAAACTTGCAGCAGCGCCTCAAGACTCTCGATGAAAGCGAACATCGCTATAAGGAAGAAAACTGGAATCTCGAGACTCGAATCCAAGAAATCACAACACAACAAAAAGATGCCGCAGATCGCGAAAAGAAGCTTGCGCAAGCGCTTACTGCTTCCAAGGCAGACAAGACTAGCACTCAAAAAGAGTTGGATGATTGGAAGCTGTCCCACGCAAAGCTTAGCGAAGAACACAACTCTATTCTTAAACACCATGATATTGAGCTTGGAACTGCCAAACGCAACATGAGCATGGCAGAAGAGGAGCGTGCAGCTTTGCAACGCAAAATTGATGAGCTCACGGGTCAGAATCAGGAGCTTGCCAAGGCCTTCGGCCAACAACGCGGCCGCTTACAAGACCGCGAGTTGGGAGCCGGCTTTACCGATGATGAATTCGAGACGGCGACTGATAACGTCACGCCTGAACATTCTCCTCCTGCCTCACCTGTCAAGGGAACTCCTCGCCATGCAGTGCTTGAAACAGAAACCGTCAAGACTTCGCTCCACCACGCCCAGCGTACAATTCAGAGCCAGCGTAGCCAAATCCACCGTGAAAAGACGGAAAAGTTGGAGCTCCGACGTATCATTCAGGACCTGCGTGATGAACTGGAGAGAGCTCGCAACGACAGCGGCATTCTCTCCAAGAAGGGCACCCGCAAGACCGACTCCAAGGAATTCAAGAAGCCTATGCGCCTTCTTGGCAGCCTCCGATCCTCGACACAAGAGGTCTTCATGGATGACCCTGACTGGGAAGATAGAGACATGTCCCCCAACGGTAGCCCAACTCGCAGCCGTGACAGACCTTTGCCGTCCACCGAGTCCACCGACCAGTTCGAGACTGCAAACGAGACCGGAGACTCGGCCTTTGAGACTGCCAACGAGCGCGCCACCGAAACCGACGACTTCCAAACTGGCCAAGAGGGTCAATCAGACAGCGATGGTGCTGCTACAGAGACGGAGAGTGGATCTAGAGGCTTTGGCCGTCTGAGAAACGGTCCCAACTTGCCTGCTGGTCTTGCCCGCCCGGGCACCCGCGAATCTTTCCATAGCACTGCTTCTACATCGGCTGACGAGGATATCACCATCATGCCTGACGCATACTCGCCAACTGCTGTAAGCACCGCCTCACAGAAGACACCACGCTTCCGATTCAGCCGCGGACCATGGTCTCGCAGCTCTCGCCAGACGAGTGAGGAGCCAAGCATGCGTGGCAGCCCTGCCAGCTTTGCTAGCAGTGTTGGCAACGCCACTGCTGGACAGAGCCTGTTTGCTGAGCTCCAAGACTTTGACGGCACTGATGAGGAGTCGCTTGCTGGTACGCCTAGTCAGCGAACCATGCGATCCATGACACCTGCCTCCTCCCGGATGGGTCTCTCTCCTGCTCCAAGCATGCCGCCCATGCCCAGGGCTATCATGGTTGATTCTGGTATGATGACTGAGCCGGCAGAGGAAGAGGCTCGCCCACAGTCCATGGAGTCTGTCGTCAAGGCTGGTGGTATTGCCATAGCCTCGGCCGCTGCCGGAGCCCTTGGTGCCAAGGCGTTGTCGACTCCAGAGAAGGAAATTGAGATTGTCGAAAAGTTCATCGAGCGTCCGCCACCAGAGCTTGCCTACTCTTCTATCCACTCTGAAAACATCGAGCCTAAGCTCGAAACTCCTCCCGCGCCTGCTGCCCTCACTCTTACCTCCATTGTCGCTCAGGCCCTGCACCCTATTGAAACACCCGCACCTCCTCCTCGAAAGATGACCATGTCCAAGATTCTTGGTCAGGGCGTAACACCCATCGCCCCCATCGAGACCCCAGCACCATCATTGGCACTCACCTCCATCACCTCGCAGTCAATCAAGCCAGTAGCCGCCCCCAATGCCAAACTCTCCTACTCTCACCTCTCCACTCAACATGTCCAACCTGTACAGGAGCCTGCTCCTGCAGCCCCTTCTCTTACTATCTCGGCGATCTCGAGCGAGGCTGTCGAACCTCGCAGCCCGGTTTCCAAGCTCCGTTCATGGGGTCTTACACCTATTGCTTCTGTCGAGACACAGCCAATCTCACCTGTAACGGATCGCAAGGCCGCTGTTGTGGCTGATGCAAGTCGCCCAGCCGATCCGGAAACTCCCAGCCGTAGTGTCTTTGGCTCTCTCTTTGGCCGCGGCAGAGGCAAAGACTACTCACCTGTCATTGCTGAAGATGAGACCCGACAGTCTCCATCGCAAAGCCCTGAAGCAGAAACACCTGAATCGCAGCGGCCCTTCCGCGAACTTTCCGTCAACTCTGCTGGAAAGCCTTCGCGCAAGGCTGTCTCGGTACAAACCAACGATCAAGGAGCCCAGACTACTCTTACAGGTGGTATCATTGATAAGATGGTAGCAGACGGCCAGGAGAACGAGGCACTCCTCCGCAAGAACAGCACTGTCCGCGCTGTAGGCAGCCCTGATACCATTGGTACTGTTAGAATCTACCGCTCCAAGGAGCAGCCTACCACACCCGGCCAAGACGGCGACGATTCCTTCTATGACTCCAGCTCCATCATCCGACCAAGCAGCTCTGCTAGCAGCCGCCATCCTCAGCAGGATATGCCACCTCTACCGTCGAACCACAAGCAGGCAATCCAGGCAGCTCGCTCTGGCACCACGCCTGGCAGCATGGGACCTCCTCTTTGGCCCGCTTCTGCAATGAAGCAACGCCCACGCACCCCCAGTCGCACCCGGTCTCAGTCTGCCGCTTCCGCTCACGCCACTCCACGAGCTGGACGCTCTGGCGCTGCTACTGGCCACACTACTGTGGAGGTTGACGGCGGTAAGAGACTCACCGTGCAGTCGCGAACCTCTTCTGTATCGTCCTTCACATCAGAGCTCGACAACCGTTTCAACATGCACGACATGGACCCGACTGGATTTGGCGCTAACACCGATCCTCGTATGATCCAGGCTATCACGCAGACCATGATTGGCGAGTACCTGTGGAAGTATACACGCAAGACTGGACGTGGCGAGTTTTCCGAGAACCGCCATCGTCGCTACTTCTGGGTCCATCCTTACACACGCACCTTGTACTGGAGTGACCGCGACCCGTCAAGCGCTGGCAAGGCTGAGCTCAAGGCCAAGAGTGTGCCCATTGAAGCTGTTCGTGTAGTCACAGACGATAACCCCATGCCCCCTGGTCTCCATCGCAAGAGCTTGATTGTTATCTCTCCCGGACGAACGATCAAGTTTACCTGCACTACTGGACAGCGCCACGAGACGTGGTTCAATGCACTGTCCTATCTGCTACTACGAACTGGAGAGGATGCCCAAGATGACGCCGAGGACATGGCTGGAGGCATCACACGCGAGGATGTTGATGAGTTTAACCCCCAGATCGGACGCAGAGCCGGCCATGACAGCCACTATGGCGCCCCGCCATCTGTCATGTCTTATAGCACCCGTGCAAGCCGATACGAGTCTGGTACCACGGAAAACTACACCGTCAACCCTCCCACGCTCACCCCTTCTACTGCCAGCAGAAAGGTTCCTACCCACCGCCCTTCCATGGGCACGCTTACCAAGCTCGGCGGTAAGCTGAAGCTGTCGAGCCTGCGCAGCCGTACCAGCACACAGCCCGCCGAGTTTTACGCGGCTAGCGATGTGCATGACAGCGCCGAAGATCTGAGGGAGATGATTGAGCGCCAAGATCGCGAATCAGACCGCTTGGAGAATGTTCGTGCCTGCTGCGACGGCAAGCACGATGTCGGCAACATCTCCCACTCCAAGAGAGGACGTCACTCTCATGGCCACACCCATTCGACGCACGGCACGCCCAAGGCATCTGTGCGCTCCAGAGCTTAAGCATGTCTCTATATGAGAACTGGCTGACGCTGTTTGTACGCTTTTGTTATTTATTTCCTGGGATATAGAGCTTCGGCTCTTGCCCGCCCACGTTCTTTTTACGATTCTTATGAACCAAACTCACACCTTTTGCCATTCACGCCAGACGTCGGAGCTGTTTGCTCTAAGACATCTGGTACCTCTCTATATATAATCATCCTTTTTTGCTCTCCACCTCTACAATCATTCTTCGGCAGCGAGCCGAGTCTTTTCCTATACTGTCACGTCTGTTTTGTTGCTTTGTATCATTGTCTACTTTAGGTTGGCAACGCACATCACTCACTCACTCATTCATCTTTCACGGAAGCAACCACATGTTTAGTCGTTGCTCCCTGCATTTTTTGTTTTAGTAGCCTAGGCGTCCTCGGTACGATTCGGTGTATACTGTCATAATTATCTCCACGATCTGAGGGTGGGCATGTCTCTTTTTACCTGCTGCTAGTCTCTGCTCTCCCCTTTCTTCACAATCGCAGGAATCTAGGCGAGTCTTTAGATTATCCAATAGATGCTCTATTATTCGGAGGAAGCTAAAGCCTATCTATACTCTACAGTGCAATGTATGAACAGATCCTCCCTAGTGGCTACTGGATACTTGTTAATTAAGAGAAAGCTGCAGTGCAAGGTATTATCTATTTCTCAGAATAATCACTATGAATTGATCTCTGGAGAGTGCTAGTTTGAAATGTGTTGCCTTGGAACAAGATGAAGATCGTTCAGTTGCAATGTTTTCATCCCTACTAGCATAGAGATCTCCGCGGATACTCGAGTCTAGAATCCCCCCACCCCCGCCCCCACCCCGACCTTCACGTTTACCATCGGCTTGGGGCATATCACCGTGCCGAGCGCCGACAGGGTCTTGTGTATGCTATGCTATGCCCGGGCAGATCAGCCGCCGCCACAGTGCTACAGTACGCCAGCTTTCTGAGCAACCGGGGGCTGTTGATCAACTTAGTGGTAATGGATCTGGCGTAGTCAGTCTACCTGGTCTTCGAAGGTCTTACTAGCTGGCCTTCTCTTCAACATGGGATGAACCGCTTAAGAGGGGAGGATAGAAGTAGCTACGATGGAAGCAGCTACTACAAGAGATAGAAACAGAGTCACTAGGCCGCTGTCATTGCCTTCGTCCCCTTTCAGCATCCAGAGCCGAGGTTGAACCCAATGGGCTATCGAAAAGTGAAATGAGTGGCTTGAGGGTATTTCCCCAGAAAGGTCCTCACGGCGCCGCCACAAACCTTACATAGCCGATCCTTGCATCTCGCTAATGCAGAAATCGTCCTCCTTGCTCTTCTTCCAGACTAGTGAGGTGCCAACAAAGCTAGCTATGTTGCAGAGAACCGCTTCCATATGACCCGGGGCAGCCAGGCGGTAAACACTTAGGTTCATGTTCTAAACCTCTGGGATGCAAATACAAATAGGATGAGGAATCCCCCTCGTATCTAGTCGATATCCCGCTCATTACTAACACTACCACCAAGCACAATGACCATTGTTCTCAAGACCCTCGCCGTTGCCGCTTTGGCCTGCGCTGCTCCCCTGGACTTGGGGCCTCGCGTCACCTGCGTACCGGGCCTTTACATGATTGTTGCCCGTGGTTCGTTGGAGCCTGCTGGTGAGGGCCGCATTGGCGCCATAACGAAGGCGGTTAAGGCGCAAGTCCCCGGGTCCAGCAGCGTGGCCGTGGACTATCCTGCAACCATTGTGAGCGGCACGCTATACCCTGAATCCGTCTACGAGGGCATCATAGACGCAAAGAAGAAGGTCCACAACTACGTCGCTACCTGCGGAGACGATAGCCGCATTGTCTTGATTGGATATAGCCAGGGCGGCAATGTCATTTCGGATATGCTGGCTGGCGGTGTGTTGAAGCCGATGCCTCTTGATGCAACCTACCGCAACTACAGTACGTTCTTCCCTTTCCTTCTTTCGTTTGTGTTTCTGACAACCAACTACACATTGTGTTCGAGTACCTGCTAATTACGTTTCTATAGTCAAATCGGTCGTCACGTTTGCTGACCCGACGTTTGCTGCCAACCAGACTTACGATTACGGCACCAATGCCAAAGGCAGTGACGGCATCTTTTCACGCTCCAGCAGTGCGTCAGAGACCGCCCTGCTCGAACCGTACGCCGACATCATGGCTGCATACTGCGATGCCAACGATTCCATCTGTGCAAGTGGCCAGTCCACAGCGGTCCATCGTGTCGAGGTGGAAAACCATGCGCAAGAGGCGATTGATTTCATCGTGGCTCACCGGTAGTGTGTGAGTCTAGTACATAGCGTGTATATAACAACTATACCTGTAGATAAGAATTAGCGAATGTAAATACAAAGTATTCTTTGCAACGATGATGAATGGAGAGGAAAGCAGCTGCTGCTGCTCCGTCTTAGCGCACTTTCAGGGCACATGGCCGTTTGGTTTAGCGGGTCTGCCACGCGCCAAAAAACAACCGCCTGAAGATCGCCCTGTGGGCTGCCCGCATCTGCAGCGTGCGCTGTTAAGTTAGCGGCCCGCCCGCTCCCAGGCGCTGGAGAGGACACGGCCCCATCACATGACGTAGCGCCCAAGAGGACACGAGCAGCTGTCCAAGCCAAGCTTCAGCCTGGCGTGTCGACACGAGTCTCTGGGCGCGCAGCATTTCAACATTCTCCCACTACACACTCAGCTTTTAGTTTCTTTGTTCTCTCTTCTCATCACCACCTCTTCGTTTATTCTCACCGCCCTATCGATTTTCCCATTTCTGCAGCTTCGAATGCAGCTCACCGCCGCAAACCGGTGACGCAAGGCAGCTACGCCGTAGGTTCCGCTCAGCACTGCCGGGCTTTGGCCTCCGGAGCGTCATAGATACCGAACACGCTGCCCATCATGGGATATTTCAAGGATATACTCCTTGCATACTTTGTTGGGGGCGTCACATTTATTCCGCTTGTTATTATTGCAGTTCTCGCCCACGCGCATTACACATTCCCACACCGACACGATGTATTGCCGCTGGGCAACGACGAAACAATACAAAGCGAAACCAAACAGTACGATGAAATAGTCGAGGAAGGAGATAATACCGAGGCACTGGATGCCGCGAGGGCCAACAAGGCTGAAGCTCTCCGAGCCAAGGCTAAGCTTGCTAGCCAAGATATTCCCGATGTGGCGGCAGGCTTCTTTGCTGTGTGCAGAGAATACACGCCCATGGGAATCAATGCAAAGCCTATAGAGCGATCTACGCCCGTGGGGTCGACAACAGTGGCATCCCCGAGCCCAAGCGTGTACCAGACCATGTATAGAAGCATCTTTGATCGCAAAGCTGCACCAAACGGGCCTATTGAAGGCACAAATATGAGTCAACGACCAAAGAGAGCTGGCAATGTGTTTTATGTCGTCTTGAGACACGGCCATCTGATGCTCTTTGACGACGAAGAACAGCTCGAAGTCCGACACGTCATCTCGCTTGCTCATCATGACATTAGCATCTACTCTGGTGGCGACGTGACTCCCGAAGGCGAGCTTTTCATTAAACGCAACGCACTTTGCCTCTCTCGCAGGGTTTCCGAAACCGACAACAATAACAGCGATACCCCGGTTTCAAAGCCCTTCTATCTCTTCTCCGAGAACTGCTCTGCCAAGGAAGATTTCTACTTTGCCTTGCTGAGAAACCAAGAACAAACATTTTCTTTTGAAGATAGAGCACCGAAACCAAAGCAGTTTGATGTTAAAGCCATCATTTCGCTGGTTCAAAAGCTACACTCCTCCGAAGACAATATACACTCGAGATGGATCAACGCCATGATTGGCAGAGTGTTCCTCGGCGTCTACGAAACACGGGACATTCAATATCTCATTGCCGAAAAAATAACAAAGAAAATCTCCAGAGTCAAGACACCATCATTCCTTACCAATATTGCTATTCGCCGAATCGATACAGGCACTGCGGCTCCCTATTTTTCCAACATGAAGCTCAAGGACTTGACTGTGGAGGGAGAGTGTGTCATGGAAGCGGATGTTCGGTATACTGGAAACTTTCGTCTTGAGGTGGCCGCCACTGCCAAGATTGATCTTGGCACAAGATTCAAGGCAAGAGAGGTGAATCTTGTGTTGTCGGTGATGCTGAAGCGAATCGAAGGCCACGTCTTGTTCAAGATCAAACCGCCACCAAGCAACCGAATCTGGTTCTCGTTCCAGACAATGCCAAAGATGGAGATGACTATTGAGCCAATTGTTAGCTCTCGCCAAATTACATATACAGTCATTCTGCGCCAGATTGAGAACCGAATCAAAGAGGTTGTGGCTGAAACGCTGGTCCAACCGTTTTGGGATGACATACCTTTCTTCCGAACAGAGCATAAACGCTGGCGCGGTGGCATATTTGAAGGCGACGACGCTGTAAATCCAACAGAAGATATCGAAAATGCTCTACCACCTCTCGCCACTGAAACCGATACCAAAACTACTGAGCCTGTGGAAACCAAAACTGAAGACGCTGGCGATGCTTCATCCTCGGGAGAGTCCACGACTGTCCAACCATTGGAAGCGACACCGGTTGCCACTGGCCTCTTTGGACGCAAGTTAACAAACAAGAATGGCCTTGATGGCAACATATCATCGGCGAGTGTAGACTCAAAGGGCTCAGCTCTATCCACGTCTCGCTCTCCAAATATTGTAAAGAATGCTGTCGAGCCCGTTGTTGCAACAGAGGCTGCACACTCAGATCTGTTTAAACCATCATCGCCGCCGGATCGGGCAACCAGTTTCATGGCTGCTCTGCAGTCGCGCGCACGAGATTCACCACTGGCATCACCAGTTGGATCGCCAGAAAAAGCACCACTGAAGCTCATGTCCAGCCAGTCATCCACATCATCCAAGGATCTCTCTGAAGCGAGTGGGGGCGATTTAGAAGCTACGCCTACTGCTGAGACTCGACGCAACACAGCTTCGTCTCTCGGATCAACATCTGGAGAGGACCAACTCACACCTGCTGAATCTGCGTCAGGATCCAGCTCATTTCAAAGCCAGACAGGCTCTCTTGGACGTAACTTCTTTATGAAGCGAGAAAACACCAACTCGACCTTGGGCAGCATAGACGGCGTTGCAGCAAAGAGAAACACACTCGCTGCCATGTCTAACGCTGCTGCTCAAGCGAAGCAGTGGGGATGGAATGCCATTCAACGGCAGAAGGAAGCTAGGCGAAACGCCGAAGCGGTAGACCTCACCCAACCAATGGGCCGTGGTCAACCACTACCGCCACCTGGCGTCCCATTGCCTGGGCCTGTGAATGGAAGGGGCACCTTTATGCCACCCGCTGTACCTCAGCGCAAGAACGAAAGCCCGCCTCTGCCAGAAAGACGCAAGACAGAATCCCATGGTTCAGAGCACGAACAGCGCAAAGCATCTACGCCTGTAGCCCAGCGAAGGAGGAGGGGCACGAGCCTGGAACATGATGAACCAGGAGATCAGCCGATGCTCATTGTTGCTATTCCTGATGAGTCGGAGCCAAGTACACCATTGAAAGAAGATGAGGTTGAGATTCTGGGCAGTGTTGCGCCGGCAGAGCCTGTAGCTGACCTCCCTGTGAATCCAGCCGAAGTGGAACTGCCCAAAAGGACCGCCATCTCTGGTAGCTCAAGCCCCATGCCTATCAAAGCATCAAGCGGTGCACGACAACGAGCGGAAATGGAAGAAACACTGGCGTCTACGCCTGACTCTGCAGAGCTCGCAGCACAGACGGAACCTATCGTTGCTCTGCCGGCTGCGGATCTACCTCCAGCTGCGGACATTGACGACGACTTTTCGCCTTGGTTGGAGGATAATACCGACGAAGATGTACCGGCTCCATTAGCGGCACCAGCTGATATCGCACACGAGAATGCTACCGACTCCAAGTCAATATAAACGTCCGGCTTTACTATTCCCTGGCAGCTGTAGACAAAAGATGTACATAGAACCAGCCTCTGCTAGACATATAGAAGACGAGATAGCATGAAAAGAAGTCAAGTAAAAGATTCAAAGTATCATTCATCATTAGTGCATTATTCAATGTGAAAAGCTGAATCCCAATACGCCAGGCCGCGTGGCCAAAATCCCGTAAACACTAGCCTAGAACCGATAGCCAAGGTTCTAATACAATAATTGTACACTTATATATAAAAAGCAAGACATACATCTCATACTCAACAACGGTTACCATTCCAAATCAGCCGCATTGGCAGAGGCCAGTAAACCACGAATAACAGGCCGTGTGCTTGCTCTTTCTCCAATCACGCGATTCTTCTGTCGCATTCTCGACCAAAAGACAGGACAGTCTTTGCTATCACACCGAATCTCATCCAGCGGTGCATGGCCAGTACAGTTTGTACAGATGGACAGAAGCTCCTGGTACTTCTTCTCCTCAATGCGCACCTTGGTCTCCAGAGCCAACAGGGACGCTGGGACGTTTGCTCTGCAATCCGGACACAAGGGTGTATCCTCATGATCGGAATGAGCAGCCTCGTTCCTGAACTTGACGCTGCAGACCGGGCAATGCGTCGACTTCATGTACGACTCTAACGTGCTACGCTTAGAGCCTGCCGCGAGGACTTGGTGAACGCGCTGGATCTTGGGCATCTCGTCGTACCACTGGCGCACGTTGGCGCCGACAAGATTGAAGATGCGTTCTAGCGGCGGAATCAAGTTCTTCGAGATGTAGTACTCGGCGTCTAGCTGCCAGTGTGGGTTGGCTAGAAGCTCCTCAGGCGCAACACATCGATCGATAAGTCGAGCGCCAGGCGCACCAGTCACCACGACATACGGGACACGCTCGCCATATTGCGGCTCTGCGCGCGCATCTTCAAGCATCTTCTTGGTACTAATGAGCGCACCTGCTGGTGGCGGTCCTTTGTCCGAGTAGCTGCCCAAGCGGACTTCCTTGGCGAAGCAAAAATCTTGCACCGAGACAGACCCTTTCATGATCTTCTCGCATTGGGACTGGAAGTACTGCTTGATCTGGCTGAGATCTGCCGTCTCAAAGAGCATGCGGAGAGCTTTTTCTTCAATCTTCTGCTCGGCTGGGGTTCCGTCTCGTCGAACAGTCTCGATGCCTTTGGCGTCGAATACCGGTGTTTCTTGGTCCTTGGTTTCGTACATGTAGCCGACATATCGCTTCTTCGCGAGCAGCACGCAGGGGAGATAGACTTTTTCAAATTTGAGCTTGACTGGTCGAGGATTGGCTTTGGTTACAGCGGCTGCAATTTCGTTGCCAATGTCGAATGCTTCGTCTTTGGTTCTGCCTTTGAGGTGAACGAACAAGCTGTCGGTATCGCCGTACACGACTTCGGCGTTCCACCGCTCAACAGAGTGGATGAGTGCAATAGCCCTCTCAAGTGTCTCGCGGCCGGTTTGTACAATGCTATCTGCGATTTCAGCACAGGGCATTCGACCAGAGAACGAGGCTGATGTGTAGCCGTAGGTTACGTTGGCAAGAAGCTTCAAGGCAAGCTGTCTGTTATTCAGCAGCTGCTGAAGCATCTTGTCGTCCTTGTCTTGCTTCATGCCGCTTTTGACCATGACGCGGGTTTCCAGGATCTCTGTCAACATCTTTGCCAGAAGCGACTTGCGAACTTCTGTCTTGGCATACATCATTCCGTTCGGCGCAATGTTGATATGGTCTCTTAACAAGTTTAGCAGACCCTCTTGTCGCTTGTACTCTGTAAAGCCCATCTTGCTCGCGCCGCGCCAGTTCATGATTCGCCCCAGAAATGTCGAATAGCAATAGTTGTATGCAATCATCACACTGGGGTATAGACTTTGAAAGTCCAATACTAAGACTGGGCTGCTGTAGAAAGCGCTCTGAGGTTCCATAACAAGAGGTAGACATTCTAGCGCATTTTGTCCACCGACCTGCTTTTTGCTTGGTGAGACCAACAACAGGTTCTCAGGCTTAGCAATGCGAAACATGATGGACTCAACTTTAAATTGCGATCCACGAGAAAAGACAGAAAAGAAATCCACACCAAGGAGTCTGGCTTGTTCACTCGTTCTCGGAATGAGCTCATTTGCGTCAAGGATATCCAGGTCCATCCTTGTTCGGCTATGGTAATAGCGAATAACTTTGCTTATGTCGTGAAGCCTGGTGCTCTTATACCAGTTTGTAAGAGTGCGGAATGTGTAGTGGGGAGTTCGAAGATGCAGAAGATGCCATGCCACATTCTCCAAGGTATATTGCAACAGAGCAAGCTCGGATCGCATTGCTCGCCAGATATTAATCATGTGTCGGCCAGTAATACGGATTGTAGATGTTGTGTTGAAGCCCCATCGGTCACTTTGCTTGCCGAAACGACCGTGTGACTCTGTTTTCATTCGGGATAGCTCATCGCATAGATTGTAGTCATATCTTAACCGCGCACGCTCCATCAGAAAGCCCCAAGAACCGCCGTGTACCTCATAACCTGTGAGAATGTCTGGATCGAGCGAACGAACCACATCAACTAGAGTTACGAGAAGGTCCAACTCTGTACTCTCTTGTCGGACCTCGAAAGGAACCATTTTGGATAATCTCTGTGGAATATTGCTCTCCGCATCTAGAACAATTAAACCAGACACGACGCCGTCGTCGACGTCGTCACCCTTGCAAGACCAGAAAATACATTGGACCTCGTCCTCTTCTGGGTTTGGGACGAGCTTTCCGCGGGTATTGACGTGAACCTCCAGACTCATCGTACTCATGTAAGACACCTCATGCTGGACACTAGTTGTCTTGCGTTTCTGTGTGTATTTGAAAACATGCCTTCTACGTGGGGTTGGTCCGTCAATCTGTGACATGAATTTCTTACGACTCGCACTGTTCTGAGAGGCTCTGGGGGCTTGTGAGGATGCAGCTGAGGTCGAGTCCGTTCTCAGCCAGGCCATGACTTCGCTAGCGGACGGCGGTTGGGTGTCAATCTCCCACGTTCTCCAAGAGCAAGAACGGCGCTGCCTTTCCAACCTGAGGCTCAGTGCCTGTAGTAGTTCCTGATTTGGTGGTGTTGTGGATATGGCATTGTCATCAGACTGAAACTCAGGAAGAAAGGGTAGAGTGTTGCCTTCCAAGCGATACTCTCTTCCAGCGTATTCGCGATTGCGCGAAGGTACATCTTGCTCTCTGCTATAAAATGCGTCTTGGTAGATAACTTCTGGGAAGCCGAGCGCTGGTAGTGATGAGTCGGCACTAAATTGCGGTGGTCGTTGGGCGTAGATAAGTGTTCTTCGAGTCGAAGGGCCGCCAAAGTCGCACCGCCGAATTAAAGGTTGTTCTTCAGGGTCCTCATTTTGCGACTGTGTCTGTGGTTGTGATGGCCTGGCCTCTTCTTCGGCTGGAGTTGGCATGGAGGACGGTATCTTGCTAGAGTCTGCGTCTAAAGAGTTGTTCTGAGAGTGACTGTCTCGACTCTTTTGACTGAGCCTATATCTTGTATGTGGGTCATTTTGATCTTTCACAATTGGGAAGTTCAACGTCTGTGATGATGATGGCGGAGCGAGGCGCCCTGATTTGCCCTGTTGGGATGAGGACTTGTCGAGACGAGGACGCTTGCCAGCCGATGCTTTGAATAGCCCCGAGTTGGTTGTGGCAGGGGCTGAGCGTTTGCTTCTTTGAGAAGCATTCCATGTAGTCATCCTGAAATCCAACATTCTTGTTTCATTACCGGTTCTGCCTATGAAGCCTAGGTCCTCAGCCGCTGTAATGAAAGCGTCGGAATGGGGTAGACGAGGAAGACTTCCTGTCACAAACCCGCTTGCACAAACTCCAGCACAGTAGTCGGTGGTTTGATTGCTTTGACTAGCCCCTTTGAGTTCTGCAGATGGCGATGGAGGTATGACTGAAGTATCGGCTGGCTCCTCTAACATATCATCGTCGTTTATGGCATCTGATTTCAAGGCCATTTGTTCATCAACTTCTATGCTGCTTGACGGATCCTGTGCCATGCTTACGTTAGACGGTAACCCAAGCGCTGGCAGAAGTTTGTCCGGGTAGAGATCTTCAACTGATTGCAGAGCAGTATTGATAGAGTCTTCAATAGGGTCACAGTGCACAAAGTTGTCGAAACTGCGCCCCTCACAGAGTCCAGCGTTCTTCTCATCGTCCACCAGCGATTGAAGTTGAGCCCGGTATTCATCTTCATGAACCCAATTTTGTGATTGGAGACGCTGTGAGTCCGCTGACATCGAAACTAACACTTCCGGAGGGAAGGGGCTCAGACCTTGTTTACCAACAGGGAGTCGGCGCTTCCTCCTTGTTGTCTCGTCCCTCCATAGACCAGCCAAACTATGAACGAGTTTTACTCCGATAGGTAGTGGGTTGAATAGCTCGACGAAATCATGGTGTAAACTCCTACTTTTAATGTGTTTTCTGTTCTTGATGTCCTGTACACTGATGTCTACCTCGAGCCCACAGTGGCTGACCCTAGGTAGCGAGAGATCGTCAGTGATCCTTTCGCTTGGGACAGAAGCTTGATTCCATGAAAGTGAGGGTTCCAAATCCTCACTGACTTCAGGCACTGGAGCTCGAAACCATGTTTGGCTTGAATCCAGATAGTCGCATCCGTATAAGTTGTAATCTGTCATAAATTGCGGGATGTACTGAAGGTGAGCTTCGAATGGCTGGAATTTCTGTTTCAAAATAACACCCTGTTGCAAAAGGTCTGCCAATCTATTCATGTATACCGGATTGAATAGATAAATCTTTAGGTAAAAGCGATAACCAACGTGGTATCCGTAGAATGGTGTCGCTTTCACAAGGGTGATTCGGGCTACGAATCTCGCATTGCCCCCATCTTGATCACGCCGATAGCTCACCGCAAGTGCGTGGTCTATCGAGAGATGAAGGCGATAGATGTATACACCAACTACGAAGGCAATATTAGTGCGGTTCTATATTCAATCCAGAGTTGCAGGTATACCTTGTTCCGCCTCAAGAGGACCATTGTATTCCACATAGAGATACGGAAATGCACCATGAATATGCGCACAGACTTTTTGACCATGCTCAGTTGAACCAAATACTCTGATCACAGGGACCTTGGGACCTTTCAGAGATTGTGAGAGACGCTCATCGTTGCGTAGTTGCGGATCGTATCTTGTTGGAGCGGCTTGGTAGTGATCAATACAATTTATTCTGACGCGGAACACGTTCATTGTAGATCTAGCCTGGGTATTTTATATCGCCACATATTAATTTTTGAAATTCTTTCCGTTTTTTCGATAATTTCCTTGCACGCTTATTGAGTTCACGATCAAGTATACAGCTAAACGCGAACGTTCAATGTCACTGGCGCGAGCGCACGTGATGATAAGGTAGCCTAACGCAGAACTTATCGGGCGCATTCCCAATGACATTTCTTTCAGGGAAGCATCTCACCGGACGTCAGCTTTTGCGACGGTACACAGGGTTTCCGGCGATATCGACATATACATAACTCGAATAACGAAAACCAATTTCACCTTTGAGTTTTTACCGAATATTATATCCAGAAGCGTGCACCTCATACCCGTCACGATGCCGCCACCACCACCTCCGCCACGCAAGTCGGAAACCGGCGCTGCCTCGAAAGAAGAAAACATTTACATTCCGTCTTTCATCAGTAAGCGCCCGTTTTATGCTGGTGATGAAGGCGACGACAATGATTACTTAAAGCATCAGCGTCGCGAGGAGAAAACCGAGAAGTCCCAGTGGTATGATCGTGGCCGTAAAGCTGGACCTGCTGCGACCAAATACAGAAAAGGCGCCTGTGAGAATTGTGGTGCGATGACACATAAAGCCAAAGACTGTTTGAGTAGGCCGCGGGCGAAAGGCGCCAAATGGACTGGCAAAGATATCCAAGCCGATGAAGTCGTGCAAGATCTGAAGCTGAACTGGGACGCGAAAAGAGATCGTTGGAATGGTTATGACGCCAGCGAGTATCGCCACGTTGTCGACGAATATAACGAAATGGAAGATTTAAGAAAACAAGCGGTCAAAGCAGCGGGCGGAGACGTCGACGAAGATGGCGACAAGTACGCTGAGGAGAACGACATGAGCAAGCACCAAAGTACAGCTACCCGACAGCTCCGTATACGTGAAGATACGGCGAAATACTTATTAAATCTCGATCTCGAATCTGCAAAATATGACCCCAAAACAAGGTCTCTAGTAGATGGTGGAGCAACATCGGATAAAGCGTCGCAATTGTTTGCTGAGGAAGGATTCATGCGCTCGTCTGGCGATGCAGGTGAATTTGAGAAGGCCCAAAGATATGCATGGGAAACACAAGAGAAAACCGGAAATACTACATTACATTTACAGGCGAACCCTACAGCCGGAGCCTTCTTGCGAAAGAAGGAAGCAGAGGAAGCCGAGAAGAAGCGCGAAGCACGAGAAAAGGACCTGCAAGAAAAGTATGGTGGCGGAGAGCAGAAGTCATTACCATCGGCATTGCGCAATATGGTTGTCGCACAATCAGAAACATATGTCGAATATGATGAATCGGGTCTTATCAAGGGCGCACCAAGGAAGAAGGCCAAATCCAAGTATCCAGAGGATGTACTTATCAACAATCACAAGTCAATCTGGGGTAGCTGGTGGTCTGATTTTAAATGGGGATACGCATGCTGCCACTCATTTATTAAGAATAGTTACTGCACCGGAGAGGATGGTAAGCTAGCCTGGGCAGCGTCGGAGCGCCAAAGATCAGGGATTGATCTACCTACCAACGACGACGCCAAAGAGCCATCGTCTGTTGAGGAGCCTGCTATTGCATCGGAAAAGGTAGATGCGGAGGCTGCCCAAAATAAGAAAAGAAGCCGTGATGCCATGATGAATGGCGTTTCCGAAGAAGAGCTGGAGGAATATAGGAAGAAGCGCGCCGCGGCTAGTGATCCTATGGCCAATATGCTTGGCAAGGACGAATTGCTACAGTAGCAGAAGTTCCTAAGCCAAAGCTGAAATGTACTTTAGTAGACCATGTAAACATATTACCGGTTATCCCGTATGTGCTATTAAAGATCCGAAAAGCAGAACAGCACTAAAGAAAAGACGATTACATTCACTTCGGAAGAGAGACCATGTTTCATGTTTTAAACTTTCATTTCCATTTTTTAATCCTAAGCAACGCCCGTAGCTATGACTAGAAATCGTACTCCTATTTGCATAACGCATTCATATTCCAGTAATTGCGAAAGGAAAGGTCGTGTGTCGAGTTTCAGTCAAATTTACTCCTCGTCCTCCTCGGCATCACCCTCAGCCTCGGCGGCGGCCTTGGCCTTCTTTCTTCGGACACGGCCAGGGCGGCCGCTGCCGAAGGGAGAGTTCAGAGCAAAGTCAATGTGCTTCTGGGAGTCGAGACGGACGATGAAAGAAGGAACGTTGACGATCTGCTTGCCAACACGGATGTGACGCTGGCGGATCAGGACACGGGCGTGGTGGATAGACTTGGCGAGGCCGAGCTTGTAGACGCAAGTCTGGAGGCGGCGCTCCAAGAAATCCTCAATTTTGAGGGCCAAGACGTAATCGAGCTTCATGCGGGACTCGTCGAGGACACCGACACGAACGAGACGGCGAATGAGGGCATTGCCTTCGAAGAGACGCTTGGGGTCCTTCTCGTCGAGGGTAAGAAGCTCACTAAAACACAAAGACGTTAGCAGGGTGGCTCAGGTGGGCAGAGCACACGAGGTGCGCATAGATAGATAAAACATACCGAGCAGCACGACGAATCTTGGAGAGGGTCAGTCCGACGCGCCAGATCTCACGCTTGTTGCGGAGACCGTACTCGCCGACCTGCTTCAACTCAGCATCACTATAGTATATGTCAGTTTCTAGTCACAAACGACTTAAACAGAGACAAGCTCATGTTCATTGGCCGGTGATTACTGACAGTCGGGCAGACTCGAAGGGTCTACGGGGGACACGGGAGGTCTTGGAAAGAGCGCGAGGAGGCATTCTAGGAGATAATTAGTTTTGGTCAAAGAAGTAGACAAAATCAATCACTTACTTGGCGATACTCCGAGGTGTTGGCTGGAGTAGGAACTTTTCTCGCTTTCCACAGAGACAGACTAGAAATTGGGTCGGCAGGGTTGTGGGGATCGTAAATTTGGCGGTAAGGTCACGTGCCCGCACAAAAAGCCCTAAAGTGCTTGGGAACCCACGCACCACAGTTTGTGCCCTACCATTCGGCAAAGAAATTTATTTGGATTATCTAAGCATCCACAAGCCCGGTCGCAAAATCGTCGACCACTCCACCAAAGGGCTCTCGACACCACATTTTTGTCCCCAACGATCACGACCTACGAACAACCCGTTACTTCGGTCAGATAATTCACAATGGGTCACTCCTACGGAAAGAGAGCAGGCACCCGCGTATGTTTTCTTCGACTTTCTTCGACTCGACCTAGGAACATTGCCGACTAACGAGACGAATAGTATGCCTTCAGCAGGGACTTCCGCAAGAAGGGTGTTATCGCCCTCGGCACCTACTTGAGACAATACCGGTGCGTAGGAAACGATATTCGATTGCAGAATGCAAAAGTTTCGAACGAAATACTGACCGATTCCATAGCGTTGGTGACATTGTCGACATCAAGGTTAACGGTGCTGTCCAGAAGGGGTAAGAACGAATCCGATTTATGAGAGTCTTGAAGGCTTTTTTCCACCTTGAAACGACATTTTGTACTAACCTCCGAACCAGTATGCCCTACAAGGTCTACCACGGCAAGACCGGTGTCGTCTACAACGTTACCAAGAGCTCCGTCGGCGTCATCATCTACAAGAAGGTCTGGCACCGCTACATCGAGAAGCGCCTCAACATCCGCGTCGAGCACATCCAGCCCTCCCGCTCCCGTGAGGATTTCCTCAAGCGCGTCAAGGCCAACGCCGAGGCCAAGAAGCAGGCCGCTGCCTCTGGCACCACCGTCCAGGTCAAGCGCCTTCCCGCACAGCCCCGTGAGGCCCGCACCGTCTCTTTGACCGACGTTCCTCCCGAGACTGTTACCCCTCTTGCGTACGAGACTACGATTTAAAAGGTGTTCGTGGAATTGGAATGGTAGTTGGTTCTTATTTTCTTGTGGTGTTTCGTCCGGATGGGAACGATCTGAGCATGGCAAGGTCTTGCATTTTGATGTCCATAGAAATGAGACTCTAAGTGGCATCACCCACTTTCAAATTCATGTCGAAAGGCCCCTTTGTGCCATGTGATTGATGTTTTAATGCTGGGGGGTATGCGCATGTCGCTTATTGCATTTTGTAAAGTTGATACAGAAGGCTGCCGCTTAAGAGGAGTGTCGACGGTCATGCACAACATGTTGATTGTCTTTTAATCATCAGCACTTTGTTATAAAGTACAGATTTTATGATCGACGGCCAGTGTACCGTGGACTCAAATCTATATAATTGGAACAATCTGGATATCACTATGACTGCTGTCGCGCATCAGTGGCGTACTTGAGACGATGTCTGCATGTCCGTCAACCAGTCTCTAACATTGCCATGTAAAAGGAAAACCCGCATATTCGCACAATGCCCAATTAATGAAAATTAGATGACCAGAATACATGAAACCTATTTTTTTTTTTACTAGGATACAGTCGCTCTTCTACCGTAGCCTACTTCAAGGTTTCGCTACCAAACATTCTGCCACTTCTACACCGGAGCGGATCAGTTATAAGCCGGAATGCCCCCAGACCCACTTTAGAGCCGCGCTCCAGCGACGGAGCTTGTCTGGTGCTCCGTGGGTACCGCTGTCGTCGTGCCTGACGTACATGGAGAAGCTGACGACAGCTTCCACAGTCGCAAACCTGCATTTACCGCCACAGCCGCAACACAAACCCGCCATCGCCTATCCGCTGATTGTGTCTCCGATACAAGGGCCAAAGGATAGTCGGTCATTGACAGAGGCAAACGTCTTGATTACCCCTCTCCTACCAAATCCGGCTGGATCTCCTATTCACAATCCCAGCGCCCGGCTGCGAAGCTAGGTTGGACGTCGAAGATGTCATCCCTTCGTACCTCCGATCATGTCAAGTGGGTATTGTTCAAATGCGTGACTTTATGCCTTCTATCTAACGATATCCCCTCTAGATCGGACCAGGAACTCGCCATCAGTATCAAAAAGGCCACTAGCAATGACGAGATCTCGCCCAAGCGCAAGCACGTCCGAGCATGCATCGTCTACACCTGGGACCACCGATCGTCGTTGGCATTCTGGGCCGGAATAAAAGTGTAAGTTTAGGTATTTGAGTGCAGGCAGACTTTGTTGCTAATCGTTGTATCTTAGCCAACCTATCCTAGCCGACGAAGTGCAGACCTTCAAGGCTCTCATCACGATCCACAAAGTCCTCCAGGAAGGCCACCCTAGCGCTTTGAAGGAGGCTATGAACAACAGAGGATGGATCGATGGCTTGAACAGAGGAATGAGCGGAGAAGGCGTTCGTGGCTACGGTCCCTTGATTCGCGAATACGTCTACTTCCTCCTGGCCAAGCTGTCTTTCCACCAGCAGCACCCCGAATTCAACGGCACATTCGAGTACGAAGAATACATCAGCTTGAAGGCTATCAATGATCCGAACGAAGGCTACGAAACGATCTCAGATCTCATGGTTCTGCAGGATAAGATTGAGCAGTTCCAGAAGCTAATCTTCTCTCACTTCCGTAATGTTGGAAACAATGAGTGCCGCATCGCCGCTCTTGTCCCTCTGGTGCATGAGAGTTATGGTATCTACAAGTTTATCACAAGCATGCTTCGCGCATTGCATTCAAGTAAGTGAATCGTATGGTGTGTGCATTGGGCTTTGCTAACCAGCGCAGTTACGGGAGATGACGAGGCTCTCGAGCCCCTCCGACAACGATACGATGCACAGCACTACCGTCTTGTTAAGTTCTACTACGAATGTTCGAACCTGCGTTACCTCACCAGTCTCATTACAATTCCCAAGTTGCCAAATGACCCACCAAACCTATTGGCAGAGGACGAGAATGCCCCCAAGCTGCCAGCAAGACCGAAGGGCGAGATTGAACGAGCCCCGTCGCCGGTGAAAGAGCCCAAGTCTGAGGAGCCTGATGAGATTTCCGAATTTTGGAAGACTGAGTTGGATCGACAAAACCGCGAGTACGAGGAACAGCAGAGAGTGCTCGAAGCTCAGCAGCAGGCGTCGCTCCTTGCACAACAGCAAGCTCAGCTTCAAGCACAGAGGGACTTTGAGGAACAACAGCGAAAGTTGATGGAGCAACAACAAAGAGAAAAGGAAGCGTTGATGGCCCAGCAAGCTCAATGGCAAACTCAAGGACGTCTGGCGGAGCTTGAGCGAGAGAACTTGAACGCTCGTGCTCAGTACGAGCAAGATCAGCTGACATTGCAGCAGTACGATGCACGTGTGAAAGCCTTGGAGGGTGAACTGGCGCAAATTCAGAACAGCTTCGGCCAACAACTGGGTAGCAAAGACGAGCAAATCCGTGCGCTACAAGAGCAAGTCAACACATGGCGCAGCAAGTACGAAGCTTTGGCGAAGTTGTACTCTCAACTACGCCACGAGCACTTGGATCTGCTGCAAAAGTTCAAGGCTGTTCAACTCAAGGCCGCCAGTGCCCAGGAAGCAATCGACAAACGCGAAAAGCTTGAGAGAGAAATCAAGACCAAGAACCTCGAGCTTGCCGATATGATCCGTGAGCGTGACAGAGCTCTGCATGACAAGGACCGCCTCAGTGGCAGCAACAAGGACGAGCTTGAGAAGCTGAAGCGCGAACTTCGCATGGCCAATGACCGTGCGGATAACTTGGAGCGCAGCAAGGGTAACGAGCTGTCCACCATGTTGGCCAAATACAACCGCGAAATGAGCGACCTCGAAGAAGCTCTACGCAACAAGTCCAAGGCCCTTGATGATGCCCATTCCTCCCTTCGCGATGGAAGCTCTGATCTAGAGCAGCTCCTCCGTGAAAAGGAGGAAGAGCTCGAGGTTTACAAGGCCGGCATGGACCAAACGCTTATTGAGCTCAACGACTTGAAGCAAAACCAGGGCACAAGCGACGATTTGCTGGATGGCCAACTGGATGCTTTGATTATGGCCAATTTGGAGAAGATTAACGACATTATTGATTCCGTGTTGCAAGCCGGAGTTGTTCGTGTGGATGATGCTCTGTACGAGCTGGACTCTTCCATGCAAGCTGGTAACCAAAATGCTTCGCCGTCCTTTGTTTTGTCACAAATCGAAAAGGCTGCGTCCAGCGCCATGGAGTTTGCTACGTCTTTCAACAACTTCATTGCAGATGGCCCGAACAGCACCCATGCCGAACTCATCAAGTCTATCAACGTCTTTGCAGGCGCCATGGCTGATGTATGCACCAACACCAAGGGTCTCACACGACTGGCAACCGACGACAAGAAGACGGACTCTTTGATGAACGGAGCTCGCCAGTCTGCCCAGGCGACAGTCCAATTCTTCCGTGGCCTGATGAGCTTCCGACTGGAGGGAATGGACGCGCTTCAAAAGACGGACGTAGTGATCAACAGCAGTACCGATGTCCAGATGAACCTTCAGAAGCTAAACAAGCTCGTGGAAGCTTTCGCACCTGGCTTTGGCAAGCTGACGAACAACAAGGGAGACTTGGGAGACCTTGTAGACTCTGAGTTGTCCAAGGCAGCCGATGCTATTGCTGCTGCAGCTGCCCGCCTTGCCAAGCTGCGCAACAAGCCGCGAGATGGGTACTCTACGTACGAGCTCAAGGTGCACGATTCCATCCTTGATGCCGCGACCGCCATTACCAATGCTATTGCGGAACTGATCAAGGCGGCAGCCCTGACACAGCAAGAAATTGTCCAGGCTGGACGTGGCTCGTCGTCAAGAACGGCATTTTACAAGAAGAACAACCGCTGGACCGAGGGACTCATCTCGGCCGCCAAGGCTGTCGCCTCCTCTACTAACACACTGATTGAGACTGCTGATGGTGTCTTGTCGAACCGCAACAGCCCCGAGCAGCTTATTGTTGCGTCCAACGAGGTTGCTGCCTCCACAGCTCAGCTTGTTGCCGCCAGCCGTGTCAAGGCCGGCTTCATGTCCAAGAACCAGGATAGACTTGAGCAGGCCAGCAAGGCGGTTGGCGTTGCTTGCAGATCGCTGGTTCGCCAGGTACAGGAGCTCATCAAGCAGCGCGGCCAGGAGGAAGAGCAAGTGGATTACTCAAAGCTCGGCAGTCACGAATTCAAGGTCCGGGAGATGGAGCAACAGGTATGTCGAACCGCTGCACGTCATTTCTTTTTACGAACGTATTGACTAACCTTTGCACGAACACGTAGGTCGAAATTCTTCAGCTGGAGAACGCCCTCGTAGCTGCACGTCACCGACTGGGAGAAATGCGCAAGATTTCCTACCAAGAGGAATGATTGCGACCGCGTAAAGACGGCAAGGAAGAAGTAGTTATTGCATCCGGGTGCAACACTGTTGCAGACTGATAAATCATGTGACGATACGTTGTGGTGTTGCATGGACTATACGGAAGAAAGACAGTAGAGCTGATACTGGCTGCAGCGGATGCAGGCGGGCAATGTCCGGCCGGCTGTGCGCTGCATGCAAAGGCGGGACGAGGAAGAGGCGGCTATGTATGTTCGCTGCAAGCAAGCTATATACAAATTTCCAATTTCAGACGTTGTTTGTTTTAACCACTATTTTTGTTCTTGTGTCTTTTTCTTTGTCGCCCACCACCCACTGAACTCTCTCTTACAACATCATCACCTTCCACCGCAACTCAACAGTTTTTGCTGCAATAATAATAAAAGGACCATTTTTAACGGACTTAGTGACAAGCCCAGAATTCCTCGGATTTTTATCATGCCCAAAACAGACAAACATCCCCCAAAAGCTGAGTGGAAGGGGGGGCGTGTGCATTGCAAAGCCAGCAAGCCCCCTGTGGTTGGCTGTCCTGGCCTTGCACTTTTGGGGCGCGTCCACTCCGATCCCACAGCGTGCTTCTGCTCTCTTTCCCCTTGGAGCCGCCGCCTGTTCTGTGCATTACAGCGCACGCAATAGGGAACAGGCCCACTGTATTTTGACAGCTGCGCCGCCGCTTGACCTTTTTCTAGACTGGCACAGCGGGGGCTTTAGGCTGCCCCCCATCGCCCCTCCCCCAAAAAGTTAAACCGCCACTAACGGTCCCCTGTAGCGCTATACTCTCGCCGTTGGGGGCACTGCCAGCTCTTGCCAACTCCACACCAACAACCTCTCGGCCAACACCGAGCGTTTCAGCAACGCCTCCCCCAATCAATCAGCCAGTCAAACGAGTTTCATCTCAGCGCCTTCTCACTAACTCAAAGTTTCTTCTCTTCTTTTTAACAGATGGCGCTCTTTTCCTTTCCCATTCGGCTTATGTGACCTACCCGTCCTGCGGGCCCCTGCTCTCCCACACTCTTCGTTAGGAGCCATCCCATTGACATCGCAGCACACACAAAGACGCCTCTTTCCAAACTTGACGCTAAGTCCTCAACTAACGTAAAGACGGACCGTTTGACTTGCCTGGCTGCAGGCGGCACATGGCGCTCCCGAACAACAAAGCGTGCGAGAGCCGACAAGAGCGGTCCAATTTCGGCTTTGACCCTCCAACAGACTTTTTGTTTAAGGCTACTAATGTGAAATGGAATACAACCACCCCTCAACAAGTACTCCCACTAACTAGCAAAATACAACGGGGAATAGAGTGGCTCTGGGCGGTGATGCACTCATTGCCGCCGTGGGGCCGCCGCACATCCTTGATTGCTTGCCAGACCACCCAAAATACGCTTCTCTCTTATGATTGGTTGCGAGCCGCAGGTTGTCCGTATCACTGGCTGTTTTCCCCTGCGTTGATTGCTCAAAGCATCTCTCAGCGCACCGGCTACCCGGTTTACATCTATGTTTGCCAGCAACATGCACCGCAATTTATCGGAGTCGTACAGTGTTCGCAGAAGCACCAGCTACAGTGCTCGATCAAAATCTCGACGTCGTAACCAAAGTATAATCAGATAGTGGCAGGGAACTCGATGATCGAAGGGTCCCAAAAAAACCGTTGACACTAGACGCATGGCGTAGAAGGGCGAGCTAAACCCGAGACTCACGCAGCTTCCGGTTGGTCTCGCTAACGTTCTACTAACTAGGATAAGTGCTGTTTTGAACCAACGCCAACCTTGGTGCCCATCGATGGATCCCAGGGCTGTGGCGTCCGCTAAACAGTGAAAGTAGACGAGGACTCGACCAATAAGCCAAAAGGATGCGCAGCCACGTACCCTCTGTCTAGGTGCAGCATTGCAACGCTAGAACCCTTTCTAACGTTCTCCCCTCGTAGGCTCAGGTAGCAGCGCTGACCAGGGCGAGAAGGCTTGGACGCAGAGGGAGGGGCTCGGAGCTATGGAACGGCTTCCGGAACCAAGTGCATGCGCCATGGCTGGCGACGACAACAGAGTCGAATGTGGCTGGCTTGTCAAGGAAGCCATTGTGCTCGATCGAGGAACTCAGGTAGGTTGTCGCTGTCGCCCAGACTATACTGACAGTTGGGGGATTTGGCAGTGCCTCTCTTCTATCTCTTGGACTCCAGCAACGCCACTGCTCTCCTTCTAGGCCATCCCCTGCCATTCCCTGCCATCCAATCCAGGCTGGCCATTCACACCAGTAGCAGCGCGACCCTCGGCGGTAATCTCAGTTAGTTATCATCACCGCGGGGCCAAAGAGTCAACTCCACACGCGGCCGCGTAGGGAGAAAACAGGCGAAGTGGATCGACTCGAGAGACAGATGAAGCATCCTGGGTAACATTGCTGGGCCTTCAATTTATCGGGCATGTCCGTAATCTCTCTAGAAGTTGAGCATGTTATGGCCATTGAAGCAGGCTAAATTGATTTGCAGCAGGAGAACTTGGGAGACTTGATGCGGGCGGTAGTGTGTTAACGAGCTGACACATTTGCAAGACATGCAGCCAACAACACCCAACCATTTTGCGCATGGCGTCTAAAAAAAAAAAAGGGCGACATCAGAGAGCCAACTTCTACATTGAAAAGCAAACAAATTCGTACTACTGCAAAGAAAGTATTGGCGCCCTCTGTGCGTGTCATGGAACCTTTTGTTGGACTAGGCGCGTGCCGTGGTTGAGAACCCAACTCACCAACTACTGACTCATAATGGTAAGTCGTCAACGCCCGATTAAGCTGTAGGTGCGAAATATCCTGTGGGATACAGAATTATCAATCAAGAACCTTTTACCCCTCATCACAAGGCCGAACCCCGCTCAAAGGAGCACGATCCGAGGCATGAGGGGAACAACAAACTCAAAGTTTGATGACATCGTCAGCCTAACCCAACTAGAGTTTGTGGCCCGCCTGGTCCTCTGTGCTGCGAATAGGTCAAGTGCTGTTCTTTCGTATTAACCGTAGCGTCTCTATTCAGCCTTCAATGAGTCTTCTTAGTGCATCTTGCATGGCGCAGCCTCTAGACCCTTTTTCAGCGCCCATCACCAACCATCCATTGGAAGCATTGGTGTGTTCGAGGCTTTCGCAGTGCGACTGGAGAACGGACACCGTTGCGCCCCGTGCGTTTTCGTCAGCGTACGCCCCCCTCCTTCAAAAACGACGCTAGATCATCTCCACAAACGTCTTTGGCGCATTGCCATATCGGGCAAGTCAGACAGGACCTTTTCTTCGGCGCCTTCGGAGAGAGTTTGGAACGCTTCTGGACAACTGGGCGAACGAGCCTGCGGCCGATCACTCGCCCCCTTCCAAGCCAACTGCTACGTATGTGCAGTATTGATGTGAGTGTTCTGTAGCGGCATGATTCTCGCAAGAAAATAATTAAAAGAAAAAAGAACAGGAAGGGAGCAAGAAAATAACGACACATGTAAGTTATACAGTGAGGAACGCCTCAGAGCGCGTCATGCTCGTTGGACGCTTGAGCCTAGCTTAAGGGTCTCCATCTCTAACACCAGTCGTACGTACAACTCAACCTTGGTTGGAACACAATACCATCCACGCAAACACGTACTCAGGAAGAAGATGCGCTAGAACTGCTGGTCCTTGGACACTCTTGTCGACCCCCGTACCCAACAGCCTCGCAGGTTGCACCCATCCCACGGCTTGGTTAGTATGCACTCGCTACATCATGCAGCCCTGTACAGTGCTCATACATCTTGTACTAGCTGGCCAGGAACTGGGTGCAATGGAAACTCCTTCTAATTAGCATTCGCTTGACCGGAAATATAACGGCCGACAGGTGGGCCATGCAACAAACTCGCCAGCGGACAGTCTCCGTGGGTCAAGGACAGGGCTCATTTGAAGGTACCAGCATCACCTGACAAGAAGGAACTGTGACACAGAGCAGTAGTTCGCGCTCCATGGCTAGTGTACTGGTGGGAGCGATGTTGTTAAGTTTAGCGGCGCCGCCTTGCAAGATCTCAGACGTTGGGATGGTGGCAGTGCAACCCATCCGCAACCCGCAATCTGTTCTCAACACATCTTTGTATGGAGTCCAACTTAGCTGGGGTTCTTGGAAGAAGAAGTCCGCTATCCTAACTATCTTGTTGCCAACAACCATGGTAGAGGGGAGAGGAGCCCGGGGCAGAAGTCGTTCCCAGCGGCGTCGGGGATGCCGCAAGAGTCCGGGCGGGGAGCGTCCTGTTCAGCAGCAATCCCAGAGCAACAGCAGCGGACACTGGAAAGCATTCACCCCCATTCAATTTGGACAAGACGCAGGGGGTCTTCCTGTCTGATTGGGCGCGTCGTGGGGATGAAGGCGCACGGGTAGCCAATCCCATCCGATACCGATTGCTTGGATCGTGCTCCCAGCGTCATGCGTCATGGACATGGCACCATGGCAGGGTGCCTTGCCTGGGACGGAGAGAACAGTCCCAGGTGCCTGTTTTCGCAATTTCCAACGAAAATCTAAGTTTTGTTTTCACCGGAACTGACCCTGTGCTCGGAGAGTCGCCATCCGACCCAACAGCCTCGATTGATTGCTGGATGGGTAGTCAGTCCTGTGTCCGCCATGAATTCTGTGACGGTATCTACAAAGTATACTTGTGTTTCCGAAAAGCTAAGTTTCCAACAAGCTAAGTTTCTGTAATTCAATGAAAACTATTATTTGACACCGTCAGAGACTGTCCTTGATCCCCATAGTCCCGTCTTGTCGTCCGTAGTGCCCAAAACCCCCGAAGAGTCCCCGCCCACAGTGACGCGCGCTCCACTAGCGCCACGACACACCCACTGTAAAAGATGCTCCTCAGCGTACGCCCCTCCCCAACCCTCAGCCCGCAGCGCCAGACAGCGCCTTCTACAGGCGCTCCTCTGCGCTGGTGCTTTTCCTTCTGGGCGCGCTTCCCCGTCCTCTTAGAGTTGGTTGTAAGAGCCCACATTGGCGTCCGATGGGCCTGTATTGTGAGTTTTCCCACGGACTTGGCGGCTTGCCAGGTAGGAGAAGTGGAGGAATTCTTCGCCTAAACTTGTGATTGGGAGAGAATAGTCGTCTTGGTATTCTATGGATTTCCTAGTGCTATGACAGATCCGTCCGTTCTGGACAGCAAAGTTGCATGTTGCTTTTCAAGAGGAGGATGCTCGCAAGGATCATGTCGTCTGATTATTGCAGATGAAAAAGTTTCTTTTCACTCTACCTGCCCAACAAATAAGAAATGGTGCTATTTAGCAGTCTACTGTCCACTTGGAAAATTGAAAGGTGCTTCTCCTGTGCCGTAATCCCTCCATAGCGTGCTGAAAAGATCGTTCTCAACGCTTTTGAACTCGTTGGTAACAGTTCCTTGAAGCCCGTCGGAAATCGGAAACGCTTCGAATGTTTCCTGTTGATAGACACCGCTGTGGTTGTAGACCAGGGCGTTATCGACGCTTCCTTCCATCACGGCGTCTACGAATGCATTGTCGATGCCGGTTTCCATAGAAAAGAGACTGACTTTGTTAGAACTAAATTTCAAAACAGTAGTAGGAAGATATACTTGAAGTCAAAATTGGTTAAGTCTTGTGGGAGTGTTTCACGACCCTCAGCAAATGGTACAGGAGCATATGAGATAGGTTCTTGTCGCTCTTGATTTTGAGGTTCGGAGATCGGTGTCCATATCTGTTTAGGAGTCGTCCTTTCAACTTTGTTGAGTCGTGGCAGAGATGCAAGACGATCCTTGTCTACCATATTTTAGTGGGGTTCGGGAAGAGAAAACATCTACCAACCTTCATATCTATAGAGAAAAGACGCACATTGAGTCGTGACTTCTTCTTCTGCGATGCACGGGTAGATGTTGTATGTTAGGTTCGTTGACCCGTCCCTGGCGGTATAGGAAAAGCAGGCTCCTTGTTTTGTTTTGCCAGCGACAGTCCATTTACCTCCAGGGGACGGTTGTAAATGCTCTAGAGCAGTCACAGGGACAAGTTCAGCTCTATCCATAGCTGGAATTTAAAAAATTGTATGAGGAGCCAACTAGCAGGACAAATGAATCAAAATTCGGGAGGTGATGGGGTTCTGGGAGTAGGTAGTCTCATGTGTGGGTAAAAGGACTTTGAACCCCCATGTCCAGGACAACACGCCACATGGGGTGCATTTTACAAAACACGCCCCTCCCCGCTGCGATACCCATCCATTTAGCGCGAACTCACTTCCAAGGCTCTTAAATTTACGCCCACTTCCCAAAATCAGTCGTCTCCAAGTTGAAAAATATTTGTGCGCCTTGTTGCAATCTTCGACTCGATTTGGAGGCTCGATCATTTCCAGAAAGTCAAAAAATAATCTCAGACTCCTGAGCGACCTTACTCAAACTTGAAAGTAGTCTGCAGGTTGTAATGCAGACAGTCGGTCCACTGAGGTCGATCTGAGAAGCCGATTCAACTCCTCCTCACCTTCAAGTTCACTTACAAATAGCCCTGGACATTTTTTGCCAGCCGAAATCCTTTTCACAACTTTCAATCAACTCGACATTCTCAAAATTTTCTCCGAGTTGTATTGCCATCTACGCAGTTCACCAACACCAAAATCAAAATCCAAGTCTCTGAAGCCACACCTCATCTGTCACAGAAATGGAATCTTTTCAAGCCTGCGATTACCACCTTACGGCCTGGAATCATCTGAAGTTACACATGAATCCATTCATGAAAGTTCTTTGTCTTGATGGCAACTTTTACCGCATGATGGACTCCATCACCAAGTCATACATCGCTGCAAAATTCATGTCGGTCATAGACAGTGTCTTTCGTTTCCAGCACTAACTTTCGATAGGGATCATGTCTCTGAATCAGTGATGTTTGTTCGAGATGGGACAGGCTCCGATCGCTATTTCCTTGGTGCTCCTCGCCACTTCGTCGCTGAAGAAGGAGTCGTTTTGCGAGTCGTCGACGCGGAGCCAGTCTGGACAAGGCGTCCAGTGTCCTCATCACAGGTTGCACCCGTTCTCGTGGACACCAAACCTGTCAGGATCCCACGACCACCCAATGCGTACATTCTGTATCGAAAGGAGCGGCACAGTTTGGTCAAGGAGGCTCAGCCAAACATCACGAACAACGAGATCTGTAAGAGTCAATCCACTCTAGAGAAAAGGGACTTTGCTAACAAAGTAATAGCGACAATTCTTGGACAAGCTTGGAACAGAGAATCGCGTGAGGTCCGCGAGAAATACAAAGCCATGGCCCATGAGATCAAGATCTCCATGCTGAAAAAGTATCCTGACTATCAATACAAGCCGCGCAAGCCCTCTGAGAAAAAACGGCGTATGCGACGCACTGCGTGCGACACCTTGACTGAATCGACATCGCCAGATAGCCTGGGCGTGCCAACACCCCTTTCCTCTGCTTGACACATTTTCAGAGTTTGTCATTTACGTAAAGAATGACGATATGCTCGGTTGCAATTTTGATATTTCCTCCATCACACAGGGTTTCGCCGCGAGGCGCGGAGAATAGCGTTTTAATTTCGGCGACGAAGGCTTGGACAAGCTTGGTGTTTGACTTTTAAATACATAGACATTTGGTAGACGTTCGGTACATTATATACTATAGGCATAAATGAATGACTTTCAATTCTTTTCTCTTTCATGATCTCAATTATTAAGTCTATTTATTATGCTTTAGTTGATGTCCTCTCATCCACGATATTGAGCGTGACATCATCGACTCGCCCGCAACCAACTCCCACTGCGTGACGTAGACCAAATGGATCAGAGCAACTGCCCCTTCAGCGACGAAGCTTTGTCCATCACAGAGTCTTGATCTCTCCGTCCAAGCCTTTGAGCAAAAGAGAAGGGACCAGAGGCCCAGAGTCATGATGCGGGAATTGGCGGGCTCATCATCAGGTTGTCCCTCAAGAAACTCACGGAGATCAGTGGCTCTGGCTCGTCTTGCGCGGGCGAGAGCAGGCAAAGTGCACAGATACCACCTGGCTATCAAGCTCATCATCAAATCGAAGGCTGGAATATTTTGTCGGTCGGCCGTGTCAAGAATCTTGTCGAGAATGACGTTGGACCTGTCTCCATTGTGCAAAAGGGTTTTCGCCAGGTAAAGTGCGTCGCTCGCAGTGTCTATAAAATAAGTTAGCAAATATTCATGTACAATTCTCGACCACGAACCTGAAGCTGTGCAAGACCTAGTCGAAGGATGGTGGCACCTTGGGAGCATTTCAATGGCGCTGTGGTACAGCTGGCGCGCAGCATCCTGGCTGGTCGCTATCAAGAGGTCTTCAGTCCCAAGAGGCTCAAAATTCATTTCGCTGTTCGTGATGGCAAACAAGGATAGGTGCTGTTATTTTGGTTATGAATCGAGTGCCTATGCTCGTGAACTGATGAGGTCGACTCCTGTCTGTGGCCGCCAGCTGGCAGAATAGGCAACGCTGCAGCCGTCACTTTACCATCACCAACTCCAACCAAAGTCTGAGAATTATCGTCCATGAATAGGCGCAACCCAATCTTTGCGGGTTTTATTATTTAATTATTAGGTTATTTTGTGTCATCCATATTCTGTGCCGCACAATTATTATAAACAGCACAAACCAAGCCCGCTCGTAGCAAAGATCTATGTCCGTCTGTTTGCTAAGAGCTCATACTGTCCTTTTGGGAGGTATTCCAGTCACTGCTCCATATAAATGTCCCGCATCGCCATTCTGTCCCACGTTCCTTTTCTCCAGACGGCCCTAATGGACGAGGGCATATGTAGAATGATCGTCCTGATGGTGAATGTAAGCAAGTTTCAGTTTGGCGGGCCCAGTAGTTCTACTCACCACAGTTCACTCCTGGCTTCTTCGTGAGAAGGCTAATACAGGGTTCATTATGCTCGCATTTCGGTACTATCCGCTTCCCGAGCAACTTGGACCATGATTCTTTGTTTTCAATAGGGTCAAAGACTGTTTCTGCAGTGTCAAACGAAGACTGACGCTTCGCCTGAGATATGGGTGGTGTGGTGTTGACTGTCACCGCTCTAGCTTCAATAGTGGCCGACGATTCGGGCCTTGAAACCTCTGACGACTGTTGAGGCTTGGCTGGGCTGTGGCCATTAGTAGATGGCTTGGGTTTGAAGAAACCCTGTAGCGTCCTTTGTCCCGGTTTCACCTTGGTCTTCATTTGCCCTGTCGTCTCCGGTATCGGTTTCTGTCGCTTTGTCGCCAACGCTGCAAAGTTTCCAGATCCCCCTCTCTTAATACCAGATATCTGTTCATCAGATAAAGCTGTCGGGGTCTTGGTGTCTGATATACCACTTTGGCTGTCGGATAGGATGGCTGCTCTTGGTATGTCAACTTGGGGTACGGGAGTTGTAGACTGGGGAGGGGTATCAGGCTTCGATAGGGTACTCGGCTTCCGACTAAACATATCTTTGATGCTGCGCCTACCGTCAAACTCGGGCATCAATTTTGCCGACAAGGGAAGAGCATCTTTTGTTGACCATTCACGGATCCGCTGGCCATTGGCAAATAGAGTCGCAGGGTTTAATACTTGCTGGATGGGTATTGATACTCCATCCTTGACGATAATGTCATCAAAATTGGCATATACCGGGCAGTGGTCAGAGCCCATCAGCCCTTCCTGAATGTTGGAATGGCTGATCCAAGGTTTGAGGCCATCGCTGCAGAGAACGTAATCGATCCTACTACCGAGGTTTGCTGGTCTAGTGTTCCGCAGAGTATCCCAGCATGTGTTCATCTTTTGTCGATCAGGGTGGTAGAAACGGCAGATATCCCAAAGCACAGCTGTTTCACGTCCTTCGTCCCGTGGCCCTGTAAAGCTCCCTCGGAATATCATTTGGTTAAATATTCTCCGAGCCGGAGTATTTGCCCAGTCTTCAAAAGTCATGTCGTTCTTCCTCAGTGTTTCCTCAAGATTAGATGTGTCAATAGCTGCCCCAACGACGTTCAAATCGCCAGTCAGGATGACTTGTTTCCCTTCGGCAATCAGGTTCCTCACTCGTACGTCCAAAGCCTCGAAGAACGATATTCTAAAGTCATCTCGGCTTTCGTCTCGGTTGGCCGGGCTGTATACTCCAATCAAAACGAAGGCCGGAAACTCTAATATGACGCAGCGACCTTCGGAGTCGAGTGTTTCTTCGTCAATAATAGCCGATAATTGGCCAGGCCGAGGATATCCACCAATGCGCTGCTCTTCTGGTAGATCTCTATACGAGACTTTTGATTTCGGCGGGCATAGGATACCTGTAATGCCCTCCTCCGCCCGTATTGGTGCGCAGACTGAACTTCTGGTGTAGATTGCGACCCCAGAGTATCCTGTTGCTGGTCAGCTAGAGCTCGCTATACTCCACGCAGAACCTACCTTTCTTGTGTTTTGGTAAACTAAAATAGACATCCCATCCTGGAAGCATGACCATGTCGTCTTGCAAGTCCTTCCGTTGTATTTTAGCTTCTTGAATAACGACTATATCGGCTTCCAAGATGTCGAACATGGCCTAGTATCTGGTCAATAATCAGTCGGTTAATAGCTTCCTGGTCTCAAGCCATACTTGATAGGTTCTGTTTTCCGTCCATGGTTGGTAGCTAAACGGGTTCCTGTTGATTCAGATTAGATCTTGACTTTGTGAGTGAAGTGAACGTGCAATACCGGATGCCATTGACTGTTTCAACGTTAGCGGGGTGAATAATGAATTCGAGTTCTCAAACGTACCATTCCATGTCGTAATTCGGAAGACCATCTTCAATACATATAACATATATCAAATTTATCCTCTTCTTCCAATTACAGATATAAACTGTGACAACGCAAGACAAGTGAGCTCCGCTGCCTCAAGCCGCCATTGTCCACAACCTTGCACTGGCTGATTCTTCCAAATTAATCAATTCCAATGACAAAAATCATTTCATAACATCGTGTTAGTCGTAAAAGTGCAATATGAACCCCGTGCTCGACACTACGTCGCAGCAACAGAATATGTCCTGGGAGGCACCTGTAGTGTTCACGTCCACTGTGCCCCACGCCTGTCGCCAATTACGGTCGCTGGGATGTCACGATTAGCGCACGTCATCACGTGCCCAAATGAACCCGGCTTTGCGCCTGACAATTGAGGCGCCACATTTTTCTGATTACTTTGCCGAGCTTCCCAATTGGCCTCAGACTCTGCTCTTCAGCAACGTCGACGATATCACCACGGCGAAATGTCTGCCTTCCGTAACGCCCCGCGCTTCACTGCGCAGATGCGCGCTGCTGCTCAGCGTCGCTTTGCTAGCACCGGCCAGAACTCCTTTGTCAACGAGCGCCAGCACATCAAGGATCACGCCATTGGTACCACCGGTTAGTAACGTTGCTGAGGGATTGATTGAGTCCAATTGGACTCGTGCGAAGCGAATTCTAACACCTCGACAGCTCTCTGGAAGAAGATCTCCATCTAGTAAGCCGACACCGACCCGACCCAGCGATCGACTACGCAAACTCTGTGTGCCAAGGAGCAGAGGAGCCATTTATCGTCAATTAGACAATCCAGGTCTGAAATACTAACCATTGCAATAGCGGCACCATCCCCTGCCTTCTCCTCGCTTCTGCCAACGCTTACTACCTCTGGAACGAGCACTGGGAGCACTGGAGCCACCTCCCTCCCCTGGAGGAGCGTACCGAGTACCCCTACCAGAACATCCGCACCAAGAACTTCCAGTGGGGTGACGGTGACAAGGTTAGTTTCTCTCTCGCTCTATTTGGCGTGATTTCCTGTTGTTAATTCATGTTGCTAACTCATCTGTAGACCATCTTGTAAGTACATCGAGCGTGCCGGACCTAGCCGTCGAATTTTGCGATTTCCCCTGGACCACTTCGACACTCTCTTTGAAACAATAAATACTAACAATTTGCAGCTGGAACGAGAAGGTTAACTACCACAACAAGGACAAGGTCGCTTAAGCACATGCTATGGAATATGGCGGTGGTTAGAAACGATGTGACAAACAATAGAATACCCTCGACGAGGCAAACTTGTACTTCTTCCCTAGAGTTGAACTGAAACTAAATATATTCCTTTGTCAGCATAAAATATCCTTGTTCAACGAATTACCCGTGGTGACTTTGCGGTATGATTGGTTTGGAGGGAAATACCCTTTGCCCGTGATTCATGTGCTTGGTACTTGATAGATGAAGCCCTGAATTCCAACACAACGACGCTAGAAAGACCTGCTGTTAATTAATATTAATTTTAGTATTCTCGTATAAGTATGGAACAGCCAAAATCATTACCTTGATTTTTCCTGTACATGGGGAGAGTTCGGCGCTGTTGCGTGACCGTCCCGAGGAATCGCCGCTATAGATGCAGGACGCGTCCAACCCCACGTCCTTCTCACCATCACTTTAACTCTACACCGGCTGCCACAATCTATGCGAGCGGATACAAAATTGCAGCTAACACCATCATAGTGATCGTTGTGATGCCTAGTTCATGTCTTTAAAAACACATGTGTCTTAACAGCCTGAAAAGGTAATCGACATCGCCTAGAAGCTCCCTCGCGCTGGCTTGCGTCGCGTCTACAACGGTCCAATGGCGAGATATCTGAACCCCGCCAAGATTGGCCTTTTGGCTCTCCTTGAGCTGTACGTCGAAGAAGCAGTGCCCAGTGATGCTATCCTGCCAGTTTTAAGCTTCATCACCTCCCATTTAATGGATCGAGAATCCACATCGGCCTCCGGCTCTCAAGGGAAGTGGTCCAAGGCTGAGCGAACAGTGAATCTTGTGGTTTCAATAAAGGACTTTGAGCGCCTTCTGGGCAGCTATCCGTTCTTAATGGGGATGCCTGGGAGGAAACTGTGGGATCAGTTTCTAGCAAAGCTGTGGAATATTAGCTCTCTATATGCGCTACACGACTTCTTTGAGAACTTGACGGAGATGATTGCCAAGACAAAGGAAGAGTTGCGACTAATGAATCCGCGCGGTGGCTCACCAGAGCCTGAAGCTGGTATTAAGTTGACGCGGAATTCTCCATTTGGTGCCTTCATACGCAAGGCAAAGCTCGAATATCAGCGATTGCGTTTCCATGACTGCGCTGAACTCTGGAAGGCATTTGTTCAATATAGACAACCTACCGTGCACTACCTCCGACGAAAGAATCCCTCTCTCGGAAAGCTGAGCTTCGATAATGTGTTGTTGACAGGAGAACAAGAAGACTGGAACGCAGACGGTGTTTCAGCGCTGGCGTCAGTTGTTTATGGCGATATGCTGACGGGCGGCGGGAACGATGTTGTCGCTGTAAGCACCGACGACATTGAAATCCTCTTGGAATTTCAGATAGAGCAAATGCAAAGTAGGTGTTTCTTGAGGATTTGATTGTAGAGTGGTAAGGAGGCTAACTGTCGAACAGAATATGGCAACAGGATTCCATTGGAGATCCAACACCAGTTTCAAGACTTGCTGCACGATAGCTTTCTGGTACCAAGTTTGACACATTACCTTAGGTTAGTTGGAACTCAAATCAGAGCTCAGTGTGTCGGAACTCACTGCTAACTGTGGATGGATTAGCTTTCTTGATGCCTGGCGATCGGGCGATTACCCGAGTGCGTTCGACTTGTTGCATCGCTACTTCGATTATACCATGCAATATCGTGATCGATTATTTTATCAATATGCGTTGATGAACTTGGCAGTTCTCCAAGCCGATTTTGGTTGCTACAGAGAAGCAGTGGCAGCAATGTTGGAAACTGTGTCCACTGCCAGAGAAAACCGCGACATGACTTGCCTGAACTTTGCCTTGAACTGGCTATTCCATTTTGGCAGAGCGCATCCGGATTTGGTCCACGAGCTAGAATCCAATAGCTTGTTAGGTGCAGGAAAAGAAAGCTTAGCCTTCCTCCGAGTCAAGGCAAAAGAATCAGGCATGTGGGCGCTCTGGAGTTCAGTGCTGCTGAGCGAAGCAAAGCTCGGCCTCACATGCGGCGACAGCATTGCAACATCTCTAGAATACATGGTCCGCAGCTCTCATGTTATCGTGGATCACAACATGGCTACCATGTTCGGCACACAGCTCTCGCTCTATGCGGCGCTGTGGTCACGCCTAGGATTGAATCACTTGTCCGTTATAACTTGCGAAATGTTTTTACGATGTCACGCCCGCAACTCTCTCTTCGATGATGAGCTGAAACTGACTTGCAAGCTCGCATTTATGTTGTCGGAGCGTGGTCGGTACGAAGAAGCCTTGCAAACACTTGACGGTCTCCAAGGGAACTCGCTGCGGTCGTGGAAGCCAAGCCAGTACTGGTACAAATGCCGTGGCATTATCCGACTGAAGAAAGACCTCTGCCATAACAACCTCGACGGCGCGCATGAGCTTTTGAGCCAGCTTCTTCAGTCGAGCACGGATGATATTGATCCCGAGATGATCTTTTCGATTGATAGTCTTCACATTGACTACCTGACAAGGCGCCGCGACTTGCCAGCGGCATTTGCCAAAGTTGAGCAACTGATTGCCAGGTTCCGAGATCAGAACAGAGACATTGCCCTCCGCGTAAAACTCATGGTTATAAAAGCATCGCTTCTAAGTAAGTGCGGTCGCCCACAAAGAGTATTCTCGACAGCATTAAGAGCGGCAAACATGGCCTGGCAGTCGCGCCTAATCACACAATTATGGGAGGCTATGGGATGTCTGGCCAACATTTTAGTTTCTCTGGGAGAGTTCAGCGCAACCCTACAAATTCTCGACAATGTGATTCCGCGAGCTCTAGAATGTGAGCTGCCTGAGCTTGCTGCCAAGCTTTACTCAACGCTGGCAGATGCGAACATGGGCATGGCTGGCAGCATGAGCCCAAAGTCAAGCCGCCGAGGGGAATTCATGACAAGAGCTCTCTCTGCTGTGCAGTCATGTTTTGACCACGCGTCCAGCCTAGAGGACGTCAATCTGCAATCCGAAATGATGGCCAAGAAGGCCATGATTATGAAGCTATCGGGCGAGAAGCAACTGGCTCTCGACTACGCAGGCGCATATGTCACGCTACGGAAACAGGCAGAGTCGCTAAGCATTGAAACGGCGTAATTACGAAATAATGATGGTAATGAGTATAAATAAATGCGAGGGCAGCACTAGCCGACTAGACTTGCCTCACGAGGTTATATATGTACAGTAGAGTTTTTGGTTACAATAAAAAGTCAACGGTTCACCATTTGATGCTTTCGCCCCTTTTATTCTTCAATTCGTTTCCCAATGGTGCCTCATCCGACAGCGTCCCCGAGTCTGCGTCGTTGGTAGCCCACATGCTCTCGATGCAGAGTTCAAATGGGCCTTCGACGCGATCTGTCAAGCCAACACCAACACTTCGAACCTTTTGTCTGAGGATCTCTGTTTGCGGCTCAACCACGAACCCGTAGTTTGTCCGTACAAAGTCGTTCCATCGTATCAGGACTGTCTCCCATTGGCCAGGCTGCTTGACAAACAGCCTGTGCTGGTGAAGATCTGTCGGCTCAACACCCTCCGTCTGAACATTGACGAAATATGATCGGCCGTCCGACTTTACGCGTAGAGCAAGGAATGAGTACGGATCGATATCCCACAAAGAGCGTCCAAAGACAGTGGGTTTTTGGTTTGGTGTGCGGAAGGCTGCATAGCCGGTACGCTGGATGGCCAATCGATCGGCGGGCAGCGACGTCGATATGCTTCCGTAGAATCGGGCGTAATTCGAAGGACTATTCGGTGTCGGGGATGTTGACGCGTTTGTATTGTTTATGAAGTCAAAGTTGCTTTCTGAGGAGCCTCCAATGAGGTCGTCGGACATGAGGACACATTCTTTTACGCTGTCGGCATCTCGGAAGTCGTACAGTGGTCGTGGAGCGGATGGTCCTTTAACTGCTTCAAGCTTCCATGCTACGGGTTCAGGGTTAGCTTTAGACAACGGTAGGCGAGCGAGGAGAGGGTTTACCAATGCTGGAGCGTCGCTTGAGCTCTTCGACACTCCGTGACAGGAAGCCCTTGGCGTAGAGTTGTTGTGTAATGCGCATGATGAGGTGTGATGGGTGGTGATGACGAGTAGTAGGGGAGATTGTAGTTGACGATCGAGCCTATCGGCTCATCCGGTATCTGATTTGCATATAATTCCTCGCGTGTGATGATGGTGTTGTTCTTCTTTCGCTTGCCCCGTGGCTGTGGCGTGCTGTGGCTGGTGCTGTTGAATTTGAGGCGTCGTCAATTGGAGATGATGCTGTGTTTAAGTTGCGATACATAGCTTTGGAGGCGTTCTTCAGCAGTCAACCAGCGAGACCCACAGCGATGTCAAAGGTTGGCGTGATGCAAGCAGCTTTTGATATTATTTGCGGGAATATGATTATAGAAGAGATATATGTTCTATCAATTGGATCAAGAATAACATTATTCGATTTTAGAAAATATTATTATAATTTATTTACCTTCAAAAGTCATGTATTGAATATATGTCCTTCGTCTGTAGGGTACCTCTCAAGTCACCTGACGCCGCGGACCCCCAAAGGACCCTCGACACCACCAGCAAAGGCTACGGGTGGACGCTAAACCGCTTCAGCACAGGCTTGGTGCCTTTTTTTGTTCGGACAAAGGGTCACCACCATTTTCTCTCGACTCGCGATCCACGACTCCCCCGACGCACACGAAACCAGCCACACCAAGAGGGCATCGGCCGAATTCACAGCTTGCTAGAAGCAGTTGAAAAATGTCCTCCTCATCTGCGTTGGCTACACGGCCCGTCACAATGGCCGCCCGTAGCATGCGTGCCTCGAGACAATGCGCCGTCCAGCCTGCGACCCCAAGATATGCAAGCGGCATTGCCAGATCGAAGCTTGTCCGCGAAATGGATCGTGCGTCAAAGCTCAACAGTACAAAGGCCACCAAGGAGCAGACAATGTCCGAGATGCAGAAGCTCGCGCACATTGAGTACTTCAAGCAAGGAGGCGGTCCCCTGTTTCCAGGTATGTCCAGAACCTAAAGACGAATTGGTCCATCTTGAACAGGATGCTAATAGTATTCAAACACAGGCACATTTGTAGCACTCCCCCTGGCCCTCGGCCCCAAGAGCCTCGGCGAATTCGCCCAGTACCAGTTCAACCGAAGCAGAGCGTGGCTCACCGGAGTCATGACAGTCCTGCAATACAAACTCAAGTCGATGCCCAACTGGACAACACGACCGAAATGGAAGGCTCGCCGCGGAAAGATTGCACCGACAGCAAAGGCCATGTACCGCGAGGTTCTCGAAGCCTTTGCAGCCGGCGACAAGAAGACCATTGAGCGCCTCTGCGTGCCCGACTTTGCGAAAAAGCTCATCAACGCCATCGAACGACGCAGCAACAAGGAGACTGTCAGCTTCGAGCTGGTAAAATACACAAAGCCCATGTTCTACCCTCGTCTGATGTCCCACCAGATCCATCAGATCAACCCCATGGACAAGACAACAGCCACCGAGCAGGCTGTCGTTGCTATTTCGTCGCAGCAGCAGGCATCCCGACACAACGCCACTACAGGTGAAATTGTTCCCGGTAGCCTGAGAATCCAAGACAAGATCGAATATGTTGTCTTGTCAAGGGCAACCAGCGAGACAACCTTTACTGCCGAGCCGTGGAGAGTTTGGGGCACGACTGTTGGCACCACATTGGAAACGCATTTGATGGAGAAGGACGCTGTTGAAAAGGAACAGATTCAGCGAGCAGGATGGAACAAGGATTAATTTAGGGGAAAATTTGTATGGAAAAAATGTATATTAAGCAGGACGGATGCATATCCGCATAACGCGGGTCTTTTGTACTATATACGCTGGCAAACCATGCCAAAAAATCTGAAGTATTTCAAGACAATATGGTATATGCGTGAAAACGTGATGTAGGCTGCAAACGACCATGAGTGGCCGAAATTATTTAAAAAAATTTGCCAGCTCCAGAGCCGATGCTGTCGGCCAGGATGTCATTGTTGTCTTGCAGAGCGCGCATGTCCACGGGCTTGTCGAGGGCATCAAAACGAGTGCCTTGAATTTTGGACTGGGCGAACAAGAAGCCAATTCTAGCACCAAAGGCAAGGCAGCCCCAAATAAGGCCACCGACGGGAGCGGCGACAAAGGCGCCAAACACGCCCCAGTCGCCAGTGTAGAGTCCCTCCTGGAGCAAAATGAGCTGGCCACCACGCTGCGCATCGTTGTAGTAGATGGCCCCAAAGATGAAAATGGTGAAAATACCACCAAGACTTCCGACAACAAACTCAAACCCACGCCACCAGTAGAATTGGGGAATGAGACCGACCATGAGAACTGGGATGGTAGCAGCAGAAACCAAGTCGCTGATGAGGAAGATTTGCAGAATCGAAGGGGCCTTTAGCGCCAGGACAACCGTGGGGATGATGATGAGGACAACAAGTACACGGATGACCCAAATGTTGAGACGGTTGCGGAACAGATCGTTTGACGCAGACGAGACCATGGCCGACTGCAAGCTGTCGAAAGCAGCCGTGCTCAAGCTCACCACCATGACGAGAACGATACCCACGACCCAGTTGGGAAGCTTTTCCAGCAAGAGGAAAAATGCAAGTGAACCAGGCGTGTCTACGTTGTCGGGTGTCCAGGCTCCAGACCAAGCAGCAATGAGACCTGTGCTTCCAACCAGTGTCAGGATACAGAGGATGATGATGGTGGCGAGGGATACACCCAAGCGAAGGTCCTTATCTGTCTTGGAAGAGAAAGCACGCAACCAGAAGTTGGACAAGAAGAAGTCGTTGGTGAGGACAGCAACGGGAAGAATGTAGAGCAGCTGCCATCCAAGGAGACTAGCCTTTGTGAGGCCGGACTGGTCGATGAGGTCACGGTTAATCTCGGTCTTGACGCCAATGGTGATGGTAGCAATGACGATGAGGCCGACAACCATTCCACCTTGGATAACGTCGGTCAAGAAGGAAATCTTGAAGCCACCAAGAGCTAGGCCAGTTAGCACAGGTTAATATAACGAGAGAATTGTCGCAGCAACTTACAAGTGTAGATGGTGGTAATGATACACTGCACAATGATGATGGGAAGGCCATCAAGCCCAGTCAACGTAGTGACCACTTGTCCAATAGCAGAGAGCTCAGCAACCATGTAGAGGAACAAGGTCACCAGTGTCATGAAGCTGAGGAACAGCATAGCCGGGGTACCGTAGCGATGTCGCGTCCATTCAGTTAGAACGAAACCATCGGGGCATTGCTTACGAATGATGGGGGTAACCCAACCAAAGACCAAGAGGGGCAGTGCTGATGCAAGAGCATAGACGATCAAACCCTGGACACCACAGATGGTTGAAATCTCAGGGTACGTGAAGAGAATACCGGATCCGAGGCCTGTGAAAGTTAGCAACGCGAGAGCGTCAACAGGAGGGGAAGGGGAGATGGAGCGGCAGCACGTTTCCCACGCAAGCATTAACTTGATCGAGTATCACGGTAACATCTCAGCTTCGCCTGAACAACGCCAATGGATCTCGTCAAGTACAAGCAACAATCGTTGCGCCTTGACGTTGGATTCAGAGACCGTTGTTTCGGCTAGGCGCCCGTAGTGAGCCGCATCCTCTCGCCCCCCTCGACAAGAGGTGGTTTTTAGCGAGGGCCAGCGAAAGACAGACTGATTAGGTCTGCTTTCAGCATCCTTGAAAGAAAGACCCTGGAATTGTTAAAAGTAAACCACCCAAGCTGTGCCACTCACTAGGCCACAGGACTTGTCGAACGGGGGAGAAGACAGAGATCTGTTTGTGGGTACGAACCTGCTCGTCAAGCAATGGGGCAAGTTGCCTCAGTAAAGAGAACTTGCAATAAGTATTGTATGGGAAATGTCGAATGCGCGATGGGCGTCGTAGAAGAAGCTGCGTTGGTGCCGCTACCATCGCAAAAAAGCATGGTTGCAATTCACTCACCAGAGGCGATGAAGTTGAGCGCCAAAGGCCAGGCTGGATACACGTTAGCAATTGCAATTGTAATTACTGCAAATCATCCCATTAATCGAGAAAGAGAGAGAAACAGTTGCCGGAGGGTGCTAACCAGTCTGTGTTCCGTTGCCAGACAAGAAGTCTGTCTTGGTCTGATTTCTCATAGTCCAGGCAATGCCTGTACCCAGGACCCTATTATGTGCATATTAGCAAGGAGTCTCTAACCGCCATTTGCGAAACATCTCACGCACAGAAAGGCACCATAGGTGAGGTAGATGATGGCGTTGGACGCCTCGAAGGATGGTTGGCCCATGATGGATGGCTAGTCAACAAACACACGAGAGCTGTATGCTGTAACGTTTGAGAATACTGTTTTAGCCTCGAAGAGCTGTAGAAGACAAAGCCGAACAGAGTATCACCAGTTCGCGATTGGCTTGCTTGTTGGTTGAAGCAAAGTAAACAGAAATTTCCCAAGGAGCAAAAATATAGCACGATTCGCAAAGCAACAAACCCGCGATAAGGCGTGACCTAGAAACTTTTCTGGCCCATTTTTCATTCAGCCTGGGCTAACCGTTAGCGGGAACCACGCGTTGGAGAGTCCGCTTGCGCGAAATTGACAAGGCCTAGACTTAGCGCCATCTTTTACACTAGCGCCGAACAACGGAGAAACCCTTTAGTTTTCTGTGGACTGATACAGTAGACTTGGTTTTGGTGTAATGTGAATGTTAAAATTGAGTCTGTCTAGAGACTATCTCGGTATCATTTGGAATCTTCGGCAATTGGTAGCAAATTACGGCCGGCATTTTTTTTCATACTCGTTCTCTCAATCGTTAAACTAGTTGCTTCGTTCCTAGTCCCTCGTATCATCGGGTTTCAAGTTCCTATTCCAGGATATCGTCGCTTCCTAACTTCATTTTTTTGGTCGTTTTCTCGGTTTTGGTATATCTTTGGGATATCGGACTTGCAAATAATATGCCTTTTCGATCGTTTCCCTGTCAATTTCTTTTTTTCTCTCCCACTTGAACTCCTCAATTGTCAAGCTCGAATCTTCCGGTTAAATATATCAACCAGAGGCTAATAATGATTGTTCTCCTTCCTCACTCTTTTTTTGGTCTTTTTGTGGTATACCAATGAATGCAAGCGAACTGTAAGAAACAAGAAAAAGGCAAACAAACAAAAAGAAAACGAAATCCCAACTTAGTTGAGTAAATAGAAACAGATCTCGTATGACCAAAAAATGGCCAGCACGAATCAGTGTAGACAGTCTGCAAGGCCAAGGGTGTCAATCCAACTGACCTTGCGTGTCCAAGAAAGGAAAAGTGAAAAAGGAAAAATGACTTGCAAAGCACACAATCTGAAAATAAAAACAAACGCAAACGAGCGAAAAATCATCCAGTCGGCCACCATGCCAACAGCTAAACGTAAAGGAAAAAGTGTGTTGCAAACCTGAATGTCTTCAAGAGCTAGCTTGCTCTGTTAAGAGACTGTCTCTCAGAAGAATTATTCGCCGCTTCCCGCGGATCTAGAAGACTGTTCATCGATGGAAGTTCTTCCATCTCGAGCAGCTGCCGATGGAGGAACCATTGTCACATAGTCTGGATACATGTTGTGGTAGACAGGGGGATGGACGAAACTCTGATAGACCAAGCCTTGGTTGAGGTGAGCGTGAGGGCTGATAGGACCGAACGGAGAGAGCGGGCTAAATCCGTAGGGAGCATATTGCATCCAAGGGATTGAAGCTTGGGGACCCTGACCCTGAGGAGATGGGAAAGAGAGCTTGGGAATTGAGCAGGGAGAAGTAGGATCTCTGGGCCGATGGTGGTGGAAGCGGTGTCCAGTAGACCTGGGCACACTGATAGGCTTCATACTCTCAGGAGTTTCCATGCCGACGTGAGTGGCTTCCATAGAGGATCTTGGAATATCATGCCGATGATCGGGCGCAGACCCCTGCCAGTTTTGAGAACTGGAGCCCTGCGATGGAGCAAACAGAGACTCAAGATGGTTTTGTTCGCGTGGGAACTGAGTCTCGCGTCGACGACGCGGGAATGTAGCATACTGGACGGTAGGCTCGTAAGGAGGACGAGACCGTTTCCTTTCGACGCGGATTGTATATCCGTCAATGTTGGTGTTGTGCTACGAAAGGATTAGCATTATGAAAATGAATGAAAAACATGATATAGAGACAAACCATTGTACGAATAGCCTCTTCTGCAGACTCTGGCTTTGCATACTCCACGAATCCAAAGCAAGTCATTTTGCCTAATAGTGTTAGTATAGTGTAAGGGAACTTAGGCAAGTACTGTACCTTGACAGCTAAGAATTGGCTTCTTGTAGAACTCTACAGACACTAGAGCTCCGCAAGCGCTAACCATCATTGAAAAAGTCTCCTTGGACATTTCAACGGGCATATTTCCAAAGTAGGCCGAGCGTTCATCGACATGGGTGCTAGACCTGTATTGGTCGAACTTGGGTCTCGTATCCCTTTTGGGCTCGTATGCGATGACCTTGTACTTGTTATTCTCGCGGAAGTACTAGACCATGTAAGTTAGTCGTTTATACCTGATAATCATATTCTAGTCTTACCTGGATGACCTCCCGAGTTGGATCGTACATCTTGTACGTCACAAGTATTCCGTTTGCAATGCCGTACTGACTAGCAACAGTGTTGGGAAGGACATCGGCTCTTGCAACCTCGCCCAAGACACCGAGGAGAGCAACAGCCTCTTCAGCAGAAGTCCGACGTCCTGAGACTTGATAAATGATGAAGGACGCTTTTAGGAGTTAGTCAGGTATCCATATGGAAAAGGAGGGTAGGGAACATACTATGAGCCCTAACCATTTCAGTTCTGCAAGGACGACCAAGAATTACCACTCCCTTTCCCAGTCTTTCGGCCTCTTGGGCATCATATTCATTCTTTGTAATATCGACGTCAGTATAACGCAGGGTTAGGGTTAAGATGGGTTACTGACTGTGAACTGACAAAACGCAAATGGCATATTGCGATTGTCACGACGAATTTTGACAAACACCTCGCCGAATTTACTGAAGACCTTTTCTACTTCGCTTTGTAGAGTCTCATCTGAAGCTTGTTGAGACAAGCTAGTTGATTTAGCTAGGAGCGACAATGTTATGTGGCGTTTGTAGTACTTACTTGCCAGCAAAAATGCAAGCAGTAGGAGGGTAAATGCCTTGAGCATCAACCACATTAGAGCGGTCGTTAGCAATCTCACGAGCATTGGAAATATCAACCTGCATCTCCTTGAACCGATTAATCAAACCGGCCGCGGGATGGGTGGACATGTTGCCAGCGAAGACGTCGTCCTCGACATTGGCATCGACTCTGAAGGACTCTGAGCCAGGAGAGAGGGACCTAGCCTTGTCAGAGGCGGATTTCTTAGGAAGAGAGCTAAAATAGTAGTTAGTTTAGCTTTGTTATTGTCTATAGAGATCGACTTACACTCTAATAGCAGATGGGGACGGGGCTGATGCGAGCAAAGCACCACCCGACTGATTAGACTCAATACCTACGAAGAGCCAAAGGTTAGCAATTTGAAAGTTTGAGGAAAGATGAAACTAAAGGATTGTGTAGAGATGTTCATCTCAAAATTACCTTGAAGGTATTCCTCATCGTCTGACGACAGGCCGTCGACGAGGGGTTCACAGGACGCAGACTTTCGAATCTTTCGAGAGAGGTCGTCCCCTAGATAGCCCCCGTGAGGGTGATAGTCTTTCATAGTGAAGAGACAATGAACTAGTATTGTGAATTAGAAACTTTTCTAACAAGTGTGCGGGGTTGGGTTATAGTTACCACTGCTGCAAGGCGCGTTGAGTTACTTAAAAACAGAGACCGTTTCTCTGAACACAGCGAAACAACAACGCACAAATGCGAAAAAAAAGGAAACGGAAGAAATACTTTCTTCTTTGAATGATTAAGGGAAGATTTCAGCAATACAAATGCTGATTGAAGAATGCAGAAAGGTATTGTGACAAGAAAATCAAACCTGTGCAGAAAGGTAAGAGAAGAATACTTTAAGAAGCACTGATGGGAAAACAAGTAAAAGGGAATGCTTCTGAAGCGAGGAATATGAGTGATGGCAAGGTGATGGATAGATCAAGAAGGGTGATGAAGAAGTAGAAATTAGAAGTGGGCGAGAAGAAGAAGAGATACTTGTAGGAGCAACAGGCAGCGAGGAATCGAAGCCGGCAAGGATGTGAAACCAGAAAACGGGGGGAACTCCGTGGAATCGTCACAATCCTTGGCCTTCAACACGTAATGCAGAAAGCTGCCAGGTGGCAAAGTGCCCAACTACACCGATTATGACGAAGACGAGCCGACTCGGAGTGAAAATAGCCCACGGTCTAGGCGGTGGGGGTACGTAAACAATAACAATTGCGAGTCTGGGGGTCACCGAATGTTGATATCACGAGGGCAGATGATATTTTCATTCAGCAGAGAGCAAGTTTCAGCAAACGTTGTTTTGGATTCGTATGGCGGTCGAGGCAGTGTTGTTGAGGAAACGAGAGATCGTGTAAGTCAGCAGCAGCAGTAGGGGATGGTTGAGCAAAAGGAAGAGCCACAACAAGAGTATATTCTCCCAGAACGAGAAGACCAACTTCTTGATTTGTAAACCAGTGTATTTAAAAACCTCAATTCTGCGCTGAACAAAATAGAAAAAAACTTGGGGGTCAGCGCTGCAGCATCAGCACCCACACCGAAGCCGCTGGTCACGCCCTGTCTCGCCTCTGCAGGTATCCGTCATTAACATGAAAAAAGCAGGCTTCTGGCTGCCTCACTTGTGCAAAAGGGCTTCTTGCATCAAACGAAATAACCGGATGATTTTTCATTGAATTAATTGTGATGTTTCGCCGCTGCTCCTCGTCACCGTTGTTCATCTCACGTTATAGTCGAGATGCTGTAAGTAACCAACAACGGCGCCAAATCCCTCTACTAAATTGCTACTGTACTTCCCTCAGTCTTATTCCCTCCAGCGTCGCGTGGGTATCCCCTACAAAAACACTCAAGCTTTTTTTTAAAGCCAGATCAGATGCCCGCTAAGATGGATCCGAGTTTAGCGCCATGGCAGTGGACAACGTCCCCTAACCCACCGCCCCTGAACCGCTGAAGTTGTGCTGGGTGACAGCCTTGCAAGCGCCATATTTCTGCGAACGCTCTCCACTCGTCCCCCCCGAAAACAGACAGCCAGCACCAGCTTGCCCAAGCATTACTCTAGCCACCTTTGTGGCCCATACATCTCCCAACTCCCTTTCCCAGGTGCTCTTTGGCGTCTAGATCTCTGCTTCTTGTCGACTCACGCGCATGATCTAGGCGAACCAAACACACAAAGCATGGCCATGGCCCGCCACCAAACTGGCGCATCGTCTCCTCGACCTCCGTCCTCCTCCAACGCGTCTCCTCCCCCGACACCGTCCTCGACCGCCACGGCCCGTGGATCTACGACTCTTCACCCTTCCATACTGCAGCCCCGAGTTGCCGTGGTTCTAAATGTCCCACCGCCTTGGCATCCATGGCTCTTTGCCTTGCGCCTGCTGTCGTGTCTCCCAGCTGTCTGGTGGGGATTGCCATCAGCGCTGCACTTGGTGATGCGATTATATCCCGGACCCAATCATTATACTATTGTGCCAACATTTATATCTCAGGATGAGGGAGATTTGACGCCACATGCGTTGATAGAGTCGGCACTGGCAACCATATGGGTGAGTATACTACAGCCCAAGGGGCGCTGTTTGTATATGCTTGAGGCTAATATGGTGATTATAGTGCTTTGCCTGTGGTTACCTGTCCTTTTTCTTTACTGACTGTCTTATGTCCCGATGGTTTGTGTTATGAGTCTTGGGCTTCTCTCACCATTTTCTAACTTTTTATATTTAGGTTGATCAATTATACACCTCAAGCTACTATCGTCCGGCTCCTAACCATCGACGCGGTAAATGCATATGTCACCCTTACAGTCTTATCGCTCTTTGGAGGGTTTAATGACCCACGCCTACTTTTACCGGGATGGATCAGTATAGCCACCGTAAGAATTATTATGTCTCTGAATCGCCTTCAATATTGGATGCTAACGTGTAACAGACCCTTACAGTGTGCTACCATATCACGCACCAAAAGATCAACATTCGAAAAGAGACATCCACCTCGATCAACGTCTTCTCGATAGCATCCTATATCAGCATGGTCACGCTTCTTATTCGTATGCTCATCTACCAACCAGATTACCCTACTATACCGTTAATAGCACGGGTGCGGTGGATTTGGCAAGAAGGTATGGGGATCGCTTTGCGGGTCAAAGGGTCCATTGAGCGGGTAGAGCTATGATGCTATTATGCTCGTCAACAAAAAAAAAAGAAATTGAACCGATACCCAACGTGTCGAAATACAAGACACGTGCATGTTGCACATGTATCTAGCATAGTAAGCCAGCTTACACAGCGTTGCACCAGCTGTCTCTCGTACTAGTGACCAACAACACAAACTTTTTACCTTGATGCATGCACGTTACTGAAATCATGATATTTCTTGGGGATATCTCAGTTTGTATTTGCTTTAGACTAAGGCTGGATCTGTTGAAAAGCAAATCGGACAAGCGAATCGCCAGCCCAAATGGTATCTTGAGTCGCAATAACACAGTGTGTCTCGTAAAACAAAGCCATAACAATAACCAGGACCCAATCTCTGTGACTGTGTCACAGGCGAATACAAACAGGCAAAGAGCGTAGTATGCTCTTCTATTTGACATCCTTGGCCCCCTCATCAACTCTACACCTCGCTCACTTCTCTGTCGTACTGGTGGATGCTCCGTCGTCCTAGGGTACAGTGCTAGCGGGAGTCGTTCCATGCCCTGGCTAGATGAGATTCGTAACATCTGCCATAAAGCTATACCAGCCGGGGAAGGGTCAGGTTCCCCCGTACGCCCTGATGGCCCGCTTGCCCTGCTAAAGAGCGGGCGAAGCATGACGGGCGACGGCGCGCGGAAACGCGCTTAGAAACCGTGGACTTTGATAGTCTTGGGGTCTAGCTCGAGGCCTTCCTTCTTGTCGACCAAAAATTCGTGGACATCCTTGCGCTGATCGCCCTGAAGCTGGATCACCTCTCCCATCTCGGTGTCGGTAACGATGGTTCCATTGCAGGCTGTGCAAGACAAACAGTTTGTTAGTATATCGGAAACGGCATGTTTTAAACAAGCATCGGGAATTCTGAAGCATACCAAATTTCTTCTTAATGACCTTGAGAATCTTCTTCTGGTCAAACTTCTTTGGGAGACCCTGGACCGTGGTCAAAGCCTTACGACCATTACGCTCTGCATTGGAGATTAGCGGGGGTTGGAGGAAGCAGGTGGGGTAGCTGGCAACGAACGTTGGATACGTATATGGATGTAATTCTGCGTTTGCTTGGTTTCTCCGGTGTCCTCGTCGGCTTCGGCGAAGGGATCTGGAAAATGGAATCTGTTAGTAAGAGCTCTTCTTCTGTGGTGGTGTTGACGCGATGCGTTCGCTGGCCGGCCCACGACTAGATTTGCATGTTGGTTGCGCCCCACGCACGAGGGATACCACCAGAAATACCAGTCGGCAAGGGCAACAGCAAGTACTTGAGCAAGACGTGATGATCCAAAGGCAGTTGTAGCTTACCGTAGGTCTTGAGATTTTCGATGGACATAAACTCGGAGGTGACGGGGTAACCTGGGAAAAGAGTTGTATAGAAAGAGAGGGGAGAAATCAGCGACCGACAGCTAGAGATGAGCGGCCTCGCTGGAGAAGTGGTTGTTGGGTAAGGACTTTGTAAAATTCGGTACGTAGGTTGACGGTGCGTTGGGAGTTTAGAGAAGATCTCAAAAGCTCCTGATGGTCTGCGTGGTTGCGATGGTTTGCGTTGGCGCGTAGTTGTTGCAAGTAGAAGGAATCGATCGGGTGGCGGAAAAGAGGGAAAATAGGGAGGAGAGCGGCGGGCACGCACACACAAAGCACAGGCGGCTCCAGCAGCAGGCAGGCGGGCAGACTAGGCGGGTGGAGGGGCAAAAAGGCAAGGCAAAGGCAAGGCAAAGGCAGGCGGTAGGCAATTGGCGGGCAGTGCTTTCACTGGTGTGTGCGTTTTTGCGGGCCGAGTTTTGTGTGGGAAAACTCTGAAGGCCAGCCCCTCCACCACCGCACCGCCCACTGACACTGGCGTTCTTTGTTGTTATGCGTGTGCGCCGTTACAGCGGGCGGCTCCATCCATCCACTGAAAGGCCCCCTGTAAATTTTTACCATGGGGCTCTGCACCGCCTGGAAAACACTTGTCTGCTTCAAAGTTGTTGCCTGGAATTTACGGCCAGGATTAAGTGCCTCGCCTATGGTGCTGACCGACCAACTACTCGACGATCTCAGAAAAGCCATAATTTGCCACTATATTTCCCAAGAAATGCCATGTATTGTAGTCATCGTCTCAAGAAAAGTCCAGTGCGCCTATCGCCATTTCCAGCACCACACAGCCAATAGTAAATGCCGCAATGAGGCTGAACTGTTTGCCTCTAATCAAGTGCCTAGCGTATCGGCAGTCGGCGGGCAGCATCGCGTGACCTATAATTGGAGTTTATCCTGTGAACAACCAGGCTCAGATCTAGACCTGTCTCGTATAGTCCTGTGTATCTTGTCATATAAACGACTTACAGTAAAAACAACGCTCGTCTTTATTTTTTTATTCTTTTTTAAAATGAATATTTATCCCCACGGTCTACTCCAATGTCGGAGTCATCCCTCCGCGGCCCAGCGCCACACTGTTGCCTCTGTCGCTTTCGCCTGCCAAAGTGCTCCGGGCGATGACGCTGCCTGACTGCCCCTCCAAAAAGCCCCTCCAAGCCCCGCGGCTGATCTGGTCACTGTTATGCAAATCTCTGCACCAAACCGCATTTCCTAGCGGCACGTTATCGCAGCAACCGGTCGTTCTCAAAAAGAAATCTTCCCAAATACTATTTAATGCCATTTACCCCGGAAGAATTCACTACAGACAGCCCTTGCCTATTAACAGCACAAGACACTGAAAATGTGTGGCGACCGCTGTATCGGCAGGCCTGCGCCTTCAAGGGCGATGCCTTTATTGAGTGTATGATGAATATGATTCGGAATCCCAATTTGAATTCATCATGGCTGTTTAGAGCAGATATATTATACGACTCAGACCCCACTTCAGAGGAGAATCCGGATGATATCTCAGCTCATATAAACCAACTTACAGTCCATCAACCACAGTCATGCCCGATAGTTGGCTTCACCCCATCAAGGCGCCTTGTAAGACGGCTGATACCCCGGAATGACAGACGTGACAAACCTATGGAACAAACCTGCGAGATACACAAAGCTGTTTCGGATGATGGCACAAAGAAGCAGACTTTGATTGTGTATCTGCCCCATATTCAAACGCCAGAAGAAATACCGTTCTATCACCCAAAAGTACGGGGCATTGCCCATTTGCACGAGTGGGATTCTGAAACAGACTCTGGACACATTTCCATTCATTTCATGGGATATCCATCTCTCGATGTTTACGAAAAGAAGACGCAAAAGATTGCATTTCATTTACTGGAACTGTTGGAGAAGCACGGCCGCAGCAGAGTGACCGGCGGCTACGTCAAACGCGTGCATCACGATTTGATTGTGCCACAGGGAAGATTTCAAAATCGGTATTCCGCCTTGAAGAACAAATATGCACGTTCTCTCATTGTGGATTGGGCAGAACAAACGGACCCTGACAAGCACGTCTTTGAGGACCTCGGCATAGCATCCTTCTTGATGGAACTATGGGCTGACTTGTACAAAGACGTCGAATTCCCCGGCTTTGTGGATATCGGATGTGGTAATGGATTACTAGTGTATATACTTCAACAAGAAGGTTACAAGGGCTGGGGATTTGACGCCCGCAGACGCAAGTCTTGGGTTCAATACACCGGCAAATCTGACGAGTCACCCACAGGAGCCTCACTGGAGGAGCTTTTCCTGCTACCTGACTTAACAGTGCAAGGAGATGAAGCTGATGGAATTGATACAGCGAGGATTCACAACGGTGTCTTCCCCAAGGATACTTTCATTATCTCCAACCACGCCGACGAACTCACACCATGGACACCCATTCTTGCTGCAGCCTCTCAGTGCCCATTCATCATGATCCCGTGCTGCAGTCACAACTTGACAGGCGACAAGTATCGTGCACCACCGCCACGAGATAAGACGAAAGGAAAATCGACATACGCCTCTCTAGTCGACTGGGTCACAAGGATTGGCGAAGATTGCGGATGGGAGGTTGAGACGGAAATGTTACGAATTCCGAGCACGAGGAATACAAGTCTTCTTGGACGACGAAGGACGAACAAAGAAGAAGACTTTAATTTGGAGAATATCGTTGCAAAATATGGAGGCACACAGGGCTTTGCCAAAAACGTGGCCAAGCTTGCGAGCGTTATTCCTCGAGGCCACTAGCTGGACAGGCAGACGATCAACAACATTTTATTTTATGCATGGCACGGCGTAATGGAACAATAGACATATAGAAAAGAATTGGTTTCATCAATGATATAATTTTTTCATAAAAAAGACATCTAAGCAAAAGCAGTAAACCAACTCCAAGAATGCAATGCCCATTCATCAAAAGGCATTTCTGAATGCTCTAAAAACAAAATATTTGAGGCTAAACCTCAAAGAGAGATCACTTGTCTCAACATCCATGACCAAGTGGAAAACGAAGCATCATCATTCCTCTTCATCTTCTTCAATAGGAGCTGGCGTGCGACGCTCAGTGCGCCTCTTGGGCCGCCTGTGACGTGAGCTGCTAATATTACTGGCCGAGTCGTCGGGCATAATGTCAATATCGTCGCCTCCCCATTCGCTGTCACTGCCAGCCTCCTCATCCGTGCTCGGCATCCATGACGGCTTCTCCATACCGACGTTGGGTGAACTATCTGGTCCCGGCGTAGATAAGACATCGATGCGTCGTCTGCTCTGTAAACTCTGCATCAGACCAGCGCCTCGCTCTCTGAGAGCAGTGCGCACAATTTCTGCCTTGAGATGTAGCCGTTCAAAAGCATCCTCTAGACTCTCCATACCAGTATAGATTTCACGCTCAATCTCGGCAATAGCGGCCATTTCCATTTCCTCATCGTTGGACACAGCTTGTCGTCCTGGTAACGTGGATGACGCTGAGCTAACAAAGGACGCTGGAGTGGCGCCCCTAGAGTAGGGCCCAAACGGAGTTGTTGTGCGTGATCCCATGGCAGACATTCCGCGCGGTCCAGGGCTGGCTGTAGCTCGGCCGCCGTATATGCTGGCGGGTGTCTGGCGTCGGGATTCGCTGCCATAGTCACCGTCGTCTGCGCCGGACCACAGGAAGCCGTCGAAGCGACCGGATGTGAGGATTTCCCATTCTGAATTGTTAATATTGGAGATGGTCACCAGCAAATCATGGGTCTGCGGATTCTTGACGAGGTAAGTGGCAGTCTCTGCATCTCGTGGCACTTGCTGGAGGCGGTAGAGTCGTTGGAGAGACAAGCCCATCTTGACAATAAAGTCGGTTCGAGGCTTGTGCAGAGGAGTGGGAGCGCGGGTTGCTGGTCGTAGTTCTCGTGAGCCGGACAGAAGCGCATTAAAGTACGGACGGTCCTCTTCCTCCAAGTTTGTCAGAACGGCAAACGCCAGGGTCTCGTCATCAACTTCCTGCGGCGGTGGTGCTGGAATTTCTCCATTGTTGGTTAGCCACTTGTCGACTGCAGACCGGACCTTTTTCGTTTGTCGCAGGTAATGCTCTCGGAATTCTTCAGCGATGTCTGGATCGAGCTTGATGGGTGACGATGGTCGTTGCGGCTCCTCTGCAGATATCTCAGCCGCCTTTGTTCCAATCTCAGCAAGATCGATGGGTGGCCAGCGCGGTAGTTCGATACGACCGCTCACCCATTCTAGGACGTCACCCCAAGTTAAGCCCCGATGGACTTCATTGGATTTGTCGCACATTATGCACGCGCATCCATGAGGAGGTAAATCTCGTGAAAAGACATTTTCTAGTCTGTCAAGCAGGCGGCGAGCCACTGAGCGGTGACCCGTGGCGACTGCCAGAGAGCCTTGCTTGTTTAAAACATTGTTGTATTGCTCTAACAAGTTGAAGAACGGGGCAAAGAGCGTGTCGGAACCAGTCAGTGGTGGAAGAGATGCCCGAGCTCCATTCTGTATGGGCAATACTGAGAGGAAATGGCGGGGAACTGGTTGTGGTAAACCGCCATTCTGTAGGAGGTAATCGACGCGGGGGATTTCAGAGATATTCATGACTGGAGGCGGTGGAGGAGGTGGGGGTGGAGGCGGTCCTGGAGCTACTGAAGCCGGAGTAGCAGTCTTGGATGGAATACTAGATTCGCCATCGTCTCCGTCTTCTCGGTGCGATGTGTAGAGGTGAGTTGGGAAGTGAGTGGGTTGGGTTGGCGTCTTTGGGGACGAGCCCTGTACGCTCGATGGAGAAGAGCCGTCTTCTTGTGTGGTAGCCTTCTTGTGCAAGCTTCCTCTAGAACCAGAGGCTCTAGGAGAGTGGCGGGAGGAGCTTGATACTCGTGATTCGCTACTGCGAAGCTTCTCGTGCGAAGAATGTTTGGCAGTCTTGACAAAGGTGGCTTGGCTTGATGTTCCAGAGCGGCGACTAACTCTTGACCGATCGTCGTTGTGTGATTTCGACCGGGAAACTCTGGATGATGAATCTCGCTCATTGCTGTCCTCTTTCAAATCGCTACCGGGGGCAGAAGATCGTCTCTTATCTTTCGACATTTCCGTCTCGGGCGGACTAGGTGGGCGAGATGTTCTCTTCGTAGAGCCTCTGCGTGAGGAACCCGACGATCGGTTCTGGCTATCCTCGTCGCCGGTGTTGGTCGGGTCGGGAGTCAAGGGTGCATCTCGGCGGGTTGGAGAGAGATCTTCGCGGCTCATGACGGCTTCTTTGCTGTGTGCCTTGCTGAAGGATGGGTAAGGCAAGGAAACTCGTTTGCCGCTGATGGCGGATCTAGAAATGGAGCCTACATCGCTGGCAGAACCTCGTTCCCTTATACCTCGAAGAGAGCTTCGTTCGTCATCATCGTCACGCTCCCTCCGGCGGTGTTTGCGTGGTGAAGAGACATGTGAACTTGAATCACCGCCTTCTCCAGACAATTTGCTTCTGGACTTTGACGAGCGGTGTCGGCGCTCTCTGTCCATATCACGGTCACCATCGCGGTCTTTATCCCTGTCTCTGTCTCTGTCTCGATCTCGGTCTCGATCTCGTTCCGGCTTTCGCTCCGACTTGGAGCGTCGCTGCTTTTCGCGGGGTCGGTCGTCGTCGCCGTCGACGTCACGATCTTTAGTGGGCATGGCAAGCCTGCATCTGCAAGGGTAGCAGACACGAGTTGACTGCCTGGTGTGAGGTGAAGATGCGTCAGCGCTGACCGAGTTCTATTCGTTGTTGTGAAGATGCTGAGGTTGGGCCGTCATCAGGCGGGAGGAGTTGAGAAGGCGGGCAAAGTGTATGCAAGTGGTGTGGCTGAGACGCCGGTCAAGGCGTTCACGACGAACCAGTGATGACTTTGGAGGGGCGGGGCAGACTTGGTTTGGGTTGGCGGCTAGAGCCGTGTTGTGGGCCTGGAATAATCTTCAGGCGCAAACTTGGTCTAAAAATACAAAAACCCTAACCCTATTGTGATGGTGACAAACAGGCGACCTATCTGCATAGTCCAAAAAAAAAAGAAAAAAAAGTATTTTATAAATTGATATAATGTACTATTCGTATAGTGGCATTTATTCATCATCATAATATGTGTCATCTACAATAAAGGGTGGTCGTATATGCTAGGAAATGGTAATAATCTCTCCCTCTGCTCACGTATTACACTACTGGAGCATCACCTTTAGCTGTGTGGCCCTGGGTATCCTCAGCAGTTTGAGTAACATGACTCTTTTGATCATTCGGCTCACCAGTATTCTCTACAAATTCCTCCGCTGGTGTCATGGGTCGTTGGCTGTCTATCGCGGCGCTGCTTTCATCCCCTTCCTCGAGGCTCGCAAATGCAATGGGCAGCATAAGAGAGCTCACACGAGAATGGGCTCTGCGCTGCATGTCAGGTCGACTTAGATTCTCAGCTTGCATTTGCGCGAACTCATTCGAACTCCACGAGGCACGGTGCACCCGGGCAGCGCGTGGAATGCTGCTCACAGAGTGCCTTGAACTGGCGCTGTCCGCCCGAGTGCGTCTGCCATTGCTCAATGGGAGCTGGGACACTGGCTCAATATAATCTTCATCTTCGTCTTCAATCTTAGGAGCCCTTCGTACCTCCCGTACGTCAAAGGTGGATTCCATAGGATCTTCTGAAATAGCTTGCTTCTTCTCCTGAGGGGCGTCGTCGGCTCTCTGCTGCATATGTTCAAAGTACTTGGTACGGATGGAACTGAGGTCTTCAGGGAATTCTGCACGGTTTCGCGACAAGGACATCCATGTAGAAAACATTCCTAAAAGGGCAAGAATCAAAGCTGCAGCACCAACAAATCCTTGAACAATTACTATAATGATGCCAATAACAGTGGTTGCAGTTCGATCGACATTGAAGTCTTGCAGAAACGCGATTGATAGAGCGGTAGTAATGACTTTGGAAATCGATGATAGCCAAACACCAAGCGCCGAGTTTCGCGATGACTCGAACGGTTTCAGCTTGAAGATGATGACAGCTGCGAGTGTTTCCATGATAAGTAAGCTGAAAACCTGCGCATGAGGGGTTCGTGATCCGCCGCCGAGAAGGCACGCCCTAGCAAACTGATAGATGATGTAATAAACAAAGAACCACCATCTTGAACGTCGATAACGGGCTGATAGCCATCCGAAGCGCTTGATGAACATTTCGTCTTTGTGTACATTGGGCCTGTTTGGGTCGGTGTTGACGTGCTTGATGTAGGGGATTGGAATCGCAAAGAGCAGAGTTGGCTTGTTTGATGCTTCTGTTTCCCCCATCGCCTTTTCCCGTATTGTCGATATATAGGGAATACCCCTAACCTTTCGTCTCATTTCAAATCGTAAAGCATCTCGTGTGAATTCAAAACTGCCTTCTCGTAAACGGAGTTGGCAAGCATAGGCGGCGGCTGAACCCACAATTGCTAATAGGAGCACAAAAATTACGACCGCAAGAACGGTCGGAGCTATCGTTCCGTGGTATGTGAATTGAAAGGTTGTTGTGGTCATGATGGCGAAGAAGGCGATGAAAATGGTTCTCAAGAGGGACGCTGCTAGATAACCAAGGCAGTGGCTTCGAAAGTAGTCGAAGCCGTCTGTTTTGAGAAGCTTTACCATTTTAAGCAAATCCAACACCAGCTTGGTGCCTATAACACAAAATGATACAATTCCCAACAGGACCAAAAGCCAAATAAGACTCAGGGTGAAAGCTTCTGCTGGGGGAACTTGCACCTGTGACAATGTTCCTGAGAAGCCAGGCCACGTACCGGGCATAGGCATTCCAGGGCCCTCTGGATTCCCAGACCATGAGTAGTCGTATGGATTGGTGGGATCGTAGGCTGCCCTTCGCATGGGATAGTTGGCAAGTTGGAATTTTCCTTGAGCTGCGCGGCCATAGATTTGGTTGGCCAAGCTGCCTTTGCCACTTGGAGGAGCCGGACCGGCACCACCAACTTGCGTAACATTTACATTGATTCCTGTAAATGAACTGATGGAGCGAACAAGTTGGTCTGTGGTGAACATGCCAGCAGTCCACGCAAAGTTGCTCCACCAGGCGGGCAGCACGCTGGGCCAGCTAACAGCGAGGGCACCAGACAGGAAGAAGGACTGAAATGTGTCGATGAGGACCATGATGGAAACCGAGTGGGCATAGTGCATGCGTACATGCTCAATGCTAACTCCGTATATGGCGCTTAGAAATGAAGCCACGGCAGCAGCCAGTATGAAGATACCAACAATGGTGCCCAGAACAGCAGGCTGTGAGAGCGTAATAGAGTTGGACATGCTCGCCTGGAAGCAGCCGATTTCCTTTTGAGTAGAGTTTGAAAAGATCCGTATACGAGCAAGCCCCTCAAAATTTGGGATATTGAGTCCGACGGACGGAACAATGCTCTCGACATCAGCCAGAGCGCCGTATGCTTGGATAGACTGTGGAGCCTTGAGTGGGCATAGCGAGGTTATATTTCCTTTGCAAGGGTCGTAAGCGGTTCCGTATCTGACTTCTCCATAAGCCTCAATTGAAAGATATACTATTTAAAGCTTGGTGTTAGCAATGGACCAATGTTGCTGGCAACTGGCGACTGAGCAGCGCTAGTCCCTACTTACACATTACAGACTCTTGTCGGATGTTTGATGATCCATCGAGATGGAAGCTAATAGTAGCATTGTCTTGATAATAAGCAGTGTCGAATTTCGTAACATTAAATAAACTACCACCGGTCATGCAATCGGCAAAATCGCCAGTGTAGAGGGCCGGGTAACGGCTGACATCGAGCTTCTGGTTGACCTGATCGCCGACTCCATTGACAAAGATGGGATCAGCGGCAGCCAATGAGCATAATAGAGGAAGTATAATGGCCAGATATAGGACGATCAGTGACGACCGATAATTTTGAGGAGACTCCATGCCGATCGCGTCAATGGCTTGAGTTGGGTTGGCTGGTGTGCTAAGTGTGGCGGGGAGGCATTGATATCGCTATGTTGGAGTGAGAGGTTCGTAGAGTAGCGAAAGTAAGTTGTGAAGAAGCAGCACAAGTCCGAAAGATCGATGACAATGTGTGTCGATTCTGTATTCTGCGAGTTTGAAAGAAGATGGAGAGGAGAAGCAAGTGCCGAAACACAAGGCAAAGTGGCATAAAGCAGGGCTGCAGTGGGCAATCGGAGGGATCGGTTGGGCTGGGAACACGCGGCTTTGCTTGCTTGCTTGCTGGCAGGCTGGGTTTGTTCGTATTCACGGGAGGGGAGGCCGGGCGGTAAAGGCCTGCTTGGAAGAGTGAGGACGCAGGGCGGGACCAAGCAAGGAGAAGGAAGAGTTTGAAAAGATGAAACTCGGCTACCGTTGAAAAAAAGGCGAGTGCGAGGCTGGAAAGAGAAAAAAAATATGCGCAATTGGAACCAAAAGGGAGTGAATGACGACTGCATAAAGCCTCAAAAGCCGTGTAAATGGGCTCACCCACGTATTCTTTGTTACAGCGGCGGGAGTGCTCCGGGCGCTAAGACGTTAGCTGCGTTGTTAGCGCCAGATTCCCTGTAAGTTACCCAACCAAGGCTTGGAAGTGTGCTTCGCTAAACTTGGCGGTGGCTGTGGCTTGGACCGCCGTGAGTTTTGTTAACGAGTGAATCCGCTGGCAGCAAAGCTGGGGAAAAGAGAAAGAAAGACTGTGAAAAAAAAATATTGAAAAGGCAAAGCTGTAACAAGTAACCTTTTACGCGTCGCATTTCCATTCTTGTTTCATGCTTCTTTGCTTCAAAACTTATCGCTGGCAAAAACGCCCCAGCTGCCCCCAAATGCGCCACAAACGCGACAAGATAGCATGCCTGTAGTGGCCAATTACAGCGGCGCACCGAAACATGCATGCAAATCACGCAACTGAGGCAGGCCCTCTCACCTTTTTTTTATGTCTTGTCCACCAGCAAACACAACTCGACTCCATCTCCACTGGGTAATGCACGTAAAACGCATCAGTCGGAGGCCTGTCACTACTGGGAGGTCATCTGCTCTCTCTCCCCCCGATAGTCCGGGCAATCAGCCATTTCCACAGAGCCGCCGTCGCAGAAGCAGCCAACAAAGGCTACTTACTACTCGTGCCGAATACCGCAATGGACCATTGCTTCGGATGCCTGGCTGCCGATATTACATGTTTGGGGTAAGGCGGACGTATCTCTGGCCCACAGTCCGGAGCATGAGGCGCACACTCTAACCAGCCATCCATCTACAACGCCAGTTAAGTGCCGAGATGCACATTATTCATTGCATGCCGTAGCATCCGGAGTCTCATGCTGCTGCGACGAACCGCGCCGCGGATTATCGCACACGACTGAATGAACAGTTTGAGAAGATCCAATGGAAGTGTTCACTTTGAGTCGCCATACGTTCATTGAGGTTATAATAGGCTGTACGAACTTGTGCGGTACCAATAGCGCACAGAGGAGTGTGACGGCCGCTATACGCCAAGCCTTGATGGAGTGTGCTTGAAAACACCAAAACACCATGCATATACACTACCTAGACCTCACCTTCAACTTATACGGTCGACATCTCCAGCGTCAGAAACGGTGCCGCGCTGAAATACACACAGATCTAGTGGCTCCCTAATCCGCCTAGTATTGTTAACGGGCGCTGGTTCTGGCGTGGTCTAGACCCAAGCTGGCCCCATTGCTGGATTCGATTGGTACCCCGTGCTGCCTCTCCCATTGGTTTGGACCCTTCAAACGCTAAAATAGATTTTTCTGTGATCGGACAGCATGTGCTGTTGCCCCTCCGTAAAAAGGGTCTTTTCCCCCAACCGTCGGCGGCAGCGATGCTTTTGTAGAAGCTGATCTCCCAAATTCACGTCCATCAACACCGGAATGCTCGCCACTGTAGTAAAGGCCGACCCGGCGCCGGTGGGCGACATTAGGCTTCAAGAGACGTCTCTATACACACATCCCCGCCTCTGCGCCAGCGTCGATCCGATCAAAGGCCGTCTATTTCGAGCATCGTCACCGATTTCCAAGGGTTCAATTGTCCTGGTTGACCGATCATACTCCACGATACCGTCTGCCGATCCGCACAACCCAGATGCACTTGTCTGCAGCAATGCGACGTGCTCTCGACGCATAACCAAGACCCAGGCAGCTGTTGTACAATGCGCCAACTTGTGCTTTGAGCATGTCGCGTGGTGCAACACCGTGTGCCAGTCGGCGGATGCTCAGCGCCATGACCTAGAGTGCCAATGGCTGAGAACGCATAGCAAAAAGCTACGAAGCGAAGAGGGCGACTACGAGTTTATAACGATATGGCACATTGTGCGCATTCTTGCGACAAGATGCTTGGACGTCATTGCTGGCCAGCTCGAAGACTGGGACGCCGTCGACCAGTGCTGTGCATACCTCGACTCGTGGCCAGAGGGGCAAGTTATACTCTGGAAGCGCTTAGTAGCTCAGTACTTGAACAAGGATGCACTGGATTGTACATTGACGCCAGAGGAGGTGCTATCGCTACTTGTCAAGGAGGAGACCAACACGTTTAGCTTGTATCCGTCCATGACAGGACCACTGGAAGCAGGCGAAAACAGACCATTGCGCGGAACGCCATACGGTATCGGCATATTTCCGAGAGCGGCAAGATTTAACCACTCTTGCACTCCAAATGTAAGTTCCTAGGGGACAAGTGACTCGGAAGTATTGTAGCTAACCGGTAGTGTAGGTGTCCCACAAGCCCGATCTGCACAACCGGATGGTTTTTACGGCGGCAAGGGATATAGCAACCGGCGAAGAATGTTTTATTACGTATTTCGATCTCGTTGGGAAACAGACCGTTACAGAGCGACAGAATTGGACAAGGGATAACTTTCGGTTTGCGTGCACATGCTCGCGATGCGAAGAGGAGCTGGCTGTTGAAAATATGAGTCGTCTGGACGCGCTGCCTTTTGGAGACTTTTAAACGTGCATTTTTTTGGAGTTTTTTTTGGGGAGGCATATTATATAGCATTTACTTGGAGTTTAATTGGGAACCTTTTTTTTTATGTGTCCGTCATGATTGCCACTGGTGCATGCCAAATGGGGCAAGTCGGGCTATGTGGTGCTTGCGCCGAGGGTCCGATGGAAGACAGCGGCATTATTGTTGGCCGATGCGCGAGTTGTTGGACAAATATATGCTGTTTTGAGGAAAACTTGGTCTGTAAATTAAGCGGTATATGAAAATCGAACGACACTAGCGTTTAGATTCGCGCTGGTTACCAGGATAGTCCATGTCATGTCAGCAGCCTGTAAGACTCGGAGGTGTTTAGTCTGGAATCCTGGTAGCTACGGTATTTTACCTGGGGATATAGAGGCGTAGTGTATAGCCGATGCTTATTTTCAAACCTTGGAGCCGATTAACCTGTTTGTATCTCTCCGACTTTTCACAATTATGACAGGTTCATCGCTCGGCCGGCCGCCGTATTGTGTTGCAGAGGAACGGTAAGCGAGGCGGCATGGTGGCGCCGGAACCAGCGGAATGGCTGGCTTGTCGCGTCGTCGGGGTTCCTGGCAACAGCGAGGCCGGGTACACGGAATGGGAGGAAATGGCGGTGGGTGTAACGGTAATGAAGTGGGAATACGTCACGGGGGATGGATTGTGTGTATTGAGGAGAAGATGTGTTTTTGGGGGATTGGGGGGATATCGGGCCGTCGGGACATCGGACTGGTTTAGTTGGTTGGTTAACAGTGATGTGTGTCTATATAAGAGGCAGATGGTCACCATTCCAAAATATATAGTCTGCTTACAATCCTTGTTCACATTGATACTAGTTCATCAAAAACAAGAGCAGTTGAGAGCCATTTGATCCAATATAGCGCAAAGCTGAAAGTTGGTTTTTGGTAAGCAAAATCCCTCCGAACACGATGCTTACATGACGGGTACCTGTATTATATACTGCTACGACATCCCGTCCATCCTCTGCACCTTTTTTTTGCCTTCTTTTTTCTGTGTGTTCAATTCACTTTCCTACAAAGCAACCTCTATTTTTGCCTTTATTATTTTGTTTGTCTTCCCCTCCCCTTTCTTTCTTCTTCACTTCTCCATAGCAAAGCCCGCTATTTCCTATTTATCAGCAACCATCAAACCAACCCCACCACAGGTTGCGCATCATTTCATCCCACCACCGCCCATTTACCCCACTAAACCATTTACAGCGCTCTCTGATACGCTAACTTTAGAGGCCAGCAGTACCTGTTATTAGCGAATTCCACCACCGGACCCTCGCCGCAGGCACAAGCAAAGAGCGCAAAAAAGAAAAGCACGACGGTCCGGCCCCACGATTGCGTGATCGAAGCTCGAAAACGCAACTTTTGGCGCCGAGGAGAAAAAACACTGACACAGCGACTCGAGTAAAAAACGGCTGCCGGAACTGCGCGCTTTTTTTTGTTTCTTCCTTCATCATCACCACCTTCTTGTTCTTCTCTTTTCACACACACAAAAATCACCGCAGCAAAATGGCAAACCCTCCTCACGGTGGCGTCCTCAAGGACCTCTTCGCCCGCGATCTGCCCCGCCAAGCAGAGCTGCTCGCTGAATCCGAGACTCTCCCCGCCCTCACACTGACTGAGCGTCACCTTTGCGATCTCGAGCTCATCCTCAACGGTGGCTTCTCTCCTCTCGAGGGTACGTTTTACTATTGGCTGCTTGTCTGTGTATTTGCATAAGAAGCGGTTCAATTGGCTTGGGGGAAATCACTGTACTGACGTCATTTTCCTTTTCTCTAGGCTTTATGACTGAGAAGGACTACAATGGGTTTGTCTTGACCAAACAATTGGTTCAACTTTTGTCACTTTTTACTAACAAATCGTGTCTACAGTGTCGTCAAGGATAACCGCCTCGCCGATGGCCTCCTCTTCTCCATGCCCATCACTCTCGATGTCGACCAGCAGCAGATCGATGCCCTTGGCATTAAGCCCGGTGCCAGACTCACCCTCCGCGACTCTCGCGACGACAACAACCTCGCCATCTTGACCGTCGAGGATGTCTACAGACCCGACAAGTAAGCCTTTCTATTACGATTAAAATAAATAGAAATGCAAAAAAGAAAGAGACTAATCAGTGACTTCTCTCCACAGGGTCAACGAGGCCAAGCTCGTCTTTGGCTCCGACGACGACACCCACCCCGGCATCAAGCACCTCCTCAGCACCGCCAAGGAGTTCTACGTCGGTGGCAAGCTCGAGGCCATCAACCGTCTCCAGCACTACGATTTCCTCGACCTCCGCTGTAAGTGAAACCCTCCTGCAACACCCTCTGCCCCAACCTCTGCTCCATCCTCTGTTGTTGCTAGTAGTGCACCACCAACTAACACCTCCTCTCTCGCACCACGCAGTCACCCCCGCTGAGCTCCGCGCCCACTTCAACAAGCTCGGCTGGCAAAAGGTTGTTGCCTTCCAGACCAGAAACCCCATGCACCGTGCTCACCGTGAGCTGACGGTCCGCGCCGCCCGCTCTCAGCAGGCCAACGTCCTCATCCACCCCGTCGTGGGCATGACCAAGCCCGGCGACATTGACCACTTCACCCGAGTCCGCGTCTACAAGGCCCTCCTCTCCCGCTACCCCAACGGCATGGCCGCTCTCGCCCTGCTGCCCCTCGCCATGCGTATGGGCGGCCCCCGCGAGGCCCTCTGGCACGCCATCATCCGCAAGAACCACGGCTCTACCCACTTCATTGTCGGCCGTGACCACGCCGGCCCCGGCAAGAACAAGGCCGGCAAGGACCACTACGGCCCCTACGACGCCCAGGAGCTTGTCCAGAAGTACCAGGACGAGCTGGCCATCAAGATGGTCGAGTTCCAGGAGATGATCTACATCCCCGACCGCGACGAGTACATGCCGGCCAACGAGATCCCTGAGGGCACCCGCACCATGAACATCTCCGGCACCGAGCTCCGCTCCCGCCTCCGCACCGGCAAGGACATCCCCGAGTGGTTCTCCTACCCCGAGGTCGTCAAGGTCCTGCGCGAGCAGAACCCTCTTCCCAAGGAAAAGGGCTTCACCATCTTCATGACTGGTCTGGCCAACAGCGGCAAGGAGCAGATTGCTCGCGCCCTCCAGACTACCCTCAACCAGGGTGGTGGCCGCCCCGTCTCCATGCTTCTTGGTGAGACTGTCCGTTCCGAGCTCTCTGCTGAGCTCGGCTTCAGCAAGGCTGACCGTGATGTCAACATTGGCCGTATTGCCTTTGTTGCTTCTGAGCTCACCCGTGCCGGCGCTGCTGTTATCGCCGCTCCCATTGCTCCTTTCGAGGCTGCCCGCCAGGCTGCCCGTGAGCTCGTCGAGAAGGCCGGTCCCTTCTTCCTCGTCCACGTCGCTACCCCCATTGAGTACTGCGAGAAGACGGACCGCCGCGGTGTCTACAAGGCCGCCCGCTCCGGTGAGATCAAGGGCTTCACCGGTGTCGATGACCCTTACGAGGCCCCCCAGAACGCCGACCTTGTTGTCGACGTTGAGAAGCAGAGTGTCCGCTCCATTGTTCACCAGATTATTCTGCTGCTCGAGAGCCGTGGCCTCCTCGACCGCCTATAAATGAGAAAGGACGGTTCGATAGACGGTGGAATATTTTCTTCTTTTTGGGAATACATGGTTTCCTTTTTACGTTTAGCTTAAAAATGTTATTCTGGGCGTTTAGAACGACAAGAACAAAATACAATAATGATTTTATGCCTTTCAAAAATACAGAGTCTCTCTCCACGTCAGCCTATTGTAAAAGTTGTGATGCGCTTGCCCGTTCTGCAACACTTGGTCTTACTTTACAACATGGATGAATGTTACCAAGACAGGTATAATGTCGTTACACAGTGTCCCTAGAATATATACTGAGGGCTCAGCTAAGGCAAAGCGAGACACGGCAGGGTGAGACATACAGATCGACCCGTGCCGACTTCCTATTGAGGTTAAAGTCGCGATAACATTTGACTGTGAGCTGGAATACCCCAAGCTCTTTGTAGTAGAAGGCTCAAAATAGTTGACCTAGCCTGAATGACGCCATGCGGACGGCAGATCTTATGCAAAAAGGACCTTCAGCAAAGACAAACAGCCAGTCACGGCAATTCGGAATGTGCATGATATCCCGAGACTTGCAGATCGCACAAAAGCTCGGCGAATCGATGTTTGACACATACAGCGGTCGCACGCAGAGGCACAGTACATTGAGACATGTTGTACAGAAACGGGTCACACAGGGACATGTACAGAGATGCACGAAAGGATATAATGTATCGAACTACAGCACTCTCACTTATACATTTAGATGTTGAGACTCACAGCAGAACTATTCAACCCATTCAAAGTGTTCTTTTCTTGCTTAGAATGAGTTCTAATTTCTTTCGCAGCCTTGGTGCTCGCCTATCTTTCCTCCGTGGAGGGTCACAAGTCTCCATTCCTCGTGATCCCTCATTCGATATCAGTCGTATCGAACACCATCCTGATAAGCAGCTGTTAGCACGGATCAGCAAGTACTACATAACTCTTACTACAGGAGACTTCAATGGAATGACTGCTCTACAAGCGGATGACTTGCAGATCAGTGATATTTGTAAGAATTTGCACATCTTTTACACTCATCAAGCTGCTACAACTTACACTTCTTTAGCTCTTGAGATTGTCAGGGCATCAAAACAAACCTGGAACCAAGTGAACTCGGGTTTCAGCTCTCTTATGACAAACATCCTCGTTGAGGCCATATCTCTGTACGGCAGTTCTGAGCCCGGCTCATTCGCTCTCATGGAGTGTGTCATTCGATTTACATTGGCGGTTGATCCTCCACCGGAAGCCGCGAAAAATCTACCACCCGGTATCAAAAAGGGCGACAGATCAGGCATGATTATGTTGTCCGCCATCTGGTGGAATCAAGAGGGGTTAGTGTATCGTGACTTGGAGTACGGAAGGTTGATCTGGGATCAGTTTGATATCAATGCTTTCAAGGTGTAGTAGCACCCTATGGTTCTTCAACAACTTTCGCCGTTGATGGCGGCTTTAATAATTTTCTATTTGAGTTTAATACAGGAATGGCTCTCTATGGCCATGTTAATGGGAATTTGCGCGGAGAATTTTAAAAATCGAGGTTCAATTATAACTCCACTCTCTTTTCAGACTCTGAAATTAAGGCTTATAGCACTTCTTGAAGTGTACCAGGCAGCAATGTGGATCGTGAGTTTGGCGTTCACGGGGAACCGCACGAGGCTGGCTCACGGAGCGACGCGTAGTTGTCTTCACACAAATATTTCTCTCTTATCAATAGTAACTGTATTCACGGGTAAACCGCCATGGACACTCTTCAAGTAACTGACGAGCAAAAGCAACACCTGCAGAGCGTAGCAGACGGTGTAAGAGACGTCTACAATGTGCTCGCGCGCATGCGCTACCTTGACCCGGACTGGATTGAAGCCGGACCACACGATCTGACGGACCGGATCCAAGACTTTCGCAGCGTTGAGATCAATGACGATATTATTTATCTCTATATTCTGCTTCCATACGTCTATGCGGCGCACTCCGTGCATTGCTTTGAAGCGAGCGAGTTTATTGATTACCGCACCTGCACAAAAGCAGTTCTTGCTCGCCTGAGAGATCCAACGGATATTGGTAAAAAGGCCTACATGATGTAGCCTTGGATGACGGCAATTTCCGACCCAGGATATGATGGGACAGCCATCATCTACTGCTGATGGTTACTACGATTCGGATAATAACGGTGAGAATGAAGACGGCAGGTGGAACGATTGCCTGGGCCGGAGCGCTCCAGAGGTTCTCAAGGACATTGTTACATGGTATCAGCGACTTCTTATACTGCCCGGCGGCAGGTACACCCATCTGATGTGGAATCCCGAAGGAACAACCCTCACTAGGCTCTCCAATATCATCAGCCATCTATCTGAGAGCGCGCTGCAGGGCAAGGCAGATGCTATTGACCAGGCCGATAATATTAAAGATGAATGGTTGGCGCGATTCGACCTTCACCAAGCTCAGCTCGGCAAAATAACTCCGAAGAGTCGCTAGCCTTTGAACTCGCCCGTGTGAACCCCAACAAGCCCAAGCCTGCTCTGTCAGTACAGGATTCTCTCCCCTTCTGGGAAATGGAGAGAGTGCGTGCAGTTCTTAGCCAAGCGCAAGGCCACTTGTCCCATCTTGAACAAGAAGAAAAGGATGCGGACAGCGCAAAGGAGTCTAAACAACGGCGGATAGCTCTGAAACAGGCCCGTCTCAATGTCTTCCTATATCAGCGTGCGTTCAACGAGTGCGAAGAAGAGTGTGCAGCCCAGCGTCCAGGCATGACGTTCACTGAAGCTACAGCACGAAAGCCCACGACGGAACATACTCCTCCCACGAAGGAACAAATATTAAGCAGATGCGCGAACAGGCCGCCCTGAAAGACTGGCTCGACACTGTACCAAAAGAGGCTACAAGAGCTTTAATGGAGGCTAGGGCTCGGTTAGAAAACTATGATTTGCGGTTGGCCGGTGTAAAAGGTCAGCTTAATAGGCTTTACCCGCCCTAGGCCCTACGTTGTAACACTGGAATACATATTGGAGCGCATGCTCTTGTGCTCCGACTTTAGGTATTGCTCCTCAGTAGTGATGAAAGATTGACCGGATTTTGAAGTTACTACGGCAATGGATACGAGAGACTGTATCCGAATGATGGGAAAAGGTCACTGCTACAGCTTTGGGTATAGATGGACAATGGTCGAAATGGGTGGATGGTCTGTCAGCGAAACAGTATAGTACAATCCATCTCTGCATTATCTTATGATATACTCTACAGTTTTAAGACCAAAAAGGGTAGCTAGTTATCTACGTTTAATACAATTTTCAGACTTTTGACAGCTCTTTCTCCTAATCTTTCTTTCTGCAACTTGTAATCTGCATCCTCAACGTTATTCGGTGCCACCCCGCCCCATCAGATACCCACTCGATCCATCTTTCCGCTGCCATATTATCCAATTGACAAGCAAAAAAATAAAATAACAAAACATACAACAGCCGGTGTTCGCTGGTCGTCACCGACCCAACTACTAATCTGCCGATTACAGGCTTATCTATGGGAGAGCGGACGGGGTCTCTTGTCATCTGGCACCGATGCCGACCTTTAGCCGGGCCCACATATCCGGCGCCGTCGGTGGGCACCGTTTCCTCCGGACGGTCATACAAACTCGGCCTCCGTTTCGCCGCCTCGAGCCTTCCGTGGCCGGTGTCGCTGCGCCGGGGGATGTGTAGTTATCCTACGAGGCGCCATACGCCCCCCTACTGCCTGCAGTCTGCTGCGGCGTCTAACCCCTAACTATTATTGGCCCATTTCATTAGAATAAAATGTATAAAGTCCTCAGCCTGCTCTATCCTGTAACGGGCTAGGCCCGTGGAGGTCTCGGGTAGCCCTCGACCATCTAGGCAAGGGACCCATGTAAGTCATATAAAAGGCTATTCCAGCTAGCTGGAATAGCCCCTTTTCGATCCCTTCTTCTTCATCTTCGGATACTCGTAGTAGTCGCTCAGCTAGTTGTCAATATACTCAGTTGAGACCGTTACATATCCTTTGGCTACGTAGCCCAGTCAACTCTCTGATATTTCTATCATCCCCTCTCACGCTATACAAGCCCAACCTTCCTCGGATAAGAGCCGCTCCATGCCATTTGACACTCTGAAGATGTTTCAACGCAAGAAGGGTCTTTTATCGCCTGCAGATGTTGCTCTGGCGCAGGAAAATCTACAAATATATACAAATACTCTAGATAACTAGCTTGTATCCGAAGTACTATTAACTACAAAACGTCGAGACTAAATCTAGATACTCTAGTTAGAGTAAGTATATTAAAGAAGCTAGCTTATTTGCAAGCTGATCTGTAATAAAAGGTTCGCCGAAAATCTTAAGTTCGATGGGCATACTACTTGGCTTGAGCTGCAGTGCGGATCGGAGTTAGCCCAGGGCCGATGTGTGGCATTCCTCAAGACCTATGCGCAAACTTCGTCAACCCACCGGCCATGCCTAGGAGAAGGAGAGGGAAATGAATGGGAAGAGGTACGCACCGTGAATTCAGCCACAACAGTGGAAGATGTTTGGGCGGCTCTCGTTATGCGAGCTGATAGAGAAGTAATGAGCTCAAAACGAAAGACTGTACCGCGTGATGAAGCTGCAAAATGGCGTCTCCAACTATCGTCTAAGGGCAAGCGAGATATGGCTAACCCCGTAGATCAAGTAGCCAAGGTAAGAGCATCCATTCATCACATAAAACCACGCTAATATAATCCAAGTTTATTGGCAAAATGAGTAAGAAGCTTGGTCTTTCATTGAGACAAAGTTTCGAAAAAAGGGATTTCACAGCCGAAGAGGTCCTTATTCTTCTTAACACGCTATAGTCAAGAGCGGAGAACGTTCGATACTCCCCGCAGACACGTGTCGCGTTTCGAAATGTCATTATTATTCAACGCATTGGAGGCTTCCGCCCATCAAGTGTTGTCAATTTGCCATATCGATTAGTTGAGATTGGTTGGTTTCGACATCCGAAAAAACCATCGCAGGCAGTCCTTGGCGCGACCCTTACCATATATCACGTGAAGCAGCAGGATGAAAAGATCCAACGGGACCAACGCAACCTGTTCGTTACTATACCGTTGAAAGGTGTTGGTTCAAGGCTAAATAACACGTGTTATCGAAAGGTGAGAGGTTGTGGTAAAAGTTCGTTGTTCTCTTCTAGTTCCATGGTCGGAACTGCTCTAGTTAAATACAGCGAATACATCCTGTATTCACTTCCTTTTCCTATGTCATACACTTCCAGTGACTTAACTGTTCCTTCACTCATCTGGTAAAGTGACATACGTCCAATGTCACAATAGTCACAACATCTGTAATACTAGCACTAAGGTTCTTGTGGCGCTCAGCGACCTCGCTAAAGGTGACCTAGGAGTACTTGGGCTCCCAAGTCTTATATTTATTCACCATCTTTATTATTATTCTCTTCCACTCTATAGAGTCTATCTATATCTAGTATATTATTTGATAATCTACTAGATATCTACTTCTTCTATTGGTATCTAAAGTATATAAAGTGTATGATATAAGAGAACTATAGTATATTGTTCTAGTTCTAGATATAAATATACTACTATACTGGCTCCGTGCACCTTGGAAGACCAAACGAAGCCCCTTTCTTTGAGTTTTTTCAACATATCTACTTCTATTTCCAGAAATTGGACGACTGTTTGTTCATTATCTTCTGCTGAGAGACGGCCAATGCGGACCGACAGACTTGGGTGGTCTTTGAAGCTGACCTTGAATATGGTCGAATTGGCACCTCGAAACTCTCTATTAATGAATGGATCACTGCCTCCGACATTGAGTTGAGTAAGGGCTTCGTAGATGGCCTTGGGGCTGAGGTTCTGTCGGTTCGTGACAGTCATGTTGGCGTTGATGGAGCAGTTATGACTTTCCGTCAAGAGAGCTCCTCAGCCGACCCTCTATTAAAATAAAGTAAGGCAACGCATTCTGAAATAAAATGTATCATGTTTTCGTTCACTAGCTGGCGAAGACTCATCCGGTAGGCAAGCTGTTAGAAGGTGTTTGTCTAGGGCAATCCCTTTTATACTTTGCGGGAGCTCGGTGCTCGTCGCCAGAGTCAAAATTCACGGTGATGCAACAGCGTCCGTCATCCACAGTTGCTTGCTGCATTCTTGTTTCTGAACTTGTACAAAAATTTGCAGAGGAAAACGGCGTCGGCAATAACATCAGTGTTCGAGATACGGCAGCAGCTCTTTTCTATTCGTCAGATTGTGGCATGGTTCGTCCACGAATCAGCCTACGAACCGGGTGAAATTGGAGGAATAGGTGGTGCAAAAGGCAGTCTATTCGAATAAACTTTGTTCAGAAAAGCTACCATCTCTCTTTGTGCTTAACCGTCCGTCTTCTTGCGGAGTCTACCCAAAGACCGTAGAGCTAACCTAGAGTATTCGAATAGCTATAACAGACCACAATTACGCCGGCAGTAGAGCTAGGCGCGGTTCGCCCGTAGATAATTTAAATTAAAAGAAGTAGAGAGAATAAAAGAATTAATTAAAAGATAACTAGAGTAACTAAATATATAGCTTGTAATTCAGGAACTGAAGCTTAGAGAGTTTTTCTCTCTAAGTCTCCAGAAAGCGGGGTCGCTGGCATATGCCAAACTGGGTAAACCCAGGCTCGTTACAATGGCCCACTAATGTCCTCGGGCATGTCCCTTTTGGGGTGTGTAATGGGAAGCCAGCTGCCAGAAATCAGAATTTCACAGACTCCGCCGCCCAGAGTCGTGCTCTTTTCAGGGGGTAAAACCGCGTTACATAGAGAATACTCGCTTTGTTTCACGATTTGTTCCGGTAGGTTTGTGCGCTTTTTGCACAGACAAGCTCTGAAAAGGAGAATGGAGTCGGAACAGGGCGGTTTCCCATGGATGACACCTCGTGATGTTGCCTACCGTCAACGATGGAAAGACGACTGCGACCGTGAGCAACGCACAATGGACGACATCACGGAGAAGGCACTCAAAGAACGGGAACAATTGGACAGAGCCTCCAATCACCTTCTCTTTGGCCGAAGCCCTCTGCGTGATAGTTGGTACTTCCGACAGAGCATCTACGCCGCGGCGAAAATAGATTATTATTCAGCCCCCTACCCATCTTCAGTATTACCTGGGCCCGAGGGCCTTCAAACGCCTGCCCTATGCAAATACATCATATGCGACGCTACACACCCTGATATGGACACATTCGACGGCGATGCCATTAGAGCCATGGATGACATCTATCAGGAACGCCTCCGAATCGAAGAGAGTAATCCCAAGCTTGTGAAAGCAAGAGCCGCCGCGCGATGGGACTATGAAGAGGCTGGAATGCAAAGAGCAATCATGACGTTGGCAATTTACGAGAAACAGATCGAAGAGACCGGCACCTTTGATGCGGAAGCAGCTTGGTCTCAGATTAAGCCGCGCAGGCCTGCATGGCTTCAAGAAATGGCGGATGATTATACAAGTGTATTTGGGTTCGCGATATTCAAGTCATCAAAGTTCATGTCACGCCCGGAAAGTGCGTATACACAGTGGCTTGGAGCCTTCGATAGCACTGCTCCTTTAAAGGATGGCTCTTTAACTGGCATATGCCGCGCTAGCGACACTATTTTCGACGGCTTCTTAGTGAGACATCATGGATACTTGCAATGGGAAAAGGAAGCAGCCAATGAGGATGATTCAGTATCTATGCGCGAGTACGTTATTTCCTAACAGTCAACGAGAAGAGAAGACATCTAACATATCTGCGTATTAGAAAATTCGCCACACTTGTACCTTCACTCAAAAGCAAGACGTCCAACGACACATTCCTTGTCGTCACAGACAATTGCGTTCCCCATTCGCTAGACAACAACACTCTTAGGATGACATCCTACGTGCCCAAAAAGAGGGGAGAAAACGAGGTGCTTTTGCTAGAAATAGAGCCTCTCTTTGTCTGGGCTTATGATGCTCACTGGTCGCCACCCGAGGCTGGTACGGCATGCGACGAAGACGGCTATGAAGGCCGAATCAAGGTCGACGCACGTGTGATTCTTTCTTGGTTTTACTATGCCCGGGCAGTGATGGGTCATACAATGAAAGACCTGTGGCGCAGGGCTCAAAATGAGCCAGGCCAAATCTGGACTGCAAAGACAAGCTTGGTTAATTCGGGCTTACCTGTGGCTCTGATTTAAATAGAATGGTATTTCTAGAGATGGAATTTCAAGTTTAGACTATATATAGTATAAGCTACTTTGTTACAACTAGGTACAAATTGCTACAAATAATTAAGATTTAGTAGTATAATAAAAATAGTCAAGTTATCTTTAACGTACTTGCATAGCGAATGTCGCAACATAGCGAATGTCGCACGCCACCTTAACCCTACATCACACTTCACTAAATCGCCAATTTCTACGTGACGACAGATGCCTCAAAAAATGACGAACGGAATATTATCCTTGCTCTCCAAGCAATAGAAAATGACCCTAAGCTCAGCGCCCGGGCTGCAGCAAAGGTCTACTCTGTGGATCCTCGCAAGGTCCAACGCCGCATCAAGGGCATACAGCCCAGACACGATATCACCACCAATTCAAGGAAATTGACTGATTTGGAAGAAAATGCGGTTGTTAAACGTATTCTTGACCTATCTACCAAAAGGTTTCCTCCCCGCTTATCTATCGTGAGAGATATAGCAAATCGCCTTCTCACAACGCGTAGGGCGACGCATGTTACACAACGTTAGCCGAATAACTTCGTCCGACGACAACCAAAGCTCAAGACATATTTTACACGTAAATATAATTACCAGAGAGCTAAATACGAAGACCCAAAACTCATTCAGGATTAGTTTGCGCTCGTTCGAAACACAGTCGCGAAATGTAGTATTAACATCCCAGTCGTCCTGAGTTAGGCTGTCTCCGCCCAGGGCCTTATGATGTTCTTGCTGAAATACCATAAGCTTATCCTTCTTCTCCAACGCCATTCGAAGAAGCGAATACCATGAGTTCCATCTCGTAGCATTATCAATCCCAAATGTGCATCCAGCCAAAATATGCCATGCATCGCTGCGTACTGTCGAGCTGCGGATGAACACCGCAATGTTATGTAGCTTGCCCAAGGGACCCATCGATCGCCACCCAGCTTGTGCCCCTGTCGTAGTCGCTTGCTTGGTATTTGTTTTACGTCGGAGCTGCGCCTGTAAGGCCTCGATAACCGTAATATCGGCGTTCACATCGGCCTCTTCGATTGCCGCTTTTAGCGCTTCCTTGCTGGAGGCGAAGAGGAACGCTTGAAGGCAGAGGTTGATAATGTGGCCGCCACATCGGATTCGACGCTCGATAGGGTCTATACTTACGTTAAACTCGTTCGCCAACCCCAGCGATAGTGCCCGCATGCAAGCATCATTAGCTGTAGCGTTGTCCGAAGTGAAGTAGCCAACGTTACTAGCTATATCGAAATGCCTGATAGTGTCGAGCAGATGTCGCGCCATCGTCTCGCCTGAATGGTTCTCTTGCACGTTTGGCAGACCCAGCAGGGCCTCCCGGAGCTGGTATTCCTCGTCAACCCACTGACCGCAGATTCCCAAGAAGGCCTTACGATGAGGCGATGACCAAAGATCAATACTAAAGTGGATTTGCGATCTAGCCGACCGCAGCTGCATACCGATGTTCTCGCGATGTATCCTATATGACTGTTCAATATGGGCCAACGCGGTGTTGCCCGATTGGATGAGGATCTCATCGGCCCTAGGGTTGACAGCATAGAGTAAGGCCTGGTACTCTGGCCAAGACACATAGTTCAGAGGTAGACGGCGGCGTGTGATCAACTGAATTTGTGCTTCGAAGAATGCATCGAGCTCGATTGTGTTCCGTAGGACTGCCTGTTCGTCCTGCGAGACTGCGGCCTGCTTCTGGTCTTTCGCCCGCGAGAATGCCACCTCAAGAGACTGCTGGAGAGCCCTCTTGGAAGGTCGGTCTTCATCGTCAATATAAACGCCGTGGCAGTTCCGCATATGCCTTTTGGCACTAGTAGTTGATACTGTACGCCACGGCGGAGTTTGACATCGATCGCAATACCACAACCTCTGGCTATTCTGATGTGTATCTTCGTCTCCTCGAGGCAGGCGAAAGTACTTCCACGTATCTGGAGCGCGAAGCCTGCGTTTTTTCGGCCGTTGGACTGGGAATGATGATAGCGGGACAAAGGAGGGCGAAGACGACGCTAACTGCCACGAACGGTCCTCATCCGCGGTGGAGATGTAGGACTCTGGTGCTGGTGAGCTAAATTCCTCGCGTGCTATATCTGCCGCGAGTAAAGATGATTCGGCGCTCATGTCGAATCGTGTGCGCAATTTGGGAGACCTTTAGAACCGTTTCTAGAACTGCAGTATTCTCATGAAATAGCTCTGATGGCAGTCATGGCGACGAAGAGAGGCGACAAAGCATAATTTGCATCGACGCGTCGGTATAGAATAGTCCGCAGTTTGTGCGCGTATTTAACGCGTTCAAATCCTTGTCGCGTCATTGTAGTGGTCGGTTGATATTGGAGCGTTGAGCTCTCTAGAGGCATAGGTTTGATAATCAAGCAAGCCAGTTCTCTGCATTAGCCTCCATCGAATCTCGATAACTTAGTGGATTTTGTCTCTACAAGCTTTCTCTACAGTTAAGCTACGAATATCTCTGAAAGTGGGTATTCAGTAGCGGTTAATACTGTGAGAAACTTGAAGAAAATACTTACAATAGATTAACTTATATATAATTTAATATAAGTTACTAAGTTATTATATCTAAGGGTTGGAAACTGAGAAACATATGTAGTGGTTACCCTATATAAGATGGATAGCTAAGGACTACTGCCGATTGTGTAAGTTTTTGTATGGTATAAGATGTATCTCTTATCCAACGGAACCTTGGGCTGGGACGCGACGCGTTGCGCGACGCGTGTTGGCGATTCCACGTAGTCACGTGAGCGACTGATAGACTGATTGATTGATTACGGCCGTACTGATACTGATATGGTATCAGTATCAATCAGTAATCAGTACTGACTGATAGCTGACTGATTGTTGAGAAGTCTGCACAGTTGGTACTACAAGACAGCGTAACACCTCTACGATTGACCTTACATTCTCTAACGTCCCCGGCGCATCGTCGACAGTAGAGGAACACTTGACAGCTGGCTCTCTTCACCACACGATCTCTACTGAGATCCTAAGCCAACCACACCCACCCTATAGCGAGAGAAAGTTCAGGCTTACTACCGACAAGGAGTATAATAAATACAGATCTCTAATAGAGACAGCAGTCAAGAGTCTACCGTCCACCTACAGGAATAAACAAGACCTGGAGAATCTAGCAGCCTCGATCACTAAGATACTACAGGACACGCTCAAGATCGCAGGCCGGAAAGCTTCTGGCCACCGTCTTCTACGTAAACCGTGGTGGAACGAGGAATATCAAGCAGCATATATAACCCTACGAATAATACGCTCTAAGTCAGACAACCCTACCGGTCTTGAAGTCTAGTTGGCTCGTCGAGATCTACAAAGAGCCGTTCGAACAGCACAGCGAAACGGGTTCCGTAAGTACCTTGACGAAATCCAGGATCCCACCGATATATACAAGATTACGAGATGGACCAAGCTAATTGCTCGTTTTGAACCTCCCCCTATCCAGATAGGAGAGGAACTCTACACTTCGGATAAGGAGCGCGCCCAGGCGCTTCTACAATCCAAGCTCGCTGCTAGAGATGCCTCGGACGATATCGACCTTGATATCGCCGATCTTACACAAGATAACCCACTACCCTGGGATGAAACGATCTCCAAGAAGGAGGTCCAGGATGCACTTCTCAGTACAGGTGATACTACTCCAGGGATGGATAATATTACTACTAAGATGCTGCGGGTCGCCTGGCCTAGTATCGGCGACGCTGTCACACTGCTTTACAACGGCTGTTTCCAGCTCGGATACCACCCCACGGTATTCAAGTCGGCTGAAGTAGTCATGATTCCTAAACCTAACAAGAGAGATCTCTCGAACCCCTCTGCCTGGCGCCCTATCTCACTCCTCCCCTGCCTCAGCAAAGGATTAGAACGGGTGCTCGCTAGACGAATCGCTTACATGGCTGTCATACACGATATAATCCCCCCCGAGCTCGCAGGAGCTCTCCCTCGACGCTCTGCTGTAGATATAGTCTCCTCCCTCGTCTTCGACATCGAGAGCAAAGTCTTCAAGAACCACCTAGTCGCAACCTTGGTTACCATGGACGTCAAAGGTACCTTTGACGCTGTTCTGCGAAACCGGCTTACTCAAAGACTCCATAGACAAGGCTGGCCACTTAACCTGATACGCTGGGTACATAGCTTCATGTCCCGCCGCATGGCACTCGCACGGTTCGGCAAGAGCCAATCGGACAGTATAGAACTCGCCTGCGGACTCCCGCAGGGCTCCCCGATCTCCCCGATACTTTATCTACTTTACATTGTGGATATCTACTCCCTCGACGGCGCAGACAAACGGTACGAATATACAGATAATACAGCTATGCTGTTTATTAGCGCCTCCCTACAAGAAACCTCGCGACGAGCCGAGCAAGCGATCCAACGTATGGTCGAATGGAGCAAATCCACGGCAGTCACATTCGACCCTGCGAAGACAGAGATTATGCACTTCACCAGGAAACAAGCCTTGGAAGCCCCGATAATCCGACACGAAAACAAGGTAAACAAGGCCGCGCCGTCGATGCGATGGCTCGGGGTCTATCTTGATAGCAAACTAAAATTTAACGCCTATATTACCTACTAGAGATAGAAAGCGATGGTAATAGCGAACCTACTACGTAGCCTTAGTAACACGATCTCTGGAATCAAACCCTCCGCGGTCCGACGGGCGGTAAATACGGTTATTATCCCAACTATCTTCTACGGAATCGAAGCATGGCTCCTAGATGACGCCGCTGCTGCTGGACGCGGTCGGCTCTCCCAGATCACTCGAACAAGAATCATAGCTATCCAAAGCTGCCTGAATACAGCATGCCGCGCTATACTACCGGTCTGGAAAACGACCCCCCAGGTCTACATGTGGCGCGAAGCTGGGATTCCCGCCGCCGAGGATCTAATACGAGCAGCCCGCTCAAGGATCTCGCTACGAATTGCTACCCTAGACCGAAGACACCCTATTCGCGAAAGACTAGACGATTTCGAACGAAGATGTGCTCTAGATGCACATCCTGAGATCCATCGCTTTGTCATGTCAAGACATATCAGATTACTTGGACTATCCGCCCTACATAAGGATATCCCAAGTGTACCCCTGATCCCCAGAAGGTACAACACTAATATCACTACTATACTCAACAAATATATAAAGGATATCGAAACCAAACTCCATCTCCAGTGGCTCGAGTCTCGACCGGAAGGCTATATTGTATACTCCGACGGCTCGAAACTAGAGGACAGACGTGCGGGCTATGGGTTCGTCGTCTACAAGGATAGTATACAGATCGACTCGGGGTCCCGGCAGCTTGACCACAGGGAGGTGTTCGACGCCGAGATCTCTGGAGCACTCAAAGGCCTGAAACAGGCGATGGCGCACAATCTCGAGCGACTTCCGGTCACTATCTGCATCGACAATTCATCAGTAGTGAGAGGGATAGGGGGTACTGCTCCTATGTCATCACAGGCACAATTCCGCGCATTCCAAGCTATCGGCGACGAGCACCCACGGCTTATCACGGTTCGCTGGACCCCAGGATATAAAGATATCCCTGGAAACGAAGCCGCAGACAGCCTGGCAAAGGCCGGCGCAGCTCTCCCCGTACGAGACCTCACAGCGTCCGTCTCACAACGGCGCCGTGAAGCACGCGCAACGCTGGCTTTGCTCTTCAAAGAATGGTGGGAAGGGGTAGACAAGCATGCCTACCTCGACCGTAAGATCGATCTCAAAGGAGACCTCCTGAAGCTTCCGGAGCTCGAAATGCCTCGCATACAGCTAAGGCATCTCCTCGCTGCCCGAACCACACACGGCGACTTCGCCGACTACCATATACGCTTCCACCACCACGATGCGTCTCTTGAATGCAGCTGTGGGAGGGAAAGATCTCCCACACACCTGTTCTACTGCCGAAAGGTTCCGGTAGGCTTGAGAGCTCGGCTGTCACCCGATCCTCAAAGCACTATAGGCCGTTTCCTCGGTTCGCAGTATAAGGTATTCAATCGCATCGCGGGTGTGTACTTCAAGCACATCTGCGCACAGTGGTGCTAATACACCCTCCTAAACTCCCGACGAGGATGCGTTCATCATCTTCGCCCATAGGGATTTCTTCTGTTAATACCCCTTTTCCTTTCTTGTCGGCTGCTCGGCCATTCCCCCTAGATAGAAAATCTGCTTGGGATCGATTCCCACCGTCCACAGGGTGTACTGGTCCCCATATGACAAACCAGATGGCAACAGACGCTGTAAGCGAGGCGTACCGTAACGCCTACAGCGTTCTCTAGATCCCGCTGACGGGTAAGAAGTCGGAAAAGTTCGTGAATCTGTAGCTATGCATAGGGAGAGTTTGGAACACGCATGGGAAATTGGGGTGGGCCCTTGGCATGGCGCTACCGCGCCTCTTCGCGGTGGTTGGCTCCGCCTACAATAGTCTCATGTTACTAAACTTGCTATTCCCGGGAGCTACACGTCTTATGCTACCCTGGAGCGCTAGATAGACGTTAATAAATAATAATAATAATAAGAACAGGGCCCTGTCAATCACCAAGGGGACGCAATTAATATAACAAAGCGAATGCTTGTTGCCCCTATTCAGGGCCTCTATATAAAGTGTTCCGCTCGCGGAAGATTTTGGAATATGTTCTTTAAGAGAATTAATCACTATCTTGAGACACCCTTTCCGCCAGCTGGCCCGGGTCAGTCCGTAACACTGTTCTACTACATAGGACAGAGACCCTACTTAGTGCAAAGCCACTTCGTTACATATAGGTAGCTGAGAGTATAAAACGTTAGTGTATCTCCTAATATTATATATAAAGCTCGTTATTCTATCTAAAAAGAATCCTCTTTTAAAGTCCATAGAGAGGCATATCTCCTTATATTATAATAGAATAACTTTACTACCAATATCGCCTGTTGTTCATGAAGGAAGCGCTTGTCTAGAGACCAGTCACCAGCGTCCAACCCTCCCTTCATGTATATACGTGCTAGCACAGATAAGACGACGCCTGCTAAAGTTCCTATCGTAGCGCTACTTAACTTCTATTTGTTCATTACAATGCGATATATATTACTTTAAATGCCTTCTTTTCTTTCTTATGTAATCTGTTTGGTGTTTGTCAGCTGCAAAGCGCCGAGTTGTCGGACGGAACAAAATGTACACAACGATGATACAGTGTTCGCACTGTCATGACAGCTGCCACAGCACTGTGTAACAGAGCTGAACCCAACAGCTTGCATCATCAACCCCCGGGTCAAAAAGCCTTTCTGTTTCTGATTCGCTTGGTTCCGGCCGGAGTAAAATGCTGTATCCATTTGCACAGCTAAGCGCAATGACAAAGCCTTCCAGCCGGAGCAGATATGCATCTGCATCAACAGATGGAAAGCCTATGCCCGATCCAGCGTCGTAAATCTATATCATGGCCGTTCATTCTAAAGAACGTCGTTCCATTCAACCCGGTTAAAATAGAAGCAATCGATTATTATTTTCACCGTCAAAATGGGCTCCATTAACCAAACTACGATGCTCAAGGCTCCCTTCCCGTCGCCAACGCAAAAGTGGCACGACAATACATACCCGGCCTTATCACCTACACGCCCTGAGCTCTCCGCCAAGGGCAAGACCATTGCCATTACAGGCGGCGGTACGGGAATTGGCGCCGAAACCGCCGTCCAGTTTGCTGCTGCTGGTGCTGCTCGCATTGGCATCTTTGGCCGCAGAGAACAGCCCCTGCTTGCAACAAAGGCGTCCATTGAGAAGCGCTTCCCAGGCGTCGAGGTGTTTGCTGCCTCCGCCGACGTAACTAACAAGGACCAAGTGGACGCTGCGTTTGCCAGCTTCCTTGGCGACTCCAAACTTGACGTGGTCATCAGTGCGGCAGCCAAGATTGGACCTACGGCTTCTGTCCAGGACGCAGACGGTGATGAATTTATCGAGGCCGTCAATGTCAACCTGAAGGGCGCCCTCTTCACGGCGCAGGCCTTCCTTCGTTATGCCTCCAAAAACGCCGTCGCCGTCAACATTTCTTCCTCTGCCGCGCATTTGAACTTTGGCCCAGGCTTCGCTTCGTACAACTGCTCCAAGATCGCCGCCTTTCGCCTCTGGGACTCCCTTGCCTTTGTAAACTCCGACTTGAGTGTATTCCACGTTCAACCTGGCGTCGTCGACACCGAGATGAATAGGGAAGCGGGCGGTGTCAAGGCAGTTGGCTTTGAAGATCATGGTAGGACAATGCGAGCACTTTGCCGTCCGAGATGTATATAAGGCTAATGTACCTCTTTTCTTTTAGTATCTCTACCTGCAACATTTAGCGTCTGGTTAGCGGGCCCCGAGGCGCGCTTCTTGAATAGAAAGTTCCTGTGGGCAAACTGGGATGTGGATGAGCTCAAGACACGAGAGAAGGACCTTGGCGCGACATTCGACCTCACGCTTGTTGGGTGGCCGTTTGCGAGCAACGGCTGGGAGGCTGGCTGGAGCATGTAACGTTGTTAAGACAGAGCCAGGTGGACTAGGTATGCTTTTTACCGCTTCTTCTTATTCCTTTCAAAAAAGCTAAAATAAGGTACTGGAATTAACAAGATGAACATAACAGCATTCTTTTTCGCATAGATAAGATCGGCACATCAGCAGCCTTCGGGGTGGGCTAAGAAGTCACTCTATTTGCTTCAATGACGTCCTTTAAGTAAATATGTTCTTCTATCCAGTACATTTACTATTTGGCTAAGTAGTGGCACTGTTACACAAACGAGTTGTCCTGGGAGCCGGAGTTATGTCATCTCCTCAAACCTTGGGGCAAGGTCGCCATTCAATATGGAACTCCACAGTGAGATTTCCATTGATGTGATCAACCTGTTCATTCATTAATACAAGGAGCTGTGAGTATCGTAAGACATCAACTTACAGCAATGAGCGCCGGCTTGCCGGTGGGAGAGATGTTGCAGGCAGTGTTCATGTTGAGGATAGCAGTGCTGCCGCCACAAGGCGACCACGAATAGATGCCGGGTCGCGACTGCAGGTTAAAGTTACCGCTGTAGGGTCTATCAAGTGGGATCTTGTAATTAACGTGCTCCGCGCCGTTGCCGGCGAAGGAGTACGTGTTGATGCACTGGCCCTTGACTCCCGCGGGGATCTCGGCAAAGCCGATCATGTCAGTGTCAATGACGGAGAATCTAAAATGTCAGAATAAAGGCCCAAGATAAGATTTACATCAAATGGAAGGGGCGACTGACTGGAATCCAGAGGTAAACTCCATGTTAATGGTCAACTTGCAGTTCTTGCGCCAATCAGCTGGCTTGTTGTCAGGCCCAGTCTGCACTTCATACGCTGAGAAGGTGATTTCGAAGAACGTTCCAGTAGCATCAATTTGCACATCGGCTGAGCCGGGAGGACAACCGCTGCCAAGAACACTGATTTCTTTGACTTTGATATACTGGGGATCCTGAGGCGGACCTGGAGTGCTGATCTGACGCACAGGGATTGGGGTCAAAGTGTGTGCTTGAATGGCTGCTAGGAAACCAAGCTGAGCTAGGAGTTTCACAAACTGTATTTTGAAAAGTTTGGGGTAAAAGTAAAAGGTAATTTGATATAGAGTGGGTTGTGCCAGGATATCTACAATTGATGTTTAGCTGATGTATTCCAGCACCTTTATACTTGCAACATCGGACTATCGGCAGCATCTTTTGTCCAATTCCGATGAACACCTTTCCCAACTGCCGGTTAGTATAAATCAATTCAGCCGCCAAAATGGAAGCTGCAGAAAATTTCGTGACCAGTTGTAAGGCCAAGTCCCCCGCCAATACACCAACGCACAGCACTACGCTACTCAGATTAAGGCATTATTTGCAGATCTTATGTTATTTTAATTACATGAACAAAGGTATAGTACTATATATAAATATCATAGGGATAACAAAAGTTCGTTATAGCTGGCTTAGAACGCGATTGTATGCAAGCCACAGCTGAAGCTGCGCTTAATGTAACCTGGTATGCCAACGTCACCAATGTACCGAAACAGGGGTCCATTCCAATGAAACTAGCTCTATAGTGTTTAACCTATCGCATAGTATCTCTCTACATTATCTCACCTTAGATCTCTTACGAAACTGTAAACAAAGATGCCCCACCTGACTGTTACGAACTAAGCCACGGCCGCCTAGGTAGACTGCCGCTGTGAGAGACTGCACAGTTCACTCACCACAGATGGCTTGGATCACGAGACTTAATCGGAGCGGTTATTTTCGATCCCATCGGCCCCCGTATAAAACAGGATCGCATGGGCTGCTTGCCATCTGTTCGGTTACGAAGATATGAACAAATACATAAATCTCTTTAAATGGCACGGCTAGATTAGTTCAGACCTTCGATACTGAATCTAAACAATTACTTTTTAATTGAGCATAACTCGGTAACAACCCTTTAAAATAAATGCCTTGCTACCTCTTACAAACTTAGTGCAGCAAGCCGCAATAACCCCTTTGCCGAACCAATCTTCTTCATCTTTGGAGACCCGTAGTGGTTGCTCAGCTCAGTTGGGAGACCGTTACACCTTCGCTTTCTTCGTCGAACAAAAGAAGAAAAAAAGAGAAAGAGAAAAATAATCTGGTTGTCAATTTAAGCGCACTACTAGTCTTTCATTTTTGACGGCACTCCATAATGGACCAGGTTTCGTTGGCAGGACCTTTAGTGGCATCGCTATATCTCGGCGTTATTCTGGCGATGTCCCAATTCCTAACCTAGACCAGAGGGCTCTGGAGCGTCAAGGGCCAACGTATACATACACTAGTCGCATCTTTGGAATTGATGGCTACATGCTCATAAAATCTCCAGAAAGGGCTGACAAGTTTCTCCTTCTTTTCATTTCGGCTAGATATGTCGACAATCCGGGTGCGCTTAAGGGTTGTGCTGTATTTACCTACTTTCGCTACGCATGCGGACGTACCAGCTTTGTAGTCCTTTCCACATATTTTAAGAAGAGCTTTTAGAAAATGGTTCGTGCAGACTTTTCCAGACGAAAATATAAGTATATTTATGCCATCTTCTTGTTAATCTAGACAATAAACTACCGAATGACAGTCTACTAAAATAATCCGTAGATGCTACCTTAAGCGTTGGAGTCGACGAAGTTGTCGTGGTGGCGGTCTTGCTACTTCAAGTTAGCGACGTCATCTAAGCTATTAATATCAGGTAGACAAACGCGAGCTTCGATCTTGGAATCGACAAAGTTGCCGTGGTGGCGGTCTTGCTACTTCAGGTTAGTTTCATCACCTAAGCTATTAATATCAGGTAGACAAACGCGAGCTTCGATCTTGGTATCGGCAAAGTTGCCGTGGTGGCGGTCCTGCTACTAAAAGTTAATAAAACTATTGGCATTAGTCGATCAAGTATACCAACTCGAACTGCAAGTCTCGAATCGACAAAGTTGTCATGGTGACGGTCCTGAGGCACGGGCGACGCTACGCTCATCCCGACACATAGGACGGCCACCAAGGCTACATAGGATTGAATTTGCATTTTGAGGATAAACTTGAATGTTATGCGTATGTTTTGTAGAAATGTCCAGGCTTTCTACGAAGCTTTATTACCCAGGCTAGAGCAAGTGCATATGTACCATTAGTCTTGCTCCTCGCTATAGACTTAAAGTCTCAATATGTAACAAAGCGATATACTGCCGGGCACTTTTCTCTCAATAGGCAAGAAAGTGATGTGTGCTGATCATAGCTTCTTCTTGGATGCGGCCGACCTACCCTTTTCGGAGCATTTTTCGAGTGATATATTTGCAGTTTAGCCAGCCTCAAAAGTTCCTCAGCCTATACGAGCGTTGTCTTTTCCAAACCCTATGCTTTTATTAAACAATAGTACTACAAAAATGAAATGGTTTTGTTTTAACTATATCAGGCTACTTCCATCAGTAAAACAGCATCGTATATTGATACTGTGCAATGAAGCACGGTGTTTGCGGCTAAACGCTCTCTTGAGCTAAATTTCAACCTCGTTTACCCAGCTTAGACTACCCCTCATCTAGCCTAATTTACAGTCGACCACGTCAGACTCATTAACCGAGCCTGATCTTTGCAGCACGGACCCCTCCCCCGTCTTATTGAATAGCGGGCATAAACTTGCCGATGTATTCGTATAACGAGTGAAACTGAAATAGTGGTTGTTTGTAAAGAATATCATTGTAGCTACTACGAATATAGAGGCGATTACTCTGAGAAGTCGTGCGTTACAATGGATGAAGAGTACGAGCGTCTGCCGTTGGCATACGCTGACATCGAGACACCAAACGATATAGACGGGCGCAATGGTTCTACACCCCACAAGTTATGTGACAAATGCTATTCGACAGCTAAAAACAATACCAAATATTCTAGCTTTTGTAATGTTTTTATTACTGTTAGCTTCTGGTTGTTAGTGGCGGTTGCCATGGGTATCTGGCTCCGACAACATACCGCATCTTCACAAACTTTGCTTCCTAACGGTAAGTTTATCTTTATGTCAGCAAATTTACCACTTATAGAATGACTAATAATAAAATATAGCTGTAGTTAGTCGATTGAAGACTAAACTATTTATGCCAAATGAGCGTTTCAACCCTGGCAATCAGACCAAGGAAAGCGATGATGCATGGGCTGAGATGCACTCAAGTTAGGATTCATTCCACCATCTCGAATCAGGAATTGCGAATACTAAATCTTGTATAGGGTTTGTGATGATTGACAATCCTGAGTATTATAAACTCCCCCCCTCTTTAGAGGGGAAGACCGAAGGGAGCCAGGTATATGCGGTTGCCGTTTTTCATCAGCTGCATTGCTTGTAAGAAACTCATGACACACAAATACAGCATAATAGATCTAACACAAAATGTACAGGAGAATTATAAGGGGAGCCTGGTACGCCGTTATCAAGGATGGTCCTGGGATTCTAGATGGCCCAGTAGACCTTCCTGGACACCCAGCGTACAAGGCGCTGGGTGGTCATGTTGCTCACTGCTTCGATTACATCAGGCAGGGACTGATTTGCGCTGGCGATTCTAGCATGGAGGCCTTCTTGGAAAGTGATGGCGTGACGTTGAGACCGCAAGGATCTAGCGGGTGGGGAGTAGAGCATAAATGTGTTGATTTTGACGCCTTGATTAGGTGGACAGAGACACATAAGGATCCAGGCCCATAGTAGTCATTATCTCAAACTTGACTTATAACAACAATGCCACAGTAATGTACAATAGGGTTATTGTTTAATTGGAGATTCAAAAGCAAAACTACTCAATACGCACCTTCATGTACATCCATCTAGCTAGTTTTACACTCTGTTGATCAACCAGCCTCTCAAAAATATCAGCCCACCAAAAGACAATAGGCGCTACAAGTAAAAATCCCAAAAAGAGGCCGCTGTAATTCGAGAATGATAAATTCTCACCAAGTCCACAAATATAGGAAGTAATACCGTACCCAAGACTATGGAGTATTGGGCCGTGGACAATATATAGAGCATAGCTGATTTTGCCGAGGTATCTCGCGAATGAATTGTCAAAAGCTCTTCGTAGTATAAGGGAATTCTCGAAAGCCCAGAATACTAGTATAGCTCCAAAAGTATGCCAGATATTGTAATTGAGTGTTATCCGTGATAGCAAGACATAGCCCGGTGTCTTGTGGCCGTTTCGGATAGGAAACGAGAGGAGAAGCAATCCCAGGATAAGAGGGACCAAGCTAATAACAAGGCACCAGTAGCGATTGGAAGTTACCAGTGGCGCCCGATTCATAGCCGCGAGATCGGCGAACAACATGCCACACATGAAGAGAGCCATATGCCACTTGCCACACCACATGCAATATAGCCCGAGCGCAGCCGAGATGGCTAAGCGATATAATCGGCGTATTCGTGAGATACATGTTAAAACCAGGAATAACACCAGAGAAGCGCGAAACTCAATAGGTATTGTCCACAGGTGGGAATCGTAAACGTAGTCAGCAACCCGCCAATCCCACGGATTTGTGAGTTCGTCGACAACAAATCGGCACCAATCGGTGAACTGGTCACGCGCATTGACAAAACGACGGGGGCGAGGCTCAATAACACCCGGCAATGTTGCGTACTCCAGCGAATCTTGAAGGCGTAGTCGAACGGTTACCATAACAAGAAAGGTAGATATAATGGTTGGGAGGAACAGTCGTATACCTCTGCGGAAGATGGCCGATGCTAGCGTATCTGATAATTGGGATGCCGGTCCGTGGTGAACAAGCATAAAAGGCTTATAAGAAAGCGCATAGCCAGATATAATGAAGAAGATGGCTACCATGGGGACGCCGGAATAGAATACGCGAATGATAGGAAGCTGTAGAAACGAATTGTGTTCCTCCCCAAAACCATATCCAAATCGCTTAGCAGGCTCAAAGGGTTCTAAAAAGTGAGAAATAAATACAATAAGAGATGCATATCCGCGGAGTCCGTCGAGAAATGACACTCGGCTAGCGGTCTTTTCATGGCCAGCAGAATTGTCGATGGCTGCATTTTGCAGATAGACTGGCATCAGCATATTGAATGCACGACTGAGTGTCCTTGAATGATGTATATCCAGGCCCATCATTGCTATGAGCGTAAGTCTTAAAACAGAAAAACGGAAGGATATTGAAAAAGAATATAACCAACAATAGCAAAAGCGACAAATACTAAATTTCGCCGCCAAATAGTTTCAGGCTGGCTAGGTTTGGTCATAATGGGCGGGCACTAATACGGTTATTTGCATAATTTTCGTCATCCACGCCTGCAGCCGAGCCTGGTCAAAAGTGCCGTTAGAGGTCTTAATACTATTGCAGCAGTTCCCCACACATCATGACTGGCTTTGTAGTAAAATCAGATTCGCTGTTTTCGCAAAAAGTTTAGCAGCACTCGGCGGCGCCATCACCTCCCTTAGACGACAACCAGAAGACAATGGCCAAACGAGACAGTGAAGAGAACACAGCCTTCCTAGGCTACAAAACGCCGCCAGACGCAGATGAGCGTACAAATAGATTTGGTTTCATTCAAAGAATGCTTCAAAAGAATATTGTTTGGGGCGTTTTAGGCTTCATCTCGTCGTCGTTTCTTTTCCTGGCAATTATACTCATGGCCGGATATCCAAGAGATGGCAATACGAAGCCACAGCTACTAGCTAGCCAGAGCTTGTGGCCAGATAGTAAGTATTTAATTTATCCATGGTGCTAGATATTTGCTAAGATTTTATTTGCAGTCCCCGAGTACACACGAGTCTTTGTGGATGACAAGGACTGGAAAGACGATGGCGAAGTGGGCGATGTGCTTTGGAACAACCTCTTGCCTAGTAACTTATACTCCCTTGCCCTCTTTTTGTCTTTTCTTACTAATCGTATGTAGTTGGTGAAGGTTACGTACCCATTCCCTACCCGCGAAACTATAACCTACCTGAAAGTGCCCCGTTCGTGGGTAACCCGGACAAGGCGGAGGTGTATGCTACATCCAGTGTACATCAATTACATTGTCTAGTAAGTTTGCCATAGACAATATAGGAGTACACTCTGGGAAAGAAAGCTTACCGATTCAAAAGGCGACACTACGAGAGATGATCAAATCCTATGATCGGGGCGAGGTGCCAGCATATGGTAGTGGCCACGCCTACCACTGTTTAAATTACTGTAATCCGCTATCCGTCGCAATCCCGTCTCCGATTTGACCACTAACTGTAGTTTCTGTTTTTAGTAAGACAAGGTGTCTTGTGTGCCGCTGACACAACATTCGAGTATGGACATCCGGTATGGGATGCTGAGGGAAAATATATGTCCTATGATTTTAGCGGAATTGGTGGAGTGCATCAATGTCGAGACTGGAACACTGTAAAGGAGTTTTTAGTGAACCATCGCGCATCTGATAAACAAAGTATTAATTAAACGGTTTTAGATATCACAGGTGTCAATACGATATTTTTAATTGTTATAAATCACGAGCAAATAGCGTATATAAAAGAAATCCCTAACTATGCTTTGACCAATGGCAACATCTGTCAGACGCAGAATTCCCCTCGATACAAACGTTCCTCGTCACGTGTCAAGTGCATCAGGCTCCCGACCTTGACACACGATAGGTGCTTTTCTTTTTCAATTTCGAGATCCAGAGAACAGAACGCAGTAGGAGAAGAGTAATTCTCAAATAAAACAAGATTTAAAAGCTTAGTTGCTGCGCTCGACCGTTTGTTAGCAGGTATTTTGGGTCAACATCCAAGTCGCCAACAAGACGCTCCGAAACGACAGTTGCTGCCATGGCCACATTTCGGCGCTTCCGCCCAGAAGATTTGAATAAATTTTCAAAATGCAACTTGGACGTTCTAGTGGAGACATATGAGGCGAGATTCTATCTTGAATACTATGCCAAATGGCCGTCGCTGTTCCAAGTGTGCGAGGACACCAATGGCAACATCATCGCTTACGGTAAGACATTTTGCTCATCCATACACTTCACCAGCCCTTGATTACATCATTCCGTCAACAATCATTATGCTGATACTCATGGTGAGCAGTCATGGGCAAAGTGGAATCATCACCGGACGTATATAAGTTATCTGAGCACTATCTGCCGTGGCACGCCCACATTACAGCCTTTACAGTGGCGCCTGAAGCACGGAGAATGGGCATTGGCAAGATACTAATGGACCAGGTGGAAACTGCCTCAGACGCGAGAAATGCTTGGTTTGTCGACTTATTTGTACGTCGGAGTAATACTGTCGCGATTGCATTTTATAAACATGCAGGATACAGCGTGTTTCGAGTGGTCAAGGATTATTACTTTGACCATGCTACAGATCCTACAAAAGAAACAGAGGATGCCTTCGACATGCGCAAAGCCCTGAAAAGAGACACCACTTTCCAGCATATTAGAAAAGATGGCGAAAACCATGAAGTCACTCGGGACGATGTTTGGTGATGGCATGCCGTGACGCTGCTGGCGGCTCACCAGTTTCATTGCAATTGCTATTACAAAGACACATTTTAAAAATAAACCTACTCAAATATTATACTCTTTATATTAATGGTTCTAAGGCCGTAAATTTATAAGCATCGTTTAGCCAGTACCCGGAGAATATCGCCTATCGAGCTCGGGAGGATGACAAGAACGGGTGTCCGCTCTCCCATAGACAAAGCACAGAAAATCGTGTGTGGTTATATACTAAATTGGCTGACTGTCTGGTACATACGACCATAGATACAGGAGAACTCGGGATCCCGTCTAGCTCTTGTCATTAGTGCGAAGGTTAGTCAAAACGGAGGATATGACCTCTAAAATTGGATGCCATGGTGCCGATTTTGGAGGAACCTGCACCGTTAATTTTAGTAATTAATTTCGATGGCGGGCGGGGAATTAGCATCATGTTGTAACGGGCTAGGCCCGTGGAGGTCTCGGGTAGCCCTCGACCATCTAGGCAAGGGACCCATGTAAGTCATATAAAAGGCTATTCCAGCTAGCTGGAATAGCCCCTTTTCGATCCCTTCTTCTTCATCTTCGGATACTCGTAGTAGTCGCTCAGCTAGTTGTCAATATACTCAGTTGAGACCGTTACAGGTTTAAAGTCCTCCGAATTCAGCACCCAAAACTCCATAAACGGAGGAAGGAACCTGCGAATCTGGAGGAAGTTAAACAGTGGACAAGAACTGGACGGGATCCCGAGTTCTCCTGTATCTATGGTCGTATGTAACAGCCATCACGTAAATAAGTACTATAAAGCAAAATGGAAATAGGTAAATAGTCATAAGTAGTAGAATGAAACTATACAAGAAGCCATGCATTTAAAACTATAAGATGCAATTTCCTCTAAAATAATTGCCTATCCATTAACTTAATTTAATTTAGGCCTAGTATTTCTCAGATGGAACATCTTTGTAATGACGCAGCTGCTTGAACCAGTTTACAGTAATCACCCTTCAGACATGTAATTAATCCGATTAATTTGAATCCAACAGAGGATTCAGATTAATTATTGAATCAGGCCCTCGGATTCAGATTAATTATCGGATTCAGCGATTCAGTTATCTTTAACAAGTAAACCATCCCTTAACGGCCATTCCGAAAGCGTTGCATTGGCCATCTCTCCACTCAGATTAAACTTCGGCTTCTGCATCAGCTAAATTCGCATCCATGGCCTCTGGTGTCACCCACGACCGATCTAGAAGCCCATTCTTCGTCCAGTGTTTTAAGCACTTTGTGTACTCTACCACCTGCGCAGACAGCCGGCTCCTGTCCCAAGAGATTGTCCGCCGCGCTCCGCTAAATACTCGTTCCGCCTCTGCTGACATTGCAGGTATCGAAAAAATGTTTATAGCGAGCCGATAGAGGGAAGGGTAGAAAGTCTGCTGCGTTGGTTCCAGCCACCAAGAAAAGGCCGAAGAGTTACCAATTGGAAGTGTCGGCCAAGAACACCAGCAAGGGGCAACATAAACAGCCAGCCAATAACATATCTCATCTGAGGTGCCTCTCCACTTTAATTAATCGTTGAAACTTAATTAATCCTGGAGAGGAATGATTCAGATTATGAATCTGGGGCCTGGATTCAGTTTCAATTAATCATTAATTAATCACGGCGATTAATTACATGTCTGGTTCAACCTCAACCTTGAGCGTCGAAACCAATGCCATAATTTACCACCAGTTGTCACACCACCACGGCTCGATAATTGTGCTGGTTCTCGTCACGGTCTTGGTGATAGTCTTGCTCTTACATGTGGTTCCGGGTCCGGCCACAGTGACTGTGACAGTGCCTCCAGGGACAGTCCTTGTAACCGTCACGACCTGACTAACAGTTGGACCAGCCGTCGTCACAGTTGAACCAGGCAGCGTCACAGTTGAGCCGGGTTTCATGACGGTTATGGTTATTGCGTTGCAAGGACCAGAGCTTGAAGCTGGGGTAGCAGAGCTAGAGACAGGTGCAGAGCTAGAGACAGGTGCAGAGCTAGAGACAGGTGCAGAGCTAGAGACAGGTGCAGAGCTAGAGACAGGTGCAGAGCTAGAGACAGGTGCAGAGCTAGAGACAGGTGCAGAGCTAGAGACAGGTGCAGAGCTAGAGACAGGTGCAGAGCTAGAGACAGGTGCAGAGCTAGAGACAGGTGCAGAGCTAGAGACAGGTGCAGAGCTAGAGACAGGTGCAGAGCTAGAGACAGGTGCAGAGCTAGAGACAGGTGCAGAGCTAGAGACAGGTGCAGAGCTAGAGACAGGTGCAGAGCTAGAGACAGGTGCAGAGCTAGAGACAGGTGCAGAGCTAGAGACAGGTGCAGAGCTAGAGACAGGTGCAGAGCTAGAGACAGGTGCAGAGCTAGAGACAGGTGCAGAGCTAGAGACAGGTGCAGAGCTAGAGACAGGTGCAGAGCTAGAGACAGGTGCAGAGCTAGAGACAGGTGCAGAGCTAGAGACAGGTGCAGAGCTAGAGACAGGTGCAGAGCTAGAGACAGGTGCAGAGCTAGAGACAGGTGCAGAGCTAGAGACAGGTGCAGAGCTAGAGACAGGTGCAGAGCTAGAGACAGGTGCAGAGCTAGAGACAGGTGCAGAGCTAGAGACAGGTGCAGAGCTAGAGACAGGTGCAGAGCTAGAGACAGGTGCAGAGCTAGAGACAGGTGCAGAGCTAGAGACAGGTGCAGAGCTAGAGACAGGTGCAGAGCTAGAGACAGGTGCAGAGCTAGAGACAGGTGCAGAGCTAGAGACAGGTGCAGAGCTAGAGACAGGTGCAGAGCTAGAGACAGGTGCAGAGCTAGAGACAGGTGCAGAGCTAGAGACAGGTGCAGAGCTAGAGACAGGTGCAGAGCTTGACGCTGGCGGAGTAGAAGAAGGCGCTGCGCTAGATGAGACAGAGCAGGGCACGCCAGTGTAAGCGGTGATACCATTCTGGATAGCAGCGGCAATGCCGGCGGACAGGCCCTGGGCTGTTGACTGTAGGGCGGCAGGTACCAAGGCTACGATGTCGGCTGAGAGCTCACTGGCAGCAGTAAATTGCGTCTGGAGCTGCTGAAGGGTGGTGCAGCCAAATCCCTGCGCGACGACCTGGGCCTTGATGGCAATCAAGTTGGTGATGGTCTTGTTGGTGTCTGCTGAAAGGGTTTGGGTAGGCGTGATGAGAGACAGAGCATCCATGTCCGCTAGGGGCGCCGAGGCCTTGACCACGGTGATTCCTGCAGCGATTGCAGAGTTGACATCTCCAGCGGCGGACAGGATAGTAGCAGGGATTGGAGGAGTAGCCACGATGGCTGCGTTGAGAGCGTTGACTTTGGCGTCGACGGAGTTGAGGACGCCGACAATCGCGGCACCGTCTCTCTGAACGATGGCTGGACTGGCAGAGGCCAAAAGGGCAACTGGTAGAAGCTTTGCAAAGAATTTCATCTTGTAAGAAAGGTAGAAGAAGTGATTGTTTTGATGCAGATGGCGTTGCAATGCTACTCAGCAGCAGAGGATCCATGGCCATCCAGCAGCTGTCTTTTATACGCGCCGCAACAAGGCACTTACTTTATTTCACATGTTGCATTGGGATCTAAAGATCCTCGGAGTATAGACTAGATATGCCTTGTACGACGGTGACTAAACGACTAGTACTATAGCAAAGAGAACGAATCCTTTTCGTGGCTGTACCTGTGGCGCTAGCGGATAAATGCATCGCGGGGCTACGCAACAGTGTGCAAAACGAGCTGCAGGAATTTTGCAATATGCTCGCGTATTCTCGTAGCTCGCTTGTAATAATAAGTCAAGCCGCTTATAGAGCCACGCTGAATATCAATATGATACTCGTGAACAGCCGCCATGTCCGCCATGTTCGCGTACATTGGTATTGCACGGCAGATGATGTCGTCAGGGGCCGAGGCGCAGAAGAAAGCCAATGATGGAACTTTCGCTGGGGAGAGGAGAATAAAATTTCATGATTGCCAGACGAATCTCTCACAAGTGATCTCCTACCAGGGGTTGGGACTGGGCACTGATATATCCTAACCTTCGCGATGCAGTATCAGGTTCTAGAAAGAAGTAGGCTCTCCACCGGGCTGAAAGTCACAGCCGTTCCCCTTACCCCTTCTCCGGATCGGCTCCTGAAAAGGAAGTAGAACGTCGATCCACACCACTTGGCAGGCACCATACAAGGAGGCTCGCGCTACCCACAGTTTGCCAGTTTCTGCATTATCAGCCTCGGCGGCTTGTGACAAGAGAGGACTCGGCGGTGCAATACTGAATTAGGCAGGCACCCTGGTGATCTGACTGCCTATGTCTATGTAGGAATTCACTACCGTAGCTTCAACTCACAAGATCTGCCGTTGGTGCGGGGTTAGTTCGTTGTGGCGGCGCCGAGACCTTTGAGACGGCGTCCGAATACCATTCTGCCGCTGTTCTGCTGCTGCCAGAACTTGGTCTTTGTCGAAACAAAAGTTCTGTTATAGTTGTATACGGCGTTGAAATGCTGAAAATGTGACGTAGATACTGATGCTGATGCTATGTACTCTAATGGCAGTCTTGGTTTTTGAGCTACATTTGACGCCACTGTGGTTGTGAAGAGCTTGGGGGTTAGTTATACAATGATAATATACCTTAGCATCCACAACTAGCGGGGTTGTTATATTACCCCCAACGTATAGCTGTAGAAGAGCACTGTTGACCATCCCGTGACATGCCAAAATGCAATAGCAGACATGAGGTGTTGTATGCCACAACCGGCAAGCTCTATTAGGATAACGACTCGTAATTTAGCTGCTATCTAATGTCATTGTTGTAGAAGAGGGATGCAATATATTGATAGCACTCAGCGCCATATTGGCGTCTATACAAGCTAACGAGGTATCCGGTATTTCGTGTATTTAAATGCTCTAATTCTTCCTTGACTAACTAATCTGATGATATCTACATGGACCGCTTACTATAGAAATAACTTATACTAAGAATTCTGCGCAAAACGGTCCGTTGCAAGGAGGCAATCCTGGAAGGCGAGCAGATCGTCGTATATACTCGAGTTGTCAATCTATTACTAACATAAACGATGGTAATTACTCTATTTTAATCTACCAACTAGCTAAATTGGACTTATTCAATGAACACCCTATTTTAAACACAGAACTTCGAAGTACTTACACATGGCTAGTCGCTCGCAACCTCTGTAATTACCTCCCCGTACCTCTATCTATACACCGGTCTTGGTAGGCTGGGCACTCTCCCGCCCATATCTGAAAATCTCGCCAAGAACTTCACGAAATTGGTTAAGCTGTGTAGGCGATGCAATAATTGTTGCTTCAATTTCGGCGTCTGTAAGCTCAAAAATAGCCACGTGCTCAGGACGAAGAGTGATGCGCAAGACATTGTCTATGAGACACGCTGATTCAACGCAGCCGTATGCCGTCCGCTGATCTTCCATTATGAGACAGTGCGAGTCCATTCCCAAGTCAATATCTTGGTCATCTGGTTCTTCGGAACCGCATTGAAAATTTAATGTGAAGCCTGTTCCATCAACATGTTCAGCTAGGCTGGCTTGGAGAAAACAATCCTCATCACGATCGACCATGACCCCGACTTGCTGGGCAGTGAACTTGTAGGTCATGACTGAGTGCTGTCAAGCTGAAATTGTTGGTCAAGTTCTCGTAGTAATTTGTTGAACTCGGTATCTATTCTTTGATGTTTCTTAAGGAAGAATCGCCAGTTTGCTGATGTCCAGCTGCTATTTAAACTCGACAAGAAAAGCGATTTCTTGAGCTCCGTTCCTCGTTGAGGAACCTCGCAAACAACGCGCCTTTTACGAGGCAGTGCAAGGCCGCTGAGGCCTGCGGTTTAAAATAGCGCATCGACATTTATGCTTATATAATATTAATAATATCTATTGTTTTTTTTTTAAAAAAGAAACGATTCGATTCTAAAATAATTTTTAATAGAAAAGCTCGAGATGCTAGGGTATTAAGTAGTCTCAGACGGTTTAGGAAAATCTCAGGTTAGCTGATAGCGACGGTGTCTCAAGATAGTAACCAATTCTATTAGAAAGCATTCTAGAGACCTAAAAGTTACTAGGACGACTTATATAGCAGCCTGAATAGGGGCAACAGACGTTCTCTTTACTTCATGGATGATATTTCTTTTCTTCTCTTTTGCCAAAGCCCCCTTCTCTTCTTTCCGTTGGCCCACCTGATGCGGTACGCTAACTTGTACTCTACTTTGTCATCAGCGCCAATGCAACGAGTTCCTCAAGCTTGGTCTCATGGGCGTCACCGCCGTCATTTCTAGCGGCGATGCTGGCGTTAGCTCCCGAAACGGCCAGTGTTTGGGACCTCACCACGACGTCTTTGTAGCCGACGACTTCTGCGGGTGCCCATACGTCTTGTGCGTCGGCGCTACCAAGCTCAACGCAATTGATAAACCCGAGGTTGCCGTCGACCGATTCTCCTCTGGTGGCGGCTTCTCCAACATTCACCATCGTCCCTCGTACCAGAACCATGTGCTAGACAACTATCTCCTTCGCCACAACCCCAACTACCGCTCCTACAACACGAGCGACGATCTCATTCCCGACAACGAGGGCATCTACAACCGCGGCGGTCGTGCTTTCCCCGATATCTCCGCACTTGGACAAGAGGGCGCTGTCGTCACAAATGGCATGTTCCAGCTATCCGGTGGAACCTCCATGTCCTCGCCAATCATTGCTGCGATCATCAACCGCATCAACGAGAAGCGGCTTAGCATCGGTAAGGGCCCCGTGGATTTCGTTAACCCTGCGCTCTACAATATGACTTCCAAGAAGCAAAAGTATCAGGACTACTTCAACAACGTCACCTCCGGCGATCAGAGCCTCAGAGGAATCGGCAGTGACCGCTTCTACAGCTCTTGCGGTAACAAAGGATTCTCCTGTGTCGAGGGCTGGGACCCTGTCACCGGTCTTGGTACTCCTCGCTACGACCGTTGGGAGGAATATTTTGTCAAGCTTTAAGCGGACGGGCCTACTAAAGAGCCGACAGATAGGTAACTTATGTGTAAATAGAAAAATCATGGGTAAAAGAAATAGAGGCAACGGATGCCATGACTATATACCTCTATTTATAGCAACCCCTTTTACCTAAGTTATATACTATAAAATTCGACTATTATGCACGGACATGATTTACCATACTATTAGTTTATATAAATATATATCAAGATATCTGCGTTAAAGAAATGAGCCATTAGTTTCTATTATGAGGGCGGATGCGTCTCACAACAGGCCCACTGCAGTATAAGTTGGTACGTACACTACAATATGGTAATTAATTTAGAGGCGCTTCGCAGCTTGTGGTTGCCTGGCGCTGAGTGCCACGTTTACGTAAAGTTATCCTACTCTTGGTTGGTCAATTCAAATCTTACAACTTCATAGTTTTGAGAATCAGAAATCAAAGCAACACTCAGAATCAGCATGCATCTTTTAATCCTTGGGGGCACATCCTTTGTCGGGCGAGCCCTTGCTCTTGAGGCTGTTGCACGCAACCACCGTGTGACGCTGCTTAACCGTGGCACCAGCACACAACCACCTGCAGGCGTCACTAATTTGCTCGGTGATCGGCTACAGAGCAATGGCCTGGATGCTCTTGATGGCCTGACCTTCGATGCGGTTGTAGATACCTGGTCCTCAGAACCCGCTCCAGCTGTGCAAGCAATGCAGAGGCTCAAGGGTCGGATGGGTCATTACACATATATTTCAACCCTCAGTGTTTACGACGAGTCTTCTCTCCCAGGCCATGACATTTTAGCGGATGAGTCTGCGGATACGTTTGATATCACCGCCCCTGATGCAAACAAGAAGGTATACCAGTTCAACAAGCGGAGCGTCGAAGTCGCAGCGGAGCAGCTATTGCCGGATATCCCATGCCTCATGGCACGCGCCGGTGTGATTCTTGGTCCTCATGAGCATAAATACATAGAAAGAGGCCGGCTTCCTTGGTGGTTACAACGCCTGCACGAAGGAGGCCCAACTCTAGCGCCCGGTCCGCGCGATTTGAAGCTTCAGCTTGTGGACGCTCGCGATCTTGCCAATTTTGTTCTTGACAATGCAGAAAAGGGAACAGATGGTGCATTCAACATCATAAGCGACCATGGATCTTTGACGATGGGGGATTTATTGGAAGCGGCCCGCGAAGCGACCGGTAATCGAGCACAGCTCCAATGGCATGAGCCACAGCGCATTCTTGACGCTGGTATTTCTCCATTTATGGAGCTTCCTCTCTGGTTAGATCCTTCATCTACCCTATATGATGTCATATACGGTTGGGATACGACAAAGGTAAAAGGGGCCGGACTTGTGTGTCGACCAATTGAAGAGACAATTCGCGATACCTGGGCGTGGATGCAGGGAGATGCGAAGCCTGTGCCGGCCCCAGAGGGGATGCCTGTTGGTGGTCTGAGCAAAGAAAAGGAATCGATTGTGCTTGCACAGCAATAATACTCCAGGTAATAGCAGCTGATTGAGCTTGGCCACCGCTCAAATTTACCAATATATAATGAAATACTAAGAACAATAATAACAAAGCTCTTTGTAACTCCAAGTAATTCAACAGACTAGCTAATAAAAACTCCATAATGTCAAGAGATAGGGCCTTTGAGCCCAATATACTCTCCATGTAAGTTGCGGTTATATCCCCGCTTTTGCTTTTATAGACTCGAACCGTAACAGTTGTCATTACGCAAAGGTTGCCCTTTATAGCTTCGCTAAGCTTGCACCGGATCGGCACTTACACCCACCGTTTGTGTATTCTGGTAGATGGGACCTTGCTTATTACCCGTGGGGGAGCGCCCATGAGGAGTGCCAATCTCACCCGTCGGCAACGGTAGACCATGATCAATAATTGGTGGAAAAACTACCTACGTGCCGTTCTCATCGCTCTTACATGGTGCTCTGGCTGCTAAGAATAGCAAATGTTAGAGTAAATGTTAGAGAAGGATTAAACGGCTAAATAGCCTTTTTAAAATTCAATATAGAAACAGAACCGACGGGAATTTACAACTTACGCTGTTTCTTTATTAAAAGGCGACCGGTGGCCTATTCTGATGAGAGATGGACGATACCGGAATCAACAAGGCCCAATTTCTTCGTCGTCTGCTATTATTAGTGTTTAGTCTATTCGTCTGTCTGTTGCTCAACAATACTCTGTCCAACAAACCCGCTGAACACCGCTCTCCAGGATGCTGTATATCACCTTGCTTCAAGTTTTGGTGCTGTCCGCTTTCGTTGGTCGGTCGCACTCGCAATCAGCACCACAACGCGCTTGCATTGATGATGCAAGCTGCAGCTTGAATGGCATTTGTGAATCAGGTGTGTGCAAATGCGACCCGGGTTGGAAGGGGTCGGATTGCGGTGTGCTTGATCTGCGCCCAGCCCTGCGAAACAGCGGCTACAATCACACAGCAGAACAGACTTCATCGTGGGGAGCCAGCATTGTCCGCGATCCAAAAGACAGCAACCTCCACCACATGTTCTTTTCTTACTTTGAACACCATTGCCCACTCAAATCATGGATGCCCTTTAGCACCATTGCGCATGCCACATCCCGCACTGGTCCAGCCGGCCCCTACGAGTCGCCCGTGCAGGTTATTGGAACCTTTGCCCATAACCCAACCGTGATTTGGAGCCCCTACGATAAGCACTACCTGCTCTACCACATTGGCTGCCCCCAACCCATGCCTGATGTATGCGGCCCGGTAAAATTCAAATGCGGTGTGCCTGACGGTCAGAGTGGTATCACAGTGCACTCCAGCCCTGATCTCGCCAACTGGAAGAGCCACGGGATAGTGTTCAATGGTACCACGGATAAGACTCGCTGGGATAAGACCGCAACTAACCCTTCTGCGTGGCCCATGTACTCAAAAGATAACAAGACGCCAGGAATTATTTTGGTCTACCGAGGAAACAACCAAAACGAGACCAATTTCTCCTCAGGCAACATTGCCGTCTCTCCTACCGGCATGGACGGACCGTATACAAGAATCCAGAAAGACCCGCTGATGATGTATCGCTACGAGGATCCTTTTATCTGGCAGGATAAGCGTGGCAATTATCATATGTTGGTGCATTCACAGCGAGACACCGGCGCCGGCGGACTTGCAGGAGTCAAGTCGGTTGGTAGGCATGCATACGCGCGCAACTACAAAGGCCCCTGGACATATGGCTACGATGTATCACTGGCTTACAGCGCCTTGGTCAACTTTACCGACGGAACAAGTATAAACTACAGCAGGAGAGAGCGCCCGCAGCTGCTATTTTCCGACGATGAGAACATGACGCCACAGTTTCTAGCCAACGGCGTGCAAGAGGTCGGAACAAACATGAGCTACACCATTGTGTCACCTATTGGTGATGCTGGTGTCAAGCTGCAAGGGGGAGTACCACAGTCCAGCTGCTCCATTCCCAACAGCAAGATATCTGTATAGACCGGTAGTGTTAGTAGGATTATTCACGGCTAGAAATTTCTAGCAGTACAATTAATGCAAGATGACCTTTACGGCCATTCCGATTTTCCACGCGAATGCTCGTAAACCAGGCCACCGCCAAAGGCGAGTCACGTTCGTAACACTCGAGTCGCCGTAGGTCAGAATAACTTTCTCAAACAACTCTTTCAGCTATACTTTAGATACTAGACGAGGCCCCTACTACGTATATTGACAACTAACTGAGCGACTACTATGAAAGTCCTAATACAGGCGGTTAAGGAAAGAGAGGAAGCTTGCTGAGCGTTCTAAGATGATAGGAACCTTGCCGCAAGTCCTGGTCGAAAAATACCGGAGGCCTCCGTCGGCTTCGCCCGTTAAATCTAGCTTTAGTTGCAGCACTTGACCTTGTAGCCGGTCCAGCACTTGGCACCATCGCCATGGTCGTTGCGCTCGACCTCATGGTAGCCGTCGGGGCAGCCACCAGCACAGAAAGGGGCAGTGCCGTCCCAATAGCAGGACATTGCGGCGTCGACCTCACGGTTGACAAGGCCTTCATCATTAGAATATATGCAATAAATAAGGATGGTCAAGGCTTACCAGTAGCAGCAGACATGGCAGTGCCGAAGACAGCAGCGAAGACAATGGCGAACTTCATTTCGACGATTATGGTTTAGAGACTGCGGGAAGAAAGGGTAGAATAAAGGGTAGAATAAAGATGTAGCCACGATTTGTGTTGATCTATAAGAATATATTTATCCAAGGACGGGGATGTTAGCTTATTTATAGACCTGGGCCATGTATAAATCCATTCGAGCCTTAACTTGAGGTTACAGTTTGTCAGTGGGCTCTGCAAACGAGTATCTCCTTCCCCTAGATGTAAAACAAGAATATTTCATACAACTACTTTCGATGCACGTCAAACTTGCAGCAGTATAAAGTAGAGATACTCCTTGTCTCCGGTTATAGTTTAATGGTTATGGTGAGACGTGATGTTGCACTCGGACCTGGCTAGCTGCCTAACTTGGCTACTCGGATCAATCATGAATCCAGTCCACTACCCAACTTGGCCACTCGCATAGTAGACACCAATCACTAAATAGGACCCTAGCCGCATATCCCCAGAATAAAATCAGGAGACCGAGATCCGAGCACGATGTTCCAACGATGGAACGATGTGAGATTAGAGATTATATCCACGTGTATGTCGGTTGGTTGCTATTGGCTAGTGCATCAATAAGAAATATCCACGAATACGTAATACCTCTTTTGGCGATATCTGGAGTGGTAGAGGACCCAATTACGGGCGATACTCACATCAACACCATAATCATAGTTTGGCCCCGTCGAAACCTAGCAACGCAACCGAAGTTCTGTCGCAAACAGAATATATTGACAAAAGAATCCGAAGCCATTGGAGTAGCTCGCCAGCCGAAGTTATCGAGAATTTGAATTAAATTACGAAGTGTACGACTAGTGTGATGCGAAAGGTAGCACTTTTAGAAGATGAAAACCGCATGCTACGAGAGGCTAACAACCGACTCTCACGCCGGAAACGCGTCACAAAAAGACAATTATAGAGTGGAGGAACACTTACAGTAGATTCTGGCAAAAATCTAGCCTCTCAAACCCCTTCTAATGTAAAAAGAGAACGTGATGAAGTTGAGAATACTGGTCGACGAAAGTGGGTGGAAACACGGCGTAGACGCTGTGGAAAATGCGGCGAAATAGGCCATAATTCTAGAACCTGTGAAACTGAAGTGGACACCATTTCTTCAGATAGCCCAGATTAGATTTTCTATTTTTAATTGTATTTGGAGTTGACGCACTATTTTTTATAGGCCAAGGTCGGGAAGGGTGCGCCGCTCACCCGTGAACCACGTTATTCAAATAGTGTAGCGACGCACTTAATAACTACCAGATTCTTTGATCGTATTAATTTAACGAATTAGAGCGAACCTATAGTATATAGAGTGATATAATACATAATTATATTGACCACTAGTAATGGAGCTAGTAGAAGCGAAATCATTCGACTACTGTGGGTCGACCACAGCTCATTGTGGGACGTTGTTCTGAGCGAAACCGAAGAGTCTCGGTGTGGTCTCGACTGAGTTAGGGGTGGTTCGACAAGAGTGGAGCGTCCAAACTACAGTATTTAATATGTTTGATCCGTCGCTAATTCTTCCTTCGCTCATTATCTTGTAATATTTGTTATTAGGGCTGCTCGTACTAGAGCAGCGGAACTAACCGCCGATGCAACACAAGCATCGCTAGACTTGCGCTACAGTAGTTGAAGAACGACAGCAGGAGAAGGGTGGTATGCATGCTGGCTTGGCAAACGATCGCCAAGCAAAACAGCGAGACGGCGGGTCAATGCCTCAACTCCTGTGCCAAAAGCACCCAACCCTGTGTTTGGTCGGGCGTCTGTTCTCTGTCTAGCGGGTGGCCCTCTTGCGGTCGGTCCGAATACACTCCTACCTCTTCTGGATCAATCTTTCGACCGCTTCCCTCCATAGTGTAGGATCTTTTACACTGCAACCTGTCACGAGGGCGTTTTCGCGGCGATGTTCATTAACGGCTCAACGGCAACTCGTGCCGAGAATAGTGGTCTGATGGTGGGCTGGACAGGATAAAACTCCCATTTCGAGCGGGCCAAGATGCCGTGTGGCGGCGGGGGAGAGGAGAGGCGCCTCGATTGTGGCTTTTGCAGAAACAAGCCCAACTTGGGCGGGTACATACAACACCATTGTATGGCGAGCGCGCGTGGGCTTAGCCGTTAAATTTGGGGGCTAGTTGCGTTGCATCGGAGCAAGCACCGCCTTATCGCAGAGCCGGTGATTCTTCCCTTCACTGTTCCATCTGAACTCATGGCCTTGCTTAGCTACATTAGACGGGTGATTATACCGTGCTGATCGACGGTTCCTCGCTAGTACAACTACTCTTTTAACATCAGTCGACCTTCGATGATCAGGCGACTTCGTGATTACCTTCTTCTTCCATATTCAGACTAAGCTCCACTGCCCCTGGCCGATAGTCCGCTAGCACAGACCAACCAACACCACCTCGCCCCCCAATAGAGACTAAGTCGAGGGACTTTTGGGAGCAAGGTATTATGCTATTTCTCGCTATTACCCCCACAAGCGAGTACTTTTGCAACCAGTTTCGGGCCACCGGGGAATGGTCCCCAAAGGGAGCCGGATGGTCCTTTTGTAGTATGTATGACCGATGTACAGTACTGTTGCGCCGGGACACCAACCTAGGCGCCCCCCTTACAAAGTGCAGTCGAGCACACTCAATTGCCTCAAAAAGTCAAGCCAATCCGGGGCAAACCGGTTTGGGATAGGTACACGGGAGGATAGACTGTGATACGCGGAATATATAATAGTATATAATACGTAGCTACCCTTGCCCCCCGTCTCGAATCAGCGAGAACGCGCTGTGTAACTAGAACAAACTTGGTCTTTTCCCCTTTGGCTTCTCCTTGCTGTCGTCTATCCAATCCATCCATCATGGAGAAGAATAACGAGAGCGACACTGTCGCCCCTAGGCTTGAGCCTGAGTGCGATTCTGACTGCAAAGTGGAACAACATGTGCCAAACTCCCACGATGAGGAAAAAACAGTCTCTAAGAATGAGAAGAATGACATCAACGTCGAAGACGACGAGGTCAGCCTCGATGTGCGCAAAGAGGACCACTTTGGCGAAGTCATTGTCATCGACAACGCCAAAGATCTCGTCACCCACGTTCTGCATTTAGACGACGACCCGAACGCTTCCCCATGGACCATGCGTGCGATGACTATTGGTATGGCTGTGCCCTAAATATATTGCAAAAGAGCTCCCTCCCTAATATGTCTCCCTCTTCAAAATAGGCCTCATGCTCTGCGTCTTCGCTTCCGTCTTGCAACAAATTTTCTACTTCAAGCCCCAGGTCATTTACGTGTCGGTTGTCTTCCTCACCGTCATTGCCTATATCCTTGCTATACCGTTTACTCTGGTGCCACGCCTCGAGGGCAATGGCATCTTGGCTCGCGTCTGCCGCTTCCTCAACCCCGCCGAGTTCAACTCCAAGGAGCACGCCTTCATGGTGATCATGGGCTCAGCTGGCTCGACTTCGGCCGTTGCCACGCAGATTCTTGCTGCGCAGAGACTCTACTACAACCAGGACCCCAACCGTGGCGCGGCCATCTTCCTTGTTATTGCCTCTCAGTTCCTCGCGTATGGTATTGCTGGTCTGCTGCGCCGTGTCCTGGTCCATCCGGCCAAGATGCTTTGGCCCATCAACATCCCCGTCAACACGTTGTTGGAAACTCTGCACCGCAACAAGGCTGAGACCAAGCAGCGCCTCAGGTCCTTCTACCGTGTCTTCAGTGTGGCCTTTCTGTGGGAATTCATCCCGCTGTGGATTGCCCCCATCTTCCAAGGTGTCTCTATTCCTTGCCTGGCACGACGTGACAGTCTTGTCTTCACCAACTTGTTTGGAGGTGCGCAGAACAATGAAGGGCTGGGCTTCCTTGGCCTTTGCTTTGACTGGAACTACATTGCTGGTCTCAATTCGCCTCTCTGGTACCCGCTGAGCACGCTGGTTAATGCCTTTACCGGCTACCTCTTCTGCATTGTCCTGTTCATGAGCGTTTACTACGGCAATATTTGGCGATCGCAAGATTTCCCTTTTCTCTCTCAACTCCTCTACACCGATAAATCCAACGGCACGCACTTTGACTTTTACAACCTTAGCAGTGTTCTCAACCCTGACAATACCATCAACAATGACCTTGTTGCTGAGCAGGGTGTCCCCTACCTTTCTGGCACCTACGTCGTGTATCTCATCTCCACCAACATGGGTATTACTGCCGCCATTATCCACATGCTTCTCTGGAACTTTGACGACCTCAAAGAGGGATGGGCATTCTTGCGTCCAGCCAAGCTCAAGAAGCTTCTCAACCCATCTACTTACGTGTTCTGGAAGCGCGACGAAAGCGAGACCGAAGCGAAGCGACTAGCAGTTCTGGCGGACAAGGAGGTGGATCCTCACTACAGGTTGATGATGCAGAATGGCTACAAGGAGGTTCCCGACTCGTGGTATGTGATCGTTTTGCTGCTATCCTTCATCATTGGCATTGCCACCCTCTACTCTGTACAGTCCACGCTGTCATGGTGGGCGTTTATTGTGTCCAATGTGCTTGCCGCCCTCTTCATCCTCTTCTTTGGTGCGCAGATGGGTCTCACCGGCTTTCAGTTCAACCAGCAGCCTGTTATTCAGATGTTGGCTGGCTACATCTTGCCTGGCAGACCTCTAGCCAACATGTACTTCACCGTCTTTGGATTCAACGGCATCCAGCAGGGCCAATGGCTGCTTCGCGATCTCAAGCTGGCCCAGCTTGCCCATCTGACTCCCCGGGCTACCTTTACCGCACAGATGCTCGGAACCGTCATTGGCGCCATCCTGGACTACGTCATGATGGTGAGTATTGTCAACAATCAGACCGAGGCTCTCTTATCCATTGACGGAACCAACATTTGGTCTGGTCAAAATGTCCAGGGCTACAACACGCTGGCTATTGCTTGGTCAATTGCCAAGGACATGTTCTCCGTTGGCACCCGCTACCAGTGGGTGACGATTGCCTATCTTGTTGGCTTTGCCGCCCCCGTTCCCTTTTGGCTTGCCTGGAAGTTCACTAAGGCCCCTATTTTCCGCGACATTAACACCTCCATTATCCTCTGGTACTGTGGTGTTCTCTGCGTCGGCGTCAACTCCTCGCTGATGATGTTCTTTGGCTTGGGCATCTTTGCCCAGTTCTTCCTCCGAAAGTACCACCCCGCCCTCTTTGTTAAGTACAACTACCTCATCTCAGCGGCCATGGACGGTGGTACCCAGGTAATGGTTTTTATCCTCAGCTTCGCTGTCGCTGGCGCTAGCGGCACTCAGCATCTCTTCCCTACCTATGCCCTCAACAACGGAGGCACAGCCAACAACATGAATATTGATTATTGTATGTTTAACGAGGCCACTAGTGGCTAAATGGGTCCTTCGGACTTATATGGTGGAATGTATTTTTTAAAGACAACCAAATTAATCGTCCGTTTTATCTTGGTTATCTTCATGCACTTTATTCATAATTCTTTCTATAACGTTATAAGTTATTGAAGACTTAGTTTATTAAATATATGGAAATTAAGTTAAAGAGTAAAGAAACGCTAAGGTAGCTTACTCTAGTCGTATAATATAAGTAGTACTTTTATGCCTTTGAGACAACGCTCATTCTCATCAACTCCGTCGTTTGGAATATTGAGCGGGCCGTTGACGAGTAAGCTCGTGCTTGACCTTATGAAAAGTGACCACTGAACAGCCGTCCAAATAAAAACGGACTCTCTAGACGGTGCATATTTAGTTTTGTTATTTGACTCTTTTGTGCGTATTAACCCTCGCGTTTGCTTTTCCACTGGGTACTCCTACCCCGAACCAAGTATTCGGCTATAGCTAGACTCAAGTATACTTCAACAACGCCATAAAAAGTGATATTACTGTCGCAGTAATAAATGAGGGTCTATAAGCACACTATGCTGAGAGCGAGCCTGAAAATAAATTGATCGCAACACTGTAGGGTTACATCCATGCTGCTAGACCAAGAAGATCAGCGACAAATAGACGATGATGAGGACGACGGAGAATTCGGCAGGCGCGTAAGCAATTTCCCCAAATTTCGCAGTCAATTAGCATATGACGATCCACAAGTCAAAGCAGTAGACCGAAGGCACCCACGAACTATGCTCTCCTGCTTGCGTACTTGGTGCTGGGGGCGTCTCTAAGGAGAGGAGGAGCAACGCAATCATAGTGAAACGAGTATTTTCTTTTGCTAGATTTTTCAATAGTATACACTAGGGACAATTCAATCCATCGTATTTCTGGTTGATCAAGTATCAACTTCCTTTTGCCTTTCACCGTCAGAGGTAAAAAGTACTTGTCGTTGAAAGTGGAAGCATAGCGTTCAATAAGATGCTCTGGGCGGGACACAGGGTGGGGAGGCCAACTCTACTCATGCATTACTTTTTTTTTAAATTAATTAAAGTAATATGTCCACGATTCACATGCCTAAGGCTCGCCTGAATTCCGATGAGCCGAGAATATATATTGTTATTATTATTTTAAATAAATACTGAGGGGTTGTGTTGCACCCGGATCGGACTAGTACTAATACGAGTAAAGAAGGGAACTTTTGTAAGCATTTCAATCAAAGAGGAAGGCTAATCGTTATACTTTGCTTCACAACGTGCTCGGTAGTTTACGCTAAGCTCGTCATACTGATGCCGGTGTCGTTAGCCACACACGATGTAACTCCATAAATTTAGAAACAAAAAACGCGGGGTACATTACATTGTGGCGGCGTCCAAGGTCAGCGCTTGCTTCTCAGCCGAGGTGACGGCCGTGGATTTAGCTGTCTTAGTGTTATTTTACATTTTTACATAGCGATTCAAAACATGTGAGACACAACTGAAAGAGATGGCGCAAGACAGAATAATACAATTGTCGCCCTCCAACGCAAGGTCTTACAGAACAGGCTGCGAGGATCGGCAGAACCTGGACAGCCACGCTAAATGGGTCGCAGAGGGGGAGTCTCGGGACAACTATTGGGATAGCGCGCCGGTGCTAGAGCGGACACGACTAGCTAATGTACTAGTGTAATCTTAGATAGTGTCTCTCGGCTATGGCCAAAAGAAAGAGTACTCTATAATGGCAGTAAAATATAATTAATACAGTTGGCTTTCAATTGCCACTGTTTGAAGCTGAGATGGCGCCATGGATCTCAAACAACAGTAGGCGAGGCCAGCCGTACCCTGCGGTGCGCCCACCAAAGAAACTTTGGCTTTAATGAAAGCTGACTCGTGGCTGAACGACTACCGCTACACCCACCTAACCTAACCCGCGGCAAGTAACTGATCGGCACGCACGCAAACCCGTACCCTGGTTGGGAGCCGGATCCATTTCCCCAGGATATGTCACCAAGAGGATGGTGTTGGACTAGTTACCGCGGCTTTGCACATTAGTGGAAACAATGAAGCTTGTGCTAGTTACAGGAACGAGGGTATGTGACGGGGGACTGGTGGGAGCGGAGCGTTAGCGCAAGGGAGCCTTGAGTCAACACCTCGACTATAAAGCACAGGGTCACCCACTCGTCATTTAAGACACCAGGTGGTTACTGAAAAACAAGAGGTCTTCATTCCAACGGCTTTACTCCTTGACAATGTTCTTCAGTCTCGCCTCCGTGGCTCGCGCCGGCCTCGCCTTGCTTGCCGTGGCTCCCTCCGCCCTTGGCCGGGCCCTCAACGAGCCCCAGACCCGAGCTCTGCCTCCCGACAGCGATCCCTTCTACAAGCCGCCTGCTGGTTTTGAGTCTGCTGAGGCCGGCGATGTGCTCCGATCTCGCCGCATCTTTCCTGGCTTCTTCGGCTTCATCCCCGACCCAGTCGAAGCTTACCAGGTGCTGTACCGCACCGAAGCTGTTGACGGCACTCCCATTGCCACTGTCACCACCATCTTCAAGCCTCCCTTCGCCAAGACTGATCGCTTTATAAGCTATCATACTGCTTATGATAGCTCTGGAACCATCTGCAACCCTAGCTACTCGTATCAGCTGGGTTCTATCCCAGTCAACCCGCTCAACTCGGTTGAGCTCCTCGAGATCCAGCTATACCTGCTCAACGGCTACATAGTGTCCTCTCCTGACTATGAAGGCCCCGAAGCCTCCTTCGCTAGCGGCCATCTTACAGGCAAGGGAGTCCTAGATGGCATGAGAGCCGTTACCAACTTCCGCAAGACGCTTGGCCTCAGCAGCACCCCCAAGATTGTAGGCATGGGCTACTCTGGCGGCGGTCTTGCTACTGGCTGGGCCGCAGCCTTGCAGCCAACATATGCTCCAGAACTATCCATGAAGGGCTGGGCCGCCGGCGGAATTCCTGCCAACCTGACAGCTATTCTTCTGTCCTTGGACAAGACAGTAGCCAGTGGCTTTGTACCCGTTGCTGTCGCAGGTCTCCTCAAGCCCAGCGCCTATGGCAAACAGCTGCAGCCCCTGGTAGACCGTATCATTACGCCTGCCGGCCGTAAAGTCCTCGCTACAGCCGACACCAAGTGCACTGTTGATGCACTCCTCGCCTTTCCCTTCCAATCTGTCCTCAGCACCGACTTCCAGAGCCTTGGCCGCGATCTGCTGTACGAGTCCACAATCTCCGGTATTCTGGCCGACAACACCCTCGGTGTCAAGAAGGATCAGACACCAACAGCGCCGCTCATGCAATACCACGCCACGCCTGACGAGATTGTCCCCTATGGACCAGCCGCCATCCTGCGCAAATCATGGTGCGACTTTGGCGCTACTGTCAAGTTCACCGAGTACGCAGCGGGTGGTCATGGAACCACCGTAGTGCTTGCTCTCCTTGACGTTTTGCAGTTTACAAAGGATGCCTTTGCCGGAAACGTCGCCGCCGGGTGTACCACGCGCACACTTCTCGACAACAAGCTCGACCCGTTGGCCTTTGGTGTCATGCTGGAGCCTCTCGCCGTTGGGCTAATCAACTGGCTGGCATCCATGGGCGACAAGGACGCCAAATGGCTCGACTCGATCAAGAACGGCGATCGAACGGCGGTTGCAAGCGGCGCCAACTAATTGTAAATTCTGTATAAACAAGTTACATAGCCACGGCATTTACCAGTAGGAACTGAGTAAAAAGCGAAATAAATACTTGCACCTCGATTGTACTTTGCGAAGTATTGATCTGATAGTTTGCCCTTTGGTTCGGCCTTGGTCGTACCTTTGAGAAAGAATACTACAAATTTAAACAAGTTATATTCATAGCAATTCAGTACTGTTGGGTGTAACTGTTGAAAATATTTTCAAATGTCATTACAAGAAAAAAAACGGATATTAGAATAAGTATATATGTGATACTTCTTACATAGGTAGCAGTTCCGCAGGTTATACTTTAGAGCAAAGCCTGGCAAATTGTCAGGCATAGAAAATTCCATTTTGTTCTAGTCAGATATTTATTTATTTAGTTATTTAATACTCTTATTCCGTCTAACTCTCTGGCTATCGCAATTGGGAAGCCTTTTGTAGGGTGCTCCTGCCTCCCGGGTAGTGATGTGCCCAATCCGGCAATACGGTGAAATACGTGACATGCTGCTGTTAAATTAAATCATTCATAACACGGCAGATGCACTCAGTCACCTGCCGTCATCACGAAATCACATTTCAGCGACGCAGGAAGCCTCATGTCTCGACTCCTTCAGCTTCCAGACGAAATTGTTCTCCTCATTGCGCGTGCACTCGATTCAACACGCGACATCAACGCCCTCGCCCAAGCTTGCAAGTCGCTCTACTACAGGCTCAATCCAGTACTCTATCGCCGCGATCGCAGCCAGGGCACCAAATCAGCCTTACTATGGGCAGTCCGCAGAGGTATCCCCGAAATTCTTCAGCATGTTACCGATGCTGGCACTGTGCCTGTAGAGGAGGAGATACCGCTGGTACACATGGCCGCGCACTTTGGCCACCCCAACATGGTGGACTTGCTACTTAGCGAATACAACTGTAGCCCGGAAGGCGATGATGGACGTGGTTTCACACCGCTCGGTCACTGCTTTGGGCACTCAGAAATCGTGCAGATACTCCTCAGGCACGGAGCCAATCCTTCCAAAGCGTGCAACCCGGACGGTATCCTGCCACTTCATGACGCCGCGGCAAGGAACAACGTGGAAACTGCGGAGTTGCTGATTGCTGCTGGTGCCAGTGTATCGGATGCAACCTCGGCCTCCTATGATTCTAGTGCAGGATTCACGCCGCTTCATTCCGCCGCATGGTTCGGATCGCTTGACACAGCCAAGCTCTTCCTCCGTCACGGTGCCAATGTCAACCAAGCAGCAGAAACATCTGCCAAAACACCATTGCATGAGGCTGTTCTTGCAAGAAACGCAGATGTGGCCATGCTTCTTGTCGAGAATGGTGCAAACGCATCCCTGGTTGCTACTTCCGGCTATCGGTCATGGAGAGCGGTTGATGCTGCAGTTGCAGAGGGCCAAGAGGCCTTAGTCAAGCTTATAATTGACAAGGGATTAGACCCCAACGTTCGACAGCCAAACGGCGACCACTTGATCCAAACCGCCGTGGAAAAGGGTAGATTGAAAATGGTCAGACTCCTGCTCGACAATGGCGTCCAACTCGATGGACCAGCAGCCGCCTTGGACGATGAGGAAAAGCTGGCATTACTAAAACTGGCCATCGAGCGAGGAAGCGTCAACATAGCCAAGTTGATCATCACCAGAGGCGGTGGTGGCCTTGAAAAAAAGACTGGAGCAGCCGAGGTGACGCCATTGGGATTAGCATGTTCCCTGGGGAGCAAGACGCTCGTCTCTCAACTAATAAAAGCTGGCGCAGATCCTCTCTCCGTCGATGAAAACGGCGTTACATTACTACATTACGCTCTCATGTCGGGAGATACTGAAATTGTCCGCATGATACTAAAGCAAGGCCTAGATGTCGATGCCCGGGACATCAATGGCCAGTCAGCCCTATTCTACGCCATGGATCAAGATGTCAGCCTTGCCAAACTGCTTCTGGATCACGGTGCCGACCCTATTTTTCTCGACAATAACAACAATACAACATTATTCAATGCTGCTGGTGGACCCGATCTTGGCGTCTTTACCCTGCTGCTTGAAGCAGGCGTTGACCCTAAGCAGGCAAACGTTGCTGGTTCGACTCCGCTCCATTATGCTAGCAGTAAAGGCCACTGGGAACACGTCAGGCTGCTGCTGGATGCCAATGTGGACACGGCAGGGATAAATAGCGAAGGGGTATCGCCGCTGTCCGCTGCCGCAGCCGCAGGGAACGAAGCCATTGTCAAGATGCTGCTGGAACACTCTCCCAATCTACTTCAACTAGAGACCCAACCAACCTTAGGAAACGCGCCCCTTATGCAAGCAATCGAAGGACAAAATCCAGCAGTGGTTGAGCTGTTGCTCAAGAGCGGTGCAAGCCTTGCAGTGCGCAACTCTGCCGGCCAGACACCGCTGATAGTTGCGGCCAAGTTTCCTAGTACAGAGGTTGTCAAGACATTATTGGATGCTGCGGGAAGGATAGATCTGGACGAAGCTGATCTTGATGGAAGGACAGCATTATTTTTTGCTTGTTGGTTTGAACGGAAAGAAACGCTTGATCTTTTGCTCGAGCAGAATCCCCAGCCCAAGTGTGACGTGCAGGATCGGTATGGCGCTACCCCCCTGATCATGGCGGCGCGCAACGGTCATTTTGAGGCGATGCTCATACTATTGGGCGGACACTACGACGATCTGACTACGAGAGATGTCTTTGGACATGATGTCTTTTACTGGACAGCTCAGCATAGTGAAGAGGACCCCATGGTGGACCTTGTTCGGGGGTTTGCAACGGCCGTTGGCGCAGAAATGCCTGAAGGGCCGGATGCTGAGCAAAATATGGAGAAATTCACAGAGATAGGGTGTTTGTGCGATATATGTGGAAGATGCTTGACGTCTGCGTCTTCGGGATATCCGCAGGCTTCGGAATGTAAGCTGTGTAATGTTGGAGATGTTGGTTCGGGGTTTATATGCTGCTATGATTGTGTGGACAAGGGGCAGACGTGTAGAGATGGAGATCACGAGTTGGAATTGCATGATTGCAAGTGCGAAGACGAAGCAGAAAATGAAGCGGAAGAAGAAGAAGAAGAGGGAGAGGGAGAAGAAGCCGAAGAAGGTGAAGAAGAAGATGAAGGGGAAGAAGATGAAGGGGGAGAAGATGAAGGGGGAGAAGATGAAGACAAGGATACCGATGGTGACGATGAAGATGAAGATGATGAAAACGAAGACATGCGAGATACATAACTAGGTGATCCCAACTAATAGTATATTAAAGTTGGCCATGTACTTTTATAACATTCGCGAAACACTGCCCCAAGTAGGTAGTCTGCGCTAATTCTTGTCAATATTTTATAAAACAGACGGCAATCGAAACATTATTCCGCCGTCGACCACCATTGTAGTACCGTTAGTATACGCACCCGCCTTTGAAGCCAAGTACAGAATCGTTCCACCCATGTCTTGTTCATTTCCTAGACGTCGAAGAGGAAATGCTCTTGGTAGCTTCTTCAGCGTCCCATCCGGATTCTTGAACACTTCTAAGCTTGGGGAAACCAGATCACTTGGAAAGACTATAAAGGAAAATTAGCGGCCGGTGACCATGTAGACGCAGATACTTACAGCCTGGTGTAATGCAGTTGGCGCGCATCCCCCATTCCGGCAGAAGCGTTGCAAGCTGCTTGGCGAGATGTATACTTGCAGCTTTTGACTGTCCGTACGCAAAGCCGGCATCGCCTCGCTTGCTCAAGCCGGACGTGGAGCTAATGACAATAATCTGAGAACTTTGCGAGACATTTCCTTTTTTATTTCCGGCATCCAGTAGCGGCAAGCAGGCAATGCTAGTATACCAGGCGCCAGCAACATTCACATTGAATGGATTCATGTAATCCTTGATGCTGAAGCTCCAGTGACGAGCGGCAAAGTCTTCCACGGATGGGTGTCTGCCTTGGGCGAACATGGCCTCCCCTACGCCAATGGTACCGGAGTTGCAGATGAGTAGATTCAAATATCCTACGTTAGCCTTGATAGTCTGTACAGCCTTCTCTAGATCGTCTTTACTAGTGACATCGCACTGGAGAGGGATAATTTGGGGACCAATCTCTTTAGCTGCTGCTTCCAGCGGCTCGAGGCGTCGGGCAGCGATGTATACCTTGACGGCCCCATTCTGAGCAAGCGCCTTGGCCATCATTATTCCGATTCCTTGATACAATTTTAGTATTGGATATGGTATTTGTAGATCTGCTAACGTACCAGTGCCACCTCCGGTTATGAGAGCAACCAGGCCATCAACGTTGTATAGAGAGGCTGCGTTGAGTGACATAATGAATATTGAATGAGCTTTTAGCGTCTGGATATAAACTTGGTTGAAAACGAAATGCAGCTATGAAAATTGGTGTTATTTTAAATTATTTCAGAGACATCTCTTGGTATGAATACTTCTCGGCGAGATGTGTTGGTTGAGAGCCTCGTCTTGGATCACATGACTGACGGCCGATCTCTCGCGTCGATTATGCTAGTAATAGCTATTAGATAGCTGACCAAGATAGGCATGATATATTATTGAATATTTTTATGCTTGACGAGCGTCTTATTGGGCTCCCACATGGCCCATGTAATTGTTCAACGCACGTCTGTCTCTTGAACGTGTTTTATTCGTACCCTTCATCTATCTGGGTCAGCACCGCGTAACCCTTCTCCTTGACTATAGCAGTGTCGATGACGAACGTTGCAATCAGCTTTGCAGGATGCTCGGCGCTATTGTTTTCGCCCACGGTGTGGTGGCAGCCGGGAAGCTCACGAAACGATTCGCCCACTTTGTATACTTGCGGGGGATTGCCATTCATGCCGCTCAGAATCTCGCCTTCTATTGTCATGCCCACGACGGTCGCACCGGAATGGCGATGTGGCGGAGTGTAGCCGTTGGGGAGATATGACACTTCAATGCCAATCAGCGACTTTCCCGGCGCATTGGTTAGCTCGTAGTCGTAGAGAACTTTGACCGTCTCTCGCGGGCGACTGTGTTAAAATATGTTAGCTAGCTCTGCTCAGTCTCGTGTGTCGTGGGTAAAGCATATACTTCTGTGGGGTTGCCATGGTGGTGAGTGTTGGATGGGAACAAAACGGGTTTGCAGAAAAGATGGAAATGCACACCTGCATGGTGACGGGAATGCCCAGCCTTTTAAATGAATTACGGTCTGCAGAAGGTAGTCTCGTGGTTCGGGGAAGGCACCACCTACGTAGCACATGTAGATCGGTGCATCCATCCACACACACACACCTGCAGGCACTTGGTCATTGGCCCAATTCAAGTTTTATTAGAATTATTATTAACAATTAGTCGTCTTTTTGTTTCGTACATCTTTCGTGATAACTTCAATCAATCACGGCATCTAGAGTGGGTTACATGTAAGACAAATTATGCTAGTGACTGATACACGCAATGTAGAAGGCGGAGCTGTTGTGCTTCTCACCAAGAATTCGTAATATTAATATATGGAAAATCTAAACTACTCTAGTCAAACCGTCTAAAGTGTCTATAAAATATATTTTGTCTCTTCAGGAGCCTCCGTTGCGCTGGATCGATTCCTTGAGCACAATCTCCAATACTCTAAACCAGCATCCACCGCCCTCGCCATGCACATGTACAATTTGTAAACCAGCGCTGTCTAGAAGATTTTTCCACTGCTCTTCACTTCGTTCCACGCCACCAAATGTCATCATGTTCACATCCGACCAGGCTGTTTGAATGTCAACACGTCCACGGGGCATCACGATCTCGGACACCAAAAGGCGCGAGACGTTAGGTGTCATGGCCGCCGCAAGATGCTGCAGAATTACAAGACAGTCGGAGTCTGGCCAATCATGCAGGCAGCGGTGAATATAATAAAAGAGAGCGCCTGAAAATATTAGTCCATGATGACTCTTGGGGGTAAATGGAGGGTATGTGCTTACCTTTGATGGGCTGTGGTTGGAAGAAATCATGCGCCATGCCTTCTACACCGGCAGGCAATGAGCCCGAAATCCCATCAATTACCTCCTTTTGATCTTGCATTATCATTTTGCCCTTGATATCTTGACAAGCCTCTCGGATGGCAAGCGTAGCCTGGCCAATGCCACTCCCGACATCTACCAGCAAAACAGTCTCATCGGTAGTATCCGCCTTGCTAAGCTCTGACTGGAAGGGGAATAGGCTGTAGGGAAGGGATGTTTGGGAAGACCGAGCCTGCATTGCATCATTGAAGTTCTTGAAGCGTTCTGGGTGCTGAAGAAGGAACTCAAACATGGATAGACCCTGCGTATCGTGGGCAAATGTATATGGGTTGTTAGACCGAGAACTAGGGTTGACATAGCCATTCTTCTTGAAGAACTCGGGCATTCTTGTGCTAGCGACGCAAATCTCGTCGAACCTAACAAAGACAACACATGATTAGCTAAACCAATTGGAATTATGAGTCTGAGTATTCGTACATCATTTTAAAGTTGCCTCGCACAGAGCCTTCCAGGTATACCAGGGAATTGGCTGTGTGCGTATACACCTCTGGCTGTGGTTCGGCAAAGAATGTAGGTACGACTAGTCGCATCAAGCGAACTGTGTATCGTTAGTCCCGAATCAGCCGTTTTATATGATTTGTGACTGACCAAGAAGAATTGGATCAGCGCCCGTCTTCGTAGCGAGTTCGGCTGCTGACATCTCACCACCGTCGACCGGTAAAGCATCAAAAACGCCCATTTCTAGGAGTGTTCGGACCGAGCTTGAACGGAGGCACTACTTGCAGGTACAGAGTCAGCACTCAATTACACCATTGTGTACTAGACTTAAGAATAGCACAGACCTCTTCATAGTGCAACATGACCATGTTTAATGGCCCGTAGATGACACTTTGCATCTGCTTCACATTTTCCATCATTGCCACTTGGCATTCGGAAATCTGGCCCACTGCTTCAAGGTCATCGGATGAAATGTTCTTTTCAAACGTAGCCGAGTACGCTTGCACAGAGTCTGTAAGAGCTTGGAGGTTGACTTTGATAGCATCGTGCTGGGCTATTATCTGCTTTCTGTCCATGGTTGCTGTTGCGTATGGTGATGACTTTGGCGTATCTTGGTGGCTTTGGAGTTTCCGACGGTGATGACGATGACAATTGGAGGGGCTAGTATCAGACCACGATCAAATGAAGGAAAGCTTCTACAGTATCCGTCTGCAGCAGCGTGTTTGTTTGCTTGCTTGCATCAAAGCTACCTAGCTAGCCAGCTAGCCAGCCACATCTGCACGTACACATGCCGGTAGAAAGGAACGCTTCCCGGTAAGACAAAGAGCAGATCGCAAGTGTGGCTTGCGAAAATGTCATTTGCCGCAATTACGGCAATTGTAGTGCGAACAAACTTTGACGGGCCGTCCCTTGATGGCTTTTGGCGTTCTGATTCAAAGTTGCATATACGAGGTAGCACATGTAAATGCATGTACATGCACGTCTGAAGGAATATTTGCATATGCTTGTTCAGCGCCGCCACCCCAGGTCGGGGCAGGGTTAGGGCCACCCTCGTGCAGAATTACACCCCGAGGGCGTCCCAACTCTGATCTGGCGCGGGAACTTATGCTGCATGACATGAAATAACCAAGACATTTGTTTCAGTCGCGGAACACAGCCGTTGCAATTGGTCATCGTTGTCAAGCCCGCGGTCAGCGGCTTACAGCGCCGATCTTTTTCAGCCGGTGGACGATGTCTCATCTCGGCCCATCTCGGGTACTATTTCCATGCATGTCTTGCTGTCCCGTTCAGCCTCAGGATCTCAGACACTTTGACAAACAAAAGAAACAGTACCGCTGATGCTACGTTGAAAGTTGGTGGCGTGTCTTCACCCACCACCACACACCCGTCTGTATTGGGGAAATGACGCATTACTCCACAGATGAAGGACAGATCTGGGATTGGTCCCATCTCTACTCAGTAAAGCTATAGTCAAGCTAGTGTGGAAGAACCGCAGCAGCCCTGGGCACTACCCTTGAAGGCTGGCAGCCTTACACAACCGCACTGTTCTGAACCCTCCTTGCCGCTATGAGGGAGCTTGTCTAGAGCTAAGGGCCTAGAGAGTCATGGGTGCTTTGGATTGTGAGCAAGTCTGAGCAAGTTTTAGTATGATGCCCTGCCTGTCAAGTATAATATCACAATCCGCTCCGCTTCCATCTCGATTCGTAGTTGTTCGTTTTAAAATTGATCTCTTCCACCGAACATCGATCGCTCCAGATATTTTTCGCAAAAAAGATGAAGTTTTCTTGTTTCATGCCCTTCATTGGGATACCCGGCACCTTGGCTCTTCACGTTGGTCAAATAATTCGAACATCCAGCGGACCAGTCCTCGGCCACACCGCGACTCATGAATCTAGTGTTTCTGCGTTTCTAGGCATTCCGTATGCACTGCCGCCTCTGGGAAAGAGAAGATTTATGCCACCAGAGAAATACCATGGGGACAAACTCATCAATGGAAGCCATATCGTAGGTCATTCTCTTATATCTTGACCCATTGGAGCTGATGCTCACTTTGCTTTCCGTAGGGATTCGCTTGTCCGGCAACCACACCCTTTGCTGCGGGTGATCATGACTTCAGCAAGTACGACGAAGCCCTCGCCAATCTGACTGCCCAAGGATATGCCACCCTTTCCGACCTATTCCAGCTTCACGACACCTTCGACGAGGACTGCCTCACTCTGAACGTCTGGGCACCTACTGGTGGTGAAGAAAACAAGGCCGTCATGATTTACATCTATGGTGGTGGATTCACCTATGGAAGCACGCAGAGCACCTTTTATGATGGACAGCATCTTGCAGCCGAACACGATGTCATTGTCGTTACCTTCAAGTAAGCATACATTCTGGACTGGGCAGAGCACTAGGTGTACTAAAGACTATTTGTCTAGCTACCGAGTTGGCCTTCTAGGATTCCACGGTGACCCAGAATCGACAAATCGCAACCCCGGATTCCTCGACCAGCGGCTTGCGATAGAGTGGGTGAGAGACAACATCGAAGCATTTGGTGGCGACTGCTCCCGACTCACACTGTTTGGTCAATCGGCTGGTGCTGCTTCCGTGGACCACTATGCATACGCCTATGCATCCGATCCTATCGTGTCTGGGCTGATTATGGAATCTGGTGCAGCCGGCTTTGGCAGAGCATTGCCACCGAACAATGCCGAAGCCTGGTACAATGTCTCGAATGCAGTTGGTTGCAGCCACACCGGAAGCGGTACAAACACCACTACCACACTGGAGTGTCTGCAGACAAAAGATGTCAAGGATCTGTATGCTGCCATTGGGCAAAACAGCTTCGGCCCAAGCGTGGATGGTATCACGGGCCTTGCCGACTATCCGGGGCTTTCAAAGGCAGGCAAGTTTGCCAAGCTGCCGCTGTTGATTGGCAATAACGATTTCGAGACTGGTGCATACATTCCCATCTCAGCTCTCCACGGCTCTACGCAATCCCATGAGGCCTGGGTGGCCTTCGCCAATTCGGAGTTTGCTTGTCCCGTCGGTGTCCGAGCCAATGTCAGCGTTTCTCACGAGTTGCCGGTATGGCGATACCGCTGGTTTGGAAACTTCCCTAACACCAGGCTCTACACAAACCCGGATAGCGGTGCCTGGCATAGCTCCGAAATACCCTTTATTTGGAACACTCTTCCAGTTGGCCCAGGAATTCCTGAAGATACCAAAGAGGAGATTTCTATTCGAAAGTATATGTCAGGAGCATGGGCAGCTTTCGCCAAATCCCCAGAAGACGGTCTGAACGATTACAGAGATGGATGGCCAGAGTTTACGCCGCTTGCACCAACACTGATTAGATTGGCTTACAATAATGTGACGGGAACGAATGTCGCATTCTCCGGCATGTATGACAACGTTTGTCTTTAGCATAATCACATTGCAACTCTCAAAGCAACCTTAGAATAGCAATCAAAGTGAATGCAAGAACTTTTGAAAGACAAAAAACATCAATTGTGACTTTTGTGCAACAGCGATTACAGCAATAGCCATACCAAGTGTATTCTCCCGCTTTCTTTCATGGGTGCTAAATTACCCTATCCTGGTTATTGTACCGTGTTCTTCAGTGACATGATATCCCAACCCTTGAATTTTTGGAGTTGCACGAAAGATGCTCTGCAGACATACTCTTCAGCCCATGTCTCAATTCGGCAGATGGGAGTTTCTATATGCGGCCACGGCCAGTGTAGTTTTTGTTGGTCTCTTTATTTTTTTTATGGAGCTGAGAATATCGGCTTCCAACAACGTAGCCCAAGAAGGGCTTGAGACAGTGGTCTCAGTCGCTGTCACATCTTGCCGTATATTGCGGAGGCGTTAGCCGTGCCGTTTTTTCATTGGCCTAAGGCAGTAGGATTCATTGGTATTCTTACTGTATCAGGGTGTTATCAGGGGAGATCTTGTCTCTCTTTTGGGAAGGATGTGCTTCAGCCACTGCGCATCACACATACAATAACGACCAGATGGGCAAACAGTGGCTGCAGCACCCCCCGTCCCGGCCACTGTGTATGTATGAATGCATGTAGGTAACTGTATCCGGTCCTTGGCTGTCTGCACCTTGGGGCCATTCAGTATTAAGCACGGTAGCGGGGGACTGCAGCCATCCCGTGTCCCGTGTCTCATCGAAAGACAACTTGTCGATGACAGGCAGCCTGACCGACTTGGAGGCGTAGTCTGGTATACTGCTGCGCCGACAAATACAACTATATAAACTCGTGAACATTGGCCCAAGAATTGGATGTTTCTGGCAAGCAACTCTCTTTGCAACCCTGAAGATGCGTTTCATCAAACAATTTGTCCCTGCTGTGGCTGCTCTGACCGCGATGATGGTCGGGGCAGCCTCTGCCGTTTCTCACGGCGAAGGCTTCGTCCCAGAGGCTGTTCTTCGCGTTACCATGGAAGAACGAAAGCAATCTTGTGTTCCTTCCAAGGAAATTTTGGTAGTCAATGGCACCAGCCCAGGTCCTGCCCTTGTGTTCAAGGAGGGCAGAACCATTTGGATTCGGGTTTACAATGATATGCATCACGAAAACCTTACCATGGTACGTTTTGATTCGCCAATTGCCTATACACACTATTGGTATTCCCGCGCTAACCTGGATTCAGCATTGGCATGGCCTGACAATGGCAACAGCCCCCTTCTCTGACGGAACTCCCAATGCTGCTCAATGGCCCATTCCTCCCGGTTACTTCTTCGATTATGAGCTTTTTGTCCCCTTTGGCATGGCAGGTACCTACTTTTACCATTCCCATGTTGGATTCCAGGCGACCTCTGCTACAGGTCCTTTGATTGTCAGTAAACTGCTGTCTGGCACTGTCGTGTTATGTTCTATTGTGCTAATGCGCCCCAGATCGACGACTCCCATGAAAAGCCTCACCACTATGATGACGAACGTATTCTCTTTATCCAGGATGTCTTTCCAGATACCGACGAGTTTATTGAGAAAGCGTTGCTGGCAGTCCCCATGGAATATGAAAGGGCACAAGAAATGGTGCTTATCAACGGCAAAGGAGCTGGTCTCACCAGTCCAGGCCCGGCATGCAATGATACATTGACGGTGATTGATGTCGAACCTGGACAAACCTACCGCATGAGACTGATTGGTGGCACTGCGTTGTCTTTTGATATGCTGGCTATCGAGGGCCACGAGGATCTTCAGGTGATCGAGGCTGATGGGTATGTGTTATGAACTTTATGCCCATGATATATGACTAACAAGTGCAATAGAGCCTACACTGAGGCGCACAACACTTCATTCATGCAAGTCAGCCCTGGTCAAAGATTTAGCTTCCTTCTTCATACTCTTGAAAAGCCCAAGAAACAGCACTACTTCTTGCAGTTGGAAAGCCGCGAATTCGGAGGTCTCACTCGATCATACGCGGTCATCAACTACGGTCCTGAATCTGGAGAACACACCAAGGTCTATCCACCGGCAACACCTCCTCTCACTCTGCCTCCCACGGACCCCAACTGGCTAGAGTACCAGCTTCGCCCTCTCAACAGCACAGAATTCCCCATCTCATCTCTTTCTGCCAAGCATTTCCCTACTGCAGAAGAAGTGACGCGCCGTGTCAACATCACATCTCATCTTGAGATCCCCGGTGGTGGTCTTCTTTACAAGATCAACGGCTACACCTGGAATGAAGGCCTTGTACCTGAGCCCTACCTTGTCACTCTCTATAAGGATGGTGGTTCCAACTGGCCCTCTATGGAGCGCGCTCTTAAGAATGATGGTTTGGACCCTAAGGTCTATGCCTTCCCGGCTCTCATTGGTGAGGTTCTTGAGATTGTTGTACAAGGCACCGGTTCCGAAGGTGGTGGAACGGAGACGCACCCATGGCACGCTCACGGTGCTCACTACTGGGATTTGGGTGCTGGCGAGGGTGTTTACGATCGCGAGGCAAATGAGGCAAAGTGGAGGAACTCGCCTGGACATCCCATCAAGAGAGAGTAAGTTTATCCCTACTAGAACCCTAACCCTATCTTGAGACGAAGTGACATGCTCGCCACTCGGGCTTTTCCTGGTCAATGGGAGCGCTGGGACTAATTGCCTCAATAGTACGACCAATCTTTTCATGTATAGTGGAAAGGCCAAGAACAACACCCTATCGGCATGGAGAGCTTGGAGAGTGAGAATCGATACCCCGGGAGTCTGGATGATTCATTGCCATCTCTTACCTCATATGGTGTGGGGTATGCAAACTGTAAGTCGTCCATTTTTTTTGTCTTTGTCGAGGAGAGGTTACTAATGCGAATATTACTATTGCAGGCTTGGGTTATGGGCAACCAGTCTCAAGTACTTGGCTTGATCGACAGACCCGGTGTTGAAGGCTATCTCACCTACGGAGGAAGTGTTGTTGGAAATACCACCAACCCACCAGATGTGATTGAGTTCTTCTCTCTCGATGAATGGGAGGGTGGCGATATTCCCCGCGAGAACCCGGATTCGAAGAAAGAAGTCTAATTTCGACAAGGAAATAGCCTTTTACAGGCTAGCGTTTGTTAGCCAGCCAGTCAGTCTGAGAATAGTGAATTGAAACGGGGCCATGTTACGGGGCCTCCGCTCAGATCAATATACCTACCTCAGAAACATTTGTCATTACAGCTATCCCTTATTTGTTTTGCAGTACTACCGTGTTGGGCCAAGATTCCTTATAGAGAGGCCGCATCAAAACAGAAACCAACAATCAACGTAGATATTGCGTTCGGCATTGCCTATTTTGGTTCTGCTTGCGGTCTGGGATATAACACGGCATTGTATTCCTAGCCAAGTCAAGCACATTTATACCACCAACTATTATAAACCGAAAATGTTATATTCCAATATGTATATTCAAAAGAGCCATTTCAAGATGGAGGAGTCGCAACGACTTGACTCGGCTGAGGAAAACACGTATGCAGAGGACATCCTAATCGCCCAACGCTATTGTAACTCAGTATTGGGGTAATACAAATACAATAGCGACAATATATTTGCTTTGTTCAGTCATTTTGTAACGGGCTAGGCCCGTGGAGGTCTCGGGTAGCCCTCGACCATCTGTCACGTAGCTGTCTAGGTAGTATGAGAAAAGTTCGCTAAACATAATGCTATTGTTGACTGTTCTATATATGAGATAGAAAAAAGACAATAAACTTGAAGGAGGACAAATCCCTTTCCTCCTTCCACAGTTCACTTCTCTATTTATATACAAGGTTGTTGTGGTTCTGCCAGCTGGCGGCTTTCTTTTGCCAGCTGGCAAACACTTGTTGTTGAAACTTCTCTATTGGCCAGCTAGCAAGCGAACACGTTGCGTAGCAACTATTTCGACATTGTAACTGTCGTAAGTGTTGTGACCGATGGACCATAGAGCGATCCAGCAGGTCGTGACACCATCTAGGCAAGGGACCCTTGTAAGTCATATAAAAGGCTATTCCAGCTAGGTGCAATAGCCCCTTTTCCGATCCCTTCTTCTTCATCTTCGGATACTCGTAGTAGTCGCTCAGCTAGTTGTCAATATACTCAGTTGAGACCGTTACACATTACTTCTTTCATGAGTTCAACATGTATTACACCCTGGAAATGATGTAGTAAACCTCATGCACCATAGATACATGAAAAAGTTAGACGAAACAAGCTTGGATCAATTTATGTATCTCAACATACCGTCACCCAACTCTGTACCTTTGCGAAAATGCTGGCTTGGACAAAGGCTACCTCAAAGAGAACAAATTAGAGTGGCCTGGAAGATATGGACCGCTACTCCACCTGCAAGCCTAACTTTTGCTTCTGAATTCTCGGAAATACGCCAACGACAATGAGAACAGCCGCAAAGACTGCTACCCACGATGGAATCCCCAGCACTGCTGTATTATACCCCGTCAATGTAGCTGTAAACACCGTCGTAAGGAGCATCACAAGGATCAAGTATCCAAGATAGCGATGATACTTGTAAAGTGATTTCGCTCGATCCTCACCACCATAGAGCGACGGCGTCATCCACATTGTGAAGCCGACCACATACTGCGCTGTGAGCACAAGCAGGGTCAGTCCACCACAAATTGAGTGCGTAGAGGGGAAGTGATCCGATTGCAACTGGGCCACGGTGACTTCGACAATGGTAAACCCAATGACAAGCGCCAAGAAGGCGAAAAGGTTGAGAGCGGCATGAATTTGCTGGCCCCGGCGTTTGCTGTCGCCGTCTTCAGGTGTGATAGGTTGCTGAACGAGCACGGATTGTGTGAGAATGAAGATGGCAATGGACATGGCAAGTGGATGGCCCGAAAAGAAGGCGAAGGGAATAGAGAAAATGTGTGCCCAGATGGTAGTGCAGAGGATCAGGACGCCTATTTCGGCGATGATGCCGGTTTTTGCAAAGAGGTATCTGAGGATGTCTGCCCTCTCAGAGAAATCAGGCCTTCCAAGAAGCGGTTGCCTCTCGGATTCATGGTTAGGCTCAAATATCTGAGACTGCTCGGGAAGATTAGATGAGCTTGCCATTGTAGCTTTAACAAGAGAATAGTTCTCGTTATCGTGGACGAGGTGTTGTTAATTTGTTATGGGGGGGCGACGGGAGGAACAGAATGTGCCCTCTTTCATGGTTCTCGATATCGAGACAAAACCTGGGGCAATTCCGTTTCCTCCAATGACTGACATTGCAAATGTAAACCGGCGATCACTGCCGTGAGTGGGCTTGTTGTCTCGACTGCTGTCCCGTTCGATAGTGTGGCGTATGCAGCTTGCCGTCAGCTAAGCCTAACGCCGATGAGCTGGGATTATTTATGCAATGGAGCTGCATGCATACCGAGAAATTCTTTTTTTTTGATACAGGGCGTGAAAGATTCAGTTGACGCCCCCTTCAAAACACACTACCCTGGGGTGTATTTCTCGTGCTTCTCTCCATTTTGAGCAAACATGTCTCATCGGATGCATGTTCCCGGTTCCGCAATTACCCGCGACTAGGGTAATGATACGCTTGCCGAAAAAAGAAATCAAACAAGGCGGCAATTCGGAGTGTAAATACCTCTTCGGGGGTTTCAACTAGCGTGCGTCTTGCACAGTGTCTATTCATGTCTCTTCCTTCAGAATCTACCGCTCGAACGAAAATCACTTCTCTCTCGAAAATGTCGACTGCATATGTGCCCCCCTCAGAAATCAATGCCTTGGTGGAAAGCATCAACAAGGCCGCTGCCAATTTTGAAACAGCCGCCATATCTCAAGGCGATGTACACCTTGCTCGGAAAAGGCTTCAATATGAGGCTCACAAACTTTTAAGCTCTTTGGAGGAACCAAATGACGAAGTGTGGTCTCGAACTTTCCAAGTACGTGTACAGCTTTTAAATAGAGTGGGTTGTGGAAACTAACTAACGCGTTGCTACAGGTCAATGTCAGTGCCTCCCTCGAAGTCGTATCCCAGCTCAAGCTATGGGAAAAATTCGAAGGCGGAAAATCAGTTGCTCTCTCGGATATTGTGGCATCCACGGAGGCAGATGAAATAATCATCAGTGGGAATTTCCATATTTGTGTTGCGTGTATATGGCTTGTTGCTAACATTAGTTGCAGTTCGTCTATTTCGTCAACTCACTGCGGCCCATCTGTTTGCCGAAGATATTGGACCTAATGGCCCTACATTCACTCTCACTGCCCTCGGTCGACCATATTTACATCCTGATCACCGCGCATTCAACAACTTCATGTTCTTCGATCTTATACCCTCCATAATGGCCATGCCAAAGACTCTGGCGGAGAAGGGGTACAAGGCAGCCACAAAGTCGACGGGGACACCGTTTGAATGGGCTCATGGCGAAGAGCTCTGGACTTGGATAGGCGCTCGTCCTGATCGAGCAGCTAACATGGTTGCTGCAATGACGTCACACAACGCCCTGAATGCCTATCCATGGGGAGCCGAGCTCACGAAATTGGGCCTTGAAGACCAAGATGTAGCGGTTGTGGATGTTGCTGGCGGTCAAGGTCATATCAGTAAGCTATCCTTTCGTGTTCCCCACCTATATATATGTGTCAATACTGGTTACAAGCACCACTATGACCATTTGTATCATCATATTTGCTCACATTGGACATATATACTAATGTGTGCTCGCTATAGTGTCTGAGGTACGCCGAAACAATCCACAAATTAAGGGACGGTTTATTGTTCAAGATTTGCCTTCTACGTACGAAGCATTCCCTACACCACCAGCCGGTATAGAGTTTATGGGTTATGACATCTTCACTCCCCAGTCAGTCAAAGGTGCTTACTTTTATCATTATCGTCACATCTTCCATAACTGGAGCGATGACGACTGCACCACTATTCTAGAGCAGATTGTGCCACTACTCAAAACGCAGCCACAGAGTAAACTATTACTAGTGGATGTGGTGCTACCAGATACCGATGCAACCATGCAAGATGCTATTATGGATATTTCCATGTATCCCATGGGAGGGCTGGAAAGGACGGAAAGCCAGTGGAAACTGCTGCTTGCACGGAGTGGTCTAGAAATCACGAAGATTTGGAGAGGAAGTGAGCCGGAAGCATGTATAGAGTGCAAAATAACCGAGTAGCACTACGATGCGTCGTTTATTTCAATCTGAATGCATTCATCTACCCTTTTATTTGATTTTACATGATGACACCCTGTGAAGCCACAAAAACCTTGGTTCGGTTCCCATGTGTATCGTCTCCGTTGTGCTCAACACACGGATATAGCAGTCAATTCTCATTCCCACATCCATGTTACCATAATTGACCAACCAGAAATGACAATAAACATTACCAGGATACCTATTCCTTGCTAAACTGCAGAACACGACTCGGCTCAACGATACCCGGAATATCGAGAAACGGCACAACCATCGAGCGACTGAGGAGAGGACACGTCTAAGACATTGTCTCGGGTCGCCACAAAGCACGGAACGTTTTTCATACTGTATACTTCGAGAGGCAGCCGCCATGGAGACATCAGCTGTCCATTCAGCGTGGCGGTCGGTATATGTCAACAACGAGCTGATGTTGCCACATCTTTGTCTTGGAACTACTAAAACATTCGACGCCGTGTAACCATCAACAAGGCGCAAGACGTGTCTATGATGATGAACACAACCAATGCTTACTTTGTAAGCAAGTCTTAGACTCGGAGGATTCTAAGCCACCGCCCATTCCACGTTCCAAAGAATCAAGGCTCGCTAACGAGCCCAGTCCAGTGGTTCCCGACTCGGCTAGGGGTTTATGGAAAAAGAAAGTAAATTTGTAGACCGTGGTAATATCTCATTTCCGAACTCATACTGTGTCATCCCCGCGTATCCCTTACAATATCGCCTCTCTGAAAACTGGTAGAGAGAGCATTATTTGTTACAAATAGACTCTTCGTCTCCCAACCTAGTAATCAGACAAGCAAGCGCACCATGTCAACTTCAAGTGTTTCATCTCAAGATTCCAGCATGACGGCCACCGATGATCCATACATTGGCGAGAACACGCGGCTGCTGCCAAAACCAGCGCAGGATCGGAAGAGCTCCCCCCAGTACGCCACCGGTAACAAAATATTCGGCTTATGGCAACTAGGAGCCCTTGTAGGTAAGTGATAGTTCTTGAATCACGGTTTATTCCATATTTCCTAACGTTTGGAAGGCATATTGTTGGCATACGCGGATACATCTCTTGTATGGGCGACTCACGAGACGATCGCATCCCGGTTTGATGCGCTACAAAACTCCTCATGGATGATGACTGCCTTTACAATAGGCTACTTTGTAACATTGCCAATGGTTGGTCTTCTTACTCTTCCCCTGTCAGCTAGGTATACTAACAAGTCTCTCATAGTACAAAAGATTATGCGACACTTTTGGCAATCTTAAGGCTCTTCTGGTGGCTTACAGCACATTTTGTGTTGGTAGCACTCTGTGGTACGTGGCAATCTCCACCTTTAGAACTATCATTATACTGAAAATTCCAAAAGTGGAATTGGTCAAACATATTGGCAAGTTATCCTCGGCAGGATTATCACTGGCTTCGGAGCCTCGGGGATGGTCTCTTTGGCGTCCGTCATCATTGCGGGTAAGATAGTTTTACGTGACAGCCGCTATTAGTTGAAATTAAAAAAAAGGCTAACGGAAATGATGGCCAGAGATCTCCGAGCCAGCCGATGTCGCGGTTCTACGAAGCTATGTCAACATAGCCTCGACCATTGGGCTTTCTGGCGGCGGTCCTCTCGGTGGCTATCTTGCGCAAGCCATCGGCTGGAGATGGTAATAATATCCACGAACCCTTCATTGAGAGTCTTATTAACTTTTGTTTTGCAGGCTGTTTCTTGGACAGGTCCCCATTGCAATTGCATGTGGTGCGCTCATCGCAAGTGTTCTCTTGCCTAAACCACAAGAACGCGAGAATGAACGACGACAAGAACTCGAAGAGGAAAACACACAGCACCTGGCATTTGATTTCCCCGGCGCTGTCACCTTGGCGATAGCAACAGCATCTCTTTTGGCGGCGTTCGATTTACACAATTCTCACTCATGTGAAGACGCGATTGTCTATGCACTCCTGCTGGTCGGCGCGCTCTCCGCGATCGCGTTTCTTTTGTTTGAGACGTTTCCAGGAAACAGGGAGCTGCTGATGCCTTTGCGGCTCCTACGAACAGAGATTGGTGCATTTTGCGCTGGACAGGTACTTGAAATTCCAATAGTCTATAGCCGTACCACTTCTCTATGCTAACCATAGTCTCCGATCTAGTTGCTTATAGTCGCCAGCGGCTACGGGGTAAGCGATCCTGTCTTTTTTGCAGTTTTTTTCACTAACAATAATCATTGCAGTTTGTCTCCCAAATACCGCCATACTTTGCCAATACACAGGGGGCCTCAGATGCGGAGGGAGGCGAGCGAACCATTCCCTTTAGCATCGGTAATGCTGTTGGTGCGCTGCTTGCTGGACAAGTGATCAAAAGGTAAGGCAGATTAGTCACCAATTTATTCCATTCCAATATTTATCTTTGACTCACATGCACTTGCAGACTGGGATATTACAAAAGGCTCTCCATCATCTCCCTCTTCTTTTGCATCGCCAACATGCTGGTCATTCTACTGCGATGGTCCTATTCTATCGGTACGTACAGCCTCTCGTCTCCGTTACCCTACGATCTCTTCAGAATAATACGGACTAACTAATGCTGTAAATTCATAGATGCCTGGGGATCGGTTCTCACCACGTTTCCATTCGGGTTTTTCGGCGGAGTAATCCTCTCAGCACAATTTGTCGGCCTCTACCACCGCTCGTCCACAAACGATATAGTCACAGCCATCAGTATGTACTACATGAGCCAGCAAGTCGGCATTGCCTTGGGAATCAGTTTCAGCTCGGGGCTCCTCAGACGTCAGCTCAAAATCACCCTGTACAAAGTCATGGCAGACATTCCGGGATCTACAGAGGTTAGTTCTGCGGGTTAGACTGCTTAAAACCGGTGCTTTACTAACCATGAAGCCAAATCAGATCATAAAAAGCATTTTAGAGGATTCTTCGGCCCTTATAGAATTCCCAGAGAATATCCAGTTGCTCGCGCGACAGGCATACCTCGGCAGCTTCTGGGTTGTACCGGGTACGTTGGTTTTGACCTGTTGGAGATAATGACATACTAACAGTCTCCCAGTGCTAGCTCTTTCAGCCCAGCTACTGACGATTCTACCCGTCATTTCTACCATCGAACATGTGCTTGATTTTTCCGCGAAGGGCATTACGGTGAGCGCCGAGCACTGAGTGCCTCTTTGACTGTACTCCAAAAAGGGAACCCGGGTATCCAACACCAGCTATCCAGTAGCGGTATTTATAATAGTACAAGTTTCGTGTTATGTTTTTGTTTAAAGTTATTATAGGCTATAGTTCTTAAAGTGTTGCTGGTCGGCCAAACATCCGTCGCTTGTACGAGTTCCAGTCTGCTGGTCGGACTGCAAGACCTTAGAGCAAAGAAAATATATTTTGACTATTTTACTAATACTTGAGGGAATATGTTGGTAAAGATTAGCGAGTAGAATACCAGAGACTCTATTATTGACTATCTATCTATCACCGGTGGACTTGGCCGCTGGTCGCGATCAAAGCTATTTACCGTTTTGTGCCTGGAGACGCTCCTCTCTTTGCTGACGACCTTCACTCTCTGGGTCATAAAATGCTGTTGCAGTGTAAGCTGGTGATTTGTTGATATGTATTTTGCCTAACTTACGTTTTTCTCCAAAGACTGTGGTCCTGATACCTCTTCGCTTGCCTGTTGCGTAGTGGCCTGGAATGATGCGATGAAGGCAGGTTCTCTATGCCCTTGTTAGTACTGGACCGCTTCTGTATCGGCTTCGTAGTAGTCCTTACATTGTCCCAGAGCGCGATACTGCCCACTTGCCATTTCCATCGGACATAATGGTCGTCTGAGCTATGAATTAACAAGTTCAGGAACTGCAGAAGAGCATCAGACTCTGCCTTTTTGAGTTCGGCAAATCCTGTGCAATACGCAAGATTGACATTGAGGGACTTGAGGCCGGTGACGGGATGCGTGCGGATCGCAGGGTGGTGGGTGTCAATGGGCGGGCGACGGGGTTCGTCACCAAAGTAATCCTGGAGAGAGATAGAGTTAACCAATGCCATTTTGACTCTGATTCTGGCTACCAGAAACGAAAGTTGTCCTTACAATGGTTGTCTCGTATTGCAAACGAGAAGTATGCACGGCGTGTAAACCTTCCAGGAGCTTTTGCATCGAAGGGCTAAGCTCATCATAGAGGCCGTATCCGGATACCCACGCCGTGTCGCCGCCAACGTCGGGACATTCCTCCATGCGAAGAAGAGAATAACTAGGAGCTGTTTGGCCTTGTTAGAGAGTATTCTTCACGAAATAAGATGGAATTCATACGGTTAAGTTCGAAGCTTGTATCAGAATGAAAGTCATTCATTGGCCATGGTGTGTATTGCAGAAGGGTGCGCCAATCCGCATTGTTTCCGCCGACAATAAAATGTTTTGTATCCTACAAAAGGTTAGAAATAGTCGCATTGATTGTGTGTGAAGTAAGGACCTTTTGCGTAGGATGAACATCTAGCACTCCAAAGTGTTCAAAGATTTCAACTTGGCGCTCCGTTGTCAGGTCCTGGTCTCGGAAAAAGACTACACCTCGTTCGTTGACGAGGGCAGCAAGCTCATCCAACTGCTTCTCATTCAATTGACTCAATTGAACATTCTTGAGCTCGGTACCTGCGATTTGGTCAGCTTGCCATATCGACCATTACCAAAAGAAGCATTTATATACCAATGCTCTCAGTCACATCGACGGGCGTAGCAACAGAGAAGAGGGACTCTTTGTTTGGATCGGCAAACGAGCCCCGATCTTTTGGAGGTGTGAATTCCTCGTGATGAGGCTCTGGGGGAACATGATCCTTAATCTTGGGATTATAATTGGGGTGGATTGTAGTTGGCAGCCCAGAAGCCGGGGAAATGTGCTTGTAAGCTTCCAAAGACTTGATTGGGGCAGGACGGATTTTCGCCATTTTGATGATGTCGATTATTTGCTATTCTTGGGGAAAAGGCGGATATGAAAATAGATTTTGTTGAAAATATTTTGTGTGTTTTTGGAATCACCAGAGATATTGACTCGATTGCCGATGCACTGTTGATAGAGAAGGAGAAGATTTATGAGCTTATTCAGCCTGACGTAGTACCAACGCTTCGAAGGCGCGTTAGCTAAAGCCTCTGAATCAAGTGAAAATATGTCAACGGTCCCGATATTGCATTGCCCAGAATATCCCTGGAGTGGCTTGCAATTCCCGCATCATGCAGGACAAGAAACTGAACTCTGCATGCATGACGTCTCTTGACGTGTCAATGACAGCCAACTAGTAGGAAACAAACACGTTGCTTAGCCATTGGATTATAATATCTGTGGCCTGTATCACTACATGTACACCTTGAGACACAATATACGCGTGCATCGGAAGCGAGACATGCACAAGCACCACGCCCATGAAGGATCTGTGTTTGTACTCCAGGTACCCTTGTCGCACCAAATGTGATTATGTCTGTCTTGCTTTGAAAGTAGCAGGATCTGCTTCAGGCATTGCCGATTTTCGGGATAATATCCCGAAAACCGATGAACACGGTGGCGACAACGAGAGAGGAATGGCTTCCGAGCTCGGGGGAAACCAAGATGTCTCTGTTGGTTAGTTGATGATCGCGATGATGATGACGATGACAAACATGAATTATATTTCTTCAATTATTTCGATATGTCTAATTTATGTGTATTATTGGACTAACACTGGCCGCCCATGCGCCAGTATTCCATACCGGACAAGTCCATAACCTCCACGCCGTCCTTGTTCTGCCAATCGTCGCCAAAGAACTTCTTGCGGGCATCAAGCTTGGAAATCTTTCCATTGACCGTCAAGGAAATCTCTTCACCAGCCTGAAGCCAGTAAATGACTGTAGGGATCTTGAACAGCATAAGACTCGAGCTGTCTTCCAGATCTTTCCGGAGAGCCTCTAGGCTTGGTGGCTTTGATGGATGATCTGGCTTGAGTTGCAGAATGGCAGCAGTGCGCTCCTTATGTTCCTTGTCAGGCAAAGGCAGGACAACAGCGTTGGCAATGTAGGGTAGCGATAGAAGCGCCGTTTCCACCTCGCCGGTGAAGATGGTGAAGCCCCAGAAATGCAATACTGTAATACGAGTTAGCAAAAGTGTTCGAATTTGACAAGGGGTGTATTTCCAAACCATCAATATTAGCACGGCCATGGAGAGTATAGCTGTTTCCATTTAGCGTGGCACAGTCGCCACTCTTGAAGAAGCCGTCTTCATCAAACGCCTTTTCGGTCAGAGTTGTGTCATCTGAGATATATCTAAAGCTTGTTTAGCATTCATCGCCAAACTATGACCAAGACTAAATCCATACTTTGTGAACAGCGTGGGTGCTTTCAATCGCATTTCTCCATCGACGAGCTTGACCTCAACGCCAGGCACGGCTGGTCCAATGGAGCACTATTTAATGGTCAGTAACCTGTTCAAGAGCGTATCAGTGTTAATATATCACCATATCGGGGTAGTCTGGATTCTCCCAGCTCATGCTGCAAATCAGCGTCATTTCTGTTGATCCGTATAGGTTCAGGAGCGGTTTGCCACGGCGGAGCTCTGTCCATCTCTTCTGTGTATGTGGCGAAAGCAGCGATCCGGAGACACCAGCGACTCTCACTTCAATCATTCCTTGGATATGTGCTTCTACCTCATCGGCAGGAAGTACAGCAATATGCTCGTCAAAGTAGTAGGCGAGTCTGTCATATCCAGTAGGCGCCACGTCGAATACGCTGACACCGCCTTCTTTGATACGTTGCCAGAACCATTTCGGCTCAAAGACTCCTGCGCATGTTTCCCTGTGTGTTGATACAGAAAGTTAATCGCTCGTTCTTTACAAAAAGTTGCAGGGTCATAACCCTAACCCTGTCGACACTTACAAGCAAGCTCCCGAGATTAAACTGGGCAAAATGCCAAAAATGCCGCCCATCCAGTTTCCTGGCTTTTGGTTGAGGAAGACATCATTCTTGGTCATTTTCCAGGTTTGAATGCGCTCCTTTGCTGATGCGAGGAGTGCGGCGTAGGAATGCAATACACCCTTCTGTTTGCCGGAGGTGCCAGAGGTGAAGAACAATGTACCATTTTGCGCGGCAATTTCGTCAGATGCTGGCTCTGTACCGTAGGTATGGGATTCCGATTTCTCGAGAGATGGAAGTCCGACACTGTAGAATGGGAGATGGGAGAAGGTGCCATTATCCTGTTCAGCACAGAGGGCCTTGACTGCTTCCACTTTCTCAGCAAGAGACGACGCATGCAAAAGAGCCTTGGGCTTTGCAACTCGGAAAAGGCGCAACACATCCTCTGGCTTAATAACAATAGCTATATGTGATTGTGAGCATAGGCTATCGGAACCGCGAAAAGGGCCGACTTACACTGCGCTGACATGACCCCGCCAAGGGAGAAAATTGTAAGCATAGAAGTTAAATATTCGAGTCCCGGAGCAGCTATGAGGTAGTAGAATTTGTTCTGACTAGCCGAAACGCCATTGGTGCCATTGGTGCTGACAGCGTTGGAGTTGACGCCATTGGAGGTCCCATTTTGTTGCTGTGAGGATTGTATCTGCTCACGAAGTGCAGCAACACTTTGCAGCAACTGACCAGCTGTAGCTGTCCTGTTGGAGTAATGGTCACGGACTATAATCTTGTCCGGAATCTCCTGCGCATGTTGAACAAGCTCTAGGAAGGGTGAGATGGCTGGGAAAGTAAAATGCATTTTGGCGTGAATGAGATTCTGTTCTGACGAGTAAAAACACTGTACGAACAAACAGACTGTAAGTAACGGGGGATGATGGAGACTCGGAAACAAGATTGAGAATTGAATGGAAATATTCCGTAACCACCATGAGGAACCACTTATGCTTTTCTCCAGCTTAACAAGCTCTTGAGCCAAAGAGCTTCGACATCGCAGTCACACAGCGGCACAATTACAGCACACTGCAGAACACACTGCAGCTTCCTGCAGCGCCATGCATCACTACCTGAGACATGGCGGCGCAGAGACACGGCAAGCAAAAAGGCACGGCTGTAGGCGACCGGGTATTATCTAGACACGACATTTTAGCAAACAAAACTTAATCAAGACACGGCACATGTACACCGGGGTGGATCGTTAGTCCCCTAGTCTGAGCCCCGGTCTAAGCAAACATTAGACGGCAGTCAAGACAATGGGGTCGCTTGTCCGGATGAAAACGGTCCAAGACTGCCTGCAGCAGTGACATTTTCCAAAAAGCCCGCCATGCGGCCCAAAAGAGCAACGATTCGCCGCCATATGCAGATCCGGTGTCCGTATTGTCCCGCCCGAGTATCTACCTGCCTGCCGTTGTCTTAAGACATTTCGGTAAAAAAAAGAGGCGAAGGAAGCTGAACTGGTCCTCTAGGATTAACCGCCAATCTCCAGTAGCTATCCGCTCAAGAAGGTTGCAACTTCACATGCATGCCATGCAACGCGGAGCCACTCCGCCGGAGTACGTGATGCAGGTCTCATTCGTCGCATGTTTTAACCTAAAGGATTCATGTTTGCTCTTTTTTTATCTTTTCGCGTCCATTGCCGAATTAGGTAAACTATCTAGACTGTATACGGACGGAGGAGATACACAAGGCCATCCCATACTCTCACCTCCCCTGGTGGACTAACGGCACGGTGCACAGGCGAATGTAACCGTCCACCCGATTTGGCAGCAAGCTCATCGGCAATATTGACCAAGACACACCCGTCTCTGACCGGGATCGTCTCCGCATCCTCTGTTTGCTTCCCATCCTGGTCGCGCAATGGTATCTGGGCCATGACCTTGTCGTACCAGAGCATCGTGATCAGACCGGTATCAGTATGCCACGGCTGCATAACTTGGCCGGGCTCATCCAGAGGAGACTTGTGTACTAGCTTAAGACCTGTGTCGCTGGGGACTGTAGGGTCGTCAGTCAGCTCGAGAGTGGTGATGTCAAGAGCAGCACATAGCTCCGCGAGAATCGTTTGCATGGCGCCATGAAAAAGATTCATTGTTTTGGTAATGCGCTCCTTTTGTGTCTCCAAGGACGAAGGTAAGACCCAGCTGCCGTTATAATACTCGTCTCGTGCAATCTATGGCGAATTAGTAGAGAGACAACCAGAGCAATATAACTACACTGACCTCGTAGTATTCGAAACCCTTGAAAACATGGTATCTACATTTTTGGGAAAACAGATTTGTTAGTGAGAGCACACATATACAACGTCCCCAGACTTTTGTCACATACCCTCTCTCCATTCCCTCACACAGACTTCGTGTCTTTTCTTCAGAGTCAGAAGGAAGATGGAAGAAATCTTGCCCAGTTTTGAAAAGGACTGGCACATTTTCAAACACAGCACTCGCCCTGGTATCCCAAAGTTTCAAGTAGAACAAACCTGCCGTCTCACAAGCTTCCACGAGCCTCTTAATCTCTCCAACATCTTTCGTTGCTAGAGCTTCGTAGTCAACTACGGCCAAGGAGGCCATCTTTTCGTTCAACTGCATGATGCCTGGGTGTCCTTGGAAGAATGAGTAGAGACAAGTGAGTAGCTCGCAAACAGTGGTAAGGAAACCCACAAGACAAGACGAAGGATTGTGGCCTTCATCAAACTTGCAACATATGCCGTCGTGGACCTCATAACGGATCAGATACCGTATCCTGTCTGACGAATCTCGCGGAAAATAGATACCCTCGCCTAACCCATGGTATCCCGCTGTCAACTCCAGCCGCAAGCCCCGCGGGGTTGAAGGATCGGCGGCCGAAGGAGCGACCTGCAGGTATGAGACCGGCAGCCAGCCATATGCATGCATTTCATTCCTCTTTATGCAGGTCTCGCATCGTCCCGCCTTGCGGCTTGGCTATCCATCTCCCGCTGTGGCCCGTCTGGGGTTATTGGGTAGACCGAAACGGGACGACAGTACACATGCGGTGCTCTGGGGGTGTGTGTTTTCCAGCCTGCAGGACTACGTGGGCCAGTATAATATGTGATGATAAGATTAGAGCGGGAAAGCACGTTATTGTTGGGTTTAAGAGGGTAAATAATTAAAAGAAATTTTGTAATGTATATTTTGGTATATTCTTTTGGTGGCAGAATCCACAGCTATGAGTGGCTGCCCAAGTTACCCGTCATAGATTTTTTGGGTTTAGATAGGGTCAAACCTTATTAAACAAGTCTGATCGATGGGTCTCGTAGAAATGCATTGGTCATATAGCTCCATACTAGCCTCCATTTCCGGAGCAATCTTGGTTCTGTAGCGAGAATAAAGTTTAGAGAGGAGGTACTTCATTTCGGCTGTGGCGAGACTAGAGGGCTTGTTAGTGACATGTGCGGATGTCTGAACAAGGCAAAGACTCACTGTCTACCGGTACATGACCGACTTCCGGCTCCAAATGAAAAGAATAGCCTATTCATTATCGGACTAACATTGGGCTCAAGCCACCGTTCGGGGATGAATTCGTCTCCTCGCTCAAAGATATTAGGGTTCAACTGGTGTAAACTCCAAGCCTGGCAACTGACAATAGTTCTACCTGGGATAAAGAACCCGTCGATCATGCGTCCAGACGATGGGACATAGCGTGGCTGTGACATGGGAATGGGCGGAAAGCACCTCAAGCCTTCCTTGACGACGGCGTCCAAATATCGTAATTCATGAGGTGGTCTGTTAGCATGGGACATGAGCTCAGTAATCAGCTTATTTTGAATGGAGCGACATGCAGGTAGTGACAGTTGGTACATCAAGAAGCACAGCGCATCACCAGTGGTGTCAATACCCGCGGCCAAATGGTTCATGCACTCTGCAGCAACTTCAAGTTGATTGAGCGGCACCTTGTCATTCTTGAGGGTGTGCGCCAGACTGTGGTCTCCGGAATCTGGCTGTGAACACGCTGTAATGACGTAGTCACCGATATTTGATGCAGAGTCGCTGTAAAAGATCCTCTCGATCCAGTATGTTAGAGTTGGCCACCGGTATCGACAAAGTTTTACTACCGCAATGTTAGAAGTCTTCTTAGTGGGGGGCAAGCGAGGAGAATTACTTCGCAGACTGTCACCGTATGAGTACTCTTTCATCAAGTCGATATCTCTTCCCTCGATGGATTTCGTCCCGTGGGGGTGGAGGAGATGGAATGTAGCGCAATCCATAGCAAAGCAGTGCAAATAATCCTACAATTTTGTTAGTACTTTCTATTATAACAAGAATCAAAATAGTACTCACGTATATGTCTATAGCCTGCCCATTTGCGGCTTCGCATTGTCTTATAAACTCATCGACCCGTTCCTGGATGCCACTGATAACGTCTGGATGCATAATATTGGTGTTGGCATATGATGCTGCGATGTAGCGCTTTCTCTGATCATGCTATGACGATCGTCAGTATCGTATTCACAGTTCGAGTAGTAACTAAGCTCACTTCTTGCTTTTCCAGGGTTGAGAATGTTGCCCTGCCATGGTTCAGTCAAAATTTCATCTGGAGCGTGACGTATTCTTGGCCAAATACCTGATACCGTATTGGATAAATAAATCGTAAAACTCGGTCTTGTCATATCCACTTCCACCGCTCTGGTATATCTCTCTCAAAGCTTCCACGGACGTGAAAGAGACCTCATTTGGTCCTAACCGGACAACAGGCCCAAACTCTTTGTGAAGTTCATGGATATACACTCGTCGGTGACCGGAGAATTCTTTGTACATGAGAAAAACATCAGAAAATAGGGAGTACCATGGTCCGGGTAGTTTTGAAAGCGGTGCCAACAGTGCTCGGTAAAAGAGTACGCCGAGCCCAGCAACACAAGTCGCACCGAGGCATACTGCCAAACGTACATAGGCCATACAAAAGATCTTTGTTCCGAGTTGTTTGATGAGTATAGTAGATAGTCAAGAGTTTAGACCATCAAATTTTGAGCAGAGACCACGCTGCAGTTTTGGATGTCCAAGTCCTGCTTGAGTATGGGAAGGTCGACTAGTCTTGCTAAGCAGTGACATGCTATAAAGACAAGGACTCAGCGGGTATTGCCAGGGAAATACCGACCGTCGCAGGGCTTCTTTCTCAACAAGGATCCATAGTAGCTGAATGTCTTGAGACATGCCTGGTTCTGTCTTTCCTCTATACATGTGTTCCCGAGATTATACCAACAATGCGGAGTAATATCCATCAATACACCCGCAGTACTTTGAAAACAATACTGCAGTCCTGCAGTCCTTGCAGTTGCGAGGCTGGGGCTTTTACTCCAAGCACACCTCGGCTTGTTGTTTGCATGCAGCACACACGCCTCGCTTGCTGCAGCTGAAACACGGCAACATCTGAACCTGGGCCGGAAATCTGCACCACTAAAAATGTCAAATCAAGCTGTCTTACCCGGAAGGATCTGTGTGTGGCTGCATATAGCCCCAGTTTGGTAGCATCTTGCGAGTGGATATGATGATAATCTTTCGTATAGGCGACCTATTTGCCGGCCGTGCAGCTGCTGCAGTCCCAGCTCGAGTCTTACAGGAACGGGGAATACAGGAAAACGGCGGTCAGTTATCCGATAGTGCGGCAGTGAGACATGAGGCCGCTTGTTGATACCAATTGCGAATGCTCTCGGTCTGTTTGAGCTGATACTTGACGTGGCAGCTTCGAGGCTTATGCGCACCTATGCCATACTCCTATTGAACCGTTATATTCAGGTTACGAGTAATATGGGAAGATGATGAGTCGACCGTCTTTTGCTCCCCGTCATTGCCTTGGTCTTCTGATGCCGAGTAATCAAATGTCGCTCCCAACCGACCTGTTACTCGTGACGTTCACGGCAACCCTCTCTTTATGCTTATACCTTCTTTTGCAAAGGTACCGATGGAGCCTTCGACGAACCCCCTCACATATTGTGAAGGCCATTTCTGCCAACAGAGATGCTGCTGCTTCGTCTTCTCTTTCCGAAGCTGACGCTCAGTCGTCCAAATTAAAACAAGACGATAAATATCAACAACTCTATTTCAAACTACACAACATCGAGGCACACCCTGAAGTGTTGACCGAAGGTCGAGATGTTTTGCTTTCGTTGCTTTCGGAAGCAATTACGGTCGCGCAACCAGAGCGCAGACAAGACATCTTTGCTATTGAACACTTCACCCGGGAACAGCTCTTCTCTCACACCAACAAATCCCACGAAATAATTGGAGACAAATACGAGCGATATGTTGAGGGCCGAGTAGCCGGTAATGGGCGATTGATGGCCACGGATCGACAACAGGCCGCCAAGATTCTCACGGCTCTGGCACCGCTCAAGCTCGTGGATGGTGCTTGGCTTGGTCATATTCACCAAATCCTCACTCCATTCGCTCTTCGGCCAATTACAAAGCAAGCCTGGCAGGTACTTTCGGAAGAGTTGGGAGATGGCAACCTTGAGCTCAACCATGTTCATCTCTTCAACAGGCTTTTGCAGGATGTTGGTGTCCATCTACCCGCACCTTACGAGCGAGACTTTATTGATCCCCGCCATGGTATGGACAGTGAACTTGTTTGGAGAGCTGCTGTAACGCAGCTCCTTGTCTCACTATATCCGCAAGAATTTCTACCCGAAATCCTGGGCTATAGTCTGCACTTTGAAGGGCTAAGCATGGAGACTATGGTCTTGTCTCGGGAGCTACAAGAACTCAAACTCGATGCCCAATACTTTTTGCTGCATGTGTCTATTGACAACGCGCACTCTGGTCATGCCATGATGACGGCTCATACCGTGGCAGAGTACATGGCTCACATCACACAGACGGAAACGCCAGCCGTGGCGAGCACGACATGGCGGCGCATCCAGGCAGGATATGCTCTCTCCGCCTATCAAGGCGACAGTATCCAGAAGCATCTGATTAGCAACAAGGATGCCATGAGCGGCCCAACCCCAGGGCTCTATGACTCAGACATTGTACGCATGTTGGTAGCAAAGGCAGCCGTTGGTCAAAAGATGCATAGCGCCTGTCACGCCCGGATCAAGGGCAAGCCATTAGCTCAATGGCTCGACCCAGAGGTTCTCCAGTCAGACGAGCGAGTCGTCCAGGAGTTGGGTAATGCGTATCCCTGGATTATTAAAGGCCGTCCCCAACACAGCCGACTGATCCGAGAAATACGCCGTGGAGGCAAGATGTTTGGGGCATTTACTGTTACTGAGACAAAGCTGCTTAATGACTGGATTCTTTCGCTCGGGTCCAATCTACCCGAAGCAGACGCATATTGGCAGTTTACCAACAGGCCTTTGGAAAACCAGCAGGATACCCCAGCGTTATATCTCGCCAACCCATACAAATGCGACCAGTCTCTGCAACCAGTTTGCCACCCACTGTACAGCTACATCAATATGTGCGATAGAGTGTTAGACTTGGACTTGTCCCAGGCCGACTGGACTCGGATTGCTGGTCTATGGTTTGCTCAGCTGTCACTGTTGGAAGGCTGCGTGGCCATCCCATCGCGAGCAGCCACGCCCATTGGAGCCGCCATAATCCGAATTCTACGGGCACAATATAGCCTCAGCTGTGAAGAAGACGGAGTTTCCGGAATGGACGAGATCCATCGAAGCAGCCCGCCTGATCTGGTAGCCATTGGCCTCGAGATTTCGTCTCGCAAGGGCCTGGTGCCTCTTCCCTCCTCGCTATCAGAAACACTGGCGCGGTGGCCATGCCCATCAGCAGAGCATTTGGTGAAGATGTCACGGCATCCTGTGCAAAACTGTGAGATTCTTCTCGGAATGACTGGTGCTTTTGTTCACTTGCAGCGGGCGGTTCTACATGCGCCAAGGTATCTTTCGGAACAGAGTAGAGCGGCCTTGGAGGAAATTATTGACCGTGAAGTACAAGGTCTACGAGCCGCATGTGAGTTGATTGAAGACGACGGGATGGAGCAACGAGCATTGAGCCGCGGGTATCAGTTGGCAGAAGAGATGATTCAAGAGGCTGTTGCGACGCCCTTGTAATTGAAACGTGTAGCTAGAACGGCAAATGCTATCATTGAGTATGGATATATTTACTCCGTACACACTTTACACTATGTAGCTCCAGCTTACATGTCAAAACATTTCTTCCTATTCTTGTTCGATATAGAAATTCCGGTAAACTTTACTTTTTGGCATCCTTTGTCCTTTGCATTATTTCGGAATAATAGATATTACCTAACTTATATATAACTTATACTTTTGAAATTCTGACCACGACGGAGCCGATGCCAGTTCCACTACCCCAAGCTCTATGGGCATCCCAAATCTGATCCAGCTCCCAGACCTTTCGAATGGGTACCTTAAATATGCCATGGAGGATCATGTACATCAGAGCCTTCAAGTTACCAATATAAGAAGCATCTTCTCGCGACAGTCCGTAAAAGGTTGTCCTTCTAGCAGACTGTCCGTTGCGAGCGAAGAGCTTCGCGACAGCCTCACCTGGGTCTCGGAGAGTGCCGCCTGCCAAAGAATCACCATTGGTGCCAAAGGCGACAAGGATGCCTGTTTCGGTTAATATGCTGTAACTTTCGTCGAAGCTCTCAAAGCCAAGAGCTTCAAAGACAGCGTCGGCGCCACCAAGGCTCGTCATGGCCTCCATCCATTTCTTGTCCGTATAGACAAAGGGATGGGCACCAACGGCGCGTATACTCTCATGATTGCGCTCGCTCGTTGTTCCGTATACTTCAGCCCCCTGCAACTTACGAAGGATCATCAGCCCTGTACCGACGCCGCCACTCATTCCATGAATGAAAACGCGCTGTCCGGCGGTGACACGGGCCGTTTCCGTAACCATGGCATATGCCGTGCTCCAATCGCAGACTAGGGCTGTGACCTGCTGGTGATCGAGTCCTTGTGGAATCTTGACACAATACGTTTCCGGCTGGTTGACGAATTCAGCTTGAGCGTCATACTTGGTGAGGACGGCTACGCTATCGCCAACCTGCAGCTCAGAACACACATCCCCGAACTTACTGACGGTCCCTACTAGGCAGTAACCCGGTGTAAGTGGTGCTCCGATTTGGTCGGGGTAAATCCCTTTGCGCATGCTGATGTCGCCACCAGTGAAGCCCGAGTACTCCGTCTTGATCTGCAAATACTGCGAAGGCGGAGGCGGGCAAGTAGTATAGATGATTTTGAGGACGTCAACATCTCCAAATTTGGTGATGACCACCTTGCGAGTAGACGTCATGGTTGCGGTTTGACAGTTGGCGTATAACAGAGTTTACAGGTAATTGAAATTAAATGAAAATGGAATAGGGATTGTCGAGACAATGGGTTATCTGAGACCGAGGTGACGCCGCTGTGAAGTGATCCGCGAGGAACTTGAGAATGCAAATAACAAGCAAAATCATGAAAAGTCCAAACGGATTAACAATGAAGAGACCACAATCTTCAGTTGTAGCACAAGTTAAAAGGGTTTCTCCTCAGAGTCTCATCCTATGTCGCGCTTGTCCGCCGCCAAGTTGCCCAACTCCGCAAAACCTCCGCCGCTCCGGATCGCGCCGGCGGGAGATCTCCGCCTCGATACGGAGTTATCCCTTCTTTTGCCTTTTTGGGACATTGCTGTAGTTCGCGTTTCGTCGAGCACCAGTACGGACCAGTACCACCATTGTGTTTTGATTCCAAGATTATTGTGTTAGCCGTTTCCCTGGTATGAAGTGTAGTTTGACCATGGTAGGGGTTGACTTGATTTGGCCATCGTTTTTGTTCCTTTAAAAGAATATCTCCTTTATATCAGCCTAAATGATGTAAATTCATCGCTTTCAGCTGTCTGAATATATTCTCCTTGCATGATTCCGTGAATGTAGGCCTCTCCAATAAAGCTCTTAAGCGTTTCTTTGAAGCCAGCTTGTTGGTTTCGTAGGATACATGGTACTTCTCCCCCATAGAAAATGCATACTAAATCTCCCTTTTCCGCCTTTTGTGGTGCTAGTCCAAACCGCCCATTCACCGTAGTGATGAATGTCCGTTTTGCACAGCGGCTAACGACGCAGTTGCTGTAGTCTTGAACGTCCTCTTGCCTCACCGACTCCGAAACCAATTGGCTGTCATGAGAGTGCTCCCTTCCTACCCAGGTATCAAAAATATGCTTTGTATTCCATTCGGCTTCCTCCTTGTTGAAATTCCTGTTTGCTATGAGTGTTCTGCAAAATGCTTCTTGGTAATCGTTGGCGAAGTTGGGAGAACCTGTTTCCTGGACGCTGTGAAGGTGCTTCTCCCAGCGTAGACAAGCCTTTTTTGTAGTCTCCAGTCGCTTTTTCCTAGCATTTTCCCTACCCTGTTCATCGGTGCCCGTATACACTGGCACTTCTGGAGTTTCCAAAGTCCCAACCTCGTCGACGTAATCAACAATATCGACAATAAACCCATGAGTAAGGAGGGTTTCTCCGTCGTCGGAAAACTCTAAAACTGGCTTATTGGTTTTATCTTTCCAAGATGACCAGCTATCGTCTGGTGGGTGAAAAGAGCCAGTTGTTGGAAAAGGACAAAATCCGAAGCCGACAAATGGCACACAGACAGCTCTTGAACCCCAATCAGGGCACCAAGACGGTAATTGAAGGGAATTAACCTTGTCTACCTGTCCTTGCTGTAATGGTAGAAGCCCAACCTCGCGAAAACAAACTTGTGTAGCCTCCAAGAATACCGCTCTGTCTGACATGACTCCCTCGTCATATTCAACTGTAATCTGCCCTCGAGATTGTCGACTGGTAAGTCCTACTAGCGCGTAGACCTTGTCTCTTGGACGGGAACATTGAAAGGAAGCCATATCCATGAGCCATGATTGAAGTGTTTCGCCAACCCAATCCTTCCAATTGGGCCACATCAAAGGTGCAAACGGACAATCGATCCAAACATTGCGAAGAGAGCGAAATCGGTCCAGCTCTGCCATCTGAAAATGCCAGTGCAGATTCCGAAGCACAACAAAATTGTCAAATGAAACCTCTTGTGCTCCGCACTTGACGATTGGATTGGGTGAGAGCATTGTTTCTTGAATAACCCATATTCGTTTCCACCAATCCCTCTTCAACAGATGTCTAAGTGCCGGCCACACTGGGGATGGATTCTCAGGGTCATGATCTTCGAAAAAACGACGGTCGGCAGTTAAAACGAATCTCATAGCCTCATCAGTGAGTTCGTCACTTTCGCCTATCCATAAAATTGTTTGGATATTCGCGTGGCGGTAAATTTCACTCATCATTTGGACTTGGTGGTTCTTCTCTGTGCTATCCGTTTGGTTGATACATATGGCATCAATCCAGATATTCACGCCCTTCTTTTCGGTTCGTAGCCTTTTTAGAACAACCCCCAAGTTGGCTGTGATGGTGGTGTCAAAGCCATTGATACTTATTGCGGTGCGATTGTTTTCATCGCCCCAGACATAAGACAATGCAGTGTAATCATCATCTAGTGTAGCAAGTCGAAGGTCTCCAGATAGCAAGGCGTTTTCATCTGCGCTGTCATGAAGAGACAATAGTCGAATCTCTCTTTGGGTGCTGTCCAACTGCGGACATGATGCGTATATACTATGTACTTTCTGCGTCATATTTTTATCTGTTGACTTGGTCAACATATTGCTGCTGCTGTGTATAATGTTTCCAACGCAGTTTTCGTATGCCACGTTGTGTATGCGGAGCCTACAGTAAACAATGCGGGGAAAAACGCCGCCACGGGAAGTAAAACGAAGACTAAACCCAAAATTACATATATTTTTTGATAATTATTTTAATCTAAAAAAGTAAGAATAATTTTAATAAGACAATTTGGTTTGTTTATCATGTACAGCTTCCATTTGTTTCTTATAGTATTCCAATATGAGCGATTCGGGCACCAAGTTCGCTACAGTAGGTTAGACAATACATACCCTTTACCCTGCACACCGAGTTATAAATTATTGCTCTTGTGTTATTGCGGGATTACGGCAGACAACTGCGGTTCTATTAGCAAAGACGGCATTTGTAGAACGCATCGCAACCTCTAACAACCTGCCTTTTATATTCTGCATTTCTTTTACTAATACTCTAACCAACATTACCGCGCATGACTTTGTGCAAGCGAAGTGAAGGCAAACTCAGCACCAAATACTATTGTCTAATTCCACGCTAGCGAAGCCGTTGCAGCCGCTCATCGCCAAGACAAATGGGCTGACAATGCCGAATTGCCGTGCGTGACAGTTTAGCGATCCCCACAAGCCTCCGAAAGCCTGAAACGAGATGGTAATGGAAATGTGTGCCTCCAATCGGCAGTGGTCAAGACAGCGATCTACACTGGAGTTGCGGGGGGCGAGCTGGACGTTTCGATGCTACCTTCTGTTTCGGGCTATCTTTCTCGATGTATTGAGCAGGGTCTTTTTGTATTTGCTGTAATACATCACATGTCTGACACTCGTAGTATAGACGGAATATTGATTGTTGTCTATCATTGCCGGATAGCATTGGTTAAGTATGCCGTAGCAATAATTGCCCAACTATATAAACAGCGCAATAATCCCACGCATCTCGGTTCATTCGACCAACCGCCAATTGCTCTTTTTATTCTCTTTCTGTATCGAACGCTGCCTCATCCGCTTTCACCATGATCGCAGCCGCTCTTCTCCCCCTGCTGGCCGCCATGGCCACTGCCTCTCCCGTGCAGCAGGAAGCCATGTTGCCCAAGCACTCTCTTCCCGCTATCCCCAGCGGCTGGGCGCTCAAGTCGGCTGCCCCAACGGATCTCAAGATCAACATGCAGATTGCCCTCAAGGAACAAAACCTTGACAAGCTCCAACAGCGCCTTTTACAAATTAGCACCCCGGACCATGCCGACTATGGAAAGCACATGACCCGCGCTGAGGTTGAGGCCATGACAGCCCCCTCGGACAAGACTGTTGCGGCCGTTACTAGCTGGTTGGCTTCTCATGGCGTCACAGCGAGCAAGGTCTCCAACGGCTTTATCAAGGTTGGTGTTACCGTTTCGCAGGCTCAGCAGATGCTCGGCACCGAATATGGCGTCTACCACAATGCCGACAAGGACCAGTTCACTGTTCGCACCACCAAGTACAGCTTGCCCAAGAGCGTGCACAGCGAGATTGCCATGATCCAGCCAACCACCATGTTTTCTAACCTCGGCCTCATTAAGCCCGTCGTCACCAAGACACAGCGCCGTACCCCCACACTTCATGAGCGTCAGAGCTGCGGTTTCAGCGTCACTCCCTCATGCCTCCAGAGCCTCTACAACATCAACTACACACCCACTGGTTCTGGAACCTCCATTGGCATTGCTGGATATCTCAAAGAAGTTGCCAGCCAAGATGACCTCTCTAGCTTTTTGAGCCAGTATGGTGGCAATGTTCCTTCCACCGCTGCCTTTTCGGTTGAGCTTGTCAACGGTGGCTCCAACACTGGCAGCGGCACGGTTGAAGCCGATCTCGATACTCAGTGCGTTATAAAGACAGTCCCTTGATAGAATAGTATTTGCTAACATTTTCAAAACTAGGTACGCCATGGCTTTGACCTACCCCATCCCCAACGTCTTCTACGAGACTGGCGGCTCTCCTCCCTGGAACCCAGACTCGGGCACTCAGACCAACACCAATGAGCCGTATCTTGATTGGCTCAACTACCTTGCCGGCAAGGACTCGGTTCCCCAAACCATGTCTTCTTCGTACGGCGACAATGAGCAGACTGTCCCCAAGGACTACGCCGACAACGTCTGCAACCAATTCATGAAGCTCGGTGCTCGCGGTGTTAGCGTGCTGGTTAGCTCTGGTGACGGTGGTGTTAGTGGTGGCCAGAACGGTAACTGCCAGAGCAACGATGGTTCCGGCAAGACTATGTTTATCCCGACCTGTAAGTTTTGCACCATTCCTACTCTTTCTTCCCAGCCTCTATCGATGCTCTTAATATTTCCATGTACTAATGATTTCCAGTCCCCGCCTCTTGCCCTTGGGTTACTGCTGTTGGTGGAACGCAAAGCAGCGGACCCGAGACGGCCGCCGGACTCTCCAGCGGTGGCTTTTCAAACTACTACCCTGCGCCTGACTACCAGTCAAGCGTGACCTCGGCCTACATCTCCAACTTGGGTAGTACCTACTCCGGTCTCTACAACACCACTGGCCGCGGTATTCCCGATGTTGCGGCTCAGGCTGAAAACTTTGCCGTCGTGCAGGGCGGTGGCACACAGTCCGTCGCTGGTACCTCATGTGCTGCCCCTACGTTTGCAAGCGTTGTTGCTCTGCTCAACGACTACCTTGCTTCTCAAGGTAAGCCTGCTCTGGGCTTCCTCAACCCATTCCTCTACGGCAAGGGTGTTTCTGGCTTGAACGATATCACATCAGGCTCCAACCCTGGCTGCAACACCAACGGTTTCTCAGCTGGCACAGGCTGGGATCCCGTCACTGGCCTCGGCTCGCCCAACTTTGGTGCTCTCCAGAAGCTCGTATAATACCAGAATATGGTTATAGATTGCCAGCATACGACAACTATTTAAGTATATATACATAGGTTACCGGTCGAAAGTAAATATCCTCCAAAGCAAACATTGAAAACTGAAGTCAGGATCTTTATCTATGCATGTGTCCCTAGCGATTTGAGTTGTTCAGCATATATGGAGCTATAGTTACATGAGGGTAGGTGGGTACAAGGACATCGCCTGCTTTATGTGATCCGAATTCAAGCCTGTCGTAGAGCCCCAAATCCTGAGATAGATAACCAAGTTTTATACAGAGCCTCAAACTCCTTACTGGATGAACCTACCGCCGCTCCAATCTTATGAACGTTCTGTGCAGCTTCAAACCACGCTGGGGATGTGTGTACGAATGCCAATGCTTGACGCTGGCTTGAACTCATCGCTCCGGACAAAGAAGTCGTATCGATATTGTACAAACGGTTCGGTGTAGCAGATAGCGAGCCTGTCGATATATCACGCTCGTCCAAGTCATCTTCAATTCCGCTTAGCATCCAGGCCATATCTCTGTAGGATTGCCTTTCCAATTCCATTCCACGGATATCGCCAAGAGCGATGAGCGAGCGGTTAATAGACGCCAGGAAGAGGTGGTACGCTGTGAATGCGTCCAACATGTTCCCCATCGTATTCTCCTCGCCAACTTCAATGCGGAGCTTTTTTGATCCATCAGGGAGGTTAAATGACAGTGCTGTATTGCCATATACGGCGTACCAGCTGAGAAGGCGTTCTCGAATAGAGTTTACCTTGACCAGCAAAGCTGCTTGCGATTGCAAGCTTCGCTCTTCAGATGCGAAATAATCTGCGCAGGCACGCCAAGCTCCACTACAGCACACTACAACACAGTACAACTCCAGCACGACTTCGTGACGATATGTCGACGTGCCAGAGGGATCAACAGACTCGCGTATGGCCTGCTGCCATTGTGGCTCCTCTAGAAACTGTCGTTCTCCGCGTAAAAGTCCTAACACAAACTATGACTAGGTTAGTAGGAATCACTAAGAAGGACCACTGTAGCTTTACAAAATTGGGTATCTTTCCCGCAAAGAGTGCCTTATCAAGTTCTGATTGTATCACAGCAGGGCCCCGGAACTCAATAAGCTGGCAAGCGCCGTAAAGGTGTTGGAGAGACGGCTTTCGTATGCCTCGACAGAATGTCTAAAAAGATCTCCGTTAAATTTACCTGTAATCGATAGAGAAAGGAGCAGGCAGGACTCACTTCGAAGCAGCAAAGCAATTCAATAGCGCACAGAGTAAGCGTACTTTTTGCTCGCGCAGGGTCCCATATAGCGTGTTGCATGGTTGTGAGGGCCCGGCCATACTGATTAAATGCAAGATTCTGGGACTGTTTTCCGGTTGCTACTCCTTGCACTGTCGATTTCATAAGAAGACAGACAGACTTGATGGCGGTGTCTAGCGCCGGCTCATGGCCGATAACTCTTGGCAGTTCATGAAAGTACGAGCGGGTTTTTTGGCTGACGGCGAGTTGCTTGTCTATTAGTAAGTCAGCGCTCTCTTTACCAACGGCTCCTAGCCGTGCGATTGGCGAGAGGCGCATTATGTCCAATGCGTCACATAACGAATCCATGACTGTCTTTGGCAGTTGGGGCATGGCCTTGGGAAGAATGAATCGCTTGTCACGATGATTGTTCCTATCATAGGAACCGGGATATCCTTCACAAATACGGCCAGAAGATTGGCATTTGAAGCAGAATGGACGGCTCTCATCGCATTTGATTCGCCGTTGACTACAAAGGTTAGACTGAGACGGTCGCTTTGCTTCTCTGCACGTACCGGCATACCAAGCATCCCGTCTTCGTTTTGGTTGCCCATCGCCTCGTACGAGTCTTGACATACACTGCTGATTGGGTCATGGTGAGTACAGAAACATGGCTTGTATAGGACAACTAGGTGAAGTATTCAGCCCCCAACAGCCTGATTTTAGCGATCAAACCCCTCACGTGCTACGATAAGGCGCTGCAAGGTAGCCGTTTCAGTCAATTTGAGGAGCGATCGGTGGGGGCTAGTAGATTTTGACTCTCGGGTAGATGGGTCTGTCTTGTCATACGTCTTTGGAAGAGAATTGACGGGATCCAGAATTATCATATATGTATGATTGTGTATACTAACTAATTAATCAATCAATTTTGTTCTATAAATGAAAAAAAAAATTCATGACGCGCTTAACTTTAGGCTAACTACGTTACATAATACTGCGTGTGTGGCAAATTATGAACCTACTTCCACTAGAACCGGCGAGACTCGCGCTGGGATCAAACTTCTCTACGCAAGCTTATCATCCGCGCCATTGTTTTGATGATTGTTGCTTTTGGCGAGACTTGCTCAAACTCATCTTGATCTAAGTGGTTGTTGAGTATTAACACTAACTTGCCTGCTATCGGAGGCGCACCCCGTTTATCGGCACTAATGCAGTGCCACGATCACGACTACATGCGTTATTAAAAAAATAAAACGTGTTGTATATAAGAGTCGATAGAGTATACGCTTTACTAGAAGAATTACACGATTCGTATACCTACTTACCTATGTACATGCTAAGAACCCGCAATTTGATCTTGGCAGCATTGCACTCATTCCTCCAGCCCTTGAAGCCTCCTAACCCATCGGTGGTGGCTTTGGGACTTTGAGGGCCTAAATATTGATGGTATACACCAATTGTGCCCTTAGAAACGTACACGGGCAAACATTAAGCAAAAGATCAGTCAATTTGTGAAATGGACGAGAAATTAAACGACTGAAGCTGCTTTCGGCGAGGTAAGAAGCTATCACCGATACTTGAGGTATCGGCGCCGACAACTAATCCGATACATACAATACCAGAGATCCTCTCTCGATGACGAGCAGATCGGCACACTTGCCGATACCAGTGATATATTCCACTATAAAACCAAGGCGTTAGATCCTTCAGTGAAATGAATTTAAATTATCTACAACATCCGTATTTCTCTACCTGTTGACACACTTAGAAACTATTCATATTAACATCAACACACGCACTTCTCTGGACACCACAATGGTCAACCACGGCAAATACACAACAGAAAAAGTCAAGTACCCATCGCACGGGGAAACTATCGGTGCTGTCCTTTTCAAACCAAAGGATATTAACAATCCTCCTGGCGTGGTCATCATTGGCCCCTACTCGTTCTGCAAGGAACAGGCTCCCTTACAATACGCCACGCGCCTGGCCGATGAGGGCTATGCCGCTCTTATTTTCGATCCACGCACAGTCGGTGAAAGCACCGGCCAACCGCGTCGGCTGGAGAACCCGGTGATGAAGAATGAGGATGCTGTGGCCGGCCTTGACTATCTTGTGCAGCGTGGGGATGTGGATAGCGCCAACCTGTTTCTCGTAGGAGTGTGCCAGGGCGGTCCAGAATGCCTTGATATCGCCTCCTACGACGACCGCGTCAAGGCAGTAGCTGCCATCACTGGCTACTACCGTGACCACGAAACGGACGTGTACATGATCTGCGCCGGATGCGTGGACCCCCAACCAGGAGAGGATGTGGGCTCTATGAAGATGCCTACCCCCGAGCAGGGCGAGGCGCTGTACAAAGCCCGCCTTGAAAGGGCAAAGGAGGCAAAGGCCTTATACGAAAAGACGGGTGAGGTGGAATATCATCCGCTTGTCGACCCCAAGGCCGCTGACCCTACCGTCGGAGCTCGAGCTGGCCTGCCTGGCCCGGTGGTATGGTCCTGGTACGGGCCTTGGACTCTGAGGAAGGAATTTGAGAACCGCTACGCCATCATGAGCGATCTGGACCACTTTGCATACACGACCGTTCCGGGTGTGGCCAAGCTGCAAAAGCCGGCGCTGGTGATCCACGGTGACAACTGTATGAACGCCCCGGCTGCTAAGCGTCACTTTGAGTCCATTCCGACACAGAAGAAGAAGTTGATCTGGGATAATAATGTATCTCACTTCCAGCACTATGATCAGCCTGATGTCGTGGACAGAAATGTTGGCGAGGTTGCTGCCTGGTTTGCCCAGGCATAGAATGTAATGGTCGGTGCGGGTTTAAATAGTTGAGCTTGTATAGTGAAAACAGTTACAGACTTTCAATTTATAGAATTATACTTGGAATTATTCTTATTCTTATTCAATACATGATTTTACTAGGTTTCCGACAGCTTTTTTACATAAACATTCAGTGACACTTTCTCTTGAACACTAGACAAGCTTGACCTCGTTATAGCTCGTTTCAGCCTATCTTGGCAGCAGTTCCTAGAACCAGTAAGGTTTTTTTTTTACATATGGGTCTACAGTTTAAGCGAGGTCATCAAGGTTTTCGGCGACAGTACCGCAGCTATCCCCTCACGCTTAAAGAGTGGCGAGAGACATCGCCGAAAAGCCATGTCCGATATCCATCTCAGATAGCCATCCATCGCCGAAAGCCCATCGCCGAATAGGTATAAGTGCTGACGATCACTTACGACACCACGCCATTTTACCACGTTTTTTATCTCTATCATTTCTGATTGAGATGGCCTAGCCCTGCGACACACTGATCTCGTTGACATCTATTAGAAGCACTATCGCTTGTAATGTAAATTTCCGGCGCATATTACAGTGTAAGGAGAATAAGACAATCATTGCATCGCTGCAACTAAGATGTCAATTCCACCGTACCTGGCACACAATGAGGTCCGCCAAGAGTGCTGACTCTAGCCATTGCGAAAGAATAGTCCTTTGCACGAAAAAAAATATAGTATTGATACTTCAAGTCAATATCGTGCCAGCGGCGACGGTATTGTAGATACTAATCAACAATACCTTTAGCCGAGTACAACAAGGCGCAATGACCTGGGGCAATTTCAGCCTCTGTACCAGTGGGTCAGACTACAAGGCGGGGCAAAGAAACAATAAATCGACCTGTCTGCTTCGACACGCGGCAACTAACTTTCTACATATGAGGGCCTATTCTAATAGCGTATAGTACGAGAATGTTACTAGGTATCCCAAAGCGCAAACGGCCTGTCATATCGTGCGGAGAATGCCACCGACGTAAGCAAAAGGTAGGAAAGACAAGCTCTTCAGCTATTCGCATAATATATAGCTAGCTAACGGCCTAGTGCGATCGACGCCAGCCATGCGCTCACTGCATTAAACGCGGCGTGCAAGTATGTTGATTATTCCTATAAAGACATCTTTCATCAGTGCTAACCATGTAGGATGCTTGCCGCTATGAACCAGATGATGACCGCACCAGCTACGATATTCGTCCTCCTACAAGTCGACGCAAAGATAGTTTGACGCAGCCCTCCACAGCTGCAACACCAACGACACCAACGTCTACTTTAAGCGAAGAGCTTAAACAACTCGGTTATACCAGCAGCATAACAGGAACAGCAGGCCTCATCTCCAACCTAGGCCAGCTCGGCACCAAACAGCAGCAGAAGCTACCTATCGATTCCACAGCGACCCCATATGTCAGTATTATTCGACAGCTCCCATCGCAAAAGTGCACCAACATCCTGGTGCAAAGTTTCTTTCAAAACGTCGCATGGCAATACGATATTGTGGACGAGACTATATTCAATCGCCAGCTCACTCAATGGAACAGTCTCTCCTATGCCCAGCTGAGGCTCGCACCGGATAGTTTACCCGTTAACCTTCAATCCTTTCCATCGTTACTTTTTCAAGTGCTAGCACAAGCTCTACTATTTCAACCTCTGGTATACGACAAAAGTTTGGATGGCCTGAAATACATACCGAACATGGAGCTCTCTGACCGAGCAGAGGATTTTAGCAATGCTGGCCAAGAACTTGCCGCGTGCTTTCGAAGGCGTGAACTCACGCTCAACATGGTACAAGCTCAGCTAATGCGAGCATGTTTTGAAAAGACTACCGGCGCCGTAGTTGATGCTTGGCACACGCTCGGCACTGCTATCCGCAATGCGCAAGAGCTTGGCCTACACCTATTAGGGCCAGAAGAAATGGCTTCGACAACAGTACCGGCATCAGAGCGAGACTTGGGTCGCAAATTATGGCTAATGCTTCATATTTGGGACAATCATATGGCTATTGTCCTGGGGAGGCCACTGTTTACAAGGATGAACCCGAACGACGTACCTTCGCCTATGTCCTGGAGCCATAGTCCTGCCTCTAGTCCCTCCATGCCCAAAGTACCCCAACCCCGCGACGTCATTTTGTGCGGCTATCACACGGCATATAGATTTTTACAAGACATCCGTGATCTGGAGCAAAGAAAAATCGAGGACTGCCGCGCTCTCATTCAGGGCATCCACGAAAAGATCGCTACCAATATCACCAACCTCCCAGCCTGGGCTGCGGCCCAGAGATCTCGTGATGGTGAGCCTGCTTGGCTTGCTGCAGCGCTTGAAACCATGCTTACGAATGTGCACTTTGTCCTGTTTGCCTTACATCGACCTTTTGTATTTAAAGAGCAGAGCAGTCGCGAGAGGGCCTTTTACTCAGCGATGCAGATCTTAGAGTCGCAAACTCGCCTCTTCAATCTGATGCAGGACCTGCAGTACCATTCTTTCAATTTAGTTTTCTCCACATTCGACGCAATGGTGCTCATTGCAGCCCTTCAGATACGGTTTCCAGACGAATTTATCGAACAGCTGCCTGCGACGAAACAAAATTTGGAGTGGGGATTGAATAGGCTGAATGTTTTACAAGCGAGAAACAACCTCGCCGGTCCAGCTTATAGCACCATCGAGCGGTTATGTCGAAAGTTATCAGTGGTTGCATTTCCAACACAGCACATGAGGCAAGTGGATGGCACCCCGGCTTCACTGACAAGCACAACATTGGTAGGGGCTGAGAATGAGATGTCGCCGGTCAATTGGGACGGCTTTACGCATTTTGCATTTGGCTCAATCTCTGCTCCGCCGGTGGATGATATATTAATCAATGACGGGATACTGGGAGCGTATCCAGAACACCACCAAGGCGCTTTCAATAACTTGACCCAACTTCCCCTTGGGTTCTTCGACACTATGGAGAACGGTAAACCAGGGGAATAGTGCATTACGCAATAGCAAAAACAACACAATAAACATGGACAGCCGCTATGCTTTCTCTCTTTAATAGACCATCTGTCCGTCATTCTTCACAATTCTCAACCAATAGAGAAAAGTATGTAAATAATACACAGCGTGAGACACCTTCTATTTATGGTGGGGTTGAAGATCTACAGACTTGGGACGAACGATGCTAATTCGAGGCTCAGGCCCGAATTTGGAAGGTAACAACCAGCGCTAGCTGATGCTGACCAAGTCAAGCAGCTCCAGGAGAAGCGCTGCTGGCTACGCTTCGTATATGAAATGACAATCAAGAAATATTTTGAAAAGTTTTCGTTGGAAAGATGAATTAAAAGTATACAGTCTAGTAATTATATCATACAATAAAAGAATTAGCATCATGGCCAAGGGCGACCTTAGCGCCGAAGCAAAGCGATACCGAAGTAGCCGATTCACTAGCCTACAGAAGAAACCCGAAGGGTGTTTAGACTCCACTCACTATGCAGATGGAAATACCACCTGTTATTCCCAGAGTAGTTATTTGTTGCGCAGTCCGTCCCAACATTGCCGCCCGGAGCGAAGAGGAGAGAGACGCGGAGAGCCAGAATTCATATTGGCAAAGATGGTTCATTGTGTGTATACCTGCCTTACATCGGATAGTCTCTTACAATTTGTCCCATACACCAGGTCCACGAGAACATAAAACCCCGGTAACAAAGGTTTCGGGGTAGAGCATCACGACGCTTTGGCTAGAACTCAGCCATAATACCTGGATAGATGGTTACATTGCATAAGCGATGGACTAATGTGCAGTAGTTCCATAAGCCCAACCCCGTAGATCAATCCTACGTCGTTTGTTTATAACTTCTTGGTTGGCCGCTTCTTTCCGCCGTGTGTTGCACAAACCTCTCCCCTTATTCCCTTAAGAACACCAAAAACACTCTCTAAATCCCTAATACCTCGTCCTACACGATGCATTGGGCACTCAGTCTCGCCGCCTCGGCGGGTGTAGCCACGGCCTTTATCCGTCCAAACAGTGCTATGACCCAAGTCTTTGGCTCTGTCGCAGCCAATGCAGACGGCCCCGGTATTGGCCATGCAGAAACCTTTGACCGGCTCATCGACCACTCCAACTCTTCCCTCGGCACCTTCAAGCAGCGCTACTAGTGGAACGCGGACAACTATGCTGGGCCTCACTCTCCCATCGTGCTCCAGTCTCCAAACGAAGTTGGCATCAACACTGATGCCAATCTTAGCAACATGGATAACCGGACAATGTCTGGCCTTCTAGCCCAAGACAACCAAGGCGCTTACATTGTGATTGAGCACCGGTACTTTGGACACAGTTCCCCATACAGCAGCCTAAACACCGAAACCCTGCAGCAGCTGACCCTGGACAACTCGATTCAAGATCTCGTTTACTTTGCCAAGAACGTTGTTTTTCCATTCGATAAAACCGGTGGTGCTGCTACCAAGCCTGACCAGGCGCTTTGGTTGCTCTCTGGATGCTCGTAATCCGGTGTTCTGACGGCGTGGACGCAGGATCTCGCCCCGGGCGTCTGTTGGGCGTACCAGGCCGGTAGTGCGGTTGTACAGGCAATTGAGCAGTTCTGGGAGTTCTATGCGCCTATTAAAAAGAGCTTGCCGCAGAACTGTACCGCTGATTACCAGCGTATTGTGGCCCATGTAGACGATGTGCTGGCCCATGGAAGTTCCACAGACAAGGAGGCGCTCAAGAGAAGACTAGGCTTTTCTGGTAGATCAGATAAACTGTTCGCTGGTATTCTCGGTAGCTGGCTTAACGATGCGCAGGGTCACCGGGTCTCAGATTGGAGAAATTCGCTACACGTTACCTGTGACTATATCGAAGTAAGTGGTACTCTTATTAGAGGTTCTATATCAGCGCCACATAGGTGAAATGATCGGATACCGGCCAAAAAACAGAAAATCTCAAAATATCCCAAAATAAAGATAAGAAAGATTATAAACCAAAAACATACAAACATAAGCATAGCAAAGTGTCCCATGGCGCAGAAAGTTGCCGTGTAAACTTGTCGGAAAATTCTTCTGCCGGTGGGGGAGGATATGTTCTTTTACGTTTTAGACAACTTGTTTCACTCTAACCTTCGCCTTATCTTACACCCGAGCTTATGATCCATTATCTTGAGAGAACCAAATTTGTCACATGATAAAGATTTATTATGACGAAGTTCAAACGCAGTGCGCAATCACAGCCAAAGCATGGGAAACCATCGGTCAGTGGTGCATCCAAGGCACCAATTGCACCACCAATAAACCGTCCGGGATGGACTGGACCAGGTTATATACGGAAAGCAGCGAAACAGACGCCTGCCGCAGTGAAGGAGAAAGTCTCGATAGAACAGATCCAGTATCTAGCTGTGGAACATCAGCAGCTCATTCTTGACACAATCAGAACTACATTTCCTGCTGTCGAGGATTTCAATGCATTGATACCAGTATTAACGGCAGTCAGAGAAGCCCTCGAACAAAAAGACTACACCAAGACATTCGGGACTGAAGAGTTTTTGGAAGCATACACAATCCGTTGGAGCCCTAGTCACGCGCTGACGATTGCAAATGTGTTGGCTTGGGTATGCAGTGAAATGGGAGAGGCTGTCTGGGTCCAACAGTTCCTTCAAAATGGTGGACAAAAGTCATCGAAGATTGTGTGCATTGGCAAAGGAGGATCGGATTTATTGGCATGTGTGGCATTGCTAAAACACTGTCATGAAAGCAAAATCGAGAAACTTCCCGAGCTAGAATCATCTCCTTCTGATGCGACACCGCAAGACGATATCTCAGTCCCTTCCTCACACCCTAGCGCTGTTGACAAGGATAGTGCTATGATTGATCTCAACCTCGTCTATAAACACGATTGGTCTGAGATTGTCACCAGACTACATCATACTCTCACACATCCTCCTCCGCTGTCGAAACATGCGACCGCCAAAGCGCGCGCTTCCAATATCTCGGTCATCCCATCTCACGCCATCAATCTAGCAGCCAATCACCTCGACATCCTCGATAGCGCAAGTGCAGATCTGTGTACGATGATTGGGCCCGACCCAGCACTGATTACTCTATTCTTTACGCTCCAAGAATTCTACTCAATCTCAATATCGAAAACCACAGGCTTTTTATCGAGATTAACTTCGGCAGCACCTAAGGGAAGTCTGTTGCTTATTGTAAATAGTCCCGGGGCTGATGTCTCGCTACCTGATAGGAACAACAAAGGACAAGAAAAGAAATATCCGCTCGAGTGGCTATTTTACCAAGCTCTGACACCGCCCAAGAGCAAGTCTTCCTCTGAAACTAGTTCAGAAGACGCGGAGCAGCCAGCATGGGAAAAACTTATTGAAAATGGCCATGAGAAGGAGTACAAGCTACCAGCAAAACTAGAATTTCCAGGAAGTCTGGAGAATACCAGGTTCCAAGTGCATCTGCTAGAGCGTTTGTGAGGGGGCGTTTTATACGATGTGGAACAGGAGCATGATAGGGAGTTTACCGTATTTACAGAACCACTGGCAACATGGTATGGGACTGATAATACCGGAATTATTTGTATTTTCTATTTTAATATGGAAAAGATGTGGAGAAAAATTGAGATGCATAGCGTACTGTCACGATAGTCTACAGTAGCAACTTGCCATGTATATTCCTGTCGTAACGTTGTACCAAGGGATATTGACTGTTAACGCTGGTCACAATTACAAAGCAGGCGATGGTGCAATTCTTTTTATAAATCAAATAAATAGATATGCATGTATATGGACAAAGTCTGAAGTTAGTTTTTGAAGTGAAGTTTTATATAGTCCCATTATGCGTCAATTCACGGCCGATAGATCAAAAGATTCACGTCAGGCGGTGCCGATGACAAATCGTCGATGACGTTTTATTTAGACCAAGCCAAGTAGCCGACTTATAACTCCCGCCCGATGCAACATCTCTCCGCATCGTCTTTTATTTATTAGTTTTTCTTTATGAACGAACTATCAATCTAATCCCAGGTCGTCTTTATTAAAAGGAACAACACAAAATGTCCAATGCTAAAATTAACCCCTTCAAGATTGATGTGCCCGACGCGGCTCTGAAGTCGTTACAAGATCGCCTAAGCGTATCAACCCTGCCAGATGCTGTCGGCTTCTCTGAAGATCGCGAATATGGTGCGCCACTGGCCGATGTCAAGAGATTGGTGACACGATGGAAAGATGGTTTCGATTGGCGTGCGCAGGAAAAGAAGCTCAATGAGCTGCCGCATTTCACGACAGATGTTGAGGTGGGGGGCTTTGGTTCGCTCACCATCCATTTTATCCATCAAAAGAGTCCTCGAAAGGATAGCATACCGCTTCTCTTCTGCCATGGCTGTAAGATATCTGTTTCTGTTTATAAGCCACTGTTCAATTGCTGACTAGAACCAAACCAGGGCCCGGTAGCTTCATTGAAGTTATCAAGATCCTGCCTCTCCTAACAAACCCAGACAGCAGCCCATCATTCCATGTTGTCGCACCGTCGCTGCCCAACTTTGGCTTCTCTGACGCCGTCAAGAAGCCTGGGTTCGGCATCCCTCAGTATGCCGAGTCCATGCACAAGGTGATGCTGGCATTGGGTTATGATAAATATGGTTAGTTGTTCGCACTCTCACTCGCCACTGACAGACAACAGCTAACATCTCCTAGTCACTCAGGGTGGTGATTGGGGCTACATTATCACTCGCGTCATGGGATTGGACTACCCCGACCACTGCGTGGCCTCGCACATCAACTTTATCCCCACGCAGGAGCCTCCCAAGCTAACATCAGCGCCCGTCACATACCTGCAGCATGCACTGACCAGCTACACTGAGGAAGAGAAGAAGGGTCTGGCGCGTTCTACCTGGTTCCAGAGCCGTGGCTTCGGTTACAATCTCGAGCAGGGAACCAAGCCATCCACGCTGGGCTTCTCACTTGCTGACTCGCCCGTGGGCATGTTGGCATGGATCTACGAGAAATTGCGCGATTGGACTGACGACTACCCTTGGACCGATGACGAGGTGCTCACCTGGATTTCCATCTACCAGTTCTCCAAAGCTGGTGCTAATGCAAGCGTACGTATCTATTACGAGTCTAGAAATACCGAGCGTGAGAAAATGGCAAAAGCAAGAGCATATATTCCCCGTGTGCTGTTGGGTCAGTCGTATTTCCCAAAGGATGTCGTGGTGACGCCGCTAGCATGGGGGCGACTCTTGGGTCCAGTTGTTTTTCAAAAGGCACATACTACTGGAGGCCATTTTGCTGCCTACGAAAAGCCAAAGGAGCTTGTGGAAGATATTCAAAGCATGTTTAAGCGGGGTGGCGGTGCCTACTCAGTGACAAAGAGCTTCCAGGCCAAGTTGTAAACTTAGTCTCAACAAGCTTTTCAAGGGGTTATATATGCAGATATAACTTGAATTTTTATTGCTATTTAATTGAAAGATGGAATAACGGAAATGATGTTTACCACTCAAAATAATTCCAAACCACAAAACCGCCATTGTTGCAATCCTCCGTCCAAGGTCAATCAACCCTTCATTGTCTATTGTCGGCGTGGAGCATCCAGAGTACGGAGTTGCTGATGGTTCCACATTCTTCTCAACCAGTTCTCAGTTGGCTGCCTGGTGATGAGAATCATGACATTGTATCGGTATCGATGGCCAGGGCCAGGTTCGGAAGCGGACCTGCCATGCTGGCCAGCCGACGAGGTCGTGTAGGGGCTCTCATGAAAGCCACTGTCGTCCCCAAAGACATTTTGAACACGCTCGTCGTATTCCATGATGCGGGGGAGCAAGTGATTCTCCACAACGTTTTTGGCAACACAATTGAGGCAGTCGCTCTGGGCTTGGGTGGTGGACAGGACGATGCCACAGCCGGTGCAGTTGTAAGTAGAAGACATGGTGAGTCGAAAAGTATGAGTAGAAGAGGAGTAAAGCTCTTTTGTAAGATGCTAATAGGCAAGATGTAATGTAAAGTTGTGTGATGGTGGTGAGACGAACGAAATTGATTTCACAGCGTCTCCCATGGACCCTTTTATACACGCCGGCCACCACCAAAAGCCCATTGCCGTCCCTTCACATCCACGAGCCTCAAGAATCTTCACATGAAAACCGTTGACCACCTCCAACAAAGCAAGCCGAGAGCCGCTGTAAAGCAACTAAACTCGCTCTAGCAAACCGTTGCCCCAAAACTCAAAAGTCGCACAGGGCACCAGAGTGCAACACTCCCCCATCCAATGCACATCGTCGCCCGCAGGCCAACCCTCGCTAGCGGCGATTGATCGTTGCTCCGCCATTGGACCACGTCAGTTACCCCTGCAGGCGAGCAATCTGGGAATTAGACGGGTTCTGTGAGCTAAAGTTAGCCACAGGCAAAGGTGCCTAGGCAGCAAGTATACTTGCCACACAAGTACCTCCCGTGGCACCGAGTCAAGAGCCCAGGCGGCCGCCCAAGAAAAACTCTATCTCGAACAATAGCCCGCAGATGGGGGCGGGCGTAGCGATCAGAAGCAGACAGGCAACTCAGGTCATCTGAATTGGGCATGGACCACGAGGCGTCCCGTACTTTGCTTGTTGGTCGTACTGGCTGCGGGTTCCAGCCTCGCCGATCTTTGACTCTTGTCAGGTCATTGACATGCTGCTACGAGTACGAAAGTACTGCATGTTGGGTGCTGTATGCATGCTGCAGCCCTTTTGGGTAAGGCTTTACGCCCCAGAAGTATGCATCTAGCCCCAAAAGGAGGATACTTTGGCTCCGAGTATCACCGCGTTGAGGCCGACAACAACAAGGGTCCAGCGCCCACTGCGGGCAACGGTGCATGCGACAGAGGCTGGATAAGGCTACCGGCAGTACAAGGTTGCCCTGTCATGTGTTTGTGTGACAAGCATTTGGCTGTGATCGATCAACAGTACATTTGGCGCCTCGGATGTCATCCGGCTTGGTCTAGAACTCGCCGTCCACAGAAGCGTCCGCCACTTTCGAACGAGAGGTTGATAGTCAGAGGAAGTGTGGCGATACTATGAAGCGAGGCCGTCGTCTATTGACAAGGAAGGGCAAAGACTCAGCCTATTTGGAGCAGGGGACGCGTCGTGTAGGGCGGCAGGCGATGCAACCCTCCCTTCGGCTATCGCTGCGGAATAAAGTTTACCTCAACTGACCAGAGCTGACTCTCCATCCGCGCTCGGATCACATCCAGTGCAGCTGGCTGAATTAGGACATCCGTAACCCGCTCAATTTACTCAGAACACGAGAGAGCATTGCCTTTCTCCTCCGCAGAATTTGCAGGGTGGCTGCAGAGTCACGCACACACTTCCGGGTAGCGCACCCGAACATGCCACCCCCTTTTTCCAAGACAGTTGCAACAAACAAAAAAAAGTACGTACAAGAAAGTAGATTACAGGCCGGCTGCGGCCAATGGTTTGTGCTAAAACTTTTCTCCACATGATAACGTACAAAACTCCGCGGCGCATGACAAGACAGCTGGTGGTTGGTCCGCCCACTGTTGCTATCATCCCCAGGCTAATACATCTCTAAAGCTGTCTCATCAAGACAAAACAATGACGGCCACAACAGTCTATCGTTAAAAAGAACTAGGATTCGATTGAGACTCCAGGTCTCGTTGAGCTAATTAATGCCTCTCAATAAAATGGCTTATGCGTAGAAAGATTCGATAAAGTAAATGAGGCCAAACAAGAGGAAGGCAACCGCGCCACCAATAGTTACTATGGTCCGTATTAGCGAAACAAGCGAGAACAAAGGGCGTCTTTAGGGAAAAAGTATACTTACCAACTTTCATGCTGACGCGGCCAGCAATGGCACGACCGCCAATAACAGCCACACCAGTGCATACGGCGTGGCCGCAGACAGCACCAAGAGTCACCCACCAATAGTCCTGGCCAGCAGCCATGGCAATGGTAGCAATCTGGCTGCGATCACCCCACTCACCCAAGAAGGTCATAGCAAAAGTTTGCACCCAGACAGGGCTTATCAGGAGACCAAACAGGTTGCCAACGCCATGAAGGGTATCGGAGAGGCCGCCTGAGCGACGCGAGGCTCGTACGGGCGACTGTGAGGGAGATCGGGGCGGTGATGATAGCATGCCTCCCTTTGATCGAGGGCTACGGCCCAAGCCCATCTCCAAGGCCTCGCCAGATAATTGCGTGTGGCGACCGCGACCCATTTCCTTTTCCTTTTCAGCAAGTTCTTGTTCGACTTCATGCATCTCGGCGGCAACACCTTCGTTGGGATCCATCTTCATTCCTTCAAGGAGAAGCTTGGCGCCAAAGACGAAGAAGAGGCCGGCAGCGAGGAAGCTGGTAAGGCGTTTGGGAATTAGAACAGGGACGGCATGGCCCAATACAGCAGACAAGACAGTCATCACCAGTAATGCGCCAAATGCAGCAGAGAAGACAACCATGCGATCATGCTTCATAGCCATTAGAGCTGCCACCAAGAAGGTCTTGTCACCAACTTCAGAGACGAGAATCATGGTGAGAGAGAGAATAAATGAGTGGAAGGGCTGGATGATGCCTTCGTCATCGGTGCCAGTCTGTGTAATCGTCGTCGGTTTGGTTTTGGAGGAGGATGGTTTATTAACGTTGAGATGTTCTTTATCAGCAGAATGCGGCACGGGCTGCTTGTCGCGGTTCATTTCGGGTAAGTCATCGGGTTTCTGTGCACAAAGTGTTAGTAAAGAATGAGAACAGCTTACAACTGCGGAGTGCCTACGTCGAGTCCTGTGTATGAGATATCTTCTTTTTCCGTCTTGCTCTTGGAGACGTCCTTTTCCTTGTCCTGCGTCTTGTCTACCGGCTTGGGCTTTCCTTTGTTGAGCTTCTCCTCTGCACTGTGAGGCAGTGGAGGCTGTTCCTTGGGGGCTTCAACCTTGGTGATGCTCTTCTCGCCAGTCTTATCCTCCTGTTCCTTGCGGACCTTGTCTTTCTCGGTCACACCACCTTCGGTACCAGTCTTGCCTTCCTCAGGCTTCTGGCGGCCTTTGTCGGCCATGATATTGTCGTTTGTTTCGGGGATCTTTTTGCCATCAACAATGGTAGGGTCCTTGGGTTTGCCCTTGAGGGGAGCAGTGTCCTTTGATGGCTTTGTATCTATGGATGCTGGTCTGTCGGTGTCCACAAACGGACCAAGATGGGGTTTGCCATCTTTGCCATCGACGGGAGCGTCCTTGGTACCAGTTACTGGGCGGCCAGGGATAGCAATGGCAGCATCCTTATCGGCCTTGTCGCCTCGGGGGAGACCGGCAGCTTGGTCGGCAGATGCAGGAGTAGACAGTCCAGCGACCAGAGCAGGCAGAAGCAGGAGGACCAGCGACGACTGTTTCGAGGTCAACCGCATGGTGATGGCGTGCGAACGAAAAGTTGTATCGAAACGTCGGAGGAAGCGAATTCGCAGATCGGCAGGGCTGGAGCGACAGATGAGTCGAAAGTATTAATTTGTTGTAGACTGATTTAAGCCAGTATCATGGGCGTAACTGGCAGTAGAGTCGAAGTGGAAGCGGTTGGAGATGAAGCTGGAAGTTGCGATTTTGATGATGACGCAAGTTCAGGGGTCGTTGGAGCCAGTGTATGAAATACAGGGGGAAAAGAAGGGAAGTAGGCAGTATGATTAAAAAATGAATGGGGGTTGAATGAAGAGTGTCGCAGAAGAGAAAATAGAAATGGTACAGCGAAGGGCAGAGACTCTACAAGACAAACAAGAGAGTCGTGTGCGTGAGGAAAAGATCAGGAGAGGAAAAAGCAGGTCATCTGGAGATCGAGGAGCGCACGCAGGGGTTTGGCTGGCAAAAGGGAGAAGCCAGAGTGGCTGTCATCCAATCGCAGCGGGGCAGGGCAAGGTCAAGGTGGCAGTTTGTAGCGGTCCAGGCTCAGTCACAGCCACTGTAAGGTGGAGCGACAGGCCCCTGGAATGGATGCGTTTTAGTGCTGTTGATACGTTTATGGCGGGCCTTGATACGAGGAAAGCAGAGCAAACTGGGAACAAGCAGCCTAAACAGGGGGGGGGAATTCAGTTGATATTATGAGAAAACAAATATTAAAAACTTACAAGGACTAGAACACTGAAACTGGGCTGTGCGGAATAGGCCATAAATAGCTACACCAGATATACATACTCACTGCCGTCCTTTACCTAAGCCAATGAGCCCCGTCCCCTGCGATGGCCCCTATCGTGTAATGCACTGCAGTGCTCAGCGCTGTCCAGTAATTACTGCGCTGAATGGCCCTGCATTGCACTGTATGCGCTGTCAATTACAGTCTGCGTCACCAGCATACACTGGCCAGTTATGAGACCAATGGGCTGATAGTATGACTTTACAGCTGGTGCTACTGGTATCGGGCCAGAGTACACCAGCTGTGAACCAACAGTACCCGCAAATACCATACAAACTCCCGCCACCCACAATGTACCCCCACTTTCTACCTTTATGTACTGCTTGGAGCTTAGCTTAACTCCGCATGTCGTCACGATGGCCGACTTTTGAACGTAGCGTTGACCTTTCGTCAACCTCTCTGCTTTCTTCCCCGAATCGCTGTTTGCTAGTTTTGCTGACTTCATCTCCTCAATTTCATCCATAAAATCGCCATCAACTGCGGAATCCTGTGAACACCCGATTCTAATTACATTCTATCCACTGCACATTGCCCGCCACAGACGCAACAGTCGGTGACATAACCTTATAGCCGAAGCAGCCGCAAACTGTCCATCCAGCTCTTGTGCACCACATTTTGCCACAACACGCACAATGGTGCGCAATGCTGAGGGAGATCAGCTCCAAGAGGGCGGTTCTCAGCATTCAGATGAGGAATCATCAACTCCCATGCCTGGTGGTTGGTACCACGATCATGACCATGATGAGGACGGTGAAGATGAGAGCGATATGCTAGGTTTGCCACCTCCACATTATTCAGCTGCCGTTGCCGCTGCTAATCTACGTCTACCAGGCGATGAAGACGACGGTAATGTTGAATTCGAAGTTGTTTTTGGCGGCGATGAGGACGATGAGGACGATGAAGAATACGTTGACGAGGAAGACGATGATGAGGACGAGGAGGGTGAAGACGACGATGATGATGAGGACGGTGAGCGAGATGCTCAGACAGATGCAGCCCTGCGCATCATGAGCCTTTTTCGAGGTAAGTTTAAGGATACTGTGGCGAAGCACATCATCCAGTGATTAACACGCGAGGGTATAGCAGGGGCTCGCCAAGGGTTACTCACGCGGGCACAGCTCATGGCTCTGTTACGGAATCGTAACCTGGGCCAAATTCTGTTTGATGAAGCAGGGGAGGATGGAGAAGGCGAAGATATCCTTGGGCAGTGGACACGTCGGCAGCGTCGACCGCCAAAGGATCCCGAGCGCTTCCCCAAGGTTCCTAGCCCCGAGGGCACAAAACTAATGAGATCTGGTGCCTTTGGAGCAAATAACTACGACTCGCGCATAAAGCGACAGATTGGACGCCGCATGTTGGATAGAGAATTGGGCATTGGCGACAGGGAGCAGCGTAAACGAAACAATGATATTATCACACAGGTATGGAGTGCTGTGCGTGAATGCGGAAGGCCGTTTGCTAACCAGCCTACAGAGCTTAATACCAGGCACTAGAGCGGAACAGATTATTCACTACGACAACCCCATATATTCGGGTCAGTTTTCGGATGACGGCAACTTTTTCTTCAACTGCTGCCAAGACTACAAAGTCCGCATGTACGATACATCGAATCCATATCAATGGAGGCACTACAAAACGGTCACCTACCCATTTGCTCAGTGGACTCTTACCGACGGCTCACTGAGTCCCGACAACAAGTGGTTGGCGTATACATCCATTACAAGCTTGGTATCAATCGCTCCAACAGATCCCAGCGATACTGGTGATCCTTATACGCTTGATCTATCAGAAGGACAGGAACGCCCGGGCGGTTGGGGAATGAGGGGTCGTGGCCATTTTGGCATCTGGTCTGTGCGTTTCTCAGGAGACGGCCGTGAGCTTGTCGCTGGTACAAACTCCCACTCGATTGTCGTCTACGATATTGAGTCAAGACGAGTACTGCATCATGTGGAAGGCCATGAAGATGATGTTAATGCCGTTTGCTTTGCTGACAAGTCTTCCCCCCATATCCTGTATTCCGGTTCGGACGACGCTACTATTAAAGTATGGGACCGCCGTAGTATGGGCGATCGCCGGGAAGCGGGTGCGTTTGTGGGACATATAGAAGGCTTGACATATATCGATAGCAAAGGCGACGGACGATACATCCTGAGCAATGGCAAGGACCAGAGCATGAAACTCTGGGATCTTCGAATGGTCATGTCGACGCAGCGATTCCACGACATGGGAAGGACGCGATATGCACACTCTAGTGGCTTTGATTATCGTGGAGAAGAATACGATGATGAGGACTGGGATGTACATCCACACGACAACTCCCTCGTCACATTCAGAGGTCACAAGGTTTTGCGCACGCTGATCCGATGCCACTTCTCGCCACCTTCGGCAACTAACTCGCGCTACGTTTACTCTGGCAGTGCCGACGGCCAAGTTTATATCTGGAACATGGATGCAACACTGGCTGGTACTATTGATGTTAAAAAGGCAACTATTGGCACTCGTCGTGTTGACAGACAGACTCGCTTCTACTTTGATGAGCCAGGTGGTTGGGGTACTTGCGTCCGAGATGCTAGCTGGCATCCGACAGCACCTATGATAGTTGCATCTGCTTGGAATGGATACAGCATGGCTCGAGGCACTTGCACGTTGCATTCATTCAATGATGCAGAGGGTGATGAAGGTACACCAGGCATGGGTCGAAGCGTGGATGAACTGCTGCGTCCCCAACCAGACATGTATTATTCTTCCGAATACTAATTTAACGCAGAATGTCTATTAGATTTCTTCATATTTGTATATAATTTTATAATTTAATTTAATTTTATAAGTGCTCATTCAAACTGTGCCTGTTGGTGCATACGGAAATCTGGCGGAGCATTTTTTGTCCGCCCTGCCATCGACGCAAGGTGGCTCGTGCGCGTCGCCCGACCTGTCAAGTTGGCGAGCTCTGAATCCCAACGTGAAGGAAGCTCTCTTCGTTCACCCCAACCTTCCATCTGCATCAACGAGTATATCATCCACGAATCAGCAATTGCCTTGAGATTGAATTCGAAATCCATTGGCGACACGAACTACTACAACGAATCGCACGACAGAAACATCTTTACCGAATTCCGACTTGCCCGTGGCCGTGAACCCAACTTCGAAACCACCGCTCAACCCGATCGTAACTGGAGCTGACGCCGCTCCGTTATATCATAGAAAATTTGATTCCTTGTATAACACTTGAGGAGCTTGCTCCGTTGGACAATAATCTCGTGTTCCGATCTAGGCGCGGCTCTGTGAAGCGTCGTGTGGTTGGCTAGCATACCACCCCCTTGTCCTGTATTTCCTTATCAGCCTTGACATTTGGCACATGTACGTATTGAGACGACTCCCGTCAGTTTGCTTGTATTTCCTTGTTTTATTGGCATTGTCCGCATGAGAGTGGTCGACCGAAGTGGTCAAGCAGATATCTGCCCATCTTTGTATCTTGGCTGATGCTGATGTTGAAGAAAGACCAACAAGGCTTCGTGTACTATCCAGCTTTTAATATCAAAGAAACCATTAACGAAGAAACATATCATCGCAGTAGTGGAATAAGCTACTCGAACCCACTAATAGCCCACGATGTCCGAAGCAGAGGCTGATTTCGAAATCGACTTTTACGGCGATGATTCTGCTGAACAACAAGATCAACAACAAGCGCAGGCAGCAACTGGAGAGAGCACACACGAAAACAACACCAGCTCAGATGCGCAACATGTCCAAAATAATGCCGAACACCAAGACGATCAGCAAATGGACGACTCGAGACACGACACACAGAGAGACAGCTCAATGGTCCAACAAGGGACCAAAAGAAAGTCAGAAGAGGACCATGCGACAGTTGACGTACAAGCAACTTCTGCTATCATGATTTCCGATCTCAACTGGTGGATCACAGACGACGACGTTCGCGGATGGTTAAGACAAGCAGACTGCGAGGACGACATTAAAGATTTGACGTTTAGTGAGCACAAGGTGAATGGCAAGAGCAAAGGGTATGTTGCAACCCATTTGGCAGTCAGCTCATCATATTTCTAACATGTACCAGCCAAGTCTATGTCGAGTTCCACAGCCGAAATATCGCCGCCACATCAAAACGACATGTCGAACAGCTTGGCCCTGGCACACCACAAGGGCAAAAGAAGATCCATGTCGCATTCTGGAACCCCAACGTCAATCCATTCAAGACCTTACCAAAGGATGCACCGGCTCGCGGCAAAGATCAGAACCGCGGCGGATACACCGACAGAGGCAACTTTGGAGGAGGCTTCCGTGGCCGTGGCGGTATGAACAACCGCGGCCATATGGGCCAGCACAACTTTAACCGCAATTTCAACAACAATAATAATAACAATATGGGCTTCAACAACAATATGGGAGGCTTTAACAACAATAACAATATGGGCAACAACTATGGCTTCAATAACCGCGGAGGTATGATGGGTGGCATGAGAGGCAACAATATGCGAGGCCGTGGTGGCCCAAATATGATGGGCATGAACCCAATGGGAATGCCTATGGGTATGCAAGGGAATATGCCAATGGGTATGATGGGCGGCATGCAGGGTTTCCAAGGCATGCCCAACTTTAACGCCGGTAACTTTGGCTTTAACCAGAACCAGGGCGGCGCTGGCGGTGCCAACAATAACAACGGCGGCGATTGGGGAAACCCCCATGGTGCTAAGAGGCCGCGTCCTGAATAAGAGCTGTTCCGGATTCATGTTTCTTTATTTTCCCTTGCGGAGTTAGAAATACTGACTCCGTGTTCTGTTTATATCTGCTTGGTTTATTGTTAGGCGCTGGCCATTTGTTAGAATATTATATTGTACTTCGTTTTGTACTAGGATCAGGGAAATATCAAAAATCACTTGAACTACTTGAATTTTGCCATGATAAAGAGATACCTCAAAAGTAGATCATATTCATATGTATCTATGTGCCGCTGCTCATTTATGCAGATAATTCCACGGGATACCACCCGTTGTTAACCCTTTTTTCCCTTATCAACAAAGAATAACAACCAAATCCCAAAAATGCTCATCTTCTCCAAACGCTAAATAGTCCATTAAAGCCATGCCGTATGTATCACTTTTGCTTTTCCTTGTGCTCTGGTTGAGCCTGTACCAAATGCGGGATCCCGTCCCTAGTTCATGGCATCCTGATGCCAATGTAGCATGCATCAATCAATCATTGCAAGCGTGCGATGGTTCGTCGCAATAAGGCACCCATCTGAAGCCATCTAGACTTCAGGCTGAGTCTCATTGCCTCTTCCCCAGCAGCAAGAGTTGATAGTGTTTCGAGTTTGGCAGTTGCATCAGCAGCTGCGCGCTCCAGAACTTTGAGAAGCTCGTTGTTCATCACCTCTCTGTCTTCGTCTTCGTCACGCTCTCCATCAAGAACAGCCTGCCACTGAGTAGGGGTCAGGCATAGGCTTCTCAGAGCAACATCTGTTCGATAGCACGGTGTCTCAGAGTCTAGCATATACCGTCCCCAAAAGCCAGCTTCTTCAAGACGGTCCTTTTGCCCCGCAGCAATGAGCTGGGGGATAATGTATGGGTCAAGACAGATCTCGTCCCATGGGTTTGATGTCGATGGCAAGACGAAACCATATTGGACAAGCAAGAAGTCATTGCTGTGCGATCCGTAACTGATGAATATTTCTTCTCCAGCTTCATGGTCACGTACTGTTGTGACGGTGAATTCGTGTCCTTCAAAAGATAGGCTGCAACCGTGAGCGGCGTGGTTGAGCAAATCTGCAACGGGCTGGAGAATCATGTGGTCTTCCTTCGGCCTGCTCTTTGTACTCTGATCAGCATGGTAGAATGTACGGGTATTGACCAACAGCCATGCGTATAAGAAGTCGTCTTTGGCGATTTCTCCGGCATACGCTGCATTCACAACCTCCCAATCGCTGTTGAAGGCTGCTTTCTGCTTAACGAGCTCATTGCTGCTAGAATGTGGTAGCAGTGCTTGGAGCTCTGGGGGCCAACAAAATGGCATAAGCATCTGAAAGTCTTCCTTGGTGGGCAACACAGCTGACCACATGTCCAGCTCCGGAGCTTTGTCGAGAACGAGGTTGGTGGCGAGAATGGCGTGGACTCTGGCATCTTTGAGCTTCTCTCGAACAGTTGCTGGCGTATTTCCTAGTGTTCTGAAGGAAGTTTCTGGGATCATGAGCACATCTTCACCGGCCTAGGAGAATTGGTGAGCGAATGCAGACAATGGATAGAACGCCGCAGGTGAGCGATTAGGCATGTGGTGACTCACTCTGATCTTACGAGTGCAAATAATACCGATGCCTCTCCCGGGCATGCGCTTTGGAGCTATGCCATTTAATATCACGCCGCCGGCAGTAGCCCATTCTGTGAGAGCTGAGATTTCACTGTCCATAGCCAAGGCTGTCAGGGACCGTCGTTGAGGTGGCGCGGGGCAGTAGATAAGCGATGCGGATGTGATGCTAGGCAGCCAGGGACTATCATGAGCGACTCATATAAGAACTGTGAGAAAAAGAGGAGTGGCGAAAAACGCCGGAGAGCAAAGCAGCCCTTTTGAATTGCAATCAGCAGCACTTCAGATCGGTGTCAATTTCCTGAGGCAGTCATAGATCAAAAGGTCTGCGCGCGAGAAATTTGGTCGATAGAGGTTGGTGAGAGGGTGCCTGCAGCAAATGAACCAGGGGCCTTGCTAGACAAGGGAACGGTCTGGAACGTCGTTATGGCGGGCTGAGGAGGTTAATGCCGGGGATGAAACAAGAGGCAAGCGAGTGTGGAATATAGGCTGAAATTAAAAGAAATAAAGAAGATTTTTAAGGTGGGAAGTGAAGAGGCAGAAGGTGAAAAGAAAGGGTCTGGTGAATACGAGATGGGGGTTTGAGAGATTTGTTAGCGGAAACCGACAGCAGAGTTGCATTGGCATGGCGTGGCTAGCGGAAGCCGAAAAAAAAAATCAGAAATCGACGGAAATTCTCAAAGGTCAGGCTAGCCGGAGAGGGGCGCTGAGAAGGCTGAGGACGAAGCTGGCGAGCCTGTTTTCTTAGTGAGGGAGCACGCAGCATTGGGCTGCCCACAGCCTCCCACTATATCCGCAGCTGCATTCACTGCCTGGCACCCGCTTTTTTAACGCCAAACAACGAGGCTCGCAGGTCCGGTTGAGCAAGCCACTAGGCTATGAACGAGATTTTCAATAAGATGTGGGGGGTGAGGCAGTCACTAGAGTCATGCAATGGATGTGGTGAGCGCCAAATGAAGATGGTGAAGCTGGTAGAAGTGAATAGCTGTGCTCGTTCTGGTTTGCCAACTTGTACAGCGTCTCCGCCAGCGGGCGCAGCTGGCGCAGTTGGCGCAGCTGTCGCATGTCACTAACACTGCTAGACGGGCCGCTGCAGCTGGTGAACGTAGATGGCCGAACAACGGCCAGTTGCGCAGCAAATGTAGCCCGCCTCGTCGCGCTCAATTAAAAAAATGCATGCAGTTTCCCTCCATCTGTGCTTCACTGCTTTGAGCATTGATCACCCTTTCCCCCCAGAAAAAAAAACTCAAAAATATTCTGCCCAAAGCTAAAGTTAGAGAGCTGAGCTACGCAAGGTGCCGAGACGTTCCCTGAGGCTAGCATGGCGCAAGTCGTCGCCCCACCACGTGGATTGGGCGACGGCAACTCAAAAATTGGAGCAGACACACCTAATCTCCAACGACTGGCCATCGTCCGTTGCATTTGGTACGCCATTACAGCCAAGCTCTTATCATCCACAGCTCGCCTGTCGCCCCCCCAATTGCAGCACATATACTGTCTGCTGTGATTACAAGATGGTCAAGTCGATAGTTTCGTCGGCTACGGCGCCAGCGACACGCCATGCTGCGCGTACCGTCTGCCTTGCTTGCGCAACAACTACGCCCATCTCTAGCAGCAGGTCCTTCTCGAGTTGGAAACGCCTGCCTCCCAACTACCCAGGCCATGTACCTCTTACGCGTCTCGAGCAAGCTGCCATGGCAATTGGCTCAAGCGCTATGGCTCTAGTCAACCCGTATCGGGCTGGTGCGTGTTTGCCATATGGTCCCCTGCGCCCTCTGTTTGCTGCATGCCGCGCTTACAGGGCCATTGCATATCAAGCAATGCAACTAACATGGAGTTCTAGACCTCATCGCGACGGTTGGAGAATCGACAGCCACTCCATATTTCATTTATCGACTACGAGATGCCATGCTTGCCGACCCGACCGGACGCCGCATCCTCCGCGATCGCCCGCGTATATCGTCCAAGACACTATCCATGGAGAAGTTAAGAGCTTTACCTGAAAATACTGTTGGAAAATGCTACGTCGACTGGCTGGATCGAGAAGGCGTCACGCCAGACACACGCGACCAGGTCCGATACATTGACGATGAAGAATGCGCCTACGTGATGCAACGGTACCGAGAGTGCCATGACTTTTCCCATGCACTTACCGGACTCCCAGTCTTCCGCGAGGGCGAGGTGGCTCTCAAAGCATTTGAGTTCTCAAATACACTGCTGCCAATGACTGGACTAAGCATGTTTGCTGCAGCTACTCTCAAGCCAAAGCAACGCTCCCGCTTCTGGAACATATATCTGCCGTGGGCTGTCAGAAACGGCTCCAGATGCAAGGATGTAATCAATGTATACTGGGAAGAAGAGCTTGAGAAGGATGTTTCTGTTCTACGCAGCGAACTGGGTATTGAGCAGCCCCCAGACTTGCGAGACATTCGCAAACAGGAAAAAGAACAAAGAAGGAGGGCAAAGGAGGCTGCAGAGGCCCACAAGAATTCTTAAAGGAGCAGATTGGTATGTCTGCAGTTATTGCCAGCAGTTCGGCATTGTATATTTCATGTAGTAATAATATCACGCCACCCACATGCACACCGACTGCGTACAGTGTGGCCGCGGTTCATTTTCTTGTCCAGGCTGCAGCATAGAGTGCCACCCAGGTGATACACTTAGATATCGAGGTCATCATCATCGTCATCCCAAGCCTTGCGTCTACTGACAACAATCTTTTCTTGCTCCTTGGTTTCCGCCATGGCGTTGAGCAGCTCCTTGAGCTGTGTCTCGGTGACCTTTTGGCGGAGCTGGCCAGACTGCGCCAGCGCAATCAGGCGGTTTTCAATATCGTTGGCGCGCTCTTCCTTGACTAATCGGATGCGACCTAAGCGATCGGCAGCTTCGGGATGCAGGATCTGGTTGAGAATGTGCTTTCGGGCATCGTCTTGTTGCCTATGGAGGGGTAAGAAGGTTAGTCTGTGTGCTCCGATGGTGCGGGGTGCTCCACGAGTTGCCTCCCAACTACGCTTTAGAGCAATATAGGGCCCTAAAGTATTAGAGAAGATAGTCAACTCACTGCTTCTGTCTCTCGGGGTCTTGTCCACCAGCACCGCCCTGGCTGGCACCACGACCGCCGCCGCCGCCCCCTTGCGACTTGAGCTGCTCCAAACGAGCCTTTCTGATCTGCCACCACTTGTTAGTACGAAGTAATTCTTGTTATTTTATAGAAGGGTTATCAAATCTATGATCGTACCTGTTCTAACTCGGCGTCATCCATTATGCGTAAAAATGTCCTGCACAGTTGAAGTGGCAACTCTCAGCTTTTCCGTCATCGCGGGGCGATTTTTGTTGCAGTCAAGTCCACCAACAGGTGGGGTCGCGTGTCTTGTGCATTGCTAGCCTGGAGGCAGAGTGTGCTACGATACTCCATGCTTCAGTTAAATTTAGACATGGTCACAGTATACTTCAAAGAACAAGTGCAACTTGATTTAAGATGATGTAGTGTGTATTTTCTTTAAATGTTACAAAATATATACCTCCGTTGCGCCTATGCTACAAATCCGGTCAGAGTCTATGAAATGTGTAAGGTGATGTACAGTTGACCAGCCGGTCTACTTTCGCGGTCGAGTCCTGAATTTAAATCCCAGATCGCTAGGAACAGACGTCTCTTCCATGGGAATATAGCTGTTTTGCTTCTCAATCGCAATCGAGTGCTTGCTCTTGACCATATTCCACATCATCATATTGGAACGAATATCCAGACCAAGCTTCTTAGCCCGTGATACAAAGTATCCGTTCAAGAAATTGATGTCTGTAGGCAATCCATTCTCTACCCGCCATCGTAATTCGCTGTCTTGCTTGCGCTTCTCGTTTAGCATGTTGTACAATAGCCTCTTGGGGCCAGGGCCGCGGACAAAATCCCGAATAATAACAGAGCCTTGTACCTCTGGCAAAGCCTCCACAACCAGAAGAATCTCATCTAGCAGCTTATGCATCATCTGCATAGCTGCTGGGTTCTGAATGATGCCTTCGTAGGAGATATCGAAAAGGAGGCAGATTGGCTCGGCTGTCGATTCGAAGATGACGCTTGGCAGCTTAAAGCGCAACCAAGCATCCAGTGGCGAAAATGCGCCCCGAAGACCGTCTGCTTTGGCAAATGATTCCAGGAAATGCGAGTTCTCCGTCAGCTGCTGCAGGCCATGACGCTTCCCGTGCCTGTTTGCTGGCATAGAAAGCATCACTTGACCAGAGCAAATCTCTTTGACTGCGTCATGTTCTTTGTTCAGCCCTAGACGATGGCTCATGTGTCCGTATAATAATGTTGGTCGCTGGGTCGTATCGTTGAAGAACTTGCTGCGTACGTCTTCCAATACACCGAGGCCGTCGTTCATAAAGCAGATTGTGGAATCCTTGTCGACGCGGTGCTTAACAGACTCCAGCGCTTTGGTGGCACGGTGCCCTTTTCCGGTGATTATGAGATTCTCAATGGGGGACTCGTCCTCTGCTGATGCCATACTCGTCTTCGCAGCCAGGACCTCTGGCACAACCGGTTCCGTAGCACCTCGAGCCTTTCGTTTTAATATGTTGCCAAATCGTGATGTCGGGTGGCAGGCAGAGCCTAACAGCTCCACTGAGTCGTATACGCTGGAGAGCGCATGGGCGATAAATTTGGATCGGGCGTCATCGCCAAGAATATGGATTTTGTGAACGGTAGGAGATTTCGATGCTTCTGCCGGTAAGAGCACGGAGGGGACGTAAAACTGAGGATCAGAGCGTAGGTTTCTCGGGATAGGGTCTGTAGCTACACCGTTGGATGATGCCCCAGCCCATGGTCGCTGGTCCTTGTATCCGAAGGCAACGCTTCGTTCGGTCTCGGTCGCTCTGGAGGAAGGTCGCTCGCGTGAGGATTGAACTGTTCCGTAGAGTCGACAGGGCCGTTGGCTAGGGCATTGAATATGCTGAACACATCTACCATGCGACCGTAGCAACCGGGCCGAAGCCCGTGGGTTATGTGCGCTCGCCAGCTTGACGGTTATCAGAATTCGTCAGGGGAGGTAAGATGCGCGTGCGAGCGCCGAGCCGTCCAGGGGTTGATGGGAAAAGTCGCTCAATACATTCGCTGTACAATCTAATATCTTTCGAGAGTGATATTAATTGGGTCGGAAATATTTGATCAGTGAGGTTGTGGATTGAGGATAGGGGATGGTAGCTTCGGTGCACGAGGTGGTAGAGGCTCACTTTTTTCCCGCTCGTAACGGGCTCGCTGACCACCCCGGTTAATGCATATATGCGTGACGCTCATTCGAGAAAAAAAATGTTACGCCCAGTAACGACTACATAGATCTCATACTTCATTCCAGAGCCCCATTGCACTTAATCTCATTTCAGATTAAGTAATTATTACGCATTATGTCGGGTGTAAAAGATATTGTCCCCGATCTCGAAAGACTGGATTCCCAATTGGATTCTCTTGAGGATGCCCTACAGCCTCTCTTTGATGGCCTCGATGACATGTCGCAGCTTCCGCTGCTAGACAAGGCAAAGTTATATTCTCTGACTGCCTATGCTATCGAGTCGTTATTATTTTGTGAGCATTACCTTGGAACTTATTCATTTGACAGTACACTGACTCTCTATTAGCCGCACTGAAGCTTGAAGGCGCCGACGCCCAGAATCATGCTGTATATGCAGAACTCAAGCGTGTCCAACAGTACTTTGGCAAGATTAAAGCCGCAGAAGAGCCTGCAGGTCAACGCACAACATCCGTCAACCAGGAGGCTGCTGCGCGCGTCTTGAAGGCTGATCTGGTAAGTTGGCACTCATCCTATCTCGATACGGCATACAGTTATTGTAGACCATCTACTAACACCTAACCTAGTCCGATAACAAGTTGCTGAGCAGTAGACTAGCTGAAAAAATTGCCGAGGAAAAGGCCAAGGCTCTGTTGAGAACCTTTGACAGCAAGAAGCGATCTGGAGACGATACTCCCTCTGGATCTGCCGATGAGCAGGGCAACAAGAAGCAGAAGCAGAAGCACCGTGGTAAAAGCAAGAGCAAGAAGTGAAAGTGCATTTGATGAAAGGACACTACAACCTCAAATTCGCAGTCACCAGCGCTGGACACAGATTACCCTGCGTGCGGTTCGGCCTCGAGCCACCAACATAACGACCAGTCACAATGGTTGCACGACTGGCTATATGAGGCATACAAAACGGCATTGAACTGATGATACGTCAGCCGGCCATGCCTCGGTACCTGTACAGGCATATTATCACGACTACGATACCATAGGATCCTGCGCCAGATCAAGGGATACCATATATCCCTAAACATAACGATGCATGATAACACATCACACCTCATAATATAAACATGATTATTATTATTATTGTTATTATTTTCTCATTTAAAATTAATTGCATTCTTCTCGTTAATGTTAGTGACTGTACTTTGGCCTCGCCACTGGAACCGTATTCTTATAGCGAGGCGCCGGCGGCTTCGATCCACGCGCCCAATTGCCCTGCCCCTGATTGGTCACTCCAGGCAACCTCCTCTGCGACCCTTCTCCAAGCTTCCACTTTATTGTATCGCCGACGAAAATCACTCCGAACAAAACGTCAACCCTCAATCCTCCTCCAACAAAACCACACAACCACACAATCTCCCATCACAATGCCTCGTCAAAGATCCGGCGCTCGCCCTGCTGCCCCTACCCGGACCCCTACTCGCCCTACGGCCGCTGCTCCTCCCGCTCCCCAGCAGAACCGCCCTGCCTCGACCATGGCTGCTCCTCAGCAGTACCAGCAGGCTCCTCCTGTCCAGTCTCAGGGCCCTGGTCTCTTTGGCCAGATGGCTAGCACCGCTGCGTACGTAGTGCCTTTTAATAGGATGCTGTGGTAGTCTATCCGCTAACAAACTTGTAATAAAACAGTGGTGTTGCCATTGGCTCCTCCGTCGGCCACGCCATCGGTGGCTTCTTCTCCGGCGGCAGCTCCTCCGAACCTGCTCCCCAGCAGTACAACTCCCAGGCTCCCGATCAGTACCAGCAGCCCTCGCAGGCTCAGCAGCAGCAATGGGGCAACAACTGCGGTGCCGCCACCCAGCAGTTCACCCAGTGCATGGACGAGAACAACGGCAACATGCAGATCTGCAACTGGTACCTTGAGCAGCTCAAGGCCTGCCAGGCTGCTGCCAAGCCCTACTAAGGGAGTCTACGTTGCTTGGTGATGGGAGATTTGTATAGCAATGCGAAACTGGAACCATGAAAACGACGACAACGATGAATACCACAAGTCTGACTGGGAACAATGTTCGCTCTGTTATAATTGTAATAGATACAAAGCATTGAAGCATAATGTCTGCAGAAGGATCATAGACGAATACAGGATGGCAGACTTCTTTTATATTGTACAATAGATGTAGCATTTCCGCTCCATGTTTGAAAACTCATAAATGATCATCAAAGATTTACTTCTCTTCATCCTCATCAGGCCTCGGCTCAAAATTAAGCTGTGATATGTTAGAATATGTTGATAACTGGAGATGAAAGTTTTGTAGACATACCGAGTTACCGTTATATAGTTGGTAATCCTTTTGCTCGCCCGTGGGCGTTTCGAACCCGTGTATCTTCCGTTCTCTAGGGGTCGAAACACCAGATGCCGACGCTGATGGCGTAGGCTCGGGATGCTCTTCTGCGTTGCTCCTCTCAGACTGGTCTCCGAGGCCAACCAGGCCCAGGATGGCTGTGAAAAATCCAATAATTAGAGCCAAGATCTGTCCAATGATACCACCTTGTCCCTCTGAGTATGCTGCAGCAAACTTGGGAACAGGGATAAGGAGCAGAGTCGATGACGGTGCTAACCCAGCTTCCCGCAGTGACTTTGATTCTTCCGCCACATCAATGTTCTTATTGGGCAAAGGGGTGAGGATCTGCTTAAACTTGTACGGCAAGTCACCATCAGTTCGCTCGCCGTCGACCCATTTACGGATATCGGCCACTGATGACGCGGTCTTAAAGCGGGAGCGAATCGTAGAACCATCCAGCAGTCTTACTTGAATGGCTGTCATTTCGCCAATTCTGGTCGTGGATGTCATTTTAGAGCCGCCAATACTGCTAGCAAGGGAGCTTGTGCCGTCGTCAGTGCTCAGCCTTCGTTGCCTCTCGCGCTCCTCTGCTTGCTTGCGACGGGCTTCTTTATCGTCCTCTATGCGTTTAAGAATACGTTGGCGTTCCTCAGACTGCTGTTGGCGCTTAGCCCTATAATCCTCAGCTTGGGCATTTGATTTAGCCTTCTTTTCTTCCGCCTTGGCAGCCTCAGCAGCTTCAGCAGCTTCAGCTTTGGCTTTGGCTTCCTTTTCCTTCCGCTCTGCTTCCTCCTTGACTTGTTGACCACGAGCAGCGCGCTCAGCCAGCACACGACGTACGCTTTCCGATGTATCGGCTTCGGGTGATGATGAAAGCCCAAAGGATGTTGTAGGAGGTGTGGATGGGACGGGTTGTCGAACAGGAGTGAGATGAGGAGATTGTCGAGGGGCCGGGTTTAGGGCGTTCTGGACACGGCGGAAGAAGTCATCTTTGGTGGTTCCAGCAGCAATGTATTCCTTCAGTTCACCATGTTTCATGATGACGATTGTTGGTGTTTTAGGCAGCGGGAAAATTTGGGCCAGATATCCAGCTTCGTCCGAGCCCGCCTGCAGTCGAAGAGCAAGGGCTTGTGTCTCGATTAACGGTTTAATCTGGCCTCTGTTAGTACAAAAAACACGCCTACGAGTCGATCAACGTTACCGAATCATCCTGGAGATATTCTGTTTCCCATTGCTGGCTCTCCTCCTTCCCATCTACGTTTTGTTAGCTAGGGGTGGACCATGGGCCAGGTTCAGAGGGCGTACCTGTGACGAAGCAGAGAACAAGCTTCTGCTTCTCAACAGCATTGGAGATGCCTTCCTGGATGGAGCCTGGGAAAAACATATCGCCGATGTCTCGATGCTATCTGTTAAGTGGTACAGGATGATGGGTTTGGCTGTGTGAAGCAGTGGCCACGACAAATTGTCCGGTAGCCTTGATTGCTCTGGTTGCCAAGGTCTGGCTCCGCTGGCAGCTCCAATTCCAATTAATGGCGGTAGCAGAGTCGGCAGGTTGTGGGTTTCAATTCGCAGACGAGTTTTACAATCCGCTGTCTAGTATGATAAGATTATCGGGCAGAAGCCGGTTGTGTGTTGTATGTGGCAAAGCTGCAGAGCCGAGCTGTTGAATGAATTAGGTGGCTGATTTGGGGACTCGTCGCTGCAATCGGTTGGGGGGATGGGCGTGTGACGTGTGATGTCAGCAGCGAGCAGCCCCGCCAAACAAGGACAGCTTTGGCGCAGCATCCCCACCTGGAGCGAGTGGTGTTGACTGCCTACAGGTGATAAACAGCGCTAAAAGGGCACTGAAAGAGACGCACAGGGGTGGCCAGGCTGTGCTTCAACAAAGAGCGGCCTTTTCTTAGCCGGCTTAGGCTAGTCGCGCATCATTGTACCTGTTGCATAACTATCAATCGGCCCATCGGCCGTTACCCTGAGTATGTGAGACTGTTGACGACATTAATTCCCTGGATATTCGCGATGCACAATCCATCCCGCAGCATCTCGTGAGTCCATTCAATCGAAGCTTCCTGGCCTATCCGCTACTTGCTATCGCCCTTATTCCCTTGCTACCCGTCTCCCTGGCTCACACTCTTCTGCAGCTGCTGTAGAGGAATCACAGCAGAACGATCATACTCTCGCTGCGGCGGTTGGTTAAGCCGGGCTTCTCTTCGTCTGACAGCCCTTGCATGACGTTTGCGCCGCACATTATATGCCCCCAGCATGCATATTGCCCCGATGCGTGCAATGCTGTGTGCGCCGATTAGCGATGACCCCTTACCGAATTGGAGGGGGGGACATACAGGAAAACAACTGAAAACACGATCAATAGATTTTTCGTATCTGACATAGCGGCTAAAATCGGCCTTCGAGGATCATCTGAGGGTGCGTCGCCAAAGCTGTAGTCATCAAAGGTGATTATGACCGCTGCGACGATTGCCCCTATGAACATCACTACGTTTATTGCTATTGAATATCGGATAAGCTGTTTATAGGTGAACATGAGTAACACATCGAGAGTATCGAAAATAATGGCAACTATAGCCTATGGTCAAAGGCATGCTGTCAATCAAGGCTCATCAGATGGCGAGTTGTAGAGTCATACCAGACCTGCATTGGTGGGATAGAAGTGAGGAAACCCTTGCCAATGTGTTAAAAGTATAGGTCAATGCCCAGCATTGTAAAAGTAAATGGTTGCAGAAGAGCGAAGCCTATCCGGTATGACCATGGTTGGGGCGGCATTGTATAGTCGCTTTGGGGCCGAGGGCCGTTCCCGTGATGACTATCGGTCATTGTTCCTGATAGTGTCCATTACAGGATCTCACAATTCTTGTGGCTGGAGAGGCGCTTAGGATTTATGTGTTCACAAATGCAGCTTGCACCAGTGGCGCCGTATAAATTTTACCTACTTCGCTCCGCGCTACGCAGCCTGGTCACGAGTCATCTTTGCTACCGTATACCTCCGTCCGTTTAGTACATACTATATGCTAGCGCAGTAAACATCTATCTATATTAGCTCCTTTTGCGCATTTTCACAATACTTCCTGAGAGTGCTGTTGCTACCAGTCAGCGCTTCTCAGAACGCTGGACTTGCAGCGTGTAGGTCCTCCACCATCGCCCTACGACACAGTGTGGAGCCACCCAGCACTCAAAAAATCCAACCATCGCCGTCCATGCTTCCACCGTCCTCCTCATCACAGCGGAACACCGCTCCTGCGCCACACCAATGAACAGCACAAACACAATGCTGCGCTCAATATGGGCAGCGCGTCCATTGGCAGCACGGACTGCGCCAACAACATGCCGCTCCTGTCGGCCGTCGCCATCCTCTGCGCATCCCCTACGACGACTCTTCAACTCTTCAGCAGCAAAGCGCGCCGAAAAGCAGGCCGCCGATGACCCCAACTTTGTCTCTATCCTCGATGTGCAGCCTCAATTAGTTCGCCAGAAGAGACGACATGGCCCTGGCCTCATTATCCTCGGTACGTTTCCCACCAGGGCGGCTGTCCCTCGCCTGCTAACCCTCGCTCTCCTACAGCTCTTATCCCCATCACCGCATTCGCTCTCGGCACATGGCAAGTGCAGCGTTTGGGCTGGAAGACGGACCTCATTACGAAATTCGAAGACCGTCTTGTCCGCGACCCCCTCCCCCTCCCACCCATGATCGACCCCAATGCCGTCAGCGAGTTCGACTACCGCCGTGTCCTAGCTACCGGACGCTTGCGCCACGACCAAGAAATGCTCATTGGCCCCCGTATGCGCGACGGCCAGGACGGATACCTCGTAATCACCCCTCTTGAGCGTGAGGGCGGCACAACTATTCTCGTCAACCGTGGATGGATCAGCAAGAAGCACAGAAGCCAGCGAAGCCGGCCAGACAGTCTCCCCACTGGTGTCGTCACCATTGAGGGCCTGCTGCGTGAGCCGTGGAAGAAGAACATGTTTACACCGGATAATAAGCCTGAAAAGGGCGAGTTCTACTTCCCAGACGTGAAGCAGATGGCCGAATTGACTGGCAGTCAGCCGGTCTGGATTGAGGCGACAATGGGTTCGTAATATGACGACGTTGTTTAATGGTCGTTGGTTTGGTTTGCTAACATATCTACAGAGCCCGAGTTTATGCGAATGATGGACTATGAAGCACGGGGCATCCCTTTCGGCAGAGCAGCCACCGTCAACCTGCGAAACAATCACGCCCAGTACATCTTCACATGGTAAGCTTATATTTGACTTCATAAAGAATAGAGGCTTGTTAACACATATGTATAGGTATAGTCTTGCTCTCGCTACCTCAGTCATGCTCTACCTCGTTGTCAGAAAGCCTTCGTCTGACATTGTGCGCCGCATCCGTGCGACCAAAGTACAATAACCTCCATACCAAACTTGTAATAGCACCAACAAAAACGCCAAAACATTTACAGGCCTGTACAATATGCCCTCTCATAGTTATACATAGTTGAATAACAACACCCAAATTTTCATAAAGCATCAAGTCCCGTCATCAGGTCTATTCGTCGTCATCGCGTGGCATCCGCAGTTCTTGAAGTAGTTCGCGTGGCAGATGTCGCTGTGCAAGAGAGAACAACGTCGCATTGGAAGTGATTTGACGTTGCCTATAGATAGATCTGGTTAGCAAGTTGAGGCTGGAGACAGAGTTGTACTAAACATACCTTCGCATTAACGCCATAACATCCCGCTCATCTATTGATTCACGCCCGGCGTGTTCAGCATAGGCCGCCAGATCGTCTGCAACTTGTTCAAAGAACCAGTCAGATGCCTGCGTCAGAGCAGTTACCACGTCGCCAGGTACCCTCGTGTTGCTGAGGCCAGACGATTGCAGGGCTGTCTGAGCAACTCTCTTGACAAATGCGGGGGGCAATGGAGGATACTCGGTTCCATTCTGTGAGAGCTTCTTGATCTTTTTCTTATACTTCGTCACTGACCCTTTTGGCCTACCACGGCCCATCTTCAAGGTGGTCTGTATTTGACGGGAAGTTCTTCTGGGTCCAGTGTCATCATCGACGAGTAGTTCTGCATCAGGGTCATCTTCATCAGGCAGACGCATTAGACTTAGACGTTTTGTGCTCTCACGCCTTGAAGGTGCCACAACCATTGGATCAAAATCCATGCCGTCGTCAAAGGCAGGTCCAGCGTCAAAGCCATCGTCGGAACCAAGTGCAAAGGATGGCTCGCCCGTAGTAGTTCCGAAATCGCCAGTTCGCCGCGATGCCGCGTTCGGAGCTCGAGCACCCTCAATAGGTGATGTTGGTGCCAGGCCATCATCCGGCTCAGACATGTGAAACGTGGTTTGATCCTCGTATCCAGGAGGCATGGTGAAGCCAACACCACTCTGGTCACCCATGCCAGACACTACAGTTGTATCTTCAGCCCTATAAACTGTTAGCATAAACATTCCCACAGCTCGACTCTGTGGTACATCTTACTGGTAGTACGAGGTGTCGACACTGGGGCCGAGAGAGATGCCGTCCCCCAAGTTTAAGAAATCCGATGGCTCTCCAGTCTCGTCGAAGGGATCGCCACGAACACTGAAAGCTGAAATTCGCCTGTTGTCCGCTCTTACGGGCATCTCAACTTCGGTTTCATCTTGGGGTAGAGGAAGCTCTTCGCTATCAATCAGAACCGATCGTTGTGGTATAGGCATCGTGTCGTCATCATCATCTATGGCCATGGATAGCCTTGGTCGGGTGAGTTCAGGCTCCTCTTCTTCCAGCTCTCGCCGCCGAATATCAGGAAGTTCTTGTTCGTCGTCATCAGTATCACGTCCAGGTGCTCGAGAAGCGCTAGAAGGGGCAGTGTCTCCCGGAGAGGAAGATGCTATGACGTTTGTAGTAGGGGCAAGACGTTTGCCTAGAAGTTGGAGCGCGTGAAATGGTGAATCTCTCTGGTCCATGCCGCTCTGGCGTCTATTCTTGCCCGGTGTCAACATGTTCGCTCGGCGCAAGACTTGAGCTCTCAGAGCGACTGCTGTATGTGGAGTTTGCGCATTGGTAGCCGGCCTTCGGCCCGAAGTCGTGGGTTCTCTAGGTGTAGGTCTATTCAAGGGCGTATGTACTGGCCTCCTTGACGACGATAGAGGCTCAACATTAACGCGGCCGCTGGGTGTTTGGGCGGCATTTCGTGCTGCGCGGCTCCCAGTGGGAGTGTCCGCCATGGTGGTGGCTCGACGCGCCTTTGGTGCTGATCGGCTCGTGAAATAAAATTTGCTCGGCGCGTTTCCTTTTTCGAGTCGTTTATACTACGTCGAGAAGTTCGCCTTGGATATGAAATAAGGAGGATGTCGATGGTGGCGGGTGTATGGATGACAAACAGACTGTATGCAAGAAAGTGGATGAGACGCGACGGATGTCCTCAGCGGACGCGACCGCCGAAAGGTGGGCATTTAGCGATGTGGGGAGCGCCCGCAGCCCGCCAACGGTCCCGGTGCGGTGCGGCGGGACTGCTTCCCGTACATCGGGGAAACATAGAGTCACATCCTGGGCTAACATGATCAGCTAAGAAAATATATCATATTGTCCTATTGAATTCTTGTTCATATGGGAAGGCAGAAAAATCCTGGCGTCTCACAAAATTGCATGTTGGTGGAAACTAGCACCTGGCAAGTAGATGCTGGCACCTGGCTGGCACCTAGCAACTTACTTCTGGACCACTGCAGAATACCAGTTTTATCAGATCTAGCCAATAACAAAGACGTCCACTGGATAGCACTGGAACTGAGCCACTGTTCGCTACAGACGACTTTAACTCTGCAAACCTTATTCAATCCTAAACATATTACGGCAGCGGATCGTCGCGCTAATCAGCCCTGCCGAGATTCGTATCTGCAAAGACCTCCCCGCTTGCCGATGGCCTCGACCCTTTACCCCTCATCCTTCCGCCAGGTCGCCCACATTAGTGAACTAGCATGCATCTTAATTGGGCCGAAACCTTATCCATTTCATCATCTTGTTAATTCCTCGTGTTTCTTTTAGGAAACACGTATACTCTCAACGTCGAGTTCGCTATTGTATCCAAAGTCGTTCTTATACTCTGGTCCACCATGGCACCAACTACAAAGAAACCACGCTTGCTCTTCTCTGCATTTCCGCTTGAGGGTCATACATTTCCCCTCCTTTGTGCTGCTGGATATCTAGTCAATCAAGGATATGAAGTTGTCTTTGTAGCCGGCAAGCAGTTTGAGGAGAGAATCGTCGCGATCGGTGCCGAATGGCTGCCACTAGCTGGGCCCGATGAGAATACGCCTCTTACGACGCAATTCCAAGAAGTCCTTGCGATGCCGATAGATATTATCCGAAATGGACTGCTCCTTACCCTGGTATTTTACAATACTCTGCTTTACCGAGTCAATAGCATGGTCGCAGCAATGGAGACGGTTAAAAAGCGAGATCCGGAGCGTGAAATCATCCTAGTAGAGGATATCATCAACATGACCTTGCAGCCATTCGCCTACGGAAGACCATTACCTGAAGGCTATACTAGCATGCCAAAAACCGTCGGTATTAGCCCTACAGCCCTAGTTCATGAGAGCGTCGATATTGGGCCGACGGGGCTCGGCCTTCTACCCGACTCGTCGGAAGGTGGCCGAGAGAGGAACAAGCACTTGTCATATCTGCTGCGTCGGGGTGCCCAGCCGTTTTTTGCCTCGTGGAAGCAGGCTATTACCGATTGTGGCGGCACGCAAGAGCCTACAGGGCATCCCATGACAGCATGGTTTACTAGCTACGACAGAGTCATCATGCTTTGTTCCCCTGGGTGCGAGTTCCAGACATCTGATATACCACCGGCAGTACGATTCGCTGGCTGCCTTCCACGTCGTGACATTGGTCCTAACCGAGTCAACCCGCCTTGGTGGCCAGAGCTTCTGGCCAACGCTGCCTTGGGCGACGCGCGCAAAAAGGTGATTTTCGCGACACAGGGCACCTGGAACAAGGATTTAAGCCAGATGCTGTATCCAGTATTCGAGGCAGTTGGTGGCCGGGACGATTGTATTCTTATAGCCACTCTGGGAGCCACGGGCGACAAACTATCCGATGATGTCAAGGTGCCAGCCAACACTTGGATCACGGACTACATTTCCTATGATGTAATTCTCGAGTATACCGACGTCTTCATTGCCAACGGCGGATATGGTGCGTTTAGCCACGCCGTAATGAACGGAGTCCCAGCTGTCTTTGCCGGACTTGCGGATGATAAACTCGAGGTCTGTAGACGGGCAGAGTACGCGGGGTTTGCGTACAACATTCGAACACAGCTGCCCACTGCGGAAATGATTCGCGTAGGAGTTGATGAGGTGCTTTCAAACCCAAAGTACAAACAAAGAGCAGTTGAATTACGCAAAGAAAACGAAGAGATGGACTGTCTCTCAAGTATTCAGAAGATTATTGAGGACATTTCCAAATGATGACATGTACGATAGGCGAGTATACGGTACGCCTAGATCGCGAATCGCAGTCGATGTATAGCGCAGCATAGTTTGTAATGTTTTTTTTTATTTTGAAGTACACGACAGCATTAATATGAGCACATTTTTGTCCCATTATATATTTGATACGAATGTAATTGAGTGTGTACGTCAGATTGTTTTTACTGAGAGATGGATACCCTGTAAGCGCGATGATGTACGACACTAATCCGTCTTACCCGTTCTCCCTTTTTTGGATTCAACGACTGTAAATAGTCATAACCATTATCACACGTTTGGCATAGTACCCGTACTCGAGCGGAAACTGAAGAATCGCGATAATGCCCGTGTTTGGCGCTAACGACGCCCGTGTATCAAGAACGTTTCGTGGACGGCAGATGCACACGGGAGTGCACGGACGTGTTTGGTTTAATACGCGTAGAATATTACGAAATGCGGGATGGAATAAAGACCATTTCTAGAACAATGAATAGAATTGCTTTTTTTATATTTTGAGTCATGCGGCAATCAGCGCTGTCCCAGGGTCAGGGAAGAAGCTGAACTACGTGTGAAGTAATTGTGCTGTGATAACACGCAAACACCTGCAGGCTATACGCTACAGGCTGTCTCGGGATGCTGTAAGGGCAGGTCAAGGAGTTGAAGCTGACGCAGTTGTAACTGGAAAGTTTTGGGACTGAAGCAGGATGAAGCTTTTTTTTTTCTATCAGCAGTTGCAGCAATGGTTTCACACGGACAGAGCTCTCAGCAAAAATCGGCTCTTGAGATTCGTCTTTTTTGTATGTTGTTGTTGCTGTTGCTGTGGTTGCCCTGAAGCTAAAGCTAAAAGCTGGAGCTAAGCTCTTTAGTGGGTGCTGGTGGTGCTTCTATCACCTGCTTTTTGGGTTTTGCGGTGCCTGTGCCTGGCTGGGGATTGTTCTATTGTGCTGTTATTTCCGCTCAATTATGTCGATATTTTTAACAAAATAAAAATTAATAATTAATACGGTTTATCATTTCTATACATACTGAACAATTTTCTCACCTTATTTCTGCTCCCCGACCCCCAAGGTCTCCTTCAAACCAAAAAGCTCGCCTCAAAAAACCGGTCACATAAACAAGGACCGCCCGCCTGCCTCGCCTCTCGCCTTCTGTTACCGCCCACCACCAAACCCGCCTGCTGAATCCACCGACCGCCCCCCCGAGCCGTGCGTGCAACTCACCCGCCCTTCTCCTTTCATTTCTCCTCCCCCTCTCCTCCTCCTCCAAAAAAGCAACTCTCGCCAACATTGCTGCCACCGCCTACCTCGTTTGCACAGTCTCGATTCCCAGTGTCCCGCCAATCCCGCCCGTTGCATCTCTGCTCTTTTCCCTCGCCGCTTGCATTTCGCTGCCGCATCCCAGCCTTCTCTTCAATACGCGCCGCGCCGTCCACTTGCTGTCACAATGGCTCAGCCAGGCGTTCGATCTCTCAAGGCACGTCCCCATCGACCATCTGCGCTTCGGTCCCGGCGCCCGTCTAGCTGACTCTGCTAACATTGATCCCCTCTCTACAGTGTGTTGTAACTGGTGATGGTGCTGTCGGAAAGGTATGCACTTCGTTTCCCGGATAACAAAAACACAATCCCGTGTCCTCTCCTTCGGCGGTGAAGCTGACCTTTGGCCCTCTAGACATGTCTCCTCATCTCGTACACCACAAATGCCTTCCCCGGCGAATATATCCCCACAGTGTTGGTCTACTCAATGTGAATACCACCCGCGGCACGGACACTGACTGATTGCGCAGCTTTGACAACTATACCGCTAGCGTTATGGTCGATGGCAACCCTATCATCCTCGGCCTTTGGGATACTGCCGGACAGGAAGATTACGAGCGACTTCGACCCCTCTCATACCCCCAGACTGACGTCTTCCTCATCTGCTTCTCTGTCGTCAGCCCCCCCTCGTTCGATAACGTCCGCGCCAAGGTAAGCAACTATCTGGCCCGCCGATGTCGTCCTCCGCGACTAGTCGTGCGCCAATCTCGTATTGCGCGTTCCGGCCACTGACCGAGCTTGCAGTGGTACCCCGAGATCGACCATCACGCCCCTAGCATCCCTATTATCCTTGTCGGCACCAAGCTCGATTTGCGAGACGATCCCGCCACTCTCGACTCTCTCCGCCAGAAGCGCATGGAGCCCGTTTCCTACGAGCAGGCGTTGGCTTGCGCCAAGGAGATTCGTGCCTATAAGTACCTTGAATGCTCTGCCCTGACCCAACGAAACCTCAAGAGCGTTTTTGATGAAGCTATCCGGTATGCACTTCCTATCTCTGTAACGAGCGTCCTCATGCAAGCTAACACGTAACCTAGCGCCGTCCTCAACCCCCGCCCTGCCGTCTCCAACAAGAAGAAGTCCAAGTGCACCATCCTGTAGATGGGCTCACCACACGCTCTAACGCATCATCGGCGCTTCTGCGCTGACGCACAAAGCTGCACGCAAGTGTATACCCCGATACGACCGCTCATGACCCTGGGCTCCAGATGCATCTAGGACGCGGCGCGACTTTTTCCCTTTTTCATGTCCCATTTTGTCGCACCGCCATCTTCTCTATACACATTACACGACCAGCATCGGACGATTCAAACTTGGCTCATCACCTCAGGCTCCGAATCTTGGCTGACCGCCCTTGGCCTGGTTTCTTTTATTATTTTTTCTGTCCTTTTTTTTCTCTTGTTAATCAAATACCACCAATTGCAAATGTAGACCGAGTCGAGCAGAACGGAATTCCTTTAGAAGCAACAACCCCCTTTGGCAAAGATGGCAACAGGCGCAAGATATCTGCCTGTTAGAAAGAAGCGCAGGAAAAAGGCGAAGGAAAGCGGCAATGAAGGCAACACGGGTCTTGTTTCACATATCATGTTGCCCGGAACAAGGAAATTGTTTCATGTGGTGTGGTCCATGTTCTTGGGTCTTTGTCGAATTTTATTGTCAGATTTTCTTTCTACTTTTTTAATCTCTAGTTCTTCTTTCCGATTACCTCTGATTTATGCTTCTTTATGTGCGCGCATGTGGCTCGTCTTGATATAGGCAGATGGATGCAATGCGGGTTGGGCTTTTTTATATTATACGCCATAAAAAAAGACAGAAAAATTATACAATCACGTCATCATGATAACCAAAAAACCGACACTCTAAATGCCCCCTCCCCCTCTAGAATCCTGCACCAGGCACAATACCACGACGGCTAGGGTGTATACTATCCTCCATATGCTGCTGCTGCTGTGTCGTGGTTCCGCTACCGCCCGCCGCCTTGGCAGTCTTTTCGCGCTCGATTCGCTTCGCTCTGTTCTCATCCAGCTTCTTGTTCTTCTCCATGATCTTGTCTTGACGATGTTGTGTCTTGCCGCCGCCTCCAGCACTATGAGCAGTTAGTCAGTCAACTCCCCACCAAAAAGACAAAAAAACTCACGTCAACTCAACGTTAATCTTGCGCGGCGCAGACTTGCCGTCCTCAAACATGGAGTGGTGGAACTTGTCCAGGCAGGTTCGCTGCGACCAGACGTTGCCAAACTCAACAAACGCGATGCCCTTGCAGGTGATGTTCTTGTTCTTCTCAAACTTGTTGGTCAGGCAGCGCACAGCAATAGGCGACAGGGACGCAAAGTGCGCAGAGATTGTGGCGGCCGTAGCTGTGAAGGGAAGGTTGCCAACAAAGACAATGTGGCGGTCGTTCTTCTTGGCTGTGCTTTCGTCGAGGTCGATGCCGTTGCTGTCGCCCTCGGGGGCTGTGGCAGTGGTGTTGTTCTCGGTCTTGGTCTCAGCTTCTTTCTTTTCCTTCTTTTCCTTCTTCTTCTTGTCTTTCTTCTCCTTCTTCTCCTTCTTCTTGGCAGACTCGTCGCCATTGGTGTCGGCCATGGAGTCCTTCTTAGGCTTGTCTTCCTTTACGGCCTCAGCCTCCTCCTCCTCAGGCTCGTCCATGTCGGGAAGGTTCTGAAGGTCTTTGCGCTTATCCTTCTTCTCTTTTCTGGTCTCACCACCCTTCTTCTTATCCTTCTTATCCTTTTTCGACTTCTTGACGGCACCATCAACGTCGTCGGTGTGCTTTCTCTTCTTCAGCGAAGGCTCGTCGGCGCCATTGGTGTTGGCGGGAGCTTCAGCAGTCTCAGCTGCCTCTCTGGCACGCTTGCTTTTCATAATTGCGATTTGTGTATGTTGTTGTAGTCCTAAGTTACGTGGAAGATGCAAAAGGTTGGGCGCGGCATTGCTGGCGCCGATTTTTTCTGCCCCGGCGTTCGACTTTTTTCTGGGTCCCCGCCTCATTGGGCAATCGATATGGGGAGCTTCCGATTGCGGTTATCGAACTATTATGTATGGCATTTGTAGACAACAGAATAGATGCCAGAAAATAGTAGAAATAATTCTAGTTATAGAAAGCAAAAGTTACATCCAAAAGAGGGTTGAAACGGCCGTAAAGGGGTACAGTTGCCACAATTGTACTCTCTACACTTGTGCAATCCTCTCACAGCGACTCTTTATTGTGATTTGCAAAGACAATTCAGAGCGATTTCCATTTATTACTATCGTGCATTCTAAATAATACTTCTTTCAAAGTAAAATCTGCGGTACATAAAAGGATGAGTTAAATAATGCCTCCAGTCGCGGTTATTATGCTGACTCCCTGCATTCACATAACTATGAACAAATTAAAGTCCCCAAGCCAATGAAACCAATGAGCTTAGAGCAAAGAGAATAATGTTTCGACTCTTGGAAATTCCATCGGACGTCCTGACGTCGGAAGAATTATCTGTGGCGATGCCACTCGCAGTTTCGGTAACCGTCACGAACAGCGTCGAGTTCATGGTGGCCGTCTTTGGCAGGTGAGGCTTGAAAGAGGTAGATGGGGCTACCGTAGAGATATTCAAGACATTCGAGGTGTCATGTTCGGGTATTAGGCGTGGAGCTAGCGAAGCCCAAGGCGATTGCTCTTTAACTGTCATGACGGACGTTTGTAAGTCTCCAGCATCGTCGGCGGTTATGATAGTGACAAACATGGCACTCGGAGGATGACTTTGTTTCGTTTCCATTGGGGTTTCATAGCTGGACTCTTGGCTTCGCCTCGTAGGTTCAGATGTTGTTCCGATGGTCTTGGTGGTGGAAGGACTGACATCACTCAGGTGGCTCTCAGACGCCACTCGAGTTGTTAAAGAAACACTGGCTGAAGTATGGCTTAATGAAGTTGCACGAGAAGACGATGTTCTGGTGGATATCACCTCCGCAGTCATGGAGCTTGCGGGTTTCTTGCTAGCTCCATCTGTTGTTTCGTAGGATGGTAAGGAGGTCTGGCCAGGTGTTGACGAAACCTTTCGTATTGTGCTAGTTTTAGCTTCCTCGCTAGTTGACGGGCTAGAAGTCGTTGGTATGGAGCTCACAATTGCTACAGAAAAGCTGTATGGGGGTGGCTCGTCATATACGTACAAGCTAGCAGTACTGGCTGAGGTGTAGCCAGCTAGCCGAGGTGTAGATGTTGTAGTATACTCCTGAAGTTGTACTGTGGGTTTAAAACTTGGTGTACTTGTACTTGTTTTTGATGAAATAGTAGAGGTATGCATAAAAAAAGCTGAGCTGCTTAGCTCCGATGTCGTACATGATGTACTGGTTGAAGAAACTGTGGAACTACAAGATGAAGATGAGGTGGCTGTAGTCAACTCTGCGACTGACATGGTGGTAAGAGAAGTTTTTGATACTGTAGAGACTGTGGAATTGGTAAATGAGCAAGGTGTGTCGGATGGCTTTTTCGGGAAATGCACATCAGCAGTTGGAGTAGTGCTCTTTGTTTCCAACAGAGTTGTATTGGAGAGCGTGCTGGGTAGTACATGCGTCTGGCTTGCTGGTGATTCGCAGCTGGTAGAAATATTCAACCCCTTGCTTTCCGTAGTAGCCTGTACTGAAACAGAAAGCGGCGTGGGTGTGGACGCTACTTCTGCACTGGAGGTACATGGTGTTGATGTTGGCATGCTAGGAGTCCTTGTTGAAGTAGCTGTCGTAGAACAAGGAGTATTTGCCAACGAGGGAGTAGTAGTAGTTGTTGGACAGCCGCATGAGGTACTGGATCCAAGCACTTCAGGAGTCGAGGTTGTAGATGTACAGCCAGAAGTGCCGACGTCGGCAGTATTATGAGCCATCATTCCTGTCATTGACGGAGTGATGTCGCCTGACTCTTTTGAACCGGACTGGGACGGCGTGTTTGGTCCCGAGTCTGATGAAAAAGTACCAATGATTGAATCGCTCAGAAATGAAGAACCAGATGGCGGGGTAATGGAACAGGTATGACAGACCCCAGAGGAGAATTGTCCTTCAGTTGTCAAAGTCATGGCCGGCTGCAACTCTGGGCTTCCTTCCGGAGTTGTTGGCCCTCTGTGACCACCAGGAAGGTCGGCTAAATTTGGAGACAATGGATTAATAGAAGGTGCTGGTGGCTCTATGGTAATGACACCGTCAGAACCTGCTTGACAGGCCACCGAGAGAGAAAAGCCATTTCCTGCAAACACAGTACTCAAGACATCGGTATCCTTATCCATGAGGGACTGCCGTCTTTGCCAATCGTGGGAACTAGATGAGCTGCTAGCATCATTGACTTGAATGGGATATAGAGTGGCAATATCAGCGCCAAGATTGGTGCATGAGACTATGGCTTGTGAGAGAGCCAGACCATAATATTGACTTTCGCATGTTCGGCCGATGCATATGAAGACGTTCTATTAATTGGAGTGAGTTAGTAGATGTACCAATGTTCGTAGAGGCAAATACTCCGAACCCGTTGCTTGACCAAATCATGGCACATGTCAGCTAAACTGGTATCATCTGATGCTTGTAACGTTGATTCAACACACTTGGCCCAGCACTCTGCTGCATAGTAAGTAGATATTCGGTCAGTATGGAACATATCAATCTCACCAGGATCTTTGCCCTTGACCCCATGGCAAGTCTTTATGCCTGTTAGGAACAAAATTGAAACGAGAGAATATCTCATGATGAAATCTGCTGCTGTCGATGATGTAGCGGTGGTAGAAGGAACTGTCGTAAATGACAATAATCACCAATAAAGGCAGTGAAGCAACTGTAATCCAAAAAAGAGAGCAATGATGAGCTGCAGTGATACAGACGAGCGAATGTTGAGATGAAAAAGCAATAGTTTATTTGACTGAAGGAGAACTAAAGGTAAGCATGACGGCGGATGCACGACACTCGTAGGAGGGCGTAACTTCCGAGGCAGGAACCTTGGAGTGCGCGGAAGAAGGCACCATTGTTGGCAGAGTTACAATTGCATTATCCGATTATGGTCCCAATTATTCGCTTAAGCCGGTCAAGTCGTTTAGAGACAGTCGGTGTTTGGCTGCTGAAAGATGAGAAATCAATAGGGCTGATAGGCGGAAGTCCGGATATAGTGGTTGTGAATAATGATTATATGATGGGTATCTAAAAGAACAAAAGAGAAAGCTTTTTATCCTCATCCGAATATCTTTCCTGGAACTCCTTCTTAGTAAGGAACTTTGCCAGGGGCATCATGGTGTCTTTCATGTCCAAGATTCCTCGCTTCTTCTGATCAATGTGAGACGCATCAACGACGATTCGGTGCAGACCAGTGAGCATTAATGATCCTATATGACAGGATTAGTTTCCTATTAGCTTCAATGCTTTTTAAGCAAACGTACCGTTTTCAATCAGTTCCGATAGACGCGCTGGTGTTCCGACGGCGATACCCGTTCTGGTAGCTTTAAGATATGTGACCTGCTCAGCAACCTTCATATGTTTGGCAAACTACCCAGGTGTCAGCTCCAAAAGTTGCAATAAAATCTTGAATAAAATTGCTTACCAGCTTGGAAATAGCGTTATCCTTGCCGCCGAACTTGCGGACAGCTCTAACGATGTTCGCTGCTCTTAAGCCTGCACCGGTGACGATGATTGTATGCGGTGAGCCGTTCTTCTTAGACGACTTGCTCAAGCTTTCCGGGTTACGACAGAAGGACTCGAGGAATTCCGGTAGCTTTTCTAACGTTCTGGTGCCTTCGAACCCAGTTGCATCATGAATGGATGTCGCTGTACATCAGAGTTAGCAGGCTGCCACCGGGCTGATGCATAACGATCGACGAACCTGAGATTGTCAAATCCGCCATTTCAACAGGGCTGAGATCAGTACCAAATCTACTGGTCTTTTGGGCGAGGTAATCGGCGAGAAGCTGGCTGTCGAGTCTAGCAATGAGAGTGTTGAGGCCAAGCTCCATGTCTAGAGACTCATCCTCTGCATCGTATTTGCTCTTCTTCTTTTTCTTATTTGTTTTTGTGGGAGCATCTTCTCCGGCTTTTCTTTTGAGATCGCCCATTGTGTTTGTGAGGCTTGTGATTGAAGCTGTAAATACAACCGTGCTTGTATGAAGAGAGTGTCTAAGAAAATTTTAGTAGCGTTACAGTGCCGAGCCAGGCGGTTGCTGGAAGTGGATACTGTGCCGTCACTGCCAGCGCCCAAACTGAGAATGAGGACACTTATTGAGGAACGAGGGGCTAATAAAATAGAATTAACAAAATAAAAAGTGATGTTACGATTTTGAATGGCCATTATTCAACTCGAGATGCTAAGCTGTCAACTTACCCACTCTGAAGAACGAAAACGGTCAGTGCAGAGTGTCCCCAGGCCAGTAGAAGCTTAGGAGACACTAAGGCAACATCTAGGCGGTGATAAATATATATATTGCAATGCTTATCTACATGAATATAGATGCTTTAATAAACCCAAAACAAGAAAAAGATCCCAAACGCCTTTTCTTTCATCATGATGGACTACGCCCTTCACACAACGGGCGCTACATTTAGAAGATGCCGTTAACAATCTTGCCACCAATAGTAGCACCAGCACCGAAAATGGCTGCGTTTCCAAGCTTCTTGCCAAACTTCTTGCCGTACTCTCCCGCCTTGCTATCACTGCCTCCAGCAGATCCGTCGTTGGCCACAGCCATGGGTGGTGCATTGGCGTTGTACGGGTTCTGCTGCTGAGGTGGCCCTTGAGGGTAACCGTACTGCGGTTGCACAGGAGCCACAGGAGCCTTGCTGGCTTCGTTGACTAGCACGTAGTTGCGGGGGAAGATACCCTCCTCGCCGGTGCGCTTGTTCTTGCCCATCCACCAGTCCTGGTTCATGTACTCGTGAACCAAGATTTCGTCATCCTTTTCGAAAGACACGTCACGGGCATCAGTGCCGGCGTATTTGTACAGAGCGCGAGCGTTGGCAATAACGGGCTTTGCGTTACGGTTCGGGAGACTGGGAGGAGGAGTGTCGTTGTAGGACGGAGGGTTCGGGGAATTGCGTTGGGCTGAGTTGGTGCCGCTGCTACCGTTGTTGAGGTTGAGGTTGTTCATAGCCTGTGTAGGTGCAGGGCTTGCATCGGAGGATCGAGCGGCGGCAGCAGGAACAGCGCCTGTGAGAGGAATTTCGGTGGGAAGAGAGGCATGGATAGAGTCAAAGGCGGACTCCTCGAGAATGCCCTTTTCGAGCAGCACATCAAGCTCCTGTTACGTGTTAGCGATACGGACAATAACCAAGCCTCTGGAAGTCATCTACGAACATCTTTGATTTTGCGGATGGCCTTGTTGACCTCGATCCGGCTTTGTCGGTCGAGAGAAGACATGTTGCGTGCAATCGGATTTGAACGAGCGGGGTGTGGTTTGTAGGTTGAGGCGTCGAGATCTAGAGGGCGCGTGGCGAACAAGAGAATATGTATTCTTCAGCCGCCCACTTTATCTTTTAGAGTTAAAGCAAATAGGTACCGGCGATTGTAGGGCAGAAGGGGGCGCTGGGCTGTGAAGATGCTGACAGGAGACTAGGTGACACTCGGCGCGTATTGCCACCAACGGATGAGGCTGTGCTCAGGCTCTGCTGATTGGCTCCACAGTTCACGGGCAGAGGTCTGGACGCCGGAGCAAGGTGCAATTACAACCATGGGAAATTGCCTACACAGGAAATATGAGAGAATTAGATAGAAAATTGCTTTCCTTATTGTATCTTTCAATTGCTTATTTTGCTTTTTATACATCTAAAATTGGAATCACTCTAGTCAAGACAGGGATATCTGTCAAACTTACGCAAGACCCTTACAAGAACTTGCTGTCCTTGACGGCGTAGAGGTCGACGTACTCGTCAACGGTCATGGCCTCAAGCTTCTTGGGGTCCTGGCCGAGCTCGACGAGCTCGTTGACGCGAGCCTCGGGCAAGTGAGGGCCAAGGTGACGCTTGTACTTGGCAAGGATGACGGGCTTAGCCTCCTCACGGCGGAGACGGTGGCCAAGAGGAGCCTCGACGACAACCTCCTCCAAGACGGTACCGTCGTTGAGCTCGACGGTGAGGGCGTTGGAGATGGTGCGGAGGGCGGGGTCGTGGTAGTCCTTGGTGAACTGGGGGTCCTCAACGCACTTGATCTTCTGGCGGAGGGACTCGACGAGCTCAGAGGTGGCAGCCTCACCACCGTCAGTGTAGTCGGTGGCCTCGAGGCGGCCGAAGACGAGCATGACGGAGCACATGTACTGGATGCAGTGGTCACGGTCGGCGAAGTTGTCCATGGGCTTGAACTGCTTGTCGATGATGCGGATGCAGGCCTCGTGGGTGCGGCAAGTGATGCCCTTGATGTCGGCAGCGGACTTGCCCATGGCCTTGAGCTGGTGGAAGATCTTCTCGGAGGCCTCGACGGCGGTCTGGGAGTGGAACTCAGCTAAAGAGAAATGTTAGTCGTGTTCTACTTGATCCGGGGGCGAGCTCCCAGCTCATTTTATAGTTAACATACCAGGGTAGGAGACCTTGAAGAGAACGTTCTCCATGACGTAGCTGCCGTAGGGGCGCTGGAACTCGAACTTCTTGCCCTTGAAGAGGACGTCGTAGAAACCCCAGACGGGGGCAGAGAGGACGGTGGGAACACCAGCCTCGCCCTTCATGACCTTGAGAGCAAGGTTGACAGCACGCTGGCAAGCATCACCGGCAGCCCAGGACTTGCGGGACATGGTGTTGGGGGAGTGGCGGTAAGTACGCAAGCTCTGGCCATCAACCCAGGCCTGGGTGACGGCATCGGCAATCTGCTTCTCGTTGAGGCCGAGCATCTTGGAGACGACGGCGGTGGAGGCAACCTTGACGAGGACAACGTGGTCAAGACCGACCTTGTTGTAGGAGTTGAGGAGGGCCAGGCAGCCCTGGATCTCGTGGGCCTTGATCATGGACTCGAGGACATCCTTGATAGTGAAGATCTTGCCACCGGCGAGGTTGCCGCCAGCCTTGTTGGTACGGTTGATCCAGTCAGCGACAGCAAGGATAGCACCCAAGTTGTCGGAGGGGTGACCCCACTCAGCGGCCAACCAGCAGTCGTTGAAGTCGAGCCATCGGATCATAGCACCAATGTTGAAGGCACCGTTGACGGGGTCCAAGACGTAGGGGGTACCGGGCACCTTGGTACCGTTAGGGACGACGGTGCCGGGGACGATGGGACCGAGGAGCTTGGTGCACTCCTTGAAGCGGAGGCCCTCAAGACCGCAGCCGAGGGTATCAAGGAGAATCCATCGAGCAGTGTCGAACTGTACAACCACGGGTTAGCATATATTATTCTTTTCTTTTCTTTTCTTTTCTTTTCTTTTTGTCTTTCTCCTTCTCCTTCTTTACTTGAAAATTGAAATTCCAATGGGCATTTTTTGTTTGCTGGTAGGTAGGTAGCCGAGGGACCCCTACCCACGAAGGTGTTGTTGGCGGGGTAAAAACCTCGCTCCCTTCCCCCAACAAACCCCAACATTCACAGGCAACGGGCTATTTGAGGCACTTACAGCAAGGTCAGAGTCAATGGGCTTGTTGGCGACGTAGTCGGCAATGTCCTTGATCTCAGGATCGTATTCTCTAGCAGCAGCAGGCATGACGGGCGCTCCGGATTGTCTGTTGATGGAAGTAGAAAAGTTGCTGCGGGAGGAAATAATGGAACCGTTAAGGCGAGCGGCGCCGACGGAGGCCGAGCGGATGGAGAGGTTTGCGGCAAGGCGAGAAGGGACGCGAAGCTGCTTGGTAGCGGATCGCAAGCTGCGGGTGACAGCAGACATTGTTTTCAATTGAAGAGGGGAGAGTAAGGGGAATGGATTGAGCCGATTTTCTATTATTTCTTGCTCCTTCTCGATGGGGGAAAGGAGGATGAAAAGAGTTGAGGTTTCGGCCAAGAGAGAGAAAAACACGGCCGTTGGTGCTGAGCCGAAGATTTACTGGGGATCTGGCGTGCGCTTTTGCCGCGGCATTCCGACGATTTCGGCAGAAGATTTTGCGGGTTGGCGGGGGAAAAAAGTGAGCAACTTTGTTAGGTAAGCCGGCTACAGGGCAGTAATCCGGCTATACAACACTCTTTAGCCTAGCTCTGCCTTGCGTAGCGACAAGGCGGAACACCGGTGAAACCTTTACCCATCCATCCGACCGGCCGCCGACCCATTCCAGTCGGGATTGAGCCAAGAAGTTTCAAATATTTTAAATTCGGACCGGAATAGTGGCACAGCCGTTGGTATTTGTAGATGCTTATATTTAAACTTTCGATGGCCGGACCGTGTCAATTGACTGGCTGCTCACAGATGAGGTCATACGGCAATATGCGGGAGGTGTCAGTGCCGCTCATCCTGTAGCGTAGACGCTGGGGAATCAGTAAATGAATCGTCGTTGAAACATGTATAATTGGAGCCATCCCTCTTTATAGAACAGTTACTGTGGTGGCTTATAAGTGCAACTTGCATTTCCGTACCTGGAGCACAGAGATCGATTATTTAACGAGTATATATATATATAACTCTGTTATATATATGCAGTGAAATTCGATGGGTTAGCGTTAAGCAAGGTAGGAAGCGGCGGTGGCTGGTTCGTCGTGCCTATATAACACTCTTCTATAGACCATGTATAGGAGTACAAGAGAGCATTGCCACTGTAATTGATATTGTGGCGTTCCAATATAATTTTCAAAATCAAATACGCGTTTTTACACTGCTTATATAACTGAAAATCTGCTTATAGTTACCCAAAAGGTCGTGTGCTATGCCGTAGAAGTCGATGCGCCTAGAAACCAGTTTACCTATTAACTGCAACCAGAGAACTTTATGGCAGTGAAGATGAGATTTCGACGCCTCGACTAGGTTTTGGTAATGTATTCTACACTTTAGTCAACTCTTTTACGTACTCTTAATATGGAAAATTCCATTCGGTGTAGAACAGCAGCTAGCTTGGTCTTGTTTATGGCAACAGCAAGGTTGATATCGGGTGGCACGGCACGCTAAAATGAGCTTAGCTGTAGATGATCCTCTTTCGTCGATAACAGCCCTATTACTACTGCCATGTAACGTTGAAGCTAAAACCAAAAACTCGTACGGTGGCTGACTTGGGGTTAGTTTTCACGGCACCAGTCGGTGCTTCTCCAAGCTCTTCCCAGTGGGGGCTGGCGCTCAATGTCACAGGAAAAGTCGACTCTACAGGCGTGATTAGTTATTTACTTACATTGTTCACTCATCAAGACACTTTCTTCGGCTGGCAAGTGGAGCCCAATGGCCAGCCGTGTCCGAGGTTTGTTCTGTTCTGCATGAACTTGTGTTCGCAGCGAGGGGAGGCGTTTGACAACATGGCAAAGATAAAATGCGACAACGGACGAAAACGGAAAAGATTTGCTGGAGCAGGTGGAGAGCCGTGGGCAAGTGGGCTGCTAATGGCGTAAAAGGGCTTCAAATTAGCCATTTTGCTCGGGGCGTCGCCTCCTGCATTTCCTTTGCCTATCCCAGCGTGATGTTCAGCTTCTCCAGGTGCCCGTTCCAGCGCACCTCAACGCGCTAGGCGCTGAAACGAGTGGCAATCGCCGCGGTGGTCCCGAAGTTGAACGGTGGTGCCGGGGCCAGCCAGCTTAAGCTAGACCAGTTCTGCCTGTTAACATCTGTTAAGAAGCTCTTGTTAGCGAAGCGAAGGAGGGTTTTGGGTGCACTGGGAGCTGGCTAGGACCGGTTCTGTCAGTGCCTGGTGGGCTGTACACGCGCTAAGAGCGGGGAACACCCGCTGAAAGAGGATAGGCCTACAGCGCACTATAGTGGAGGCTGTAACAGAACCTGGCCAGCCGCTAGCGCTGGTGCAGAATCCCTTAGGGCCATCGTGCAGACGCTAGGGGCTGCTCCGCGCCGCCTTTTGTTTGGATGCGGCATGACGGGCGCAGCGTGCGTCTCGCTGCTTGCATAGAAGAAAGTAACTTCAACATGTATAGACGATCCGCTAAAGAGCGCTAACACTGTTGCTTAGCGTAAATACGTTGTACGTTTAGCGCACTGTAATTGGTGCTATTGCCAATGTCTCTTCTTCAGACCATGTCGCTCAAGAGAAACGATCGCCACGCCGCACCGCGCTGCTGTTGTTCCCCGGCCCATCGTCTCATGGCTGAGGCAAAGGAATCGCTCCATGGCTTCGATGACGTCGAGGCCCGAAGTTGTAGTTGCTCAAGTGGTGCACACTTGAGCACATATCGTAGAGATGTCCCTTGATCAGCGTCACGGCTCTTTTGTTGACAGTGCTTGGCGACCCAAGTCTTCGATGTACAGTACCAGTGCATGATGTAGGCTGGATTAAAGTGGCTCGATCCGTAGCTGTTGGAAGCCTCGCACAAATCGACTTAACGAGAGCCCACTAGGATGGGATGGGATGTCCCCGGATGAGCGAAATCCGACCAGTGCCTATTCGTCGACTGTGGAAGAGGCCGTCATTCTTGACTCATGAGCTGTTTTGTAGAATGTAGAACTTTTGCATAGGTAGAATGCTACGCCGCGGCCTGAAAGTTTCTTTTTTTTTTTCCTTTTGGTCGCTTGTGAGCGCCAGTCGGTGTAATTCTGGTTGTTTGTAGCTTTGCAGGGGCTGTGTTCCAGCTGCTCCCGTCCCGCCGCAACCCTCGTGATCGGCGCTTTCTCCTCTCGACTCTATGACGGCTCACCCAGATCGAGCTCTATATCTGGACCATCACAGCTGAAAGCCACGAGGTAGCCAGCGAGTAAGATAGTGTACAAAGTACCCGCGACCCATCTGGGAGTAGCCGGTGGGCTTGCGTCGCATTGTTTTCCAAACGTAAAGGCTGCCACCCTTTTGCGCATTCGGGTTCTACAGGCAACGTAGATACAGGGCATTATTTCGCAGGTGACTTTGAACGGTGTTTGAGTCGATAATATGCCGATGGTAAGAAAATTCCTGCTAGGACAAGACCCTGTCGAGAAAAAAAAGAGCAAACGCCGGCTTGGCTAGTCGGAGCCGTGGGTGTACCACCCAGTTCCCGAACACACAGCGAGGAATGCCCTGTCAGATTTAGACGCCCTGGTAGATCGTGGCTGGCCCACGGCCCATGGCGTGCTGAAACTTGCCTGTAATGTTTCGCTCTGCCTGCCCGCTCGCTTCCTGGCTTTGGGATGGATCGGCTATGGAACAGTGAACGAGGCATGACAAAGGTCTTTGGTGGCCAGCCAGCCCATGCTGCAGCCGAGCCCAAGCTAATCAATGCAATGCCGTGCAGCTGTAGGGTTTTTAAGGCTCCTATGCCCAAGCAAACAATTGCATTCCGGCATAAAACAGAGACAGCAGGGACGCAGAATATGACACACTGGTACAGTACAGTACCATGCAGCGGGATGTTGTACTTTGTAGGAGCGAAGCAAAGCGGGTAGGGCAGGCAAATGACGAAAAGAGGGCTCCCTGGGTCAGGCTTGGTACGCTACAGAACGCCGCTACAGGGGCGTACAGTGGACGCCTGCCATGGCGGTGCGCCAGCGGTGATGGTCTGATGGGCCCTGGGACCGCCAAATTGCCCACTTTGCAGGCGCTGAGCGAAATGGAAGTGGACCCTTTAGCCTCCATTTTTGCGGGCTTCTCTGTCTTTTCTCTTTTCGGAAATGCACCTCATCATAGACACACGCACAGCGCAGCACAGCACACACAATCACACACACCTCACCTCAGGCACGCCCCCCTCTGGCCTCTCGCATGCCTTAGAAATGCGAATGCGCCGAATGGAAAAGAAATTAGAGCTTAGCACACCGGGACGATCATTTTGCATGGTTAGCAAAATGGTGGTCTCGTCATAGCACCCAACGTAAAAAAAAAAAAAAAAAAAAGAAGAAGAAGAGAAACACAGGTAGCACACAGCCCGTAGACCTCGCAGCTCTTCTACAACTTCACCACCACCACCAGCACAAGCACCCCAACAACATAGGGCCAAGGCATTGCTCTTAAACTAGTCGCCTGCCCCCACCGGTTACCATTATATCGGCGAACAGCGTAAATGGTAATCTGTCAAACAACGAGGCTTGCCATTCCTTTCCCGTTTTGCTTGTAGTTCGACCCTCTTTCCGCCACACCTTTGCCCACACACCCCTCCCTCTAGCACAGGTCTTCTTTTTCCCTACCTCTTCCCTCTCCCCGCCTTTGGTCCCTGTTTCTTTCACCTTTCTTTTCCCCTTATCATTCTTCTTTTTGTCTTAGTACGGTTTGTTGTTTTGCCATAGGAGAGCCTCTGTTGCTCTTCTCTTCTCCTCGCTCGCTCTTCGCCTACTCTAGCCATGCCCGCCGGCAAGCTCCTCATCTATCTCCTCCGGCGGGACCTGCGAGTTGCGGATAACCCGATTCTTAACCAGCTTTCCAACAACCCGGACCACGGTTTCGACTTCCTCCTCCCTCTCTACGTCTTCCCCCGAAAGCAAATCGAGCTCTCTGGCTTCCTCGAATCAGGCGCAGAGTCACCATATCCACCCGCTGTAAGCGATATTGGCAAGTTTTGGCGATGCGGCCCTCATCGTGCCAAGTTTCTAGCAGAGGCTGTCTGGGATCTCAAAAACACTCTTGAGGCGTCAAACAGTGGTCTTGATATTCGTGTGGGTGAGCATGGTGACATTGTCCGCCGGCTCATTCAACACTTCAAATCCACAGATACACCTGTAGGTGCTGTATGGATGACGGAAGAGGTATCAGTAGAAGAGATTAAAGAGCAGGACGATGTCAAGGAAGCCTGCACTGCAGCCCAAGTGGATTTTAGGCTCTGGGCTGACGAAAAATACTTTATCGATGAGTATGTGCAAATACACCATCATCTCTGGTCTGCCATTTGCTGTCCCTGCTAACCCACTTCACTAGCCGCGACACAGGCCTTGAGACGCCTGAAGAGCTTCCCGATGTGTTTACAACCTATCGCAAAACGCAAGAGCCACTCCGACAACGCCCCCGAACATGCTTAATAACGTCTACCGATAAATTACCTTCATACCCCAAAAGCTCTTCTATCCCAAGACAGCACAGTCCTTTTGAGACTGCAGCATCACTCGATGACTTGATAGAGCGCCTGCGTCGACCTCTGATATACGACCTCGATACGATACCAACACTTCCGGCTGGCACGGAATCGTCTCACCCATTTCTTGGCGGAGAACAACCGGCATTTGAACGTCTGGTTCATCTCGTCAAGTCTGGTGTGATGAACACTTATTCAGATACTAGAAACGCACTCCTGGGGACGGATTTCAGTACCAAGCTATCAGCCTATCTTTCTTTTGGTTGTATCACAGCCAGACAGATCCATGAAGAGCTTCTGAAGCTCGAAGATGGCAGCGATGATTGCTACAAAGATACAGCGGCATATGGTGAAGGAGAAAACGAGGGAACCAAAGCCGTGCGCTTTGAGCTGCTTTGGCGAGATTACATGCGACTGTGTACCAAAAAGTTTGGTCACAAGTTGTTCATGCTTTCTGGTTTCCGACAAGATGCAGAATATAACAAGAAATGGAAAACCCCCAACGCCAAAAAAGCCGAAACTGGTCAAGATCCGACGCCAGATCGGGTCGATGTTATTCTACGACGCTTCCTCTCAGGAATGACGGGAATGGGTCTCATCGATGCGGCTCAGAGAGAGCTCTACCTGACAGGTTACACATCTAACAGAACTCGTCAAAACGTTGCTTCTTTCTTTGCCAAGCATCTTTTGCTTGATTGGAGATACGGTGCGGAGTGGTACGAGTCGCTTCTCATAGATTACGACGTCTCGTCAAACTGGGCCAATTGGCAGTACGTGTCTGGTGTCGGAAACGACCCCCGCGGCGACGCAAGAATATTTAACCCTGTAAAGCAAGCCTTTGATTACGATAAGGAAGGCTCCTATGTTCGGGCGTGGGTTCCAGAGGTTAGCAGTTTGGATAAGATTGAGAATATCTTCCAGCCGTGGACAGCCAGCGCCGAGGACTTGGAAAAGGCAGCGCTCAGCGACAGCATCCTCGTTACAGACCCTCTCAAGCGAATCGAGTTTACAATCGAACGAAAGCCAAGATCTAACCGTCGACCATACACACGCGGACGTGGCAGAGGTAACGCGCGGGGAGGGATGCAGAATCAAGGCCAGGCTCAACCTCAAGCTGTTAACTTCCCAACTGGACACATGGCCCCCATGCCACCTCCCAACATGGTTCCTATGGCTGGGCCACCAGCCATGTACTCTCCAGTACCATATGAGGCTTCACCACCTTATGCGTGGAACCAGCCAGCTCCCATACAGGCGCAATGGGGAGCTGGTCCCCCCATGGCACAGCCCCCGCAGACCTGGAACGGTGCGCAGCTGTGGTATGGTGAAAACATGATGGCTTCCCAGGTCCATATGGGATCGTACCGTGGCCGTGGAGCCTTTGGGGGACGAGGAGGTGGTCCTGGGCAAAATGGCCAGCGCCATTGAGATGCCGTACGCCAACCTGGTAATCAGCATCTTCACGTTACTGTACTATGAACGCATATTATTGCAATGGATATGGGCAGGTATCAAAAAGTGAGGTTTTCCTTTTTGTTATTCTTTTTACGGTCGAATTTGGTTTTTCTTCTCTTCGGAGTAATGCTTACGAACTAATGTGAAATATGTCACACAGCATTTTTGTTTTTAGACATGTATATATGCGCACACTACATATTTGATTTTTGGTCGCCAGAAATCTGTCTAGCGAGGTGGGAATCTCTTGATGTATAATCATAATCTGATGATCAATATAATGAAAAGATATTTTAAACGATAATATTTATTTTGAGTTTTTCCAGCCAGTGTTGAACGGGTGCTGGGATCCGTCCGACGCTTTCGCCTGACAATGGTTGGAGTTGTTCTGGGACAACACTTCGCTACTGTACCTGTACACCCTGTATATCGGTACTTTCTATATAGCCTTGGTGGGTGACGAGGGTGGTACACTTGCTTGTCGGCCAATCTATCACAAATCATCTTTGGCGTCTTAGACCACCGGCAAGGGCTGATCCGGAGCAACGTGTTAGCCGTTATAGCAGCCCCGTAGGACAGGCAATTTTATTTCTCAAACAGACAGCGCTTAGGGCCTTGTACCTATCCACTAGCTTTGGTACTATAGAGCTGGCATCTAGTTTGCTAGGTGGGTTAACCAGTACTGTGTTGGCAATCATACGAACAGTAATACTAGCAGAGCGTGTCATGTCCTGCGCTTGATCAACCCACAAATCTTGTTCTTCCATAGCGAGGCAGAAACAGTAGCTTCTGATTAGACGGATCAGGGGGTAGTGTGCATGTATTCTTCTAGACGCTGGCTCACTACTTCTATTAAACATCGATACGCGTTCTTAACAAACACTTGAACAAATGGCAGCTCTGCACGCTTTCACACTATGTTTGGCAGTCTCAACAAACATTCTTTACCAGTATTTTTGCGTATATGTACAATTTTATAAGGTCTTGCGGCTCTATTGACGTACAACACTTCTTAATGTATCATTTCGTCTTCTTAACGTCGGTGTCGCATACAGTATAGCACCAAGTTATATATGCACTGGGCTACATACTCGCAAGTAGGGTGGTATTCTGCCAGCGCTGAGGCCACTCAAGTGCGTCGAAGCGGAATCCACAGCGGGACGGGTATGCCCCTTGCAGGGGGAACTTAGTGCACAAAAGTATTGTTGGGATGGACGGATGATTAAAATAGCAAAGCGTGTCCAACCGAAAGGGCCCCTGTCAAGCTGAAAATGGTTTGCGGGAGCCGCGGCAAATGGTGCGTCTACAGTCGCATTCCGTTCGTCAGTGTTGGCAGACTCGTGAAGCATTAAGTTTAAATTACTAACGGGAGCGAGATTGGTTTTTGTCTCTGATTTTTTGCATTACTTAGAATATTTTAACGCTAATCTTGGGCCCTATGCAATAGCGTGGCTCGTTCATCGCGTCTTTTTGGTTGTGTTGGACGCGTCGGGGATGACTCGGTGTGTATCGGAAACATCACTCGCATATCCGGGAGAGGTTTAACTGCTGTTTATTTCAATGGAAGACGATAATTTATCTTTTACCTTATTTGAATGGGGTTGTTTGCTTGTCCGAGTCTCCTCCACGAAGATTCAACGGCAGCCTTTTATGACACTCTGTTAGTGCCAACGCCACATCGTTATAGTGTGTACACAAAGCGCCATCAACCCAAAATACCTACTTGAATTATTCAACTACAAATAAATATAGATACCTTTTGCAAACACCTACCTTATTGGCATGCTATAGTTTTTTCGGTGCGCAAAATGTCCCGGGTAGCTCGCTCGCCTTCGTATGCGTGGTCCCTTCGGTGGGGTGTAGTGGGGTCGCCGGTCGACTCATCAGCAATGACGCATCAAAACTTCCTTTCGAAACGCTTCTAACGCTTATAACTGCGCCAACTCGCAGCACTGAAGGTTGCTGTACTATTCAATTCTACTAAACGATACATTCACAAGCAAATCTCACAGAAATGGCGCAGTCTGCCGACCAGCTGCTCCGGCGGCCGCTCTATGGTTCGTAGCCTCGGAGCCGTGCACATTGCCACTACTTGCTAATACAATATCGACAGTCTACGACTTGCCACCGGAGATTCTCACCAGTTTAACTTTGAAACAAGATATTCAAGCAGCACCAGAGACGATAAAAGCCACGGAAAAGACGCGCGAACAGACCACGAACACAGAGGACTCCTCGAGCTCGGATACAGCTGCCGGTACCTTAGCTTGCTCTCTTTGTGGCCTCTCGTTTTCTACAACATTTGACCATCGCGGCCATTTGAAGTCAGATCTTCACAACTATAACTTGAAGCAGAAGCTCAAAGGGCTCAAGGCTGTCACTGAAACTGAATTTGAAAAGCTGGTGGAACATCTCGACGAATCCCTATCAGGTTCAGACTCTGGCGAGACCGATGACGAGGAACACGATCGACAAGAGAGCACGCTATCAGCGTTGCTTAAGCGCCAGGCCAAGCTATCAGACAAGGCTGGCGCACCACAAGAGGATATTGGCGATGACGAAATCTCTGGGAAGCCTGGCGCTGTCAAGCACCCCCTCATTTGGTTTGGTTCGCCAATCCTACCTGTAAATAGCTACTTTGGAGTCTACAGAGCACTCTTTACCGAGGAACAACAAAAGAATCCTGAGTTTGTTAAGGAGTTGATGAAGAAGCAGCTCGATCCAGTCTCTATACCGCGACCTGGCAAGGACGGGAAACTACCAGAGATTGCGTACAAAGGACCACACATCTTCATGTGCATGATTGGTGGCGGTCACTTTGCTGCCATGGTAGTTGCCCTTCCACCAAGAGCAACAAAGCATGGAAGTTCCGCTATGAACCGAGAGGCCACTGTACTAGCCCACAAAACCTTCCATCGATATACTACTAGAAGAAAGCAAGGTGGCTCGCAGGCATCTAACGATAACTCTAAGGGTGCAGCACACTCGGCCGGTGCTACACTACGACGATATAACGAACAAGCTCTCGTGGAGGATGTACGGTCTCTGTTGAAGGACTGGAAGGGACTATTGGATACCTCTGAGCTCCTCTTTATTCGAGCTACTGGAATGACGAACCGACGAACTCTATTTGGACCATACGATAACCAGGTTCTTCGTCATACAGATCCCAGAATCCGAGGATTTCCATTCACAACTCGTCGAGCTACACAAAGCGAACTGATGCGGTGCTTCATCGAACTCACCAGGTTCAAGGTGAAGGAAATAATACCGGTCGTGGAGAAGTCCTCGGAATCATCGCCGATGCCCAGCAAACCGTCAACACCGAAGCCAACAAAGCCCAAGTTGACAGAGGAGGAGCAGAATGCTCTTCTACATACATCACAATTACAAGCCTTAATTCGACGGTCGAAACTTCCGGGGCTGTTATCATATATCAGCAGCAATCAAATATCTGCAGACTTTGAATTTCAACCACCAGAGACCAACAGGCATGCGCCTCGGCCACTACACATGGCAGCAGCACAAAATTCAGCCCCTATGGTGTTGGGATTATTAACCCGGGCTACTGCAAACCCTACTTTAACAAACGATGATGGAAAGACAGCATTTGAAGTAGCAGGGGATAGAGCTACGCGAGATGCGTTCCGAGTTGCCCGATCGGATCTTGGGGAATCGAAATGGGACTGGGAGGTCGCCAAGATTCCGCCTGCCATGTCAAAGGGAGAAGCGGAGAAAAGAAACAAGTCAGAAAAGCAAGAAGCAGATCAGAAAGAGTCTGAACGAAGAAAAGCTGAAGAGGAGCGGCTGCGGACCGAAGGTCCTCGAGTGCCAGAGAACCAGCGCGTTGGTAGAAACCAGCTACTTGCCGCTGCCTCAGTAAGAACAGCACAGGAGAAGAGAGAAGAAGAAGCGAGAGGATTAACGCCAGAAATGAAAATGCGACTCGAGAGAGAGCGCCGCGCAAGAGCTGCAGAGGAGAGAATCAAGAGACTACAGTCGAGCAAGTAAATAGCGTATAGAGCAATTTCGTCATCACAACCTGGTGGCCTTATGAAAATTTTAACTTACCTTGGAAAGATACATACAAGACATGATTCCATTTTTAGCATCTTTGCTCTTGCGCCATGTTCAAAACAAAAAATCGCCACTTCCATTGATCGTCAGGGCGAGTGGCTGTTAGTCCAGGAACCGAATAGTCCGAGGGCAAAGATCAGCAGTATCAGAAAAATTCGGCCATCGGCCGGATCAGCTTATGGGGCTTTGGTTCTTGTCAATGCTGCCTGGCTCAGCACAGCGCTCGTATTTGTACATGAGGCCATGGTCCAGAGTCGGCGCAGGTCTTTTCGGCAGCTGAGTTGAGCAGATATTGGTGCCATCCGAATCGGACGATATGAAATTGGAAAGTCGACTAATTTTGGTGCTTCTAACAACAGAGAACACTTTCATAGTGATAAAAATAAAAAAAGACTGAGCGATAAAATGAGAAACACAATCGTCTAAGTTATTGCTAGTGAGATGCTGGGTTATTTCCGCAATTAGAACGTGCGCTATGATGGGCACAGGCGCTGGCGGCGGACACGTCCAAGCCCCAAAACCGGTGGGTATTCCCAAGCTGGCGGAAGCGAGCGAGAGAAGAAAGCGTTACCGTTGGTGAGTTCAAATGAATTGCGGGCCCAAAGGAGGTTTGCCTGAAGAAGAATTGCAGCTTATACTGTATGCATAGCGCAGCGTAGTTTCAGATTGATGCACGCCACATCAGTTTCGTTGTCAGTTCACGTGTTTTTTTGCACCACACTTGGACCGACAATGCCTCAGCCTTGCGCTTGGCTCGCAATGCAAATGTTTTTGTTTCCGTTCAGTATAGATCCATGGTGAGGGCCATAGCTGCGCCGACCGGATTTCGAGACAAGCCACCATAGAGGGGGCGTGGGAATATTGGTCGACTTCGCCGCGTGCTGAAGCTTTGCATAAACAAAGCCACCATTCTAGAATGTGGACGGGTTGTGGAAATTAGACTAGACGTGCCATGAACATCAGGCCTCTCAGCACAATACGGACGATTTGTTCAGTGTACCAAGTAGTCTGATCATGGGGCCATTATGCTTATTGGCGAGCTTGACGGGACCGTCGGGCAGTGATGCGGACTCAGCCTACACCATCCCACTGCAATTACGGACGGCTTAGCGGATTTATTGAAAATACTGCAGTGTTTTGCAATTGTGTATTTGTGCAAATTTTGCCAACGGCGAGTGCAATTGATTGCCGCACCAGCAGCTTGGCGAATGGCTTTTGAAGCTGCCAAGCCACTCGGTTTGAGAAAGATGCAACAGCAGAAAAAGTAACCATAAAGAGAAGAACATAGAATAAGGCCATGAGTATGTCACCATTGGCTTTTTTAAAAAAAGGCAATACTGTAGAATATGAGGCTGTCACCATGGCACAAGCGCAGTATGAGATGCTGAGTGAGGCGTCTTCTGTCAATGCCGCATTTTGACCACCGTTTACTTTACCGTACGGATTTAGTCGGCCAGTTTACCAATAAGCACTTGCGTTATAGCTTAGAATCAGTGCTCTTTGCTTTGGGCCGACGCTATGTTCACTCAATGATGGGACGCTGATGTCTGTGCCCTCAGCGAACGCAGAAGGTGGGTGGGCTTGCGCTGAAACGCGAACCCCTTTGTGTAAATGACCATGCACTGCAGGGCAAGGTCCTCGGGTTGTTAATTCCAGACTTGCAAGTGGGAATTCGGTAAAAGGCAATTATCACTCTCGATATAGATTAAAAAAGGATTGGCAAAAAATAGCTTCGGATGCCTGGGATGGCCATGCTGGCTCCCCTTTCTTGACCGTTCGACTACGTTACCTCTTTGGGAACGTTGGAGCCGCGTGGCATCAGGCGAGCACCGGGAAATTTGCATCCTCCACAGCAGCCCTGTCGTACCACGATCCCCAGAACGGCTACCGTAAACTATCGACTCTACCACTCCGCTACAGGGATGCTATCGGGTTCGTTGTCAGACTGGGGGAGCCGGTTCGTAGGCAGAAAGCTCTGATATCCGGAAACGCGCGTGCTGTCGGCGCATGGGTAAGTGCTCGCTAGTCTTCATCAGCCGATGTGTACTCCAAGAAATTTCCTGCAACCGATGCATGGTCATCATGGCTCTATACGCTGGCGTGGGACGAGCCCGGCTTTGAGCAAGAGATCCTTGTCTATGGGTTATGCTGGAAACAGGCAAGATTCTCGTATACAGCTTTGTCGCTCGTAGTCTATCTCCCAAGCTTGAGCGCCTATCTCTGAGGCAACATTCCACGTGCTTCGATACGGCCTCTAGTAGCGTACACATTTAATCGGAGAGGACCAGTATGAAACAGAGGGCAGCGCTTCAGGTAGCTTCTCGGGACCTATTCTCGAATCGCAGCGCCAACCATATTTCAGGTGTACCTTACATCCGCGTCCAAGATGGTTGGCTCACAGTCATCGACGCCGTGTGCCTTGCAGTAGCGTGGTCCTCATGGTGGGCGGGACCGTTTCAGAACAAATGGTGGCTGCCGCCAACTCCGCAGACCGACGGCGCGCTCTGGCTCGTGTTTTACCAATCAAACGTGATCCCGGTTTACTGAACAGAGAGCAGCCCCCAAGGTAGGTTTCTATACATAGAAAGAGGCATTAGTTAGGCTTCTAGATAACCACCTGCCGAACACACGCTTCTGTAGGCCTCAAGAGCCGTGGCCGGGGACAAGTGCCTATTTTGGGACTACTGGAGCTGCTAGGCAGGGTCCAGGGATGATATCGAAGAGATGCGGTAGAGCGACGGCGGATATAGTAGAAATACTGAAATTAATTAACAAGCTCGGTAGCAAAAATGTCCGCTAGAAACCGGTGAACAAAAAAAGTCGGCACTGACACACCGCGCTCGCGCACTGCCATGGCAGTGCGGCCGAACGACCACCAGCTGGCGGGCACCTGTCCGGTCGGGGTTTGGTGGCCGGGCACTGGGCAGGTTGAGGAAATCCTTCCCCCCTCCCTGTTTATTGTTTTGCACCTATTCTCATCTTGTCAGAGATCCTGTTAGCTAGGGATCATCGGGATTATCCTCTTGTTTCTATTCTTATTCTTCATGGTTGTCAGTCCCGTCTTGTGTAGCCGCCGAACAAACTTCTTCAACGGGCGCCTAAAAAGCTAACTTTACTTAGCAGCGCTTCCTGATTGTTCCTGAGCATCGGCAGCCTATCGTTGTCTTGGTTAGCGCCCAGGAACAAATGGTGGAAACAACGGCCCCGCCAGCGTCCCGCGAGCGCTAAGAAAGCTATTGGTTCAGGGACTCCCGGAGCAGGAAGAAAGGAATCCATCCGGCCCTGGCCCAGGTGGTATTGTTGCTGCCCGCTCTTAGGCCGCCCGGTTGTTGCTGGCTCGTTTGCTGAAGCGAGCAAGGACCGCCCCTGTGGACAAAGACGCTCAACACAGACGGCGGGGCCTGTTTCGGCAGCCCACGCACCCCAAGCCACCAATTACTCCTTTGGGCGTCACCCCCATCATCCTGAAGCGCCAACAGTCTGAGCGCCTACGTCTTTCTTCGATCGTGCTACCTGCGACGTCTCTTGCAAAGGCACACGCCCACCAAAGCTCTGGGCAGATCTCTACCTGTGCCTGGGGCTGTGCTGCCCAAAGACACACCCTGTCGTCTCCCGTACACTCCCCCCAAACCCACACATACTGTAATGCATCGAACCATGGGTCCTATGCCGTGGGTATCAAGCATGCATACCCACGGTGGCTGCAAGCGCTTCAGGACGGTGGCATGGGCCAGGGGGCGTGGCTCCAGCGGCTTCGCCGTCCAGCCAAACTGAACGGTTGGCTAAAAGATGCTGCCTTGATACGGAAAGCTCAAGCCTCTTGCTCACCTGCTATATAGACGGTCCATATCGCCCACCTCTCCTCAAACACTTCCCTCCTCATCATCAGCAGTCCTTGTCCACTTCTTGTTTCCTTATTTCCTTATTCGTCATATATCTCACCTAGATCAACAGTCAAAGTCATTCGTTTCCTTTGACCAATCAGCATTAATACTATTTGCTTCTTACCTATTCGGTACCTGTTTTATACAACGCTTTCTTTTCTCAACTTTTATCGTCGATACCTACACCAGGACAATCACTTACACCTATTGGACATCACACCAACATCTTCAATATGAAGACCACTTTCGCTATCATTGCCGCTGCAGCCGGCCTTGAGCAAGTCTCTGCTACTGTATGTCCACTCACAGCCATCTGGTTTCGTCACGCAATACTAATTATATGAACAGTTCGGTGGCATTGGCCTCAACACCAACTTTGGTGCCTTCACTGGCGCTAAACCCTTCACTTGCCCCAGCAACTCCGACAACAAGTGTATTGAGGTTCAGATTCCCGGTTACGACTGGAGCGATATCCCCACTGGTGACATCGGCAACTATAAGGGTTGCAGCTTCAAGGGCTGGAAGTGCGTTCAGAACCCTTCCAAGCGCAACGGCCCTCTGGCTGCTCGTACCTTTGGCGACAGGGCTATCTCCGGCACTTGCGGCTACGAGGAGGACGAGAACCCTGTGATCTCTGCTGGTTCGGAGATCGGAGACTTCTCCATCCAGAGCTACCATGTCACCACCGAGTTTGATGCCCGTCTTGAGTTCCACTACGGCATGCCTGACGGCAGCATCTGCAAGCACAGCAGCCCTTGCTCCAAGGGCGGTAGCACCATCGTCAATAAGCAGTGCGGTGGCGCCAAGACTGTCAAGGTCGTCTACCCCAAGCACCAGAACCCTCCTGCTAAGAAGAAGTGCGGTGTCAAGATCCACACTATCAAGTTCGACTGCAGCAAGCACAAGACGACCAGCGTCAAGACCTCCCAGCCTCCTGCTGCCACCAGCACCAAACCTGCTACCACCACTCCTTCTAACCAGACCTCTGCCAAGACTACCGAGAAGAGCACTGTTCAGACCTACTCTCAGCCCGAGAGCTCCAAGCCTGCTACCACCACCTTCGTTACCACCTACCAGACCACCTCGACTGTCTTCACCACTTCTACCCAGACCATCAGCAGCTGTGCTCCTAGCATCACAAACTGCCCTCTTACCAGCGGCGGTACCACCGTTGTTACTGTGACTGTTCCCGTCAGCACCACCATCTGCCCTGTCACTGAGACTCGCACCCACACCAAGCCTGTTGAGACCTCTGCCAAACCCGAGACCACCTCCAAGGTTGAGATTTCATCCAAGCCTGCTGTTTCCTCCGAGGCCCAGAAGTCCAGCAACCCCGTTGAGCAGTCCACTCCTGTCACTTCTCACGTCACAACTATTGTCACCACCTACCAGACTACTTCCACCGTCTTCACCACGTCTACTTCGACCATCACCAGCTGTGCCCCCACTGTCACCAACTGCCCTATCAAGACTGGTGGCACCGCTGTCGTGACCGTGACCATCCCCGTCAGCACCACTGTCTGCCCTGTTACCGAGACCCAGACTCACACTCGCACCAAGCCTGCTCAGGAGTCCCAGAAGCCTTCTTCTACTGAGAAGGGTGGCGTCACCACCACCTCTGCTGGTGTCAAGCCTACCGAGACTCTTCCTTGCCCCAATGTCGTTCCCAAGTGCCTCAACTCCTGGCTTCACCTGAAGAAGGAATGCAAGGACAACATGGATGCCGCTTGCTACTGCACCAGCAAGGAATTCACTGACAACGTCTTCAACTGCCTGTACTCTTTCGGTGGCAACGATGCTACCGTCTCTGAGGCCATCTCTTTCTTCCAGGGCATATGCGCTCCTTTCATCAACAAGAACCCCAACATCGCCACCGGTGCTGACACCATCACTTCCATCATCACTGTCACTGCTCCTCCCGCTACTTCCGTGGCTCTTACCACTGTTGTTGTTGCTACTACCGTCACTGAGCCGTGTGTCACTGGTGGAACGACCATCCCTGGCAGCAGCACCGTCAGAACCATCTCTACTGCTGTTACCGTTCCTCAGATCACCATCTCCACTGTCGCTCCCACTGGTGGTGATATTCCTCCTGCCACCCAGCCTACTCCTGGAAACAGCGAGGGCTCGCCTACTGAGGTTGCCCCTACCGCTGGTGTCACCACCTTCATCAACACTCCTCCCGTCGGCACTGGAAACATTCCCGTTCCCACCGGAGCTCCTCCTCCCGTCATTGCTGGCGCGTCCAACCTGAACGCTGGCCTTGGCATGGGATTGGCTGTCATGGCCGTCGCCCTTGCCCTGTAAAGGACTTGAGCATTGCATAAAATCAAGTGTTGATACAAAGAGTAAAAAGAATATACGAAAACTGGATCATGAGCGAAGGAAACGGTCTTTATGGAGATTGCAGATAAGCTGAGCGGCCCGTGGTTGCCCAGGTTCTCTAAAGACCTGTTTAGGTGATATACGCTAGCACGAGTAGGATTGGCTGTTATTAATTGCAAGTTTTTGATTATTGATTATATACCCGTCGACTGAACGGAATAATAATAATAATGTTGATACATTCAAACGTGGACCTGGTGATTTCCTGACAGACCCGACTAATATTACGTAGTTGACAGCGCTGTCCAGACAGTACGGAAGCGTGAAGAAGCAGAGCCTGAAACCAATAAAACTTCTCTAGAGCTTGGCTCCAGCAGCCTTTCTCGCCTGCTTCTCCTTGTCACGTAGCAAGCGTCGCAGAATCTTGCCACTAGGGCTCTTGGGAATAGCATCAATGAATTCAATGCCTCCCTTGAGCCACTTGTATCTTGCCTTGACTCTCTCGACATCCTGTGAGATGGCCTTGGCAACCTCCTCGTCGGACTTGCCTGAAGCTGCGCTTGACTTGACAACAAAGGCCTTGGGCACTTCACCGGCTCGGTCATCGGGAACGGGGATCACGGCACAGTCAGCCACATACTCATGGGCAAGAATATGGGCCTCCAATTCCGCGGGGGCAACTTGATGTCCCTAGTCATGATATTAGTCTTTGAAACTTGGTAAAGCGTAAGACTGAACAGCTTGGGGAAAACAAACCTTGGTCTTGATGAGCTCCTTGATACGGTCGACGACGAAGAGATGCTCACTGCCGCTCTCAGCCATACGGATGAGCACCTCATCACCGGTTCTCAACCAACGACCGTCCTCATGAATGACATATGTCTCGGAATTGGCTTTTTGGTTGTTCAAGTAGCCCAATGTCACGTTGGGGCCCTGAACGAGGAGCTCACCACGCTGCTCGTAACCGGTAACTTCCTTGCCCTCTGCGTCAATAATCTTGCCGAGCATACCGGAAATCAAGGACCCAGAGGAGCCCTTGACCTGGTCAATTTCTGAGGTGTTTGTGACGACGGGGGAGGCCTCAGTCATGCCTATTCATAATGTGGTTAGTACTGGATTGCTTTCCTGGTGGGCATAACGTGAATAGCTTACCGTAGCCCTGGCAGACATTCCACTTGGGGAACATCCTGAGGATATCGTCAATAGTTTCAGGTCCAAGAGGAGCGGCTCCGCTGAAGACTGAGCGGACGCTGCTCAAGTCGAATTTAGCTACTGCGCCAGGGTTGGAGATCATTCCGATGAGCATGGGAGGGACGACGTATAGCTGGTTGATCTTGAAACGCTGAATGGAATTGAGGAATATTCCAAAGTCGAATCGGGGCAGGACAATGACCGAGTCACCGCGGTACTGAGCGGCTTGTGTCACCAATGTGAGCGCGTAAATGTGGCTAAATGGCAAGACACCAAGCGAGACTTGGGTCACGACGTTTTGGGCTGTTCGGCCGGGCTGATCTTGGTTTCGGAACTGGATGATGTTGGCAATGACGTTGAGGTGAGAAATCATGACGGCTTTCTGTGTATGGAGTTAGCAAGGAGCCAAAGGTAACAAAGATGCACTTCGAACTTACAGGAAGTCCAGAAGTTCCACTGGAAAAGCACAGGTAGGCAGTCTGGCGCTCGCCCTGGCCCTTGATCCAGTTGAGAGCAGGGACGGGGGGCAGGTGAGAGCCCTCTTGAACCAAGTCGTCCAATGTGACAAAAGATGGGTCATTCTTGGTCTCGGGAACATCAATCAAGAAGATGTTTTCTCTTGCAATACCGACGTTCTTGGCGGCCTTGAGAGCAGTGTCCAAGAGGGGCATGCAGGTGAAGAGAGCTCTGGCGCCAGAGGTGCGAAGTTGGTATTCGAGTTCTGCAACAGAGTAGGCGGCGCTAGCAGGACTAACAATACCAGAGAGACGATGAACGGCATGAGTAAAGGGAATGTAATCGATCTAGAGGTAGAGTTTCCATGAGCAATTGACGCGGCGTTTGAGGGGTAGTCGGCATCCGAGACCGGCAATTGGCGTAACTTACCGTGTTCAAGCAGAAGAGGCCGACGACGCGATCCCACTCGGTTCCCTCATTGAAGTCGAAAAGCAGTCGCTTCTTGATTGCGCGCGATAGGTAGTCGACACGCTGGACGATTTGCTCGACAGTGTATGACTTGCCCGTGATGCCGCAAACGTATGGGATTCTGGACTTGGCCATGGGGTATCGGCCATATTGATCATTGTGCATGAACTGTTCGATTGTAATGCTGTTAGGAAGCTCTGTAAATAAGAATAACAGGTTAGCATGGAAAATATGGCCGTGACGTGGGCTGTTCAGCAGGAAGAATTGGTGACGAACCGGGCAACGGAGCAACCCATGACGGAGCGCGGAACACCATGGCTGGCAGTGGTTGCGATGCGATTGAAGGCAAAGTTTTTGGAAAAAAAGTGCGAGTAGAGCAGCTAGTATGGACGGTAGCCAGCAAAGCGTCTGTTTGTACAAAACACAAAATATCGAAGCAACTTTGGAGAACGGCAGAAGGGAAGCCAGCTGGTGACAGTCGGCAGGTGGTAGAATAAAAAGCAGCCAGGTGCTCGCCAGTTCCCCACAGCGCTCTCCGCACAGCCGAGGATGGGGGTGGAGCACCACACGAGCAGTGAGGGGCGGGCGAATGAGCAGCTGCGGGAAACAATCGATCGGCTGTGAGAGTCGGGAAGGAACGTGCGTCTAGTAATTTTTTTTTATTTAAAGTTGCATCTTAATATAAGCTACCAGAATTGACTATAATAGAAATATAGGACTATAAACTGCACATCAAACCACTCTCTAGGACATCTGTCGTCGCATCCATTCCACATAGTCTGGGAGCAACAGTCCATTGGAGCTATACATAATATACGTACTATCACTGTAAGATAGCGTACGAAGCTTATCTCAAGAGGCTGTAAGCTGCGGTATTATGCACCTCTCTTACAGGCAGTCCGCTGCATACTTCTGTTTTCACGCTCCAGCCTATCCAAGGCATGAGTGACAAACACCGTCACGTGCCTCAACGCATTTCCCCAGCGTTGCAACCAAGGTTTTACTCGGCAGTCATGGGCGCCACAATTGCACCGCCTCAGCCAACCGAAGTGGCTTGTTTGGCGCCACACTTTGCAAGTAGTCGTCATCGAGTAGCCAAAACCGGCTTTTACAGGCCATCTACAGGCGTGCACGGCTCTAAACATGCCCGGCGGTCTCCCTTTAAGGCCGTTTCAAATCCTCTTTGTTATTTAATTGCCAAACTTACCACACTCATTATTTTCATTTTCTTCCTAACCACTTTTAATCTTATAAATGTATATCGCTGATCCCCAGAAGCTTCTTACCGCCGGCCTGTCTGCGCTCGGCCTTCTTGGTACGGTTTACACGGGCCCTGCACACCACGATCCATGCTAACTAAAATTTTCTACAGGCGAGACCGTCTCCAAGGGCGAAGTCATGGACTACGCCATTGAGAAGTGCCTTGACAAGGAGGGCAACATCCGCTGCACCAAGCCTTTCCTCGTTGCCGAGGGCGGCTGCTACAACCTCGAGTGGACGACTGACGGCACCCTCTCCCACACTACTGTTGAGGTCCGCGATGCCGGCAGCAGCGAGATTGTTTACTACCGCGATACCAATGGCCAGTGGAAGCCCGAGAAGAACGAGCTTGTCTACCTTGACTTTAAGCCCAAGGTCTGGAAGACCGGCAACGACACCGTCACTTACAAGGTGACGGAGTGTGAGAGCGAGAACCAGGATAGCTTGTAAATCGGCGGGTACATACACGGAACCGCATCCTAATAGAATAATAATAGCACAAGGCTTATCGTTTTTGGAAACTAGTCCTCCATGAAATTTACCTCTGTTGATTATTTTTGGATGGCTTTTGTGAGCTCTCTTGTAGTGGTCGTTGGTTTCAAGTATAACGGACGCGTAGACCACAGGCAAACTTCGTGATTCAAAATGAATAATAAATTGCATTAAAGTCGGTCGTTATATACTCGCTAAATCAAATAGAACTGGTCCGAGAATGCCAATCCTAAAATCGAAATAATGACTGTTACCAACAGTCTGTCGCACCTGGCTCTTGAAGTCGTACACCTTGAATGCAAAAAGGGTATCATAGTACATGGTATCGTTGAAGTATACGTTGAATATAAATAGAGTTCGTTATGTTGTTTCGTCAGATTCACAGAGCCATGAGTAGGCTGGTCGTGGCAACCAAGGAGATAATCAGCCACGGGGCAGAGCCAACACGATTTCCAGAGCTTTTGCTGGACTTGGTCTGCCCGGCATCGTTTGGCCTGGCGTTTGTATTTGTTGGAAATGATGGTACTGTGCCCGATCCGACAGTCTTGATGGGAGCGGCTGCTGTGATTGTCGACGATCCGACAGAGTATAAAAGATCCGACTCCTGGCAGTTACCAGTGACCTTGGGAACGGCACTAGGGCCCTTTCCAACGGTGATAATATCGTTATCACCGCAATTGGCGGCTTGAGCAACGTGTACCGCTCTGTTTTCCCAGTCAAAGACAAAGTAGCCGGCGCGAAGGATGGTGTCGCCTAGGATCTGGTTGTCGTTTGTGATGACGAGGCCGGCATAGCATTCGGTCGGGCTGACAGCCACAATAAAGTCCTTGAAAGGAACTCGAATAATCGTGTTGCCAAATCCAAAGTCAACACTGCCCTGGGTGTCGAGAATCGAACAATCCACTGCGACGCGGTTGGTGACTTGGCGGCCACCAAGAGCCTCGATAATGGGTAGGGCAACCTCGCGTCGCAGGCGTGAGAAGCTAGTTCCTGAATCGAACATGACCACACTGGAGTTGCCTTGGACTTTAATGGTCTGTGACTTGGTGCGGGTGACGCCAAAGGAGCTCATCTGAGCAGACAGGCGGAATTCGCCCTGGGAGCCGGGAACAAGTGGTAGCCGTTCGAGAGTTCCGACAAACTTGTTGCGATCAATGCCACCATAAATGATGGAACCGGTCTTTGACTCCATATGTCTCAAGTCAAGGGAGAACACCGCGCTATTGATTAAACCTTGTTGTGCCATGCTGCTGAGAACGAGATTATATGGCTTGCCGGTGAAGCCATATTGAAGATCCGGAGCGAGGCCAAGGATGCCTTGCGATTGACCGACACTCTTGGTAACAACGCCAAACGTTTGGTTGGTAATGCCAGCACTGCCAAAGGATAAGCTGTCGGAGTAATAATCGATAGAAACAGAGGTGTGCGTAGAGGCATCAGATGGGTCGCCGTATCGTATCGTCTTGTTGCCAAGGGGGCCTCTAGCTGGTGTTGTAGATTTATTAGGGTCGTAGTGACCATAGGTTTTGCATAACTTTGAAAGAATGTCGCTGGTAGCTGTGGAACAGTCTGGATTGACCCATAGCTCGCTGGAGCCAGTATCGACTAAAACCGTAACCTGTTGTGGCGGCGATCCCAAACCCACTGATATTCGGCATTAGCATGAGCTGAGCGCAGTGCCGAGAAGCAGCAAATTCTCACCTTTGGCAGAATAAAACAGCTGCTGGTTTGTTAAAATCTGTTCAATAGAGCCTCCGGTAGCTCTCTTGTTAATATCCGTTCCCGGAAGCTGGTCGGCAGCTGTCACAGGAATATGGAGGTAGCCCACGCCATTCTCTGATGGCGGCGAGGGGGCGGCGTGAGCATGGCGGCTCAGCAACAGAGCAGCAATCGTTGCGCCAGGCGAAATATTAGGCATCTTGGCGAATATCTGGAAATCGCATATATAAAGAAGGTGACGCAATGGCAAAAGGGACTAAAACCCCGTCGAAACTGTAGTCGTTGGAGGCGATTGGCGTAGCGGTCAGCCTCTCACGCGAGAGCTGGAGGCAGAAGTCAGAGGCTGTCCGAGTTGTTCTGCAGACAAGAGCTCGTGCGGCGAATCTACAAGTATGAAAGGTCTGCGTTGGCCAGGTCAGAGATACGGTGGAGGAAACAAACGGGGTTGAACGGGGCTGGGGGCATCGCGGCGTTGTTATTTAGAATGGGCAGCTGGGGTTACAATGGCACCGTGGTAGCACGCTCAGCACAATAGATTCGGGCATTCGGACTAATACTCGAGGGTGACATGAGGGCATCCTTTAGTGTGGGGGTGGGATGCCACGTTAGCGTGGGCGCGAAAAACGTTTGTTACACTCGTAAACTCAGTCGAGAGCTAACCTGGGTCAATTGGGACAGGGGTAACGAGGTGATGGAGCAACGAACCAAGAAATGATAAACCGGAAACAAGAGCAAAAAAGGTCCGAGGCGTGTTCCATGAATTGTCGTGGACGTGGCCTTTGGTTTCGCATTTGCCTTGGCCGGTTCATGCGGCAGCGGTAATAAGGTACTGCAATTACTTGGGGCCTGCCACACACACTTTGCGCCTCTGGTCGTTACGTCCAGAGAGGGTCGCAGCAACAATGAGATGGATGGATGGGGCCATTCTAAAAAAAGCCGATGATATAGCGTCCGTAGTGGGTATAACTGACGGCGGTGGTGGTGGGCCATGGGGCAGCACAGTGCAGTAAATTGCAACGCTAGCCAATACGGGCCAGCCAGTGGCGTCGCTGACCCAGGTAATGTCGACATGCTTCTGCATGCACTGTGGGTAGTGCGTTGCAAATGCTTGATTGTTTGAAGAAGAAGCAATCTCACAGGTTTCAAGCGGGTGAGTTTTTATGCCCACTGCTTTGCTTCCTTGGGTTTTTGTTTTCACCAGCTGGCAGATAGCCGGTAAAACACTGCTTGCCGGCTGGCCCAGGTGACAGACAGTGTCGGAACAGGAGGGTTACAGTGGCAACTAAGAGAAACTCACAGAGCGACAATCGTCGCGTGTTCCTACTGAAAGAGGAAGCTGGCAATGTCGCAGAGCTACACGGCAGTTGTTTGTTCTGTTTGATCGCCTGTGCAAGCTTGAAGATTTGCATCCCGCCATCTCTGTTTTTCTCACAAAAGAAACTGGGCTTCGCATTGTCGAGAATTTTTTGTTTCACGTCTCAGCAGCAGCCAGCATTGTGCACTTGCGCCTTTATTGTGCCGGCTCCATCGGTCAGCCGCTGTCAAAGAAGAAATCAGCGGCCCCTCCTCGGCCTTAGCGCACTATTGGATGATTGCATAGTCCCTGGCTCCAGTGGCGCCAGGGACTGGATGGGCTCGCTATTATTAGGTCCAGCGCCATTTCGTCGCCGCCTGCCTGATGTGATGTTCGATGGCCCCCGATCGAGAGGTGGCGAGCAAACGGTCATGCTGTCGGTGTCCAGTTATGACAGCATCAGCCTGTGTTTTGTAACAAAAATAGTAATCCAAATGGACCAATCCACCATCATCATAATCATGCGGATTAGTTGAATTAGCATCGTTTGCAACGATATATTCTCACTAATTTAGCGTGCCCTCGTTGCAACTTCAGTAGCGCTGGCGGGCTATTTAGTAGCGCCACCATGCCAGGGATAACACGCCATTTGTCACAGTTTTGCGCCAGCAACTTGTCTACCAATAGCAAAAGAAAATCCAAAGATCGTGGAGTTGGGGGTCCGATGGGATCGTATTATATCATGCTTTATTTTATGGTACTAATATTCTTCCTGATTACTCGGTAACTTCCGGCGCTGTAACCCAGATTCGATGCAGAGCCAACTAGCGTCTAGGGCATGATATTGACCAACTAGGAGTAAATATCCCACACAACAAGTGAGCGATAACTCGATTAATGTAAAATAAATAGTAGATTCATAATAAAAAAACTGCGACCCGCGCATGTTTCCATTCTACAGCTATACATGGTAGGCTATTGACTTGACTGCGTTCGCGTTCGCGCGGTGTCGATATCCCTGGTCGACAACGTGATTTCCGCCCCAGGCAAATCATTCTCCAGGTCATAAACAGTCCTCACCGTTTGTCGAAATATAAATTCATCATCAAATCTGATGATCGTATCTACAATACGATGTAGCCTGCAGATGAATGTCCCGGGAGTACAACAACACCCAGGCGTTTCCGCTGCGAGGTTCGGGTCATTCCATACTCGCTCTTCGAAAAGCATATTGCTTCTGCAAATCCAGGCCTGCACCTCCGGCCCAATCATACACTCATCGATTTTTCTGGACTCCAGAATACGAAGTGCATGTCTGCGTAAGAGAGGGTTTCGTGACCAATAAACAACGTGGTACATGGCATCACACACCGCCGGGGTGACTGCAAACTGGCGCTTAGGTCCTCCTGGAGACGACTTGTCTCCTCCATGCATAGCCTCGATCTTCCCGAGCTTCTCGGCTAGTTGTACGACTACCTTGTAGCTAGGTTCGAACTTGTCAAGTGATAAGATGTCTGCGTAATCCACTTTGCTCATCACATCCAACAAGACCTCATAAATATCAATAATCGTAGCGGCGGATGGCTTGACAGATTTGAACCGCCGCGATCTTTTGAAATTGGCATATTTGTACTTCCATAGCCGAAAGGCAGCCCAAATTGCCGGGCGACTGGATTTTATAGGGCCCGCTGGTGCCGGCTTCGAGAAGTCGGTCATTAGTTGGTTATCCATTCGAAGCGAATGGCACAAGAGTTCGATTTCAAAGAAAGCATCGGTGGCGTTTAGAAAAGGAATTGGCAATATTTCGTTTATACAATATTGCTTGTTCCACGTCTTGTTCTCCCAATCTCTCATGGGTGCAGTTTGATAGTACATCCGCAGAAACACGGGTCGGAGTGAGTTCAAAGGCAAGAGGCTATCAGCCTCGGCCGGATCAGACGAGTTTATCTTTTCGGAAAGACCCCATTGGTCAAAGAGTTTCAGACCATTATAGAGATGTAAGTAGGCTTCCTTCATATCCGCTCGTAAACGGCAGAGTATGATAAAAAGCATATTGGTTACCAGAAGGATTTCTTTATCAGTTAGACTCAACGTGGGTTGTGTCACAATCTGAACCAAGGACCGTACTGACATGCTATACTGCTGAATAGCAATGGCCGTGTCTGGATCGCGTTTGCCGGTTTTCGACATATGGCGTGAATCGGAGACGAGCTTATAGCTACGAGAAACAGCCGCCAACGCATTGCAGGCATGCCAAACAGCAGGATGAATGCTGGTAGCTTGAAGAATGCTTCTAGTCCAGAAGGTTTCATCGAATGGTCCAGCAAATTGCTCTGCCACGTTGGTTCGAAAATAGTCAAACAGTTCAGCTCCCTCTCGCGTGTAGTGTACTCCGGCGGGCCAGCTGGGAACAAGTGGCTGGCGTTGTACATCATTCAGAACTGCTATTGCCAGCTGTTTGTGCGTTTTCTGGCGTGCCTCTAATGAGGACGCTTCACTTGAGGGGTCGTCATAACCGTCACAAATGCGCCGGGTCGACACGCAACGGTGGCAAGACGGCCGACCCTCATCACACTTTACGCGGCGGATACTGCGGATTCAGCGTCAGAAATTATGCACTGGAGTCTAATTTTCAAGTACAGTATATTTACCGGCAGGTCAAACATCCAGACTTGCTCTTTGGTGCCCAACGCTTGACGCGTGGCTTGCCTCGTACAGTTCCCTCTTGTGCCGTGCGAGCGGCACTTTGAGCTTCTTGCTTAGCGTCCAAGTTTCGGGGTATGACGGTCATTGTAAGGTATGCATTTATTCCAGGATACCGAAATAGACTGCATGCATCGCAATGTCCCAAAGTGGCGATGTTGGGGGGCGATAGGCGTCTTTGTCAGGAGGGTCCCATTGGGGAATCCAGTGCACAACCTAACGGCGAGGCTGAGAACCGCAGCAAGCGGTGGGCCAATGAGGACTTCGTTAACAGTCGAAGCTCATTCGGCCCAGAGACGACCTTCCGAATGCAGGCTCGGCGGAGGCGTGTCAACCACAATGCTAAATTTATCTAATGTTGCTGCTCGAGAAACAAGGCTAGCTGTGGAACCTAGTATGCCCTGTTGAATATTTCTCTCTTTTCTCCTCTCTTGCAGCAAGGAACAGCACCGGGCGGTGACTCTCCGTTGTCCGCCTCCTCATCGGTGGATTGCCACGCCGAACCCACCGACTACGTCGCCTGGGAGAATTGGCCCCCGTCAGGCTTTGTGAACGAACGAACCTGTCCGCGTTGAGGCTTGACGACGACGCACGGAGCGGGGCGCGTACAGAGAAGCTTATTTACTCTGATAGCGAGGCAATATTATTGGTTAATTGACGGGATCTCACTCGTGCCCACATGATCCAGGGCTGTTGTATTCCGATGTGCTGTAATGGCCAGGGACACACACACCTGCCACAGCAGCTCTACTCAGATCGAATATCGGTTGAAAATTCGGTCGAGAGGCCAAGGAGTTGCTTCTCATATATGGTACAGCTCGTAATACCTACGTGCAAGAAGCGCTGCCTCTACGCCTGGTTGGTCGCTTGTAAATACAAGAGGGAGGAAGTCAGTGGCTGCTAAACCGATGGTACTTACATGCCAGCAAAAGGACGAGACAATACGCTGAACTAACTTCACAAGCTTACAAGTTTCTGGTTCTACTAGTGCGGAGGCGTAACACACCTTGTCGGTGCGCCCTTGGGGCCGACGGTGGCTGTATCTTGCTAATTGGTGACGCGTTTTGGTTGGTAAAGCCGCCTAGCTGCGTAGTTCACCTGTGGTGTTTGTCGTGTTGATGCCCGCTTTTGGATTCGGTGGTTCAGGCGGCATCAACAAAATCCAGGCTCTACATTAGTGCTCTCTTGGCGTGTAATTTGCCTGATAGGCTGCCTAGAGCCTGATTTTGGGTGAGAGTGTAAAGGGCCAACGCTCACTCGGGCGCGACATGCAACGGTTGACTTGGGGGACACGTGTGAGTGACGGCTGCTTCGCCCCCGCCTGTAACCTACCTACAGTACAGCGGGCACCAAGGTAGAATTAGGGGCGCTCGTCTGCGCTACACTTTTTTGTTGGTGCCAGAAAATCCTCGGCAGTCGTTGCACCCTTGAGTGGCCTGGCCCCACCACTCGTTTAACTGGCCGGCTCACAGCCAATCATTTTTGGTTTGTAGCCTTACAACCACGATGAGATGTTGGCTGCCGGCCGGCGGGGGCCAACCAGCGTGGAAACTTTGACTCTCATTACAAAACATTCACAAAAAGAAATTGCAGTAGCGGCGTATGTATCTGCCGGTTCTGTCACCAAGGATAAGGCTGAAGAGCTCGCACTTGCATCGTGAGCCAGCAAGGTTGCCGCGGGCAGCGGAGGAGAGAGAGCCTGTTGAGGCCACACGGATCGCCCGAAGTCTTACAGAGATGGCTAACCTAATTAGTTTCTACTGCAAACATCTTGTGACGAACAAATGATAATGGAGCGACAAGTTTACATTGTGTACTCCGGAGCCGCCGATAGTAACCAACCTGGCCTGATCGCCATGTCTCAACATCATCAGCGTCGAGATGATCGCCAAGTCCAGTGGTTGCACAAGCTGAACAAGCATCATAGACGGCCAACAATGCGATGAGGCCCACTCAAGGCAGGCTTGCAATAACTACAAACAAGCTGTGCCCAAGGACAAGGGGGTGTAAGACCAAAGCGGTCTCCTCGCCGTCGCATCTTTGGTCAGTACAATCGTGATTTGGTTCCGCGGTACCCAAATTAGACAGGGCCCATCGGCCTCGACCCCGCCTTGAACTAACAAGGCGAAACTGCAGCCCCGTTTGGCCCCCGAAGCTATTGCCCAGGTGGGAGGCGGCACAGGCTGCTTGTCAACGGGCTAACAACTCTCCCCGGCCGCCTAGCTCGACGGTTGTCAGCGGAGTTGGCCCACAAATGAACGAGTGTGTACAAGAGTACAGTAGCTGTGCTGTGCATATTTAAGAGAGTCGTGGGGATCGCTGCGCAATGTGGCTGCGAGTGCATCTGGATCTCTCTCTATAAGAGGCAATGCGGCCCGGCTCACTGACACCTGCTACAACTCGACATTGCTCATCAATCTAGATCCTTCCAGCCTCTTACATATTACAGACGTCCACTTTCATGACCATGTTCGGCACACTCAAGTACGATGCTGGTCAAGCAGACCTTAAAGTTGTTCGAAGAGACTACGACCCTGTCTCAGCGCATTCTAGAAAGCATCAGGCTTGCAACAGGTGCCACAGCATGAAGGTGCGTCCCCATCGTTCAACGACATCTTTGGCCAATCCATCCCCCATTAACACGTAGCTAAAGGTGCACTGTAATGGAGATCGCGACGGATGCGACAGATGCAGTGCTCGAAACTGGAAATGCACCTATACATATTCAGAGTACCGTCCTTCAAAACGCAGCAGGAGAAGCAGGGCAAGTTCCAAGCTTGAATCACCCCCTCGCGAAGTCAGCACTCCCTCGACCTCGCTAGAGGTTCCCAAACTCTACACATTTGAACAATACACACCACCAAAGACCCCGTCTCGCGACGGCGGCGATCAGCGACCCAAATCTTCAGAAGTCGACGTTTCTTTACAAGAGGTAGACTGGGAAGCCGAACTTTCAGCATACATGGCGTCTGGTTCAGCACCTTCTGCCACATCCCTTGCAGGTGCCAACCCCGCGATTGTAAGCTGGAGTGGTGACGGCTCCGACAATTCACACCTATTCCCTATAGACCCCTGTCTACAGCAGTACGGCACTGAGGAACTGACAGCACCGCATTATTACAGTGGGACACCTCATGGCGGCCAGGAGGGACCTTGGCAATACTAAGGCAAAGGAAACGCCTCGTATTACGCCGCGACGGATATAGATATCAAGGGTTATAGATTTTGCTTCCCAAGACATATGCTTCACAGATTTAGAGATAGCCAGCGTTCCTCTTTTTTATTAATTTCAAGTCATCTTTTACGATTCTAAACTGTAGCTACCAACCAATGTTCCTTTTGGGTCACCGATACCATCACAGCAGCGCACCTATAGACTTGCAAAGTGTTAAAGCTATGGCAACGTTCGCCCCGCAACGCAATAGACATAAGGCTGTATGATTATACAGGGAATATCACAACAAGATAAACACCGAGCCAAAGCGTTTGTGAAGCGCTAGTGTGCCAAGCCCCAAACTGCATGCGTTAGCGTCGGTTGGTGCATTAACTCCGCCTGGTATGGAAGATTCGACACGCTTCGCTTGTGACGCTTTGTTTCGTCATACGTATGTATAATTCAGGCGAGGTAGTGAAGTGTTGTTGCGTTCTTGCGGTCAAAATAGCGTAGCGTCGCGGGTAATTCCAAAAGTGGAATTAAGAAGCGCTTTCCGTGCACCGCGCGGAACAAACCAGATACCAAGCAGGTCGAGAACAATGGAATTTACCTCCTTCGTTCCGTTAGCGATGAGCTGAATATTCACTCTCAGTATCAGGCAAGTCACATGGTGGGAGTCGACGTGTTATCTGCAGAGGTACCTAACCGTAGGAAGCAGATGACGCGGAAGGGACTATTAGGATGTATGACGCTTTGTCTGGATTCCATAATATTTGTACATAGGACGAAATTCAGCTGCTATTATCAAACAAAACCATATTCTTTTACAATTTGGGTGCCACCACTTAGTCCTTGTTAATGACCTTCTGGTACCAGGCCTTCATGGCTCGCGTGGCCTGGCCCTCAATACCGACTGTATTCTCCATGAAGATGCCATCGTGGATATCTTTGGCGAATTCTTCAAGGCGTAGGGGCAAAGTAGGATTCTGTGTAGAAATGATCTGGGATAGCTGTCTGCCCTGGTCGGCCAGGGCCTCGTCAACGCCAACGGTGACGTAGATTGAGCTGACGACCTTTTCCAAGCCGCCAAACCATCCAGCAGGGGAATCAAGAGCCATGATCCAGCCGTTCTCCTTGACTTCGCACTTGCTAAGTTCACTTCGAGTGACATATGTGTTGCAAAGGGTGCGACCAACGGCGATACTAATCATATCGCCGGCGCTGTTATCGGCAAAGGACTTGGCTGTTGTGTCTCGACCAACCCAGGGAGACACGATAAAGGCACCAGCGAGTGGTTCCTTGAGGAGAAGAGGATCACTGCTGGGATGGGGGTGCAAGAGGTGGGCCAAAACTTGCATTGTCAGGTTGCCACCCGCAGAGTCGCCACCAATGAGAATGTTGGAGGGAGAGAAGCCCAGATCAATGACTTGTCGGACGGCAGCAACTGCCTGAACCATCTGTGTTGGGAATGGACCGTCAGGGGCAACAGTGTACTGTAGGATGGCCACGGCGGTCTCATGATCCGTGTTGATGTTGTCCGCCACGTAGGAGTTCCAGCACCACGCGACATGGCCAGGGCTGAGAGTGAAAACGTAACCGCCGCCGTGGAAGAAGACTACCACTCGCTTAGCCTTGGAGCGGTCACCGACCCAAAGGATCGCAGAGTCGAGTCCAGACGCAAGGGGCTGGACATCCACTTTGAGTCGGCTGCGCAGCTCTGGGTCAGTAACTGTCTTGGCCTTGGCTTCCACCCAGGTCTTGTACGTAGCCCGTGAGGTAGGCAGTATAGCTTGAGCTTGGCGAGGAGTAAAGGACAAAAACATGCACTTGATTAGGGCTGCAGCAATGCCGCGGATGATGGGCGTCTTTCTAATGAGTGAGATGACGAGCATGCGACTGATGTGGAAGGTGGCTCGGATGGGGACTGTGGTGATTGCGGGTTAAACATTTGATGCGTTGTATAAAATGGCTCTTTGGGAGTGTCTTGTCCTTTCTACACTTACGGTCAACAAGGAGGTTGAAGAAGAGACCCAGCTTCTCAGCCGGACTCAGAATTGGCTTGCTAGTGTGTGCCTATGGTGAGGCAGGCTGTGGTTAGCGCATGTGTCCCAGCAACACAACATCAACTCTTACCATTTTGAGTTGTACACTGGAATTCAGTGACTCTGCTTGCAATGTGTTTTTGTCGATATGATACTCAAGAAACGCTGACACAGAGAGAAAATAAGAAAACGCTGTGTAGTGTTTGCTGACGCGAAGACAACCACGGCGGCAGAGGGGAGGGGGCGGGCGCCTGTATAATAGCCGAGAAGATAGGCAGGTACTTTATGGGGGACGGCCCCGTTACATACAGTGGAGTTCAAATCGCGGCGGCAGCGGGCACATGGGACCCGTTTTGGAGGGATGAAGCGCTGGAAGCTATGGCTGGAGATGGAGTACAGCCGCGGGGGGGGCGGAAAAGTAGGCTGTAACTAATAGGACAGTAGTTTTAGAGACTTATTCGGACACTTTTCAATCCAGCCAGAATTTCTTTACATTTTATTCTCTCATCCACCACCATAAATTCCGCGCTGCCGTCCGCCAGAGCGCTGTGGTTAACGTTTTCTGGGCATCGCCGTGGCGCCGGCCACTGGATCCACTGGAGCTTGGAGCTTGCGCGCTGGCCACGCTCGATTAGCACGTGGTGGTGAAATCGCCGGCTCCGTCGAACCAAACCTCGCTCGCCCTGCCGTCGCCCAAGATCACCAGTTTTCTACCAAACAGCAAACAAACAATCCATCAATCACGAAACACTATCCTCATCAATCCGTTTCTACTGTCAAGACTAGAACTAGGCGCCATGTTTTCCTCTCGTGAAGGCGTCACCATGGACTCAGTCCTCAGGCCACTGCGGCAATGGCTGCTCGCGCCGTCCACCACAATCCCCGTGGCCGTGGCTCTGTCGCTCCCGACTATAGTTCCTGCCATCATTGACCGACTCTCGCCAGATGCTCTGGTATCTATTGCTTCCAGCCCGCTGTTTTCCCGCTTCCTGGATACCCTGGTCGACTTATCGGGGCGAAAATCACCATTCCAGAAGCCGGCCTGCATCATTGCCGCCGTCGCCGTGGCACTCGCCGCCAACGACTATGTTGTCAGCAAGACTGCTAACAACTGGGTGGAAGATAGATCCTGGGACTGGGAAAAGGAAATCGTCCTCATCACTGGAGGCAGCAGTGGCATTGGCGCCAGCGTCGCACAACGCTTCATCAGCAAGAACCCATTGACTCGCGTTGTCATTGTTGATAGCTCGCCACTGACCTGGACGCCACCCCCAGACTCGCTTGTCCACTACTATGAATGTGACATTACAGATTCAGATGCCATCAAGGATGTTGGCGATCGTGTGCGTCAGGATGTTGGACATCCAACGGTCTTGTTTAACAATGCTGGCATCAGCCGCTCCGGTGGTGTGTTGGAAAGCGAGCACGATTCAGCTGTCATCCAGACAAACTTGACGGCCCAGATACTTATGACAAAGGAATTCCTACAAGAAATGGTCATCCAGGATCACGGCCACATTGTCTTCACCGGCTCGTTCAGCTCCATTATCCCGATGCCTCGCCTGGCAAGCTACTCTGCCGCCAAGGCTGGGCTGATGGCATTCCATCAGGTTTGTGGCCAAGCTACATTGTTTTTATATACGCTAACCAGTATGCAGGCGCTGCAAATGGAGCTCAAATATTTTTACAATGCCCCACGCGTTCGCCAGACTCTCGGCATCTTTTCCTTTGTAAAGACTCCCATGGCTGACTTTGGCAAGGCCAGAGGCTCGTTTGTACTGCCATTCCTCGACGTAGAATCTGTCAGTGAACGACTAGTGGACGGTGTGTACAGCACGAGAAGCAGCAACATTTACATGCCTGGTCTCGTCAGCTTCGTCACAGCACTGGTATGTAGCATCGTATCCCGTGCCTATTCATGTGCAAGCCCGCCACAAAATGTATGCATGCAGCCAGCTAACCAATACTGTTTTTCACGTTACCACAGCGCGGGGGTCCTGAGTGGCTTTTCCGACCCTTCCTGACCATGGGTGCCAAAGGCTCGCGACGCCTTCTCGAAAAGCAGAACAGCAAAGAGGATGGCCGTTTTCCCGGTGCCAAAACTTACTTTGAAGCAGAAAGAGAGCGAGCTGCTCTCCGCAAGCAGCGAATCGAAGCCAAGGCAAAGGAATAAAACGGCATGTAATTACCAGCTTATCTCGCAGAGCAAGCAAACATACCCTTGCTGCAGGTAGCTACAGCGGCTGGCGGTGGGGGGGATGGTGGGCGCCACACACACGCTGCTGAGCCCGACGGAGCTTCGGCTGAATTCTCGGCCATGCCTGTAAATTAATGACCATAGTATGTTTTCTTATCACCAAAAACTGCTGTTGCCAAGCATGTGATAGTTTTTTTTTTTTTGAATTTCTTGGGAATCCTCTGATTTTGCGATATTGGAATTCTCACAGTTACTGTCTGGAGATGCCAGTCACAGTGGCCGGCTCCGATTGCCGCGAGCCGTGTTTCCCCAGAGTCAGGCTAGCCTGGCAGCAAAGTTTCCCCACAGAACCAAAGTCACCCGCCGGTAACGCCACCAGATCCGTCCAGCGGCGGAGACAGCCTATATGGAAAGCAACCACTGGTAATTGGGTACCTCCACTGTACCGTTGCAGCACCATACAGCCGCTGCTCCATACAAACGCCGACGGCTTTTCTCCAGAAGCAGACCAAAGACCGAGGTAGAGTGTGGCGGGCGCGTACTTGCATCTCGCATCCTCCTCTGAGCTGCAACCCCTCCATCAACTAGCAAATCCATTCATCATGAGCAGTGCGGCCGAAAAGCAGGACGTGAGCTACACGCAATTTGCCTGCATCGGCACAGGCTTCTCAGGCATAGGCCTGGGAGCTACGATCAAGCGCTGGTATGGTATCACCGATGTACAGCTATTCGATGCCGCCGACAATGTTGGCGGTACTTGGGAAGTCAATACATATCCAGGTACGCTTCTGAACAAATAAAAGCAGAGGCAAACGTTTTTTGTATAGTGACTAATGTTCTCTGTTTAGGCTGCGCTTGTGACGTGCCTGCTGTTCTGTACAGCTACTCTTGGGCACCCAATGCCGACTGGTCGACCGTACTCCCACCCCAGAAAGAAATTCAAAAGTACTTGATAGGCGTCGCGCACAAGTATGGGCTTCTATCGAAAATCAAATACAATGCGACTGTCAAGCGCTGCGAGTGGATCGAGACAACATCGCGCTGGCGGCTAACCATCCATAACACCAAAACGAACCAGGTCTCCTACCATGAATGCACCTTTCTCTACAGCGGAGTTGGCATCTTGACAGAACCTCAAAAGTTTGACGTTCCTGGTGTAGAAACATTCGCGGGAGATATTGTCCACGCCGCCCGCTGGAGACCCGATGTCTCCCTCAAGAACAAGAGGGTTATCGTCGTTGGCAACGGCTGCAGTGCTTGCCAGATTGTCCCCGCCATCTTGGACGACACCAGGAGCGTGACCCAGTTCATCAGATCCAAGCATTGGATTATCCCGCCCCTGGAGATCTCTGGCCTCAAGGTTCTTAGCTTTCTCTTCAAAGTTGTGCCTGGCCTTCTCAAGTTCATGCGCTTCATGATCTTCCTCATCGGCGAAAACGCCTGGCGCGGCTTCTACATGACCAAGACGGCGGCAGCATTGCGCAAGAAGAGAGAGGCCGACGCCACTGCTTACATGAAGAGGGCAGCCCCCACAAAGTACCATGACTTGCTCATCCCCGACTTCCCCATCGGCTGCAAGAGACGCATCTACGACCCGTACTATCTCCGAGTGCTCAAGTCTGAAAAGATTCACCTTACCGACTCGCCCATCCTCGAGGTCGTTGCCGAAGGTGTTCGAACCAAGGATGGAATCACAGAGGCGGATGCCATCGTCCTCGCCATTGGCTTCAAGACGAACGGCTATTTGACCGGCGTTGAGGTGGTTGGAAGAGGCGGCAAAACACTAGAACAGCACTGGGAGGCTGCAGGTGGTCCAGGTGCGTACAACGCAACCATGTTGAACGGATTCCCCAACTTCTTCATGCTTCTGGGTCCCAACACTACGACCGGCCATACCTCTACCATCATTGCGATCGAGAATGCTGTCAACTACTCTATGCGCGTCATCAAGCCCATCATCACTGGCCATGCCTTGTCCATCGATGTCACCAAGGAAGCAGAGGACGCCTACACCAACGATATTCAGGAGGCACTCAAGCACAGAGTCTGGCGAAGCTGCAACAATTGGTACGAGCGAAATGAAAACGGTGTTGTCCGCAACGCATCAACGTACCCGTATGCCCAGAACTACTACCAGTACCGTTGCACATTTCCCATCAAGAAAGACTTGATATACAAGGTAAGTAGAAACGCAGTCTTGGTAAAGAGCCATAAGCAAATGCTAACCCAGATTTTTTCGCAGGCGTCTCCCAACCCACCCCCAGTTAGCCCAGTATATAAGGCGGCAAAGGTGCTCTTCTGGACAGTCTCGCTCGTCTATGGCGTCAAGGGACTCCAGTTCCTCCGAGAAAATGATTGGAACGTACAGACTCTGCTGATTACACTGGCGGCCAAAGCGTACATGGCCAAGCATCGCGTCCAGTCCTGGTGGAAGTGAAAGTCAACCCAGAATGGAAATGTAATTTCGTTGACATGGGAGTACAGAAAGTGTATAAGTTGTTGAATGTTTTGCTGTAGCAGTTTTTATAGTTGTGAAATACATATTGCCTTTCTAATGGTACATTAATACATATACATTGTCGGTCCCCTTTTGGAAGCAGTACTTTGCTTATTTCTCCTGCTTCGCGTCACCAGACACCAGCAAAACAACACTGCCAAGCTGGCGACGGACATCCTCCTTGTGGACATCGTGGGTATCATCAACCTCTCCCCACTGGCTAGTCTGCCAGTCTACCTCCAAGCTCGTAGCAAGAGCGGCTTCCTCGACGCCAAATCTGGCAGACTTGGGAGCGGGAACGCCAACAGGGCCCTCGCTCCAATCCACAACGAAGCGAGCCGCAGCCAAAAGACTCTTGCCTGCAAGCACGGCGCGCTCAAGACCAGCCAGCTCCCAGGCATCAAGGCCCATGATCCAGCCCTGTACGATCTCGCGCACACCGGCCTCCTGTGCGCGCGGCATAATGGAGTCGCCGTCTAGCACGGGCACAATCTTGACGCCAGGCCAGGTGTGGGTAGTGAGAAACGCAATAGTTTCTTCAGCGACCTGCTTCTGAACATCGCGCAGGGATTCGCCAGCATCATTGCGAAGATCAAACTTGCCGGCTGGGGGCGCCCAGCACAGGAGCGAATCGGTATCGAGGTATCGTAGGACTTGGGTGGTGACGAGCGTGCGGATCTTATCTGCCTCGGCAACGGACGAGGTATCATCCTTAGCAATGTCAATGGCTCGGCAGACTAAGCTGGTCAACGGAATCAGGTGCTCCTTGGTAGCCTGCTGCGAAGATGTCAACAGATCCCACTCCAGCGCAATAGCGGTGGCCAGCGTCGGCTTGGAAGTCGGAATTCGGACGATTTCTTTCGTGCTCGGGTGTCTAAGCGGTCGGGCGTCGAGGAAAACTTGCAAAACGCCTTTTTTTTTAAAATGATTAGCTGAGGGATGGCTTTGCGGGTGGTGTACTGCACTTACCATCTACCTCCTTGACGGAGACGTCTTTCCAGAAGCGCTGGGAGAAGCCTGTCTTGCTTCCATCCTTGGCACTGCGGATATCCTTTGCCGTCTTGAGCATCTCGGCCTGCTTTCTACGGCGGGCTACTCGCTCGTGGAGGACGGCTCTGTCGGGAACAGGCGCTTCGGGAGGTGGCCCCGTGCCGACAATGGAGGCGACATTGGCGGCGGCAGCGGGGGATGCGTGAAGATATCGGAGGGCGCATGAGCGATTGGCCACTCTGGGCGCAATGCGCATCGTTATTCGTGTCGCTGCCTGCATTGTTGTTGGTGGTTTGGTGATGATGAAGGACGACGGGAGTATTGGGGGGAGTGGTTTTCATCACAGGCGTAGTCGATGAAATTATAGTGGGGTGCCGGCAACGGCCATTGTTCAACTCTACATACAATAACAGGCGAATGCAAGTTGATTGATAAGACCGAATAGAAAATGAACAATTATTCAGGTAAATTGAATATTTTATATTTACATTTTATTAGATGAAATATGTACACAAAAAGTGTGTATGTACGGAGAATGTGCAGCTGACTTCGATTCCATCTCTCAGTGCATCGTACCAATCGTGGTAACCCAACCGCTCAGACCGCGTCAGGAATCAAGTCGAATATTTAATGATACTTGGAAATGGCATCGAGATACGTCTTTCCTGACTCGGACAGTGTCGTACCATCATTGTTAGTAGGCAACCAGGCCTTACCCAAGCCGCCGCCGTCTGTGTAGGCGTAGGCCAGAATGTGCTCGTTCTTCTCAAACAAGTCCACGGCATCGCGAATCCATTGGTTGATGACCTTTTGGTCGGTGCAGGCCTTGAAACCGTTCTGGTCGTCGACACATCCAAATTCAGTCACCCATATAGGCTTCTTGTACTTGTTCCAATAGTGGTCAATGTCGGCCTGCACACCCGTCATGTTCAGCTTGTATACGTGGATCGCAGTGAAATCCCACGACTTGTCGAGAGCTTGCTTGTTGAAGTCGTTCAACCAGCTTTCGTCCTTTTGCGTGCACATGGACGGACTACCAACGATGGAGCCGTTGTTTGCCTCGGGTACAATGTACTTGTTCCAAAGCGGCACGGCGTCCTTGACGGAGATGTGCGAAGAAACATCGCGGGCGGAGCAATCGGGCTCATTGAATCCCAGAAGGTACTTGGGTGTCTCTTTGAGGTCCTTGAAATCTTTTAATCGCTTGGCGTCTTGGTCGCCGTTGTTGCCAGAGCCCCAGAGCATGGATACGCCCAAGACGCCATCCTTGTCGTGGCCTGAAGGCTTGGGCGTCCAGTCATACCACCAGCCAAGATGGTCTTTCCAGAATGGCACAGCCCTGCCGCCAGCAGAGCCGGCTTTGCGCCCATTGGGGGCCGATAAGGCAGCGGCGCTTCGTGGGATGTCGTGGTTTGTTGGTGACGCCGCGACAGAAGCAATTGCGCACATGGCAGTGATGCCGTATTGCAAAGAGGCAACCATGATCGATAATCAGGACAAAGAAGTACTATGTTAAGTCTACCTCCGATAGAGTAATGGGCCCCTGCGATTAGGTGCGGCTCTTGGCCATTTTAATGGCCTTAGCGACATCACGGCTGCCTTGTTGGCTCATGGGCGCTCATTGAGGTTACGATCTAGGCCATGCTGACAGTGGAGGACAGGGAATATTCCACGAGTAGCATTACAGTACCGCTAGCACGCTGCGCTCACTAGTTGATTTATCGTCGCATTGAACAATAAGCGCGGTGGGGACTGAACAATAGTGGATGATGGATGGCTGATAGGGCGATGGAAGCGATGCATGCGCGGAGCCAATTCTTCCGAGTGCGTTTCTGTTGAATGCTTTTAGTTCATTTGATTACGTTCAAGCAAAAGCATACTAACTTACTTCTTAGCGTTAATGTTTCATACATTACTAGCTATAGTGGGTAAGCAAAAGTTATAAGTAAACTCGTTTTTGGTTAATCTTTCAAGTATTCTTTAATACCGATATATATTTTAAAATTACTATTTCATTAGTCTTTGTAGAATATTATGCATAGTATAAATACGTTATATTTATCGAGCTTTTAAATGACTATTACATATAAAGTTTATGTAAATATATATTTGGAATGCGTTTGTTTTTACCTACTGTACCTGGGATGGGGTACCCAAGGCTCTATTGCTTCTCACCAAGAGTTCTACCGAACTTTTGTCGAACATAGCCGGCTGTAACGTGAAACAATTACATGAAATGCGGCGTTCGGTGTTCTCAGTTTAGTCTGGAACGGGATACATGTTGCGGGTGAAAGCAGACTGTGAGATGGATGATTAGCGCCTGCATCACAGCGCTGATGTTTGGTGAATCTAGCCAGTTGAGTACTGACCTCGTCCGGCACAGCTTCAGACGTGTCACATTGTAGGCATCTACATGTATATTGTCATACATTTTAACGTAGTATTTGCGGCTCAGTCGATGTCGTGGGCTCATGGCTTATAGCAACCTTTTTCAGCGTTTATGATAACAGTTATAGCACCATATCCTTGAGTTGAAACATGTCTTACTCGTCCAATGTTTTAATATAATACTAAACACTATCTTCCTAATTGACTCGCGTGCGTTAGTCTGTGCTACTCTAATATATGACGTTTGAGGTAGCCTTTGCGTAACCCTTATCGTTGCTCATGGCACACATCTTACGATGTGGCAAACTGGGTGGATATCTTTAACAAAGTGGCAAAATGTATTATTACCGCTGATATAGTCTCTTTCATGTTTACCGACACACAGGCTCTCTTGGAATTTGGTTCCAACAGCATTGATTCAGACTCTATGATGATACATAGAGCAAAGCCATACAACCATATGGCTACTGTAACCACCAATCAAAATGGTTCCTTGCCCCCAAAAATCAGGCTCTGTTCGTACATGACTAGCTAAAGTATCACAACGCCACCATTTATTGAACTAAGAAAGCGGACGGCGTTGTTAACTGTGTTGTATCCGGGCCGACTTGTTTGGTTACTTGCATACTTGCTTGCCTATCTATCACCTTCTCACAAGGCATTGACCTCCGATGTGGTACACAATCGGTTATTTCCGAATCATTCGCACCGTTAGAAATTTTGCTATATTTTCCAAGTATAAAACCCATTAATCCGCCGCAGATAGCGGGAGGCGCTGCGTTCATCCTCATTCTCCGCCACCTTCCACCCATTCAGCATTTATAGAATCAATTCATACTCTTTAAGCTCCTTTATCACATCCACCATGAAATTCCAGCTTCTTTCTGTCCTGGCCTTGGCTATCGTCACCATGGCTTCGCCTATTCCCAATTCAGAGTCGACTGATGCGGAGGACTGCGGCGGGTGCTGCCCCCATTGCTAAATCAAACATGATACGGTATATTTTCAACCCCTATCCTTCATTTTAAAGACTTTTTTATATCTGCTTTGGGAAAATTAAACTGATCCTCTTGGAAGCCCATGATAGACGTCATGGGCAACAGCAGCCAAACGAGCTGTGGCTACACAAAGGGAGCAGGCGAGTGCCCTAGAACCCGGAAATAGTTGACAAAATCAATATAAATTTCAACAATTTATTTGGTAGAATATTTGAATATTAATAATGAATTTCTTTCCATTTTATGCTTTGTCACTGAATTCTGCACCACGTACTTCGTGATACGATGTTTAAGCTGCCACACAAAGCTCCAAGCCCCACCACAATCCTGAAGCTACCACTGTGTTCGCTCCCACACACGTCACGTGAAGAGGCACGTCCCACCCCCTCGCTCAACTGCCACCGTGGTGATATCCCCTTGGATGCCAATCCACCTCGACATCTGCACACATTTCCCCCAACACCGTTGCCCAGCATGAGCTACGGTAAAAAAGACGAAGATGCCGACCTGGGGCTTGTCAAGGTAGACCGCTCGCAGGTCTTCCAGGAAGGTTTGTCACTTGCAATTGCTTGATAGAGAGGGACACGTCGCCCCGCTAACCACCATAACCAGCGCGACTCTTCAACAGCTCCCCGATTCAACCCCGACGATGCCGTATCCTGTTAACCAAGATCGCCCTGCTCCTCTACACCGGCGAATCCTTCCCGACCACTGAAGCAACCACTCTCTTCTTCGGCATCTCCAAACTCTTCCAGAACAAAGATGCCAGTCTCCGACAAATGGTCCACCTTGTCATCAAGGAGCTCGCCAACTCCGCCGAGGATATCATCATGGTTACTAGCACAATTATGAAGGATACGGGAGGCGGCAGCGAGGCCGTGTACCGACCCAATGCTATTCGAGCCCTCTGCAGAATCATCGACGTACGAACTCCCGACATCGTTATCTCCACCCCGCAATCGATCCGCTAACACAATTATCTAGGCTTCTACTGTGCAATCGATCGAACGAGTTATGAAGACAGCGATTGTGGACAAGAACCCCTCCGTCTCGTCTGCTGCCCTTGTTTCATCTTACCACCTGCTGCCAATCGCCAAGGATGTTGTTCGTCGCTGGCAGAGCGAGACTCAGGAGGCTGCGGCCTCTGGCAAGTCTGGCGGTGGCTTCTCTCTTGGATTCTCGTCCGGTAGCGCTCTCCCTATCAACAGCTCCAACATGACTCAATATCACGCCGTTGGTCTGCTCTACCAGATGCGCTCGCACGATCGCATGGCTCTCGTCAAGATGGTTCAACAGTTTGGCGCCCCTGGTGCTATCAAGAGCCCCGCCGCGCTAGTCATGCTCGTCCGTTTGGCCGCACAGCTCGCCGAGGAAGATGCTGGTCTGCGCAAGCCCATGATGCAACTCCTCGACGGCTGGCTGAGACACAAGAGCGAAATGGTTAACTTCGAAGCCGCTAAGGCTATTTGCGACATGAGAGATGTCACTGACGCCGAAGTCAACCAAGCTGTTCATGTCTTGCAGATGTTCCTCACCTCTCCCAGAGCCGTTACCAAGTTTGCAGCTCTCCGTATCCTCCACAGCTTCGCGTCCTTCAAGCCTACAGCAGTCGCTGCCTGCAACCCCGATATTGAACTCCTCATTTCCAACTCCAACAGATCCATCGCCACCTTTGCTATTACGACATTGCTCAAGACTGGTAACGAGGCTAGTGTTGATAGATTGATGAAGCAAATATCGACCTTCATGTCGGAAATCACAGACGAGTTCAAGATCACCATTGTGGAGGCTATCCGCACGCTATGCCTCAAGTTCCCCAGCAAGCAGGCCGGTATGCTCTCCTTCCTCAGCGGCATCCTCAGGGACGAGGGTGGCTTCGAATTCAAGCGCGCTGTGGTTGAGAGCATGTTTGACCTTATTAAGTTTGTTCCCGATTCCAAGGATGAGGCTCTCGCCCATCTCTGTGAATTCATTGAAGACTGCGAGTTCACGAAGCTTGCCGTCCGCATTCTTCACCTCATTGGTATCGAGGGCCCCAAGACTGCCCAGCCCACCAAGTACATCCGATATATTTACAACCGTGTGGTTTTGGAGAACGCCATTGTTCGAGCTGCTGCGGTCACTGCCCTCGCCAAGTTTGGTGTTGGCCAGTCTGACCCTGAAGTCAAGAGCAGTGTCAAGGTTCTGCTTACCAGATGCTTGGACGATGTCGATGATGAGGTTAGAGACCGTGCTGCCCTCAACCTGAAGCTTATGGGAGAAGAGGATGACGAGACGGCGCGCAACTTTGTTAAGAATGGTACGTTGTTTGCTTTGATATCGACAGCAGGTATTTTTACTAACAGCTTCTTACAGAAAACATGTTTGCTTTGCCATACTTTGAGCATCAGCTTGTCATGTATGTCACATCTGACGACAAGGACAACTTTGATACTCCCTTCGATATCTCCAAGATCCCCATCGTCACCCGCGAACAGGCCGATGCCGAGGATCGTACCAAGAAGCTCACAGCCACGACGCCTACGCTCAAGGCTCCTAAGGTTGATGCTGTCAAGGCACCTGCCACTGGTGCTGAGGCTGCTGCCTCAGCATCTGCTCAGGCCCAGCGTTACAACGAGGAGTTGATGCAGATTGACGAAATGAAGGAGTTTGGCTCGGTTCTCAAGTCATCGCCAGTTGTCGAATTGACTGAGGCGGAGACTGAGTACGTTGTCAGTGTTGTCAAGCACATCTTCAAGGAGCACATTGTGCTGCAGTTTGAGATCAAGAACACTCTCCCCGATACTGTTCTCGACAATGTCTCTGTTCTAGCTACCCCTGCTGATGATGAGGAGCTTGAGGAGGTCTTCATCATTCAGTGCGATAGACTTGCTACCAATGAGCCTGGCAAGGTCTACGTTGCCTTCAAGAAGGTTGGTGGCGAAGGTACCATGCCCACGGCATCCTTCTCCAACGTTCTCAAGTTTACTTCCAAGGAAATCGACCCTTCGACAAATACTCCTGACGAGCCCGGTTACGATGATGAGTATGAGGTATCAGAGTTTGACCTCTCTGGCAGCGATTATATTATTCCCACCTTTGCCAGCAACTTCAGCCACCTGTGGGAGCAGGTCGGTGCTTCTGGCGACGAGGCCGAAGAGACCCTTCAGTTGAGCGCCATGAAGAGCATTGCAGGCAAGTACAAACAATGGACATTAGCGCGAGAATTCACACTAACACACCGTTTGCAGAGGCTACCGAGCAACTGGCCCAGGCTTTGTCGCTGCAGCCGCTTGAAGGAACCGACGTTCCTATCAACACTAGCACACACACGCTCAAGCTACTGGGCAAGACCGTGGGCGGAGGCAGAGTCGTTGCGACAGTACGCATGGCCTTTTCCTCAAAGTCGGGAGTCACAACCAAGATTACCGTTAGAAGTGAAGAGGAGGGTGTGGCGCCGTTGGTTATTGCATCGGTGGCTTAAAAAGATGGAGGATGGATGGCGTTGTGGTTTAATAAGTACATTGAAAAATTAGAGCCGTAACGAAAATGCATAGTTCAATGTTTCCTATACCGTGTCCGCTTTACTGTCGCTTGGGGAATGTCTTGCATACTTGCATGCAGTGTGTGATGGGTGCGCGTTTACGTACAATATGGCTACGGCCTACCTTGCTGGTGAGTGGCGCCTGCGGCCGTTGCGCAGTGAGCCGTTAGATGGTTGGTTACAGGATGCAATCCTCGTGTGATGACATCACATGCGTTTTATTGACAGACCAGCCTCGCTTGAAGAAACTGTTGAGAAGAGCGTCTAGTTGCTTGCAAAGGGCTGACTTGATCACGTTCCCGAGCTCCAGGGTAACCAAGCTCTCTTGGAGTTGGGTGCGCCGCCGATGTGCGGTCTCGCCGTATCTTTCAACTTTCTTTTTTCTTTCAGTTTTAAGCGACTTAAGATCGCCAGGTCAATCAGCTTGGTGAACCGGAGCCGGCAAGTCTCCATCCACCGTCTAATGTGTGTGCTGGCTACGGTGGGCGGCGCTGGATATGCCGTGGCGCTCACTGGCGGCGTACCCCTCAGGTTAGTGGCCACTGCGCCAGTGCCGCGCCGAGGCAAACGATAGAGCAGCGTCTTTCACGAGGGTGCGGGGGAAGCAGAGGGACGAGGGAATACGGCGGGCGACAGGAAATAGTGCGCCTGCACGAAGCAAGCCATCTTTCGCGTTTAGCTTAAACCATATAAATTTGTTGGGAATGGCAAGGCTGCGTGTGTTGGTGCTTTTGCGATGACGGTTGGGTTTGGGCGTTTGCAGTGCGTGGGTGGGAGAGAGATTGAACATGTGCCCTGTGCCAGGCGCTGTAGAGCAAGTCACGCCTCTCTATCTGCCCGTCTTTCTAGAAGAGCAACGCAAAAAGTTTAGATTTGCTTCCCTCCTGGGCTGGCTGGCTGGTGTGCGCAGCAAGCAGAGTCGCATCTGCTTTTTTAGCGCACGATGGGCGACACCTAACCCACTCGTAGGGCCCTTCACTGGCCCGTGTTCTGGGCGCCGGGGCGGGTGCTGACGGAAAGGGCCCTGATGTCAGATGCTTAGAAGGCCTCGGCAGCCCGCTGCGGGGAAGCAAATAGGTTCAGCTGCTGGGGGCAATTCCATTGGGTTTGCTTTTGCGGTGCCGCTATAAGGAATTTTTGGCTTTTGCTGGTGGACTGTACTTTCTTACAGCTTGTATAGTTTAGTACGCGGGTGCACCAGATAGAACCGCGTTGTGTTTTTTGGGCTGTCATGTAGCGAGCCGTGTCACTCTCACACAGGGTTTTACCAAGCACAGAAACCTTATTCTGTTTTTAGGGGGAGATTCTTAATGCGGTGGGTGGTGGTTCAGATTTGGAGACGAGCCAACACTTCTTCATCTTCATTGTAATTAGGCGACTTTTTTTTTTTGTTTTCTTCAGGCAATAATGTAACATAAGCACGCGCTGTCTCATCCCTCTACCAGCCTGCCTTTTTTTCTCTCTTGGGCGTTTACCCCCGCTCCCAAATTTCTCGTGTTTAAAGCGGCACCGTGTCTCTAGCGTCCACTGCGCGCCACTACAGCGGCCTGCTTCTGCCACATGCTCCTTTTCGGGCGCTGGTCCACCGTCTAGGACGCCTGGGAAACGCAACTGTACGTACCAAGTACCTACTTTGGGCAGCCTGTCCCACACGCCCCCCCAACTCCTGACTGGAGACAAGTCAAGCTAATAAACACACGGAAGGCTCGCTTTTCTTTGTTTCCCCTGTCCGCCCACCCCGTGGTTTCGATCCCGGAGAGCCCATCGCCGTCGTTTTGCACTCTGCTTCATCATCATCCTTGCTCAATTCTGCATCTCTGCCTCGCACGCGCGCGCAGCCCACAGGTTCCCTTCTCTGCCTGACAGAGGGCAACCGTGTCCCGAGTGCACGTCATCATCATCATGAACGCCATCCAGGATAAGTGTCGGCCCAAGCATCAGGTCCTGGTCCTCAAATGCTATCCCAGGACCGTCAAGGGCGCCGTCGATGTCAAGCCCAACAGCAGCGAGCTTAGTTATTTGCTCTTTTACGCTACCAGCCGCCGCTCCAAGATTCAGAAGATTGGAGCTTTCCTCCAAAAGAAAACAGCCTCCGATGTCTGGCGAATGCGCATTGGGTATGTCTTCGCGTTGACCAACACTAGCCTATTTTGCCAATGCTAACTAATCTCCTTCTTTGCAGAAATGTCCAGGTAACCCTCGGTATCCTCGCCGCCTTGATCGAAAAGTCCCCCAAGGAAGCCGCGCTCATTGCGCCATACACACTCAAGATCCTCGACCAAATCCTGCGATCCAATGACATCACCATGATTGAGTCGTCGCTTCCTACCTTCGAGGCCTTTTGCGAGCACAACGATGCAACCTCTCTCTTCGGCGACAAGCAATATGCAGGAGAATACGAGTCCGTTATCAAGCAGTACGCGCAATTCGCTTCCACGCGCAGCACACCCAGCAAAACACCTCTCAGCCGTCCAATGCAGGTGCGCTGGCGCAATGCTGGTTTGACCGCCATCAAGTGCGTTTCGGCAGCAGATAACCTGTCGTCACTGACCGGTAGACAAATGGACGTCGTCATCCCTCGAATTCTCGAGAACCTCTGGACTGACAACGAATCCTTCATCGATGTCCTCCAAGAACGCCTCCGCCTCGAGGAAAAGGAAGACGAAGAAAAGGTCGTTCGCCGCCGAAATAGTATCGCCATTGCCGATGCCGCCGGTGCAGCCGGAGACCAGCCCGTGGCGCTCCCAGATACGACGGCCGATGCCGATATGTTGGCCGAGGAGGACACTGGCGTTCTAGCCATGCAGTGCCTCAAGAGTATTTTTATCGCACCTAACCGATCCCAGATTTATTCCGCCACAGTGGCTTTGCTCAAGTTTGTATCGGAGCGTGTCAAACAGGGCGAAACCGTCATTGTGGACGATGAGAAAGGCATTGCCACAAGTGGCTGGGCCATCCGAATTTTCAACATTGTGTCCCGCTGGGCCCCCGTACAGGATCGTTATGTTATCCTTCTTGTGGCTCTCGACACCTTGATCCGAACCCCCGTCAAGGACTCTACCTTGGAACAGCATTTAACGTTTTCTGCTTTGATTGGCTCCCTGCTTCGCTCTGATCTGAGCTTGGTCGGCCTCAGCGTCATGGACGTTCTGCTTGGGCTTATCCGCCAGCTGCGCAAGCTCTTCCAACTCCAATCCGAGATGAGCCGATCGGGCAGTGGCAGCGGAAATGGCACTAAAGATGCCAGCCAAGCAGAGCCTGAAGATGCTGGCCAGCGCCTACAACTCCGCCAGAGACTCGAGCAATGTATCGGCGACCTGGCCACCCACGTTTACTACGCAGACCAAATTTGGGATATGATTACTGCTATTGTCGTTCGCCTTAAGCCTAGCCGCAAGTCGAGCACTGGCGGAACAGCTCACAAAGAAAACGGAGAACAGGCTCCAGAGGACGACTCACACCCCGATTTGACCGATAGCCAGACCTCACAGCTTGACTCCTTCTTTTCGTATCCTGCTGGCCGCGCGTCTGCTCTACGAATTGTCAAGGGCATCTTTCTTGTTGCCAACCCACAAACGAAGATTGCCGGCAATGTCGACCTCTCGCGAAACCGTGTACCCATCCAAGTTTGGGAGGGCACACACTGGCTTCTCCGTGATGCTGATGGTAATGTTCGTAAAGCATACGCTGATGCTTTGGGCACCTGGCTCGACAGAGAGACTACTCGCGCCGACCTATACGCAGAAGATTTCTCTGCCGACGCCAAGAATGGTCGTGACCCATCCTCTGCAAGACGCACCATCTCCAACATCTCCACTGGGGAGCATCATTACCACCCCCGCCAATCTAGCTTCCTCCCTCTTCTTCATTTGGCCATTTTTGACAATGCCCTTCAGTACGTTGACTATGATAGCGACATGGTTCTGTTGCACACTCTGCTGGCCAAGCTGGCATTCAAGCTGGGTGTAAACGCCGTGCGATGCGGCCTGCCCATGATTTACAGACTACAAGAAGAGATCCAAGAAGTCGAGCAGCCAATCCACAAGGTTCGCATCTCTGCTCTCTGCCACGGCTACTTCTGGGCCATCTGTGACAAGTTTGATCTCGGTTCGTCCGTTGGCGGCCGGGCCATTCAAAATGAAATTGCTCGTCGCCGAAGCAAGGGCTTTTGGGTCAACGGTATTATTGTCCCTACTCTGAGCGTGGACGAGCTCGCCCTCCCGGGACGCCCCGGATCGCCTCCTTCATGGGATGTTGCAGCCTTGGAGAGAGAAGAGTTGCTGCCGTTTGACGACCGCACTTCGCTTGTTCAAGGCATTGCCGGCAGCTACGAAGACGGCGTTCATTCGCCGCCTGGCAGCCCGGCCCTCGCACCAACCCGCAACACACCGCAAAACTCGGTCATCTTGTCAAAGCATGCCGAACTTCCCGATGCTGTTCGTGAAGAGATGCTTGCAGAATGGTCGCGCGAGAATGTGCTCACAAGCGTCGCTGCCCAAGGCAAGGCCGAGTCGATGAATGGATCCAAGTCAGGCACCACCGGTGCTCGTGCCGCCAATAGGCTTGCGCTCCACGCAGCCGGTGTAAATGGCAACGGCCAGTCGCCGTATGGCAGCCTGCATAACTTGCGGCCGCTTTCCGCTCATGTGCCCGCTGATCGGGAGAGATTCGGGTCCTTATCAAAGCTCCGCAAGACCAGTGTACAAAGCGGTACGTCGCCAACACCGTCGCTCTCTGGAAAGAATGGTATCGCCTCAGTTGACCAGCTGAAGATGATTTTGGCTGGCAATGTGTCTCCCAAGACAATCGGAATCCCTGGCACTGCGGGGTCAGACGACAGTGGTGAGAGTATGGTTAGCTACGACTACACCCACTCTGAGCTTAGCTTCAACCCCCCTGGCCCCGGGGAGCAGGGAGCGACAACGACGGGAGAGATTCTAAACAGAACGATATCCGCTTCCTCCAGAGGTGGAGCCACTTCCCAGACCGATGCGGATGGAGAAGATGAGGACGATGTACCCCCAGTGCCGCCTCTGCCTAAGCTCAGTGCCCTCGCTGGCAAAAACGCGCTGCTCACCTCTGGCAGTGTCCGATCAAAGAGAACTGTGAGCGGACAAAGCTCACTCCGACAGGATGGACAGAAGAGCATGGACCTACAGGAACTGTTGCGCGGTATTGACAGTACCTCTGGTGAGGGTAGCCTCGGCAACGTCTCGAGGCCGCCATATTAATAGGGATTTATATGGATGGAACAGTTGATGGAAAGGAAAAAGCGTTTTAGTGGAGGATCTAGCGCACTTTGTGAATTTTAAAGCAACACGGCTCGGTCAGCGATACAGCCGTAGCGTCAAACACCCGTCGGGAAACGGTATATATTCTTGTGGTGTTGTCATTGTTGTGTGTTTTAGCTGTTTGTTTTATGTAGAACCAGGGTGGAGGAGCGCGTGCAAATGCATTTAATTTAGTAAAGAGCGGCAGCGGCCAGCACCCGTCCCGTCGGGTATAGCGACTGAACTTGATTAAAGAAAAGCGAAATATTTATTCCCCTATTTTGATCCGTATGCGAAACGTGAAACCATGCTCCGTGTGTATTATGCGTGATATGGGCGGCGGCGGACGGGGTAAATACGTTGCCATGACAGGACGGATACTGGCAACCTTTGTGTATTTCCAATCGGATGTATCGTTGTATTTGAACAGAATCTATGTTTAGAATAGGATAGCGGCTCTGCTCTTGTTTTACGAGATTGGGTAAATAGATAGGTGAGTAGACATTTAGCCTATTGCACACGTAGCTACAGTGCAGCAAAGACGATGCGTACCGTAGTAGTAACGTTGGCATCAAAAAGAACCCCCCGCCATGGGAACACAGTGGCCGGTTATGGCTTTTCTGTCTTCTCTGCTTTACTATTAGGGCATCTCACTGACTTAGTAGTTGTGCCAAAATATTATGCCCGCACATGCCCGCACTGTACGTATCATGCAACCACTGGCGTATCGTATGATGGGCGCCAGGGACTTTGTTTTGGAGGGAAGACATGGTGGGTGGCTGTGTCAAGCCGTGTTGCCGTTTTATGCGGTTGTTTGCAGTGGAGTTGGGTGCCCCGAAACCCGCTGACTCTGCCCTGTCAGTGGCCGGCCAGGGGCTCCCGGCACATCGTTTGCCTTTTGCTCACTCAGCCCCAGGCTCCCTCTTCACTCTTCTCTCAGGCCGTCCGATCCGCCTTTCTTTCACCACAATATCGGTTTTTCTTCAGTTATTTTTTTTGGTGTCTTGCCCAGCGACGCTGTTTCCGCGCACGATATCTCTTTTCTCAACTGTCACCCACGCAAGCGATAACAACTTCGCTTTCGTCTCGGCTCTCCACGCCGAGCTCCCCATCCCGATCCGCTAAAGACCGTTGCCAACGTGGTCCCGCGACTCGCTCACTTCAGCCCAGTCTGCCAAATCCGCGCCTCACTACAACCAACAGCAGACACAGAGGTATAGAGCTAAGGCGTATTTTGCGGGCTTGTATAGAGTGAATCATAAACGTCTCAGACTAGGCTACTCGACTGCTTACACTTTCCACGGCAGATGCCTCTAGAGGGGTAGCGAGAGCCGGATTTCATCTCACGGCTACTTTTGGCCATACAACGCTTGAAACTATTACTTTGTCCTCTTATTCTTAGTGTCTTTGGCTTCAAAAATGTATGATATCGAGGCAAATAGAGGGCCTCACCCCTCCGAATCAATACCCAACGCTGCGTATCCAGAGTCAAATTACCGACCAGGCGGCGGAAGCATTCCGGCACCATCCTCGACGTTTAGCAACTCACAGCCGTCTACCGGGTTTGGGCCCCAGACGACATCTTTCCATACGACTTCAACTACACATACGACGAGCTCTCAGGCTACCTGGCAGCACGCTGACGATGGCTCGGATCCACCCCCTCCATATGTCCCAGCTGCTGCTGCCCCTCAGGTTCCAGTCCCAGTCCCGGGGCAGCATCTGGCACAACAGAGTCCAACGCCGACTGTATTGACGCCTATTCATTCTCGAGATGAGCGTCTCCCCTCTGCGGGTGGAATCCCTTTAAGCAACCTGCCTCCACTTGCAACCACTTCGAGCGCCGGCCAGTCTGGATCACAGCATCCCCCGTTTGCAGGAGGGCACCCAGGAGGCCACTATCAGCCAAACTGGCCACCTGCCGCTCCCGGCCAGGAACTAAATACTCCTGACGGGCGACATTCATCTCAGAGCCATAAGTACGATCAAGTTGGAATGGGAATGTGGCAAAGCAGGCAGCGAAGGGCGCAGCGTGCTAAGATTTGCGGGCTTTCATCTGGCTTCGTCGTTGCTATTTGCATTGCCATTGCAGTGGCCATAGGCATCTCGCTCCGAAACTCTCACTCGTCAAACTATTAGGATTCTGGAAATGATGAGTGGTGACGCATTGAACAAGACAAGCGACTAGATTGGGATGCACCGTTGTCTCTGTGTTTTCTTTTTTCTTTTTTACGGTTATGACATTCTGTTGTGTTCTTTATAGCGGCGTTTGGTAGCACAGTCACAATTGTAGCAATATTGTGTATCATAGCATATAGCATGGAGTTTGGCTTTCTCGTTTGGCATTGGCATTCTTTACCTTTGATGAAATCAGGTCTACGTCATTTTCAATTCATTCTACTTTCTCTACCACGTGGCCCCAGTAATAAAACTACAACGGTCTAAACGAAATAAAAAAAATTCCCCGTCACCCCAATTAGGCAGGGTCCAAGAAACGGAATTCATCCCCGCTGGTGGCTTGAATTTGATTCCACATTGTCAGCATAAGGCGAAGAAGTCAAGAGTCATGTTGAATCAACAAGTGACGATTTCGGTGGTAATAACCCGAGCCAGCCCGTTTTGTTGGTGCCGGCAGATCAAAACTGAGTCGTGTCGTTCTCCCGCGTCAAGGACCCTGCGCTGGCGCTGAGATCAGCAGCAGGTCCCCAGATTTTGCGTCCTGTGGATGTACTATAGCTACTTGAACAAAGCGTTAAAGCTAGTCGTTGTTGGGGATTAAGGTAAGGAACTTTATGCAAACAAGATGATTTGCACTGATGGTAACGTTGACGCTAAGACGCCAACTCATAGACGACGACTCGGTGGGCACACTTCAACGTCCGCGCTAAGGCCGGCGAAACGGCCGGGTTGGTCCTTGCACGACTGTTACCAGTTCCATGGGCGGCCGATTAGGCTCCCATGAAGTAAAAGTTACTGATCATGTTTATAATCCAGGGGCTGGTGCTCTTGCGGTAACGTTGGGAGGCAAATCTTGAATCGCCCTGTGCACCGCACGGAGCCTTTTGCCGGAGATGCTTATTCCGCCTCACATCGACAACTTGGGGCGGAGGCGTTCTCATTGATAATCAAAATGCAGCCCAAATTGACGCCGCCTATCGGCTTTTGAAATAGATAGGCTTGGGCAGCCCCATGGCGCCAGGAGCCTTGTTTTTTTTTCATGATGGCAAGGGACGGGATGATAAAAGTTGTGAGAAGGCAGTTGGTTCATTGTAGAACAGGGCGAAGCTGTGTATCGCACTATCAGCCTTGATACGACTAGAGATGTGTCCGTCGTCGCCCGACTACTTAGCCCATCGCTTCCAGTATCAAGGGAGGCAGCTAGCTACTGCAGCAGCGAGCAGCAACGGCACCTGGCCTGTATTATTCGCTTGCAACCTACCCCTGGGCTGGCCCGCGGAAGCGTCCGGTTTGCGCCACGCAGGAGAAGCTGCAAGGATGGTGCAGATGGGAAACAGGGCGAAGCTGTGGCCTAGTTTTGCTGACCCGAGTCGTGTGCTTTTGGATAGTCGGGCGTCTCGAAGCATTGGTGATGGGACAATTGTACGAAGAACGAACGGCGAATTGCACTTTCTCAGCGTTCATCCCCTAATACCTCTCAGCACATGGGGACCAGCCAGCGGCCCAATGCTCCCTGAACCAATCGGCGGACACCAAAAACGGGTTTGTTAAGAGCAAGGAACAGCGCCATCGCGGGCCGGTTGGGATACTAAGTCAGGTTAGTAGAGGGACCTTTTGACCCCATCCAGTTACGGGGCAGGCTAACCACTGTGCTGTGGCTTGCTAAACAGGGCGACCCTTTTGGCGGCTCTTGGATGTTGAACAGTGGCCGTTGTTACGTGCCATTGCGGCCGGCGCTGGTGTGTGCAAAGGGGTTCGGTCGACCAATATTAGGCATCATAGCATGAATAGTAGAAGAGGGAAGATGTCGGTCCTTTAGAGAAGAATTCTGATCTGCCGAGCCAGCCCCTTTTATAAACCTCGGAGGAGAGACGTAATAATAATAGTAGAGGAAGGAATAAGGGCACATGCAAAAAGAAAAAGGATACGTTGTTACTTTGTAGTTTGGCACAGCACAGCACAGCACAGCACTGTACAGTAACAGTACATGTTTTTTTGGTGAGAATTAGGGAGCCAGTTTTTTTTTTTGGCTACCCTTCCCTTGCTCGGGATTCTGACACCGCCCTCCCCGAGTGCAAGCGACTTTGCACCGAAAATACCCACTACAGCTTCCCACTACTGCTGCGACCTGGGCTTGGTGCTATTACTACTAGCTTCCTCCTCTTTCCCTCAACCGCCGTCATCGCCATTCTCTGCTTATTCTCCTCTTCAGCTTTTGCTTGCCCAGTGCAAAACGAGTGTGCGCTCTGCTTCGCGACGCAGAATCCATCCGCATCCACCGCCATCCTTCCACGCCGCCATCGCACTGCACGTGAAGAATATTCGCTTTTTTACAGGGGCACAAGCCTGCCACCGAGGCATATTGCCCAATTCTCCGCTAGAGGGACACACCACACCACACACACGCTGGGAACAAGGCCCAGGCTTCTGGTTGTACCCCTCGCCGCGGCGCCTGCCCGAGCCTAGCCACGATATCCGACGGTTCCCATTACATCACGCACTATATATATAATCAGGCATCGGTGGTGTTCTTTTACAGCGACATTTTTAATACCTGTTTTCGCAGCCCGCAGCTACAGCTGATTGGGGCTTTTTGTTCGTCATAAACCATGGCGCCGCGATTTCAATACCGCGCCAGGTGAGGCTCAACAACAACCGTGTTGGCTGCATCAATTTTCTCTGAAAATACTAACAATGCTGCGTTGCTAGCCGCGAGCTTCATGCTGTTGTTTTAGGAGCAGGTACGTTACCAAATTAGGCATAATAGCCTTGTGCATGCATGCACAAATATATTGCGAACTGGGCTGACTGACGCGCGTTGAACAGGTGGTGTTGGCAAAAGTTGCTTAACTGGTAAGCCTATCTTAATCGACGCGAATCGAACTGCAGACGAGCTGGGACTGACGAGATTCCCTCGTAGCACAATTCGTTCACAATGAGTGGATTGAGAGTTATGACCCTACAATTGAAGAATCATATCGTACCCAAATACAGGTCGATGTACGTTGCCACCCCTCGGTCCCCCAATTGAAACGAATCACCTGGTGGAATTGAAACTAACAGAATATAGGGCCGACAAGTCGTATTAGAAATGTGAGCCGGAACACCAACACGACAATTGTGCAGCAGCAGTTGGCTAACTTTGGACAGCTTGGATACCGCTGGAACAGAACAATTTGGTACGTGGCTCTGTTGCCAACACTGTCCTAAAAGTCGAAGCACTCCATCTAACTTTTGTTTCTAGTGGCTATGCGAGATTTATACATGCGTATGGGCCAAGGGTTTCTCCTAGTGTTCAGCATTACGTCGCCGTCATCGTTTAGTGAGCTTGAAGGCCTCCGCGAGGAAATTATCCGAATTAAGGACGACGAAAATATCCCCATGGTCATTGTAGGGAACAAGGCCGATTTGGAAGACTCTAGAACGGTACCCCGAGCCAAAGGTTTCACTATATCCCAAAATTGGGGAGCGCCATATTACGAGTCTAGTGCTCGAACACACAGTACGTTGAACAACACATACAAAATTGGGTATGTAGAAGCTAACAGATTGCGCAGCAAATGTGGACGAGGTATTTGTTGATCTGTGTCGACAAATGCTGAGAAAGGACGACGATTATCTGAATGTTGCCGATAACGACGACGCTGCTTCGAAATTCGACGTCAAAGGCGGAGGCGGTAAGCGCAAAAAGAGACTACGTCTGCGCGATGCTACGCACCCAAAATGCGTTATTCTTTGATTACACACATATATATAAGCCAACTAAAGCACTGTCCTGCTGACTTGGTATGATACCAGCGAGGACAGTGCTTTGACGTTATTACGAGCTATATTGGGCGGCGAATCGGCGTTTATTGGCATGGCTCAGGCTTGAGCAGCCTGGTTTGATTAGCGAGCGAGGTTTCTTGAAACGTATTTGTCGGCAGACCACGTCATGTTTTGGTTGTTGTTATGAGCTAGCATCTCCAAGGATGGAATAGGCTCGGCACAGCACAGGTTGCTATAATTCAACGGGATATAAAAAGGAAAGGCTTTGACCGGAATTCCATAGCTGCAACATAAAAGTTCTTTTTTCTGCATTCACCGTTATATTGGGCAAGGGTTATTAATCGGCACTTGTAGTGCCCATTGTCGACATGTGCAACTTGACTGACTACATGTGGCGTTGGTTATCAATGGTCCCTACTCTCCTTGAGAGAATCACTCTTAACGCAGCGCGTGACCAAGCTCCATGTGGTGAGAGTAGTATTTGCAGCGGCCATTCAAACTGGATATGGAGGCCTAATGGAGGCGAGGCGAGGCGACCGGTGGACTTTGTTTAGCGACAAGCCATGTTGTATCTGTGGTGACCTCAAGGTGGCAGCAGTGACGGCAAGGTCTTATCAACGCCGAGGAGACCACTTTTGCCCAACGGCAAGTTTTGTTCAATTACAGTGTCTTGTTACAACATTACACATACAGACGAGGTTTCTGGGAGAGCGAATAGAAGCAGCTGTGACTGTTGCATGCAATGCCGGCGCGCACCTTGTTAGTTGGAGTTGCAACATGACGCTATTGTAGATAGCAAGAAAACCACTACCGTAGCACAAGCTCGGTAGCTACAGTAGGTACCCGCCGTGGGTAAAATAGAGACAGTCTACCAAGGTATAGTAGTAGGAGGGGCCTGATTGAGCATAGCGCTATTCTAGGTCCTGGTTCCGCGAAAGTGGAAAATAGGCAAAAGGCAACGCTAACTAATACAGTACAAGGAAGATAGCTGTGGAGTGGGAAGAATCCAGGGGCTGGCAAGCACAGGATTGTGTCCCGCAATGGACGATTGGCTCTTCCAAGTATGGCAATCCCATTTCCGCTGAGTGCAACGGTGTAATACATGAAGCTAGCTTGCCCGGCAATTTTGGCGCAGGGGGCGTTGGTGATTGCGCTGGTTCCCGCTGCTCGCTCACGGCGTGTGTTGCTGTTGCACGGCAGAAGCCGGATCTTTGTCACATGATTTACACAGAGAAGTAGTGCTGTAATTTAGAAGACTATGACTGAAGAGGCGTCTTGGACGAGCGCGTGGGGGAATAGAGTTGCCCAGAGCAGAGAGAGTTGTTGTTGTTGTGGTCTACAGTACTTAGACAACGACACCAGCAAATGGTCACGCTGCTTTGTTAACTTTTGTTTTCTACTTTTAGCTTTTTGGGTATCCGCGTTTCTATTTTTATGTTTGCAGACCCACGGAACAAGAGGATTTTCTAGCATTTTTAACAACGAACTTAAGTTAAAGAGACTGTACGTCAACTCAGAGTTTGATTACTGCATGCGGCGAGCACCACCACCAAAAACCCACCAAACGGGTAAAAGCGTGACTGACTGAGGCTGGACGGACGAACTGCTAGCACCCAGTGTTGATTTGGAGCAGGATGACGAAAGGGGGGTGGGCGGCGGACCAATGATCTGCTGATGAAGCGAAATTCATTGCGCTCGTGCTGTGATTGGTCAGCAGCGTCCAAGTTTTAACTTTTTTGCTGGCCCTTGGTGGGAAGTGGACCCGCTTTTTTCCACAGTCCATTTTCACGCCCCAATTTGGGAAGCGCGACTGAAGTGCTGCTGCTTTTGGCGCTGTAGTGTGGCTGTTTTCAGCGGTGAGCATCCGCTAGAACGAGTCCTGCCTTTTAGCGCAGTTCGGCCGCTGAAAATCAGCACTAGACAGGGCGGCCTCAGCACTGCGCTGGGTCACCTGGTGCCCGCCAACTGAAGCCATCCCCTTCCCAGCGGGGTTACAGCGGACGGGAGAGCGCTGGTGGGTGGTGTTGATGTTCTGTACCTGCGTCTGCCACTGCGGATGTCGGGGGTGTTCTTTTGCCCAGCATTGTTGCCTTCGCTAAGACTCATACCCGTCGAACTAGTCTGCCCATTGTCAACTCAGCCTGTCAGCTGTCGCCCGTCCCAAAATCATCCATCAAAAAGCAAAGAAGCTTGGCATTTTCCATCAATAGTGATATGCGTACCAAATATAGAAGCCGCCGCTCTTTTGAATAAATACAACAGACAAAAGCACGGTACAGCGTGATAGGCGTAGTCGCCGTAGCGTTTGAGATCCAGTGACGCAGGCGGGTTGCAGTCATTGGAGACAAGACCTGTGGGAAAACAACAAACAAAGACCATCAAGGCCAACGCTCCGTCTCGCCGACTGAGGCGTTCCCCTCGACTTTTTGCGTGGCGTCTTGTCTCTCATCCCGCCCCTTGCATCGTGGTTCGGGGAATAAGCCCCTTGGCTGGACAGACAGACAGTGAAGGCATCAAAGGGGATACAGATCGAGGCTAATAACAAAACAGTTGACCTACATATGGCCATCGAGCATCGACCATCGAACTAAACAAGCGAGCAAAAGAGGCACTGTCGCAATCCACTCTGGTGCATTTCTCACCCACTCACGGGGCAGCCCCTCCTCCACTCGCCTCCGCTGATTACGGTACGATCGTGCATGGGCAGGCCCCCAAGGCGACGGTAGCGACTCTCGCGCGTGAGGCTAAAAAAATAGAGAGCAACACGAAGACACCCCGGCACTGTCCTGTGCATGGTGCATGCAGACAGACGCGCCACCAGCAAACGGACGCCCTACACTCTGCAAGACGCCGCTTCCTGTCCGGCAGGCTACAGGCTGCATTCACCACCAACATCACGGGCACAGTAACAACCAGCCCAGGCACACTAGGCAGCCTGCCAAAGTCCCCCCAAAAGCATAATCAGCAGCCAGCGAAGCCCAAGAGGCAAAGAAAGGGAAAGAAAGGTGGTTGTGGGCCGCTGTCGCCACACCCTTCGGCTCCTGCTCCTCACACCACCAAGGCAAGACACACCACCAAAAGGAATCGCCCCAGTCCTGCGACGACAAGCTTCGCCCACAACCCCATCCGGCTGTTGTTTGGCTGTTCTCGGCGCTAGTGCCTACAAAGGCCCAGCGTCCTGTTTCCCGCCAAACGTGCGCCGGGGACTGCTAGGCGTCCACCCTCCTCCCACACCACTTCACACTGCCCTGCCTGCCTGGCCTGCCCATACCCTTCTGCCCTGTGGCGCGCCTCTCTTTGCCTTCTCTTTTGCGACTGCAACCATCTTGTCTTCGCACTCCCGTCGACTCCGTCCCGGCTTCTTCCCTCCTACACATACACTCGCCCTACTTCCCATTGGGATATTGTACGACTCGCCTTCGCTTCTACTTTTTCTCGATATTTCTCGGTTTTTCATCGCCATATCCCCGGCCCTGTCCGACTACGATTTGCGCGCGCTGAGCCCCCCCCCGAATCTCGATCGCATAACACGCATTCAGCGCCTTTTGCGCCGTTAATCTCTGCGACGCGCGCCTTGGACCCAACAACAGGAGACGTTGGTTTGCTACCGAAAATCCGAAATCGCATTTGTCTACTACGCGAAATTTCGTCTCTCGAGAGTCGTTCTTATCGCCGCTTTACACGCTCGGTGACGATTTCGACTGCCGGCCCCGATCGCGTTCACCTTGCTGGTCGCATCCGCACGCCGTATTGTGTCGTTGAACCATTCTAGCCTCCCATCGCGCACAAGTATCGAACAAAAGCATTTATCTGCTCAATAAGATTTCGTCTGATTTCGGCTCGCCCTTTCGACGTTTTTTTTTTCTAGTCTAAATCCGACTTGGTTTGACTGGTTTCTGATTGCGACAAGGACCCCGTCAACAATACACACATTGTGTCTAGCAATATCCGTCGCATTCCTGTCCCGCCAAACAGTCTCAGTGCTGCCCGGCAAACACCCTCAGCAGCACCGGCGCATGCTTATAGCTCGTGGGCGATGAGCTCCGACCGAAAAGTGTCGCCAACACAACCGCCCGTCGGTTCCAAGACCAAGTCCGTCATACCCGCGCTTGCCAACGTCACCAACACCAACCACATCTTCAACACATCCGCCGCGCCAGCCAGCAGTATGGCTACGCCTGCCTTCTTGCCTCCTGCGCCCCACGCTTTCCGACCAAACTCTGCCAGCCCGATGCCGTTCCCGCTTGGTATGCCTCTTGGGCAGGGCTTCGATCGCGAATCCGCCATGCCCGGCCCTTCTCCTTTTGCCGATGGTCCCGCCCCTCAGATCATTCGAGTACTCATCCGTCGTCTTCCTGTCAACACCTCAGAAGAATCGTTGCGCCTCATGGTAGTCTGGTCCAAGGAACTCATCTCAGTTGAGCTGCTGCCTGTTGAGAGATCCGAGGACGCAGGCTTTCGCTCCGCCATCCTACGCTTTCGATCCATGTCCGGTGCCTTGGAAGCCAAGAACATGCTCGATGGCCGCTCCAACATCTCAAACGATGCACAAATGATTGTTGAGCTCCTCAACGGAAGTCCTATGGACGCAAGACGCGAGCGCCAAGCAAAGATGAATGGCGGCGGCTCACACGGCCCTAGACAACCTACGCACTTCGGCAACGGATTTCCTTCGCTTGAGAAGATTTCACCCACATCCAACAGCGCCTTTCCTTCCAGCGACTTTGGCAAGCCCGAGCCCAACTTTCAGAACCTCTTCTCATCACAGTCACCCATCGGCAGCCATCTATCAGACCGTACCCGAGTGTCAGGCAAGACGTTGATCAATGACGACTTTGCCGATGATGACGAGACTAGCGACCTTCTCAAGGACCCAGTTGCATATGCTGAGAGCAATGCCAGCTCACAGCGACGCGCCACGGCGCCCCAAATTCCTATTGGACGCATGGCCAATCTCACTCTCAACACAAATGGTGGAAGCCCTCCGGGTCCTTCCTCACTCCCTCCTTACATGAACTCGCGATCTCCGAATGGCATGCCTCCTCCTCCTGGAGCCGGCTTCCCAGTCGGCGGAAACGTTGGTGGAGGTGGTGGTGGCGCGGCGCCTTATGGCCGCCATGCCTTCCCACCAGTGAATCCTGCCGACCAGAATCCTCCATGCAACACCCTGTATGTCGGTAACTTGCCGCTAGATACATCAGAGGAGGAGCTCAAGGCCATGTTTTCAAAGCAGCGCGGTTACAAGCGCCTCTGCTTCCGCACCAAACAAAATGGTCCCATGTGCTTTGTTGAGTTTGAAGATGTCTCTTTTGCCACGAAAGCGCTTCATGAGCTCTACGGCCAGCCGCTTCACAACAGCGTCAAGGGCGGCATCCGCCTTAGCTTCTCCAAGAACCCTCTTGGTGTTCGTTCTGGCCCAGCTACCAACCAGCCTCCTCCCATGGCCATGCCGCCCAATATGCACCATGCGCCACCAGCAGCTGCAGGTGGAAACGGCTTCAACTCCAACGGAGCTCTTCCCCCCGGCTTGGCAGCTCCTCCAGGACTTGGCAGCGGTGGTCGAGGACACGCCAACGGAGGCGGCAACAGACCATACCCGCTTCCTGCCTTCCACGGCGCCCCTCATAACCCTTGGAGTGGGCCACCATATCACAACGGAGTCGGCGCTGCGCCCAATGCGCCTTTGCACAACAACCCCAACTTTATGCCTAGACACATGATGGGTCGATAGATGCCTTTTTTTTTCTGGGCATCGTTTCATGCGGAGCCTAGCCTTATCTCCTTGTACGCGGGCCAGCAGCCCATGGCGCAACGGATATGACAACGGCAGCAATCGAGACATGCGCATACCAAGGGGCAAAGACCCCAAAGCCTCTTTACTATTTTGGGTTCGGCGTTGAGAGACACACGGGATTTGACAGCATTTGCGATACCACTTTTCATACGGGTTGTTTTACTTTGCTTTTCCTCTTCTTCTTCTTTTTATTTGGGGGCAAATTGAGTGTTTTTGTTCTTGTTTTGCATTTCATCTTGGCCAAGAGAAACAAAGACATGGCATGGATGGAGTTTTTATTCAGTATCAGGTTCAAGGAGACGAACCGTCGGTTTACGAAATGGCATAGCATCCAACATGCACGCCGGGGCATCGGTTCAACGGGGGGAAAGACACCATTTCGGCGTTTTGTTTTATTCGGATTCGGGAAAGACCAGGAAAGACAAAAAAAGAAAAATGTAGCACAACGCTGCTATACTCAAATCGGCTGCCATGGAGACTCTACGCAGTTTGCCATGTGCACCACAGCTTTCGGTAGCTGTCGATGTTTGTACACATCCTTTGTTGTGCGGATTCGTTTACTTTGCCTTTTTGTCTTTCTATTGTTTTGTGGGTTTACTTCTTGTCTCCTTCATTTCACGGAATGCAGCATTGCGAAAGGATGGGAGGGTTTTATTTCACGTTTTGGGGGTATTTAATCTTGGGACAGCGCTTCTTTTTTGGACCCTCTCTTTTTCGTTGTCTAGATGTCATACCTACTTGGTGGCATCTATTCGACATGGAAGGAACGTTCCCATGATCAGCGCACAAGTCTCTTTTCTTGCCTTTGTTTCTTTCTTTGCACTTTCTTCTTTTTTAGTGATTCCCCATTTACTCTACCAAGGTCGGGTTCCACATCGTCAGATTTGGGATTGTTGTTGAAGGGGAGGGCATCTTGTTCCTTGCTGTACGACTTTGACTTTGGTGGTTTTCTCTTTTAATATTGGAAAGCGCGGGTTGGTTCTTCATCTTGTTTCTTTTTCTTCTTTCTTTCGTCCTTTATTTCTTCACTTGGCTTGCATACGGGAAAGCAGGTATAGGTTCTACGATGTAATGTACAGTTCTTTTGATTGAATTCAACTTGTTATTTAAACCACAAACTCCTAATTTCACCCGTGATTGTGATGCCTGATTTCCCTTGAGTGCAATACATTTGGGCTAGCTACGGTCTCTGGTGCCAGTTTATATCTCCAGAATCAACCATATTCTCCAAGTCTGTCACGTCAGTATTCATCCATTCTGTAGTCATGGTTGTCCACAGATCGGTAAATCCAGGACGACCTTGCGCCAGTAATGGATCTGGATTAGCTTCCATAGTATCCCAAGTGACGGCCTTTTCCATGGATCCGTCTAGAAAGGGACATCCAAAGCTTGGTCGTGAAATTTCGGCTTCTCGTGCTTTCTTCTTGGCTATGTAGGCGTCCATCCGTTGTGCGTATTTGTCCTTGACTAAGCCCATAACAACGCGGCTAGCAGATAGCACATCGACCTTTTTGGAAGTACCTGTAAGCCCTGGATCGGCAACAAACGTGTCTAAAAAGGTCTCGAAATGCAGCTGCGAACGAGCCCATTCGTCGTCGTACTCGGGGCATCCAGGGAATGGGAAAGACAGCCGTAAAGCCAGAATAGTAGCGAAGATCAGCTTGGCCCAGTCCATTCGTGTAAACGGTATGAATCCTGAGTCAGGAAGGTCTAATACAAGCTTGAAAAACTGGCGCAGTGTTTCCACTGCCCGGTAGACCTTGGGTAACGCGGAGACTGTTACCAGAGGGGACTGGACGGTATCTAGCTGTGTGGGTTTGGGGAGATGGAGCAGGTTGCCAGAATCGAGACATAATGAGACATAGAAGGATTGCAGTTTAATGGGGACTGGGAAAGAGTTAGTTGAATATATAGTTTCGTTTGGCGACGATGTCGTTGCTTACGCGATCGTGCAATGTGCGAGGCCATCGCTGATTGATGAGAATTGTTTTGTGACTCTAGCCCAAGCATGACTAGTTTCTTTTGTTGCTCATCCATATTATCCCTTCCGTTGAAAGCCATCATGGCACTATACGTTGTGAAGCTTTGGCGAGCGAGACTGGCGAGTACGGCGTCCTGGGCACTGGACGACTCTTGTTCGAGAAGCGTACAGCAGTATTCTGTCCAGGGCGTTAGTTTTGGGGAAGTATCCCGTATCGGGCGCCATATCAAAAGCGTTCTATATTCTCAATTAGTATCTTAGGTGTATAATATACTTGGGACAGTGTGTATGACATACGTATTCATGACGTAGCAGTACCCGAGATATGCTCGTGCCTCATCAAACTGCTGCTCTGTCGGATTCGAGAGTGGCGCGAGTGTTTTCCCTCGTTTCTCTACATCCAATTCCAAGCTGTGTACCAGGTCTGTCGCCATCCTCATATATTGGAAAGTCTGCTTATTCTTTGGTCGAAGGTGAAAAGGATACCTAATAGGCTGTTAGTGGAGAGGTCCGTCATCTGTGGTAGATTGAGCTTACCAAGCCGAATAAATTAAAATTCCTTGAAGGAGTTCTAGCGAAGACTCTCCACCAGTTACAATCTTCAGCCCCAGTACTTTTCGAAACTCTTCATCGTATAAACTGTGTCCTTGCAAGGTTTTCGATGCGGAGGCTGCAGCAAGAATGGCCAAGAGAACAAACGGTCGCGTCGAGGCCAATTCGGGGACTGTGGATTCTCTTTTTAAATGGACACACGGAAAGTGTTGAACCATGGAATGAAAGGTTAGCAGCAATGTTTCTGCTGAGGCAATGTTGAACTGAGGCTTGGCCTGAAACGACTCTATCGAGTGTGCAGCGCCAGACGAGGAGTGTGCGCTGACCCTAGATCCGCTTGTTGCAGTTCTACTTTCTTGCATTGACGATGACCCCTCTTGCGGTGAACCTTGGTCGGGAGGAAACATGGCATCCAGATGGCCGGCGTGACAGTCACGAAGCGTCTCAAAGTCTTGGTCCACCTCGTCGGCAGCCGAGACGGCAAAGTCTATGGTGAATGTGCCTGTAGGTTTAGGCGGAGGCGGCAGTATATCAAATGGGCTATTACCAGTACCGCTATTAATCATGAGCATGCATATACTAGACACCAGATGCAAGTACAGAGGATCACAACTCACCGTTTAGAGACCTTGGAGCGACGTGTCCGAGGGCCGACCCTGGACACGCATTCTGTTTTAGAGTCGGAGCATCTATACATACGTTAGCTTTCGGTATCAAACAGGCGTGTATGCAGGTTAAATGGCATTTCCGCCCCCATACTTTTGGCAGACGCCGGGCTGAGCACTGGGGCGACATCGGATCTTTGCAATCCGACAGGCCTCGCAAGCAGTAGACACCCGTTTCTTGGCGTCATCTACAGAGGTTCCCGTAACGTTATTTGCCATGTCTCCTAAATTCTCGGCGCCCAAGTAGCGTATCAAATGCAGTTGCTGGTGCAAAGACAACGCAAAGACTTGCAGGTGACGTTGTTCGACAGATGGTGGAGAGCGAGCCTTGTTCCAGTGGCGGCTTTCCTAAAGTGGAAAGCTGGATCCGGCAGACTTCGGATGTAGCATGGATCGGCCGGAAATAATTCTACAAAAATTCAAACTTGAAATATAAAAACATAATTTTGTATGGATAGGATACTTTTATTGTCTTGAAATATCAATACCATGTATATGATGCCACAGGTTGTCTGTATGGCAGTCGTTAGGCCCTCTCGCCTCAAACTCCAAAGGGTATAAAAATGTACATCTAATCAACGCCATAGTCCCATGCGCCTCCCGACATACTAATCAAGCTTTAATAACCTTTTCCGCATAATTAATGCTTTTTCTTACAACGTGGTAAATGCAAGTCCCTTGTTTTCCTCCTCCATCATCTTATTCACAGCTTCCCGGAGCGGCAGCATGGATGACTGGGCATCACTAGCCAGTCCGTCTATGCTGCCAGCGTTTTGCTTACCGCATTTCTCTGTGCAAAAGAGCGTGACCTTGTTCCCCGTTATACACACGGCGGGCTCTCTATTGTCCTCATCCATGTCGACATCCTCATCTAGCAGTTGTGCGCATTTGTCGCCTGCATCGCAAGGATGGCTCTTTTCCACATGTGTTTCCTAATAGAGGTTTCATGTTAGCTTTTTTGGTCCTTTCAAGTCACATGAATACCGCAGAGACATACCTGTCCATCCTGATAGCAGCCTTCGGAGCAAAAGGCGGTTAAGCTAGCCTTGCCGCCTACTTGCGTCGCAACCTGGCACAGTGAGCAGGAGATTACGTCCTGCGCAGGCACTTCCTTTTGGCAATTGGAGCATGGTGGCAAATTGTACAGCTCTTCCTTGACCACAACACCAGTATTGGCCGCTCCCTTTAAGCGCACCTTGTTCTGTTCCATCGCGGTCTTAGCGCGGCGAAGCTCGTCAAGGCGGCGAGCCTGGCTATCTCTCTGAGGCTGTGTACTGCGGTTGTGCTGATTTTCTTGTGAAATTTTTCCAATGACATCGCCCAGGGCAGATTCGCCTTCCAGCGACATGTATTCGTCGAGGTATGGCTGCGCATGCTCCAGCGTGTTGCCGCTGTTGATATCGGTAAAGAATTCGGCTGCGTATACCTTCTTCAGCTCTGCACCATCGCTTGCTGCCGCTGATATTCTTTCCAAAAATCTATCCACATTCTCAGACCATTGTGCCGGCTTGCCTACGCCGCGCCACATCATCGCAACGAGTTCATCACGGCTACGGTCCGGGTCGTCCAGCATGCCTCGCAGCTCTTCATCAGGGAGACTATCTCCAGAGACTTCCAGGAATTCTGGATATCTGCGCAGCACCCAGCGATACCAAGCTTCTTTTTCAGACTCAATACTGGCCTCTATCGTCTTAAGGCTGACTACTTTCTTCTTGGCCTCTGTGAACAAGTCATCCATCTCCTGGAGAAACATTCCTCTTTGTGAAAACCACTCTCTTTCGGAGCTTTCGCCATATCTTTGTCGCATTCGTTCCAAAACTTTGATATAACAGTCGTCGCATTCCACCACATGGCTTTTGCCACAGTCTTTTTCGCAGGCTTGCTTCAGCACGTCCACGTCTTTGGCACACTGATCCCGTTGTTTTCTTGCCACATTCAGCTCCGTCCAGTGCTCTGGCATAACCTGAACAAAAGACGCCGCCATTTTCGCGGTAGAAGAAGATGGGTTGGTGAGATTGGGAGAACGGTGGTGATGAAACGCGAAGGCAAGAGTCGATGAGCAAGAAGCCTAAATATCCAGAGTTTGGCGAAACTGTCGCAAATTGGTCGTATAGCGTAATAAATAGGAGGTCTTTAAACCAAATGAAATATTTTCTTCAAGAATTTGATGAGATGCTGCCGTCTGTTGAGTCTGTCGCAATGGATGTCAACGCCCGTTTCATGTTGCGACACAGCAACGGACGTGGGCTTGTCCGACAATCTACCGATCTCTCCACCAACTGCGTATCTCCAGACAACGTGCCGGCCTGTCAATCTTGATCTCCAACCAGCATCTGCAACGTAATCAATTCCACCAAATATTCTACTAGAAACTATTCAGTCGCTAAATATTCGCCATGGTGAGTTCCAAAACTATGTGCGCCAATGCGAGAGGGCCCCTTTGTAACTAACAATGCGACTGCACAGGCCGACAAACTTCGCACGCAACAAGAACTGGAGCGACTCCAAGCCAAGTTCATTGGCACGGGACATCCTGATACGACCAGCTGGGAGTGGCGAACGAATATTCAGCGCGATACATATGCTTCCATTGTCGGTCACCCGCCGCTGCTATCCTACATGTCTCTCGCCGAAAACGAACCAGCCTCCAAGACAAGGGCAAAGCTCATCAGAGTAAGCAACAACGATATTACAACCACAGAAGATACTAACTCGGCGATAGAAAATGCTACAGCCAAATGGCCCTCCTCCCCCAAGAGAAGATTAGACACTTGGCGCTGTCAAATGGCACGGCAAGGCGGGCGGTTTACGACTCTTTTTTCCTATTTCGGCGTTCTTGGGCGAAAACATACCACGGTTGGGCAAAACGGTTAATCGAGCGAGTACAATTATTCATTACTTCATTTATTATATGATTCATTTACGTTGCTGCGCGCTTTTAATCCTGTGCAGTCTCCATGGGTTGGTCCTCCGCCTGTTCCTCCGTCGGCTTTGGTTGCTGCTTAACTCCCAAGCTGGCTCGAAGTTTTCTCTCCAAGTCTGGATCACTGTCACCGTAGACTTCTCGCACAAATCCCATGACTCCATCCAGTCCTATCTCCTCCTTTGCTCTGGGACCGATATGCCAGGTTACTTGATCCTCGCCATCATGTCCTAAAGGAGGGCGATCGACCTTCTTGACCACATAGCCTTGACGCTCCATCTTCTTTAAAACAAACTCTGTCTTTTCATTTCCCAAGTTTCGATTCGCATTCAACCGTGTCAGGTATCTGGATAGCTTTTGTTCGCTCAATTCGCCCGCATTCAACCAAATGAGCGACACCACAGTGGTATAGAATGCTAGGTACATGGCTTCGATCGTAGATGTAGGTGTGTTGGAGGGTTTGATTATCGTTGCTGCTCTATAAGCCTCTGGAAGTGTCGACGTAAGAATGTAGGCTCCCGAGCCCGTCTTGGGTTGTGTGTTGGTTCGCATGGCTAATAGTTAAGTTAGCGGAGAGTTGAATGCCAGAGTATGCCACGGTGGATTGTTACCCTGTCGCTTCTCTTGCAGTGTCATCTTTTCTCGAACTGGCAATTCTCGGAGTTCCATTCCCCATATCGTCCGTAGCTGCTTCTGTGCTAGTTCAAAGATGCGCCTAAATGATCGGCCTTGTTCTCCCAAGACTAGTGGTTCGAGCTGTTAGTTCCCACTCCCTATTCCTCTTGGCGCCTGTGTGATTGTCTCATACCTCTCTCTTTTATACCGTCTCTTCTGATGGGTGTTCTGGAGTATTCGCATGACAGTGCGTATCGCACCAGCTTCTTCGCAAGCTGGTCATCGGCTGAGTTGTTCCTTGCGCCGCCGTCGCTGGCGTCGGACGACTCTGCAGCCTCGGCGGATTCCTCCCGATTTTGTCTCTGGCGAGGTCGAGAGTCCTCGTCTTCAGACTCCTCTTCTCGGGCCTAATTTCCAGCAGGATAAGTCAGTGACAACCCCAGCGAGTGTGAGGGGAACGATTGCAACCTACAGCCCGTCGTCTGCGTTGCGTCGGCATTGTCGGTGGAGAGTGATGTAATCGCAGTGAAGTCGGTATTAATTATGCAGCTGTCCTCCTTCTGGCTTTATCAATTTTGTAAATATTTTGCGGCGCTTATATATTTTAACAGCTATGATGTTGAAGACGTAATGGCGTGCAGCGCGTTAACGCGTCCAGCTTAAAGTGGCTCTTATCTTATCGCAATTTATTTCCTTGCGCAGCTCCAACTCTGGAGACTCCTGATCCCTGACGACGTTGATTCTACCCGCCCAATTCCAACCTACAGCATGCGGTGCGCCTGAATCGCTCATGTTTTCAAAATCATTAGCTTCGGCACGCATCTGCTTACAATGCAGGCTGTCTTTAGCACCGGCTAGAGCGCAGCGATGGACCGCAAGGGGGCGTTGCGCCAGTTTACCGCTACGCAAATACAGTGATAATCGACGCCTTTTAACAAAGGAACAGGCCGAAGCACTTATTCTAGGCAAACCTGCGACTGAAAAGAGCCATACGACAAATTCTGAAGCTACGGCAACCCAAACTCCCGAGACTGTCGACTCAGAGACGGCGAGCCCTACAACCAGCCCGACGGAAGAACAGCAGACTGCTCTGGATAGCGACGCTTCTACAGAACCTCTTGAGGATAGCATCCCAAGCATAGACGAGCCATCTAAATCATCGACCAGAAAGAGGCGAGAGAATCCCTTATTACGTCATCAGGCGTTAGGCGTGGATTCCCTCGGACAGCCCGTCGAGGCTCTCGTCATCAACAATCCAAATCAACTCCGGCCGCAACGAAAGTCGACGAGAATATCAGAAGACGAAAACAGTACCCCCTTCATCTCCTCCAAATGGAGTGACTGGGTCCCGAACCCCAACATTACACCACAGGAAGAGCTTGATGAGATTTGCGCCAACATTGAGGAACTACGGCCGACACAGTCTACTGTGATCCCTCATAAGGAGTTTATGGAAATTTCAGAGGCACTGGTCAACGGCTTCTCCAAAGATCAAATTACTACCTACGCAGTTCGCAACACAGCAGACAATGACAACGTCAACGACGAGTCCGTCTTTTCATGGGTTGCCAGCCAGGCCCCATGGCGGCCCGAATCTGAGTTGCTGCCTGCCAAAATGAAGCCAAAGCAATACTCTGTGGTGCACATGATGCGCTCAGTGTGGAATCTTGAAATCGAAGAAGAAGTCTCCGGCTTGGGAACTACAACCTTATCAGTGCAGCCTCAGTACTTTGCCCTACTTACACGTAAGTGTGGTGATATCGATTGTACTCGCAACCAGTCACTAACTCCTCATACAGGCTATAATCCACAAGTGCTGGAGAGTATCAGAGCAGAGTTGCGCGACGGTATGAATAATGAACAGATTGCCATCCACAGCAAAGCAGCACAAATCAATATCCTCTCCAAAAAGTTGACAGCATCGGTTGTCTTGTCTCGACTGGATGAGTTTTTCAGCCGTGTACGCAGTAAAAGGATCTCTGTCAAGAAGAACCCAAAACTTGGTTCCTTGCTCCAAGAGATTAGCAGGGTCACTAATACCATCGTTGAAGGTATTCCCGGTTCATCGGTACGATCTCCCTAAACACAGAAGGAGCAAAGCAGGTCTGGCTAACAAAAAACAGAATTACGCAGTCTACTGGGTCGCCGATAGTCTCTTCCATACCCCGGAGGAGCTTGCACGAGAGGACAAGGCCGATGTTGTGTGGCGGCTGCTCTCGACCGAATCCGCTGAGCCTGAATACAAGAGCCGTCAAATCATCTGGCCAACGTCAGGAGTCCGCTCTGGCTTCCACATGCCCTATCACCGAGATAAGAGATGCATGTCATGGAAGGATAAAACACAAGCGTGGTCGAGATTCGTCACGCAGCGCAGCAAGGGAGATCTGCCCGAGGCGCAAACGCGTATCAAGATTCCTACGCTCCCCTCTTCTCCGCAGTCGCAGGCAAACGGTATCAAAACAACCTTGTCAGCATCGTTTGGTCAAATACTGTATCAATCAGATGCCTTGAAGTCGTTTGATCAGAACGTAAACCGGGTCCTTGCGGCAGCTTCACCACATCCCGCCGCGCTCTCCAATGTTGGTCTAGGAGAAGACGAGTCATCCACGCTGCCATTATCAACAGCCATTGTCCTAAACTTCTCATGTAACCCATGTTATACCGGCCATCCTGGCAGAATGCCCGAAATTCGACTCCGACTTCCTATTGGCCAAGACACCGACCTATCGGCCTTTGTCTTCCCACCAACGTCGTCTCTGACGGCAACATTGGCGCTATCGGAGCACGATATGCTTCTTCCGGGATCAAGTGTCGATGTTCGCATCAACCAGGTAAAGCACCTTGCTCTGGATGTTAATCAACCAGCTCTTCAAGAATTTGTCGCCCAGTCCGCATTCAATCTGCTCGAGGGCCGTCTACACACCCCAGCCCGAACAACATTCGACTTGCCATATGCATGGTTTGGAGACTCCTCCAAGACTGATGGGTCCGTCGTCCAGCGAGTGCCATATGTATTCATGGGCCTAGAGATTGATCAATCAGTTCAAGCCCCTTTCGAAGGCCATACCCTCCGCTACAGCAGCGTAGAAGCCGGACACCACGGTGGCCAGCGTCAACAGCTCACCTTGCTTCTTGGCTCACCCGATAACAACGTCCTCGTAGATGAAACGACGAACCATGCGGACTTTTTGCGCGTAGCTCACAGAGTAGCGGCTGGAAAGTTCTTTTCTTGGGAGACTGGACATCAGCTTATGCTGTCAAGACTACAGGAAGAGCTTGTCCTAGACCTGGAAGACGAGGACGACTTTTCAGAGAGATCCGATGCTGGCGAACAACTGCCACCCACTGCACAAGATAACCTGACAGAGACGCAGACAGACGACCAGTTTGCATCAGAAGCAGCGCATGAAACTGCCCTTACCACAGACAGTAGCGCTGTTGTCAATGATGAAGCAAAAGACAATCTGGAAGAAAAGGGCAACGACGACATCGGAGGCACACTGTGAGATGGCCATGGAGGTCCTGTGTACTAATAGTGTAAAACATAACAGTGTAACCTTAGCAACTCTAAAAACATAATCTACAACTAATCTACACATAGTCACTGATACTTGGAACACTTTAGGGAACGATTTCTTTGGTTTAACAAATGGAATTCTTTTTTCTTCACTACTAGACTGTCTAAAATTTTTCATCATAAACACACTACTAGGTGTGCCTTGGACCTCTGGTCCAAGAGCCAGGTAAAGCAAACAACTCAAATCATTTCAGTCATAGAAGCAAACATTACACCCAGCTTCAGACCACAAGGATCGTTGGCCGAGTAGCGGTTAAACCACTTATTTCTTGGCAGCCTTGGCAGCAGACTTGGTGACCTTGCCACCAGTGGCAGCGGACTTGTCGACAGCCTTGATGACACCGACAGCGACGGTCTGACGCATGTCACGGACGGCGAAACGGCCAAGAGGGGGGTACTCGGTGAAAGACTCAACACACATGGGCTTGGAGGGAACCATCTTGACCATGGCGGCGTCACCGTTCTTGACGAACTTGGGCTCAGCTTCGACAGACTTGCCGGTACGGCGGTCGATCTTCTCAAGGAGAGTCTCGAACTTGCAGGCAATGTGGGCAGTGTGGCAATCGAGGACGGGAGCGTAACCGTTACCAATCTGACCGGGGTGGTTCATGACAATGACCTGGGCGGTGAAAGAAGCGCAACCCTGGGGAGGGTCGTTCTTGGAGTCACCGGCAACGTTACCACGGCGGATATCCTTGACGGAAACGTTCTTCACGTTGAAGCCGACGTTGTCACCAGGGAGACCCTCGGGAAGCTGCTCGTGGTGCATCTCGACGGACTTGACTTCAGTGGTGACGTTGGCGGGGGCGAAGGTGACGACCATACCGGGCTTGATGACACCGGTCTCGACACGGCCGACGGGCACCGTGCCAATACCACCGATCTTGTAAACATCCTGGAGGGGAAGACGGAGGGGCTTGTCGGAAGGACGCTTGGGGGGCTCGACGGCGTCGATGGCCTCAAGGAGGGTCTTACCAGTGACGTTGCCAGACTTGCCTTCCTTGTTCCAGCCCTTGTACCAGGGGCAGTTGGTGGAGGGCTCAAGCATGTTGTCACCGTTGAAGCCGGAGATGGGGACGAAAGGAATGGTCTTGGGGTTGTAACCAACCTTCTTGACGAAGTTGGAGGTCTCCTTGATGATTTCCTCGTAACGGGCCTGGGACCACTGAGCGGTGTCCATCTTGTTGATGGCGACAATGAGCTGTCTAACACCGAGGGTGAAGGCGAGAAGAGCGTGCTCACGGGTCTGGCCATCCTTGGAGATACCAGCCTCGAACTCACCAGTACCGGCAGCGATAATGAGGATACCGCAATCGGCCTGGGAAGTACCAGTAATCATGTTCTTGATGAAATCACGGTGACCGGGAGCATCAATGACAGTGACGTAGAACTTGGGAGTCTCGAACTTCCAGAGAGCGATATCAATGGTGATACCACGCTCACGCTCGGCCTTGAGCTTGTCAAGAACCCAGGCATACTTGAAGGAACCCTTACCGAGCTCGGCGGCTTCCTTCTCGAACTTCTCGATGGTACGCTTGTCGATACCACCGCACTTGTAGATCAAGTGACCAGTGGTGGTAGACTTGCCGGAATCGACGTGGCCCTGAGTGAACTGGTTAGTATATGATGAAGCAAGAGATGCTTTCGATGATGACTTACGATAACGACGATGTTAAGATGAGTCTTGTCGTCCTTGCCCATTTTGACGGTTGTGAAGTTGTTTGTATGAGGTTGTTTTGTCTTGTTTCTTGACGAAAATGCTAGAGGCAGATGGTTAGCATGCTTACATGATGATGAAGCTCTTCTTTATAAGAAGCTATGATGGAAGGACATACTAAATTCGCAGGTCGGGTGCTTGATCCGGGTATGCGAGACAAAGAGCAGAAGAGAAGAAAATTCTGAAAAGTGGTGGTGGGAGGACGAGTTTTAAAAGGGTGGGATGTGAGGAGGGGTGGGGTGGGCTGCTCTGGTCCTCGCACGCGCGGGGCAACCACAGAAAGAGGGGCGGCCGGACCCTCTTGTTCCCACTAACCCTAACAATTCAGAGGTTGTTTTTTTTTCGGCGTGAAAAAGATTTTCTGGCCTCTTTTGCAGGGAGATCAGGTAGCTTCAGCCAATCACGTTGCCCCTACAGCTCCAGCTACACCTAACATTTGAGACGTATCCGGCGGCACAGTGACGCCTACCCTTGTCCGCCCACTGTGGGCTGGGCATAGGTGCCTCCGATCAGAAGCCTTTCACTTTTCGATGTAATTACGAGACAATGACTTTTCTGTTCCGCTGGTCATAAGCCAATGTGACGGAGCGGTGAATTCCCTAGCCGGACTATTTGATCCCCAACACGGGCGTTGAGCCGCTGTGACGGCTTCCTTCCAGCGGCCAGCCAGTGAAGGAAAAACTTTTTTGGCGCTGATGGCGGGGTTGACAGAGGGGCAGCAAAGCCGCTCAACCCCTCGGCGCCTGAACGTTACAGCTTGGGATGCGGCATCCATGCAGACTGCATGCTTCACAACATGATTATGACTGCAAGAAATTCTCGTGCTATCAATTGGCCTTGCAGAGACTGCTTCAAAACGCAGCAGGGGCTGTTGCCTGCGCGACGGGCTCAACCTGAGCCAGATGGTCGCGAGGTACTTGCAATCTGCTAGTGCAAAAGAAGTGGGGACTATGCAGACAGGTGGCGGCGAGGGAAAAAAAAAACTTCACCCAGGCGATGAGGGGGAGCGGGCAGGGCAAAAAAAACCTTTCAGTGAGCAGGCCAAATGCCGTCGAAGCGCTAAGAGATAGCTTCCTGCGGGATTAGGCTGTTCCATATCTGGCTAGCTATTGCGGCCCAGCAGGCATCTTGACCTGGGCCACTGTCAGCAAGCAAAGCAGCTGCAGACGCTTTTGGCCGTTTGCGAGAGCTCCGCTGGTGCGTTGAATCATATCTAACGCCGCTCCAGAAGTCATTATAGTGTTCAGAGCTCCATCGTGTGTGTATCTTCCTTCTGTAATCTAGATTCACCGGTCCTGCCAGACTCTAAAAGCTGGCTTGACTTGGTGGTGGTGTTTTGTTGCTCACTTGGCCGTCAAGGCCCCCTCCCCCTCCATGGACGTCATGGAGGGCAGAGGCATAGCTACAGTGCGACCACTACAGGCAGCGCTGCATATATCGTTTTACAAACTATGCATCATTGCCTATATTGATGGCCTCTCGTGCTGCCCTGTGACTCCCTTTTATTTTCATGTCTCGTAACTCTGCTTCCAGTCATCCGGCCTCCCAAATACCCCTCCAGAAGCTTCCTAAAAATTTGTTCAACCCCTCCATGCAAGTCGCCGTTACAGTCACAGCTACCTGGTTCACTGACCAGGGTGCGGTGGCGGGGAACAACAACCTGTCCTCAGCCACAGGTGGGGGGAGTGTCCAAGTTTCTGTGTGGCAATATTAGCCTCGTCGCCTAGCTGTCGGCCTGGCCTCGAAAAATGGAATAACGGCGGGAAGCGATATATTGTATCTGTAACAGCTATGCTGTTGGATTGGAGTGATATATATGCACAACTCGTAATGTAGTATTACTCTCACCATCGTAGGCAAGTCTTCCGTTGCGTGTGACAAATAACATGTTACAGCCCACCACCGCAGCAGGGTTTGATACTGGCGAGTGACTACATATATTAAAAAGTAGAAGCTCTATGCACCACTTAATAGTCAACAATTATGAACAATTAGCATTATTATAGAGATTCTAGAGCTATTTTTCCCCCATCATTGAGTCTTCTTAGTCGCCTTAGCTGAAGATATGGCTGACGCAGGAGTCTTGAGACCAACCAGAGTTGCCAAAACGACAACTGATATTCCTGCAGCTCCCATCAGGTATGCTTGCTCTCGGCCAGCCCACCAGTAAACACTGGTGAATAGAATTGGTCCCAGACCACGGCCAAGCTGGCCCCAGCTTCGGAGGATGCCTAGTTTGCCGCCTCGTTCACCTTCACTGGCTTCGAAGCTGCTGAGCGCATTGAGACCGGTTACAACCGTGGCAGATGTCACTGCAAGACATGTAGCAGCTGCGTACAGTCCGCCAACAGTCTTAACCTTTGCGAGGAGGACAAAGGCCAACAGGCAAGCCATAACGCCGAGACGCACGGAGAGGAGTGGTGGAAGACGTCTAGTTACACCACCCTGTAGAATAGAGGCAACCAGTCCGATGAATCCCAATAGCTTTCCGTTGTTTCCCGAGGTAAATGCGAACATGTCGTAGCTCATGAATGCAAGCGAGCTCTCCATGCCGGAGAAGAAGAGCAGGAAGACAAAGTGGACCGCATTGAGCAGGAAATGTGAGTTTGTACGTTCGACCGATGGCTTGCTTTCGTCCGATTTCTTGCCATTCTGCTTTCCACCTTTGCCGGTCAAGGCTGGAAGGGTTTCGGGAAGGCAAAGGTAGAGGTACACTGTTTCAGTGACAATGAGGAACAAGCTGAATCCTGCGGCGGTAGCAAACGGGTTTGCTGCCACAGTAGAAATGGTGCTCAGCCAGGCTCCAAGTGCTGGACCAAAGGTAAACGCAATTGAGAAACAAGCACCAATAATGGCCATGGTAGAGCCACGAGTTGATTCGTCAGAGATGTCGCTTGCCATAGCTGTTGCCAATTGAATGTTGCCCTCGGAGAGGCCGCCAACTACACGGCTGGCAATGAAAGTTCGGAAATCGACAGCGGCGACCCATAGCAGAACAGAAAGAATGTTACCACACATGGAGGCGAGAAGAGCATTGCGGCGGCCGTATCGATCGGAAAGTTTGCCAATCAGCGGCGATGCGATAGCTTGGAGGAGGCTGTGTGACATCTGGTGGTTAGCAGAGCAATGCAGAAGCGGCATATCCCATCTTACGAAAATAGTGATCCTAGAGCACCTCCTAGCAGAACGATGTCGTATCGCGAATCAATGGGTCGCTTGAAGGCATCCTTATAGCTGTTCAGGCCAGTAAAGACGCTTTGCAGCAATGTCGGAGATCCGCCAGCGAGCACCTCGGGAACCTCGCGATCTCGGTAAAACTCTAGCAGTTTAGGGAAGAGCGGCAAGATGAACGTGAATGAAATCTGTAGGTGCAGGGTTAGCAACAAGCTGGGTGGGTTACAATGGCGGCTAGCGGGAGGATCGGAATTGCGTACGAGGTCGAGAAGCAGCGAGAAGGCGATGACGCGCAAAACGCGCTTCCTGGTAGCTGGCTCAACCGAAGCCATGGCGGGAGACTATGTGATGCCGTGGTTATACAGTAGTGGAAGGGAAGGATAAGACGAAGGAGAAGAAGCCGAGGAAAACTAGAGGACAGCTCTCGGGACGGAAGGGTATTTGATTACCCCACAAACACGTCTCAAGGGGCGAAATCGCTAGTTCATCCATCAACCCATTGGGCGCTCGGATGCCGCCATGGTTTTAGGAAACAAAATGCCCCGAAGCCCGCCTGTAGGGGGTGGTTCCACAGTGACGGGCTGTCTCAGCGCTCTCACTGGTTCCCCTGGGATGGCGCCCAGCGGCGGCTCGCTAGCTCCCGGATAGCTTAGTTTCCACCGGACGCACGCAGATCCGGAGACGACGCCAAAATTGCTGGGAAAACGACATGAGGGGCGGCCTATTTGAAATAGGACGTCTTTCCATTGGCTGGACTCCTGGTGCTGGCTGCAGTATTTTACCCGTATCTTACGACCTGCTTCTATGGTGTATGAGATGAGAATCTTCCATGTGTGGGGTGATTATGCGTGGGTATGGCGAGCTCCGTAGTAAGTAGCCTCGATCAATACGAATGGGTCAAGTAGATAACGATGTCTGTTAATTAGAATCGTCTCTATTGCTATTGTAGCTCTGTATAGAGAATAAATACCCGTTGGTCAGACTCATCTTGAATTGTAATTCTACGTAGTTGACACACTACAACCCGCGTGGTGTTTCTTCTAGGACGCGTCCACACGCGTTTAGCTACCCTACACCTTGATGATGTGCCCAAAGGCTTTCAATCCTACCTCGTCTGCTCTCGAATACCCTGCAATGCATATTTTGTAATAATACACCATAAATAATGTGGAATGGAAGCGTTTTGTGTAGCATTTATCGGCATTTATCGCTACAGGTGAAGGTGTCGACACTACTCATCGGCATCGTTGAATACATAAGTTGTGCGGGCAGGTGGCCACTTGGCCCTCCTGGACAAAATACTCACAACCTCCACAAGAGCTTCGCTACTCTTGCCAAATCTGCAAAGTGGGAACGCTAGGATACCCATATAGCAAGCTAACGAACAGCAGCTTGCCGATTTATTCATCGCGAGAACCGATGGTGGAGCCATTACTGGGAGGCTGTCCCTGCATATAGGGCTACTCGGCATCTGCACGAAACCCATCGCCGATCAATATTTACCAAAAAGCTCACGAGACTGCACAGAAACGAACTCGACATATGAAAATAACACAATAGTGCCAATTAAATACTCCATTAATCATACTTCCTAGCTGTCCCGCTGTACAATGCCATGTTGGATAAGAAGCCACGGTTCTCGCGTGCATAATGCATCATGGTACACGCCACTCTAACTAGCCCAGTGGGATCGAAGTTTCGACATATTTCAAGTCCACAGACTGTATACTCGCTTGAATAGTTGATACCGTACTAATACACTTTTTCAAGGTAAAAATACACGGAGCCTGCTAGTGCAGGTCCTCTTCCCGACATCGACAAAATCGCAATCCTTCCTCGCTCTCAAATTCGTATCCCAAAATCGTACGTATCGAACACCTCGCGGTGTAGGCATCTGTAAATCACAAAACAATTGTGAAGTGCCGTTTATCGTCTATATCATGTTTCCCGTTGACGCCATTTTTTCTTTTCATAATAACCAAAACGCCATGTATGTACCGAAATATGCTCGAAAGATCAAGTAGAAACACCAGGGCTGGGTTGTCAGCCGTGACGAGATTTCTGTGGTGGAATATTAGCAGGTATGAAACAATGACGAAGTTACCAGAACGTACGTGAAGCATGGTGAGATGTTCTTCACCAATAGTTCAAGGTAGGCCCTTTATTTTGGTCGAGGCGGCTGAGGGGCAGGAGGCTTTGCAATGCCAGTCGTATCATACGGACCGCGAGCCATGATATCGAAGGATGGGATGCGAGTTGAAGTGGGCAACTGAGAGAGGGCCGAGCGAACCGAACCGTTAGAAGGTGGGCTCTGGGTTAACAAATAAGGGGAATATCGACAAATGTTATCTCAGATGAAGACGAGGGTTGGAATGCTTCATGTCCAAGAAGAGAGAACAAAAACTGGAGATTCAACAGACGTGAATGGCGATGGCACAAAATTTAAATCCACAGGACCCCCGTTTGCTCGCCTTTGTCTATCCTTTTTGCTTGCAGGCACCCGGTGCAGCCAAGGTTTATTCTGCTTTACCATCATTTCGGGCCCAGGTACCAGGGCCCTGGCTTCTCTGGCTTCTTGTTGGCTTCCGGACCAGGGTCAGCGAGGAGCAGCAGACCGCAGGTTGACAATGAGCAATACTCTGTACACTGTGGCTAGCCCAAGCGGAAGGGCGGAAGGTTATCCGCCAGCGCCAGTTGCCGGCGACCAAACAAGTGAGAAAAGGGGTGACAACGCGCAATGGCAAACAACCACCATCGGGTGGCTAATACAGCGCCATTCCGATTTTGACGGCAAGCCCGCCCGGCAGTGCGCATACTTTGTGCAGAGGCCTCGGCCATATTCATAGGAATGGAAAAGACAGTGGTCGTCTCGAAGAGGAATTGAATCACACTCAGCGTCATGGCGGAGCTGCCTTGCCGATCGCACACAGCACGCCACTTCCAAGATGTTGGGACATCAAGTACCGAACGCGCTCTAATCGTCAGATTCACAGTGTAACAGAGTTCATTTGCTACCTAGAGGGCCACACGCAGCCGAGACTCGCCTCGTCCCAACCTACCGGGAGGGGAGAGACGAGGCAAGCAAGCTGGCATGCACCTGTACCGAAACCGCGGTAGCCTGCAGCGTGGTATTGGGGCTACCTAGCTTCCAGAAAGAAAAAAAAAGTCAACAGGCTCGAACAAGGGCCGTGCAATTTGTGGGGGAACACGGTGACCCTGTTGTTCACTTAATTAAAAAAGCTAAAATGGCAAGTAAGATTATATGAAAACGCGACACCCAGCGCTGGCAGCGGTGACAGGGGCAGGCAAGAGTCATGCTGGACTGGCGGTAACGCAACCGTTAATTCCCCAGAAAATACGTCTTTTACAGTGAGAAACCGGGTCTCTGCGCCTTGAAGGAAGGATGCTGCGGAAACATACGGCTTGATATCTCAGCATACGGAACGACGCAGCTCAAGCTGTACTCGTGGGTTTCGCAGATAGCCGACTTTATCTCCTCTATTTGCGTCTTGAATATAGAAATTTGCCACTCCGGATTCGGGTTCTGGTAAGTTGTTGCCGAAACAAAGGGTGCCTGCCTTAAGGCGAGGTTGGCTGCACGATTAAGGAGGTCGTTCAGGCGTTCAAAGACGGAGCGCTTAGGCAACATGTTCATGGACCAAGCCTAGCGAGTTTACCTTTTCCGCGGCCCAATCCGTCTAGTTAGGCGGTAAGAGATGGTAGGTACCCGTATGAGGATAGACGCATGGTGCATTGGTAGGTTAGCAAGGTCTCGTTTCATCGATCAGCGCTGCTACCGTTGTCATGATGGCGGCGTGGAAGAGATACCCGTGTTCCGGAAACGCTACATGACTGTGTAATACAGGGCCACGTACGGGACGGCAGAGAAACAATCCGTGATGGAGGACAAACTAAACGAAATGATCTTGCAAATTTCCAAATGGTTGCTTTGCCCGAATTTAGTCAATTAGGCACAGCTGCGAAAGGATACTCTGTTGTTGGGGTGAGCGGCGGGTTTGGCGATAATGAGCTGTTCAAAACAGGTTAAAGAAGTGCAGCTCACTGGAAACGAAAAGGAAATACGACCGAGCACCACATAGAACAAAACAAAATCCCTTTGGCTTTGTTCCCTGGTGGCGCGTTTGGTTTTACACAGTAGGGAGAAGCATGTTGCAGGGAGGTTTGAGCCAACAGTGCGTGGCAGTATTCTGGACTGTGGTTCAACAGCAAACAATGGCAGAACCCACAGTGTCGTCTCCCGCCCACACGTTATCACCCACAATGCATCGATTATCCACACAATTAAATTTCTTAACCCTTCAACAAACGCACAGCCTCCAGCTTGAGTCCTTTCAAAAGCCCCCTTCTTTTGTGAAATGCACATGCCTCCACCTGTTCCAGAGACGGAGGATCTCTATCCGGTGCTCGGAGGAGCTGGAGGAGGCGACGACTTTGGCCCTCGAGAGCTTGCCACTGACCCTCTCGACGATGTCTTTGGCGCTGATGAGAGTGCATCGTCGGCAAGGGAAGACGGGTTATCTGCTACAGCCGCTCATCCCTCAGACATGACGAGACTGCAGAATGAACACGCTACGGCAGGATACCGTGAAGGAGTCACTGTCGCCAAGGAGAAGAGCATCCAGGCGGGCTTTGACGAAGGCTTCAGTCTTGGAGCTACTATCGGGCAAGCAGCGGGCCAGCTGCTGGGGCTCCTGGAGGGTGTGGCCGAGGCGCTCAAGGGAGCTGCTAGCCCAGATACTGCTATCGCTGAGAAGATGTATAGCGAAGCCAAAAGCGAACTCAGCTCTGATGTGATATTCGGCAAAGATTACTGGGCTGAAGATGGAAACTGGACATTCCCCGTGGATGCCCTGGACGAGAAACACGTGCTATTTGCCGACGTAGCGAGATGTCACCCCGTCATTAAAAAATGGACTATTCAAGTTGACGCTGCCAAGTCTCAATGGGCTATTGAACCGCCAATCCTGGAAGACGAGGGACTACAGGCTACAGAGTCTGCCGACATCACAACAGATGAAACGACACCTATTACACTGTCGCAGACCACGAACAAGGCGTTGGATTGGTAACAGAAACTGGCTGCCGTAACGCAACGGAGAAAAGTCCGTTTCAAAGCAAACCCTAATAACTCAGGCACGGGGCTGACCAATAATCTGAAAGAGCTCGATTTGAGGGCAAGGGAGAGTGCTCACAATCTGCCGCGTTATACCAGAGCAGCACCAATCGGATGCGGCAAACTCTGCGGCTCTGAAGTTCGGTTGCGATTGGTTAGCAGACAAAGCCTACATTACGGGCTGCCGTATCGTTTACCAACTGTCCAAAGAAGCCCTGACTCGAAAGAACGCATGCAAGGTCTAGTAGACGAGATCTGCAGGAGGCAACGGCAACTGACCAGGTCAGCTTGGCATGGCATCATAGAAGCCAGGCCGAATTTGGACAAAGAAAGTGGCTTATTCATCGAAAGAAGAGGACGTAAAACAGCATGGCGATTAAAAAATCAGGCACAGTGTTGCAGTGTTGTGGCGTTGTTGCTTTTTGCCCGGACTAGGGCAGGTTGTTGCTTTTTCCAATCGGGATGACAGATTGCCCTCGCAACGTGGGATGAGAAAAAACAACAGTGAGGTATTGCCGGTACCTGAAGGACGCGCCCCTGCATAGCGGCTGATCCGACGGGGATTTTTACTTCTTTCTATGCTTGTCTTGCGCGGAAATTGAGAGTGTTGGTCGCGTGTGTGAGACCAACCGCCCTTTCGAACAATAGCATTCTACCCCTCGGTTACAACAAGGAAGAATAGAAGAGATTTCTTTGTGTAGATGAAGAAAGCAGAAACTATGAACAAAAATCAAAGCCAAAGGACCCAAAAAAATCACAAAATGTGGCCAGAGAGCTAGAGGACCAGAAGATATTGATATCTGGGTGTAAGAGCGTTGCATGCACATCAACAGCGTCATGCTTAAACACTGGCACTCCCCGCATCGTTGTACCAAGCCGGTCCTTGTCCGAATGGATCCTTTAGATCTGATGAACGAACTGCCAGGCGTTGACGCTAATGCAGGCACCGCTCCCTCCACAAAACGTTGGTTAGCTTGTCATGTCAAGGCAAAAAAGTGACAGGTGCCATAGGCCGAACTACCATCGGTACCCCTAGTTGCATGGATACTCAGACATGACTTGGATTCTCTCGCCCTTTGCTACGATTCAAACACTCCCCCATTGTCGTGGATACTGGGCCTTTGCTTGCCGTGCCCTCTGCAAACTGACCCAGCGTCTTTGTTTCTGGCCTTCATTTCCCCGTCGATTTTAGCTCCGTTTCCACACAAAGGCAGGAAAGTCTGAGATTTCTTTTTTGTTTATGTGTGATCCTGACGAGAGCTGTGATGGATACTTAAGGCTCTGCAGCGCCCGGCTTCTACCATCGATTTCCTTTCTCGATCATCCCAACGCACTCTCTTCTCACCTGTATACACTCTTTAAACTTAGGGCTTCTTTCACCCGTTCCATTCACTACTTTGCTATATTTCTCGCGTGTCTTTACGACCCAACTATTACATACTTCAAAATGCAGTCTGCTCTTCTTGCTCTTATTGCCGGTGCCGCCATGGCCCGTGCTGGTCTCACTGACACTGCCAACGTTGACAACACTGCCAACCTCAACAACGTTGCCAACCTTGACGACGTTGCTAACCTCGACAACGTTTCCAAGCTCGATAAGGTTTCTAACCTCGACAACGTTGCCAACCTTGACAAGACCGGCTCTGTTCTCGGTAGCCGTGACGGTGGCCTCAACCTCAATCAGCTCACTGAGAACCTCAAGCTCGACCAGCTCCTCAAGGGTGCCAACCTCGACCAGGCCTCTGGTGTTGGCAAGACCGGCTCTGTTCTCAGTAGTCGCGACGGTGGTCTTCTCGGAGCCGTTCTCGGCAACGACGGCCTCGCCCTCGGCGCTGTTCTCCCCGCCGGCATTGTCCTCGCTGCTGATCTTGGCCCTCGCTACCCTCCCCCCAAGGGCTGCACCAACATGTGGCACCCTCCTCACCACGGTGTTGACATGGACGGCTGCGACAACCACCACGACGATGAGTGGCACTACGTCCACCCCTGCGAGGTCTGCCAGCACCAGCCTCCTCACACCTGGACCACCAGCACCATCAGTGAGACCTGCATCACCACTGTCATCTCGTGCGCTCCCACCATCACCAACTGCCCTGGCCGCACCACCGTGACCATCCCCGCCACCACCACCATCTGCCCCGTCCAGGTCACCCAGACCGCCGCCCACAGCACCTGGTCTGCTCCTCCTGTTGTCGTCACCCAGACTCCTGCTGCTCCCTACACCACTCCTTGCCCTACCCTCGTCACCGAGGTCTCTACTCGCCCTACCACCGAGGCTCCCGCCCCTACCGGCTGGGTCCCTCCCGTCAACAACAACAACACCTGGTCTCAGCCTCCCGTCGTTGTTGGTGCTGCCAACAAGGCTCAGGGCATGGGCATTGCTGCCGTCGTTGGTGCCGTTGCTGCTATGCTCCTCTAAGCGGTGTACTTTTTGATTCTGGCCTGCAATGGCGCCATCCGTCTGTCTTTGATGGAGTGCTGTTGTGAAACCGTTTTCTTTGAAACAAAAAAAAAGCATCTTGCAAGACCTGCATAGGACATATTTAAAGTACATTTCAACGATACTAAACAAGAGTTTTAATCACGGGTTGTTTTTGGTCGTGCTTTGCATGGCCGCGCTGGCGAATCGGGGGTTTGGGGAGTGATTGGCGCGCGGTTTGGAAATATTCAAAGGGCATGATTGAGATGACCTGGCTTCTTTTTGTAATTTATCCTTCTTCGAAATAAATTCAACTTTCTCTTTTTTCCTAAAAAAACAATTTTCCTTTATGATTCTACTGTCAATTCTACTCTGCTTCTGATCCAACACGTCTTTGATAGGCGCAAGGTTGTTGTATAAGACGTCCTCTTATGGAAAGTGCGGTACCAATTAAGCAAGTAGATTCCTTTGTATTAAAACATGTAGTTCGTATCTCATTATTCATATCCCATAACATCGGGCGTGGACACTAGCCACTAAGCCTACTCGCTCTGTTCGAGCAATTCTACAATATCCTCCACTCGATCGTGACTCCCAAGCAGCGCTTTCGCCGTCTCCCAATCGCGACCATCTGGTCCAAAGATGGCAAACTTGAGCACCTTGCCGTCATCATCCATGACTATTCTGCCTGTACGATCGTCCGCCCACGTCAGACGAATCTGCTTTGCCTCTACATCAGCCACACCAACATCGATGATGGCTGGCGTTTCGGCATCCGAGCGAGCCTGCTCATTGACACGGGCACTTTGCCGCAAGTCCGCCGTGACGCCGAGGCGATTGTGATGGCGCATAATCTCCCTCCGCAGCCGCTTGACAAACATGTCCAGATCCTGCTTGGGCTCCCGCCCACCATGGCCCTTCTTTGGCGGCGGCAGGTGGCGAGCGGCGAGTCCGCTTAGCGGGATGGCTGGCGGGATCGTATGTCTATGGACGCGGAGCAAGCGTGATCGTTCAAATGGGCGGTTGAGCATGACGTAGTATGGGCGTAGAAACTGGCCGGCGGACATAATCTCGAAGCGCACGCCGAGCACGCGGCCCTCATCGACGGCGTTTGGATCAGGGTCATGGATTTTGAAGGCTGTGACCGAGGTGGATATTCGGTATGCGCATTGCTGGATGTACGCTTGCTGCTGCGAGGATCGCTTGGCGAGCTTCTTTCGCGGGGAGTTGTCGTTGTAAGAGGTGGCGGCATCGGACTCAATCATGTCCTGGGTGACGCCGGCGGAGAGGATGGTGGAACATTCTACCTGGAGTCGCTTGCGGAGTGAAGCCACTGTAGGCATAACATTCTGGGTTAGCTATAGAAAGAACTACCGATATTGATGTTGCTGGGCGAAAAGTCTGCGTACCTTGACGCTTGAGCAAAGCGATTTCTTGGTCGAGAGGATCCTGCGGGAGCACGGGCTCTTCTTCAGCAACAGACGAAGCCATCTGTGCTGCTAGCGAGTTGATGATGCACTATGTGGTGTCCTCATGCACTAACAGAATTTCTGGCATTTGTAAAAAATATATTTTGCGCCGTTCTCGCCCAGCTATTTCACCGGAATACAGTAAAACGCGTCCGGCTGCGTGCCCCGGAGTCGCGTGTTGATGCTGACTGATAAAGATAGAGACGCGCTAGGACCTTTTAGGCGGGCGCTCGTACTCCAGATTTTGCGCCTACCAATGAGAAGGCCTGCTGGCAGCCTCAAAAGGTACACTGCTGTACCTGGCAGCTAGGCGACCCCTTTTTTCCTGCGCCAGTGCAGCGCTTTAGCGGGCTTCAGTGGGCTTTTAGCGGCCGCAATTTCATTGATCCGCCTATAACCCCGTGGCTTTCAGGGGATGTGCGGCTGTAAGCTCTGCACCGAAACGAGGGTCTTGGCTGGCTGCCGTCCGTGAACCGTTTCGATTTCAACACCTTTTTTTAAATTCTCGGGCCACATTGTTCAGGGTTCATTCCTTTGGAAAACCCGTCTTTATTATTTTTTCCATTTTTCTTTTTTTTAATTCTCGACACGACGTCTCGGATTTTTCTACTTTCTTCTCCTTCTTTTCCCTTCTTTCACGCTCTTTTGTCACATTTGCCCACCCCCGGCTTTTCGCCACCTTTTGGTAATCCACGTTGTGGCCACGGTAGCGTTGGCATTTTCAGCTTTGCGCGCTCGCGACGTCGACATTGGACTCGAAACTCTATTCTAAACTCGTTCGCTCTCTTTTCTTTCATTCTTGGAAACCTCGACACTCTTTATACACCAGTTTTTATTTTCTCCGGCAACACGTCGGCCACTTTGTACCCCGCGATTCGATTCACTTCGTCAGATACCTGCAGCCTCGGACCGTCGCGCTATACGCCTCGAACCCAGACACACTTTTCTCTACCTCATTGACCAATATCACGTCTGCAAAAACACTCTTTACGAATTCCTTGACGCTCTGCGACCCGCTAGAGCTGTCAATCATCGCCGAACCGTCTTCCTATGGGTGCCCGCGCGCGTAGAAGAGGATCGCCCAAAGCCAAAGGTCTCCCTTCGCTGAAGATCAAGACCAACGGAACAGCAGACGACGACAAGATGAACGGCGGTGTCGAGATGCGCCGCAAGGCTGCGCTCCCGCAGGACTCGGCCTCAGTTGCTCAGAATCTCATGTCTCGCGAAAACTTTAGCCTCGACGATCCCATTCCCAAGACACCGACTCCGAATGACGTTGGCTTTTTCGAACTCCCCCTTCAGGACCAGCGAAACTTTTTGCTGCTGGTTCTTCTTTACTTTCTTCAAGGTATCCCCATGGGATTGGCCATGGGGTCTGTGCCTTTCCTTCTTAAGAACCACATGTCGTACGCCGAGATGGCTACTTTTAGTCTTGCGTCATACCCTTACTCGCTGAAGCTCTTCTGGAGTCCCTTTGTCGACGCTATTTGGAGCCCCAAGATTGGTAGACGCAAGACCTGGATTGTGCCCATCCAGTTCCTTTCTGGATTCGGCATGCTCTACCTCGGCTCGCATGTTGAGGAAATGATGGAAACTGCTGGCAAGCCCGGCGGTATTACTGTCTGGAACTTTATGATGTGGTGGTTCTTCCTAATTCTCATGTGTGCCACTCAGGATATCGCCGTCGATGGCTGGGCCTTGACTCTGCTCTCCCCAGGAAACGTCTCGTACGCTTCGACCGCCCAGACCGTCGGCTTGACTGCCGGCCAGTTTATGTCCTACACCGTCTTCCTGGCTCTCAACGCCGCCGACTTTGCCAACAAGTGGTTCCGTGCCGTCCCCCGCGACGAAGGATTTATTTCTCTGGGCGGCTACCTCACCTTCTGGGGCTGGGTGTACATCATCGTCACCATTGGTCTTGGCTTGCTGAAGCGCGAAGAAAAGGCCGAGAACGAGGACGGTGTCTGGGATGTCTACCGCATCATGTGGGGTATTCTGAAGCTCAAGAATGTTCAGACTATCCTGATTGTCCACCTGATTGCCAAGATTGGCTTCCAAGCCAACGAAGGTGTCACCAACCTCAAACTCCTCGACAAGGGCTTCGGCAAGGACAACATGGCCCTCACCGTTCTGATCGATTTCCCATTCGAAATTGGACTGGGCTACTACGCCGGCATGTGGTCGCAAAAGTACACCCCAATGAAGCTGTGGTGCTGGGGATTCATGGGCCGCCTCGCCGCTGCGCTTTTTGCCCAAATCACCGTCGCCATCTTCCCGGCCGACGGCGTTACCACCTGGTATCTTATTGTCGTTATTCTCGAACACATTGTTTCCACGTTTACCAACACCGTCATGTTTGTCGCCGTATCCGCCTTCCACGCCAAGGTCTCGGATCCTGCCATTGGCGGCACCTATATGACTCTGCTTGCCACCGTCTGTAACCTGGGAGGAACATTCCCTCGTTACTTTGTTCTGCGTTTGGTCGACGCCTTTACCGCGGCCACGTGTGAACCCGGCAAGTCTGGCTCAACTTCACAGCTCAAGGGCCAACTCATTACCGAACCCTTCTCATGCGCGCTCCAGGCCGAAAAGGAGAGATGCATAAATGGCGGCGGTACTTGTAACATGACCCGCGACGGATTCTATGTCGTCAACATTCTGTGTGTCATGTTTGGCGCCGCTACATTCTTCTGGTACATCCAGCCCAAGGTTCTGCATCTCCAGAGTCTACCTATGCGTGCTTGGCGCTTAGTTGGAGGAGGAAAATAACGCTTGTAGGCGTATGTGGGAGCATTAGCATTGTTTTTTTGGGAAGTAATTTGTAATAAAGGCAAAACGGATGGTCTGTGTGTGGTGGTTGACGGACTTGTTAATACATTGACTATGTACCATATAGATCATATATGAATAGAATGACAATGAAGTAATACGGGCATGCACATTTGGATGACAGGGTGATGAGAGTGACAATCTAAATTTCCGAAACTATATAAACGACTTACTTCGCGTTGAAGCGAGCAAGATGGTATAGAACAGCTGTTGAAGAGGTCTGTTTAAACCAAACACAAAACTAAATCAGAATAAATCAGATACTTTTGTTGTATGTTTCCGTATTTCCAACGGATAGAAAACTAGCCCCGGAAGAGACCAATGTTTAGGCGGTCTTAGCTGCGCCATCAAGTGCTTCAACGTAAGCAAGCAGCTTCATTCGGCGGAGATAAACGTTGTGGTACTCAACACGGCGCTTGCTCTCAGCAATATTGTGACCAGTGATGAGGATCATCATGAAGAAGGACTCGATGAGAGAAGGCGGCACGTTGCATAGAAGCTGACCAGTCAGAGACCATCTCTGTGCGCTGGCACCAACAATCAAGCCAATGATGAGAACAACGCCGGCAATGACTGTGTACTCGTGAGAGCAAATAGCACCCATACGCTTGGATATGCGGTAAGTCAGGGACTTGTCCTGGACGTGCGCGTTTGCCGGATCAGGCAGCGACAAATCCTCAAAGATGGCCTTGTCCGACAGGTTGACGTTGTCGACAGCATTGTCTTCGTAGTTATTAAACTTGGCCTGGACATTTCGGAGAACGAAGCCGTCATGTAGACCAACGAGACCAGCGTAGGTGCCGATGAGGAGCCACCAGTTGGAGCTGAAGCCCATGGCAGGACCAATGCAAATCCAAACGATGAGGACAATGAGCAAGATGACAATACCTGTCAAGGTGCCAACAAGATCAGCATAGTAAAAGATTGCTCGCTGAATTCTGTTCATCTTGGGCGCGGGGACGACAATGGTCGGGTTGGGGATGTCGTCGCCAGTCATGTTGCGAAGCTTGAGCTCGACAGCCGAGTCGACCTTGAAGATATGCTGCAAGCAGGCAGTGATGTACACATTGTGTCGTTCGCGGACGTAGGCAAGGAAGGCGAAAATGAGCACCATGAGGGCAGAAGTAGCAGAGTTGATGTACAGCTGCCAAGTGTCACTCCATCCGCTGTACTGGCCGAAGCCGATCCAGACAAAGATACCAGCCCAGTAGAAGCAGAGCGTGCCGATGTGACCAAAGACCAAGGACACGCGCGTTGTCATGCGGCCAACAAGATTCTCTCTGGGCAAATCCGCAGCAAAGTCTCGGTAGATGGTAGCACGCTGTTCCCAGTCCCCACTGGGCTTGGTGAAGCGGCCACTACCCAGAGCAGTGCGAAGCATGCGCTTGTTGCTCTCATTGCGAGATAGAAGATTAGCCGAGACGCGGATGCTGGATTCGTAGGCATTCAGCAGCTGCCTCATGAGGAACGAGTCAAAGATGTAGCTGATGATGGCCTGGATGTCAGAGATGAGCACTGCCCAGTCATCCGTTTCACCGTAGGGTATTCCGAGGAGCGCCCAGGTAAGAATACCCGCAAGGATGAAGAAGAAGACAGGCTGCGAGCCGGAAGCACGGACGACCCAGTCGAGACCGCGATCGAGACGCCGGGCCTTTGGCTTTTCAACCCAGTTCGTGACGTTCTCCACATGCTCGGCCTCGTCCGAGGAGGAAAGGGCCGCCTTTTTCTCGACTTCGATCTTGTCGAGGTTGAGGCGAGGGATATCGACCTGCTGGGTAGGAGCGGCAGCTTCGATGGCCCCTTTGGCACCAGGGGCAGAGATGATGTCGCGGATAGGACGCATCTAAGGTGCGTGTAAGTTAGTCACGCGAGCGAGTAACATGGTGTATAAGTGAACGATACGTACTTTGTCGGCAGGTCTTGGCTAAGAGATTGCTTTTTTTGTAAATTTTGTTCGTTTTAGTATATTCTGTGTTTGTTTCACAGTTGTTTCTAAGGAGGCTCCCACGCAGCTGCCGATGGGACAAAGTTGACGCCCGAGTAGACCGCCAGAGTAACGGGCGCTTGTGAAAGAATGGGATAAGTAAAGTCAACCATCAGTTATGAGGATGAAGATCCTAGAGTCTTCAAGAAGTAGAGTAAGAGTATAGAAAATAATAATAATGAAAGAGCCGTTGTTGGAAAAAGAGATATAGACGAGTGTTGCTACAACAAGTGTGGAAAAGTGGTGATGTTGGACTCGGTGTTTATATGTCTGACCAGTGGGAGATCAGCTAGGTCTTACCGACTCAGCGCCTCTTTTTTTTTTTCGTCTTTTCATCCTGTGTGAGTATGGCGTCTATCATTTCGTTTATTCCCTTAGACGGGGCCTTTTGCTACTATTGGCCCCCGTCAAATGAGGATATGTCATGCCTGGACCGGTCCGTAGCCAGAAAAAAAATACCTCAGCCCATCGTTACCGAGTCTTTGTGCTCCGCCACACTCCAAACAGGGGCCCCTTCGGTACCTTTACGTCTTTTTTAACCTTTCGGCTTCGTTCCCGGCTGGAGTCCCTGTTGGAACCTTGGAGGACCGAGTGTTTCTGCGGCTGGGAACCCTGTGGCATCTGATCAGAAGCCATGATGTTGCATTACAGGGCCTCAGCCGTTCAATAATCCATGAGCATGCCCCCCAAATGCTACATGAGCTGAAGACGATAGAAGCAACTTGCATGTTGTTCATGCAGAGCGAAGACGGGATAGACGCGGTGACCCCAGGTTAAGGTATCATTGTGACAAGACATCAAACGTGGTGTGGCTGTTTCTTCTTCATCCAGACATGCATTTTGACGGGTGAATAGTATCCATTTCAGTGTAAGAAATACACACAGAGTGGCCCATGACTCTGCCAGCAAAGACAATACTGCCGCTTACCCGGCTCATCAAAAGTGTGTCAGTCCGCCAATACTCGCTAGTGCCACGCCGCCGTTTTTGCTATCGCGATTGCCAAGTCAGCGGCGGCCCATGTGCTGGCTGGCGCATCAGCCGAAATGCAAGTGGACGCTGGCCTGGGTGGCTGCACAGGAGTAATCGTCCGGGAAGAATTTTTCCACAGGGCAGAGGCTCTCTGCTACGTCACTGGCGCTCTTTTTGGATTTTTTATCTGGGCTGATGATATTGGAGGAGGAAAAATTGGCAGGGCAAACAACTGGCAATTCACCGACAGGCCAGTCTAGACCCTGGCCGATCGCTGCAAAGCCTCGCTGTAGCGGGGCCATCGCCTGTTGAGCCGTTTCTCCAGTGCGTGTGGCGCTGGAGTGGCATGTCATTGCAAGGGCTCCTTCCTTCGGTTACAGTAGCGGACAGCCTGCTTTTTTTTTTTTTGCTCGGGTATGTTGCCGAACAAGGTGAGAAGAAAGGGGAGAAAAAAATATCGCAGCATAAATACAGTATGAAGTATATTTGACCACTACTACTGAATATAAATGCAAAGGGCGCAATCCATATATACTCAGCAACTGTAATTGTCATATAAATGCTTCATAGTGTTACCGTTATCATGGCAAGCCTAGCACCGTCTACGGCTAGCACAGCACCACCACTCGTAAACGCCATACCTGTATAGATAAGATAAAAAAAACCAGGGCAACGCATACGGCCAATACTGCTAAATAGCATCTCTTTTCATTAACTATCCATCTCAAGATATGCTTATACATACGCATAAATTCTGCTCTCTCGTCTTCTATATAGCGTTGCAACAAGGCTACTACTAGCCAATCAAACCGCATGGAAATGCACTCTATACTCGAACCAAACCCTGTTTCCCAAGTCCTGCTCAATCACCAATTCCACTCTGCAATTGACCTCAATTTACAAATACCAATCAATTTATTCGAGGATTAAATCCACCATTTCTGCCTCGTAAGTTAGGCCCCCCTTCTTCTTGAGCCGCCCATCCGACTTACAGCCGCCAGTCTTGGCGACAACCACACAACCCCGCCCCCACCTCTCTAAACACCATCGCCGAGCTGCCGAGCTTCCAGAGCTTCCATCAAACAGTCATCCTCCCCCTTCAGCCAAACAGCCCAAAGCGCAGCCCCAACAAGAGCTGTAGCAGCGGAACGCAATGACTCCCTCACAGGCCGTCGAGGCCGAAAACGCATACTTCTCCAGCAACCCGCCTCCCCGCCAGCTCGCCGCCCACACAGCCCTCGCAAAGGCATTCATCGACTTCCATGTTGCCGCCGACCACAGAGTCGTCCTCATTACATCGGGCGGCACCACTGTGCCCCTAGAAAAGAACACGGTCCGCTTCATTGACAACTTTAGTGCCGGTACTCGTGGCGCCACATCCGCCGAATACTTCCTTGCGGCCGGTTATGCCGTCATCTTCCTGCACCGCGAGTTCAGTCTGCAGCCGTACTCGAGGCACTATACACATGCCAAGGACTGCTTTTTGGACTTTTTGAGTGAGGATAAGGATGGCCGTGTCGGTGTGCGAGAAGGAGAGGGCAACAGAATCTTACAGGTGCTGCGCCAGTACCAATCAGCAAAGGACAGGAATATGCTGCTAATGCTCCCCTTTGTCACTATTGGCGACTACCTACACGAGCTGCGCGCAATCTCACAACTCATGGCACCGCTAGGGCCGCGTGGCCTTCTATATCTTGCCGCAGCTGTTTCCGATTTCTTCGTCCCTCCCGAGCGCATGTCCGAACACAAGATCCAGTCCACGGACGCGGCTAAGCGATTTGCACAACAAGCTAAAGCGACAGCCGATGGAACAACAGAAACCGCGGCAGCACCGGCAGCGGACGAGGACGAGGATGAAGCTTTTGACAACTTCGATGCGAACCCCAAGGTGCCTCGCTCCAAGAGCCTGGTCATTGATCTAGACCCAGTGCCCAAGTTTCTAGAGCGTCTGGTTGACCATTGGGCGTCTGCTGGCATGATTGTGTCATTTAAGCTAGAGACAGACCCGGCTATCCTGGTATACAAGGCACGAACTAGCTTGGAGCGATACCAGCATCACTTGGTTATTGGCAACCTCCTCACCACGAGAAAATGGGAGGTTGTGTTTGTCAGCCCCGGCCACGAGGACAACTGGCTCAGAGTATCACGAGCGGCTGGATGGGGTGATGCCGAGGGTCGCCCGCTGCGAACCGACGAGGTACCTAAGGACGAAGACCCGGAGACGGAAATCGAAGCACTGATCATCCCGGCTGTTGCCGAACTACATGGGGAGCACATCGCAAAGAAGTCTGGCAGCGTTTAAGCTTAGACGATACTGAACTGCTGGAAACTATGACATGCCGTATTCACTGTGTTTCATAGCGTATATATACTAAAACTTTGGATTATCTACAAGACTGCTAGATAATTACTTATTTAACAAGGGTTCAATCTCGCAACCTTTTAAAAAAAGACAAAGAGCTACTGCCAGTGGCCAACTAAGAACGCCGAGTCTAAACAGAATGATGTGAAATAAGAGAAAAGATATGCTTCATGATAATGCGCTGGATTAGTAGACATCCTTCCAGCCAGACAAGCCAAGCTGCCAGAGCTTCGCCCAAATCAACAACGCAGACGAGAGCAAAAAGACGGCACCCGTGGTGATGATGAGTCCGATGTAGGAGCCGTTGCTAGCCTGTAGAATGTTACCAGCAATGGGAATACCAATCAGACAGGCAAACGAGACCACCATGTACGCCGTGGCATAGTACCGGCCATACTCTTGGGTTTTGCACATGCGGCTAATGCAGACGGGGGCAATGGCAATGGCGATGCCGCTACCTAGGCCAAAGAGGATCGCAAAAATAACGATGCCAGCCGTTGTGTGCCCAGCAGGAAGCCAGACACAGATCGTAGCAATGAACGAGAGCACTGTAGCAAGGATACAGGTGTTGAAAGCGCCAATGATATCAGAGTAATATCCAGGCAAAAGGCGGCCGATAACCGAGCCCGCGTTGAGGATCGGAAGTAGCTGGTACGCAAATGTCGTCGAGAAGCCCTTGGCCATGGCAAACGTGGAGATGTATGCCAGCGGGATGAAGAGGGAGAATTCAAGCGTGAAGATGCCGAGTGTCGTCAGGAGGAACGGAATCTGCTTGAAGATGCGGAAATCAGGTTGGGCGGTTGCGTTAGGTGCAGGTGGAAGTCGCGCTTTGATAAGTAGGACTCCAATGCTGCTGGTAACAACGGCAATAAGAGCCAGCACCAATGTACCCCATTGGTAGCCGATACGGTCCCACAGATTGGTCAGCATGAAAGGGAAGATGATACCCCCGAGGCCACCTGCGGACGTAGCAATGCTGGTGGTGAAGCCTCGTCTGGCTTTGAACCAGTGTCCGATGGAGGCAATCGATGGCGTGAGTAGTAAAGAGGTTGCAAGACCGGAGAGAACACCGAAAGAAAGCATAAAGTGCCAGTATTCTTTGCAAAAGGCTAGCAGGACAAACGATGCCACAAGGCACACGGCCCCAGCAATAATCAGCCAACGAGGGCCGTACTTGTCGAATATCGGGCCAATGTAGATGCCGCAGAAAAAGGTGAGAAAGGTGTATACGGAAAAGATCCAGCCCACAGTGCCTTCACTGTAGCCCTTGAGCTGGTGCTCTAGTACATATGCCTGCCATGTTGCAAGTGTGTTGAGGGTTCCCATGCCTGAGAAGAGGGCAAACCAGCCGCCAGTGACGACTAGCCATGCTGCCGTTCCGCCCTCTGGATAGGTCTCTGACTGTGTATGGGCTGATGCTGCTGTTGGGGCTTTTTCTAAAGCGTTCTCTCCATTCTCGGCAATCTTCTCTGGCTGTTGCTGCGACCGTTGCCTTCGAAACTCGACATCAGCAATGTCGTAGCCGTTGGGAAGGTCGTTGGAGATGACGGGTTCCATTGTATCGGGCTCCTCCGTCACGGTGGGGATTGACTACAACGGTAGCACTCTCGTGGTAACGGTGCTATGGTGGGTTGAGGTGGTGTTCTTTCAGTCTGCGCTTTTCTGGTTTTCTATCTCAACTCCTTCTTTAGTCAAGGGATAAGAACCATGGCGTAGTTAGATGATTGGGAACGAGAAGAGAAAAATGAAAGAGGCGAGGAGAAAAAAAAATCAAGAGTCTTGGGAACAAAGCGGAGATGACGCCCCACGACTCGGCAGGCAACGCGGACCTGTGGGGCGGCCCAACTTCTGGCCCAGCCAAACAATGCAGACTTTGCGATCGATTGGCCATTCACAGCGCACTAGTGAGATGTCCGAGCAAGGGCGCGTTTTGTGCGGCAGTGTGGTATGTCGGAGCATGCGGCAATGGCTTCTCAAGCTTCATCGTCATCTTCGACATCTTCAATAGTAACTTTGCGCGGCGCATTGCTGTCCGGTGCTTCCACATGGTTGGTCGATTTCATGTAGCCCTCCTGTTCCAGTCTGTCTGCTTCTTCTGGTTCGATCAGCCCGCCTTGGCCAGAGCCCTTGTTCAGCTTCATTTGCACTGCAGCAGGAATAAACGCGGCAACAGCCTCTTTTTGCAGATTTCGTACCACAGGCTTCGCTTCGTACACTGTTTTTGCCTCCACAGCGGGAGCGGATTCCTTTTGTTTTTCGCCTTCGGGGTTCTTCGCTGCTTGCTCGGCCGCTCGCCGTGCTCGTCGCTTGCTGTACCACTCGTCTAGGACTTCCTTTGGGATTGGTGGGGGAGTATCTCGAGGCATAGGGATCCTGCGGACGTCTTCGGGAACATCTTCATCGCCGCTGGAGTCGTCCAACGAGCCTCGGGGGCGTTTGCCAAGGACATTGGAATCCGACCGGAAGCCGCTTCGCCCAAAACTGGGAGCTTTGTCGCCTAGGGCCTCCCGGGCCCTTGTAACGGCCTTGAGCTCTTTTTGGAGACCTTCGAATACTTGTTCTTCATGTCGAGATAGCTTGCCGCCTCCGTCGGTGATGGCCTTGAGATCGTCAATCTGCTTTTGTATTTGATTTGGGTTCTTTCGAGCCAAGCGTTCGTTGCGTCGGTCTTGCGCTTCCGATTTTCCTGCCCATTATGTTAGAAAACACATGCATTTATAATGAAGTATCGATCTCGTTGGAGGATGAAACCTACCTTTTTTGATTGCTTTGGCTTTGTCCGCCTTGCGTTGCGCCTGGACGGGATTGTAGTTTTTTTCTTTGGCCATCGTGTGAGCAGCAGCAAACGGCGCAGTCGATGGGTTTATAAGGTAGGAAACGGGCGAGATCTACGCCAGTATTAACCGAGATAACGCTCTGTAGCCGATTACCACTGAATGCGCAGCAAATAGAGGCTGTTGGAGGAGCTTTATCTTGCGTGCCGATTTGCGTTGCGTGTCTCGCTGATAGCAAACCGTGGTGTGATGCTGGACCTACAGTGGGTCAAGTCCCTTCGTCGGTTACCTAAGCCAGCCAAACCATAAAGAAAGCTATATACGGAGACTATAACACAATCCAAAATAAAATACTTAATATTTTAGGTAGGTTCTATATCTACAAACATGTTCCAATAGAACAGCCTCATTTTCATAAACAACTGAGTTCCTTTGGGAGGAGTTTGTTGCGAGAGACACGTTTACCTGTTGCGAAACGGAACGACTGTCTGACAACACTAGTTGGTGGTCATATAACCAGCTGCCGTTCTAATAACAGCATGAGGGCCCTGCCGCTTTTATAAACTTGGTACTACGGCATATACACATTAGTTCGGCAAGAATTTTCTTAGAACGAGGCTAGAATGCCTCAGCCGATCAGCCAATGCTGGCTGCCGCACTGTGCTAGGACTTGATGCATGATTCCAATGTATCCCTCCCACCCGGCTGACCGTTGAGCAATATTAGAATTCTCGGGCGCATTCGGAACGCAAGCATGCCTCACTTCATGCAATACTAGCCAACGCTGTGTCAATACTCACTTCAGGGCGAGCCCCCCACGCGGTCTGGCCGTGGGGGGAGACTTGGTGGTGCTCCAGACCGTTCACGCCTTCAGTGGCCAGGGCGCCTATAGCGTTCGGCTAAGAGCGAGGCATCCATGCGTGCGCCCATCTGCAAAGTTGCAGTGGTGTGAGTCAAGCGATTTCCCATCTCGCTGTTGTGCAGATGCCGGCCCGACAGCCGTGGCTGCAGTGTGCGTCTCAGCGGACAACGCGCCGCTGTGCCACTGGAGCAGGGTTTCTCAGTGGTTGTCGCTGGTAGGTTGTGCACTGCACCACCACCTTGGTGACCCTAGTGGTAGATCTTTACATCCAAGCTTAAAGGGTTTTTTCATGTTTCTCTTTCTTGTTGTATTACTTGCTGGCAACGTCCCTGCGACACAGGCCGTCTCTCAAGCACGCACTAACACAGCCAATATCGGGTGATTGCCGCCTGACTGAAACAGTCCGGCCTACGTGCTCTGGATAAATTTGGGCGCAATGCGGGCGTTGGTTTCTCACACCGCGTTCTAGTCTGTGGCGCAACGGCAGGACTAATTACAAAGTAGTGGCTACAAGCAGCAAACAACACGAGCGGGATCCTCTAGTTGCTTCTTTTGGCGATGTTGGCCTTATCTTGCCCCGTGGGCGGCGAGACAATAGATAAGCGCGGGAGGATACTCGGCGTAATATTTCACTTGCTCACGCTAAGAGGCGGCCGCTGTGGATTCCGCTGCGAAATTGACAGTCAGGGAAAAAATAGACCCACGACTTGGAACATTCCACCCGCTCTTCGACGACGCTGTGAAGCTGTTGCGACAGCGGCCTGTCGCCGTGGCTGCAGCAAACGGCGCCCGGCAGGCATCACTATATCTCGTTGTGCCAAGACAGGGAATCCTTAGCTAGGACGCCCTGAATAAAAAAGGAACGATCCAATAATTGGCCGCCTATCCATGCGTTATCCCATCGCCAGCGCCGACTGCGAGGCTGTTATGCTAAATCTGGCGTTCGGGAAGCAAACTGAATGCGCCTTGCGTATGGTGGTGTGCCGGAAACAAGGGCCGATGAGCAGAGCGAGCGCCTGTCACTTTTTCATGGAGATGACAGAGGCCTGGAGGAGCCGGTGCTACAGTAATATTCACTGTAAGAAGAGGGGTGGTCAGTTGCTAGAGTGGCTAAGGACTGCGACTACCGGAAGCAAAGCATTTTAACAAGATATATTCGCACGGCCAATTACTAGCACGATTCCATTCAATTGCCTGTCGCATGCTAGTGATCGATCTCGGCTACCTCGCTACCTGCGTCGATTCCATCGAGGCGAAGTCGAAACCTTGTTTCTCAACTGTAGCGCAGTTGTTGGTGGTGCTGGTAATAGGGCTCTGACATGTGAGAGACCTCGCCGTTGGGCGGTGACGGCGCGTACGGTGGAGGATGCCGAGTTCGGGGGTGGTGCGACTACCGAATCGCCGCTGCAAGAGTCAGGCGGCGGAGATGGCGGCGCATCGCATTGGAGAGGTATATTTGGTATACTGAGATGAACCTAGAAAGATGTGAAAGTGCTTGGAGTTTGAAATTGACCAGTCCAAGGGCCATTCCACGAAGAACGAGATGGATGTCTCTGTCGATAGGACGAACGTTCCGGCTACAGCGCTCATGTGGCGCAAGGGCTGCTATAAGCGACAAACCCTAGACTAATATGCCGCTCTACGCAAGGCAAACAAAGATGGGATGGGATGGCTGCAGCGGCAGCGGCAGCTTTTGCTCTACATTGGCTGGCCATATTATGCCACCATACAGAATGCAGCAAGTCTTAACAGCCCAGCTGTGCTTTGTGGCAGGGATATGCGGTCTTTGCCCCGAGGCTGGTCACTGGGATCTCCCGAGAGTCGCACTGCAGCGGATTTGCCACAGGGCATTGCGTCACAGCAGAGGATTGGACAGGTCGTTTATTTACGTAGACAGTGCCCCCGTCGAGATATACTGGACAGTCATTGAATCTATTTCTCCAGCGCTTTTCTTTTGTGTATTTTTATTATTCTTCAGCATCGTCGCAAGGGGTTGGATCAAATCGCAGGCTAGTTGATATGCTAGCGCTGCTGCCAGAGAACAAGGTCGCACGTCAGCGGTGCTGTGGCATCTCTGTTTAGTGGGCCACGGCTTCTGGAAGAAGGGGTCGTTGGGGAACTCGGCCATTCGCTAGCAAACAACATGACACAAATGCGCCGGCTGTTCTGGGCCCAGCTGAGAGGCCTGGTGGTGGCTTAAAACTCGCAATGCTAGGTAACAAGGACACTTTAGTAATAGTTGGCCTTTGTCGTTTTTTGTGTCTTGTTCTTCAATGCCTTCCGCCCGGGGAGCATCGCCAACGAGCGGCGTGCATTTTGTCCAAGTCCGGATGCGCTAAAACTGCGCTGCGTTCAAGTTGGCTGCCCCCCCACCACACCCACTCGCCCACTTGTGGAAAGCCTCCAAGCATCGCGCCCCCCCTCCTTAGCTGTCTCACCCCTGCTAATTTAGCAGGCAGCCTTCGTTGGCTCCCCAGGCGGCGGCCACAGCGCCGCAGGTCACCGGGGATGCGCCTGGCAGCATGACCGGATCGGTGTGGTTCGACTCTTGGGGGACCCGCTTTGCCGGCAAAACCAAGAAAACGCAATAGGCGAGTGCGTGAGCGGGAAAGGCGACGCAGACAAACGAGATGTCGTCAAGGAAAGGGAGGACAATTATTATACGGACAGTATAAAATACAATAGTATAATTAAATAGTAAAAAACAGTTCAGATACTATGACAGAGGGAAGAAGGCCAGCACGAGGCAGTCCGCACAAGCCAACACATACGACATCACTAACTCTCTACAACCAAAAGCCTAAATCGGCGGCGGGCATGTCTGCAGCGCAGCGCTGCGGCGGTAGTGCATAGTACTGCTAAGCCTTAGCGTGGTTAGCCACTGTGCTAGCACTGTAGTGTCCTCCCCCAGAGGGGAATCCCGCCCAGCTAACCACGGCAATCAGCTGCTTTCTCCCAAGAAAACACTTTTGTCGCGGGCGTCTTCGTTACTACTACCTTTCTTCCTTCACTCCGCCAAATCCCCCAGCCTGCCTTTTACGTCGACTGCTGGCCCTCTACATCCACGCTGCCTCGGTTTTTCTTGTCCGCTACGCTCGTCTCCATCAGCAGCGGCTTGATCCTCATATTTTATTTGCTGCAGCGACCGAGCGAACCATCCGCCTCGACGACCCCTCTCTGGCTACGCTTTTTCGCTCGTCGCCCGCTTCCGATCCGGCAGCACACACTCACCTCTGGGCGGCTCTACTTGTAGTCTTTCCATGCATACTGCCGCCACCTCAACAAAGAAACAGCATCGATTTTCGCACAAAAATCATCACAGCCGCCGTCCCGTCAACTGCGCTCGGATGGAAGATGACTTCGAAATGAGCTCTGGCGGCGCATCCACGTCCCGCGCGGACGCCGCCCGCAAGGAGCTCACTGCCTCTGGCAACAGCCTGCTCGGCAATCCCCTCTTCCCGCAATTCCAGCAGGGCGAGCAGGCTCCTCCGTCTACCATTGAGCAGATGCAGGAACAAGATCCCCTTGCCGCACAGGTCTGGAAGTTTTTCACAAAGACAAAGCAGCAGCTGCCAAATGCCCAGCGCATGGAGAACCTGACATGGCGCATGATGGCCCTGAGCATGCGAAAGCGCTCCCAAGATGAACAAAAGTGAGTCTCTGATGACTATTCAAACTTCTGCTACCACAGTCCGGGGTGTGGCCGATTCCCCTCCAATATGAGGGTCGCCCGCTCGCAGGTTTGAGCGCATGATTATTCGTTGGACGCTGTATTTGCTAACCACAACCTCTCATCTACAGAGCCGCTCGATCCGCAAGCGTTCAGTCTGGTCCTAGCGGGATTGCTCAATTGCGCAAATCCTCTCAAGTGGCATCGATGCAGCAGACTGCTGACCAGATGAACATTGATGATTTCGTCTTCTCCGAGGAAGCCGGTACTCCGGCAGGCATTGAAGAAGCCTTCCAGGAAGACACCCAAGACCAAGGCATTCCGATCAAAGCAAGAAAAGAACAGACCAACCAATCCGAATCATTTGTTCCCACGTCTGTACCACAACAGCGTGAGATGACGGATGAGTTTGGATACATCAAGCGACATCAGCGCAAGACGAGCATCGACGATCGACGAGTAAGTTGGACAACGATGAGGCTCAAAATCGCAGCAGCTGTGATATTTTATGAGCGCCTCTATGAGAATTGACTTGACTAACATGACGTGCAAAATAGACCCGAAAGCGACCTGCCAACTTTTCTCCTCACGTTTTGGCCGCCAACAGCTCTGCCGGCAATGTTAACTCTGAAATGGACACTGATGCTGAGTTGGCAGGATACTCACTTGATGGCACAAACATGAACATGTCACAGCCCTTCCAAGGCCACAATACCTTTGGGCTTGATTTTATGGGCCAGGAGCACATGATGGGATCGGCCCAGTTCCAGCAACAGAACTTTGGTTTCTCGCCTTCTACCTCCCCCATGGTCACAAATGGCCCTCTTGGCAACTACGGCAACTTCACGATGCCTTCGTCCCTCAATACCGACTTCTACTCTCCGCCTGCGTCCGCATACCCCTCCACCGTCTCGACTCCTCACCCACTCCCCGAAAATGATAGCTTCTTCTTCAACCCACAAGACCCTCGACAGCGCCAGCAAGGATTTCCGCAAGCGACCAACATGCCTCAGCAGTTTTACGATGCTAGTGGCAACAACATGTACCCGACGTCTGGACCCGGTTCTGAGTCTGCTTCGGCTTTCAACTCAGCGCCAGGTAGCTACGCTAACATAGACCCCTCACATGTTCAAAACAAGGGTACTAATATGGTCTCTCCTGGAGCACCGATGGGCCAGGAGGGCGGTATGTTTTCCTTGGGCGATTCAGATGACGACGAGAACAACCAGAGCAAGATGCAGGGTGATTTCACATCGGCGATGGAGGACAACTCAACATTTGGTTGGGACACTTCGCTACCTGGCCAGTTCAGCACACAGTCTGCTCGCTATCCCGGCGGGCCTCCACGAAAGCAGGTCGTCATTGGTGGGACGACAACAGACTATGTCGAAAGCTCTGGCGAATCGGGACTGCCTCGATCGCAGTCATTCAAGGCATCTGACCAACGAAAAGCAAAGTTACCCCGCAATGCCTCCACACCTGCACACCTGGCTAATGCTGCCAACGGAATTGACCAGCTTGGCCAGTCGCTACCCACTTCACCGAATGGCGATGTGGCTGGGCCCATGTCCGGCTTCTCTTCTGTAGCTCATAGCCGACAGTCATCACCGCCAGGCTCCAAACACGGCTCAACGACGAATCTGCAGGCTGCTGCAGGTAATGCGGCACCCGGCGATGCTAGCGGACCTACAACGTGTACAAACTGTTTTACACAAACAACGCCTCTGTGGCGCAGAAACCCAGAAGGCCAGCCTCTTTGCAACGCATGTGGTCTATTTTTGAAGCTCCACGGTGTCGTTCGACCCCTCAGCTTGAAGACTGACGTCATTAAGAAGCGAAACCGTGGCTCTGGCAACAACGCGACTCAAGGAGGTGCGCGCGCAAAGAAGGGTACTAGTTCCAACGCTGCATCTCGCAACAATTCGACTCTTTCCATGGCCACCGCGGGCCAGACATCCTCTACCAACTTGAATAGCCAGCGATCCGGGGTGAAGGGCGAAAGCCCCAATTCAGCAACTGCCTCAGGCCCAGCTCCTGGGCAATACACTAACTTTGCCACTGCTAGCGCTGCTGGTGGCAAAGGTGTAATCCCAATCGCAGCAGCCCCTCCCAAGTCAACGCCTGGCCCTGGCGCATCATCCATGACTCGCCCTGGACCACCAGCGTCCTCCAAGCGACAGCGCCGACACAGCAAGAGCGATGGTACTAACATGGGACCGGGTATGGACCTTGACAGCCAAAATTCCTTTGGAGACGTCTCCCGCCCGCTGGCCCCAACTCCAAGCATGCCATCCATCTCCACAACCATGATGTCATATGGCATCGGCCAAAGTGGGATGGGTGACGGCTCACAGGGGCAGAACATGAACAACGGCGGCGGGACTGCTGGTCAACAGGAATGGGAATGGCTCACCATGAGTCTGTAATGCTGCGATGGCTATTCATGACGAGGTAGAGGCGCAGGTTTCTCTTCTACCGCTACGACACTCTTCTTTTTCAACTTTTTTTCGACCCTTTGCTATGCTGGCCAGACGCCACACATTCATGTCGACCCAGCACCTACCAATTCTCGACATACACGACAAACCAACTTTTTAGACTGGAGATTGGGTTGACGTATTGAATCTCTTAAATTGGATGGGATGGGGCGTTTTTATTTTCCCCACTTGCGTTATTGGTTACTGTTTTTTTGTTTTTATTTTATGCGCGATACCTTGGCGCAATCTTGGGCATGATCGAAGCTTGCCCAGTTTGCTGCTACTATTCTTGTTTGCGGATTCGGCCCCATTGTGGACATGGAAATGTCTAGGTTTATATTGTCAAATCTCTTTTTGTATACACTCTGTAAATGGGAGAGGGGAGGCGTCTTATCTGGGTACTTTTTGTTTGGATCGCTCCCATCAGCCATACCAGCTCGTGGGAGGAGAACACTATAATTGAACTACTTTGATGATACAAGTCACTACAAATAGCCGTATAGTCCTACAACCGCATTTTCATCACCCTTTTCTTCACAGCACACGTAGTATTGGATGCAAGAAAGTGTAATCATAAGAGTGTTGCTTTTGTGTACTTGAACAAAAGAAGACGCAAAAATACGTAGTGATGGCATAAGAGGGTAAGGAAACAAAAAGAGGTGACAGGTGGGCTGTCACAGCCGAAAATATTAAACGGAATAATGAATATGAGACCAATGCTGGAGTTTCCAGAAACAATGAAAAAAAAAAGACAAAGAGAAATAAAAAAGTGCAAACAAAGAATCCCGTCAACGAAAGAAAAAAGAACCCCATCACCAGAAACCTGTAGCCAGAAATCTATGCATCATACCCCCACCATTTCCCACATCTCCGTTGCGTGTCTGTCGTTTACGAGTTTTTCACCACAATAGCGCGTGTTATCATCGAAGAGAGCACCTCGGTCCGGACAGTCTGTGTCCGTAGCATTGTTGGTAGAGATCATTACGCGAGCACAATGGCTCGCTCTAAAAGATTGTGCCGAATGCGTCGTCGGTAGGGATTCGCTTGCGCGGGCTACCACCGTCTTCGGTCATGGGCTTGCGGTGGCGGAATGTGAAGCCGACAAAGAGGCTCTTGCTCATTTCATCTTCACGATCTGCCATGTCTTCGAGCGCCTGCTGCTTGTCGTGCACCTCCTTGTACTTGGCCATGTCAGCCTCGTTGGAGAAGTCGTCAAAGTAGCCGGCATCTGTCTCCGAGTCCAGCTCGGGAACAAAAGGTGCTCGTGTTTGGCGCAGGGTATCCCACTCCACCTCGGCGAAGTAGTGGTGTTCGTAGATATCCTTAATATTCGAGAAGCGGCGGGTACGGGAGTTGATGCAACTGTGCACGGTTGTTAGCAAACTGTTTGACGATGTGGAGTGGTACTAGGGTGGGAGGACTCACGTTGTGATAAAGTTCCAAGTACGGTTGCTCAGGAAGTAGTTGGGGTCTTCCCAAACGGGGCGCTTGAGGACATCTTTCCAGTGCTTCAAGTTGCGCCATGTCTCTTCAGGCGTTGAGCCGGCAAAGGGAGGGAAACCAGTGAGTGCTTCGAAAAGCATGCAGCCCAAGCTCCAGTAATCAACAGTAGAGTCGTATTCCTCACCACGGAGAACCTCGGGTGCCATGTAATCAGGAGAACCGACAATGGACTTGGCATAGTTGACGTCCTTCTCGCGCATAGTGCGGTAGTTCTCGCGACGCTCAGCGACGGTACGTTGATCGATGGGCTTGCCGAATGGGACCGAAGTCTCGGATGCTTCCTCGAGCTTGACTCTCATAGATTCGATTCTTGAAGGGGCGAGAACACCAGCGGCGAGACCAAAATCGGTAAGCTTGACATGGCCGGTCGAGTCAATCAGGAAGTTTTCGGGCTTCAAGTCTCTGTGAATGTATCCTAGTTGATGGAGGGCGTCAACGGAGCAGAACATTTCTGCAATGTAGAAGCGAGCATGTCTGTTGGACAGCACACCCGTGTTGTTAAGGAGGGTGCGGAAATCGCCACCTGGCACATATTCCATGGCAAGATAGATACTCTTGTCGTCTTGGAAAGAATAGAGCAAACGGACCAGCCACTCGCTTTGCGCGGTTGTGAGGATATCACGCTCTGTCAAGACGTGTCGGACTTCGTCCAGCTTGAAAAGAAGCTTCTTGCTCATGACCTTGAGCGCACAGACTTCACGCGTATCCTTCTTCTGAGCCAGGAAGACTTGACCGTAGCCACCTTGTCCGACTTGCGTTAGGATCTGGAAGTCACCGTGGCGGAGACGAACGCGGCGCTTGCGAAGGTTGGCTCGCTCGCGTCCAGTGTACTTTGTCCACATCTTGTTAAACGCATCTTCGTCGGTCTGGGGAGGCGGGGGCACTTCGGCGTTGAATGCAGCAAGTCGCTTTTGTCGAGATCCGACGTATGTGAGAAGATCGAAATAGTAGTCGAGGAAGTCTGCGGATCTGTTAGAACAAGGTTCGACAAATTCAAAGTAAAGAGGGCTTACAGAGCTGTGTGACGTTAACCATTCGGCGCACATTGGGTTTCTGGAGAATCTCCAATTCTTCTGGGGTCAAACCGCGGGAAGTGTTGAATTTCTTGGTGGCGGTCAATGGCCGGTCCTTTGACTCGTATAGCTGGTGACGAGACACGGCGGCATGGTTGAGCTGAGAGACGGGAGGTGTGTTCTCTTGACACTGCTTCTTCAAAGGGCTGTTGACAGCACTTGACTTGTGAAGAATGCTGTCTTCGATGCTAAAGCTATCTTCAAGCGGCTGTGCGTTGAGCTTGCCAGGCGAGAGAGGGGTCACTGTGCTGTTTGGGCGCGCGAGCCTTACGGGAGAGTCTACTCCTGTTGAGTTCAGAGACATGGCATTTTCAAAAGCTGTGGGCAAGTCGTGGGCACCGGGAGGGACAGTCTTCTTGCTTGGGCTGCCGTGAGGTGTGCTTGTTGGGTTGATGAAGCTATTTGTCTTTGTCGGTGTGGTAGGGCGGGGTGAATCAGCACCCTTTTCCTTGGACTGGAAGAAGTTGGAGACGAAGCTGGCCATTTTGTAGGTATGAATCGGTCGAGAGTGCTTCTATTTGATAAAGAGTCGACGAAGTATATCGAAGAGAGGCGGAATACAAGGCTTGTAGCAAAAGGGAGCTCCTCTTGGGCTCTGGGCAAGGTTTGGCGGGGAATCCTGATGCAGAGTAAACAATGCTGACGAAGGGTCAATGCCGCGAAAACGCCTGCGGTTGCAATATGATGGGCGAAGCTAATGTCGGCAATAAGATGAAAATGAAAAAAGAAGAGGAAGTGAAAGGCTTTCAGGAAACCTGTCGAAGCGTGGCTTGCGTTTTGATAAAAGGGCGAGTGCGCGTCATGCAAATAACAGCTTCTCGGTTGGCGTTTGGCGGGCAGGGGCCTGTGGAAGCGGGGGTGGGAGAGTCAACACGGTTGCAGTGGCAACAGCGGCCACTGGGGTGGTGCCTCTCAGCGCTCTTTAGTGGTGTTTTGGTGGTTGGAGCCGCCAAAACAATGGGCTCCCCACCCTGCGTTGCATGTTTACCCTCCAGTTCTGCATTCCGGCCAGTGCCAGTTGAATTGGCTGATGAGAAAAGAGAAAATGGAGAATGTTGCAGTGACAGCTATTGCAACTATGTAATTCTATGTTATTAGCCAAAATAAGCGACTATTCTTTTGTTGCTGGCAACGTGGTGGCCCGACAGGTTGCTCTACCCTGTTGCTAAACTATTGTTATTGTCGGCTAGTGCCAAACAAGCAAGCTAGGTTAACTGCAACTTTATTGTAGAATTTCCAATGAAAAAATGCCACAAGATTAATTAACCTAAATTTGGGTCAAGTATTATTCGTACTAGTGAAATCATTAGAGCCTCGCTTGATCCTGCAGACCCTTTGATCTAATCTTATCTATCGATCTCTCCACCGCCGTTGGTCTCCACACAGGTTCACGTTACCAACGCCGAGCCCGAGCTCTCCCGCGAGACGAGCACCTGATCAAAGCCATTCCCCTCTTTTGTTAAATCTCTCATCACTATAATAACGCAGCATCTCCTCTTGACATAATCAAATATCTGGCATACTGCCTCTTCTACATCAGATATCATGAAGCTATCAGCTTTGACTTTGGCCTTTGCGGCAGGCGTGGCAGCTGTCCAGCCACCACAGGCTCTGCTTGAAAATGATGCTACCGCTCATCGCATCCCTACGAGCTATGAATCTGCCGTCATGGGACGCCGCATCCTGGCACTTACCAAGCTCGCTACCTTCTCAACTGTGTTCCCTGAGGCAAAGGCACAAGCTCGTCGCCCAGCAGGATTGGAAGGCGTCCCTATCGGCCTGATGGATTATGTCGCTGACTGCGAGGACGAAGGCAACCCTACCATTCTTGCCCTTTCTATCGGTACGACGTTTAGAAACGTCAAGGCTGGGTCCAATATTACGGTATCTCTGCAGTGGATGCCTCCATACCCTCCTACCAAGCGCATCTCTTTCTTGTCTCGCTTGTCGGCATACATCCCCTTCCTCGGCACGCAAAGCCCATATGAGCGAGTCGTCTCAGACGATGGCATCCCTGATACGGTGCCCTACTCGGCGGCCAATTTGCCACGATTCTCTCTGGTCGGATATCTGGAGAAGGTCGACGCTGATGCCGCTACGTCCAAGCAGTTGGCTTCTTGCTACACAGCCAAACACCCCGATGCCAAATACTGGCTTCCAGGAAATCACATTCACACTAGTGAGTGGACAAGATTGGTAGTCACCAGTGTCTACTGGATTGGCGGATTTGGAGACCGGGCCTACATTGGATGGATTCCGATTGAGGAGTGGAACGCGGTTACACGACAAGAGTGGCACGACATTCAGCTACCTGGCGAGAAGCCCGGATGGAATGAATGGAAGCTTGATGAGAGCAGCGAGCTTTAGTATGAGCCGTGCCTGGTTATAGAATCTCATGTACGGAGGCATTGAATACTTCTGCTCCAAGTATATATATATAGATGTGTGATATAGTCGTCAAAACAAATACGTTTGCTGTTAGCCTAAACTGACCAGATCCCATCAGTACTAAATAGAGTGGCGAGACATGCTGAATGGCAGTATGGGATTTGCGGTGAGTAGCTGCATTTGGCATTGAGAGCGATGAGACGTCGGCGGCCGAGAAATGTCGCTCGCCGAACCTTACATAATTAAAGGCACAAGCAGCCAATAGCGACTAAACGACGCTCGCCATGCGTGTCTCTGGTGGGAAAGTCACGACGGGGACGACGGAAGTGGCTACGACACGTGACGGGTGAGATGTGCGCCGTATGCGAGGCACAGCGTTGCTTACTGGTGGTGGTGGGCGGGTTGAGAGCGGGCTGTGCACCCGAGTTAAGATGAAGATGATGTGTGCCGTTTCGTGTCACGACAAGGAGAAGATGGCATTTTTTTATCGAACTTTTTAAACGGATTATGCGCCGATGTAATATGCGTGGCCTTCTATCCTATGCTATTGCGTCCACTGCAGAGGGCCGCCCAACGGTACTTCGTGTACTGTGCATCGTCAACGGACGGTGTGTGCTGTAAATAGGCGCTGGAGCACACCCTGGAAATAGCCCTTTTGCTGGGGCGGGAAAGCCTAATCCTGGGATCCCGCGCTGTCTGGCCGGGAAAGCGATCGATCCTGTGCTGCGCTGTGGTTGGCTGCCGCACTGTACCCAGCGCCCACCCTCCCAAAAAGGGTGCTACTACTGCGGTGGTCCATTAGCGGGCAGCCGGGGAGCTGACCTCCTGTGTCTGGCAGTGCTGAGGCCCACTCCCACCATTTCCCCCCAGCACTAACGTTAGCAAGCACCCAGCGCGGACACGACACTTGTGGAATAGCGCCTGGGCCACGCTAAGCCGGCAAACCTCCGCCCGACCTGTCCACCACGCTTCCTCAACATCGCCTTTCGCCTCCCCCCGGAGAAACCCCATCATCACCCGACGACTTCAACCCACGCTGCCGACTCAGCATTCGCCGAATCGCCATCGCCATTCATCTCGTCGGAGCAGTCATCATCCGCTCTACCGCTAATCGTCAACGATCGCCTCCCAACAAAGGCATCGATCCGAAAACTCTAGAAAACCACCTCTGTTACGGTGTCGCATCGCCGAACGGTTTGGCTTCGCCGGGCTCGCCCATGACTTATCTCCAGTGCCAACTTCGCTTATTCCCTCGAATTGATACTCTCGACATGGCTCCCTCCAGCAGCTAAGTCCATCGTAGTCGATGAACAGCCAGTCACGCTCCCATCAGCGGGTGCCCAGTAGCGGCTCGTCCGTACGTGTGCCGTCTCTGGCGCACCAGATATCGAAACCACAACCAGCAACCTCCTCGCCTGCTCTCAGCCGAAAGGATACCCCTGTAGCACGAAGCGATACTTCAGACATGTCACAAAATAACGGCGTATCGACGCCCATGAGGGTAGCGTCGCGGCTGCGGCAGGAAATCCCCCACGAAGCCAGCCTCGACTCTCTCTCCACCACCGCATCCCCTCAAACCGCCACACCCTCCCGCCTCACGCACGTTAGCGACTCTATAGAAATCATCAATGACAGCCCTGCCCCGTCGCAGCTGTCGCAACACGATGTTGACAACCCTCCCATGCCTCTCCCGCGACGACGGGCTCCCCTCCTCCACCGTATCCCATCGTATCGAATCGCTGCGCCGCCTACATCGGTAAAGCGAGACTCCCGACCGAAACAATATTCCATCGAAACGCCAAGCGATGCGCCGCGTTATATATCGGCAAATAAATCCGACCCTGTCTACCGTGATCCGTTTAGCCGCTCACTCTTTTCTGGCAACGCCGACTTCTTCCCCTGGAACGGAAGCCACCATGAAGATGAATGGAGCGCTGAGGCTATCCAGAAAGGTACATGGGATCGCGGCAGCCAAAACGAAACCTCGTCAGCGAGGTTTGCCGTTATGCCCGCCCTCAAACAAAAAACTGGGTTGAGCGCCTTATCCACTATCTTCATGGGCGTTTTGAATCAACGCAGAAATAGCGGCCAAATCACAGCGCCGTCCACGTTTAAACCGCCACCCCGCGTCACTGTCACTGATACTAAACGGGAAGTTTGGCTAAAAGATCTTGCAAATCCTGCCATTTCTCTGCGCCGTCTTAGCCGAACTATCCCTCACGGTATTCGTGGCAAAACGCTCTTAGAGCAGTGCCTCAACAAAAACGTTCCAACAGAACGAGCAATTTGGCTTGCCAAGTGTGTTGGAGCGAACGACATCCGCGCTCTCAATAGAAAAGGAGTCAACGGTGCTTTCGCCATGGGCGGCGAGCTAAAATGGATCAGAGACTGGACTATCTTTGTAGAACAGTTTGTAGAGACTGTTGTTTCCGGATTTACCGAATTAGACTGGAAGCATCGAGTTGTCTACGCGTACGTATACCCTTTACATGTTGTCAAACGTCGAATAAGAACTAACTGACTCTGCTTTAGAACTCGGCTTGCGACGGTACTCTATGCGGAGCACCTGCTCGACCGCGACCACTACCTAGACTGGATAACTTCTAGCTTGGAAGCCAGTCCCCAATCCAAGATTCCCATGTGGATAATCATCGCTCAGATCTGTTGGAAAGACCTGCTGAGGTCTCGAAAGCATGGCCGACGCTTAGTATTCGCAATGCTAGGCCATCTGCATTCGGTAAGTCTAATACTCCAGTTGCTACCAAAGGCTATACCCCTAACTAGTTGATCTCCAGATATATCAGGATCCTGACCGAGATATCGTAATACAGCTGTCAAGCCAGCTAAGCACGCTCCTGAGCACCCTATTAAAGAACCACCCAGAAAACTTCTTATACCCTTCGCTCTGGTCAAGGTACCGGGATTCTCTCAAGATTGCAATTGGCCCAGAAAATTCAGATTTGCAGGCCTCATTTAATGCTGTTGATTCAAGAAACAGACAGCTCGTTTTCGCGGGGAATACCTCGTCTCCATCCGGATATCAATACCTCGTCAAGCTTCTGGATAGCACTCTTATCGGACCTGCAGAGCACAATTTTGCTGTCAACTGCTGGTCGAGCCTCGATGATAAAGCGCGAGTTGTGAAGACTGTTGTTGAATGGGCAACATCTTCGCACCGCCCGGGTGTCTCTAAGATCTATACAGCCTCAAATCTCCTCCGGGAATGGAGCACCCAGCGCATCAATCCTACAACATCGATTCTTGAGCTATTGGACGGCATCCCAACGGCCGATAGTGTGCGGAAACAACTGTTATACCATCTAGTGGCTGAGCTCTGCCGTAGCGGCCACTTCTCGCTTTCCCAATACATCCAGTGGCTAATTGCTCGAGGAAGCTGCAGAGATTCAGCTGACATTGACCCCGTCTCCGGCCCTTGCGCCTCGAGACTCTTGGCGGAGCTACCGATGTACTGCTTCTCTGACGAAGGTAGCCAGAACAGGGCCAACCTGTTGCGACGGGCGGGCAGTTACGATGTTGCAGAAGAAGCAGAGGACATTGCCACAGCAAAGAGATATCTCCGAGAGACAATTGGCTTGCCATTAATGGAAGGAGACGACTCTAATACAACGCCGAGAGTCATTCCATTGAAAAAGTTGCTCAGCAAAATTAAGAGCAGCAGCATGGCTCTCAAGTGTGATGTGGGAGCTGCGCTGCGAACTGACCTCTCCAATATGGACAACACGTCTTTAGATTCGACACTCTCGTTGAATATGTTCATCTCTCTGCGGTCTGTTTTTGAAGTCACAGGCGATTTCGCCATGCTGGTCGATGTGTTGAAAGCATGCACTCGCTCATCAAATGTTGACGTTCTTGCTGCCTGTGCAGACACCATCAATGTGCATCTGGTAACATTCTTGGCTTTAAATCAAGCTGAGGAGTTATTCGACGGGCTGCTAAACCGACTCAAGGTATTTGCAAGAGACCAGGGTGTTGTGGTACGACCATTTTTGGCGTCACTTGCTTTGTTAGCAGCCAAAATGCCTGATAGGGATGCTGTGACTAGCAACTTGCAGCAGGAGCTCGCCCACAGTGACAAGAACAGTGCCATTGATGCCTGCTCTCCCGTATCAGACAACATGGTTGGTCAATCAGCTGAGGGTGAAGTATCTGAGCAAATCGACAGGCTTTTGGCAAGTGGAACTAGTGTGGACGTGCCAACAATGAACCGACTCTTCCGAAACATCTTCCCTAGGCTAGAGTCAGGCTGGGGTAAGCTAGATGATAGCCGCCGAGTATTCGCATCTCTGTTGAGCAGGCTCCGCGTCTTTGACTCGCAGCACTTTGATAAGCTCATGGCGGACTGGGTCAGCCATATTCGTTTGCTGCCTGAGCGTCAACCTCTCTATGAGCTGTTCCCAATGCTTCTTAGCCTTGGTTGCCTCACAGTATCAACCATGCTTCAGACAGCGAGCCCGGCCCCGTCTCAAATTCCCTCCGCCGCAGATGCAACCAAGGGATCGGCGAGCTACCTCCAAGAAGTTCTCCAACTAATGACAGGAAAGTTACCCAAGGACACACCACTTACTCCCGATGAACTTTATCGGTTTCAATCCATCCAAGCATCAGGCGCTATTGAGCATTCTAAGCTGTTCCTTCAAGTCATTCGAAACACCATTTTGGAATATTCGGCCCTGAAGAGCCATGATGCTTCCATTGCACGACCGCTTGATGAAAACGCCAACATGAAGAATCTACTCGCGGTGTTGCGCCTCCTCGTTATTGTGGATGCTGCCACAGTCTCGGACGCCTTGAAGGTTAATGACATGCCAACCAATGCGTCTGCCTTCATTCGTCAAATCGTTAGCAAGCTGCTTAGCCCACACGACGAAACAAACACGCCTCCCTCTTTTGACCAAATTTTGAGCCAAGCAAATGAGCTGACAATGCCCTTCTGTCAACTCAGCCTGAATATGGAACTCACCTTTGGCCAGTTGATCGAGGCGGAAGGCGATGAAGGCAAGCAGTCGCAATTCGATGTCTTTGCCCGCGCTATGGACAGTGCCATTGACGCTAAGAATATCATGTGGACTAGCATGCTTCCCTGTCTCAACGAGGACATTACCCAGCACCTCAAGAGCCAGGCATACTACCGGTTCTTCGATTTAGTTCCATCGTCGAAATCGGATGATTTCGCCACGGCCTTATTGAACCAAGATCGCATTCAATTGGCAACAAACCTACTCGGCGTCATCGAAGCCATCATCTCCGGCCAACCATCTTCTAAATCTGGCCAGCTTACTTCAGCTATTGTGGATAAGCTCACTGATGTTTGGGAGGCGTTAGCAAACACGGATACCGAATTGACAGCAGCATCAACGGATGCTCTTTTACAGTCTTGGCTGCCCGTTCTTCTGCGATTTATATCTCTCCATGGAAATGTTCCGGAACTTACCGCGGCTGCGACGACTCCAGGAGCCGCTTCGGGCATTCGACCAGCCCTAAGCATCAATCTTGAAGCTCGGGCGAGAACAATACTATTACTGTGCGGCATCATTTTTGAGCTAGAGGCGCGATATGCCGAAACCACAAGCGAGCTTGTGCAGCAGATTTTTGATATTGCCGTGCTCCTAGTGGACGCCTTGCCGGACGATTTGAGAAACCACTGCGCAAAGGCTATTATTGCTGCCCCGACGCCGACGCCGAGCAAATCTGCAACGTCAGATCGTCGAATATACTATCTGTTCAGCGTCCAACCCGCTACATTGGCGGATAACCTCATGCTAGCCCACAGGGACAAGGCCTCTCTGCCACATAGCGCTGCTGCCCGTGGCTTGGGCGCCATGTACGGTATTGGGCCTACTACACAGGAGCGATTCACGCCCTTTATCCTCCGACGCTGGGAGGTACTGAGCGAACCTACTCCAAACGTTGGCGAGAACGACACCAGCCTAAGTCTTGGACTCTTTGAAGCCATCAAGATACAATAGGAGGTGGTTGTCGACAAACTATGGCCTTGGTATACCAGACGCCGATGACCCTCCCTCCATTATGATTAATGTCTTATTTCCTGTGTCTATACTTCGTTTCGTTTCTACATTTTCCTCTTTGCCCATACCCTGGGCTCTATTCACACTGTACCGCTATGGCATAACATGATTTTTTTTAAGTTGGGTACCTTGCTTTCCTTGCATGATGAGGTGTTTGCGTCGCGGGTTTACAATGACCGCTCGGCGTGGTAACGAGCTTTTTTGTTGATTGCTGGCGAGGAGTCGGTCTAAGTTTTACATATGAAATGATTATTGGGTCGATGGTGTTGCTGAGGTGCATTCAATCATGTTAGAGCATAGCATATACACATTTTCTTCTTTGTGTTTGAAATTGAAACAGTTAACTTAATATTCCCCATCTCAATGTAATTATCGTGATATCTTGCATGTCTCATTAAAAAGGACGGATATTTTGAATTGCGTATTCATTGAAATGGGTAGAATTGCCGTTAATCTTTATAGACCAAAGCGACAACGTTTTATTTATCTGCCAACGGTACGAATTGCGCAAGGACATCCAGAACGTCTTTGCAAAGACCAAGAGAGAGAAAGAATAACGAAAAAAGAGAGATGAAGATCGCATACATTATAATCAAAGACCAAAACAAAGCGAAACAAATCCTGTGGCATATTCTTACATAAAACAAAAGAGACAAAAGGGATGCTAGAAGAACTCGATGGCAGGCAGCGCTTAGTCCTCGTCAAAGATTTGGTACGTGTTCTGCAGGATGGTGTCGACAACCTTGATCTGCCAGCCTGCGTCGGTGATGGCCGTGGCAGCATCACTGCCCATGAGGGTAGGACCGAAGATAACAGCCAAGTTGTGCGAGTTCATGCGGTTGGAGTGCGCATTGTCCATGACTCTGTAGAGATGGAGCGTGATGGCACGGAGGGTGGCATAGTTGGGATCCGGGAGGCTGTTGATAATGGCGTGCAGCGAGTCACGGCGAACAATATCGTCCTCTTGTTCTGTTGGGAATGGTTAGCGGACTCTGTAAAGTATTGTTAACAGTAAGCAATGTCACGTACTAGCAGCAGCAATGAAGCTGTCGTGGTGCTCCTTTGTCAGGATAGGGTCCGGTAAGTCGCGGAAGAACTGCTTCAACAAGCCAGTCACGCTGTTTACGTCGTGGTAAAAGTTCTCGGGGTTTCTAAAATCGAGAGCAGGGTTTTGTGAGTCTATTTTTCTTGGTTAGTAAAGAGTGCATGACTGCTGGGTAGAAACACGGCGAAACGAACCGTTGTTGAACATTTGCTTGAGCTTGTTGATATGTGTCAGGGAGCCAGATTGACGGTAGATGCCTTCGAGACCGAGACCGTAGAGATCCACAGCCTGGATACACTGGTACACGACCATGGGCACAGCCAGTCCGTCTCTCTCGTAGAGTCGGTTCAACGATACGTTGAAGACGGGGTTTGTAGGCCTATCTTCATGCACCGGCTGGCCCTGTGCGCCGTACATGGGGGGAGGGCCTTGCTGGCTGGGAGGGCCGCTACCTCGTCTATCGCCAGGAGGAGCAAACGGGTGCGATTGCTGAGGAGAACCTCGCTGTCCGGGCTGGCCACCAGGAGGACCGCCCTGGAAGGGAAGATTTCCAAGCTGTGGAGGAGGGGCACCACCGGGGGGGCCTCCGTTTCCATAGCGGGGTCCGCCATGGGCTGGGTTCATGCCGGGATGCTGTCCACCGGGATGCTGTCCACCGGGATGCTGTCCACCAGGAGGACCCTGGTATCCGGGGTGGTTGCCTTGGCTGAAAGCTCGGTTATGGGCGGGCTGTTGAGCAAATGGTCGCTGCTGCTGTTGCATTGGCAGACCCTGGGAGAAGCTTTGTGTCATGCCCTTAGGAGGACCGCCTTGCGCGCCAGGGTGGCCTTGGGGACCAGGTCCAGTGAAGGACGACGGGCCACCTGGTGGAGGCTGAGATGCCATAGGCGCTCCAGGTGCATTCATAGAGCCTGCGTTGCTGCCAACTGTACCAACGTTTCCGGTACTCGTTCTGGCTCCCATAGAGAGCGGCTGTGGCGCAGAAATATTCGTAGGGTTCTGATTGAATGAAGACGGCGGTGCCTGTGGGCCTGGGACTGGGCCAGCGTTGTTCATGGCTGGTGCAGATGGAGGGTTCAGAACCTATAGAGACAAGAGTTAGTAGTGTTTAGTAAGTAAGAGACTATCCAGGAACATACCGGGTGACGCTCATATTTGATCTCTTCATTCGGTTGGACCTTGGGTCGGTGTGATGCGACATAGTCGTTCAAGTCCCGTTCGTTGTTAATCGAGGACACAGCTTGGCGCAGACTTCTCGGTTGGGGAGTAGTCTCGCCAGGACCGTTCTTGAAGGGGTAGACGATGACACCGTTGCCAAGTAGGAGCTTTTCGTTAAAAGAAGCTGTAAAATGTTAGCTGTGGTGCCAGATGGATTAAAGGGATTCTAGGCAAGCTTACCAAACTTCTGCATTTGCAGCGTCAAGCCTGCATCAATTTCGTTGACGAGATCCTGAAGCGCCTTGATAGCCTCGGGACGAGTGCTAGACACAAGCTGAGCCTTTTCGCTCTGAAGGCCTTGAACGTGGCCGAGATAGACTTGGTCAGCGGCTTGCACCTTCTTGAGTAAGTCTTCCTCTTGTTGCGCGGCAGACTTGTGAGCCTTGAAAGCACCTAGCACCTTTCCGCCCTGTCGTCCCTCTCCTGTTCGGGCTCTGTCGTACTCCTCGGCCAACGAGTCGTACTTGGCTTTGCTCTTACGCATCGTCTGCTCCAGATCAGCCACCTTTTGTTCGGCAGCCAAACCGTTTGCTTTCCAGGTCTTGCGGTGACGCTCAGCGTTGGCAGACAAGTCAACAAGGTCTTCGTGCATCTGGTGAAGAGAGGCAGCGAATTGGATTCCATTCTCGGCCATTCGGTCATGAATAAACATCATTTCGTCGTACGACTGAGCAAAGGTGCCTTGACGATGATCGGCTCGGTGGATATTATCTTGTGTCGAACGGCACAGCTTCTTCAAGCTCTGGGCATGGTCATCTTCCAGAATAGCGCGCTTCTTGAGAAACAATGCGAATTCCTACAGCAGATAAGTTAGTAGGTGCTATGGCGATCATACGCTACGGTAAACATACCTTGGCGGAAGCTATGCTCTGCTTTAGTCGGCCGAGCAGGGTGCTGATACCAATCTAGATACATCCGGTTAGTTTAAAATGTTCCATTACAAAGTGGTCAAGTCTTTGCGCATACCTCCGATGCAAGCACTTCCTCAACATTCTTAGCCAACGCAGCCTCGGCAGGTGTTGGTGCTTGAGCAGCAGCTGACGGAGCCGCTGGTGGTGCGCCACTGGCAGCTCCAGCATCGGTGCTCTCTACATCTGCGGTGCTATCTTCAACAGAAGGGCGTTCCTTGTCAAAAGACAAGCTTCCCGGGGCATCGCCAGCTGGTTGTTGGGCGAGGTCGTCGGGCAGCGACACCTGGGGAGGTGCTGGCAGCGCGTTGTCCACGCCGCCAGGGCGGTGATCGGCCATGGTGAAGTGTTGATTGAAATGATCTATACAGAATCAAGGGGCTCGAGGAAATGTAGCTGTTGGTTGGTAGGTTGTTTGCTGCTTGCGTCTCAGCTTGTGTTGGCGGAACGGGCCACTGACGCTGTTGTGAGCGGCGCAACAAGGTGACGTCGGTCAGTGAATAGACGAAAAGGCGCGGCAATGCGGCGTTTAGCAGTTGATAAATTCGATAAACGGCCTTGACCTCGTGTATTTTCGACAGATTGTCTGTGAATACGATGGTTGGGCTTCCAGGGGAAAAAGCGGCTGCGAAGGAGCAGGCGTTTGTGCAGCCAGCTGGAGCTCAGACACACCCGAGCCCAAGGAACACCCGCTGTGGATTTCTCCAGCCACGATGACGCTGCTTGGTCCACGCCACCTTTTTCACTGCCACGCTGTTTGTTCCCTGCTTGGTGGTCAGACCTGGCTATGCCTAATTAGGAAAATAAGTCGTCGCCGCTTTTACTCCACGCCTTGTCCTGTGTGCAAAACCGAATCTAGGTAATGCTTTGTGTAGCCTCAAATTTGAAATTAAAAATAAATAAATGATTAAGCCATTATTAAAAAGGATACATTCCCTTAGTAACGAGAAAAAAAGAGAGACTCATCATGACTATTACTGCTCATTGCGCGGGGTGGCTACCGGTCACCGCTCGAGCAGCGCTCTACCATCATAGCGCGTCTGATGAAGCTTGCGAAGTTCAACGTCCGAGAACAAATCGTTAATTCAGTTGTTTCTTAGAGTATTGTCGTATACTCTGGAAATAGCAGATATATTCTCAGCCCAAACAGTCGCCTGTCTTCTGCTCGCGGTGCCATTACTTCCAATATCACCATATCACAGCAACGATTGAACAATGTAAATGATTTGTAAAGAGGGTTTTTAGGTATTTTTCGACCAGAATGGTCCGTTGGTTATGCTACGGAGACACTGCTGCCATCGTATAAAATGTGAGGCGGCCAAGTGCTCTTCTCGTTTTTGCAGAACCTAAAGCATCGATCCGTAAATCGTCATCCAGCCCAAACCGTGCGTTAAAAATTGAGCAAAAAACAACCCGGAACTACCATGACTTCCGCATGTCTTTTATGACTGCTTTTTCTTTCATCCGCTACTTCTCAACTTCCTCAACCCCGAACCCCATTAATGCATACACAGCCGCCGTCGAAACCGTTTATCGGAGGCGTCTGGCTTCACGCTCAGACTCGAGCAGGCAGAGGATGTCGTCCTCACGGACTAGAGAAAATCAATGTTAGTCAAAACCCTTCATGGATGTATCGCTTCACAATCGACAGGGAGAGGTGCGCGCCATAAGCAAACGAGTTGTGGTTGTTTGTCGGCTTGGTCGATCGATTGGCGATTCGGGGAGCAATAACGTACCGGGACCCTTGACGTTACGGATGATAGAACGGGTCTGGTCGTCCATGAACTCGACACGGACCTGGGTAACACCACCGCGAGAGCCTGCGCAGCAAATCAGTTAGTCACGAGTCGAAAGAGCACGCTGGCATTACGGCTCCTTAGCAATAGCAGCAAAAGCGACGAGTGAATCCGTAAAAATGGGAGCGAAAATCAGCCGTGAGCGATTTGACAACAGTAGTATCCTCATCCGCTCTGCCGGCCTTCTTCTCCTCCCATATTTACACATCCAGCTACCGAATTGCATGCGAAAGCGGGCGAGCGTAGTTGCAGCTGGGAATGTATGAAATGATTCGTACCGGTTCGGCCGAGGACGCGGGTGACCTTGACGAGCTTGACGGGGGTCTTGGAGGAATCCATTTTGTGTGATTAGGTGATGTGGTGAGAGAGACAAGTTGCCGTAGTTGTGTGGAAGAAATTTGACGCAGGCGGGTGTTCCTTGGGGAAGATTGCAAAAAGTGGATGACCTCTATTTTGTGCAGTCTCACAGGGTTTTCCCACACTCGAATTGGCGTGCGCGCCCCGCCAGAGCCACGGTCACGTGCAACAACCGAGAGCCCCAAGTCTGCTAAAAATCGAATAGCGGTCGCGTATTAATATTTTGCCGAACAAGAGCCAGCCCAGGGAAATCCATTTACCCTTTTGAGCCCAGCCGCGCAAAAGCGGCGTTGAAATTGGCGGCTGCTTCCACGACTTACATCGCCGCTTAACTCTCATGGTTTCGTAGTGTCATGAGTGCACTGAGCGGGAATAGAATAATACAAAGAAAATTTAGGACTTTGAAATATAGATTAAGAAGTTCAAATAATAATTATAAGATTTTATTTCATCTAAAATACAAATGGTATTCTGCTCCCTGAGCCTGCAATATACGGCAGCGATGCACGCTACGCTGCGTTCTCTATATACTCTCAATCTTTGGGTATATCAATACTAATGCTTCTACGTAAAAACGATATTAGTTCACCTAGACACCATCGCATACCGGCCATGATGGAGTGGGAATGGATGTACAGCTGGTGTTGCTCTGCTCGCCCTGGTCCTTGCAGAGGACCTCCATTTGCAAAGCCCAACGTGTTGTGATGCGAATCTGGCGAGAGCGGAACATCTCGCGTGAGCACTTCTGGTCTGCTGCAAACCGAAGTTCTTGTGATGATAGCTCGTCTCGCTGTAGACTGCTGAGCTGCTCCAGCTCATTCTCCTGTTTCTCCACCAACTCTCGCATACGCTTGGTCTGTCTCTCTCTCATAACGTTGATCTTGGCTTGATGCTGACGTTCCATGCCTTCAAGCAATGCATATTGCTGCTCAAGCTCGTGCAGGTCTCGCTCTGTAACAACACGCGACGGCATGCCCCCACTGGCCTGATTGTCCTTGCTTTTGCAGTAGGCTTCCATGTGCTTCAAACGCAACTTCACACTCTTCTCGCTCTGCTCGAGAGTGTGCAACAGTTCAATCTCAGCTGCTACTTGTCGATCTTCCAACGATGCAATGGCTTGTGTGTGCTTTCCTTTTGTGTCTTCGGTTTGGCGGGCATGCTTTTTAATCATGGCTAGATTTTCTGTCGAGTGCCGTACACGCATACCAGACAAGGCTTGCTTCATAAAGTTGCAGAAGCGCTCCATTTCAACTGTTTGGTTGCGAGACAACGCCATTATCTCATCAGTCGTTCTTGAGCGCGTAGACTGTCTAAATTCACAATCGTCGGTTGCAGACACATCATGCTCCGCACTCTTTCGACGCTTGGCAATCTCAGCCTCGTCATTGCACAGATTTGGACAGCCTGTCGTTGAGTTCCACGATGCTCCACAGACGTGGCACATCTCTGCATCGCATTCACATACAATATGTGTTGCACCGTCAGCCAGACCAGCAAGCTGGCGGCAGCTATAGCACCGCTTCCACGCTGCTTTTTGGCCAATCTTCATGAGAGCGTCGAGCTCCCAGTCTGTCGGGCAATTCATTCCAATGGGATGTGCTTCCGATTTGCAGCCAATGCATACTTTAGTGTGGCATGCCGCGCAGATGAGAGCGAAAGGAGTCTTTTGGTCAACGTTGCGCTCTAGTGGAATAAACTTTCCGCAATCTTCGTTGGGGCAGAAGATTCTGGCAGTCTTCGGGGTCATATATTGCTTCACAAGCTGAAGAAAGCTGGCGGCTGTCTTGAGATCAAGAACGGGCTCAGCCATAGATGATGGGATGGCCTGACCACAACATCTTGGGGGCATGTTAGCCTCCGAGACCATTGATTGAGTGATCAGGAATCTTAAACAATCAGCACAGTAAGCGTGGTTGCAGCCAAGTCCGTATAGTTTGAGTGACTTGCTCACAGAGCTGCGGCAACCAAGGCAAGACCTATAGTACTGTTAATAAGTGTTATGAAGTAGTAACGGGGCTGTAGCAGAACGTACGTAGACGGGTCCATGCCGTGGATTGGCTTCTTCTGCCACCATTTGCGGCTTTTGGTGGTGTTTAAGCTTGAAAAACTTTTCTTGGTGCTGACACTGAAGACACTCTGCGCTGACGACTTTCCAAGAGTAGGTAGTGAGCCTTGGCGGAACTTTGTTCTTGAATCGGCTTCAAGAACGGCCAGATAAGCATCATAGACAGCGAAGGGGGATTCTTTGGCTTCCTTGCCACTGGTTGGGACAGGGCTGAGTGATCCGCAAACAGAAGAATTGGGCGTGAGGGCTCTGCTAGAGGTACCTGATGGTATTTCATGGAAACCGCTGCTCCATGCAGAAGACGCCGCAGAGCCAGGTGAGTGTTGTCTTTCCAAAGCGTACGCAGCAATTCCGAGTGAGTGTGCCTTAGTTATCAGATCCTCGTCGAGCTGGCTTTCCGTGACGCCACTTGGGAGGTGCAAGACCTCGTTGTGGTACTTGGAATCCTGAAGCTCGGGAGTGGTGTTGAAGGACATGTTAACCATGCCGCCTGCTGGCGACATTGAGAAGAGTGTGGAGTCCATGGCGCACTGAGTGTCTAATCAAGCAATATTTCGTCGCATGTCAGGCAGAAGAGAATGGCGGCGATCGCAGGCGGCCGGGGATAGGCATCTTCATATATCGGCGGCGTCATGGGCGGCAGGCCGATGTTTGTCGACCAAGTTGTGGGGGCCAGCATAACAGGGTTTGGAAGAAAAGCAAGACATGAGAATCGGTCACATTTCCTTTGCAGCAGATGCGCGCTCGTACGAACGGCAAAGGGCAAAAAGGTGGCGTCGAGGGTGTCTAAGAGATCCCATCAACCAGTGCGGAAGAAGCAAAACTAGGCGGGCCACTAAAAAGCAACTGTCTTTCATCCCCCAAAAGCTGTGTGTTGCCAGCGCCCCTCCCCGTCTGGTTTCGGTGGGTTTTGCTTCTGCCAGCGGGTGCTATCGCCTAAAAGCCCACTGTAAATGCACGACGATGCGCTATCAGCAGCACTGGTTACAGCGAGCGTCTCACTCAAAGGGAACCGGTTCGCCGAGCTACCACTTTGCTGGGCCCAAGGGGGTGTGGCTGTTTTTTGTGAATCTCCTTGTTGTGTGTGTTCGGAAGACCAAAATTCCGATAACAAAGCCTTTTGCCCGCGGAAGTAGGCTGCTGCCGTTTGCTGCGAGGTACGAGAGGTACGAGTTGTTTGGTATGAAAAAGAAAGGACGGTTTGGTAGGCAGGCTGACAAACGCTGCCCTGTCATCACCCTCCCACAGAAGTCACATGCTCTGATGGACTGCCTGGCCGCTGCTCTATTTTTATGACATCTTGGGAATTGACGCGGATTTGCGTTCCATCTTCATTGGAATTGGATAAAAACGGCGCATCTTCCATCTCAACTTCTGTAGAGCCCTTTCTACCGGACGGCACTGCCTCGGAGCGATACCTAGATCAGCAATTCCAACGGCTAAGCTCACCGTCTCAGAAGCTTATGAACGTATCCCTACTGCGAGTCTTAAAAGAGTGTTTGCGATCGACAATCACTAGGTCCTTGCATGGTCATGGTCCATACCTGCCGCACAAGCCGATTAAGCCACTCTTGGTTGTATAGCCTATCTGGACGACTTGGAATGTAACTTCTATTGTGCTGAAGCGGGTTCGCAACGGCCCGTCTTAGTCCAACGGTCAGTAGCTTCGAACAAAAAGCGCGCCATTAGCTGGCATGTTGATCGACAATTGTGCCGTATAACCCCAATTGGTGCCCGTTGGTGAATTTACGGTTAGAGAGGGGCCTAGCGGAATGGTAGCATTGGATACACAAATCTACCTAAAGGAGTTCAGATCGTGCCCCTTTGTAGTCTAATTACAATGACGCGCATATACTACCGCGCTCGCAATCACAACATCCGGCCGAGGCTTGACATATTCACAGGGTCGGCTGAAGATAGTTGAAATTGGAGGGCAAAGGTCTCACTGTCTCGGAAATGAGAGGGTCGGGCAGCATTTCTGTTGGCTATTACCGTTTACGCCAGACGGACATTGAAGCTGTCGGAACTCTTGAGATCCGGTCTCACTTGCCCACACGGGATGACCTGGGAGAGGGATCGGCGCGAGGCAAAGTCACCGCTGCAAGATCGCTGCGCGCTTATTTGCAGAGGTACAAATCAAGTAGCAAACATCTGATTATAGTTTATGCAGCCATAGTACTATAGGCGCATTTGTACCTGACATAGCATCATATCCAATTGATCTCTCTTTATACCCCGGCTGGAACCTCCACGAATAGTCTTCATTGGATTTATTCTGTTGTACCATGATCGACTTGTACGATCCGCACTAAGTTCACCACCATGATTGGTTGCAAGGGGACAGGGGTAGTAGAATTTCTTGTCCAGGAAAAGCAACTCTTGTGTTAGCGACCATCTCTTGACAAAAGACCACTGTTTGGATCCCGCAGCCACGTCCTCTACGTAAGGGATGGTAAATTTGTTGGGATAAAGGATTGTCGAATTATGGTAGTTTTCTATCACCAATCTGGAGCACTAAGCTAAATTTTTATCAATTCCCGAGGTTTTGCGCAACACAAATGCAAATATTGGACAGCCACCAAGAAATACGGTCAAGCCAGTGGTGGCAAAAGTTGCCGAAATATTGATTTTACAATGAATTGCCGCGATTGCAATAGTGCAACTGGGTGTAGTAAAAACAGGGAACATGGCGCAAATAAAAAAGCAATGGCGAGATTTTTCATGACAGCTCGTCATGGTGCGAATCGTGACGTGAAGGGCTGCTTGAGGACACGAATCGAGCCGTGGTCCAGGCCGTTGGAAGGCCTGCTTTTTCAGGCGTTTTAGTGGTATAGTACGCTGTCTCTTACCAATCTCCAGGCGTCTGCTTAGGATAATAGGAGCTCAGCCTGGTCGTGTCCCGTTACTTTCAATGTGGTGGGCGATGTTTGCTTTTTCCGTGCGGTGAGTTTTGCTTTTGTATCGCTGATGTCTCCGTACCGCCTATATACTGTTCAATGCAAAGAGTAGGCACATTCTGCTAAGTCGGCTAACTGAAATAGGATAGCATTGCTAACACTAAAATTCTGTACTATTTGGTTCTGTCCTTTGGTGCTGTTGTGAAGCAAGGCTGCGCGTCCTCTGGGATGTGTTCAGCCGAGACAGTCCAGTTAGACAGCACTGTAATGTCAGCTGATCTTGCTACATGTGAAGGATGTGGAAAAATATAATTGTGCTCGTGATTTGAATTTTAGCAAGTCAGCTAGCATTGATCGTAGGTGACAACACTCAGCCCGCGTTCAGCCCGCGTTCGAGTAAGCAGAGCCTGGTCGCAGTGGTGTGATTTTATTGCATATTACTCACCAATGTGCCTTTGATCGTGGTGGAAATTCCCCAAACATAACATAACACTATTTTATAACATCCATGCTTTCTTAATAATTTAGAACAGATTTAATAGACCACAGGCAGAAGGTGTGAAGAGGTGAACTTAGTACAGGGTATCGGAGGGACAACATCGTGGGGCAATGACACTGCTGGCGCTAACTAAGCAGGCTTAGCGCACTCCATTAGCGGCCTCAGCGCGGAGACTTGCCGCGCCGCTCGACGTGGGGAAGACGAACGCCAGCCTACTCGATTCCCTCAACATCTCAGCAACAACGATACTGCTGCAGCAATCTGAATCAGCTCCAGCATCTTGAACTAGCAAACAAACACTACGGAAACGCTACGGTCTATTGATTACATACAAGCCCCTACATAGCCCAGCAAGCCCTCGATTTATCCCGCCGTCATTTGCGCGCCAGCAACCATGGCTGATCTCATTGACCCGACCGTTGCTGGCAAATACCCCGTCATTCTTGGCGATGGCCTCCTAGGAAAGGATGCAAACGAAGTGTTTACCCGTATTAGATGTAAGGTCGCCCCCTGTATCGTCCATGGAAGGCCTGGCTAACACCAAGAGACAGACAATCATCAGCCAACGCTTTCCTCCGAAGACGCCCCAGAACAGGCAAAGCTGAAACCTTCGATCGCCGGCAAAACATCGTCATACGACCTCTCCTATACAGACCGTGGTAATAACTATGCTTTCCAAGGTGCGAGAAAAAGCGACGACGATCAATACGTTCTCTACTTCGACCCCGTGCGAAAAGCGTTCATTCTCGATAAGGTGGATTCCACGTTCGATATGAATGTAACTCGACTTCCTGACAATTCCAATGCCGAAGACCTCAGCCACCAATTCCCTCATCTTGACATATCCTCAAATACAAAATCAAACGCATCCAGGCCGAAGGCAGATAAGCCAAAAGCGGCAGTTGTCAATAAACCTGTAAAGAAGGCCAAGGAGGTGGCCGCCATGGCTTTCCCTTCAACCACAGAATCTAAACCAAAACCAAAACCAAAATCAAGGAACGACGAAGAAGAAGACGAAGACGATGATGACGGTGGCCTTCTCGTCGAATATCCAGGGGCCGACAACTCTAAGAAGACGGACTTCTCGCCAGCCTTCCCTACCCAGCTTCGATTCGATGATTACATGGATCGACGTGAATCAGAAGCTGATGATGCAGATGGAGAGAGTGACGATGAAATAGATATGGAATTCAAACTGCCAAGCCCAGTTAATAGACAGGAAATCCCTGTCGCTCAGGCGGCCGAGGCTCAAGAAGAAGAAGACAACGATGACGCCGACCTGGAAGCTGATTTGGAGAATGAATTAGAAAACGCATTTGAAGACCTGGCCAATAGCCAGGAAGATACACACGCCGGAGGAGGTGATGAAAGCGAGATTAGCGAAGAAGACTAGAGCTGTCTTCCCCTACTTGTAAAAATGGAGGCCTATATATACCCGCGTTTGACACGCTTACGAAACGTATTCTTGTTCTCTGCTCTCTACCTTAATGTATTCATGCCAAAAAGAATTTTATTATATATTTTACTGCTTAATGACCTTGTTTGTGAAAAGGAGATGCGACAGGACATATAATATTGATGGATGTAGTTCGGACTAGAGAGAGGTTATGCGCGCTGACCGGTAATCTCCTCGTCATCGTCTAATTCATATTTAGATCCAGGTAAATGGTCCGTGACTCCTTTAATCTCATCTCTGCACCAGATGTGATGGGTTGAGTATGTCAATAGGTGACCGTGAAGCTTGAGGGCATCTTCATCAAAGGATCCTACTGTCACAGCCATTCTGGGCGAGGAGTCCTCACACCATGCTAGCACGCTTCCGCAAATGCCACAAAAGGATCGGGTAATGCCCTTGGAAGCAGAATAGCGCTTGATTGATGCTTCAGATGCAGGTGAGTACGATATTGCGGACTTGGGAATGCGGTGCATGCGAGCGAAGAGGGCTCCTGTCTGTTTGCGACACATGACGCACTGGCAAGTAGATGTCTGTGACTTGCTTAGCGATTGTTTCGAACATCTAGCCTACAAGACACCAAATCTCTCCTCACGTCCCCTCTTGGGATTCATGTAATTACATACGGCTTTAGCAAAATCGTGGTCAGCTGGGAAAGTGATGGTATAACGAACAGCCTCACACAGGCAGCCTCCTGTAATAGACGAAGGTTTAATTTGTGTAGACATTCTGTATGCGACAATATGTGGTTTTGTGACGATGAAAGAGAGAGGAGTCCATTCACGATTACCGAATGATTTAATTCACGGTACAGCTATAATTGTCAAATACGCCTTACGCCCCCATGCTAGCTATGCGAGGTTGGCGCTTCAAGGCCGCCGTTAGCCACCACCACAGTGCAGACTGGGGCACTAGCGCCGCCAGCTCTACAGAACAGGGAACAGGCTCTGGGCTGGTCTGCAACTGGAGCGGGCCCAGTCAAAACGCTCAGCCCCAGCCAAGCCAAGCCGCTTCGCTAACTTGGAGACTCCTCTTCCTTGCCAGGCTTCTCGTCGTCACCATCGCAATCTGCAAATATTCTATCACGGCACTCGCAATCTGAACCTCGCCGTCATGGTTTCTACCATGCAATAACGGTTTTAGCTTGTTTCGCGCTGCATAGCACTCGTCACTTGCACAGCTCTCGCTGCCGCAGAGAGGCTCGATTCGACAAACTAGTTGGCGGCCTCCCAGCCATCTTCAACGGCCTCCAGCGGCCAAATCGCCCACGAGGGCAAATATTACAACGCGCGACCGAATTTAGATACCGTTGAGAATTAGCGACCGGTATAGCGATATCACGAAAAAAGTACCGGCGCAAAAATCAAAAGAACACGACCCACTGAGCCAATCTCTCGCCACCGGCCTACCCTTCGCATCAAACCACTTGCCGTCAACACGTCCCTTCGGTCGAGATGCAACCAAAGATTGGGAAGCGAAGCATGGATGGAGGTGCCATTGCGGGCACTGTTGTGGGGGTTGTCATCGCTGCTTGTTTGCTTGCATTCTGTCTCTACCCAGTGATCGTTGGCCGTATCAAGCGACGGAACCGACAAAGGCGTGGCGATGCGGAAGCCGCTATTGATCACACCTCCAATGGCCATGGCTCTGGAAAAGGGGATTCTCACCAGAGAACCTCTTCTAGCGAATCTTGCAAGGAAGAGGTTGACCTGGCAAGAGGGGGTTTCGACAGCAAGGCGGCGGATCCCATTGGACCAGCTGAACATCAGCTTTCGCGTGGCGATTCAGATTTGATTGCATCAAAATATGTTGCTCAATTTGGAGAGGAATACATGCCCCAAGATTTGAAAGACGATCAACCTGGTGTCTTAAAGGGAACCAGTGAAGACTACTATCGCGTCTCTATCCCATCGGAAGCCTTTGGCATGGTCACACAACCTGAGCAAGAGATGGAGGTTTCCAAGTCACCGACCCCGTCGAGAGCTAGTAGTTTTACTCATAATGTTCGCCACATGTTCAGACGGACGAACAGCCGCGACCATACAATTCCCGGAAGGATATCCCAGGATGAAGGCTTCGGAGCTGCCGGCCAACAGCGTTCAATCAAAAAGGAAGAACCATTGACCGAGTCGCCTATTGAGCACATATACCCTACTCCTCCGGCGGCTCCTATTGTGGCCTCGGAAGCTATTAATATCGAGTCTGGAGACGGTGACTTACCGTCATCACCACCTTTATCACCACGAGAAATTGAGGCACAGCAGAGGCTCTCTGTTTCACCACCCCAACATCCTGCTCCTGGCACTGTAAATCCAATGGATATTATGCCAGCAAGCACACAATCCGAACATTGGCATCGGACAGAACATCAACTATTTTCGACATCGCACGAATCTCCAAAAGCCGAACCAGATATGCAGGCTTTGTCCCCAGAACCCGCTGTCGTTGAGAAATCACTAAGCCCGATAGCAAATGACACATCGGACAACTTCGACGCCCTGTTCCAATATGACGATTCAGAGTTGAATGATATCATAATGGATGGAATGGTATCACATAACCAGTTGAACGCAGTGCCTACGATAGATCTCGGTCGGCTACCAAGTAACCCGTCTGAACAGTCTACACCGCTGCCTGGGCCTGCCTTCACTGACGCATCCTCTCAACCGACACCATCTACACAAACCGATACACCATCACCTGAATCTATCATTGGCTCTGATTTCAGATCCAGCCATTCTCCACAAATCCCACATCCCACAGCCCTTTCGGCGAAACCACATCATCAGTTTCGATGCGATGAACCTGGCTGTGATCAATCATTTGACCAGCCTCATAAACTCAAGTAAGTTTTATCAATTTTATCAATATGCCAGTGTTACAAGGAATGGGCTAACAATAACAGACATCATCAACGCTACCACAGTAAAGATCACAAATGCATATACCCTGGCTGTGGCAAGGGTTTCGGCACTAAAACACACCTTCAACGCCACATCAATGATCGACATGAAAAGAAGAAGAAGTTTCATTGTTCAGTGGATGGCTGCGATTACTCTCGAACTGGAGGAAAGGCCTTTCCCCGTAAGGATAACTGGAAGAGACACATGACAAAGATTCATCAATTAGATCAACAGCACCTACCAGAACCTGTCGAGATTGACGTGGAGATGACTGGAGTTTGATGGAGGGAAGCCACTCCCATTCTGGATTATCAAACCGAAAACAACCCACCACCTTTGTACATATTATCGCGACTATTCTCTCTTGTATCAGCCACAGAGGAATAGTCGACATTCACTGTCGTTATTAGCGCGTATTGCACCGATTAGGCTTGCAGAAAATGTTTGGGTACTGGGCACGGGGGGTCGCAACGTCATTGCAACAGCGGCCAAGGGCGTTTTATCAGCGCTTCTTATCATTTAGTTATTATTACATGCAGGATACCATATTTAAAGATCATCATAAATTGCTTGCCATGCCCGCAATAACACCTAATCATATTGCTTCGCCTGGCCCTTCGTAGTCTGTTCGCTTATACCATCCACGTATTTCAACTGAGCTCCTTGATTAATTTCCTGACCAGCTTCTTTTGGTCATCAACTTCGAGAAGTTTCTCATCCGTCTCTTTTATAGCGCGGCCAACAGCGAGCACCGTACCAGGCTTGTCGCTATCCACCCAAAATCTGCCGTTTCTTCCTGTTGCCGTCTCAAACTGTAGGCCAGCATTGGCAAGCTCGTCAAGCACGACGACCTTTCCAACCTGGGCAACCTTTGGCATCATCAAACGTCTCGACATGCCTAATGATATATTGAAAAGCATACCGCCGTTCAGTGGGCCGAGGCCGTCTGCCTTGCCTGTCGATGACGATACGCACTCAAGCTCCGCATCCATGTGTTTGTTGGCCATTGTAACGCGTGCGTACACCAGGGCACCTTGTGTAAGCACAGGCCGTGTCTTTTTCGTTGCGCCTTCAAATGAGAGCTGGGGGAGGAGGGCAGGAGCAGTGTAGTCGGAGAGGGCGACATAGTAGACTTCGGCGGCGCTTTTGTGAACGGTTCCGATGACGAGCTCGCCTACTCGGGGGAGATACTGTGTATTGTAATTAGCAAAATAGAGCTTCCGTCTAGTCTTTTGTAGCATTCATACTCTTCCACCCGCGTTTTCTACCCGCATCGCATTCTTTTGGTGTTCTGTTACTACTTCGCCAGCTACGGTAGGGATGATGCCGCTTGGAGGCACGTGACGGAGCCCAGGGCCGAGACGAAGCGGCTTTTTCGGATGTGTAGGTATTAATGACGGGTTTATCGAGTCCCCCGGCAGAACAAATGTTTCTGAAGCCATTATGTGTTGATGCTCTTGGTTAATAGTCAAATCCAGTTGCTCGCAAGTCCGCAGGCCGCCCGCAATTCTTGACGTCGCCCTATCGATATGGATCCAAGTGGGTCCCCGCTCTGTGGCCAGCAAAAAAACATGCGGCGAAGGGGATCTTGGAAATTTTTTGGGCGAGAAAAAACCCCACCACCGCTTCTGCCTCTCTGGCTTCCTTTCCCTCCTCGCCTACTCCAGAAGCTTTGGACAATCCGACTTCTTCACCACCCGTTTCGAACACGAATTGATTGCTAGCAACAGACACATTGCAGCATTTTCCTCCCTTCGCTCGAATTCTTCATCCTTTTTCCAATTCCAACACATATCCGCCCCAATGGCCGAATCAAAAGCCCGCACTGGCGTTGAGCCTAGCGACCGAGTCGTCATTGGTATCACCTTTGGCAACTCCAACAGTTCCATTGCCTACACTGTCGATGACAAGGCCGAAGTCATTGCCAACGAAGACGGCGGTACGTGTTACTTTGGCCCCAAGCTGGGCGCAGCGCCACCCTCGGCTTCTCAGGAACGAATGCTAACTTCGAGATGCAGACCGACAAATCCCCACGGTTCTCTCTTACGTCGATGGCGATGAGTACTACGGTGTTCAGGCCAAGAGCTTCCTCGTCCGCAACCCTACCAACACCATCGCTTATTTCCGCGACTTTCTCGGCAAGGAGTATGCATGGTCCTATCACGAACCGTAACACAGAATGCACGGCGCTAACTTTGCTTCCAGGTTCAAGTCTATCGACCCCACTCACTGCCACGCCTCTGCTCACCCCAAGGATGTCTCTGGCAACATCTCCTTCTCCGTCAAGGACCAGCCTGAGAGCGAGGAGGCCTCTGACGTCAACATCAGCGAGACTGCTGCCCGCTATTTCCGCCGTCTCGTAGGCTCTGCTTCCGACTACCTTGGCAAGAAGGTTACTTCCGCTGTCATCACTGTTCCCACCAACTTCAACGATAAGCAGCGTGAGGCTTTGATCAAGGCTGCCAACGATGCCGATGTTGAGGTTCTCCAGCTCATCGCTGACCCCGTTGCTGCTGTCTTGGCTTACGATGCCAGACCTGATGCTGAGATCAAGGATAAGATTGTCGTTGTTGCCGACCTTGGTGGCACCCGCTCCGATGTTGCTGTCATTGCTTCCCGCGGTGGCATGTACACCATCCTCGCCACTGTTCACGACTACGAATTCGCTGGTGTCAACCTTGACCAGGCCCTTATGGACCACTTTGCCAAGGAGTTCATCAAGAAGCACAACAAGGACCCCCGCGAGAACGTTAAGAGCTTGGCTAAGCTCCGCCTCGAGGCGGAGGCCACCAAGAAGGCCCTCAGCTTGGGTACCAACGCTCAGTTCAGTGTAGAGAGCTTGCTCGACGGCTTTGACTTCTCTTCCACCATTAACCGCCTCCGCTACGAGATGGTTGCCCGCAAGGTCTTCGAGGGCTTCAACCGCCTCGTCGAGGGCGCCGTTAAGAAGGCTGAGCTCGATGTCCTTGACGTCGATGAGGTTATCATGTGCGGTGGTACCTCCCACACCCCCCGCATTGCCAACAACCTCGCTGGCATCTTCCCTGAGACCACCACCATTCTCGCTCCCGCCACCAGCGCTACCGCCATCAACCCCTCTGAGCTCCAGGCCCGCGGTGCCGCTCTCCAGGCTTCTCTTATCCAGGAATACGATGCCAACGACATTGAACAGTCTACCCACGCCGCTGTCACCACCGTTAAGCACATTGCCAACGCCATTGGTGTCCTGACCATCGGTGCCAACGGCGAGGAGGTCTTCAGCCCCGTCATGCAGGTCGAGACCGCTGTCCCTGCCCGCCGCACCGTTCACATCGCTGCCCCCAAGGCCGGTGGTGATGTCATCATCAAGGTTGTTGAGGGTGGTACTCACATCAAGGTCACCAAGCCTGAGCCCAAGGCTAAGGAGGAGAAGCCCGCCGATGAGGACGACAGCGACTTCGACAGCGACGAGGATGAGGAGGAGGAGCACCGTGAGAAGATCTGGAAGACCGGCAAGCAGCTGGCTGAGGCTGCCATCAAGGATGTCAAGGCCAACGGCAAGGTCGAGGTCACCGTTAACGTTCTTGGTGACCTCAGCGTCACTGTCACCGCCCGTGAGGTTGGTGGTAAGGGCGGCATCCGCGGCACCCTGACTGCCCCTTAAATGGTTTAATTGACTAGGGAGCCATCTTTTGTGTTTTTGGAAAAGTTTACAACGGTTGCCAAAAGGGGAGACAGTGTCATGACGGAAGACTTAACACGAATATAAGCTGGAGTTTATGTCATGTTCCTTACGACCAACGGGGTTATAGAATATGTTTTTGTTTTCTTTTGTCTTATAGTTTCACATAGCGAACGAAAAGGGCTTCGCCGGTTAGATCTAGACGGTGAACAGGCCATAGTTTCACACATACTCTTTTCTTTTCAACCAGCACCAGACGTGACATAGCTGATATAGCGCTCATGTATTATATTAAGTACAATAGTAAAAGGAAACGTGCTGTTGCTCCAAACCTGTCTCTGGGACGTTTTTCTCTACCAAGCGCTCGGGGATAATAAATCAACACGCCCTCCAAACTCCTTATACCGTATATCCGTTTGCCTAAACGTAACCTTGTGTGAAAAAGAATATAAACAACACACCAAACAAGCCCAACACCTTGCAAGAATATAAAAAAGAAAAGCACGGGGAATAAGACTTGCAGCAGACACACCAAAACAAACGCCACGCAGCGCCTTCGAAAAAGGTAATAGCAAAGTCAGCTCAGGTTACCAAACCTTGACCTGGAAGTTTCCATGCTACAAGGTCATCTCTGATTTCCATCTCGTCTAGTTCACGAGGGTGTTTGTAGCCAGATTCTGTCCTGCCACCGCGCTCATTTCCGCTGCTGCTTCCAAGAGTAGGAGCAAGACTGGCTATGCTGCCGCTGCGACTGCTTCGGCCAGCCAAGTCATCATCTCGCGAGTCACCACGTGCATGTCGCGACCCATTCTTACGGGGGCTGCTGGTATTGTGGTGGCGATGGCGGCGCCCAGTGACTGTGCTCACACTCTTGTCGCTTGATGCGCTGTTTGTGCGCTGATGTGAGCGAATGCCTATGCGACGTATATCGCTGGGGCGGAGGGTGCCGTTGTTGTAGCCACCGTCGATAGCGTCATCGTCTTCGGTGTCTGCGGTGGAAGACGAGTGGTCTCGCTTTGTCTTCCAGCCGTTTCCTCCCGAGAAAATGTCCTCAATGCACTCATCTGCAGGGAGTTCTGCAGGCTGGCGGGACCATGACGCGGCCAGGGTTCGGCGGTACAAATCTTGCACTTCGGCGGTCTCCCGGTTCTTGCTCATGACTGGTAGGGCTGTATTGCAGGTATGTTAGCATTGTAATGAATTGCCAGCATAGGCTGAGAGACTTACGGCCTGTATCATCCTCCAGTTGTTCTGGTGCCATGAACCCAGCAATACCACCAAACACAGGAGCAGTTTTAAGAGCTGGCGCTATATAGCTGCGCTCGCCATCAACTTGCACCATAAGAATGCCAATCTTGAGTGTGCTGTTGACTTTGCTATCCTGCATGAGGTAGCGGCGTACAATACCATCCTCGGGGTCGCGAGTATCAGTGCTGGAGCGAGGCGCAGAGCTAACGGGACTGATTCCACTTGAGCTGCCGTGGCGGACTCTGGTGGGCGAGGAGAATGAATCTCGGGCGAAGGATTCGCTCTCTTCGACATACTCACTCAGATTCAGTCGAACGAAACCTAGCGTCATCTTTTCGGCGCCGGGGAATTCTTGAACGATCTCCAATTCGATGGGGCATTCAGACAACACATTGGATTTGTCCAAGGAAATTCGGACAGACTGAATGACTTTGGTGTAGGCATATTCAACGCGATGGTTCGCAACGGAGCACTTGCTAGTGCGGCCGCGATGCTCGGCATGCATTGAATGAGAGAGATGCCATTTGATGTACGAGTTCCCGGAAACGAGCGGAACATTGTTGAGATCATAGATCTTTCGTAGGTTAGCAATGCATATATGCGTATGACCCAAGTGACTTACCTTTAGATGAAGTTCAAATTTGGGCTAGATGGGCGATAGATACCTTGGTTAGCAATGGACAGAGAGGAAGCGGGAGTATATGCTTTTGTCATTTACCTTGCGATGGCCCTTTCCCACTGAGAGAATATTCATGTTAGCAGATGCACAAAGACAATTGAACAGAATGCGGCGCAATCCGGATGGCCCGGGAGATATATAGCGAGTACCGGATGGCACAGGCTGGTGGGGGAGCTTGGGCTAATGCGAGGCAGCGCTGTGGCGGAAAGGGGAAGGGAAGAATGGCTTGCGCGTTATCGGAGGGAGGGGTTCGGAGGCCTTGAAAGGAAATATATCATGGAACTTACTAAACGACGCCATTTATTTATGTGCGCATCGAGGTAATCAATCTGTGGGTGGCTCCAGGAGTTTGCTGTGTAGAGAGGCCCTTGAACGCGCGGTTGATTAAGGAAAAGCCAGGCCACGCTGACACGTGGAAGGGGCTCAAGGTGATACAGTACGAGTGTGCTGTAGCAGATGGTGAAAGTCGCGAGTAGCACAGGCCGAGTCGAAACGCCGTGCGACAGCCGAGGAAGATTTGCAGGAAGCTAAAGATAGACAAATAATGTAGCGACTGATAATGCGGGTGTGAGAAGAAATGTCCGAGGAGCGCATGCGATACCTGACTGACTAGTTGTGCGAACCAAACTTTGGGGCGTTGGCAGCACTTAGGGGGCTATAGCGAGGCTGAGGGGCCCCAAAGTACGCTAAAGTATGACGATGGACCTTGCGCCGGCTCTGGCGTTTAGTGGAGTTTGGAGGAGCTTTTCCCAGGCTGGGGCAGTGACTGGGGCGCCTATAGCGGCATGTGAAAGCGAGAGAGAGGCTTGTGATACCAGGTTGAGTGAATTGCTCAAAGAGAAAGACTGCAAATGGAGAAAAGTGAAGGGGAGAAGAAATGCCCACCGCCTTTGCCATTTCACAAAAAAGACGGCGCTGGATAAAACGCATTGCGAGAATACGACGTGTGTCCAGCCGCTCGGGCGCTGGTGCCGGTGGTGGCATCAAAGTTTAGTCTGTGGGTTGGCCGCCTTACTCAGGTAACTCTCCGGTACTGACGCCATAGACAAGATGCTTGCGGGAGACCTGGCCAGTACAGCGGAGCATTGTTGTCGTAGTGGCACGCTGGCAGCGCCGCTGCAGCGCTAATGTGGCCTGTCCACACTACCACAGGGCTGGCCAGCATGAACATCGAGCTTATCGATAAAGCTGGAAATTTAGCACCGCGTTCCTTCCTCCACCTAAAACCACCACCAAAATAGTTGATAGGGACGACGTCGAACCAAGCATAGTCTCTAAATTTATCAAAAATTGGAGCAAATGCTTGATTCCTACAGTAGCTAACAATGGCCAGCAAACAGGCATCATCGGGAGCCGCTCGCCCAGGAGGAGCGCGTGGTGGTGGTGATGCTTTCCACCAACAGCGTGCTAAAATACATGCGGCGCGTCATATCCCGGCTCAACCTGCAGAGTCGGTCTTAAAAGATGGCGAATTGGATTTGCAGGCATTTGTTGCCGCCCATGAATTCCAGATCAAGTCTCTCGAACAGAGTATGGCCACCTCCAAGGCTGCGAGTAGCACTCGTGCCTTTCAACATGTCCCTCGAGGCTTACGCCGACGAACTGCCAGCCACAACCCGAAAAGAGTTCCCAGAAGACTTCGAGAGAGGGCCAAGAAGGAAATGGCTCAAGATAATACACCATTGGTTGAGCCTCGGCGACGAAAGCCAAAAACGACACGATCCCGATTGCGAGCCGAAACTGCCAAACGGCTGGGCAAGCTAGCCGCCTTACAGAAGAAGCGGAAGAAAGAAAAGGCTGATGCGAATGAAGAAAAGGGAATTCCTGTAACAAAGCCAAAAACAAAGATTCGACGAAATGAAGTAAACGCTCCGCCCCAGCCTCCAGCCAAGTTCCGACGACGCCAGCTAAACAAGACATGGCTACCAACGCACCTTTGGCATGCTAAACGTGCGCGAATGACATTGCCAAAACACCCTCTGTGGCGGTTCGCAATACCAATGACGCCAAGCGAAAAGATTTACAGACCGACCCATCGTGCCCAAGGTGACAGAGGAACTGTCATATGGGATACAAGCTACATGAGTACTATTGGCCTGTATGGTGTTTCGGCGGGAATGGAGCGAGTTCTCAAGGCCCTTGGAATCACCGATGATGCCTGTTGGAACGACCGAGGTGTCGGTTGGAGATCGGGATGCAGGGCTTGGGTAGGTTCACTAAGCCGCAGTGTGCACGGCACGAGGCGTGCTATTGGCCCTGCTCAAGTGATCTGGAATCCTCAGTCGGAAGAAGATACCGCGCAAGGTACAAAGGCACAACGCCAGGCGTATATCCGCGTCCACCCTGCGTCTTTCCTGGAAACCTTCAATGCGCTCTTACACCTCATTAAGATGGAAAATCCAAGGCTCTACATTGAAGACTTGCGTTTTGAGATTGGAAGTATTGAGCTGACTGGCCCTGCCTCTACCGAAGTTCTCTTGTCTGTTTTAACGCCTTATAAAACACAGGACAAATCGCACAAAGGAAACGCTACGTTATTCAAATCGCTTAAGGGTCTAACTAACCCTGCCGCGTTACCAGACCGATCATTGCTTTCATTTTCGGTCCAAGACCCCCGATTGCGCTATCCTCCGAGGAAAATGGAAGTAGAAAGTAGCAACGACGGCGGATTCGAATTAATGAAGCTCGTGGCGGAGTGGCCAGCAAAGGACCACCTTCGACCCGCTGCTTTATTTGACAGGAAGGCTAGGCATCGAGCCACTTGCTTGCCATCGCAGCAGTCAATAAACCGCCGAAGAAGCAAAGCTGCTCCGGGTGAATATGCCAAGGCAATGTTGATTGATCCTCCCATCCCTGTGATGCTGCTTGCTACTCGTTCTGGGTCAAATCTGCAAACTCAGGGAACTTGGACACTTATGCTTCCATGGAAGTGCGTATTGCCAGTCTGGTACAGCATTGTGCACTGCCCTCTATTGTCCGGTGGGAACCCAAGGTTTGCTGGTCTGAACGAATCGATGCAGGTAGCGTTTGAGCGATCGCTGCCGTGGTTCCCTGCCGACTATATTACGACTGACGCCGGTGCCACGTGGGAACTGGACCAGCGGGCTGAACGCCGAAAGGCCTGGGAGAAGAAACCAAAGAGTAAACGCACGGAATGGAGCTCACTCCCTCTAGGCTCAGGTAGAAAGGGTGAGGTTGGTGACGGGCTTGCCTGTGACTTTGAAACACTTTTTGGCCTCGGCGACTCAGTTGTGGGTGACAAGGAACAAACCAGCGATGCGAATGATATGGATTGGACGCCGACAAACAACAAAGTATCCAAGGCTAACGTCCGCCCCCTCGATCTTTTAAATAACGTCTCCACGAAAACCTTCAGAGAACTCGTAGCGACACCAACAGCAACCATTCCGGTGCCAAACGCGCTGCTTACGATTCGAATCTCTATTATTGCCCGTGGTGTAGGCACATCATGCGCTAGAATATATCGTCTACCTAGAGCTCGCGAGCCCATCTCAGTGTCGAATAACACAGAAGTCCCTGCAACGATTCCGGATGCTGAACAGACATGCCTACCCCATGACTTGCGTCAGCAATGGCTCAACTGCGCTCCCGCAAACTTCTCTACTCAGAAAAGAACCCGGTCTGAAAAGCAGGCCTTCGACATTAAATGCCGAAAACAACGCTTAGCACAAGAGCTTACGGCTCCGCCTGCCCAATACCCTCCATTGCCATCCAATATGAACAAAATCGATGATCATCATCCACTGGTCCCTGATGCAGAAGATTTGATTGGGTTCATAACCTCCGGATCGTTCAATCTGGCTGCTGGCAGAGGCACTGGCCTGGGTGCTATTTCAGCCGCTAAAGTGTTGGCTGATGTACGCGATAACTCTGATGAGGGGCGATTGTGCATTGTGAGAAATGCAGGGGAGAACGTTGGATGGCTAGCTAAGTGGGAAATGATTTAAGTCTTCAACTAGGACTTTGTATTTATTATTAACACTGTGACGAATAACGAACCGTATATAGCTTCCTAAAAGTATTTTACAATCCCCAATGCACCTACAGTATATCCTATACCTTTGCACTTCAACCCAATTCTGCGATCAAGTAAGATCAATCATGGCGACCTGGTTTCCTCGTTGCATTTCTAAATCCACATACTCGTTGCCACTTCCATCGACAGTTGTTCTGTAGAAACTGTCATCATCAACGATCAGAACATCGGGTTCCAAATCAACAACTTCAACATGAACGGCATGATCAGATATACCATCTGAGTCCAACAAAGATTTCATCAGGTGGCGATACAATACTTCCACTGTATTCGGCGCAAAGGCGTTTCCAATCTGTTTGATGATTTGCGTCTTTGTGCCCAGGAATCGGTGACAGTTGGGAAATCCTTGCAAGCATGCATACTCCCTCATAGTATAGTTGCGTTGACCACTAGGATGATAGCTAGCGCTGCCTCCGGTTGTGATGGTATCAGCAAGTCTATCTGCGTCGAATGGCCTGCGTGGAGGGTGATGCCACTTGACAGTGGTAAGATTATGTAACGGGTCACGCTGTTTGACCATAGATAATGCTTCTCCAATGGTATTGTAATGCTTGAGACCAGGGCCATGTGTTGAGGGTGGAAATATTGGAAGGATTTCTCCAGGTGCCGCCGCTATCATGATTAATCGCTTGCGATCTTGCGCCAATCCCCAATCTTTGAGTTTCACAACCTTCCATCGGACAGAGTAGCCAAACTGTGTAAACATACCGACGAGAGCATGATAGTACTCTGAATGCTTGTCCCATGTGATTCCGAAGGTCTGTTCCACAGTTGCAAGACGGGGTCGGACGATGTCGATCAGTGTGCTGCATCCAAATAAGGCAAATATGTTTTCGTCATCGTGCGCTGCGTCTCGTGTGTGAGCTGGCGAGAAGAACTGGCAAGGTGGTGATAAGTGCAACACGTCAGCGACCAGTTTTCTGGAGCCTAGACCTTTTACAAATTCGTCGATGGACGTTTCGAAGAGACGGGTGCTTGGAAAGTTGGCCCGGTACGTTTGCTATACGTCCGTTGCCTTGTCCACAGCGTATCTCACCTTGAACCCGGCATTCTGTGCGCCTCTGGAAACTCCTCCAGCTCCAGCAAAGGCATCAAAGAATGTATATTGTCGTCGGTGATTTCCTGGCCCCGCCTTAATGTTGGATGATTGGAATCGTTCTGTTATAGAGGATCCACGCCAGTTATTCTTAAGCGTGGCCGAGTCAACCCAGTTACCATGTGGTAGGTCGTCATTTGAAGAGAGTCGTTTGAAAGCTTCTTCTGTTGGTTTCGTTGTATTGGCTGTTGAATTATAGTAGCACTCTAGTTTCCAGCGGCAGGTCAACTGACCGTCCCCGGTTCGAGAAACGTTAGGGGGCGTAGTATACGATCTGTTTGTAAAGGTGATATTCCGTTTTTGTATAACATCCTCTGGACGCACACTTAAGGGTGTATAATCACCCCAAGACCCGGTACCTCGCCTCTCAAAACGGTGCACTAAGCATAGCTCATAAAAGTCTTGCACAAGTCTTCCCAGCGCCTTTGGGCAACGAATCAAGGGCATGCCGTAGATGGTTGTCTCCCCCGTCGATTCAACGATGAAGGAGGTGACGAGAAGAAAGTCAATTTCCAAAGATCCTATAGTTTGCCGACGTATTTTAATCAAGTCGTCGATTTGTATCGGGCCTGTCCTGCACACGACCTGACTCAGAAATGGCTCTATTGGTGGGACATTGGACTCTGACAAGTCGGCTGTCAAATCCAAAAATGGAGGGCTGTAGGATGTATCCTCGTCAGAGTCAGAAATCTCGATATCAAGAGTACATGATGACGCAGAGCTCCATTCACGCTCTCGCCTAGTGTCGTGAGCAGCGGTGTCTGGTGGGAGATGCGGACGTCTGGTGGTGATCTCAGAGGTAAGATCAACAATCAAGGCCGGAGCCATGGCTAAAACCATTGGTGCTAATAAAGAAGGAATTTGGTATGTAGGACTTGTAACATTAGCTTTTTTAAGTGAAATGGTAGAATGGCGGGGGTTGGGTTTGTGTATACGACACAGTACAGTGACTCGGAAGTGAACAGTGACTGGTTGCATGATGGCCCTGATGGAAACGTGCTGCATTCTAGGAAATTGGAGAATTGTAAAAGCCGAAGACAATTTGCTCATTTCTGTTTCTATTCCCCTAAATTATACATTTTCATGGCAATTTATCTAGTATTGAAGAAACAGTCGGATATTCAACTCACGGATGTCTCTCCGGAGAATCGCGCCGGACCCGGGGTGGGGAACATCTAAACCTACCGGGATGGCGTTGAAAAGGTTGTAACACGTAAAGTGGACGATTGACTAAGGCAGACAAGAATACATTTGGATATTCTGTGGTTGTTGTAATAACGTAGTATTTTCTTTGCCTCCGTTGCTGGGAGATATTTTGCCAGCTGCCAGCTCTACTCACTGTGCAGCTGGCACCTATCAGCTTTGCCCTGCCAATGCACTCGCCCGTCGCCCCACGCGTGCCTGAACTCGTCCCTTTGCGCAAAGCAATTAAACAGCACGCGAGGCGCCCGCGTGCAAGCTCCACCAATTTCTTCCTCTGCATCCACGCACTGCTGTTTGCTGCTCTACAGACATCGCCTGTCCCGTCATTTCGCATCAGAAGACGTTTCAGGAGTGGCAGTGAATGGAACTGTGCTGGAACCAACTGTTCGCTGCGTTTAATAAACCCCGAGAGTGCCCATTAGCCAAGCAGCTTTCGTAGCACGAGCGTCATCCTGGCGGAGAAGCATTCGGTAGCACCGAGCTTGCCACTTCCGTAAATCTCGACTGTTGATCTCGGCCAAGTTCCTATCGACAGCCTTTTGCGATTGTCGACTTAACATTAAACCGCTACCGAAAAAGCAACCACCTTGACCATCGTGCTGCGACGAGCCATCACTTCTCCATCTGCATCAACTTCAACGCCGAGGATCATGCCCCTCACAGAAATCTCGTTACAATATGTCGTCTCCAGATGAGGTGCTCAAGGAATGGTACCAGGCTTTGAAAGAAGTTCCGAAAGATGCCCACTTGCTTTGCCCCCAGCTAGGACCGAACGATGACGAAAATTACAAAACTGTGTTACCAACATCAGCCATCAGCGACGAAGAACGAAAAAAGCGTATCAAGGATGCAGATCGCAGAATACAGATTACATATTGGAATAGTGTCATCTTTGCCTTTGACCAGGAAGATGTTGGTACATGGGCGGCCGAGTTTGCAGACAGACTAACCGCCTGTTTGCGAGAGTGCAGTAACTGCATATACAATTGGCATATGAAACGCCGCCATTATATCAAAGAATACGAAGAGTATGCTTTCTCTACCTACCATAATTCGATTGAACGAATGTTCATCAGGCTAACTTCAATAGACGATGGGATACAGAAACGGCGGATAACTTGGCCAGTGTCCTCACTCGCAAAGACATTTCCCGTATCAACCAGAGCCTTAGTTGGGCAAAGGAATTCATCCAAAAGATTGAACAATCTGGTACGAAGTTCAAAAGATCACTTTTTGGAGATCATCAGAGTATCGTCCTCACGACCGTCTATGAGGCCCTTTGCTGTCCCGACTATATCGCACAACCCGAAACCCGCACCCTCTTCCAATACGTATTTTCTCGTCTGCAAGGCAAGAATCACCTACGTCTTGGAGCAACGGACCCCATTCCTGCGCTGAGCTATTTCGTATTCGACTTTCAGAATGACGATCGACGAGCGTGGGCATATGCCAATTGGGAATATGTCCCAGATTCATCCATGACAATAGAACAATTTGACTGGGCCATGAACACCTGTCTCGTGTCAACGATGGATTACATACACCGCAAAACCCTCAGAGCTGCGTCTCCCGAGGACCTTCTTCAGATCGAACAGTTTTGGACTGGATTTGAACGAATCCTGAAAGCTGCTACGGGAAACTTGATCATGGAGCGCTTACGCAATTTGGAGCGGAAGCCGGGCTGTCCGACTATTTATGACCTCCTTTATAGTCATATATCGTCGTGCAATTCAGAGGGGGTCCTGGTCATTGCCATTCGTGTTATCACTGGCTTGATACAAAAATGTCCGACAGCATTCTGGGGCACACTGGCAGATGCCAAACCAAATGTAGTCGCAGACCTGATTTTTGCATCGCCGGCCTTCCCCATGCTGCTTCAGCAATCTGTCACAGGTCTTTGGACGCCATGGGATGCTAGCTATGCTGGCCCTTTTGCTATGTCTTGGATAGGGCCGTGGATGGAATCGATCCCTCGCGATCGCAAATGCGATGCCTGTGAAGTACTCCTTCAATCTCTCCTTATGTCTCTGCCCAAGGTTGATATTGGAGAAGCGGGATTGTCGGCGTGCATAAGAGCAGGCTTTGACGCTCTAGCGCAGGCTGTTAGTGCCTTCGACGGCCAGGATTCAGCCCTCGCCAATGGCACCACCCACCTCTATGCAGACATGACCTTCAACCTTGTCGTGAAGTTTATCGGCGTTCTCAAGACGAGTCTCCAAGATATTGAGAAGAAGCAAACCGAAGTGGGATGGGCTACGTTCAAGGTTTCAGAGGCCGCCATGCACGTGGCTTGTATAACCATGGACTTGGATACAAGGCTCTGGTTTGCACAGCATCGAGCAATTCTTCGACAGGATAGACTACAGGATACCATAACACGGAAATCCGATGAGTTCTGGATGGCTGTGCGTGATATTTTTGAAATAACACAACACCGAGTTGAATTTGCAAAGGCTGTTCTCCGCACTCTTGGCTGTCTGACTTCCATTGAACAATTCAGAAAGAAAAAGACAGACACAAAACTTGATCTACAGCAACTTAAGTTCAACGAAGGGCTGGGGAAGACTGAGGAAGTTCTGACTACTATTATTGGTATAATTGCTGATTTTGATGTCACGGACTTGAACACCCTTTTGGCCGACAAGATTCCCATCTATGCGACAATTGGACTCTCACTTCGTGGCGATTCAGACTTAGCAGAAGCATGTGCCGGAGTTTTGAAGGCGTGGACGGAAAAGCTTAGTCGAAGTGCTGCACTAGAGGAGATGGCCTTACTTCATACCGATCAGATACTCGCTAGTATTATTTGGGCTCAGGATCAACTTTTCAGAGGGGCTATGCCCTGGAGTATGATAAAGCCACTTGTTGTCACGGTTAAGGCGGTTCTACGGAGTCTCGTGGACCCTAGTGATGGTGTTCTTCGCAAGGATACTATCGATTCCAAGTCTGTTGCCATTTTAATATCTTGGTGGAAGCAGCAGTGGACTTTCGTGTCCGAGTGTTGTCGTCAGATTGAGAACTGGTCATACTATATTGAGCGAAAAATAATGACAGACTTCTGTCGCGAAATCATGGAATTGGCTGAGTCTCTCATTATGGAAGATGGCCTGTTCACATCCGCAGTTGCTAGGGCTCGCAACAAGAGCGAGGGGGATGCAATGAAGGACATCCTTGCTCCAGCGAAGAATCATTTTGGTGGTATGGAGATGATGATTCGCCTAAAGGACGAATGGCTAGTCGCTGTTACCACTCGTGTACTCTGCAAGATTTTGACCCGTCTCCGTGAAAACGACTTGGAGATCAATTCAACATCTCGCCAACACATTATCGATGCTTGTGTTCCTATCCCCGGAACATCAAAATACAAGAGAGCCACCAATCTCAGAGATGGACAGAGGGCTGATTTCCTCCAGGCTCTTGGCAACATTGAGGATGAAGTGCAGTTTGTTTCCTCAGCTTCTGTGGCGTCCCAACCAGAGAAGGTAAAGAAGCAAACCAACCTGAAAGACTGGTCCAAGAGCGGTGCTTCTTCAAGTGGCGCGTCATCCTCAACTTCCAACAGAGATGATGTCTTGAACCTTAGTAGATCAATTGAGAATCCAGTCTTGAAACGTATGGCAGCTGAGCGTCAAGCGAAAGCAGCAGCGGCAAAGTCCAAGACCAAGGTTCCAGATCTCAAGGCTATCTCAGCGCTGAAAGAGAGTCGACAAAGGGAGAAGGCTCTCAAAGCACAACGAGATGCTGAAGCAATTGCGAAGGCCAAGCAACTACGCGGAGAGTCCGATGGTTCACTTGGCCTTGCGAATAAAGACCGGAGCGAAATCATGGTTCATAGTTCCGATGAAGAGTCTGACAACGAGAGTGAAGATGAGGAAGCAATCGGTCAACTGGCAGCAATCAGCAGTGGTGGGCAAAAGTCTCTTGATGCTGCAGAAAGGAAGCAGATGCAGGCATTACGAGACCAGACCCGGCGACCAGTAAAGAAGATCCGACAACAACGATCCGTAAAGGAGATGAAAGCTCGGCTCCTACCGCCTATGGATCGTCTACACAATACTGTTTTAGCATGGGATATATTTCACGAAGGCAATGAGCCTCCGTCTGGTCCTCAAGCGTCTTCTGTGGCAACGACATACTCAAATCCAAGAAGCTACCAGGATACCTTTTTCCCTTTGCTTGCGTCGGAAGCATGGCGGTCTTTTGTTACTGCAAAAGATGAACTTACTGCCAAGCCCTTTGGTATGAATGTTGCAAGTAGAGCGAATGTCGATAATTTTATCGAAATTACATTTACTCTGCCAGTTGATGAGCAGCGAGACCGTGGAGTGTTTGAGGGTGACATTCTCCTAGTCTCTGAAAGTGATGACCCCCTCGCAAATCAAGGCGATAGGCATTGCTTGGCTCGCGTTCATCGCACAACGTTCAAGAAAGAGCGTGTCGAAATCATCTTTCGAGTTGCATCTAGAGGTAATGCGCTTGTCCCATGTCTGACACCTGGTGGTGGTGTTCATGGTATCAAAATTACCAACATGACCACTATCGAGCGAGAATATGCGGCACTGGAAAGTTTGCAGTACTATGACTTGATGGATGAAGTATTGAAGGCAGAGCCGTCGCCAATTTTACGTTATGGCGATGAAAAAGTCAACAACTACATGGCAAACTGGGCACTCAATAGAGGTCAAGCCATGGCAGTCCTTGGTGCCCAAGAGAATGATGGTTTTACGCTAATCCAAGGGTAAGTACAGTCATGGAGTTTTGCAGATATTCGTTGCTAATTATAGCTTACAGCCCTCCGGGAACTGGCAAAACAAAGACCATTATAGCAATGGTCGGTGCGTTGCTCTCAGAGCAGCTTGCACAGTCACAAATGAATGCAGTACCCCTACGCCCCAGTGGTCCTATAACTGGCCCTCCTGGTGCACCCCGTGGCAAGAAGCTTCTTGTTTGTGCACCAAGTAACGCCGCTGTCGATGAACTCGTACTGCGTCTAAAAAATGGCATCGTTACATCCAGTGGCAAAACGCGCAAAATCAACGTTTTGCGCTTAGGCCGAAGTGATGCCATCAGCGCAGCTGTCAAAGATGTCACTTTGGAAGAGCTTGTTCGCATCCGTCTAGAAGGTGATACTACAAGGGATAAGGCCAAGGCAGATCGAGACAAGATGCATGAGACTGCGGGCAAGCTGAAAGAAGAGCTTTCGCATTTGATACCACGTATCGAGGATGCCCGCCTGCGCAACGACACTGAGCTTCTCAATCGCCTATCCCGAGAACGTGACGGGCTAAAGAAACAGCAAATGGAGATTGGTCGGCGCATTGATGCCGATAAGGAAAGCGGCAACACTGTCGCGCGTGAGGTGGAAATGCGCCGCCGCCAAGTGCAGCAAGAGATCTTGAACGCTTCGCAAGTGCTCTGTGCCACACTGAGTGGTAGTGGCCATGAAATGTTCCGAAACCTTGATGTTGAGTTTGAGACGGTAATCATTGATGAGGCTGCACAATGTGTGGAGCTGAGCGCCCTGATTCCCCTCAAGTATGGTTGCTGCAAATGCATTTTAGTTGGTGATCCAAAGCAGCTTCCACCCACTGTGCTCTCGCAGTCTGCTGCCAGGTTCGGTTACGATCAAAGTCTCTTCGTCCGCATGCAACAAAACCACCCCAAAAGTGTCCACTTACTAGACATGCAATATCGTATGCACCCTGAGATCAGCTGCTTTCCTAGTAAGGAATTCTACGAAGGCCAACTCAAAGATGGCCAGGACATGGCCGGGCTCCGAAATCAACCATGGCACAAATCTGAACTCCTTGGGCCTTATCGTTTCTTTGATATCGAAGGTTCGCAGGAGAGAGGCCGTCGTGGCCAGTCACTCATCAATACAAGGGAATTGGATGTTGCTCTCCAGATGTACGACCGATTTAGTCGTGACTTTGCAGAATGCGACTTGGCCGGTAAAATCGGCATTATTACTCCTTACAAGGCCCAACTTTACGAATTACGATCAAGGTTTCGTTCACGATATGGTGAAAGCATTACTGACATTATCGAATTCAACACTACAGATGCCTTCCAGGGCCGCGAGTGCGAAATCATCATTTTCTCTTGCGTCAGAGCTAGTGCCACTGGCGGCATTGGCTTTATGACGGATATTCGCCGCATGAATGTCGGTCTAACAAGAGCAAAGTCGTCACTTTGGATCCTCGGCGATGCGAGAGCGCTGCGACAAGGTGAATTCTGGGCAAAACTCATTGAAGATGCTAAGGAGCGCAACCGATACACTAAGGGTGATGTCTTGGGCATGTTCCGTCGACCCTTGCAGCTCAAGTCTGGCAAGGAGACTAGTCCACCATCTATCATTAAGCAAGAAGATGTGGAAATGTCCGACGCACCGTCTGTTGATGAGAAATCCAACATGGGCACACCTTCCGACCCACCGAGCGTCAAACCCGAGGCAATAGCGCCGCGAAGTATCGTTGTGGCGTCGAGGTCCCCGGCCGGACCGCCGGCAATCCGCACAAGCACGACGCCTGCACCGGACACCAAAAAACGCGGACTCGACAGCCCGGACTCGGCACAACCTGAAATCAAGAGAGTATGTGGCGAAGACAACATTGATAATAGCATTGAAGATAACAAAGACGATAAATCTAACAATTCCAACACAGATTGCGAGCACGAAGCCGCGCAGCGGCTTGATGAACAAGTTCGGACAGAAGCCCCCCCGACCTGTTCGACCACCAACGGACCCTGCCGGGATGACATCCCTAGGCCTAGTGCCTCCCGAGCGTCCACCGGCCCGTCTGGACCCCCTCTCCTCGATAACACCAACGATGAAGACGAAGCCTCTTCAGAATCCAGCGATGGATCCGATACCGCAGAGTGGATCGACGTCAGCATTTCCAAAACCACCACGGCCGGACCCGAGTAAAGTAAGTTGACCTGAACACTTAATGAACCGACTTGAGGCTGACCCAGGTGCCAAAAGCTTAATCCCAATGGGCCAACTGTACCCAAAAAGAAGGGCAAGCCGAGCATGTTTATCCCTAAGAAGCGCTAGCAACGGCAATGTTTACACAGCTGGTGGAAGAGAAAGGAACCATTACTACTTATTGATACTTTGCATAGATTTGTTTGCATTGCTTGGCGTTTTATACATTGGCTCGCATCTCAAAAGATTTCAGGGATTAGGAAGTTTACATCTTGCATTTTTTACAAGTAACTGCTTTGGTCCCGTCATTGGCCACACCCTCTGTGAAGAGTGGCTCTTTAGCATACATTGGAAATAGCACACGATTATTAAAGTTCTCCTCTGTCGATTCCGTTGCGTAGAGAGTAGGACAGTAATTGGTCGTCAAGCTGGGCCGGTGTAGTATTCCGGGCAGCATCGGTTAGCGCGTCTACGGGGTCCCCGTTTGTTGAGGCCAATACCCCTATAGTGATAGTCATTGCATTGAGCCGTGAACCGCGGCCATCTCAGATGAACAGGTATCGCTACCAATAGGACACTGGCGGGGGAGCTGTACTGGGGACTGAGAAAAAACGGCGTGCAGGTGTGCTAATGCAAGCATGTGTTTCTGGCACGGAATAGAGCCTGTTGAAATCACAGTGGATCGCTTCTAGAGTCGTTGATTCGCGGGACCGGTTTGTGGCTTCTGCAGCCATCGACCTTCTAGCTGGGTCTGTACCTGCATGGCGTCTTTTAAGCGTGCCTTTTTCCTACATTCTGCATCCACGCGCCCACCAAACATATTTTGGTGGGCTTCAGGGGAGGTGGTGGAGAAGAAACATGCAGGGGCCCGATGGGTGGACAGAAGCCGGCACATGAGGAACAGGTGAGAAAGCAAAAAGGGCATCGCTTGTGTGTTTTCTCGCCCCAAGTTTCAGTTGAGGCCACTAGCGAAGTGAAAGGAGACGACAGAGAGGCTGTGTTTATTCCATGTTGCAGTGTCGGTTGCACCAAGAAAAGCGGTGTTCTTGATTGATGGCTAAGCCAAGAGGCGCCCTCCGCGGATAAGACGCAAACATTTCAAGGAGAAGAGCCTCAGTGGAACCCGTGCTGCCCAGGCTGAGGGTGAATCAAACGGGAAAATATTATAGCTGATCAATAGAAAACGCCTCCTAATGTCTTCTTCCTTTTTTCTTCTTTCGTTCGTTCTACCGTTTGCTGCTGTGTGTTGGTTTGTGCCCAGCAGAAGCCGGGGGGGCTGCCAGCTGGCGAAACAGTCGACAGTGCCCGCCAGCTGGCAGCGCAACAACGGTAGAAACATATCGAAACAGGGGTACACGTTGCTTTCTGCCAAAGACAAAGCAACAAAGGCTCAGCAGGTGAGACAGCGCTGATCTTCTTCATCTCATCAATTCATCAACCCCCTGCATAGAACACGGTGCCACCGTCGAGTGCATCTCGATAGAGCGCAGCAAGCAACAAAAGCAAACATGAAGGAGCCTGTAGTGCAGGTGCATCTTCTGGGGCACATGCTGTAGACGTCAAGAGAAGCTCTCACGTTATCGGCGATAGTCAGTCTCCTCAGTTACATTCGCCGTCCACTAACCCCTGAGGCTAGATATTTTAGTGTCGAATAGTCCCGTAGACCTGTCCCTTTCGGGATAATCCACCCTGGCACTAGTCTCCTCAAGTGGGCTTCGATGAGAAAAAAAAAACGTGAGCAACCATCGACTCGTGGAAGAAGCCGATAATGAGAACAGAAGTTCAAGGCATTGTCAAGAAAGGGCAATCATTTGTAGAATGGTGCATCGGAAGACACAGACCGCCCCTTTTTTACGAGGATCTTTCCAGAGTTGCAGTTGGTGGTCTGCTCACCGTTCTGGCCCAACAGCCAGATCCCCTGTCATGTCATCAGGCCCGAAAAGGTCACTCTCCATCTCACTTGTCTGCTCTGCTATTCGTCGCCGCCTGCAGGCACTTGTTTCATGCGAGAGCCAGCCCGCCAGGCTGGTTCATTTGCGGGGACGCCTTCCGTCCACCTCGGTTCTACGCTAGTTTTTTCTGCACAGACTTGTGCTCGCTGTCGTCAGATTAGGTTCCAACTTTGAGCGTCTTTGTCGAGAACAATGTCTTGTCCGTAAGGCAGCGCACCATGTCTAACAGGATGTGGTCGGAATCTACCGTTCGTTCTTGGCCCCAACCGGTGACCTACCGTGACCTGATATTGTCTCGACTCGTTAACAACTGGTCTGTATCCATTTTTGATGCTCCCCCAGCACTTACTACGAGCTGTGGAGAGATGGGGCATGGACAATTTAGCCCGACGCAGGCACACTTGTGCACCGAAGAAGCTTTTCCGCAAGCCAACGTCGATCTCTATGGCCCCCTGTTCCCAGCTTCGAACTAATTTATGGAACACCATCCCCCGTTCGAACAAACTTTCTGATGTCGTGTTTTCCTCGTCCCGTTTTTCGTCTCGTCTTATTTCCTTTCTGACAGGCTCAGCAAACGTCACTTAGCGTGTGCTTCCTTTCCTTTCTGTTTTACTCGCCTCTATATCCTCAGATTGTTTGTTCCTGTGGAACAACTCTGTAGGCTCTGTCATTCACTTCCATTGTAGATTCTTTTCCTTCCTTGTTCCGACCATATTTCCTACCGACATCTCTAGTCGCTTCCTCAATTATCTTTACTGCAACAAGTCTGCTTTTGTCAGAGCCTAACGAAATCGATCGCTACGACGAAACCAGTCATTATTCAACCGCGCCCCCAGACGTCCTTTCTGGAGTAGGTGGCTCAGCAAATAGAAACAGTACAGTCGCCTGGTTCGAATCCCAGAAGCCTGTGTACTATTACTAGCCTTTCTAGGCAATCGCTCTCATTTATTTTCTCACTAATCGCGCATCGTTGACGATCATGGCTTCGCCAACTCTCAGTCAGCGCCGCCGTTTTACGGCCAATCTTGAGATCTTCCCCCCTCAACAAAACCACCCATCACCCTTAGCATCGCACCCTTCGAAATTGACCCGACAAAGTTACACTGATCTGGACCTACCTAGAGACTCTGGGTATGGCTCAATCCGACCTAAATCTGCGTCGAACCTGATGACTACACGAACAAGTTATCTGGGAGGCGACCTACACGATAGCTACGACAGAGATGACGGCGTTATGGGTCACCGTCGTCGTGAAGATGTCGCTGCGCTTGTTGAATTCTTCCGCAACCACGAGCCCCCTCCAAGCAACTTGATGACCGTTGCCGAAGAGGAGCGAGGCAAATGGAACAAGCTCCGAAAGACCTCCAAGCAGCGAAACAAGTCAGTCGGCCGAATTTCCCACCCTATTCGACTTCCAGACTCTGCTGTTTCTGGAACTACGATTGGTGGGCATCGCCATATCGCCATTTCTATCCCTCTATCGGCCGATCCGTTTGGCGAGAGACCACGATCGCAATACCCTGTTTACCCTACTGAGGGCCAAGAAGAGAGCCCAGAAGAGAAGACACAAGAAGAGACTACATCCGTATCGAACGAACCAGTTCGTTCCTTTGTCAATGAGAAAGGAGTAGTGACTGTTGTTCGAGAAAATTCTACTTCCAAGCGAACGACATTGCTGGCACCAATCAATCCCAGTCCTCTCTCTTCTCACCCGCCCTTCTCTCCTGGTTTTATCTCCCAATTCCCTAAACCGCCTTCCAGTCGTCCCACATCGCCCCTACGACCTCCATCGCAGCGAGAATCAACACAGTACTTGAACAAGCCACTTCCTCCGCTGTCGGAGCGGCCAATGCTGCAGAAGCGCTCAGTTTCGGACTCAGAGGAGCAACGTCGTCGCAGCATCAGCTCTACCGCGCTACCTGCTGGAGAGTTTTCACGAGCTGCTTATCCTGCTCGGGGCTCGAGCATTGCGGCCACTCGCTTAGCCCACCATCCAGCGAACTCGATCGATCACATCATCACTCAATCTACAGGCGCATCAGCCCAACCTCAAGACAGTCCCTTCGCTCGCAGCAATACTGGCAGACGCTCTGGAACCCGTGAAGGGCCACCAGTATCATTCTCATCGAAGTCACTCCGTGCGAAGTCTTCTTCCAGCCTTTCAGATGATGCTATGGCTGATGAGCGACGACAGTCTAAGAAGAATTCGATCATTAGGCTCACCACTGATAGCCCGGTGGTAACTCATGCTCGAGACTCTGTAGCCTCCAACACTTCTAACGCCTCTGTCAGCCGCCGAGACAGAGTCCGTGAGAAGAAGCGTAGAGACATCGAGGCCGCGAAGCAAGCGCGTGAGCAGAAACAGAAAGAAGAAAGCGGTGACACTCCAGCGACTACCGAGGAGAGCGAGACCAAGTCACAGCCGACTCTTTGTGCCATCATGGTGGTAGCCAACATTCAGCCCGAAGGAGATGAGACACCGGCGGCTCAGCCTGCTGTAACTGAGGAGAAGCCAGTTGTCGAAACTGACAGGGAAAAGGTCGACGATATCACTCGCAGCACTTCGCCACAGCCGTCGCATCTAGATCTGAACGAATCAAAGGCCCTAGTATGCACAGCTAACCCTACCCCTCCACAGTCAGCCGGCAGCTCACCCGCACAACATTATGGATTCCAAGACCGTACATCCCTCAGTAGACGCCGAGAATGGAACGCAATGCGTGAGCAGGAGAGGAAAAAGAGAGAGCGTGCAGCCTCGGCTCGTGAGTCGAAGTCTCGCGCTGTTGTTCCCGCTGATAGATATGACGAGTCTGGGGTAGACGCAGAGATGGAAATCATCCGTCTTTACGAAGCCTACAGAGATCACCGAATGCTCGATATGGACCGACGCCTTCGACGCCTTGAACGCAACGGAGACGTTTGGGTGCAGGCTCTCATCCCGCTCTTGGACGACATGAATGACCGCCACGCCGAAGAAATGGGTCGTGATTGGGCATCCGATGACGATATTTCCTCCAGCACCAGCCGTGGGCTGCCAATCGAGGAGAAGTGTCGTGTCGGCAAAGTCTCGAGCGGCCGCAAGCGCGCAGAAAAGGCACAGCGCCAACGTGCGGCATCTTGGGACAATGCTGAGGACAGCATCGTCGAAGACTTGACAGGCATGGGCGCGATGGAGCCACTCATGAGGGATCTGCTGGACGAGGCCAAGACGAGACAGCAGCAGCCAGTTCCTTCGTCGCGATTCAGCACACGCGGCAAGCCTGTACATGCTATGTAAAGATCGTTTTTTGCGCGGGACATTTAATGCTACGTAATTTGGGTGGCGCGTTTGACAGATATAAAGTAATATTTCAGGTTGTATCATTATTGAATTTGCTTTGGGCATAGCATTAGCGAACAAAAATATATCCGTTTCTCGATAATATCTGTATTACTTGGTTGAAAAAAAGCCATGCTTTTAAGAGATCCATTTCTACTCTTTGTACTTTTCTAATTTCGATCTACTCCATGCCTAAGACTCTATTTCCATCTATAGCTCAACCTCTTGGAACGAGGCTCCGTCCTGTTCGGATGAGGGTTCGCTCTTCTTGCCATTTGCCTCTTCCTCTGCTTCCTCGTCATCTTCCTCGTCTTCTGTTTGTTCGGTGCGGGCGGCGTCGGAGGGCCTGCTCGACGTGCTGGGTCTCAGAGCTACCTTTTGCTCCGTCTTGTCCTCTAAGCGCATCTTCTGATCATCGGGGTGTGGTGACTTAACTTTCGGCTCGGGTTGCTGTGCTTCGTCTTCGTCTTCATCGTCGTCGTCCTCCTCTTCCTCTTCATCCTTGCTTGGAGGAGGGGGCGCCTCGCTCTCTTTGGGTTTATCGCTGCCAGCGTTCTTGGGGACGGGAGCAGGTTCGTCTTTCTTGGGTACGATGGGCGGGCTAGGTCGTTCTTCGCTGGGTGGTCCAGGACGCATGGCATCCAGGTAGAACTTGGTGACACCGAGAATACGGCCATTCTTCTCGCAGGCTTCCACCCACTCGGGTCGCACGACGGGAATGTTGGTCTCTACAGCCTTCTCCCAAGCTGTTCCTCTGCCTTCTGTTGTGACGAAATGTGTAGTGTCGATGCGGACCGTATCGACAATCTTGGCGCCGATGCGCTCAACAGCCTGGGCAAGATTCTCCTTTACAGCACTAGACATGATGCCTGTTGTAATCGTAATACCGCTCAGGTCGGTCATCTTATGCGTGCGGACAGTCACCTTTTCGCTGGTGCGTGTGCCAGCAGTGGTGCGGAGGACAAGGTGGAAGGTGTATTCAGCGTCGACAGCGAGACCGCTAATCTTGGTGCTGTGCATCTGCATAGGGCGGGGGATGTTGCCTGCCTTTTGGCCGTTGCGGTAGAGGCTGAGCGAGACGAGGTCGGCGGTGGCTAGGTCGACAGGATCCCACTCGAGGACGACGGAGGTCTGCGTGGCATTTCGGCAGCGGAGGACGGGCGTGGCAGGCTCAGCGGCGCCAAAGGACTCGAAGATGCGTTCTTGAAGAGCACGGAAGTTTTGCTCTTCGGTGGATTCCTTGGCGGTGTTTTGCGAAACATTGATGTCGACGATGCTGCCGGAGGAGATATTAGGGGGAAGGAGGATGGAGGGGAATTCGATCTGCGAGGGAGAGAGGGTGGTTAGCTGCCTGTGTGCTTGAGGGGTGGTTTAGATACAGGGAATTCGGTCAGAAGAATACGTACGAGACGTTTGTCAGGCGTCAGCAGCACAGTGACGCCTGCGTCAACCTTGCCAACTGTCAAGGAGACGAGCATGGTGGGCTGTGTAGGAGATGTTGCGCGGGAGGTTGCTGTGTGTTTGGGTGAGGGTGTGAGGTGAATTTTCCCTGGTGCGGTAGTCACGTAGTATTTAAAGCTGCTGCTTTCAGGGCGAGCAGGCGGGAAAAGATAGATTTTGGGTTTGATTGGCGTCTCGGTTGTTGATGAAGAAGCTTTTGGAGGAGGCGCGGGTGGACACATGTTTGCTGGCGCGCAATGCGGGATGCTGATTCGCTGGTTGGCGCTGAGGCCCTCTACACCGGTGGCCTAGCTGTCTGTGCAATATGACGTTGGTAGAGTAGATATTCTTCGTAGCTTTCTTGTATTATTTAATTTATTATTATTTTATAGAAAACAAGTCATGCATGTAATGATGTCTCCTTTTCAACAATTGATAAGAATTATAACTCTAAAACACTAGATTGACGAGCACAGCCGAACCCAATCCTTTTTGCCCAGGCCACCAGCGACATCATCTAGAGCTTGCCTTCCGCATACATTTTTCTGATAGTAGCTAGACTCGAGCTAATAGCGCCACGGGCCATCTGTAAAGAATCAGTTAGAAAAATTGTACTTAAATTTTATTTCTCAATGCGGCACCGCTCACCTCTTGCTGCTTGGCCAGCGTCTGCTTAGCCTCCTCACTGCCCTCCGCGATATCAGGCATAACCCATTTGAAAGCATAAGTCAAGTGCAAATCATGCTCATCACCACTAGGTCCGTCGCCCACAATGTTGGCAACCTCGCTTCCATCTTCGAGGCGGAAGTCTACCCGGCAGGGCGCATATTCCGTGCAGGTCTCACTAAGTTCGCGGACGCCCTCAAAGACGACTCGGCGGGTGACGACGTTGCCTTCTTCCTTCTCGACGATGCAGGATGTGATGGGAGGCACGAATTCGTGCGCGAAGCGAACCTTGCGTTGAAGTCCAGCCCAAACCTGCTCCTTGTTGAGGACGGGTGTAGCACCGGGCGGGTTGATGGGTGCGGTAGCGGCAAGATGGAGAATAGCCATTGTGAATTGTGGTGGAGATGGTAGTTGTTATGGGTGATTAGGTGAGTATGTATACGTGCTTGTTTTATAGTGGTGTGCGTAATTGTATACGATTATATGGTTTGTAGATGTGGCGGGGGTCAATGATGTCAATAATTCGTGTAGTGTGATGTTGAAAGTGGAGTGAGGGGCAAGTTTATCTTGGAAAAGACTGGTGATGAACAGGAACATGACGATGCTTTAAATAATACTTTGATTTTTCTTCTACGTAGACTTGAGAATACAATTCAACTACGTGGTTTCTTGGTAATTCTCCATTGCTTATGCGATGTCGTTCGGCGGTTTTCCATGGCGGACTTTGTCATCCACTGCGGTGTGTGGCTCGCGACGCGAGATGTTGCGGAGACGGCGGAGGTAGATCTCGCTTCTTTGATAAGCGCGAGGCTCTGTATAGCTTCGATTCTGGTGCCTGAATGGTGGAGTTTGTTATAGTTTTGTTAGGAAATCGACCTAATTTTGACCTCTTTTCTTTCTGTCCAGTTTTTGTGAATGTGCATTAGTCGTGGACTTCTTTGCTTCAGCAAATGTCGCCGGTTGTGGTTGGTAATCATAGCTGTCTGGAACACTTTGTCGCATCTTTCTTCCAAAACAAGATGTATTTTACTTAATAGCCTTAATAGACATCCAATACTAGCACTCACTACTCTTCTCGGAAATATTTTACCATAGCAACTTGATGTATCATACTTCATCATGTGCTTAGGGTAGCACGCCTGCTTACACCTTATCGGCACAGCACAGCGATAATAAGTTATTTTTATCATTTTAAATTACGAACTATTATAAATTGAGAAATATTGCAAAACTCACGATCAAAAGGGTTTAGTGATACATTTTACAAATGATTTCGGAAACTTAATTCCGAGTGTCAGTTCGTCCGGCTCGCGTAGGGCTTAACATATCCGCGGAGCCTCCCACTCTCGTATCCTTAATTAAGTCTAATCAATCCACCAATAAATCAGTCCAAAGTTGAAATCGGATACTCAAAGGGGACATCATGCTCGTTCATGCTGCCCCAGCTATACAGTACCCTGCGTGAAACTATCGAATTACCCCATGTACGCCGCGGCTGTCAGTCTTGAAACCCGGTCAGGAGCAACGTCACAATTGAACCTCATCCAGTAAGATTTTCGGCACTTCTTTAAGCCCTTTTAATATCCGGCATACCCTCTGCCAGGCCCAAGCTCACTTGGCACGCATGGTAGTGGAGAAGCCCTGACGTTCTTTTCCTATTGACACAAATGGCGGGGGCAGTGTCGACTAGGATCCTCTGTTCTGGAAGTCTTTTCTTAATCGGGGCAGCGTTTATATTGCAATATCAAAGACGAAAATATAGCCCCCCTTGCTCACTTACTCGACTGCCGGACTGGCCGCCGTACCCCTATGTTCAGAACGGATGTGTCAACTCACAGACGCAATTTCACACTTCGCTGTTCCTGCAGGAGAGTTTAGTTTCAACAGGGTTGGATGAGAAGCGCCGTCCGCCTCGAAAGTGGTAGAGTTACAGGGCGAGACATGATAGTGCACTAACAACACGCCACATAAAACGGTCCGGCTGTTCATTGCTACGGATGTACCTTTCGTCACACAGCTAGGGAGAGAGGTTTGCTGTGGCTGCTTTACTTGCCATCATCTCGGCTGTTGGGTTGTTGATAACGTCTTTGGATGGTCTAGCCCTACAAGAAAGAAGAAAAACACACGGATGAATTGTACAATTGGCGCCTCTTCTAATGTAATACACTAGAAAGTCGAGAGTATATCCAAGGCCTCGCCCTTGTACGGGTAATGCAGGTGCAAGCGAAGCTGAGGATGCCTTTAGGCAAAGACAACGAGCTAAATCCATCGTGGCCTCAAAAGCAAAGTGAGAAAGAACGCAAATTGCTATTTTGTAGGAACATACCGAGAAAATGAAAACCACAGAGCCCAAAAAGCAAATATCAGGCGGAAATGATGTACAAGATTGCATTGGGGCATCGTACAGATACAGAACCATTGTGTTGGGTGGGCGATCAGCGGATGTACATCTGTAGACCGTCGCTCGATTGCGGCCGTGCGCAGCGCCTCGTGCACGATGGCGAGCTGCAATGAACCGTATTTTGCTTTTTGCTATTTTGGTGATGTTTTGCCTATTTTTCGAGCTATTGTCTTTCTTTTCTTTTTCGGCCAGCGGTGGCTGTGGAGCGGCTGCAGGGTCCCCTCTTGTGTGCATGGTGTTTTGCTTCTTTGAGGCGGTGGTCGGGTACGTGACGAGCGTTATGATATGACAGACTGCTTGGAATCAATAAGGCAAATGAGCTGGGTTAGAAAAGAGCCCGATCGAGGATTTGGAATTGCGGTGGCGAGCGAATTCTCCCCTTTCTGCGGGATGTACCCCAGCTGCGGCGTCGCGTAGGAATCGCAAAGGTCAAGCCAAGTTGAGTATGCTTCCTTTTGTAGCACTGTGAGGCTCTGGGCTATGCGAGCTGTAAAAGGTTCGTGTTCGTGATAAGAGCTGAGACATGAGAACAATGTGACATGTAGATACAATCTCCCATCTGCTTCAAATCTATTAAGCATCCATTTTGCAAACAGTATATGGTTATAGTTGTTGAGAGTAGATAGAAGTAGAAGTCGGAGTTGGCGCGGGTGCATCGGGCTGGGTACCTACCAACAGGACGCCTGGCCGCCTTTGACATAGTACCGTTGACTGTGTTGGAAGTCACAAGCTATAGTCCCTGTCTACCTGTACCAGCATCTCTTGGGCGACGGCTAATAGTGGTCGAGGGAATCTAGCCACTTCCAGCCACATATTACAAGTGAGCTGATAACTGCATAGGCGGAGCGGAGTGTCTCAGTTGTTACGACCGTTGCTTAAAGCGACTGCGCACAAGTCGGCCGCCTGGGATGGAATGGCTTTTCGGACGATTCCTTTTTTTCCCTTGTGTGGCGTTCTTTGGCCCCCAGTTGGTTGGACGCCACGAAAGCGCCCATTTGGCGTCATGCGCTGGTTTGCTTTGGCTCCATTGGTGAAGGTGTCTTTTGTGTAACCTTTTTTGCACTCCTTCGCCCTATCGTACCCTTGTGGTAGTTCGCCTTGTCTAATGGATCCTACGTCGGCCGTTGTTCCGTACCCCGTCAAGCAAGGCCTGGAGTCGTAACCGTGCTGGGGCTGGTCGTGTACATCGCCATCGGCCGGCTATATACATCTGTCCTAAGCGGGAGAGCGATAGGGTACAACAACTATAACGGTTACTATGCAGTACAGTACAATATGCTGTAGCCAATCGTATCAGGGCTTGAAGACCTGCAAAGGCACGCTTCCCGCGGTGCGGTGCCTCTTTGACTTTGGTGTGCCACCTCCGCGGTGCGTGCAAGGATGTAAGGATTCGGAATAGTGTGCTTGGCCCTGCCCCTGCTGATGCTGCAAGTGCTGCTGCTTGTGCCTTTTCGGACGGTTACCTGCTCTGATAGGTCATGACCGCAGGGGCCTGTTTGCCGTGTTTGGTTATTAGCGCGGTTCTCGTCCTGATAGCTTGCTTTTGCGGCAAGGCCAAACACTGCTGCGTAATAGAATCGTGCGTAACTAAATTGCATTTAGCGTGCAGTGCCTTGCAGTTGCATGCTGCTGGTGCGCTGTGCAGCGAGGATCTTTTGCGGAGGGCAAGTTGCCTTCTTGGTGGTGCGCTCGCCACACTTGGCCAGCATCAACAGCGACGGCAACAGCAGCAGGACCACCACTACGAACAGCGAGCGTTACAACGTAGCAGCGTACTGGGGGCGCCAGCCAGTGGCCGCTGCAAGGACGCCGTTGGCTGTGGGCAGGGGGATAACAGCCAAGCGAGGCCTTTCCCGCATGTGTGGATAGGGGAGGGCCCGCGACAAGGGGAGAAGGCCCCCCCACCGCGTTGTCGACAGCGGAGATGGTGGCCGCTGAAGCCCCGAAAGGCAAGCCTGGCTAATCGCAAAGCAGCACAGTGAGAGGGCCTAGCCGATCGCTAGCACTGTGAGTGTGAAGAGTGCTTATGCGTGTGGTTGACGACTGTGACTTGGGCATTGCAACTCTAGTGACGATGGTGATTGTGCTACACCACTGCTACTGCTCCAGGTTATCGTCCCATATTCGCTACCTTGGGCACCATCCCAGCTCTAGACGCCTATGTAGTCCGTGTACATGTACCCGAGTCTGCGGCCGCATACTTGTTCCAAGCCTTGAGCCGACTCACCGGTAAGTAGACAAGCCAAGCAGCAGGAAGAAGAAAATTAAACGGGGGGCTTTCACATCCTCCCCATCCTTTGGGCTCCTCCGACAAAAACTGCTCTCTGTACTGCACTATACCGTCCTGAAGAAGACGCTACCTCTCAGTGCAGTGGATCGGTTACGGGTGCAATTGGCGGGTCTCCACTGCCTGTAACTTTGCCTAACAGGAGTGTTGGGCGGTTCTTCTCCATCCGTTACAGCACTCAAGAAGGCCCTGGTCTCCCCCCGGTAGTGGGTACTGTCACCTCTTTTTTTTTGTGGAGGGGGCGTGGACACAGCGGCCACACCACCAAACCCAGCGACGCCTCTTTTTTATTTTTTACTTTGGACCCAGGTTTCCTTTTTCCGTTTCGCTCTAGCCTGGTGATATCCCACTACAACCACATCTGTGTCTTTTTCTTTTCTTTTCCTTCGTTTCTGCCCTTGTTCATGCCCTTGTCGCTACATCCCCATCTTGAGACGCTTAAGTGGCATCCACTCCCTCACCTCGGCCTCGTCCTGCTTAATTAGCTTGGGCCATCCGCTTCCCATTCCAGCCTTGGGTTTACACCACACCGAAGGTCGCTCGCTACATTCTCTCAGCTCCAGCCCGCCTACGCCTCATCCTGCATTCCTCGTCAGCCCTGCCCTGCACGCTGCCCAGCTCTGCTTCGTCTTGAGTCTGGTCTGGTCTTGTGCATGCAGTAGTACTGCCACCCTTTATATCAGCCTGGCTACCACCACCACTACTGTTGGGCTCTACTACGACAACCTCACAACACCTTCAGCATGTCTTCGACAGCGATGGCCTCGTCGACAGGTACTGCCGCTGCTCCGCCGGCGGCCTCAACAACGGTACATGCTCAGAATCTGATTACTGATGACGACAAGTCTGCGCTGATCGAGGTTGTCACGCTCATGTTCATGGTCCTGGCCATCCTGGCCTGCTTGGTTAGAACGGGCACCAAGCTTTACATGATCAAGACGGTCAAACTGGACGACATCCTTGTTATTGCTGCTACGATACTCGCCATTGCGCAATCCGTTACCATCCTCATCGGCACAGGTACTGGTCTCGGCCAGCGGTACAAGACGCTAGATGCCTCGCAATCAGAAGGCTTCCTCAAGGTGGAGTACGCCGCATCGCTCTTCTTCATCCTCTCGATTGGTCTGGCCAAGGTCTCTGGCGCGATGAGCGTCCACAGCATGGCCCAGAATCGCCAGAAGATCTTTATCCGTGTTTGCGAAATTGTCTGTGCTATTTGGACAGCAAGCGCCTTCTTTGTTGTACTCTTTGGCTGCGAGATGCCTGCTCCCTGGAACTACACTCAGCCTCGCAAGTGCATTGACCGCACCGCCTTCTGGACTTACTACTCGGCCTTTAACATTTTTAGCGACCTCGCCATCATTTCTCTCGTCGTCACCAACGTCCGCCACATCCAGACCTCGTGGGCCAAGAAGGCACTGGTCATGGGTGTCTTTGGCAGCCGCATCCTCGTTACTCCCGCCATCATTGCCCAGATCTATCTTACTGAGAGGGCTAACCGCTCGACCGACTACTCGTTTGCTATTTGGGACTCTACCGTTGCCATCGAGCTTGTCCAGTGCCTTGCTCTTGTAACCGTTTGCATTCCCAACCTCAAGCCTTTCCTCGACAGCCTTGAATCTGGACAGATCAGAATTGACGATATGCGCCGCCAAGGCAAGAGCAGCAGCAACGGCTATCCTGCCTACAGAGCTGGCTACGCTGGCTACAAGGGTGCTCAACACAGTGGCCACGGCCGCAGCAGAAACCCTCAGTCACGCAACATCGACACACTGTCATCGCAACGCAGCGATGTTCATGAGATGACTGACATTCCCAAGTCTCGTGGCGGTGCTGCTGCCCGGGGCGTGGCCATCACTACCGATGAGAACCAGCCTGCGTGGGACGGCCGCAGCCACACAAGCCAGTCCAGTCAGACGATTCTGATTCAGCAAACCAAGACTTGGCACGTTGATGTGGAAAACTCTAGTCCGACTGCCCCTGCTATAACGGCGGAGAGGTAGGGGAGCAGGTCTACCCCAGGCCAGGGTTGAGTGGCTGTTTCTGTAGATACCCACCCCTTCTCGCCCTGCCATCACCAACCCACGTTGAAAAAAAGAACATACTTTGCTGGAATTTTCGATCTCGTTCATTTGGAGATATGGACCAATCTGCGATTGGTTCCTATATGAACGGGCTCTTTTGTATATTTTAAGGGAGCTGGCGCGAACAACTCTTGCTTTGGAACGGTGCTCTATATTTGGGTCATTCTCTTTGACATAATGTTTCCTTTCTTTTTTGTCTCGGTTCTTGGAGTAGGTTATCTAAGAGGTCTTTTTTGGAAATAACAACGGCGAAATGTCTAATTGCAATCAAAATCTATTTTCATCATCTTCACTCGTGTTATCTCTCGCTTTTACTGTGTGCTTTCCAAGAGGGCGTGTGCTCTGATCTCGGCCAACTTGCGTAGTGGGGCAGCCACCACTATTCTTTTTTTTCTTTTTGGGACCAAGACCAATGTGGCACACCCCATGCACTGTTCTATTCCTGTCTGTGCTGATGACAGACATTGATGTCTCGGATATAAAAAGATTCCATGTACCTGTTTCGTACTAATCAGCATCTTGCAGAGAGAAGCTGATGGCAAACGGACGTGCACGGTTTTCTAGAACAAACATCTCACCTTCGCCGCGCTTCGGCGCTGGACCCAGCAGCCTGAGACTGGTTCGGAATTCAGTGGGGGAAACGGAACAGCCAAGCACCCATGTTTCGCGCTGTTCCTGACGGAATGCCCGCGAGCCGGATCGGCAGATGCAGGTCTGCCTGGAAAAGAGGCTAATTAATTTCTGCTGACGACAAAAGAGCTGGTTCGATTATTTTCTTGTTTACCCATAGTACCCCTGGAAAAGCGGCAGCATGTAGGTGGAATTAGCACACGCGCTGCTGCAGATGTACGTTATAGTGCCTACCACAGAGCACGCGACGACCAATTAGTGACGAATGAACCTACTTACAGTGATGGGAGGGCAGGACTGCCTGTTTGTCGATCAGATGAGTAGCGACTCAGAGGCCAGCGAAGCGAATCGTCTGCAGTGGGCTGGGGCTTGCGATGGATGCTACGGTGACGTCGCGTTGCCAGCCTTTACAGTACACCGCTGAGGTCAAGATGCATCACCGACTGGAGCATTCACATAATCAAGAAGTGGCAGTCAAAAGCATGGACCCTCGAGGCGCTGTAATGGGCCGATGGGGGAGGAACGCCAGGGCCGACGGGATTATCATGGGCACCGCGAGTGGCGGCGAGCATTGGTAACAAACAGAACAGTAAGCCCGCAAAAATGGATGCCGCCGAAAGTCAAAAAAAAAAACAGCGGCGTCTTCGGCAGCGGCTTACACTCGAGCCAACGGACTGTAGAGCCGGGGAGGGAGCCGTCTGGCTGGGCTCGGAATTGGGATCGTCGTCGACGCAGACATCTTACGACGACGAACGATTCGCCATTTGGATTCCGCGGCTCATAGGGGAGAAGTACAAGATGCGCAGGTTACAACTACAGTGCATTGAGGTAAACCCTTAGCGATAGTGTTTCGGTTCTATTAACAACAGGTAGGTTACATTGTAAGAGGTTTTTGTGGCGAGGGACGACTCGTGCTAAAGTTTAACACGGGTCGTGGGAACGGGCTTTACGTTTACGTTTGCTAAGTAGGAGTGGTGGTGTGTGTGTTAGTGGAGAGGGGGCGTCTTGGTTCAGGCTCTGGGCGGGCCAGTTCCCAAACGAAGAAGAACAAGAAGAGATGAACTGGGACCCAACGAAGGAAAAGATTCAGGTCGCTAATTTACTATACCAGCTGCTGTCGACGGGCCAAGGGATAACTGTCATGGCCCAAGCACCCAATCATACAAGCAGGCGGTGCCAGTGTCTTGGAGCTTGGCTTTTTCAGCAGCAAAAGCACTAAGGCTAGGCCACTGACACAACAGCGGAGCGACAGGGAGGGCGGCCCACGGGGAGCTCGCCTGTGCGGTTCTGCTCTCTGGCGGGCTCCGCCTGTCAAGCTCACAAGCTCGATCGGGCCTGGGTCCGCTTTCTTCCTGCGTGTCACTGCTCCCCAATTTTCTTGTATTCCACCACTGCGCCATTCCCGTTTGGGTCGGTGCGGCGCAACGGCAAAGCATAAGCCTGCGAAAAGGGGCCGCTGGTGTGCATGGGAAAAAACGAATGGGAAAAAGTTTTGGTGGTGCGGAGAGCAGACCCGAGGCGCGAGATGCCCATGGGATGAACCTTACCTGAGGGCGTACGCCAGACATGGTTGCTTGGATACGTGAAAAGGGATATAAATGAAAGATGGCAACTATTGGCTTGGGCTTGGAACGAGTGAGTCCAGCTCGTTTACGTAGTATATAGTATAGCCGTGTTATAAACGTACTGATATGGCGATATTTGGAGGCTTGCGCCGCAGCGATTTGCATCCCGTCCGCGGCATGATATCGGTGGCTAACATGCATATACATTTTGTGTGCATATCTTAAGAGGCAAATGGGGAGAGCAAAAAGACGCTACAAAAGTGACACCGAATGTCCAAAAAAGAAAGTTGCGCTAAAATTTCAATAGTTTCGTTTCCTGCATCGATCGCTTTTTTTCTCGCCTGGCCGGGCATTTTTTGTTATTCCCTGCGTGACCGTTCGAAAATGCCCCCCTGCACGCGCATGTGGACTAATTAGTTTGCCGACAGCGCTGTTGTGCCAGCCGGTGCAGGACTCGGCTCCGTTTCAGCAGCTCCATGCAGACAGACAGACCCTTGCCTGGTGGGCGGCAAAGAGATGAGCTTTTTTGCTGCTGCTTGACGTAAACGCAGTGACCAATGCAAATCACTCGCTGTTTGGAGGATGTGCGGCATAACAGTGTCAAAGAGAGGGTTGCGTCTGCGTTGGCTTGCATGCGGGCCAAGCAAGCATCTACAGCGTGTGCCCACCATTCTTAGCTAACACCGAGCCGGCCTAACACCCAAGAACCAACACAGACAGGCAGACCTTAGAAGGCAATGGCCGGGCTAGTTCCGGCATCACCAGCTCGAATTCGGGATTTTGCACCAAGCTAAACGCTCTCATCCCTGTCCTTTGGTGGGGGATGTTAACGGCGACTCCATTTCCCACGTTGTTGAGCCTGGGTGGACCACTGTCAAGGGGCAACTTGAGCGAATTGCCTCTCTTGAAGTTGTGGCTTGCGGCCAGGTCCACTAAGATGGATAAGAGCTGCCAGCCGGAAACGAGCTAGAGAAGTTCCTTCGCGCTCCGGTAGAATCCTTCTTGTGCCGCGTCGGTGGGCACGCTTGGAAGGGGCCGCACTTTAGAGAAGAGGGTATGAGTTTGATGAACTGGCGGCCGCGCCTAACCCACATGGCATGGCCGCTGTGGTTCAGATAGCACCAGGATGAGGGACCAGAAAGGATCTCGGAGCTACATCCGGATTAGTGGACTGCTTTGGTATTACCAGGTAAATTGGTTTGTTTGGTATGCGAAAATTCTGGGCTGATGCTTGTGCTTGTGCTGTGGAAATTTGTCACCTGAGTCTGGTGAAAGTTTTGCTTGCTTTTTGTTTGATACAGCGCGTGGCCTGCCTATGTACTCACGTATACATGCGTTGCTTGCTTTTGCTCGGGACGACAGCCGAGAGGAACCAGTCTTGGGTGCAGGAACAGCAGCAGGAACACGGTGGCTCATTTTTTCTTTGCTTCTTTCAGACTATGCGTTTTATGCCCAAGCTGAGAATTGCATGTAGTACTACGACTACTACTGCCTGTATCTGGAACCAATCTATTTGCGTCGTCTGGTGCGTGCTGGTACTGCTTTGATCGAAACCATCATCTATAGCTTGGTCCACTGGCAGCGATTGGGCCACCTTTACTGGTTACAGCGGCCGATGGGCAGGTTGCAGCGGGTGTAGTGGTGGCCGCCTCAGCGCCCCGGCGGAGTTACAACGCGGCAGGCTGGGCGGGCAAGTCCTCTGGCCACACACAGCGTGCCAACCACAGCTCATAGCGTTGCGCTGGGTAAAAGCACTCCAGCCATAGATTTGTTTTCTTTTCCTGTCGGAGGCTGGGCCGCCATATATCCCAAAGTTCGTTTTTGGTTGGCTACTGCAGAACACAGGAAGAAGAAAGTAACCAACGAAAAAAAAGTAAACTAGAGAAGAGAGCTGGAACGCGGCAAGCAACGAATTCCTCCCGTCTTCCCACATGGCACGAAAATCCTCCTCTGCCCCAACCACTCACTACTTTGTAGGGCGACTCGCTCACTAACCAGTTGGCACACCTGCAACAGCTGGGCACACCTGGCAATCCTGCAAAAAAAGTACAGCACTGTACCTAAAAACACCCACCAGGGGTGCACCCACCCACCTGGACCCCCTCCCTGGCTCCTTCCCCCATCGCCGACAACAGGCCCGCCACGAAACCGCAACGCCCCACACCCCACCCAAACTACCCTTCTCGGCTACGGCCCTGTCACCATCTTTCCTTTTGGCGCTACCGCAAAGAGGCTGCCGCCGCCATACTTTCACTTTTTTTCTTTTTGCTTTGCTTCTTTAGCTGCCCACCCCCAGCAGCAGTTCTCTGTAACCGTCCACTCGTGTCCCTTACTACCCACGCCTTTTTCTTTTTTATTCCTTTTTTATTTCCTTTTTGCCCCCTCTCCGCTTTCTATATTTGCTCCCGCGCCACCGCGTGGCATCCTATTTCATCTGTTCCTCATCCTCTCACCACTCTGTCCTGGTGGTCTCTCTTACTTCCTGCTCTCCCCATCTAACCATCCACCACTACACAACAGTCTTGCTGCAACAGCTCGCCGTCTCCATCTTCGATCTTGTTGTTTGCTAGCTGTACTTACCAGCACATACAATATGGGCGCCGAGAGCACTGAGCTCGGCAACTTGGCCACGGTCAAGGCCGACGCTTCGCCCGTTATCAGCGAGCCCGAGTCTCCAGTTGACACCCAATCCAAGCGCGACTATGTCGACAACGACCAGCTCGCCCGCATGGGCAAGAAGCAGGTCTTGCGAGTACGTTTTCCTGACACTGCGAAGCACAATCTGCAGCTTTCAATGGCGCATTGGCGCTCCTTCGTGCAACCATGACCGTAAGCTAACATGTCCGTCTTTTGTAGCGCAACTTTGGCTTCATGTCCATTCTCGGTTTCAGCTGCACCATTCTCATTACCTGGGAGGCCATTACTGTTCTTTTTGCCCAGGGTCTCTTGAACGGAGGCACTGCTGGCGTCATTTACAGCTATCTTATCGTTTGGGTTGGTAACATTAGCGTCTTCTCTACCATGTGCGAACTGGCTTCCATGGCCCCGACTTCCGGCGGACAATACCACTGGGTTGCTATGCTGGCACCCAGATCCTCAGCCAAATTCTTGTCTTACATCACTGGCTGGCTCGCTGTTGGCGGCTGGCAGGGCTCTGTGGCCTCATCATCGCTCTTGACTGGGCGCATGATTCTCGGCCTCATTTGCCTCAACAACCCAGACTTTCAGCCCAAGGACTGGCAAGGAACTCTGCTGTTCTGGGCCATTCTGTTCTTTGCCGTCTTCATCAACACATTGGTCAGCTCTGCTCTACCCAAGTTCGAGGGCCTCATCTTGATCCTGCACATTCTCGGCTTCTTTGGCATCCTCATTCCTCTCCTCGTGCTCGGCCCCCGCGCATCTACTGCCGAGGAGATCTTCACCACCTTTGCCAATGAAGGTATGTGGCCAACCCAGGGCCTCTCCTTCATGGTGGGCATGATGGGCAACGTTTTCGCCTTTGTTGGTACCGACGCCGCTTTCCACATGGCTGAGGAGACTCACAACCCCTCCGTTGTTGTCCCTCGCTCCATCATGATGAGCATTGTCATTAATGGCACCTGCGGCTTTGCCATGCTTCTTACCATGGTTTTCCGCATGGGTGGCATGGACGGATTCTTGGCTGCTGCCAGCACTGGCCCCGGCGCACTTCAGTTCCCCTTCATGTCCATTTTCCAGAACGCCGTTCAGAACCTGCCTGCAGCTACCTTCATGGTGATCATCATCATGGTGCTCGGAGCTTGCGCCACCGTCGGTATGCTTGCATCCACGTCGCGTGTCTTCTGGTCTTTTGCTCGTGACCGTGGTCTTCCCTTCTGGCCTACTCTCTCCAAGGTAATTATATGTCCTCAAATTTACGCTTGCTAGCAATACGCTAACATTTCTGTACAGATTGATCCCCGTACAACTGTCCCCATCTGGGCTGTTGGTGCTACCAGTGTCATCTCGATTCTGCTCTCTTTGATCAACATTGGCTCCAACGTTGCGTTCCAGAACGTTGTGTCGCTGTCCATCTCTTGCCTCTACTTTTCTTACATAATTGCTGGTAGTCTTTTGCTCTACCGCCGTTGCACCAGCGGCTTCTCCATGCCCGATGCCAGTGGCCTTCCCGCCCTCGCCAACACCACAGGCGCCGAGCTTGTCTGGGGCCCCTTCCACCTCCCAGGTATCTTTGGCATCCTTAACAACGCCTTTGCTCTTATCTACCTCATCACCATTTCCTTCTTTTCCTTCTGGCCTATGATGAACAACGCCGACCCTGCCAATGTCAACTTCAGCGTGCTCGTCACTGGCTTCATCATTCTCTTCAGCACCGTCTACTACTTTATTTGGGCCAAGAAGGAGTACAATGGCCCCATTGTCGAGATGGAAAACTAAAGCAACTCGAGAGGAAGGGATTTCGAAAGAAGAGATTTGTCATGTTTGTCCATTTGGTGCTGAACTACCAGTGGCCCCTACAAAAGGGGGACACTTTGCTTTCCATACCATTCGTATAGTTGCATGCTGATTTTAGGGCAGCCATTTTGGCTCTGCTGCCCGTGTGTTATAGTATATACTGCTCTGATTGGAAGAGGGGATACCATGCTGTATTGTTCTTGTTTTTATATATATTGCTAGCTGTATGCAGGCTCATTCTTATGCTTTGTTGGATAGGCAAATAATCATTATATTTACTCAATTGGATACTATATTTACTTTAATGACGTTTTTTTCGATTTCTTTATATATTCCTTGCTGACCATTATCATTTCTTTGCCCAGAGCAAAACGCTCTCGCCTTCGCCCAGGGTAAAGGTCAGGCTATCCTTTTGCATACCAAGGTCTTTGCCTGTCCAGACATTCTTTACCTTGCGAGAGCTTGAGATGCCGAGATCACTCCAAGACACACTAAGCTTTTGCTTTCCCTTGAGTCCATTTCCTCGAAAGCCGCCCTGGCCCTGGTCGGGGCCGTAGTTGGCAAGGACAACCACTGCGCGACCTGATGCGTCCGGTCCAGCAACCCAGGCTTGGAGCTGCTTTGCAGCTTGACCACCCGACCCTGGATTACGAGGCTGCATTGGGTACTTTGCCGTAAAATCTGCTACAGCCAGAGCATCGCGGTTCGTCAAGAGCTCCAGGCCTAGTTTGTCGATGCGAGCGAGATCCGAGCCAGTGATGAGGTTCGCACCAGCCGCGATCCAATGCGTCATGATAGTACGACGCTGAGTGTCGGAGACACCAGTGATGTTGGCATCATTGCCAGCATAGAGGTTATCAAGGTCAGGGTACACCGAGAGCTGATCAAAGATGGGCAAAGCGGCCACGATCCACTGGCGGTAGTTGTCGATGGCGCGCTGGACTGTGGCCCAGCGGATAAAGGTGTGCTCGCCGCCATTGTTGATGTCTTGGTCGGTACGCATGGACTCGGAATTGGCATCCCAGATACGGAAGTACTTTTCACGGCGGTCGAGCTTCCACGAGATGTCGAGACGCATGGGCCGGGAAGATTGGCGGATAGCCTCTCGCCATGCTGGGACGGCTGCGCTCTGGTCTTCAGGAAGATGTTGACCGTTGTCGGGAGAGCCAGGCGTGATGAAGTCTAGCTTGATGAAATCAACGCCCCTGGAAAGAATGTTAGTGGTTGATGAAGCTAGCTGGTCACTCTGGCATACCATTTGGCAAACTGGTCAACGACAGAGTTGTGCCATGTCTGGACCTCGGGGCGGGTGTAGTCAAAGATGCAGCGAACGAGGCCTTCGTCGCCAGAGCAGACGTCCTTGATTTTGGTGGTTGTGCCAAAGATGGTCTTGTCGAGGTCGGCAATGAAAGCACCAGGGACGACGTAAACGCCTAGCTTCAGGCCTTTGGAGTGTAGATGGTCTGCTAACTTGGGGATATCCCATTTAGGCGCATCATACAAGATGCGTCCATAGTCATCACCGTTGCCACCGACAGACCAGCCCGAGTCGAGACTACAGTACGTGTAGTTTCCAGCAGAAAGCGTCTGAGCCATGAGATCGCATTGTGTAATTACATGGTCCTGATCAAAGGAGAAGCCAGAGCCGACGTCATTTGCCTGTAGGCCAAATGAGTTCCAGCCACGAGCTGGGGAATTGAAGCCTCCAGATGTGGTCTTGTAGCTAATGACTTTGAGAGGGGGAGATGCCAGAGCGGCACCGGAGACGGCCGTGGCCGCGGTAGCAAGAAGAGCAGGAGATAACATGATCACTAACAAGCTATGGGTTGTTAAAGACTACCGAGGGGGGGATGGTGACGTATATTTAAGCATCCGGCATTTCTGCCGAACCCAATACTACCTTTACTCAATCCTTAGTCTTGTTCCCCGCATCTAGACAAAAACCTTGGCTAGTGTCCTTAGACAGTGTCATCTTTGCTCATGCATGCAGTTAGTTTCCTCTTTAGCTTCAGTGCATCATCGCTCCGCTTTGCGTGGGGAGCTACTGTATTTCTCCAGCAATGGCAAATCGGCCGAAGTACGAACGGACGATGCGGGGGCAATGCTACTTCACGCGGCCATATTTTTCAACAAAAGCTTGCATGGTTAATTAACATTCTTACATGTTTCTTGTACAGTAAATATCCGGCTTGATCACAATCTATTTTCCGGCAAGTGCTGGAACTGTGCTGGTGGCTCGGTTTCTTACACGAGCCTTCCAATATCCCGACGGGTATCAGCAATCTTGCCCCCACGCAGCAGCGGTCATGCATGGCCCGGATTAATGCAGATTCATCGGCAAATGGTTGTACCCGCTAGATTCATCGAAACAAATATGCTTCAACGTCATGATTCAGCGCTCGTCTCTTAGCAATGCCTACCACTCAGAATCTCCACGCTTCAGCTCGCCTTGGATGCATCGGTTTGCCCAATCAGTTACCACCTTGTTGAAATACAAGATATTCCCTGGTTTCGAAAGTTTGTGGCTCTCATCTTCAAATGCAACAAACCGACTGGGCACATTATAGCTCTGTAGGACTTTGAACGCAGCTAGCCCCTGGGTGATGGGCACTCGATAGTCCTTTTCGCCATGAACCACGATTGTTGGCGGTGCGTCCTTCCAATTCTTTAGGCGCTGGGGGCTGGCCGGATTACATTTTTCCAATTCTTCTGTGCTCAGATCTGTCATGTGTACTGGACCAAGACTTGAGTCTTGGGCCGTATCGGTTTCCAGTACAAACGCGGGAAGGTTGAACACGCCACAGATCCAAATAGCAGCGCAGAACTGCGACAAACCACATCAACTCATGTTCTGCTCAAGAGGTTACACACTTCAACATACCTTTTTGGCCAAGTCATGGCCAAAGATCCAACTAACCATGTACCCACCATAGCTTCCTCCACAGAGCACGGCCTTATCCTGGTCAAGGTACGGCACTTGTTCGAGATGGGCCATTAGACAGACAATATCTCTGTACGGGTTTCCTCCCCATTGACCTTGAACCCCTAAAGCACAGTTAGATAAATAGTGGCAGGATCTATCTCTGCCACTTACTCTGTATCAGTTCTGTACCGAAGCCTAGGCTGCTGCTGACATTTGGCAAGACAACAACGTAGCCTTGGGAGGCCCAGATGGCAGGGTTGAGCTGTGATTCGTTATCAGTAATAACAAGATGACTTTCTGTGCGAATTGCATACATAGCGACGCCAAGCATCTGGTGTTGACCCCACGGGACCGCCATGAGGTAATAGGACCCATGGGTATTTCTTATTTTCGTCAAAATCGCTAGGGCGGAGCATGAAAGATTGCATGCAGATTCCATCTGCTCCCTCAAACCAAAACTCTGAAACATTTTCGGTGCTAAGATTAATCTTGGAACCGTTGCCTGTCGCAGATGATATGAGTCGAGGTGGGGAGCCATCAAGATCTACAATCTGGTATGTGCTGGTGTCGATGAAGCTGTTTGATGATACCAGAATGCTTGCCCATTTATCGCTCTTCAGAGGTGAATAATTGACAACAGTACCACCAGTGAAAAAGACATCTTCCTTTGCCCCATCCTTAAGTTCAAGGACGGCTAGAGTAGACCGACCGCAGCGCTCTGTGCAGATAATCAAAACATCATTTTGGTGTGTAAACCTAAATGAAGATGGACGGTTATAATCAGGACCCTCGTCGGTTTTAGTCACCAGCCGGTTGACATCAAAAGCTTGAAGGTCAGTAGTTGATGCCAAATAGAGACGTTTACCACAGATATCCTGGTATTCTTCGTAGAGGAATGCCAAGTCAGTGCCGCTGGGGGAGAGTTGCATGTTTGCTCCAACACCAATGCCCAACCCATCTGGCATGGCTACCCGTTTCGCTGCCTGGCAGGGAGGCATGGTAAATGAGTCTATAGCAGTGTAGTAGGCATACGTATTCCGTTGCGTCTTGACACTTCGTTGGTCTCTGTCAAAGGCAAAAAAGGCTATACCAGTGGCGGAAACATCGTAGATGTCCTTGATGCCACCCGCTTCGTTGATATAGACAGCGACGTCCAGGTGGCTCCCAGGTGTCGCATTAAATAGTGTCGGACCCAGTTCCCATTGATCTTGAGGGTTTTTGTGCAAGTTGGTATACCAGAGTGATCGTCGCTGATCTGGATTGTAGGCGTTGTACTAAACGGCACAATATCAGTAAAAGTTAATGATAAATCTCGTTAGCACCTACTTCACGAAAAGAGATGTAATCAAAAACTCTTCCTGATGTCGTTGTTACCTCTTTCTTGGGGTTGAACAGGTTATCGTGTGCATCGGTTAAGCCAGAGACTGTAATAGCGACAGCACCATCGGGAAGTTGGTGCAGCTGTAAGTCGGAGAGGGGAGCGTCATATTCGCCGAGTTTGACAGAGCCATGATTGAAATTATCTCCAGGTATGACCATTAGAGAAGTTTCTCCAGCTTCTTCTAGATGGAGATATAGGATTTCATTTGTGTCAGGAATCCAGCAAGGCTCCTTAGCCACATCACCGTCCGCGATGCAAGAAGAAGCTCCAGTGGCAAGATTCATGACACGAACTTGGCTAGTTGTTGTTCCCTCTAGATTATATGTAGAAATAGTGTATAGACCTAGAGTGCCGTCATGATTGGGAATCATGGCACTTCTCTCTGGCAGTGTAGCCAAGGCTTCAGGCGTAAGTTGTTGTATACGAACCATGTTTGCTGTTGGACCAACGGCACAGGCATAAAGATATTAATCTAAAATCGTAAAAGATCAAAATGTTGCACTTCATGTAGGAACGTTCTCTCGCCTGTTAAAGTAGTTGTTTATGGAGGATTACGTGGGCAGTTCAATACCTGGCGGGTTACGTAGGCTCCACGCGTTTCCGCCCACCACCCGCCACTAGCCCAGCCTTGAAAGAGGATCATCGAAATAACCCAAAAGGGAATGCGGCTAAATGTCCTGCATCATCGTATTAATTACGCTTTTCGATTAACATTATCTAAAAAAAAATGATGCAAAGTATACCGTGTTGATAGGTTGCTCCAGGCTCTCATTCGGAGCATCCAAACCACTAATCGCACGCCAGTAGGCGGTACTCACCATTTGGGTGAATGCAGCCCCCATCTCATGCTGAATACAAAGATTCAATTTCCTAGTTCATTCTCACTATCGCCTCATCTGTCTGATACTTCATTCTCTGAACGAAAAGACTCCTGGTGCTCGCTCATTGGCTTTAATAAGAAGGGATACGTTTAGCGTGGTACTTACAGCATATGGTGCGACTAGACTTCGGCTCTTTTAGGAGGTTACATCTGCCGGTTCAACAGATCAGCGCACTAATATATATGCGAGCCTCGTTTACGATAGCTATTTAAATATGCTCCGAGTCCCCAAATCGTGGGTAAACTATTATGCACCGTCCTACGGGTCGCAAATAACCCAGCATGGCTTCTCTTGAAAAGAAGCCTGCCGCACCGGCCTGTTCGTCCTCAGATGCTCCGGAAGCACTAATCAATCCGTCAGGCCACAAGCAGGAACTTGAGCGAAACTTCTCTCTATTAACACTCGGTGGTATGGCGATTACGACAGGAAACGCATGGGCGGCCATGGGCGGCAGTCTGGTAGTTACTATACAGGGGCCTTACGCATGAGCGTGATGTATACTAACCTTGGTCCTTACTCTAGGCCGTTGCCGTATATAATGGAGGCCCACCAGGTGTAATATATCAATTGTAAGTTCAAGACCTCAAGCAAAGCCCTTATTGTTTACATTTATCAAAGCGCTAACCCTCACCTTAGCATTGCTGTGTGTCTATTCTATGGCCCGATCTATGCATCCATTGCCGAGCTAGCATCATCAATCCCATCGTCTGGTGGAGGTATGTTTGGATTTTCCAGCAATTGGTCCCATATTAACATTGCATTTCTCACAAGTCTATCACTGGTCTTCTGTCGCTGGTGGTCGCTATGGAAGAATCTGTGGCTGGTTTTCTGGCTGGTGGAATTGCCTGGCTTGGATCTCTGCAGTGGCATCCATTTCGGCCATTCTTGGTACTCAAGCTGTCAGTATGTATGCCATTTTCCACCCTACATTTAGCCCGCAGCCATGGCATGTCTTTGTCAGCTATCTGGCGTGTACTTGGCTATCTTGTGCCATTGTCCTCTTTGGCAACAAGCATCTCCCGTTTGTTGGGAATTTAGGACTTCTCTTTATACTTTCCGGGTTCTTTGTTACAATATTGGTATGTCTAGTCATGCCCAAAGTACGAGGTGATCCATACGCAACAAGTGATACTGTTTGGAGAGAATGGACAAACAGTACGGGCTACTCGAGCAATTCTCTGACTTTTCTGATTGGTATGCTCAACGGAGCTTACACCATTGGAAGCACAGACTGCGTGACACACTTGGCAGAAGAGATTCCCAGGTAAGCTCGGACAAGGACATTGTATCTGCTGCCATCAAGTTTTAACCCACATTATACAGGCCATCTCGGAATATCCCTAAAATCATGGCGGCGCAGTATTTGATCGGGTTTTCCACCGGGCTGCTCTTTGTCATTTCTGTCTTCTACGCAGTTGACGACCTCCCTACAGCCCTTTCTAGTGTCCCCATTTTCCCGCTAGCCGGTTTATACAAACAGGCCGTAGGGACAAGCGGTGGTGCGCTCGGGCTGTTGATCATTGTCTTCCTTCCCACCTTTATTACTTGCATCGGCTGTTACGTCACCGCTGGTCGAACACTCTGGACCTTGTCACGCGACAACGCACCACCATTCTGTAACTTGCTACGACAAGTCCACCCGACGCTACACAATCCCTTCAACGCCACGCTGGTTTGTGCGTTGTTGAGTACTCTGATGGGATGTATTTACGTCGGTTCGAGGACAGCCTTCAACGCACTCATCGGATCCTATGTCATATTCTCAACCTTATCGTACCTTGGAGCTATTCTTCCTCATCTACTTAGTATGCGTCGCAATATCAAGCCAGGTGCGTTTTGGATGGATGGGATGACTGGTTTCATTGTCAATGGCATAAGCTGTCTGTACATTGTGGTATTCATCGTCTTCTTTTCATTCCCCTATGTTATGCCTGTAGGCGCAGACAACATGAATTACACTTCATTAATCGTAGGAGGACTGACCATGTTCATCATCGGCTTCTGGTTCTGGCGACAAGGCGATTACAAAGGGCCGAGAATGGTTGACATGGAAGAGGTCCACGCGCCAGCAGCCATCTAGATCAGATAAGAGAGGATCGAATTTGATTCAAATAGATGCTTTGGCATTGAAAATACCGTAGTAACGCCATTATATGCTGCGTCTATAATACACATCGCTTCAAGATATTCTACAATATACACCAGTATTCGTACACCAACCACGAAAATCAACTCATTTGCGAGCGACAGCAGTGCTAAAGGTCTCGTCCAACAGCGCTGCCATGAAATTTCCAAACCGCTCAGGGGAATTTGCTGCAGCTTTTGCAGGAAACTGCACATATACCCAGATTGTCCCCCGAATCTCCCTGCCTCTCTCCGAGGACTTGCCCGAGGCATCGTACCCTCGTGCAGCCAGAGCGCTATACAGAGCAGACTTCATTCTACGCTGCGTCATTGTGCGAACTACAGCTTTATCCACGGCACCTCCAGAAAATATTACCCACAACGCATCATTCTGTAGCTGCCTCTCATATTTTTCTCGGACAATTGGCATGCGGGCGTGACCGCGCGGGTCAAGATAACAGAGGTCGTGGGGATGTAACACATGGCGGGTGCTGTAGGAGAGCGAGACGCCATAATCAGCCGAAAAGCGTCGAATATCTGGGCTAACCACCCTCTTCATCTTGGCCGTATCGAAGTCGAAGTTGGGATATCTACGAAACATGTCGATGTTGTCGTCGGTCGTTCGCAGAGGTCCCTTTGGTCCCAGGAACTTTATAGCGCATTCAGGGACATAACGCGGCATTGGCGAGGTCAATTTGACATCTGTGCTTTTCGAACGGGAGACATCGCCGGTCGAATAGAATCGCAGGCTTGGGTGTAAGGCTGCCCGCCTGCAGGCGCCAGATACCCTCGACGCGGCCATGAGCAAAACTTGTGCGCTGCCTCTGGTAATCACCGCATGGCCAAATGGTTTAGTTTCGTTTGGAAGGTAGAGTCAGAGCGGTGATTCAGCTCCAAGCTCAGTTGCTAATGGCTCAGTCGTGACTGGTCGAACGAGGGCGTGATGTCGGCGGTGCTGGTGATGCAAGCTTGCTAAGTGGTGGCGGTTGGAAGGTTAGGGGAGTGACCTCACACTGGCGTGGCGGGCTACAAAGGTACTTCGGAGCATACCAAATGTACACCAAGATTCCATGTACCTTCACATCTGATCGGAAAGGGCTCCATTATTGGGCACATGGGCCACTGAGTCACAGTGGAGCCAGTGGCCGGGCGCCCACCAAGCACCCGCCTAAATAAAAGAAAAGGTAAAAAAAAAAGAGAAAAAAAGGCTAGCTTCAGCAATGACGCACAAAGCGGACAATGACATGTGCTGTATGGGAAGGCGATATTTTTGCATAGTAGACTGTATACTTAGTAATATCTCGTAAATTTTAAAAGAAATCCCTACTATTATTTTCCTGCCCAAGAATTTTTCACAGTCTGACGCATCGTCGCTCCGCCACTCACAGGCACCACCCTGCAGCGCACTGGTCCTCTCCCTTACAGCACACCTGCTACAGTGGCTGTTGAGCTGCCTTGCCGCCCAAACGTTTGGCGCTGTGGAGACGCCCGGCCTTGCCTTTGCCTGGTTTTTTCTTGCACAAAACCACCAAATTTCGCCCGCCCTCTTTTCCGCTCCCTTTCTTCTTTTCTCGCGACAAAACACTCCCCCCCAAAACCAACACATTAAAAGGCCGGCTTTTCTTCCCCGCAGCGAAGAAACAGACGCAAAGATGCCTAAGAACAAGGGAAAAGTACGTCTCTATTTCCCCCCTTCTCTCCTCAGCCAGCATCTCGCCCCCCCTGCCTCGACTTTCCCCGCCCCCGCCATAACCCCTCCTCGCCGCGCTTCTCGACGCGTCATATGCCTCGAATGTAGCGACGATGATGATACCCCGAAGCCAACTAGCAGCTATTCCATACCGTAAACAGTTCTGCTAACAATATTTCTTTTTTTTCCCGTCTTATAGGGTGGCAAGAACCGAAGAAGAGGTACCAAGGAGAACGACGATCAGCGTCGTGAGTTGACCTTCAAGGAGGATGGTCAGGAGTACGCCCAGGTCGTCAAGATGTTGGGTAACGGCCGTCTCGAGGCCCTCTGCTTCGACGGTACCAAGCGTCTCGGTAACGTACGTCTCGCCCCTCTCGCCGCTGTTCGATCCCGTTGCGCAAAACGACCTGCGGCGCGTTTTTATACGGCCGCACGTGCACCGAACATAAAGCAGCCTCTTTTCCTTTCACTACGTAGTTTACTAGTTTACTAACATGTTTCTGTAGATCCGTGGCAAGATGCGCAAGAAGGTCTGGATCAACCAGGGTGACATCATCCTTCTCTCCCTGAGAGATTTCCAGGACGACAAGGGCGATGTTATCCTCAAGTACACTGCCGACGAAGCCCGTACCCTCAAGTCCTACGGTGAGCTCCCCGAGCACGCCAAGATCAATGAAGCCGAACAGTTCGGCCAGGGCGAGGAGGGCGAGGCCTACTTCGAATTCGGCGATGCCGACTCCGATGACGAGGACGACTCTGATGAGGAGAAGGCCAAGGAGATTGACATTGACGACATCTAAAGCGGCGGCTTCCTTGACAAAGTCTCTTGGAGCCCCTTAGTGTTTGTCTTTGTTCTTGCTCTTTCTTTCCTTGCACCTTCACAACCACGCTGCGCTCTCGCTTGGTTCCCCGCAAACGTGCGTGTGCGCAGTACAACTCAATACTCTACTAGGCTGTCTTCTCTCTCAAACCAGCCGCTTTCTTGCATTCTTATTTAGGGTTCTTCTAGCTAGGATGTGTGGCTGGTCCCACGACAGTAGTTGGGGGTGTAAGCTTGGATGGGCCGTGGTGGGAGAGACGTCGCGGCTCGTCGAAAAACAAAACTCTGTTAAAATTCAAAGAAGAATAATAACAAAAAAAACCAAATAAAACTTTGGTGTTCTGATCATTAAACCAACATGTCCAAACCACCTTGCTTAGTATCGCGTGACTCTAGACAACATCTTGATCAACATGATATTCATTCCATTGTTTTATATATGTACCCTTCCTAACCCTTCTTCCTTCCAGGCCAATCCAAGAGCACCATTATCCCATGCCACATTTTTCACCATTGCTTTAGCATCCGTAGTCCACATGTACCGGTTTTGGCATTATTTTATACACGGCCTGCGACGAAACACTCTCCGCATCTCAATACAAGGCTATTAGGAGAGAATGACGTCGCCCAGCATCCAGCAAATAGTCGCTAGCATAACTGTATTTTTGTCGTATACTTAGTCCCAATCATCGCCGTCGTCCTCGTCATCTGTTACGGTTAGTCAGTTTCACTGCGTTGCGTTTGTTTTTAAGGTTAATGGACAAAACTTACCACTCTTGCTAACTTTATCCTTGCGAGCTTTGAGGGCTTGCGCCAGCGCGTCGGCCATGCCACCGCCTGCTCCAGCAGCTGCGCCGGTAGCAGCAGCCGAAGCAACGGAATCACCAGCGCCGCCAGTCTGCGCGGAGCTGCGATCTCTGATCTCGCTCTTGTCAACCTTCTTGAGAGACATGATGCCTCCAGCCTTTTGAATGTCTCCAAGCATAGCAGATCGTCCGGCGTTGGCGGCGGGAAGTGATGGAGCTGGTGCACCACCCGGAGGGGGAGGAGGGGGGGCAGGAGGCCCAGAGTCGCGACTTGGCATTGGTGGAGGAGGAGGAGGAGGAGGAGGGACTCCCGAATTTCGGTTCGGCATGGGAGGAGGGGCAGGAGGCCCAGAGTCGCGACTCGGCATTGGTGGAGGTGGAGGAGGAGGACCGCCGGTAGGAGCTCCGGACGAAGGTAGTGGCGGAGGTGGAGGAGGTGGAGGAGGTGGAGGAGGTGCACCAACACCAGGTGCTGGAGGCATTGGTCGACTGTTTGATGGGGGCAGAGGAGGAGGCGCGCCGCCAGGTGGTACCTTTGGAGGCAACGGGGGCGCATCGCTGACTCTAGGAGGAGGCGGCGGAGGCACGGCACCCCGTGATGGTGTAGGAGGTGGAAGACGTTGGCCACTAAAGGAGGGAGGAACGTTGAACTTATGGCTTTCGTTCTCGATTTCAAGAGGTGTCTTGGCTGGTCGGGGAGGAGGCGGTGGTCCGGCGGACGGGGCGGCTGCTGTCGGCGCGGCTGGCCGCTTGGGCTCTTCGACAACATGCGCAAATCTTCCAGCATCGGCCAATGGAGGGGGGGCACTGAACTTGGGCCGAGTAGCTTCTGGAGGCGTAGGGGGCTCGACCGGTGCGGCATCCGTCTTGCCTCCGCGTCTCGGGGCCGGAGGTGGCGGAGGGCCGCCCTTCTTGCCGGTAGATGCACCTCCAGGAGGCGGTGGTGGAGGGGGCGCTCGTCCGCCTCGCGAATCATTACCATTCGGTCGAGAAGGTGGAGGTGCTGGCGGAGCGTTGTGTGAAGGAACCTTTTGCTGTTCTTCGCGGAGAAAGTCGACAATGAATTCTTGGTTTTCGCGAATGAAGTCGTCAGTCAGGCCCTTGTCGCTAAGATCCTTGCCAAAGTGTTCGCGCCAGAGCGGATCAAAAGCATCAAGAAGAGGGAAGTCAGAATGCGGCTGGCCACCATTCATTCCGGCGCCAGGATGCGGAAGAGCATGCGCCTTGGGAGGCTCCGGTGCAGCAGATGATGACGAGTGTCTGCTAAACAGGCCACCGAGGAGGCTAGGTTTCTGGGGTTGTGCGCCGCCTCCGAATGGCGTGGATCGCGTCGCTCTGCTGGCATTCTTCTCTCGGTCGTCCATTTTCTTTCGGAACTGCTTGGCCTCTTTTTCGTCGACGAAGCTAAGGGCCGCAAGGCACTCTTCGAGCTCGAATGTATGGAAAAAGGTTCGGTCCTGGTTGTAGTGCCATGTGTCAAAGATTTCTTGGTCCCAGATAACGCCTCGGTTGGAAGGCTGATTGACACATTAGCAAATCAAAGAGCAAAAGTTATATATCACCAGTTCAGGTTAGGCTACTCACCGAAATATCCACCATTTTCAGCCAGTACGTGTTGCCAACCAAGTCATTAGCTAGGACAACAGCGCCCTGAAGCCCCGTATACGTCCACTTAGTAGGATCCGGATGGGCAACATAGAGTCTTGCGACGGCAACAGCCTGGATCTTGTTGGACTGCTTGGGGACAAAGCGCTTGACGGTGTCCTTGTCGTCATCGTTGAGGATGGACGGCATGGTGACGAATGCCGTCTGAGGGGGGAGGTTGCGGGGGAAGGAGGAGAAGCGGCTGCGTCAAGCTTTGCAGCAAATCGGGCTCGGCTACAATGGGCGCTATGCTGTACACACTCAATAAGCGACACCGTCTCGAGCCGTCGATAAAGGTGAGGAAGCCGAGAGACTGGAATAGAAGAGAGACGGATCGTCCGCCGGGCGTGAGCAAAGGAGGACATGAGGTGGATTGGGCGGTTGGGCCATGTGGGGCTGCAGACGTCCAGGCTGCCTGCCAGCTCGGCGGAGGGCAGCAGCTGCGGCTGCTCGTGTGCGTGCGTGTTTGCTGGTGAGGCGCTACCAAAAACGTAATACAGCGTGCGTCATTGCTTAAATGCGGGCGTGACTCCACTGTACCCAGGCAGCTGCCAAATTACTACGCATGTTGTAATAACATAAAGCGACAGAGAGTGAGGGAGAGATGATATTTTGCTATATACTGGCTTTATTTTATTTTAATTATATCCAAGAAAATATGAGATCAAGTCTGTCGTCTGGCTTTTTCCAACATACATCACACAACACTATTAAATCCATAATCGTATATACATCAGCATAGCAACCAGCACCATGCATATGTCACAATGATGAGGCATCCTACGCCTCCTGCTCACCATGTGCTTGGGCCAAACGATTGGCCTGCAGCTAGAGGCAAGTATACGCACTCACCAGAACCATCACATCCTCTGCGTAGGACGTCGTTACCCCACCAATGGAGGTTAACGGGATGGAACTGAAGGCCGAAGAACTGTACGAGGGCTGAGACAGCCACACCAGCCGACAAGGCAGCAGAGAAGGCATAGTTGTACTGTAATCAAGAGGTTAGCTTCTCAGTATCAATATAAACGGTATTGCAAAACTCTTACCTTGGACCAAAATGCCAAGCATCGCTTTTTGACATACATAAACGATGCCATGGCGATAGGGACAGCTGGCCAAATAAAGCTCAGATTATACGGAGCCCACGAGATTCCTCCTGTAAGAATAATGACAGGGTGGATATTTCGAAGAATGTTGTTATTGGGAAACTTTTTGGAAAGGTACCAAAAGGCAAGTACCAAGGCGCATCCGAACGGAAAGCCTGCCAGCGTGGCCGTATACATGCCACCAGGACCCCAGAGCTTTCTAGGCCCAATGGTGCCCCAAAGAACAGCAGCAGTAAAAAAAGTGTTTTCGTTGGGGCAGGTAAATCGAAAAGGCCCTTCCTTGGTACAGACGTTCTCAATGTCGAGCTGATACACCATGATGCCGACACAGACAAACGTAGAAACCACAGTGGGAACCATCTGTGCCCAAAACATGATTCGAGGGGGAATCTTTGAGTAATGTCCAATCTTGAGGTCACTTGTAAACGTCAAGGCCTGCAGGCATACGACGTAGCCATAAGTCTTGAAAAACGACATGCCAATGGCATTTCCTTCAAAGATCACACCACCAATGAATTCCGCCAGGACATTAAGAGAGACCTGTTGGCCAGTCATGCCGTAAATGATGCCGATGGGAATGATGAAGATGGCACACATAATTAGACCTGCCACAACAACTGCTGGGCTTGCGCTCGTTGGCCAGTGGCTGATGGCGACCATGCCAATGACAGCGGAGGCGACCAAGCAGATGAGGTACCACCATTCGGGCACCTCCTTGTATTGCCTCATTAGGCGATTATGGATATCCATGGTCAATTCTTCGGTTTCGTCCTCGTCCTTCTTCTTATTCCATGGCATATCTCGCATCAACCCCTTAAAACCAAGGGCGATCTCGCGCCAATGATAAAGCGCAGTGTATGTAAGAGTTGCGGCGTAAAGTGCAAAAAAGAAGAGGTAGACGGTGACTACCGCAGCAGACAGATATGCAGGCGAGTACTCTTGGTACTTTTTAAGGTCGAAAATGCCACGCTCATCCACAATGGCGCGAACATTGAAGACCTTTCCAAATCTGTCATATGGCAGATTCATGTTAATCGGGATGTGGCCAGTGTAGTAGGTGTTGGTGTAGTATAAACCGACAATGACAATCATGCTAAAAACGGCCCCGAGAAAGTAGTTTAGGGTAGAAAATAGCGGATAAAGCAGTGGCTGTGTAAGAGCCGTCATGACATTCCAGTCAAACGTGACAATGGGGTTCAAGCCAAGGCCGGTTGTACTTCCAGTGATTGTGGCGAGGGCTGCATTATCCGGAGCTATCCAGGCCATCCAAGAGAAGAGACTCAACCCAGTAAATAAGTAGTTGGGTAAGAAAAAGTAAAAGAACATGGCAACGAATGTAATCATAAAGAGCTTAATTCGCGACATGTGCCATACGCGGCCAAACGGACCTTTGACTGGCTCATCCGAGGTCGTGTGAAAAGCGTTGTTAAGAGCAATGGTAGCCAAAGTTGTTGGCCAGATGAGGTAAGATGGGTGGACGAGGAAACGGCGGCATATACCTGCCATTCCATAGCCGATGAAATTTGCGGAGAGGGCTATGCAGATTTGGTAACCAAAGTTCTTGGCCCAGCTTTGACCAAAATAGCCAGGAAGGGCTTGGATCCAAACAACACCATTGGTGTATGGCGCTGTGTTTGCAACAGTCGACATGACGGTTACCAACATGTGCTCTTTTCTATTGAAGGGGCCAGGGTTCAGACTGTGGCGAACACCCCAGAGAGTAAAGCCAATGTCGGGCAGGACGGAAGCACAAAAGTTTCCGAGCGGGTAAGAAATCAGCTGTGGCACGGTACCGTAGACGAAAATGGCCGGCTGTCGAATTTCGAAGAAGCCGTTGATGAAAGCAACGCAGCCGCAGAGTATAAAGCCGAGAAACCATGCGCGGATGGTAGAACAGGGCATGTTGGGGTCGTCAACCTTGGGAACAACGGCTCGAATCTCGGCATAGGGTGAGTTGCCGGTGATGAGGGCCGCTTCGATTTTCATCTCGTTGATTTCATGCTCATGGTTTTCGGGGTTGTCGAAGATGTCTTGGTTTGCTATAATCAAGGCCAAGGTTAGTGGTGGGTGGGAAGACAACGCAAGGTGCGTGGATGCGTGCGTACCAAGAAACTCTTCGATTCTTTGGATGACACTAATGGGGAAGTTTGGATCTTTCTTATGCTGTTGATAAACCTTGGTCATGAGCTGAATGACACAACAATGTTAGCCGTCTATGTTCTCTAATTGTCTGCGCCAAACGGGGGACGGTACCTTTCGACAGCGCTCCAGCGTAAAGGTGGCCGCAACATCCTTGGCCTCGAGGAGGTCATCTTCGGTAGCGCCAAGGTCGTTGGCAATGGTGTCGACTTCAACGGCATCGGTCAAGTTGATTGTCTTGGGTTCCTTTTCTATCGTCTGGCTCTAGAGAAGCAGGCTCTGTTAGCAGAGGGGCAGCGCCGGGAACCGCACGAGGGGAGCGTTACCATTGCAGATACGGTGGAGTTTGAGTCTGGAGACCTAGTGATCGTGTCTGGCTGGGGTGCCATTGTGAATGATGAGCCTGCAGATGCTGGCTGCTGGCGAAGACGAAGCAGAAACAGCGAGTGTGGTGGTGGTGGTGGCAGGTCAAGAAATAAAAGAAGATGGGCATGAGGCTTGTACCTACAACCAGCCGGCGTCGCGCACGAGGGGAAAGCCGAGAGAAGTGACCAGAGCCTCGCAACGACAAAGGGAAAAAAGGGTTCGCCTTTTGGCTATGTTGATTGCGGTACTGTTGTTGGTCGCATGGGTACAGCAGTAGCGTGGGCTCGGCCCCCACCCATCCCATTCGGATTGCCCAACCCAACGCCCTGAAGAAAATCCACGGGGACCCACGACTCGGGGATCTTTTTTGCTGGCCGTGCTAAGGGACTACGTAGTAATGCCTGTGATTCGCAGCTGCGGTGGAGTATCCTGCCATCCAACAGTTTGGCCGGGGTATTTCTGTTTGTCTTGCCTTTGCTCTCCTTTGGGTCATGGCAGGCCGTTAAACTTTTTGCGTGGTGGTTCACCATGCAGCCACAATGGTTTTGGGGGCTTTTCGGATGGTGGCGTGGGATCAGCCGGACGGGTGATTGGTAGCAGAGATTTTTTTTTCCGTAGCCGTGCACCGCGTGTGCGGGAATAATTACAGTGAGCGCCACAGCGGGTGACGACCGGCATAGAGAGCTGCCGGTTGAACTAGACGGCGCGCAGGTATATTAGAGCCAGCCTGAAAACCAGGCTGGCTGAGGCAAAAAGTGTTTCTTACTCGGTACAGACACGGCGATGCCCAAATAGTAGAAGTGCAATTCAATGGTACCTCAACGGGGCCGTAGAGACGAGATTCTTCTGGTCAATAATCCTATAGCATATAAGTTAATTCACTACTGGCAAACACCACCATCACCACCGGCATCCTCGTATCCGCTGCCCTTATGGGAATAGCCACTGAACTGTATTCAACTGCTTCACGTCACTCATTTCTCCTTGGTCTTCTCGTGCTAATTACTACTCTATGCAGCCAGCCCACTTGCGACCTGCAAGCCACACAGCGCGAACCCGCCTGCAAGGTAGGTAAATTCTCTGCTTGCTGCAGGCACATCACATCCCCAACGCTCAATACCCATGCTACAAACATGAGTAGTGCGCGAGCACCGTGCGCCCGATCTCACCTCAGTGCTCAACTGGCCCCCTTCTTAGTGTCCAACTGAGAGTCTAGGCAAGCCACAGGTCACTAGCGCCGGAGGTGTGTCCACTAAAACGATGCCTGGCCCGTCAAGTAATAGTGGATGTACGGCACACCACCACACCAACGGGGTGGTTTCTTTTTTTAGCCACTGAACCTGTCTTTTTTTCTCATCACATTTAGCGGAAAGCTTCGCCTGAACGGCGGGCCCCGTTGGGTAGCATCGGATGGAGCTGCGAAAAACTCTAATCTTGCCGCTGCCATGCACAAAGAGACAAAAAAGACGGGCCGAAGTGCTGCTCCTTTCCTGATGTGATTGTGTTGGTTGTTGGTTGTTGGTTGCATGTGGTGTGAAAAGGAATACAAGATGCGGAGCCGCACGGCGATACTACGAAAAAACGAGTTGTCAATCATCGAGATCGGCATACCCAACGTCAGTGCCACTGATTTTATGTACAAACTCTGTTGTACAGTTATGATAGCCTCGCAGACCTAGGTGGTAGCTAACGGCTGTCACATTGCCGTACGCAGACTGGGGAGAGATACCCTTGCCCATGTACCACCAACACAATCCCCGTTTAATGGGATTGCCCATTGCATTTAATCATATGATAAGTAAGTGATAAGAGAACCTGCCAGCTTCAACACATGTTATTGAATTAGCCTGTGTTTAAACCACCTTGCTTGCGATGCTGCGGCCAAAGCCTGCTGTGCCTACCTGTCCCTCGCTGCCGAGGACTAATTAAATTCACATTAATATATGTTAATTTTGAATGCTTTGTAAATAATAGAGAATCGTACTCTATCATTGGACCTGCCAAAAATAGCCAATTAAAATACCTATAAAGGAATTTCAAACGCAGTTGCTCACGGCCTCTCGTTTGCTCTGTCGGAAGTTCATTTATACATACACGCACACACGCTACCATATGAATGTGATTCTATGAGGCGCAGCACCTTCCACGCCCGCGTATCCATTGAAAGGAAGAAAAAGAGAACAATATCATGCGCCATCGATGAGAAAATGTTAGGGGACGCGAACAAAGTGACGCCACCGAACAGTCACACCCTCTCTTTGTCCTCTCTTTGTTTCCAGTTACTCCTTTCAACTGGACCATGCTATATATAGATCGATAGTAAACTAGAACAAAGAGACCATAGAACATCTCCAAGATGTGAAAAAAGAAAGAAAAAAGAAAAACAAAATGCCTGCGGTTGCGGATTTGTATAAAGTATAAAAGGGTATAGATACAAGCCGACGCCTAGCTTACAGGAAGAAATGTAAAGAATTCTCACATACTTGAAACTTACAATGTTTCCCCAACTTCCTACGCCAGAAGCCCCGGCTGAACCTCTGCCACCATGTGCAGGGCCTCAAACCTTACCATTCCTAAATGCTGTGCCACCCGACATGGAGTTTATCGACATGCTTGGCGAAGGCCTGCACTCTTACGTCTTCCGAGTCCGGATACAAGGACAGCTCTATGCATTGAAAATGGTCGGATAACTTTCTCTTTCCCTATACTTGGCGCTCTTATATGGCTAACCTTTTTCTTTAGTTTCGTTTCTTTGGCTGGGATGAGATAACCCTTCCACTTAACAGAACAATTGTTGATGCTCCTGCCGAGCAGCTCGAACTCATCTATCATCATTCCGACCCATTCTATGCTGAATGCCGCGCCTATGGGCGCCTGCGAGAAACTGGGCATGAAGACTTGTCGATTCGATGTCATGGATACATTCTCCTCTCAGTGCCACAGCTCGAGGCTCTTCAGGAACGATTTAATGACTTTGCGTGGCATATCTACGACCGTACGTTTGCTGATAACGAGGCCATCGCATTGCCGAGGCACATGATGCTTTCTCGATATTGGCACGCGGGGGGTCAACAATTGCCCCCCGTTCGCTGTCTAGTGAAAGAGCTGGTAGAGGACACAAATCGTCCACGTAACATCGACCTTCTGTGTCAAAGTATCGGTAAGTTCCATCAGCTTGGCATAGTTGCCTTGGACATACACACTGAGCAGCTCTATGTCGAACACAGGATTGCCGATTTGAGCTACGCCAAAACAAGCCCGCACATCCTCTTAACCCCTGACGCCTTTCCAGCGCCGCTAAATCCCGATCAGATTGAGACGCTCGAGCAGTGGGTATTTTGTACTGCATATCAAGACTATCAACGTTTGTATGACGTCTCGGTTGCGTTCCCGTACAAGGTAACTCCAGCAACTGCTAGGATGCTTCATACCACAATTGAGTCAAGTCAAGCTAGGCGCCTTCGAGCACCGCGGTGGCGGGCCCTTCCCTTTAATCCGCTGGGGTTTGATATGAGGACAGGTACAACACAAGCAATGCGAGAAGCAACTCTACGTCAGCAGAGGCAATCACGCCAAGCTGGCCAGCAGCGTCTCTTCTCTAGAAACAATCCATGGCGGAAACTCGTGCAACAGCCTGCATTGCGAACAATACTAACCGGAAGGGTACGCTTGCACCGAATCTGTTCAGTGATTGGCGTAGATGGTGGCATTGATCTGCAGATTACGGGCCAACAGCCTCTGCCAAATCCGCAAGATTGGGAAATATAAACAGAATAGCAATCTTATCAGCATGTGCTTAACCGGTGTTTAACTTTGAATATGCATATAGATATACTATAAAGCCAGTCCAATTATACTGATTGATCGTCTACCTGTCGCCCTTTGAGCCGGAGCCTGTATCTGACTCGAAGCTTGCTTCGCTGTACTTGTCATCTTGAAGCTTTTTTTTTTTTAATTTCAGACAGTACAGTTCCTAGCTGTTCATATTTTGTAGTATAGCCGTATTTCTTTTTTTCATAGAGTTGCGCCAAATGTTGAATTGCGTTCCAGCAATTGCAGTAGTGTGAGGGAGTGAGTGTGACGCTGCGCACACGCAAGACTGGCGACGTCATCATTGCCTCCCACGCCGGTTTTCTTAAGGACTACACGCACGCCACACTGCAACTTTTCAACTTGTCATCATCAACAATTTTATTCTTTTCCAACTTCACCACTCAGAATCTATTATTTGCAGCATTACGACTAATTAAACATGGACTCTTCTAAGCAGACTAAGGATGTAAGCTACTACACCACAGCCATCGCCACAGGCAAGCCCCCTCACTAACCACATCTTCAACGCAGGGCGAGAAGCAATTCTCCATTCAACCTGTCCAGGAACCAAAGGGCGTCGACCCCAAGTTCGCCCCTCACCAAGCTCATCCCGGCCCTGCCATTGCCCAAAACCTGCCTGCCCAGGAGGGCACCAAGGAAGACCGTCAGGCCAGAAAGGAGGCTCTTAACAAGTAAAGAGAGCAGCACCAAAGGAGGGGTCACGCCACCACAGAGAGTTGAAGCAGCGCTGGAGATGACGCCATGATAATGATTTACTACATCTACTATGAAAGACCAACTGCAGAATCACCAGGAAACCAGACTTTGTAGCTTCATAGACTTTATTTTACCACGTTAATATATTTCTTCGTACTTACGCATTTCTTCGCCTCATTGGCGTCCCTAGTCCGTGCATGCATGCCCCTCTCCCCCGCTATCCGCCCAGAGCGAGTGCACTGCTCCAGCGATCAGACCCACTGTATTTTCCCAAAGCTTCCGACAAGCTTCAACAACCATTCACGGTCAACTTTGCATCTGCAAGCTGTTTGCCAATTTGCGCCGAATGGCGACTAGCACTGCTCCTCAGCCCGTGAAGCTTTCGCTTCCTCTGGTAAGAAGCTTCCGAATCCCCCTTTCTTCTGGTTATTTAACACGTAGAGTAGGAATATCAGCAGACGCTGTTCCAGGAGCTTAGGTCTGAGGATGAAGTCGTCATCCTTGCTCGTGGCCTGGGCCTCATGCGCCTCGTGACGAATCTACTGCATTCCTATGATGCGGCGGGTAATAATCTCATAGTCATTGTCGGTGCAGAAGATCGCGAAAACGGTTGGATTGGAGAGTCATTGGCTGAACACGCTGCCATCAGCGCAGCACCAAAGGCACGTGGCCTAACCGTGGTTAACACAGATACCCAGAATGTCGGAGCCAGAGAAAAGATGTATGCCGGAGGCGGTATATTCAGCATTACGTCTAGAATCCTCGTTGTCGACTTGCTAACCAGTCTCTTGGATCCGGCGACAATCACTGGCCTGGTTGTCTTGCACGCTGACAGAATCGTGGCAACATCATTAGAGGCCTTCATTCTTCGGGTGTACAGACAAAAGAACAAAACGGGCTTCCTGAAAGCATTCTCTGACAATCCAGATCCGTTCACAATAGGCTTTTCGCCTCTATCAACTATGATGCGAAATCTATTTCTCAAAAAGGCTTCACTATGGCCACGATTCCATGTATCAGTTGCGTCATCGCTCGAAGGCAAGAAAAAGGCCGAGGTCATCGAGCTCGAAGTCCCAATGACGGAGTACATGACAGATATTCAGAATGCCATCATGGAGTGTGTAGAAGTCAGCATTCATGAACTCAAAAAGGGCAACTCTGGTTTGGAGATGGATGACTGGAACCTGGACAGCGCCTTGATGAAAAACTTTGACACCATGGTCCGTCGCCAGCTGGAGCCGAATTGGCATCGAATAAGCTGGAAGACGCGGCAAATCGTCAATGACTTGACGGTACTGAGGTCATTACTGAACAATGTCCTTACTTATGACGCTGTCTCATTCCTTCAGTTGCTTGACACCATTCACGCCGCCCACTCTCCCCCGCCTGGTTCGACTAGACAAACCCAATCGCCATGGCTCTTCCTTGACGCCGCTCAGGCCATCTTCGACACTGCTAGACGGCGAGTCTACTCTGCCAGCCCAAAGTCAATTTCACAAAATGAAAACATCGATGCGCTTCGTCCAGTGTTAGAAGAGTTGCCCAAGTGGAAGATTCTGGCTGAAGTCCTGGAAGAAATCGATCGCGACCTCTACTTTGCCCCTCCTTCGAGAGACGACTCCAACGGCTCTATTCTCATCATGTGCTCCAACGTCGACACCTGTCGTCAAATCAGAGACTATGTGCAAATAATGCACGTCAAGCCGAAAAAGGAAGACGAGAATGCCGAGGTCGACCCCGAAGAGGCTCACAAGCCATCTGCCATCTTCATGATGCGCCGCCGGCTACGCAACTACCTAAAGTGGAAGAGGCAATTTGCCCAAGTCAACTCGAATCTGTTCGCAGAGAATCAAAAGGCAATCAATAGCGCAACAGATGCGCGCCTAGCACAAAATTCACGAGGTGGCAAAGCACCCAGCAATAAACGAAGACGCGTGCGAGGAGGAGGTAATGCCGGGATGGCAATGGGACGTACAGAGACTGGCAGCATTGCTCAGTTTTTCGAGAAACCATCTGAAGTGGCTGATCTTATGGCTGAGATCCAAATCACCGAGGAAGAAGCCAGACAGAAAGAAGATATCATTGGTGACCCTCTCGACGATATGGAAGACTATTTCCAGTTGTACGAGATGCAAGACCTGGTCGTTGTGCATGCTTACGACGGCGACCAAGACGAGCACGTCTTGGAAGAGGTCAAGCCTCGATATATCATCATGTATGAACCAGACGCCGCGTTCATTCGCCGGGTAGAAGTGTACCGCTCTTCACACAACGATCGCAACGTCAAGGTCTTTTTTCTGTACTATGGCGGTTCCGTCGAAGAGCAGCGATACTTGTCGTCAGTTCGCCGAGAAAAGGACGCCTTTACCAAACTAATCAAGGAGCGTGCAAGCATGTCCATCGTCATGACGGTCGATCCCCATGGAATCGAGGATCCAGAGGAGGCATTCCTGCGCACAGTCAATACTCGCATCGCTGGAGGTGGCCGCCTCGCTGCAACGGCGCAACCTCCTCGGGTTGTAGTTGATGTGCGAGAATTTCGGTCTTCGCTTCCCTCGCTGCTTCACGGAAGATCCATCGTCATCGTGCCATGCATGCTTACCGTTGGCGATTACATCCTCACCCCAAACATCTGCGTGGAACGCAAGTCCATCAACGATTTGATCTCATCCTTCAAGGACGGTCGCCTGTTCAGCCAGGCAGAAACAATGTTCCAGCACTACAAGAACCCCATGCTCCTGATAGAATTCGACCAAAACAAGTCCTTCACACTGGAGCCGTTTGCGGACCTCTCAGGAAACCTCAGTAGCATCTCCGCGTCCAATGTATCCTCCGACTTACAGTCCAAGCTCGTGCTCTTGACTCTCGCGTTTCCCAAGCTCCGCATCATCTGGTCCTCGTCGCCGTATCAGACTGCCGAAATCTTTGAGGCGCTCAAGACACATGAAGACGAGCCGGATCCCATCGCTGCCGTCCAGGCCGGCCTAGACAAGGACATGAAGGTCGAGGACCAGGCTTTCAACCGAGAGCCGCAGGATATGTTGGCGATTGCACCGGGTGTGACACCGCAGAATATCAAAAACATTGTCCTCGAAACAGAAAATATCCGAGAAGTGGCCAACATGACAACTGAAGAGCTGGATCCGCTGGTGGGCAAAATATCTGCGCGAGCCATCCACGGCTTCTTCAACCGCAACGTGATGGACGAGGACGACTGATAAACGAGTTACATGATAAGCAATGGGTTGGCGTTTTTATAACGGAGTTTTTGTCTTGATTATGGGATGGTATATACAATGTATTTCGTTAAATATAGCTGAATACGAAAAGTTATTAAAAGAGATGAATGTGTGCTGTCGCGCATCTCCCCTTGTGGCACTCGCTCACGCCACAAATCGAGTATAATACACAAAGAGCTTCTTCGCTTTAGCTCTTCTATAAAATAAAAATAAATAATCCGCCGTAGAGTGCTAAGGTAACCCGCTTAATATGTTTAGTTTATCTCCAGAACCAGCCACTGCTAGTCTTCTTAGCAGGCAAGGCCTTTTGCATGGCCACGCGTCTGAGCATCTCACGATGACGAGAGTCCAGCAAGCCAAGGGCGCCTTCATCTCTATAGTGCGAGTAGCCTCTCTGCAGACCGACACGGTCATCACGCTGCATCTTGACGCGCTGCACCTTGCGCAGCTTGACCAGGCCGTACCAGCACACAATCAGCGAGAAGACAGTCGACATGGCTGTGACAGCGCCAAAGCCCCAGTTGGACTCCTCAATGAAGTTGTTCAAGTTCATACCGTACAAGCCCGCGAGGAAAGTCCCCATTGCAAGGCCCAAGGTACCAACACTAAACTTCAAATCCAGAAGCATCAGCGAGTTACGGTTCGCGTCTAGAATAGCTCGCGAGATCTCCTCGGTGTTACGGATGCCTGAGACCAAGTTCCCTGCCTCTTGGACGATTTCGTCCGTCAGCTTATGGTACGACTCGAGCAGCATCTCGACTTCCGTATGGTCGTCGGTGCCGCGGTACAGATCGTGTGTCTTTTCAGTAAGGTACATTTCAGCAAGATCGTCGTCCGCCTCGAGCAACTCCTCAATGGCATCGCGCACTAGCTTGGCCTTTTGCTCAAACGTGCTGACGCGCTTCGACAAGATCAGAAGCATGCGGAGCTTGTGGCGGTCGATATCGTCTTCGAGTTCGCTAAGGATATGCATGACAGGGTCGCGGACCGCCTCAAAGTCTGCTTCGAGCTCCGACGTGACGGATGTAAGCACGGCTTCGAGGGCGCGGAACTCGTACGGCAGGCCGGGCGATCCGGGAGAGCTCTTTTGCTGAAGCTTGCCCTGGAGGTCGTACATGAATGCCGACTGCGGGTATGATGTCTTGGAGCCGTAGACGTCGAAGAGCAGCACGCGGTCTCGCTTGATGAGGACTTTGAGATGCAGCAGGTTGAGGAGAATGGCGGACGGGCGGACGAGGATATGTGGGAGGTTGGAGGAATCAATCTTGCGTAAATCTCGGGGGAGCAGACCGTACTGTATTTTACATTAGAAACAGAGTAAGAGGGATATAGGGATGGGCCATACCTTTGCAATCAGCTCCGTCTTCTTAAACTCGCCATCGACTAGAATAACTTCTCCATTCTCGTCGACTTCTGTGCAGCGTAGTCTCGGCTCAGCAGCCGCCTTGGCCGTCATGATACGGCGCGCAGTAAACATGGACGAGCCCTGCTCAAAGTCCTCCTGGCCAGGCAGATCCTCCGGCTTGAGGGGTTTGTCGCCCCTGCGCGCCGCAATGCCCCAGAGCCTCTCCTGCCACGAGGGCGGCGGCTGTGGTGATTCCTTGCAGCGGTCTTGGACCCATTTGTTCCCGGCCAACTTGGATGTGCTAAAGTATGCGGCGTTTGTCTTTGCTGTGTAGATTCGCGATGTCGAGCACGCCGTGGGGAGGCAGGTCCGGGGGGTGGCAGCAAACGGGCTCGCCTTTGTTCCGGTCCTCGCAGACGTCGTAATATTTCGTGAATGTTTGCATCGGCCTGTAGTCGCACCTAACACTGGCGACACGGGGAAGGCATTGTCGCTTTGTGATCGCAAGAAGCGCAGCAGCGTCCTCGACGGGACAGGCGGGCGAATTGCACACATCGCTTGCTTGCTTTGGCCCGCGCACTAAAGACAAACCGCACACACGCGGTGATGCAGAGTCTTTGAATGCAGCCGCTCTATAATTATGCAGGCGAGCGCTGCTGCAAGATTCTGGTCGGCCCAGCAAAAAAGCAGAGTTCGTAATTGTGATGCTAACTCCTTTGTTTGCGCCGCCTCCCCGAAACTTTTTTTTTTTGCCGGCTGCGTTCAGCGGGCTTTTCGGGGGTGGCGGCCGCTAAAAGCGCTGGCGGCACGTGCCCGACAGTGGAAACCGCTACAAGTGATATGGGCCTACCACAGTCCACCACCTTGAAAGACTCAACCAGTTATTCAACTCAATTCTGCATATCAACATCTCATAAATTCCATGGAGCACATCCGCAACAATGCCGTCTACTTCCGTGCAAGTCAGAGGTAAACGCAAAGCACCATCAGCATCCCCCCAGCACTCCGACTCAGACCGGCCAGCCAAAGTCAAGCGCTCCATTGCCCAAATCAAAGCGTCACGGCTCGCCAACCCGCGCACAAAACTAGAGTCCCTGCCCACCGAGGTTCTGGAAGATGTCCTGCTGTACAGCTTAAATGTGGCTTTGCCTCGCTGCAGCCACCTGATTGGCGCCAAGCTGTCCGATCGTGCAACCCTCATCCGCTTCTGTCTTGTTGCATTCGATAAGACGTGGGATCGGCATCTCGGCGGCAAAAGTAGGAAAGCCAAGCCTACTGCAGACGCCAAAGCGGCAGCTGACGATGCAAAAGATGCAAAAGTAGAGGTATGATATCCCCTTCAATCTAACATACAAGTAGAACCTACAACTAACTCTTCGTTTCATTTATAGACAGCTGTGCTCGCTATGCCATGGGCGAAGCTCGATCTTCTGCTGCAAGCACAGCAGACATGGGCCAACAGATATAGCCCAAGATTGCAGTACGAGCGCTTACTTCCATGGTCTGCACCTGCAAGTGCTTCGGATCCCCTCTCTGGACCGCGCTTCAATGCACTCGAGTTCTTCAACCAGGACTACGCCCACATGATACACCTGTGGAAAGCAGACGTTTCGTCGCGCAACGCCGTCGAGCCAATGCACGAGATTAATCATCATACTCGTGTACCACATCGACTTATTAACGGGTCGTGGAGTGAGGAGCAGTTGCGCCGCATCTTTTGGCTATGGCGAGGCGGCCTCAATGTGCCTGCGCTTGTCCGCGCCATTCCCTGGGAGTACCGCTTGATGGCCTTTCGCAACGCCACGCGCGATCCGTCCGATCCTCCGTGGGCTGTGATTAAATGCATCATGTCGCATAGCACTTACCTGGACTTTCCTCTTGAAGCTAAGCGAGCTCTCGCTCGAGAATTAGACGGGCGTCTTGCGGCATACAACAAGCTCATATCCCAGGGTGAAGCAGAGGACTCCGATCTCGCACATAAGCTCCTGTTGTATTATCGTGATCTAATCGAGTCTTGATACAAGCACAGCATGTACTACTACCACCATATACTGTAATACATAGACCGTACATAGTCTGCATAGTAACGAATTTATGAGCAGCAGCCAGCTACATCAGCCACGCTAACGCCGACGATGATGACAATCCATCCACGTCCTCTGATTGAGTGAGAATAATTTACAACTTCTACAGTCACAAACGAATGAAAAGTAGTTTTAAGGTGGCCATCGATTATATTGAGCTTCGAACTGTGACGCGCTTCAACTACCTCCGAGGCACGTACAACCTCGTAAAGAGTTCCACGCATCTTGACGCTGCAACAAGTTGACCCAAACACTTTCGGTAGTCATACACAGGTTTCCGTCTGCGGACAACCGACCCCTCGTCCCCGTCTAGTAGTAAAAAACAATAATAAAACAGTCCTTAAAGTCAATTCCTCCTCCATCCTATATGTACCTTTGTTGGTAGGATGGTGTGTGCAATGATTAACCCATGCTTTTTTTATGACCCAAATGCCAATCCGATGGATGCAAAGTCTCCAAGCTTCTCGTAATAAAACAAAAAGAAAGTGCTCAAAGACGAAACAAACTTCAAAAGGCAAAGGGTATAGAAAGCCCGTTAGCTTGACTCCTTTCGCCGCCCAAATCTCAAAATCGTCAGAACAAAGAAAAGTTTATGATGTTGCCTGCAGGTATTGGGGCAGCGTGATAATATATATATATTTGTGTTGGCGAGCCAGGCCAGTGGTGTGTGAAAGTTGGCTTCGCACCTAGTTCAGGATACCATCCCAAACACCGTAGGTCTGGTGGTTGAGGGCAGGGTGAACAGGGCTAGGCTGGAAGGCAATAGTGGCCTCCGAGGCGCAGCGAGCACGCTTGCGAGAGTCGTGCACGAGCGAGGGGTGCCATGTGGCTTGATGGTATTCGTCGCCGTTGAGGATGCTGCGGACATTGTCCTGGAGGAGGCCGTCTCCAGTAGTGGAGTGGCTGCGCTTGCGGCTACCTACAATGGGAGTGGACTCGGCAGAGTGGACATCCTGGCTGTGAAGATACTGCAAGGCGCGGGCAGCATCAGACGCGGGGTCTCTTGTCATGGCCTCGAGAGCCGTGACCGGGCCGGTGCACGATTCGGGAGACGACGAGAAGAAGCGCTCATCGTAATCCTCGGGAACAGACGCAACGCTGGGCTTCATGCTGGCTCGCTCAGTAACAATCTTAGCCGCTCGGAATCGCGACGAAGCCATCAACTTGGAGTTGAGGGTCGCGCTAGCGAGGGATGAGACCGATGAGATCGAGGACGAACGCGAAGTGCGCGAGGAGTCGGAGACCATGGATTCGGGGGATGAGGCAGAAGAGACAGACATGGCGAGGGATGAACGGCGGACAGGGCAGTAGCTCTGGGGAGAGGAAGTAGCAGAGCTGGGGAGGCGATCCAGGTGGTTGGGGTTGCAGGTAGTGTTGACCTGGGCCAGGGCAAGGCCCATAGCAGAGCACTTGGTGAGCATATGGGAAGCTGCTCCCACGGCAGGAGTGCAGATTCCGCTGGTTTGCGGGGTGAGGCGAGGAGTAGGAAGCATGCCAATCGAAGGGGCCATGCGACCAGGGGGGTAGCCGGCAGGTTCCGAGGTGATGGGGACAGCAGTAGGCTTGGGGGTGCTCTGCGAATCGACAGACATAAAGGCCTCCTGGGGAGGGTTCAGAATGCTGCGGGGGGATGAAACGCAAAGGTCACTGCGCTTAGGGCTGAGCGGTCCGACAGGGATAAGCTCCTCAATGTTGGACAGGTCAGGGTTAAGCTTCAGGATAAGCTGTCGCCAGTCGGCAGTCTGCTGCGAGACAGTCTGGGACACAGCACCGGGAGAGGGGGGCATCTGGGGAGGAGTGTACTTGAGCACAATCTCGGTCCAGCGCTGGAAAACCTCGTCGGCGATGTGCAGCTTCCAGTTGACAGCAAGCAGGAAAGCCATCTCGTTCTGGTTGATCTCTTGAGTGTTGAGTCCAGAAATCTTGCTCCAGGCGCGCGCAGAGTAGTTACGGTCTTGGAGGTACTTGGAGGCAAGAATCAGGGCAGCCAGGAACATGCGACGGCCGCACTGGAGAGCGCGGTCGGCGTGGCGATCCTCGGGCTGCTCCATGGTGAAGTCATGCTGGGGGACATGGGGCTTCACCAGGACAAGGTAGTAGAGGGCTACTTGAAGTGTAGAATAGCTGGTACGAGAGCGGCGCAGAGTCTCCTGAATAAAGGTTCGGAGAGGCAGAACCGCCTTGCTTCCTAGCTCGCTTCGGCAGGCAGCCGAAGAGAGAGGCCAGATTGTCTCGACAATTTGCGTAGACGAATCTGCCAGCGACTGATTAACATCGGGTCATAAAGGAAAATCGTTAGAAAAGAAGCTAAACATACCAACTAGGCTGTCGACAAAGTTGACCTTGCGGTCGCATTGTCGGACAAGAGCCGGGGGGCAGGCGCCTCTGGCGCGCATACCAGGGCCAGAACGGCGAGGGTTCTGGCGCAACTCGACAGGGACTGCAGCCTCTGTCTTGTTTTGGAACATAGAACGACGATGCGCGGTGGCATTGTCGGCGCGGGCTGACTGCTTGGAGGGACAGAAAGACTCGCAGGAATCGGAATCCGAGTTGGAAACTGAGGTATCGTCCGAAGACTGGGAAGCGGTGTCGGACCACACTGATGCGGCGACAGTAGAGGTAGAGGTCAAGGAGTTATAAGAAGCATATTGCTTGAGGGAGGCAAAAGACGGGGAGGCATAAGTAGCTTCCGTCATCTTGAAAGATATTATAATATGTAGCTTGATGTAGATTTCAAGCCACTGTGTATGATCCAGTCACCGTCTGGCTATGTCTGGCCAGAGAGACTTTCCGTGTGAAAACCGTTTAACAAATTCGCGTGAACCGAGTCGAAAAGTGGCGTTGCGCTACAGCTGAGCAGTAGAGCAATATCCAAATATGTGTAATTGAAGGTGAGCACCTAGACAAGCATGCTAGTCGAGATGTTCTTCACACAAGTAGTAAGACTGGTAGACGAAGCAGAGACGGTGACTGGAGTAGTAGTAATGCGGGTTGCAACGCGCATATCGACAATACTTTTCAACGGGGAAAAAGTAATGTAGGACGGGAGAGCTTTTTAACAAAGATCAACCATCAAATAGCGAGATGTGTCCAAAGAGGATAGAGTCAGAGGGATGTCGACGTGATGTCGGGGAGTGACGACGTAGAGTGGCGAGGGGGAGGAGGTGAGCAATGCGGCTGCAATGCGTGACGTTTGTCGACGATGTGGTCGAAAGTGACAACGACAGCTATGCAGGTACAGCAACGGCTGTCAGGGCCCTATATGCAGATAAACTGTATATATTTAGGCTTCAACCGAGATGTGACTCCTTTGTCCGGCGTGGCCTAAGAAGCAGCGCCGATGAGGTGACAGCCTAGTTCGGCGTGGTCGGTGGATCCCGGGGGTGGGCTAAGGCGTGGTGTGACTCTTTGGGTGCGGGTGGCAAGGTTTGGGGGGCGACAGGCGGTTTCGGAGCGCTAGGGGGGGCCTTTGCCTTCTGGAGAAAGCCTAGCCACAGAAGCGTGCTGGGAAAAAGCCTTGGGAGACGCGAAAGAGAGAGAGCGTGTGTAGTAGTGCAAAGGGGAATACGGATAGCTCAGAAAATAATTAATGAGTAATCCGGGGATTTGACGTGTTTTTGCGAGAGTCTTTCTGCTGTATATATTTTATCACTCGTTTGTCCGGGTGATGAAAAATGGTTGAGCGTTCTGGGCTTTCGCGTGTTTTTGTAAGTCGCTGGTTTTAGGAATCGAATAGTCGTATTTTGTATCCTTTTAGGAAGTCAAGAGGTTCTTTTTGAAGGCTTTTGGTGTTTGCCGCAACAAAATAGATGGAGGTTTCCGGGTTGGATTCGCAAGGAACAAGTGAATGCCGCTGCGATGACGAAGAGTTCGAAAGAGCCGAAGAGCAGCGAGCTAAAGCCGGGTTGGTGATGGGATTAAGCGGTTGGGTGAGGAAAAAATCGAGAAAATTAAAACGAAAACAGTCCGATGTAGAAAATGCGCCGTAGAGCGGAGAGGGCCCGGAGCAGACTTTAGAAAGTCGCTGGGACGATTTAAAGGGAAATTTCGAACTTCATCGCGACGGCTCTGCAGTTCGATGGGGAGGGAAACAGGAGGAGATCGCGGGTCCTGGGACAGTTTTGAGGGAGCGGGCGACTCCAGCCTCTGGGAAGCAGGACGTCCCGAACCGGGGGAGACAGTGGAAGCCTGCGGACTGCGCAGCGAGCGAGCGCCCAAGCCCCCAAGAGATTTCTTTTTCGGGGGGGTGGCCGCAGACCCTAAAAGTGGTTCCTGGGATCCCGTCCAGGCAGATAATTGGATGACCGATGATTTGCCTCCTCCGTGATTGGCCGGGGCCGTCGTAAAAGCGGGGCGCCTCGCCTTGGGCCTCTGTTGCTGGATGCCGTCCCCCAAAAACCTGGCCCCTCACTGGCTCACCAGCGCCGGGCCAGCCAGCACACACACCCTCTGCGCAGTGCGCGGCGTGCACTGTCTGGCAAGCGTCCCCAAAAAAATAAGATGGCTCCATTCTTTCTTAGTCGTCCTGTGATGTGTATGGTCACAGCAGGCTCCACACAGGCCCAAGAATGGACTAGCGCCGCTCTGCCAACCTTTAGCTCAGAGGCAAAAAAGAGTCATCGCTGCTGTTCTGGGTCGGCAGAGGGGACGAGGCCAGCGTAGCCTCTTTTTTGCGTATCTTTTTTTCGCCTCTGTGTTGAAACCAGCCAAAGCCACAAGGAGAGAGCGAAGCGGGAGTCATTGGAGAAGGGGGGAAGCACAACAACCGAAGCAGCAAATTTTCTAGTTCAACACGAGGAACCCTTTTTGCTGCTGTTGCCCACCCATTGTGATGCTTGCCGTGTTATTGTGTTTTTCGTCACAGCGCAGCATGCTCCAGTAGCACGCCGCCATTGCGCAGTACGACTTGACTTGCTCCGAACGTCTGACACCAAAAATGACGGCTTTGGCGGTTGCTTTGGAACATTCTCTTCAGGCATCCATTTTCCAACCGTGCTGCGTCAGTCAGTCACTGGCTCGCACTGGTGCTGTGCTGCTGCTGCAGGGGGGGGCCCACAGTGTGGACCACATCGCGAAGGCCTGAGGAATCGACTTTACGGGCTCTGTCGATGACGGCGGACGGGTGCCAAGTGAAAGAGGTTATGGCCACGGTGTACGTAGTAAGCGTATCAGGTGCAAAGAATAAACTAGAAGAAGTATACCCAAAAGTATTATTTACCTTGGCATAATTTTATTTTGAATAATAAGAACAAAGTATTAAAGAAGTGGCCTGACAGAGGCAAACGCATTACAGGGCCCTTTGTGCGGTATGGCCGCTGCATGCGCCAATCTCCCAGCAATTATATGCATGCCTGCAAACTACGGGTTTGGGCTACAAAACAGAAAGCCGCTACAGGGGTTCGTGGGTACAGTACTGTGTGGTTATTGCCACCGCCTACTGGATTTGGTCTACAAAGGTGCTTGCTTGTACGAAGTAAGTTAGTTGTTCACGCAGCATTTACTCGTTGCTTGCCCACTGTCACTGCTTGTCGTAGTACCGGTCGTTCGCTCTTCGGTATCAGCGGTCCCTGTAGACTGTCGCAGCATAGCTAGCAGACTGGACGGCGGCCTCGTGGGGAAATGGCATCGCAGCATCGGCATCCCCTTCCACTGATGTCTCTGCTTCGCCATGATTATTTTTGTTATTTTTAACTACTGGCGGCGGCGCAGTGTGCTCCCCTCAGCTTTTCACGAAGGGGGTGAAGCAAAGCATGTCCGGCCTCAGCCACAGACCAACTGGATCGGGTGGCCCGGAGGGTGCTCACACCACGCTGGCTTGTTTTGCCTGACACCTGTCCCCCTTGTGTGCACCGCCCCATGTACTACGCACGCCAAGAACAGGCGGCGAGGTACATGTCCTGCAAGAAAGGCGTCGGAGGCGAGGCCGACCGGCGTTTTCAAGCTTTCGCGTTAATGGCCGCGCACAGGCGCGAGGAGAACGTCATAAGCGAAAAAGCAGGGATATATTTTTTCCGTCTATTGGCGAAGAGCGACTGCTTTTCGCCCATGTGTATTTTTTACAAATCCGTATCCTGGTCTTAACTTGTGGCAAATATCATCCTTTCTCAAATCCAGCTGCTGTCAGTAGCCAACCAAGCAAACCTGCTGGTGTCATACCTTACGCTGCTTGCCCCTCCCCCGCCGCACCATCGCACCCCAACCCCCCCTGTAATCCACTGTAAAATCCACCTTGGAGGCTTGTCTTGTCGTGTGTGTAAGTCATGCGTCCTGTGCACAGCGTTGGTGCCCCAGGTCTATGGCCTGATGTGCAGGCTTTTTGGTCTTTACGAGAGGCAAAGAAATCATGAGAATTGCCACTATGGATATTACAGAATGAACACAGTGGCTGTTGTTGTTGTTGTACAGAGTTTGTCCAGTCACCAGGTAAGCTTACACACCCTCTTGACTAGACGCTGGACCACACAAGCAACGTCAGCTATGCTCTATCCTGCGTTGGTCGTGATATATCTACAATAAAAAATTTTGATTGTCATCTAGACACGGGTTATTTCTCTTTGTTTCTATTACCTTCTTATATTCAACTCGCCGTTGAGACATCGCACGAGTGCACGTCCGTCGTTCTGTTCGGTGATGAGTCAACGGCGAGCTCATCAGCCGCCCAAGACTTACGAGGCCATAGAGAAGCCTCAGCAACCAAAGGTGCCTAACAAAGTACGTAATTTCCTTCTAGTCAGCCGCTGGAAGCTCCTTTCATTTTCACGGTTATTTTCGTTCTCAGCCTTGTTTTCGTTTCATGAGGCAAAGTCTTTGGAGTGTCTAGGCAGCCTACCCTGAGTGCAGCTACTATCACAAGTCATGCGTCACAAGACTCCGTAACTATTCAGAATAAACCCAGTCATAGTATTAATATTCAAATCTATATTTCCACGCTCCATTTTAGCCTCCGTTTGCCTAGATCTCTCTCGGCCCAGCTCGCCATGGGTTCATGCAAGTCATCCGCGAGGCTTTGCCATGCACAGCCACCCTGTACACTAGTATGCTCATGTAACGAACGACAGCTACGCTACAAGGAGGGCTGAACACATCGAGCTAATAATTAATTATGTACTGGTGAAATATAGAGAATAAGTCTATTAGTTGATATATGGGCAAATGAACAACTTGTGCTTCTCGGGATCAGAATTGAAGCTCCAATAAATTTCTCCCATTCAAGCTTAAGATATATATGCAAAGCCAAGGTCACTAAGGAATCGTTGGTGAATTCTTGCATCAGCGCCGTTGCGGTAGGTTTCAATGGCGTCAGCATGGAAGACGTTTAGACCGCTGGCAGTAGGATAGATTGTAAGAGATCCGCTGCCAGGAACAGCACGGAAGAGTGAGTTTACTCTCGGGTTTTCCGTGATCAGTTCGTCGTTGCGCTGCGTAAAGTGAATGTGAAAGACAACCCAGCGCTCACCCGGTCTTGATCGAAAGTGTGCCACACTATCGGCATCAGGATCAACGCCAATCTGGGTACCAATCCAATACGCTATCTCCAAGAAGAATTCGTGTGGATGGCTGTTGTGCAAGTCTTGGAATCGAGCATAATGGAAAGTTAAATGGCCTTCTGCGATGCCTTTTAAAATCCGCGTAATCTTAGGGTTCTTCTCGGCGAAATAGACCTTTCGCTTTTCAAGGGAAGCAAGATCATTGCTATCTCGTGGACCAATGTCACCATCGTGCAAGCATAAGTCAGTCTCCGTGGTATCTCGTGTGCGTATCTGTTCAGTCACCGCCGGAAGATCGCAGAGGAAGTCGTCTACGACGTCCCACGGGTCCCGCTCGTGACGATTGACCCAGCCGTGTAACTCTTCAGGCTCTGCCACATTGCGAGGGGTAAAGTATTTTTGCAGCATTGCCAACATTGCTGGAAGAAGCTTAGGGGGTAGCATGGCTAGTGCGAGTGAACTCACAAGCAGACTATACTGTCCAATGGTCATGCCTGATACAGGATTCGCACGTCTCATCTCGTACTCCATGGCCCTGCGCTGCAGCCTGCTACGTGGAGCTGGACATGTAGGATTCTGAAAGTACAAGTGTAGAAGGAAGTCAAGCTCCGCAATTTTGTCAGCCTGTGTCGAGCGAATCTGCGCTGCGGTACCACTAGTGTCCCATTCAGTAATCTCGTCCAGTTCGCCATAGCAACAGTAGCCCTTGTGCGTGTTTGCTGCGCAAGAGTCTGCCATTCTTGCAATCTGAATGGCACCGCCAGAGCAGTTATCCCGACACAAGACATCATCAGGTCCACGGGTAACTGGCAGCGACGGAATGCCTTGGGACCGCCCTTTTGCCTGCAGCAGTAGACATAGTTTCCCTGGGCACACGCCGGTATAGCCCCTGAGCCAATGGGAGATGCGGCAATGGGATATGGGGACTCGCTTGTACACGAGGCCTCGGACAGCGGACCATCAGAGCCGCACATGGGAGCACTTCCAATCCATTTGCACTGCGCATAGGGTTCAACAGCAGGGGATAGATCATAACAGCTCGACTGGTACCCAGCTGACCAGCATGCAATATTATCACTGCCAACCTCGACTTGGCCGTCTTGACATCCACCGTTGCCGCATTGGCCACCGTTGAGGATACCATTTCCAGGTCCGAAGTTGCATTTGGGAATGGGTTGGCTTTTGGGGCAGCAGAATGTCCGGGTACCACAGGCTACCTCATACGTGGTGAGCAATGTATCATGCAGTCGATTATCTACGACCGCAGCAAAACCAACTGGGCAACTTTGGCCACAGTTGGACCATCGGCAGTACTGGTCTTAGCTTGTTTGAAAGGGACGAAGCCCGGATGTCCATGACCCAGGAGAGATCTCGTTGCGGGTGGCGCCGATGGCTCGGCCCAGTGCCAGAGCATCATCGCCTAGGCGAGAATCGTGGCTAATGGCCCAGACCATGACGCCACCGAGACAAGTCGACTTAACAAATTCGGCCTTGATCTTGAAGGTTTCTTCGTCATCAAACGACACCCATTGATTGCCGCCCCATGAGATGTGCTTGACGGCGGCTTCTCTATCGAATGTAGGAGTGAGCCCATTCTGCTGGATGATGTCCTTGATCTCCGTATTGATTAGCACACCGGCCGCGCCGCTGCAGGCTCCAGCATTGCCGGAGGATACAAATGGACATCCAGGTTGTACGCAGGATGGGCTTGCGGCGGTGGCACTGCAGCCATAGAATGCCAGACCGAGAATGATACGCTGGGGATCCACGTTATTGCGCCAAAGCAAGTCTAACATGTCCTTGATTTCCGTAAGATTGGTATGCGCGTTAATCCTATATACAGAAATATTAGTAACAATAAATTTCATCATGATGCAAGTTATGACTTACGTAGCGCCGTGCTCCTTGCCGTAATCCGTCGTCAAATCCCATTTTCCATGCAAGTCATACGACATGACGTTTATCCAGTCAACCGTGGCTTGAAGTTCCTTGATGTCAAAATGCTGCAGGTACCAAAAGCTGATAGGAATCGTAATGGATAGGCCATAGTTTGGATTAGCGCTTTTGATAGCATGTCGAAGACGACGGAGGAAAGGCGGAAAGTTGACAAAATCGGTTGGGCGACCACTGCGATCCGGGGCACCAGGATATTCCCTGCATATACAAAGTTTATCGTCGACTAACATCCCTCTTCTCATCAGATGTTTTGAATGGATTCACCAAAGTAAACAACATTACAGACTTGCCGAAGAATGACCTTTGCTCATACTGCAACATTAACAAGCTCAGTCTGATGCAAGGCTCTCCCTATTCCGGCTATGACAACCAGACAATCCAACAACAGTACAAGTACACAGCAACCAGTAAGTATTCCATTTATATTTTATGTATATTATGTATATTAACGCTATACTCTAGCCTGTGGCAAGAACGATGCTGTCTTTGATCCAACTCCAGGCGGCTTCCACCCCAACAATACACTTCCCCCGGACAACACATGTATCTCCCACAAGAGATATATAACAAAGGACGGTGATTCATGCGATTCTATCGCCCTTGGAAACAATGTTTCGTCTGCTGCATTGTTCTGGATTAATCCCCAGATTCAAAACTGCACCTCCATTCTCCCCAAGCAAACACTGTGTCTCCCTCTATCATGCCCTTCGCTCTACAAAGTCAAGCCAGAGGATAGCTGTATTGGTATCGCAACCGCCAACACAGTTACGAAGCAGAGCCTCTTGTCCTGGAATCCTGCTCTCAACCAGACGTGCGCAAACCTGCAAAGCGGTGTCTGGGGAAGTGTTCTTTGCGTAGCGCAAACACCACAACCTGTAGGCTCTAACAACGGAACTAGTCTTGATCCTTGGACAGGCGGTAATGGTATTGTCACATCCAACGTGACTGCTCCGACGGGCTCCTCCATTGCAGACAAAACAACGCCTCACTGCGGTGGTTGGTACACGGCCATTGAGACAGACTCCTGTGCCAGCATCTGTATTAAGAACGGCGTCACCTATCCCATCTTCCTAGGGTCTAACCCATCGCTACACGACACTTCTTGCGACAAGGATCTGGCTCCCGGAAAAGCATACTGTGTGCACCCATCATCAACATGGAACGTGACTATGGTTGATCGCAGTACCTGGGAATTCAGCAACCAAACATTTGGTGGCTCACTTGGGTTTGCCAACTTCAACAATCAGAAGCTAGGGCCTCTTACTGCCGAAACTCACGGCCAATTCACCACTGACACTCGAAAGCTCGTTATTACTAGCAGAGCCTACACGAAATTAGGCTTTGACGACATATGGAGTGACTCTACACTAGAGGGAGATGTTGACATAAAGTCTGCATCTGGAGCAGCCGGGTTCTTCTTCCGATCTAGTAATGTGACAGATGGACACTACGACTACGATGAATACTTCGTAGGTCTCTCCAATCGAGGGTATATTATTGTGACCATACACTCCCGCGCCAACGGAAGTGACACACTTGCGACTGTTAAGGCCCCAGACATTACCCAGAAAAAAGGACAGCATCACCTCAAGATCCATGTGGCTGCAGATACGATTCAAGTCTATCTGAATGATATCAAAACCGCGAAGGTTAAAGTCAACGACAAGACGTATACACAAGGAACAGTGGGCATTCGCGCAGCTTCATGTGAGAACTGCACGTTTGACAATATTCGTCTAGCGCCTCTTCAAGACTCCGAGATTGCTTTTGACTTTGCAGACGGGACTCTAAGCGGGTGGGAGACGGCCAATACTGACCTCTGGAGCGCCGCCTCCCGGGCCTTCGTGGGCAAAAGCTCCGATGGCGGCAGGATTCTCTCACCGAAAACCATCTCGGGCGACATCACCCTCGAAGCAGACCTCATCCTGCCCACGTCTTCCAACAGCAATGCAGGTTTTATCTTCAATGTGACTGAAGCTGGTCCCGGCGCGACTAACTTCCAGGGCTACTATGTTGGCTTCGATGTTAGCGGCTCTGTAAGCATCAACCAAATCAGCCACGCCTCGAAAGAACTGACTTCGACTCGATACAACAACTACCAGGCGGACAGTGTCTTTCACGTTATGATCCGTGCCACGCAGATAAGCATCTCGGTCTTCATCGATGATATGCAGACTCGTGTTCTAACGACACCCATCACGGGATCACCGCTCGCTGGTCAGTTTGGCATAGCGGTGCACAACACCGATGTGACGGTTAAGAATTTGTACGCATACCCCTCCTTAGGTTAGCTTAACTTGGACATGTATGGTTTTGTCTTTGCCTTTGCGCTTAGTAAAAGTTGATGTGACGTTGGAGGTTGGTGTCCGAGAAAGCCCCGTCGCAGCCTGATACACACCATGTAGCGCGTCAAGCCCTACGCCTTGCAACACAGTACGACTAGGTTTTTAATTCATTGATTTATTCCTTAACTTCTATTGGACAAAAATACATTCTGACAGATGTCACCATTCGCCCCGCCGTATCGTCGTCCGGCGTCTCGTCGATCGGCGACTACCTAATTTAGGTGTAAGGCTCCAAGATACCGCCGGCGACATGCTTCAGACGAGCATCATCCCAAGACGCCTGACTCCTTCTTGTGCCTGGACCGTATATCACCGCACATACGTGATTCCGCAATACCCAACCATGAGTATAATTAAGACAACCTCCGCTGCTGTTGTTGGACATCTTACTCACTTCACTAAGTTACAAGTCTTCTTTACAACCCACAAATTTACGTATTCCATCAAACCCCAGAAAATCTTCTTAAAATATATTCACAATGAAGATCGCCGTTGCTACTCTTTTGCTTGCCACACTCGTCTCCAGCACCATTGCTGCGCCCGTCAACGACCAAGCTCGTGACGTCGCCGAAATTGGCGCTTCGCTCGAGGACGTGCAGGCTCTCTTCCATGGCCAGGAGAACGACGATACTGATTTCGACCAGCTTGAAAAGCGTGCCGTCCTTGACAAGCTCAGAAAAGCCCCTGGTGGCGCGATTAATGCCATTACCATCGCCGACGAGATCTTCGAGGGCATCAAGAAGGTCTTTGATGACTTCAAGAAGAAGCACACGAAGAGCAAGAACCCGCCCAAGATTGCCGACAAGCCAGTTCAGGCTAAGCCTGGACAGACTGCTGGTGGCCAGCCAGCTCAGCCCCCCGTTGCTGATGCCAGCCCTGCTCCCCAGGCTTAAAACATGACTTTATGACTTTTATATTGGAAGGCGTTATTGGATGGGTGGGAAACGTACAGTTATAGGCTTGGGCATTGACATTTTAGCCAACAGAATAAGAAAAATACATTCATCTCTCTTCACATTATAATACTGGGCTCAGATGGTGACAATTGTATATACATTTCATCTATAACAAGAAGTTATCGACTAATAGCTCCATACAGAATATCTCGACAGAACCAGAGACACTGATAGGCTTGCCAGCGCGAGAAGCACCAGAAGACTCAACAATCCATTGTTTAAGTCACGCGCCAATACAACACGTAAACCTCGTCATTATCAAGTCTGACTAACTATTTCACCTCTAAATTGCTTCTTTTATCTCCATCGTTATCGCTTTTCCCGGAGTTCGAGATGGACAGGGCGTCCCTTTAGACTCTCCGAAGTCGGCGCACCAGATAAGCTGCGATATGCCCCGCGATGTTCCGGAACGGCCCACTCCTCCCCGGCTACCTCTACGCCGACATCGCCTAGTAAGGCGCAGCAGGAGACCCCCAAATCGCAAGCTGCGTCATCTATACCAGATAATTACATGCATACGTTCTAGATCATCGAGCATCCATGGTTCTAGATCTGGTGCGTGAGCACATGACTATCTTTGACTCGCAGGTTAGTCACATCACGTCGTGTTGCATGTGCTTCAAGTGTTAACGTAATCATGGCAATTAATTCCCTTGCCGGATAGTATTTAGAGAATACAGAAGTAACTAAAACGAATACATTCAATTTATAGCGATGTTTACTATTGCGGTATACATCTTTATTTCTTAATCCGTACGATTTTGTGCTTGAAGCCAGTACCAAGGTCTACCCATAGACCTTTTAATTCAGAATTCTGCTAATTGGCCAGCGCAACGTGTCCATGGCGATCCATTTAGGAAGCCATGTAAGTGCTGGCATCGACACCCTCCTTGGGGAATTCACTGTTGATTCATATTAGTTTTGTCATTGGCCGATATAGACGGAATGAAGACTTACGGAAGGGCGACTTCGAAGCGCTTCTCAATCTCCTTGAGGACCTCCTGGTCTTGCTCAGAGCTGACAAAGGAGATGGCGAGACCCTTGGTACCGAAACGACCGGCACGACCGACACGGTGAAGGTAAGAGCTGGCGTCGCTGGAAAGATCGTAGTTGATGGCCAAGTTGATACGCTCGATATCGATACCACGTCCGAAGACGTCGGTGGCGACACAGATTCTCTTTTTGAACTCCTTGAACTCCTTGTAACGGCGAATACTGTCAAAAATTGTTAGCTTGTTATGCTCAGCATGTGAAAAGCATCTTTATAGTCACTTACCGCTCCTCCTGGCTGACACCAGAGTGGACAGCAATGGAAGGGAAGTTGCATTCGCGGAGAAGCTTGTCGAGCTCAGTGGCTCGAACAGTGCTCTTAACGAAGATAATAACCTGGTTAAACTGAAGGTCATCAAGGAGCTCGTTGAGCTTTCTGTTCTTCTCCTTCTCCTCAAGCTTGATGTAGTACTGCTGAAGACCGTGCAGGGTGAGCTTGGTGTCCTCGTCGACATAGTGCTCAGTGGGGTTCTGCATGAACTTGCGGCAGATGGGCTTAACCTCTTCAGAGAGGGTAGCGGAAAACATCATGACCTGCTTCTGGGGGGGAGTGGCACGGAAAACATCCTGGACGTCAGTGCGCATGTCTGCAAGGTGGTGATGAGTAAATGACGTAGACTTATGTGGACCAGCGGGCAACTCACCAGGGGTATCAAGCATCTTGTCACACTCGTCAAGGACGAAGATGCGAACGCTACCAAGACGGAGAGCCTTGTCGCGGACAAGAGCCTTAAGACGGCCAGGAGTACCAACAATAATGTGGGGGCAAGTCTCCTTGTTCTTAAGGGTCTCCATGTCGGTCTTGATGGGGGTACCACCGTAGAAGACACCAGTCTTGATGTCGGGCATGTACTTGCTGAAACGGTTGTACTCATCACGGATCTGGTAGGCCAGTTCACGTGTGTGGCACATAACGACGACAGCGACCTCGCCGTTCACAGGTTCAACCTGCTGGAGAGTGGCGAGAACGAAGACAGCCGTCTTACCGAGACCAGACTTGGCCTGGCAGATGATGTCACCACCAAGAAGAGCTTGGGGGATACAGGTTTGCTGAACTGTTGATTGAAATGATTGTTAGATAGGGATATTCCACAAAAAATGGCGAGCGTTGCGAGAGAGTATCAAGGTCCGTCCATCGTTTTGCGCAAGAAGAATTTCATTTGTTCTTTTACCAGTTGTTTGCAAAACATGAGCGGTGTCGTGGACTGTGCTTCGTCGAGAAGCAAATGGGTGTCCAAACGGATCGTGCAAGAGATGAATCGAATATATGCGCTTCATCGTATGCAAACGCGTGCCGCAACAGGATTTCTCCTTTGGCTGGGGCCGCGCAACCGGCTGCCCAAACGGCTATGAATTGTCTAGGTCGTTACGGAACCATAAGAGCCTCGTCATGTTTCAGACGTGACAAGAGTCCGTGTTGTGACCATTTAAGATAGTCCAGAGTCCTCGCATAGGGCGGATCGTTCTCCGGCTAGCAGCGTCTGAATTTTTTCATGCCAACGTCGGCCGCGCGACTCTTGTTTCTTGTGCTGCATGTTCTTGGCTTGCTGATGGCTTGCGAGATGGACGGACGCTTGAGGGATGGAGAGGGTATCGCTGAACTTCAATGACGAACAGCTTGGGGTATTAGATTAATTCAGGACTGACCCTCCGATGGATGTTCGAAACCGCAATCGCCGATAGCGCGAAGAAGCTCGGGCTTCAAGAGGAAATCACGGAAACCAGTGGAATGGATACCGACGTAGCTGCCCTTCTTGTCGACGTTGGTAGCAGCATCAAGCTCGCCCTTCTTGCCGTTGGCGGCGGCGGTCTCGTTGGTGCCGATTTCCTCATCAGAGTAATCGATGAGATCTTCCTCGTTGTTAGACATGGTGGCGGATTGTGATGCGACGAAAGAACTGTTGTTTTGGCGGGGATCGGCGGCGAAGCTGACTGAACAGTGCGGCGCGCGATGGAAATAGTTGTCAAAAAAGCGACTCTAGAGGCGCGAAAAGAAAAAAGTTAGATAGAAAGCCCGGAATTGAAATGCGGAGGGCAGTCGTACTGGTGCAGATGAAGAGAAAGCGGGATGTTTCCGGTTCAAATACCAGAGGAGGAGGGACACTTTGAGCGCGAGGGAGGATGCTGCCGCGCTAAAAGCTCGGGCCAGCACCTTACATGTCACGTGATTGCCATCATCCGTATGCGGCAGGCTGGTCCACCTACTAGTCGCCTCACTGTTTTATGCTAGTGCTAAACGTTTTCAACTGCAGTGGTGGCGATTTACTCTCTTCTGTCTCAGTGTAGCGCCGGAAGGAATCACTCGCAGCCAGATGGCTAAGAGCAAATCTGCACCGGGCGTGCAGAACCGGCATGTCTACAGCAGGGCTTCTTACCTGTATCAAGCTGCAGCCTACCTTGCTTCGCAGGCTGGAGACCATAATCAACCATCAGAAAATGCGCCTACAACTGTTTCTGCCGGAAAACAAACCTCAAATGCTAGCGACGTAGCAAAGGCAGTCCAAAATACTTCTCGTCTTCTGCTGAAAGATATGAGAGAGGTGTCTTTAAAGGTCTTAATCCGCCAGACTCCAGAACTAAAGCGCACCATTTGCCGATCTTGCGACACTCTTCTGCGAGAAGGCGATACTTGCACATCTATAATCGAAAACCTGAGCAAGCGCGGCGAGAAGTCTTGGGCAGATATTCTCGTCGTATCCTGCCATATGTGCAAGGCTGTCAAGCGGTATCCCTTGAACGCGAAAAGACCTGAGAGGAAGAAGCTGAGGCTAGTGGCTGGTAACCACGAAGACAACGGTCCTGGAGGCTGACTTGTCATCGTATGCAGGAAACCCAAGACTCCGTTACAATATGATCTACCATTCAGGTTCTGAAACAGCTTCGCTTCCAGGGACAACGCGTGGGATTAAATGACGGCAATCATGTATTGCAACAATCCATAGGTGGCGCCACGCCTACGCTCTTCCGTCCGACGGCAAGCAGACGCAGCAACCGCTCCATATGTATATATATAGTTTAACTTATAAATCGAAGAGAGGCTAAACGCTCAAACGGCAAGCCAGAACATATAATAATAACGCCAAAACTCCTACCAACCAGATTATGCATATGCCATTGTAGAATCATCACCTTCCGTTGTCTTTAATGCTCTCTTCTCCTAGTACTTTACTCGCAGCCATAAAAAGAGCACCATGCCAGGTACCCAGTCCGCGCATAGCCTCAGCCTGAACACTCGTCATGCGTAATAGATTTTCTGTATCAGAAAGATTGGCTGACAGCTGTGCCAGTTGAGAGTGAAGCTGTGTCTGTTGTCAAAGTCAGCTTGGCACCATCACAGCACAGGTTATTGGGTATTGTTCTGAGAAGATGATTGGAATTCATAAGTTGACTTACAAGCTGGCGTGACTTCATAGCAGTTCCTCCAGGTGTTGGAGCAATGCTTTGTCTATTGCCTCCAATTCCCTTACCGCCACCAACGCGTGTTGCCATATTAGACACGGGCGAATTTAATTTTTTTTTTTAGACAAGTAATAAATTTAGAAGTAATCAAGAAGCCGCTCTTGAGATTTGGAGCGACAGTCTTCCTCTGAATTGGATTTTGTAGTGTATTTACATCGACTGTTAGCACTATACGCGTCTGGCGCGTTGGTTGAGTAGAGTGTCACGTGATCATCACTCAACATCATCATTGTAAATATCACCAAGATGGGCAGTGTAAAAACAAAAATTATCAAGACAGTATTGTTTTTAGTTTTATGGTATCATTCGCTGGTTGCTTTTATAAGCAAGCCGCCTGTATACTCCTAGAGGCTTGTGCAAGCCGATGCCTAATAACATGCCATGCGAAACTAAGTATCCTTCCCGCTTCAATTACAAAATGCCGTCCCAAAGGGAAAAAAGAATAAACAGTCGGCCTGTAGCCGGGCGTAATAAAACAAAATTAATTTGCGGCCGTCGAATTCAGGCCGATTTGAAGGTGTACAGAGAGAATCAGCCACCGTGCCCCGTTGCGGGATGGTGTAAATGAAAGTGGTAGGCAAGAGTGCCTTGACTAGGCTCAACTTTTTGTCCCAACTTTGCCAACGGGCGTAGTCAGGTGTCGCTTTGTATCGACCAGAAGTGAATAGTACTTGAGCCGCCAATATATGTATAAGGATAATGAAAAATGAGTGTGAGAGCTTCTTGTCGATGCAGTATTACCAAAAAATAAGCAAAGCATTAGTGTGGTATGGGTGGTATGTACAAGAGAGGTCGGTCCATTATGATTAATAGCCTGCTACTCTTTGGCCAGGCGGTGGCCGTGTGGTAGAGTAGAGGGTATCGTACTGAATTTGACGTTCACCGCTCGTCAGCAACTCGATGGTATAATGATGGTTGATGAGGAGATTGTTGGGCCACGTCCTTGATCCAAAGGTGCCCGCTTCGTGGTTCGTTGAGAATGGTATGTGATAGGAGTATAGGTAACGTAGTGAGTCGGGTGGTGGGCAGTACGGGTTGGTTTCGGGAGAGGTAAAAACCTGTCCAATACCGATTTACTGGACTCCGATTGTCGGTCGCTGCTGGAAGCTGGCTTGGCTGCTATGTGCTGAGAGTCCGGAGTCAAATTCACCACTGCCCGCGCTAGCACTCGCACTACCCGTCAGACTTCGCACATTTCGAGTTTTGGGAGGATGGAGAGCGCTCACCCCAATATGTTGCTCAACTTGCTGCGGTGCAATAGCATTGCCTTGACCAGGGGGGTATCGAGGAGCAGGCTGACGCATGCCATCAGGAGGCATAGGTCCACCATTCATTGACGGGCCGTAGCCGTTGGGAGGCGACGGTCTACCGCCCCTCATGGAGGGCGTATAAGTTGTGCTAGGTGACTGGCTCGTTCTGCGGGGATAAGCGCCATTCATTCCTGGAGGGCCGCCGGGACCCTGGCTGTACTGCAACTCGTCTAGTCGGGCGGCCGTCAGCGAATTGGCGCGGGATCCAGCGGCATTCATGGCGCCTCTGTCAACGGTACCGTAGCGGTTTGAGGATACACCCATGAGAGCATCGTCGAGGATGTTGTCGCTGGGCATGGGAATTTGGTTCATCTGGTTCTGGCTGGAGCGGTTGCGTCCTGTAAAGTTTGGTCGAAAGCGGCTACGGCTTTGAGGAGGCTCAAACTCGCCGTTGCGTCGATATTGGCCAGGAGGGGGTCCAGCTTTACGGTTCTTTCGCGATGTGACACTCATCATATCAAAGTTATCGGGGTCGATAGTTGGGCCACCTGTAGGAAGATCAAAGTAATCGTCATCGTCGTCATCATCGAACGCCTGGGTGCTAGTTCTCATGGGGTGAGGTCCTCGACGAGGGCCTGGGGGACCAGGAGGACCAGGTGGGCCACGTCTCATTCGCATCTCTTGCTCCTTGAGAGCTAGTTCACGCTGACGGAGCTGGAGTTCGCGCTCGCGCAAGGCCAAATCAGAGCCGTCACCACCATGTTCAGGAATGTCGTCGTACAAGACAAGGTGCGAAAACTCCTCAAGATCATTGCCATCCATAGACCCTCTTCTTGACGGCGCACGGGAGCCGCCATTTGTGTGTGGACGTACCATGCCGTTAGGGGGGCCGCCATTCATGGGAGGTGGTCCGCGGCGCATGCCTCCTGGAGGTCCACCAGGAGGCATGTTACCTGGCGCAAAATTGGAAGAGTTTCTAGGGCGTGGCTGTCGGGGTGGCATACCATTTCCATTTGGCATACCGCCCATCATCGGACGGTGGCCATTCTGAGATGGGGCACGGGGAGCTTGCGAAAGAGCGGGTGAATTGGGTGGAAGACCGTTGGGGATCTCACCACCTTTTGGTCGATTGCGGTTGGCGGTGTTGAGGTTGTGGAGGATGGCATAGAGGGTCTGAATTCTTGGCAACGAAACTCGGCAGTCGGCTGCGAGCTTAATTGGCGAGCCCAAGAACGTTTCAATCTCCATAGGACGTCTGGCGATAAAGTCTTGCCACATGATACTCTCAGGCTGGTTTGGCTTGACCATCTCATCCATGAGCTTCTGCTTGAAATCGGATTCGAATTTGCAGCCGTTAGCTTCGGCAAGCTGGAGCAGCTCATCCATAACTCCCGAAATCATGTCTCTGACGCCAACCTTTTCGAGAAGGGCAGCATGGTTAGGGGTTTCAAACAATACGCTGACAGGGTGGAAAGCAATCGGTCTGCAACAAAATGATTAGCTTCTTGCAAATGGAGGAAGATACTCAAATAGTTTAATAGATGCACAACATACCCAATGACTCTTTGATACTGCTGCTGACGAATGTTTGGTGAAACTTTGCACTGAACTTGACCAGTGCTAAGGGTCATGGCGAGAGCTTGTGCCATATCCTCTTGGATAGCTTGGGGGATGTTGCTATTCCTGTTTGCAGGTCCAACCCAAACATCCGTCGATCCTTTGTGCTCAAATTCGCTGGGGCCAAGCTGTGCAAGATCAGCTTCTGATACTAGCGATAAAACAACATTTGTTGGAAATCGCTCTTCGATGGCGGCTTCCACACCAAGAGTATGTGTTGTGTTGACGAGAATGCATGTATGTTGGGGTGTGACAACGGAGTCGATGACCGCAGCGAGATCATAGACATCTGGGAGGGCTTTGACGCAGAGAACTACGTAGTCAAAAGCACCGTCGCGAACGGTAGCGGCATCTTCGGGATTGCGGACAACTATTGGGAAGGGCAACAAGTTAGTTTGCCGCTTTGCGCTACAATGCAAAGGGTACAAGATTCCACATACCATGACGGGGCTTAAATCTTTCGTTTCCAAAAACAGGAGATCTATAGCACAAAGTGATTAGCCAAATGCTTCATAACGGTGCCTTAACGGGCATCGGGTTATTATGACTGCGCAACTTACTTGAATGAGATGCCGTATTGCGCAACATGCTCGTAACCGGACTTCCAGACCAGTGTGACATCACAAGCATGAGTAGCCTGTAGTCTCCAAGATAAAAATGCTGATACGGGATTACCGCCAACTGAACAAACTTGCATTAGCTGATTGTCGTCCTCCATGGTGACGGGTGGCGGAACAGCCGGCACTGTTGCTGCGAATGCGACAGTCGCCAGGTACGGGGAAGAGGCGGTTCGGGGGAAACGGGTAAATGAAAGTTTAAGTAAGGTATTTTGAAAGGGAATAGAATGCCAGCAACACCTGACGTTTGAGTACCGTGGCGATGAGCAAAGCGAAGGGAAGCAAGGAGAAAAGAGCGTAGAAAAGAGAGAGTGCGATTAACGTGAAGAAGGCATGTTTGAGTAGGGAAACAATTTTTTTGGCGCTGGGAGAGAGCCTAAAGTACAGTGGGCTTTGGGCACCTGCACAGCGGGCGGGCGGTGCGAAAGGAGAGGGGGGCACGGGTCGACGAGATGGGAAAGGCGCAGAGCTAGCGGGCTATGGGGCAGAGGAAAAAAATACACGAACCTGAAAGAACCTTGAGACGCGGCGTCATGGGTGCCATGATTAGTGGCTCGGAGGCTAGCGTGCTAGCGTCCTGCGATTAAAAAGTTGCGTTTCGTAACACGCTAAAGGTGGCCGCAGCGTGTGGCCTGAGTACTTGCGGGAGCCCAAGCGGGCGCTGTATCCTCGTTTCACGGCAATGCCAGTGCAAGGGCGCTTTGCGTATCTGTTACAAGGCCAGCGTCAATGCAAAAGCTGGTCTGGCAACAGGGAGCGGCAAGAAGCAATTCTCGAGACGATCGAGGCGCTGTGCAGTGATGCGGTACAATCGGCAAGAGATTGAGTGCCGTGTCGACGTGGTGGGGGACGGCAGGGGGGCTGACGAGTCGAAGCGAAGGCAAGTGTCGTGTAGCGCTGGGTCGGAGATGTCTGGTACAGATTGGGACGAGTAGATCCAACCAAAGAGAGACGGGTCTGCGATTGAGCCAGGGTGACTGTGGCACGTTTTGGTCGATTTGGGAGGTTATTGGGGGGCGGTTGTGCTGAGCAGCGTGCAAGCAAATTTGCAGCGAGAGCGAGCTGGCGTGGTAAGGCGTGTTAGCGTCCTGTTGGCCCCTGCAAAGCTGATGAAGGGGGGCTTGGTTGGCCGATCCGCGATGCACGAAAAAGGAGCGAGTTGCGTCAGAGACGACCACAATGGCCTAAACAGGGATAGAGGCGCGGCTCTAGGCTTAGGGGATGTGCCAGTGGGACAGGACGAAGAGGCCTGAGGGGGGCAATGGGAAATTATTCTCGTCCTTTGGGGGGGCGTGGTAGATAGAGGGAGGGACTTGGTGAGCGGGCGACGGGGGAAGAGAGAGAGAAGGCTTGTGGGATCAAAGAGGAGTTTAGGTGGGATAGTATCGATACAGATACGCCTGCGGAGCAACCAAAGTAGCCAATTGTTTATCTGCTTGGCCTCTTTGCTTGGTTTCCGCGTTTGTAGGAGCAAGAAAGGGCAGGGAAAGAATGTCGAAGAGAAAAGCGGAGGAAGGAATTACATAGACAGGTCTCAAGGAAAGAACACAAATCGGCCTTTTCCGTGCAAAACTCAGCTTCTCAGGTCCAGATAAGCTAAATAAGCACCGATAAAAACAAGATTTTCTTCTTTTCGATAAGCCTTATAATGGGAAAACTTTTTTCTTCTTTTCTCTGGGGCTGGCCTGATTACGAGTCGGGCAGCCGGCAACTTTGCTTCTGACAGGACACCGCGAGTACTAACTTAGCAGTGGCGGCGCGCTGGGCCAAGACTTCTGCCAGGTACCACTGCCCGCTACAGCACACCACTAAGAGCGCTGTAGCAAACTTTGTACCTGACGCGTGGGTCGCCCTGAACCGGACACTTCGGCAACACGGGGCAAAGGCTAATGGGGTGGAGCACGGTGGGAAACAGGACTTTTACGCGGGACCAGCCTTTGCAATGTCTCTGTCGCGCATCGCCACGCCCAGTGATGACATGATGCGCTCGCCTAGGTACTTGGGGTGGAATAAGCCGCCGGAGCATGGCAACAGGGGAGCGACATGTCGAAATGCGCTAAATCTTTAGCTCCGGAGCGTGCTTCTTAAAAAGAAGACTGGTCACCCAAACCGTTGACTATTACCCCGAAGAGGGAAATGACACTTTGGGATGCGCCGCACTTGCGGTTCGATGACAATAGAGCGAAAATGAGCGTGGGCGGGCTTGTTTCGTTTCAGCGCAGTTGAATCCGAGCACGACTCCGTGCAACGAAAGCCACGTCAAAGTAAAAAAGCTGCCCGCCAGGAAACTCAATCCAAGGCACGGGCGAGATGCCCATGGCTCCACTGACGCGAATTCTTGACAGGTGATATTTTAGGGGATAAAGCCCGGACAAATGGCGCGGGGATCAGGAACGGGAAATAGAAGAGATCGAGTACATACCGATGTTTTTATAGCCTTGTTTTCTGAAGGAGGCCGTTGGTGAGCGTGCTCGGGGTCACAGATGCCTTCCACGCCACTTCTCTTGTTGGCGGATTCGCAGCGTGCTAAATGGAGCGCTGGAAGCCTAGCAAAGCACTGAAAGGCGCGGTGGCGCGATAAGTTCCGTTGGACGCACGCGACCGTGGTGTTTTGAGCAAGAATTCAATCAGACCGATGCGCGAGACTGTAAAAGGTTTGAGTATTGGTCGATAGTCGTGACGGTGTTTTTTAATTCGTTTCCTAGGCGAAGAAAAAATAAAAATATGTTAGCCTTTGGCTCTCCATAGGAAGCGCTCAGCCCGTGCGCCACCGAGATGCCGCCCGTTGCAATCTTATTCCCGATGACAGCTGTAGCTAGTAGCTTAGCTTACCTGGCGCGTTCAAAATGTCGCTGTCAAACCCCACGAATCTTTTCAACATGCAGCAAAAGTCGTAGTGAAAATTGCACGAGGCTAGGCGGTGCAGACGCTTTTTTGTCGCTTTCTGTCGTCTGGTGGCTTGATGTCCGCAATAAACAGACAAAGTCGCAACAAGGGGAAACAAAGTCGGGTTTCTTCGGTCTCGGACTTGGGGGAGCGTTCAACAATCTAACGAAATAACTGCTGGCCTATGTCTGTAGACTTGAGTTTTAGTCTCAGACTTATCCCTGTGGTCGAGTCTTTGTGAAATCGTACAGTGTGTCCGGGCGGCCGTTCAGAACGTCTCGTCTCGTTTTGCTTGATATTCCGATACACCCAGCGCTCGGCAACAAACAGTGAATAAGGTGATGTGAAGGAGGAAGAGGACACTGGCCAAGACGCGAGAGAGGAGGAAATACAGGAGACGCCTCGCAGATACACGGCAGAACAAGGGAGAATAGGAGGAACACGAGGCCAGGGCTATATCGAAAAGACAAGAAAAAGAAATATGGAGGTAGGCCAAGCCACCAGCTTTCGAGACACCCAGCACTGGCAAATACGACAGTAACTCCCAGAGATGGTCATCCAATGCCCCGGCCGCCCATCAATCATTACTACTACTATTGGACACGCATATTTCAGGCCTTGCCCTGAAGCAAGGATTAGTTTTTTTGACAGGCCGGATGCCACTTTTTGCTGCTGTGCCATGCCCATGGCTGCGTGGCGGGCACGGCGCTGGCGATTATACATTGTCTATTACTGCAGGTCCCTCAAGTGTGTGCCTCGTAAAGTCAGCCAGAGGACTGCGAACCGCTACTATGCGTCTGCAGAAGCTGCAAGCCCGGCGGAGAAGAGAACATTTTAGGAAGCCGGCGGGCCCAAGCTTGTGATAGACCGGAAAACCGGGCTGATGATGGTCAGACGCGGAGCCTTGCCGTGGGGAGAGAGGAAAAAAAGCTCTGTATGCATGCCAGTGCCTCCAAAAAACCACTATACAATGGGGCAGTGCTTTACGTTTACATGGAGGTAAACGGGACCTCGTATCCACCAGTGACGTGTTGACTTTTGTTTATTTAAAAAAAGACACAAAAAGGGCAGAAAGGCAAGTGCACGCGTGGATCCATAAACTATTTAGGCGGCATGATAAACTGGGAATTTCAAGGACGGGAGCACATCTCAGCGGGCCATTGCTGTTCCACCAAGGTCAATGCCTATTCTTTACTGCGGGGAAGATTTTCCTAGTAGCGTTGTTCAGCATGATGCATTGTTGAGGTTCTGTGTATTTTTAGGGGGATGCAGCATGCTGCGGCCTAACTCGCGGGCATGGACAGGCGGTTGTGAACAGGTGTATGTTAGTTTGCCTGCTCGCAGGTGGTGATTGAAAGCTTGCAGCTGCGCCAGGTGCGCGCGCCTGGCAGGTTACAGCAGACGCAAAGTCGTGCTTGTTCTATCGTCGCGTATTATTCTTGACCATCTCCTTTCGCCAAGGTACCATCTCACGCTCAGCTGGGCACGCAACTGCACGCCCTGATGCAAAATGCACAGGCTGCTGGAACATGACCAATCTCAACTTTAATGCTCTCGGTGGTAGTACCCGTTCGATAAGCTCCGTAACACGCGCTTGTGGTCCCGACAGTGCCGACAACGCACTATCCCTCTCTATCTGCCTGTATCCTGCGGCACGATACCCAATTTTGCCGGAACAAACAAGCTGTCTCAACTCAACCACGGTTTGTTGAGTCGGCGCTACCGATAGGCGGTGCTAGGTCCATATTCCGTACCTGGATCACCAGCAGCCCGCACATGGATTGGCTCGCACTACCGGCCGTGTAAGGATGCGTTCCGCTTCATCCGCAAATCCCATATGTCCAACACTGCAAAAGAGGCAGAAAGTGCCATGAGCGCCACCAAAACGAAACAACCCACTTAAAACCAAGGTCTTGATGGTCGAACGACGCTTCGACTACGTACTTGGTCTCCATCCCCCTGCGATGCTTGTCTCTCCAGGCTTAGTAGGTGCTCCACTTAGTACCCGTTTCGCCCCCTGAATATAGCATATATGTGGATTTCAGAAGGGAAGCTAGGAGCTTCTACGCACTGTTCCCGAGTCTTACGCCTTAAATGGTCCGAAGCTGTGCCTCCTCGCTACCGTTGGTTAGGATGTATCAAAGAGCTATTGCCGAGGTGAGGCCTCATCCAAGCACTAATTGGCTCTCCTCGGCAATACACCATGCATTGAGTCACGCCATGCTGCTTGCTTGCATTGAGCAATACGGCCTATGGTGCGAGTACGTATACCGGCTGGTAAATTGGCGAAATGCAGGGGGACAACCTTTGTGCGTCGAAAAGAGCCAATGGTGTGGCGAGGAATAATGGGATCTCGATGCTGGCTCCAACGTTGTAGCGTCCACGGCGCGCCTGTGGCCTCGCACCAACCAGCGGAACATGCCTTTGCCTGCATTGCAACATTGGCTACACATATGTACTGCTATTTTAGTCGCGACCGCATTTGCACCGCATTTGCACCGCATTTCTATATCCACCAGCGGCGCATCGATGCGCCGCCTCTCCTGCCGGCACGACGCCGGCGGACAGTAGCAATAGTCCCATGCCAATGCTGAATTTAGTCGTGCCAATTGGCATCGATTGTCCAGTCTTGCTTGTTGGGAGCTCTTACGATCGACTGGTGTTAGATTGTTGTACTCGCCAGCGGTGAGGAGGGCCTTCTTCTACAGCTTATACTACGTAATGAAATACTACTAAGCGCCTTGGAAGGCTGGTCTACCACGACGACATGTTGATCAACTCAGCCTCAAAATTTCAGGTTAAATCCCAAAACTGCAAGCTAAAACGATACTCACCTATCTAACAAACCCAAAATACCTACCATGGGATTATTGTATTGACACAAGCATGTTTCGCCGAGAACCAGCCTCTGAGAATATACATATAGGGTAGCAACGTTCGTTGGGGGAGAGATCTGTGTTTAGCGGGACAAGGGCAGGAGACGCGTCAGTTTCATGTACTGGGTGCTTTAAAATAGTACTATGGAGCATTTTGGGCAAGCGAAGTAGATGGGCTAGAAAAAGAAAGATCGGCGTGAATCAGTCGACGAGTCCCGCTGCGACGTGGGCTGCGCGCTTCATCTGGGGTCTGGACAAGAACCGTTGACCACTCCAATGAAACATAGACTTTGCGAAACACTATACTCTTAAAATAGGACGGCCTAGCGTTCAAGGAATACATTGTGCAACGCGAGTAGCGTGAGAGAGCCAGATGCACCGCGTAACGATGTTACCGTCGCGTCGGCAGAGGTGGAAAAGAACCCAAAACGGGAGAGAAAAAGACGAGGTGTACAGTATAACTAAGTACACGGAGATATAAATTGCTACTAGCTATACTGAAACTTGTTAATGCCAGTAATAGACATTTTTTAAGTAGGAAGGCAGCTATTGAAGGGAGACCTGCCGTGTCTACTTTAATGGGCTAATGGTTCCCCCTCACTTGAACCGACTACGCGCATATGGTGCAATCGCATGAGATTTAAACTACCAATTCTAAGGTCGACACATACAATTTCGGGGGAATTGATTTCGTTGCTGCGTTACTTCATATAAGGAAGTAAATGTCCTTGACGTGTAGTTGTCACATGTAGGGCGCATAGCGAATTCGGCTGCGCCCTACAAACAAGTCGCCGCGCGACTTCGCAAGATGATAGTTACATCACCAAACACAACGCTTGAAGCTTATACAACGTGAAATAAGCTATCGGAAAATCCATAGAACCTGCCCAAAGTCAAGAGCAAAGAAGTAATTGACCGAGAATACGCAATGACGTCCAACGCCACCAACGCTCAAGATGCATCGAGGTCTCGTGATGCAAACTACATCTTGCATTTCTCACCGTTTTCCTTGTATTCGTTGATGATACGATTTTCGCTTGTAATTGGGCGTCGCTTGAGCCCTGAATCTGCCCCCAATGTACGAATCAAGCTGGTCAATCTGATCAAGGGCGAAAACTTCTCAGAGGAGTATCTAACCCAAGTCAATTCTAGAGGACAGGTAAGTTCCAGAAACAATATTTCAGAAGGCGATAGAAAGGCTGATTTGTTTAATTTTATAACACTGCAGGTTCCTGCTTTGACATCACCCGAGTTTGCTACTCCTTTGGCAGAGAGTCGAGATATCGCAACTTGGCTTTGTGAACGGCAGCCAGGGTTGGTGCCAGATAATCATCGCGACGTTATCATGGACCTTCTGAACAAGTTTTACTCGTACCACTGTAAAGCTCTATCTATCCCGCCAAACGGACTGCCAAATAAGGCGGCAGCTATGCTTGAAAACCCCAATCTGACGGCGACACATCGGCGAGCGCTAGAGATTAAGAGCCAATTGTTCGTCCTGGATCCTGCCTGCCAGCATGTAACATTGTTTACTAATTCGGGATTGTATAGTCATAATACGTTGCACACCAGAACTGTAGAGCCAGAAAACATCCAACTCGTCGAGGCAAACACCAAGAGCTTTATGCAGGACTTGACCACTCTGTTGCAAGCACAGAGCAGAGGAGATTCCGTCTGGATTTTTGGGGAACAACCGACTATACTAGATGCGTACGCAACAGTGTTTATATTGCGCCTTGGGGAACTGAAGCGCGATGACCTAACAACCGCTGAGACCCGAGCATATGCTGCTCAGGTTAAAGGCACGAGCGAATGGGATGATACAACCCATGGTCGGCCGACGCTCTGGAACGAGTCTCTGGGACCCGTTGAAAGTTTTGACCCTTTGTAAGGGATACATCTACAAGCAAACACTTTCTATAGAGTGCTCAACCAATGGAATCGAGATGGTTACGGATGTCGATAGTGTTACTGGTGGTCTGTGTTTGCTTGCTCTGGCGACCCAAGTTAGTATAGCCTCCATCATGTAGCTGATCTCGTGGGGGCCGGTTTTCTCCCAATATGGCATTCATCAATATCATATAATCTTGACAAACATTCACCAAGACCTATTGCAGATCGAGAACAAACCGGACAATTTAATCATAACTAGCCCGGGTGGCTACGGTGAAAATTGCCGATAGCCTGAAGGGCTGGGCTGTCCGCTTGTGATGGCAGGACCGGGGTTACCGGGTGCGAATTTGACGCTGCAGAGCGGATGAGGAAAAAGTGGCTTGTCTGTCGCCTTTATCTGAGCCGGACGGCAGCTGAAGAAACCCTGGCCGGTGGCTGATTATGAGGATGCGCCATATTGGGAGGTCCGCGGGTATTTTGGCAGAAACAAGCCCCCGTGAGGCGCAAGCCAGACCACGAGAAAAAAAATATTCCCACCTCTCTATTGCAAATGTATTTGTCGTCCCAGGAGAAGAGCGAGCGCTGGTGGTGGTGGCAAAGGACCATCGGCGCAGCCCATGCAGGTGTAAGCCTACGCCAAAAACGGGAGCCAAAAAAGTTCCATGGGGCGGGCCCTGGGGGCTTCCAGGCGAACAAAGTCCCTCTGCCTGACCCGCTACAGGCCAGTCGGCGGGTGTGCCTCCCACTGATTGTCAGCGACAGCGCCCAAAGGGGAGGGCAGCAGGACAGCAGCCGCTAGACCCGCCTAGGCAGGTGTCGCCCCAGGCGGAATGTCTGGGGTTGGACGAGCCTCGCTGGGAGGGTGGTGTGGGCGGGGGCCGTTGGGTGCCATTTTCGCACAGGGTGCGAGTGTGCTTGTTTGCTGCGCTGATAGCGGGCGCCTTTTTTTCGGTTCTTATTGGGGGGCTGCAACACAGTGTATTATGCACGAGTCGGCGCAAGCACAGACCGTTAAATGAGCCGTTACTGGTAGACCATCCGCCTAGCAGCAGCGATAGACACACAGTGCACCTCACTGCCTGTGTGCCCGCACTGTCCCATGCGGCTGGAACCCCCAGTGCCTGGGTGGTGCCAATTTCAACCGGCTCAGTCCATTTCCCCCAGACAATCGAAAAGCGACCCCCTCTTCTGTCTGGAGACGGCCCCCCGACATTCGGTCTGCCTGTCCCACAACCAGCAACTTGCATCTGCCATCGCCTGTTTTTCATCTTGTCGAGATTGTAGCGATCCAGGCTGCACGAGATCACTCGGCGAGCTCGTTCGGTTCTTCTGATTCTGCGAAACGACATCGACACTATAGACCGTCCTGCTGCTTGGTGTCTCACTGGTTTAATCGCCGCCAGTCGCTGCGGGTTCTAACGCCCTGCCTTCGCCTCTCACACGCCTGCCGTTTTTCACGCCATTAACTCTCGCCTTACATTTATTGAAACGCTGCGTCCTTCAACATGCCTATTCCCAGCATTCTTCGCAAGCGCCATGAGGCCGAGGAGATTACTCCCGTCTCGGGGCCTCTGGATGGCGACGCTACGGGTGTGGACCATCTCAAGCATCTCTATGAATATGAAAAGTCGCACAAGTTCGACCCTAACCTTCCCATCGATGAGCTCAACGATCTTGAGGCTGCCATCGCCACTGCAAATGGCGAAAAGGGTATTGAGATAGAGCATGCGCTCATGGAAGACAACAGCCCGTATCCTGAGGTCCGCGCTGTGGTGAGAAACTATGATGTTGATGTCCCGGCAAACACTATCCGTGCCTGGGTTATTGGTCTCGTTCTTTGCACCATCGGTTCTGGCATTAACATGCTCTTCTCTCTCCGTAACCCCAGCATTTATATCACGACTATTGTTGTCCAGCTTGTCGCCTACCCCATTGGCCGTGGATGGGATCTCATCATGCCAGACAAGGAATGGACTGTCTTTGGATACAAGTTCAACCTTCGACCCGGCAAGTTCAACTTCAAGGAGCACGTCATCATCACCTCCATGTCTAATGTACGTATCCGTCCCCATCTGAACAACAGATGATGAGTTTTTATACTAACATTTTACTCAGGCTGCCTATGGTGGTGGTGTGCTGTATGCCACAGATGTCATTCTCGCTCAAAAGGTCTTTTATGGTCAAGACTTTGGATGGGCTTTCCAGCTTCTTCTTGGTATCACCACATTGTGTACCGGTTACGGTCTCGCTGGCCTCGCCCGTCGCTTTTTGGTTTGGCCTGCGGCCATGATTTGGCCAGCCGATCTTGTCAACTGCGCTCTCTTCTACAGTCTCCACGACCACACTCCGTCTGACCCTACCAAGACTAACGGCTGGTCTATTGGACGCTACCGCCTCTTCCTCATCATTGGCGCTACCTCGTTTGTATGGTACTGGTTCCCAGGCTGGATCTTCCGCGGCCTCTCGTATTTCTCTATCCTTTGCTGGATCTGGCCAAAGAGCGTTATTGTCAGCAAGATCTTTGGTGGCACTAGCGGCTATGGATTGATGCCCATAACGTTTGACTGGACGGTAATCACTGGTTACATGGGATCTCCCCTCATCCCCCCTTTCCATGCTATCGTCAACGTCATGGCTGGTGTCATCTTCTTCTTTGTGTTTGTCTCCATGGGCATTCACTTTAGTGGTGCTTGGTACTCAGACTACTTCCCCGTTCAGTCCGGAAACCCCTTTGATAACACTGGTAATGTGTACGATGTCAAGCGCATTTTGGACAAGCAAGGCCTATTCAACGAAACTGCCTACAAGGAATACTCGCCTTTGTTCCTCTCTACCCAGTTTGCGCTCTCCTATGGTGTTTCTTTTGCAGCTGTTGCAGCTGTCCTCATCCATGTTGCCCTCTACCATGGCGGCGAGATTTGGACCCAGTTCAAGTTGGCCCGCAATCAGGAAGACGACGTTCACATGCGACTCATGAAGAAGTACCGTGATGCTGAGGATTGGTGGTATGCTGCTCTCTTGGTCATTATGGTTGCCATTTCCTTTGGTGTCATCTGCGGATGGCCCACTGGCTTCCCTCCCTGGGCTCTCATCCTGTGTTTGATCCTCCCTGTTATTTGGATCATCCCCATCGGTCTAGTCCAAGCCATCACCAACATTCAGCTCGGCTTGAACGTCTTGACTGAATTCATCATTGGTTACATGGTCCCTGGTCGCCCCCTTGCGATGATGCTGTTCAAGAACTATGGTTACATTTCCATGTCCCAAGCTTTGTACTTTGCCCAGGACTTGAAGCTTGGTCATTATATGAAGGTTCCACCAAGAGTCATGTTTGCCTCTCAGCTTGTTGCCTCCATCTGGTCTGCTATTGTGCAGATTATTGTTATGAACTGGGCCCTCAACAAGATTCCCGATGTGTGCTCTGAGAACCAGCAGGACAATTACACATGCCCAGGAGGACGCGTCTACTTCACATCGTCTGTTGTATGGGGTGCTATTGGCCCTGCCCGCATCTTCAGCAACGGTGCCATCTACTCATCGTTACAGTGGTTCTGGCTCGTGGGAGCTGCCAGCCCTGTACTGACATATTTGATGGCCCGTAGATGGCCCAAGTCTATTTGGCGCTACGTGAGCATGCCCGTCATCTTTGGCGGCGCTGGCCAAATCCCACCATCCACAGTCTACCTCTACCTATGCTGGGGAACTGTTGGTCTCGTCTTCAACTTCTTCATCAAGCGTAGATATACTGGATGGTGGCTGCAGTACAATTACATTACCTCTGCAGCGTTGGACTGCGGTCTCATTCTATCTACGCTTGTTATCTTCTTCACTCTCTATCTCACAAGCTCTTCTTCGCCAGACTGGTGGGGCAATAGAGCAGCTGTTCACACTATGGACTACGACTATGCAGCCATAAAGTCCAACATTACACTTGAAAAGGGCCCTGGTGCTACATTTGGACCTACCGTATTCTAGATGGCGAAGAGTGTTCAGCGTACATGGGAGTCTGGCGTGGCTTGTTGGTCATGTTGGGAGTAACGGCGTTTTACATATTGATTATTGTCAGCATTTGGATGTATGAAGCGTGGTCCAGTAAATTGGCTTTTTTTTTTTTTTTCAAAATTTCTCTGTTAAATATATTACGACATATTGTTGCCTTTACCTTTGTTCCATCGTCTCCGAGTGCAAGTCCAGCTACTCACTAACACACAACTCAACGTTCAAACGTCGAACAACGGGATACTTGGTAACCCACATAAAATTGCACTAAAAATCAAGTACCTTCCATGCCACATTTTTCCTTGTCAGGCGAGACACGTGACTTGAACACCGGAGTAACACCTTGGCCGGAACGCCGACCCACAGGCAAAAAATTAGGGCTAAACGCATGCTTTGTGCGCTAGCCCACCCAGGCGAAGAGAGGAGCCACCGAAAAAGCCCTTCTACTCCTCAATTTCGTGAGAATTCTCAGATCGTCATTCAATCACTAACGTCCACAGCAATCAGCCAAAATGAGTACGTGACAACCCCTCGCTTGCGAATCACAGCCGGAAAAGAAAAACGAACCGCTCGCCCTTTCGAATTTCGATTTTATTCTCTCGACGTTTGGCTTCGAATCCGCGGAATGGCACCATGTTGAAAGAGGAGGGAGAACGATTGTCAGCCTGTGGGAAGCAGACTTGACAAACGCCGTTGGATGCACGAGGCCAGCCATCGAGAGAATGAAATACGGCTTATCGCGAATCTCACGAATGAAATACTGACTATTTGTTACAGCTAAGGGTACCTCCAGTTTCGGTAAACGCGGTAACAAGTCGCACGTCCTGTGCAGACGCTGCGGTTAGTCTCGCCCACGCTCCTACCGGATATCCTTTGTCTCGCCGAATTCGAATGCCTGATTGCTCCTGCTGCCGCTTCTTTCTTTCTCTCGACTGCATTTGCTTGATACATAGAGGATACAAGTCCCATACTGAACCTCTGTCACGCGAACAAACACCTCGAACGAAAGAGAGCTAGCACTGCGCATGAACGACCCGGCGTCTGTCCCCGAACAAAGGATTCCTAGTTGAATCACTTGGAACAACTGTACTGACTTTGCTATCAATAGGTCGCCGCTCTTTGAGCGCTCAGAAGAAGGAGTGTGCCGCCTGCGGTTACCCCAACGCCAAGATCCGCAAGTGTATGTTGACGACCTAATATCATTCTCTATATTCACAACCAGGATACTAACCCCTTCTCCAGACAACTGGTCCGACAAGGCCAAGCGCAGAAAGACTGTCGGCACTGGCCGCATGCGCTACATGAAGGAGGTCTCCCGCAAGTTCGCCAACGGCTTCCAGACCGGCCAGCCCAAGGGTGCCCGCGGCTCCCAGGACGCTTAAATCGTTTCGCCTCTCTTGATCACTTGAGGGCTACCAGTTGATGCCTGGCCACTCTTTGCCTGCATTCGAGCAATCCCACACTCTGCGACTACCAACATCTCTTCTTCTGATTTCCGAGTGCGCTTTGGATCAAGTCTTCCTGTCCACCGACGAAAGAAAAACAATCAACCTTTTTCTTTCGTCAACCTCGCCGCCGTAAAAAAATATTCTCTTTGTTTCACGACTTGACGACGGTACATCTTTATATGCATAACCCCTCCCCCTCTTGGACAGGAGTAGACCTCCAATAGCGAGAAGATGAGCACATGCAGTGTGTAGGATTTGTGAGAGCTGGTTGAAAGGGCTACTGGTGTATGGAGCCCAGCATGGAAATTATGGACAATGGGAAAAAAAGAAAAACGGTTTAATTGTTTTTGGTGTTTGATAGATGATGGAAAGGGGAGTTTGTTTCATGTTGACAGCGGTTGACTAGAAGACGACACAACAATCAAAAAAAAGATTGAAAAAATCATGATCTTTTTTTACCTCTACTAAATGAATGCCCTGCTTGCTGTGACTTTGTATCGTACGAACCTCTACTTGAACAGCACAGTATAGCCAGAATCTGTCTTTATAGTTTGGTATCGTCATGTCATTATTTTGTTTTTATATGTCGCCGGGTAGCTATGATCCACGCTCAAAGACTTTCACGCTGCCATCACCCAGGACATGATATAGTACCTCTACGCTTGCATCAGCCCCTCGACCCTCTGTAGACGATGATATTCTCATGACGCCGCTAACATCTCCTGCGGCACCAGTATCCAGCTTACGCAGCGAAAGCACCTCATCAGCAGCATGTGCCATACCGAGGGACAGCGATGCATGCTCCCGCTCTAGCGTTGTGGTTTGTTCTTGGATTAGCGGCGAGTCTGCTGCCAGTGTAATGACTGTGGAAAATACATTCTAAGATTAGGATAGTTGTTAGTAGATGCGTTGAATGGTTCGGGTAGTGCTTGGGAGTGAACGAACCTCTCTCAGTGCAAGTGTCATGTTTTGCAGCTTCAACGCATCCACACTGTCACCGCCAACAGCGAGCAGCGCATCCATTTGATCGATAATAAGAACTTTCCTGGACGACTTGATTCCCGCGACAACTTTGGAAATATGGGCGCTAATTTCATCAACCTTGGTACTAGGTAGCACCACATCTGGTCCAGGTGCAGCAGGTTTGGCTGCAAACATGCCAGTGAGACCATCAACAAAGGTAAATCTTCCTGCTTGGCGGCACGCCTCTAAGTCAAGACCCTATGAATCGTTAGTATCTTTCTGGATGAAGCTATCTGTATTAAATGGGGCTGGTAAAAAAACGAACCAGCCTAGAGCATCCGTCTCTCCAAAATGCGCCGTCTCGCATAAAGCTCACTAGTACGACACCCGCCTTATCTTGTTCCTCGGGTTCGTCCTTCTTGGACGCAAGCAGAGCAAATAGATATCGTAGGATTAGCCAGTTTGCTGCAGCACCCTGTATGCTTGTGACTAATGTGAGGGAGCCGTCGTGGCGGGTAGCAGCACCGTCCAGGACATATGGCTCCAGCAGCGCCGGAATCTTGGACGATGCCGACGAGAGGTGTGATGACGGCATTTTGTGACGCTATCTCGGCAGGATTGATACTAAAATTCACCTCCAGATATAGTTGCTGAATCTTGGAGAAGATGTGCCCAGTGCAGGTTCATCTATGTTTTGGCATGCAAAACTTGGAGGGGTGGTTATGGTGGGGCGGCCTTCCACATAGTGAATACTAGGTGTAAATGTTCCGTTGAAGTAGATTAGGCACGTCTGGCCATTGGTAGACATTGTATCTTTTTATTTTGTCTGAATACAAACTCCTTCAAAGATTTTAAGGCTTGCTATTCACCCCTTCTTCCAATCCATTTACTAAGCATTGAGCGGAAGCGTATCGGAATTGGAGGCGATATGTCTCTGGCCACCATTAAGAGCCATCATTCCCAACGCCTTAAGCCCAAGGCTGGAAGTCAACGTGCTGTCTCCCGAGCTATCGATGGGCACTGATTTGTATTGAACGGTGTAGGGCCTGCCAGTGTGACCGTCTTTGTTGTTGTAGACACGCAAGACAACCAACTCGTCTGTTGTCAAGATATACCCGTAGCGAGTATTTGTCGCAACGCAGTACGTGAGCACTTGGCGGAACGGCCAGATCCAATCGGTCTGACCTGTTTTTCGTAGTGTGCTCTTGTCACTATTCCACGCCGTGCTCAGCTTGTTTTCTCCGCAGGCGAGAGGAGTATCATGAGTGTTCTGTCGATTGAACATAACCCAACCTGGCTTTCCGATAGTTTCGCTATGACTATAGGAAAGATCTGAACCCTTGCTTAGTTCAAATTCAATTATAGAATTTGGTAGAGTTTGGTCTCCTAGGACTATGCCCCGGAATACTCCGATGATGTTGTCGTGGGGGAAGTCTTCCCAAATCTCCAAGTCGTCATCGATCAATTGGATGTAGTTGGATTTTCTAGTAACCTCTTCAAACACCTGCGTAGCTATATTCAAAGGACAACCATCATGTGTTAAGCGAATAGTAGAAACATCAGTCATTGTGTGGGATATGTGGGGTGAGCGACTGAGAAGGGCGAGAGAGTGTGTAAATGTGTGTAAATGTGCGTAACTGTCTACTAATTGGCTAGTTAAAATTGGACACAGGGTATTATATCCTTCTCTTTTATATATTTGCTATTTATAGCGTAGCATATCGGGCGCGTAGTCTTGTTTCTTTGAAGCCTGAAGGTGCTGCTCCAGCAGTGTCGCTGAACCAATGGTTAAGCGCCGAGCCGCACTACCAATGCAGAAGAAAAGATAGGAGACGTTAAATAGACTCTCGAGTTATATTGTTATCATGGCACCCTTGGCAAATATTTATTTGCCTCCTTTTATAAGACACCCCATTAGAATATGTTTGAAACTTGAGTTGAATCCATTGTATTTCTGAATATGGTCTACGTGTCGTGGTAAACAGAATCTTGAAACAAAAACGCTCAAGAGCAAAGAGGATAAAAGGGTCTAAGGTAAACAAAAAATAGGAAAATGCGTTACATTCATTATAACCACAGCACAACAACCTCACAGGACTAAAACTTCTCCATAAAGTTCTTTCTCACCGTCCACATGCGAAGGCGCTTGCCGTAAATGTACAGGGGAATAGTGGTGAGGAGTAAGATGAGCTGGATGATGCCAATCCAGATGTACACCATCTTGGGACCGTCACCGACTAGCCAATGGGTGATAAACAGACTGAATACGAGACCGTGCATGATGTTCTTGGTAAAGTTGAGGGTGACCAGAGCCTCGCCGGCGTATTGACGGTAGCTGTCAACGCAAAATGTGATGGCGGTGGTGGAGCCGAGAGAGCAGCCAAAGGAAACGACGCCAAAGAAGACGGTAGGGACGATCCAGTGGTCGTTTTGCTCAGCGGACCAGCCAAAGCCCATGAGGCCAATGCAAGTGGTGAAGAGAACGGGAATAGCCATGACCAAGCGGAACTCTGGCTCGTACAGACCGCCGTTGCGTCGTGACATGGCCTTGACGATAATGTCACTGATCTTGCCTGCAACACCAGTGCCGAGAATACCGCCGATAAAGGGCGACAAGTACACTAGACCGGTCTGAAGGGCATCAAAGTTGTAGCCTTCAGGGTTTCTGTAGATGAGGGCCATGGTTTCGGAAATGACAATAAGCCAGCCAATAGAGCAGGCGTATGTGATAGAGGACCAGAGGACGGCGGGATAGGCCAAGAGGATAAAGGGTCTCACCATGACCTTGTGCCACTTGTCAGCGTTCAGGCGTCCATGGTAGGGTTTGAGCTGCTGAATAAAGGACTGGGCAGGAAGCTGTCTCAAGTTATGAGTGTAGGCTTGGATCTTGGGCTGAGACTTGAAGCGGGAATGGGGAATACACTCTCCGCCAATCTCGGTATGCTTGGAGAAGTAGTCGCCGCTGGAAGAGCTAGTGCCTTCGTCTTGGCTGGATTCAACCTTTAGAGTATCGCTGTTAGGATGAGGCGCGGGGCGAGATGCATGGAAGGAAGAATGACTGTGGACGGATTGCGGGCGTTGAATGTCGGTTTCTTCTTCGGCGGGAGGAGTCAGTTGAGATGGCATGGAAGAATCGACGCCAGTCTGTTTTTCCAGGTTGGAAGCATCCGCAAAACCGACGTGGAGGTGCTTGTGATGGTGAGGGGAGCTAGGAGTACCAGTTGCATGGTCGACTGACGATCGGACAGACGCTGGGGCGAAGCCAACGTGTGCCTGTGGGTTTCTATCGACAGCACCAGGCGACTGGGGACGAGGGCCATCTGAAGCCTGATGAGGCATGGGTGTCACTGGCGTGTGGACCGATACTCTGCGGCTGTAGCGAGCAGAAATACGTCTAAAGAAGTTCGGACGATCGGAAGAGCTCCTCGTAGGAGTTCTATCCCAGAACGTCTCGGGAACAAAGAAGAAAAGCAGGATACCAGAGAGGGCAACAATCATGGAGACAATCCTAAGATCAATGTTAGAAGATAAAAAACGAAATGGGAAGGTAGTCAAGACGTACCAAAAGGTCCATCGCCATCCAAAACGGCCAATGATGGCGGCGCTCACCAGGGGAACCAAGTTCTTGCCACCAAGCAGCAGTAAGGTGTAAATGCCGATACGGTACGCACGCTCGTGCAAGAAGAAAATCTCAGCAATGGTTGCAGATGGGAGACATTCGACTGGGCTGATAGCCATGCCTTGAAACACACGGGCGGCAACCAAGGATGGAAAGTTGGGAGAGTAGCCGGCCCAGACGCAGGTGGCAATAAAGAGAATGGAGCTGGCAATGTAGACTGGACGCTTGCCATAGAGAATGGCGGTAGGGGAAGCAATGACGGACCCAAGACCGAGACCCATCATGTACAAACCGGTTGTCAATGCAACGGTTTCGACTTCGACGTGGAGGTCGTGGGCTACATCAGTGAAACCGGCAGCAATGAGAGGAGTCATGCCACCACCCAACATGCAGTAGAAGCCCAGACTGAGGAGAGCGCTATCGCGACGCCAACTGGGCCAGTTGAGAGGATCGTTGGCGGATTCTTCGGGTTGAGGGTCTAAGATGATGGCGCCATCCTCCGTACGCTTCTTGTCATCCTCTACCTCCACCTCGTGGTGTGAGTGACCTGAGGGAGTGGTGGGCATAGGACGAGTACCGCCTGGAGTCATTGGCAAGGGACGAGTACCTCCCGGAGTCATGGGCATGTCGACGTGGAAGCCAGCAGGAATCGAGGAGTGAGAGGTTCTGGCGTTCATGTTGCGGAGACCAAGAGGCTCGTTGCGGTTAGCAGCGAGCAGCAGCACAGAGCCGGGAACTTCGACTGTCTGCTTGTCGTTGAGCACACCCATACTCCATGTCGAAGGGCCAAGATGCGTCTTGTCCGAGACCTCGCCGCTGGCAGATTTTTTGCGTCGGCTTAAGAAGCCCCAACGGCTTGGGGCCGAATCAGAGGACATTGTGGATGTAGGAAATGATGATGCCTAGGGTGAGTTTGTGTAGGTTGCAATGCGAAAACAAGGTGATGTGTCCGGCGAGACTTTATATATATATCGGGATCGAACAAAAAGGGTTGGTTGGTGCTTAAACCTTCATGAAGTCAGAGGCACGAGGTGGCGATAAGAGGAAGCGTAGGGGATATCGAGGGCGTAGAATATGATATGAAATGCTAGTATTGTTAGTCTAGGTGCTGGAGATCCGGGCGAACCTTGCAAGACGAACCAAGAGTAGATGCAGAGCCAAACAAAGCCCGGTTGCTCCTCCCTAAGAAGGTTATGGGCGGAAGCTAATCTGGAGACGCCGGGGTTGTCAAGGGCAAGAAAAGACCAAGCGCAGCAGAGTTTGGGGGAATGCTGGCGATGACGAAGGCGAGTGGTCAAGCTCAGATGACTGCCGCAGTCAAAGGCAGATCGGCTAAAGTCGCAGTAGAGATCTGCTGGTGCAAGCAGGCTGCTGCAGCTAGTGAAGAACAGGCAAAGGGATGATGGGTGATGGCGTATGCAGGCGAAGCTGGTGATCAACAGCAGCAGCAACAACAGTTACAATAACAACGAGCAGCAATGGCAGATGGCGAATCGTTCAGCGAAGAGGGGAGAAGAAGTAGGGCGAGTTATAGGAAAGGACGAGAGCCTGCGTAATTTGACACATGGTTTGATGACTCGTCGGCGTTTGACAGTGCCAGACAACACAAGTTGACAAAAGAGACGAGGCGATAAGAAAGAGGACATACGCACGCCCCGGACCAGGCGGAGACGCCAGTGGAGCCTCCGTGCCGCCGCCTTGTCGCCAGCACCACCAGCGGAAAAAAAAAGCGTTGCACGGCGCGGGCACCTCGCACGCCCCCCGAAGCGCCTAACAAAGCACGCTAAACAGCAGGGCGTGTGCGCTGCTCGCTGCTGCGACGCTCACCTGGCCCAGACCGCCACCACACGCTAAACCACAGGGGTTCCAGGCCTGGGCTGTCTGGCTATAGTTGTCGAGTAACTGTTGCTCTTGTTCTAGGCGTTGTTGGGCCACATACAGCATGCGCGTAATCTGTGAAACTCGATACTTATGGATTTTTATTTTATCCCGCCTGCCTCGCTTGTCCACCATCACTTTTTTCTTCTTTTTTTCCCCCTACCCCCCCTTCATTACAGCTAAGCCGGGGGTGGGTGTCCAAGCAACTGATAAACTGGTCAGGCGGTACATCACAAGATCCGCCCCCGCCCACCGCATCTGCTGGGTGCCCTTGATTGAAGGCGCGTCCCATGGTGGGGGAATGACGCTGGGCCAGCACCGCTACTGCTGCTCCTCTCTCGACACCGCTTCTCGAAACACTGGGCGTGCATATGGCGCGCCCATCGCTGTGACGTAGGTGCAACTCTCTTAGCGAAAGTGAACACGGCCGATATGCTCTAGATGGCCCGCAGCCGGTACGCGAGAAGCCAAGAATGCTAGCGTTGCTTGTCATCGCCCGTCTCTGAATACGAAATGAATGAGCCAGCCAGCGAGGTAGCCTTGGCTCGGCTCTGCCTCTCTCTCTACCAGCGTTGCAGAACAGAACGGCACTGTATAGCTGCAGAACATGGATGATGTGCTCGCTTCTTCTCTTTCCCATGTCTCGCGGTTCCAGACCAGGCTGTCTGCTTCTTCACCTTTGCTTTCGCACACCCATCGCCATTGTACAATCTGGTTGGCTTGTTAGGTTGGGTTGGGACCAGGCCAGGCTCAAAGGCTAAGCAATACGACTTCGTTGGATGAAACCATGGACTGTTCTCGCCAAAGCCCTTTTTTGACATGCATCTCTTGTACCGACGATACCGTAGCATTATTGCGTGCAGCGGGTATTATTGGAAGCAGAAAAGCTTAGCATCGTCTTGGCCGAGCACAATTGGCAAGCTGCCAAAAAAATAATAACAATCAGAGTCTGTCCATGTCTAGGACCGACCAAGCTAAGACGAGGGATCTGTTTTTGCTCAATCTCCAACTTTAAAAATAGGGCGCCTTCGGATGCTGTTGTACGTGGTCCTATGGCTGTTGGCTGTGAGCCACCAACGTCATTGTCATCACCTGAAAAGACACAAAGGGCGCCGTATAATTTGCGAGTCGTTCGTACAGTGTATGTGAGGTGTCTATGCGGCCCTGTGTGAGCTGGCATACTGCTTCTTTATTTATTCTACAGGCGCTGTTGGCGACCTGGCTTATGCTGACATCTGGTTGGCTACTAACTGCAGCACGCTATTGGTTTTCATCTCTTTTTGGTGAAAGCTCCTTTCGCTAGCTTCCCGAATGGTACTGCGGGCGCGTCTCCTTGTAGCGGCTCTAGACCCTGATGAGGTCATCTCCAGTAGTCGTCCATGCGGGGTGCATGCAGCCAACTTACAGCGCACTACAGGGCCCGCTAACTAGTGGCTCTCGCACCCAAAAGCTTAGCGGCGTCGTAGCTGGCCGATAGACCCGAGACAAACCCAAACAAAACAAAACAACCACAGGCTCTGGAATCGAATTGCAGCCCAATTTTGCGTCAACGCCCAATTTGCATCCAATTTTACCGCAGCAAATCTTGTGAACCCTCTGCCCGGGTCAAGCGGCACTACAGTTTAATCACTTCACGCCCTGGGAATTGCGCCATTTCGCCTGCTGCACCACGTTTCTCCTTTGGCTACCACACCGCCCATCAGACACTCAATTCGTCGTATATTGCATATTTCGTTTATACGCCGCATCATCACAATGCTTGGCCCCCGCATTCTCGCAAAGCCCTCCGGCACGCTTGTCTCCGCCACCGCTCGCAAGGCCAGCGCCGTGGTGCTACAGACCCGGCGATGCCACCAGGCGCCGCTATCGACATCAGCTGCGCGCCGTGCCAAGAACATGGTCTTTGACCCGTGCGTTATTCCCCATACGGGCTTTTCTTCTGTTCTAATGTATTCGCAGCATCCGTAATCCAGACTCCTTCCAGACTTATCTTCTGCACTCATCGTCGGCGCGCACGCCGCTGCTCACTCTCTGGACAGCCTCGTACTGCTCGACATGCCGCACCGTAGAGCCCCTAATCAAGTCTCTCGTGGAATCCGGGATTGGCGAGGCAGAGGGCGGCGTCTGCTTTGCCCCCGTAGAGTTTGATAGCCCCGACATCATGGGCGGTGGCGCCGACTCGCTGGCCATGACGTACATGATCACGGCGATACCCACGCTGCTCAGCTTCGACGCGGGCGAGCCTCAGTCTGCCACCAGGATCACAGATGGCAAGAAGCTCGCCGATAGAGAGTTTCTGATTGAGTGGATTCGCAACGAGGCCAAAAGACACGGCGGCAGAGGCGGCGGCTCGACCGGCAGTGGCTTCTCCTTTGGTGGCTTGTTTGGACGACGCTAGGTAACACTGCGTCCATCGGCCAGCGCCTGTTGTACCTATAGCTGTAATTATAGAGAATGGCTAAATGCCATATAATAGCGAATTAGCTGCTGCCACTGCTTGCTGTGCTGCGCCGGCCCGTGCATGGAACGCACTAGTCCCTGGCACTAAAGGGTCATGTACATGCATGCAACGTCTATCTGCTGATTCTTTTCGAGAGCCTAGACCCTTCTTCATCTTTCACGCTGCTGTCCAACATTGTTGTTGTCACTGTGACGTAAGACATTGTGTAGACACAAAAGTTAAAGATATCGCGCATAGAATGTATAGTTTCTTTTTTTTTTCGTTGTCAGGTCCTTCACTTCTTGCCGTCAGGTATCGTCTAGCTGTGTCTCGCTGTAACAGTACATTGTTCTATATCATAGCCTCAAAACGAAGCGCTGGTGGTAGCATTGCAGGTGGAGAAGCGAGAAACAATAAATGTGTATACACGCTAGTAGTAATCTATAATTGCCAACGACGCCTTGCCCATGCTTCTTGTCTCTTCTCTTCTATAGACCCGCTTCCTTCATTGTTGGTATTGTGGTTGTTGTACATTACATGATCACGCAGTCACCTTCTTGCGTACGGCTGCGTGAGAACCGCTCGCGCGGTCGTGGGGCTACATTCTTGCCCATTCTTTTGAGGTCTTCTAGTCGTTCACGAGCCCGTGGAAATTCTTGTGCTGTATGCAAACAGTTAGTTAGCATCGCTCAGCCAAACCCGACCCTTTGTCTGTTCGTCGTTGTAGTACGTACCTGCTGCTCGCCAATACCACCGCTTTGCATCCTCCAAATTGGGCGGAATGCCAATGCCCACCTCCGTAAAGTAGCCCATGGCATATTCTGCCTTGGGTAGGCCAGCTACCGCTGCTTTGCGAGCCCAGAGGTACGCTTCTGTATCGCTCTGGCCCAGTACGTTATCGCTGCCCGTCAAATACCAACCACTCAGTGCAAGCTCCGACTGGTGCTCTTCTTGCATAGCTGCTTTAGAGTACCAAACGATGGACAGTCGAGGATCTATGGGGCATCCCATGAGACCATATTCATACGCGCAGCCAAGTCGGAATTGCGAGAATTTGTAGCCCAGGTCCGCTGCCTCCTGGAATAGACGAAGAGCATACGCTTCATCTCGCACAATAGCGTCGTCAGGCCTTGCAGACTCGAAAAGCAGTCCGAGCTCGTGAAGAGCGTGAGGGTTGTCAGCGTCAGCACGCTCAGCAGCTCTCTTCAGCCAGCCGACAGCTTCGCGGGGGTTACGGTTCTGACCAAGATGGCCCTTGAGCAGAATCATGCCGATTTTGTACATGGCGGGGGTATCGCCCAGCGTGGCAGCTCGCTTGTACCATTGCATAGCCTTGAGAGGATCCTTGCGAGTGCCTCCACCTTCGTCGTTGCCAATCTCGCAGCACACTGCGGTTCTGTAGGCCGCGCCGGCGTGACCTAGCTTCGCTGCGGACTGGTACAATGTGAATGCCTCTTTGCCATCTGGCTCATTACCGAATAAGCCTCGTCCAAGACTATCTGCTAACAGAAACATGGCTTCCTGATTCTGAGCATTTGCCAACTTCTTCAACACCTTGTATGCATCCATCAGGTAACGTTCACAAGCCTTTGCACGTGCTCTGGGATCTGGCAGATTTGATACCAAAACTGTAGATGCCTCTATCAGCCGTTTGGCGAGCTTCAAGGCTGCCTCCTGATCGTTGGGGTTATTCTTTATCAGCAGTCGCAGCTGCTCCAATTCCTGGGTAGTCACTGGAGGCTCTGCATTTGGTGGAGTACCTCCCTGGTTGTTTGGAGCTGGCTGCATTTGTTGCTGGGGTACAGCCTGGTTCTGATTCTGATATTGCTGCTGCGGCTGCTGTTGTTGATACGGTTGGGGTGCTTGCTGTTGAGTTGAGGGAAGACCGCCATAGTTGCGAACAGGAGGTGGCCTATTGTTAGGGTTCACTAATGAGTTGGGCATCTGACCAGGGCGAACAGGAACGGGGTGCGAAAAGTCTGCTGAAGCTGTTGTTCTTTGAGATACCGAAGTACCAGGACGGTTGATGCCGGGATAGCTTCCATAACCCGCCGGAGCAGAGCCTCGCATGGTAGCTGGAGGAGCACTGGGACCGCGGACTGGCGGTGCCATGTTGCCATAGGAGGGTGCTTGACTGTATCCCGCGTCATAGCCATTCCCATGTTGTTGTTGCTGCTGCTGTTGAGGCATAGGGGGTATGGATGGAGCATCCCCGACCATCTCAAAGACGGCAGACTGAGGCTCCCTATACTCTGCCATCGATCGAGCATCGTTCAATTGAGGCACTTGGTGGGCACCAGCTTGGGAATGTTGCGATTCATGAGCACTGTGCTGGCTCGGGCCTGGGTACGTGTATGCGCTCGATTGGCTCGGCTGTGGTTGGTGGGAGGACTGGTCATAGCCTGTGTCGTGAGAATTATCGTAATAAGAGTCGTAAACGTCAGAAGCATACGAGTTTGACTGGTCGTAAGGGGCGTTCCCGTAGTTGTTGTTGGCAGGTCCATCGTATGCTTGCTGCGGGGGAGCCGGCTTTGAGAAGCCAGTTTTGCCAGCAGGGCCATTGTAGAGCACACCTCCATCATGGCTGGCATTCTGAGTAATTGGCATTGTAACACTTCTGGTAGGAGGTGGGAAGTGATCTCTTGGTGGCCCTGGGGTTGGGTATGCCTGGCTCTGATCATCCTGGGAGTATCCGGGTGCAGGCCTTGGGCCACCTTGTTGAGGAGGACTTTGGTTGTGTGAAGAGGGACCATAGCCGTAACTTCCCTGAGGTTGCTGGCTACCAGAGCTGCGGGAGTCAGGTTGGCGATTGAGGTCCATGGATGCCATCCTCTCTGCCATGTAATCGCCTTGGTTGGGAGGCGAGCGTCGTCGGTCAGCGTTCGGTGGTGGTCGCATGGCTCCTTGGTCTTGAGGGGGTGGTGGGCGGCGAGCATCTGGTAAACAGTTTGTTAGCACACTATATGTTAAATATGGGCAGTACGGGCTCACCATATCGCTCGTTGCCTGGACCGTAATGTCCGGGTCCGGGGCCAGGTCCGGGTCCTCCGCCACGGCTCATTCCTCCTCGGCCACCTGGACCAGGCATCCCACGTCCGCGGGGTGGCGAGATTCCACCACGAGGAGGACCTCCTTGCAAAGACGGACCTCGGGGACCAGGTCCTGGAGGTGGTTGGCCACGTCCTTGCGGATGCCCTTGAGGATACCTGTTTTGAGGCCCACGGCCTCCAGAGGGCTGCTGGGTATGCTGGCCAAAGTAGTCTCCTTGCCCTCCTTGCATATGCCCTTGAGAGTTGTTATAGTCGTTTCCGTAGTTTCCGTAGTTTTCTGGGGGGCTGTAGGGTTGTTGTGACTGCCCATTGTCTTGATAGCCTCGCGGCGTTGGCGGCTGTGCGGCATTGCCTCGATACGGGCGCTGCTGCTCGTCGCTGGGCGCGTTGTATGCCATTTTGATGATGTCCTCAGCCAGTAAGGCGTGTATGGTTGTATAACCGGCAAAATCCGTTTGCTATGGAGCTGTTTAAAATCAAAAAGGAAGCACAGTCGGCTGCGGTGACTTTCCCATGCTCAAAGCTCGTTGGTCTACCGCAATGTGCGTCTGTGCATTTGCTGATGCGGAATCCAGGCAGCGCAGCAACAGACACTTGCAGGTAGAAGATGATGTTGTCGACAGGGTTTTTCGCTGTCTGCTACAACTTGTCGTCGTGAGGGTCGTCGATGGCGGTCGTGGACAAGTCGGAGCGTCGTTTCAGAAGTTTGCGCTGTGTGCGATCGATTGGTGGACGATGATTGGATACGCCTCGCATAGGCGCGGTACCTCCTAGAGTGGTCGGCAGTAGGGCCCGCTAGCGAAGCTTGGCCGCTGTGCGTGTGTGTGTGCCTGTACTGAGAGGAGGCTAAGTTGACGTCTGTAACCGTGCAGAGAAGCGCCAAAAGCAGGAGGAGAAGCACGATGCCGATCAAAGGCAACAAGACGAATAACAAAGACCGCGAAGAGGCCGACACACACGAGCAACACCTTGTTTAGAAGCTACCAGCAGCGTGTCTTGGAGAATGTCTCTCCCACAGGAGTGGGAGGGTGGCGCGGTGACCTGAATCGCCCACGACGCTGTTACGATATGCTGGAAGCCGGCGCCGAAGGGGTTGCTGGCAAATGCAGGGTGCCGTAACGGTCGACTGCGTGTGAGCTGGAAGGCTGCTTGGGAGCCGGGGATGCAGCAATACTGCAGCACTTGGGGTTTTGGTGGTGGTGTAGGTGCTTGGTGGCTGGTGACACGAGATGCTTCAGAACATTTAGCGCCTGGGTGGAGGGGCAGTTTTGGGGTGTGTGGAGGGGGGAGCTAAGGCGGCAGTCTCGGGCGTTGGAAGCGCAAAGTGCGGGAGGCGCCCCAGCGGGAGCTTGGCTATGGATTCTTTTGCCCCCACCAAAATATTGACAAGGCGCGCGGCGGTGCAGTTGAGTTGTGTTATTTGCTGGTGCTGGTGCTAATTTAGTGTGCGGGTTTGTGCAGGCTAATAATGACTGCTACTGTAATTTGGCCAACTTGGTGCAAGTGCGCTGCTGATGCGGCTGGTTAGCGCCAGTAATAGACCTGTGCATTACAGTAGCAGCCGTATTTTGCATTAGCATTCGCATTAGCATTACCATAGCGCACTACTAGTCGCGTGGTCTGCAGCAGCAGCAGGGTGGGCGGCATCCATTATCTGTACACTCTGTCCTGTCCTTGCATAAAGCGTGCAGCCGAAGAAGCAGAAACAGAAGCACCAGCAGCTGCATTAACACAAATAGGCATGCACCGCCCAATAGACAGTACGTACATGATGGCTGTTTTGGTAAACCTGCGTGCGTTTCCTGCCAGCCCAGGGACGTTGCATCGCAAGGCCCGGCCAATGGCAGCCGATAGATTGCGGTTTTGTGCCTTGTATCTACTGCATCTGCCCTCTCTGTCACTTTTTGTTTTGTGTGTGTCTTTGATTTCTATTTGCCATGAGATACAGTACTGTATGTACGTACAGCAGAGTACCAAGTAGCCCCTGGGCCCGGATACGCCGTCAGCGTCGATGCCAATTCCCCTCCCCAACAAAGCACCACCGGCACAGCACAACAGCCGCACCAGAATGCAGGGAGCCCCCGGGCATCTCTACCGGCTGCTGCCGCCGTGGACAATTCCGGTGATAGCGTTTGTTTGTATTATCGTAGAGTGCCTGCGTCTAGCCGTGCCGCGTCTGGTCTACGCAAGAGGATCCAAGCTCTCAGACACTGGGAGCAAATAAACTGTCGGCTAAGGGCGGCGCAGCAATCCGATTCGCTGAGAGCCTCGCTGTCAAACGCAAGAGCACATTACGCCAAACGTCCTTTTTTCTCGACTCGTCTGGACAAGCAGGGGGCGCACCGGGGGTCACTAATGCAATGGACGCGGCACAGGTGACCATCACAGAAGCAGGCAAGCGGAAGCGGAAGTACAAAGTAGTAGTAGCACCACTAGCAGCACAAGTAGCAGCAAAAGTAGAGACAGCTGGTCTCAGCGCCCGCATGACATGCCGGCCGTTGCGGGTGGCATGCCCTGGCCATCATAGCGCCATCACCACCATGGTCAATAAAAAATTGGCTTCAGAAGGCTCACGGCTGCTCCCACCTCTACAGGGGTCGGGGGGGAAGAACGCATCGGCCACCGCTCCGGGGGGGGGGGGGGGCTGACATGAGCGTTGAACCGGGCGCTTTTGTAAGCCAACAGAAGGATGAAGGGTTGGATTCTTCGACAAGGTATCGCCGTCTCGGATACGCACCATACGGCAACATACACATGCTTGCGCCCCCATGAATTCGCTCGGCGACGCCTTCTTTTCTTCTTGTTCTCGCTGTGTGTCTGCAGATGAAGGGGAGTGTTTGCTTCATGCATATGCAATGCCTGGCCCCTCTGTGGCTGCCGTTGGTGCTGATACTAGTCATCCTGCTTGCGCTGCACCCTGTAACCCACCACAGTTGTCTCGCGGAAGCCTGCGACGGATTGCCAGGCCCTTCTCTTGCATGGGGGACCAACTGTTAGCGGCATCTTTTATTCGGCTGGGAGGCGACGTTAGTCTAGTATAGAGATCCCAAGCCCTGGCTACCCACCCTTCCATATGCAAATTTCCGCAATTCACAGGCGGGCGCTCAGGAGAGGGGCGACGACGCTGGCGATCTCGAGGATACACAACAAAGACCTTTTGATTCAGAGCAAGCCAGGTCAACGCCATCTCCCTCTGCTACCCTGGCGGCGGTCTACATTGTAGATTGACTACAAACGGGTGACTTGACGGCAACATGGGCCGAGAAAGCAAACAAGCACGCACGCAGCCAGACAGGCAAGCAAAAAGCAAGACATGGGTGGGAAGTGTGTCCCGGACAGCTGCCGCGGCGAGATCAGCCCTTGGCCGCCCTCCGGCCGAAACAGTATATCGCCTGCATTTGCAGGTGCAAAGACGCCATGATGGAGCCCAGCGACCACAGAGGTCCTGTCCTGTCCTGCACGGAAGGGGAGACGGGATGCTGAGATAACGGCTTGGGGGATAATAACGGGCCAAAAACGGGAGAATGCTCCACGGGTCCCCGTATCCAAGCCTTGTACCGTGTCCTGTTTTTTTTTTTGCGTTTGTTTGTTGTTTCCGTAGTCCGCGAATTCTCCGCCGTGCTCCCCGTAATCTCCATCGTCGCTCATCCATTCAGATCGCAACTCCATCCCTCCCTCAGCGAGCGCTTGGACTGCGCCGTGCTTATCCTCTCGTCATCCACCGAGCACGTAGTGGTTGCAAGGCAGGTCATAAAATGGCTTGCTAACTAAACCCACAACACGCTCGCCACTAAGAATCCAAAACGACAGCGCCACCGTCCCCTGTCTCTGCGCTGCATGCGCCCCACCCTCCCACTGGGAATCGCTGTTTTAGCGTCCCCATTTTTAACCGGCCCGTCACAGACATTAATCGCCAACGGGCGCCGCTGCTTTTCGCTTCGCTAAAATAGGCCTGCTTGCCTGCTCCTCTTCCCTGCTGTGCGCGTCTTCCTGTCCACTTCTCTCCTCCATTCCCCAATCTCTATATATCTATCCGCAACAACCACAAGATCGGGGCTCCTGGTAGACAATGATCTTCCTAGGAACCAACTGACGCCCTCTATGCAACGCTCTCAACGATCGCCATGGACCACAACAGGCCGCCGCCAGGAAGACCAAACATGCCAACCCTCCCATCCATCACCACCTTGAATCCCTCCCTTATTTATGAATACAACGTTAGCAACTCTCCCCAGTCCAGGCAGCAGAACCCATACAGCTATTCGCACGACCCCTACTACCAACCACGCCAGGTCAAACATGCCGGTCCCGCCATGGATACTGTCGCCTCTGGTGCTCAGGAAACCCCTAGACGAACTGCAGTAGAAGACAACACAGAACCTCATCGGCCTAATTCAAATTCATATACCCACTACCATAATACAGGACACGCAGCTCGCAATTCCACTATCTTACAGCAGCCCGTTTCCCCGTCACAGTGGAATCGGAACCAACCGCCGACTGACCCAAGACCACAGCCACAGCGCCAGGCAACAAATGGCGTCCCACAGCCTGCCAAGAGCATGGAACGAAAACGCAAGCTGCAAGACTTGGAAGAATCAGCCCCATATCCCCAACCACAGAAACATCGGAATCCAGTAACAACGCAAAAAAGCCAGGCACTCCCAACACAACAGCAACCACCCAAAGCCAAGAGGCAAGCCTCTACTGCCTCGACATCTACGGTATCTGAGCCGGCCAAGAGATCGATTAGTCCTTGTAAAAAGCATCCGTCTGTTTCAAAACATCAGACTTGGATACGCACCACAGAATATACCGGGATCCCTCACCCTATTCGTAAGGCTGAAGATGTCCACGTTCGCGTTGCGAACAATGTAAGCTCGTCTTCGCCATACATCAACATATACTATGTGCTAACCATTCCTTTTAGCCTCGCATTAAGAACAACAACTGTATTGACGATCATGACGGATATTATTTGGTGATTCCCGACACTGGGCTTTCGCCACGATGTTAGTTCACCAGCCATCATCCCTCGGCTATGCAGGATGCTAACTCTAGACAGATCGTATCTCCAAGTTGCTAGGACAGGGCACGTTTGGTAAAGTTGTTCAGGCCACAGATTCAACTTCCAACGAACCTGTTGCCATCAAAATCGTGCGCTCTGTGCCAAAGTACCGGGAAGCGGCTCGCCAGGAGCTCCGCGTATTGCGCACTTTGGAAGCAAACGATACGGCCAATCGTTATCGCTGTTTACACCTCCGCGATTGCTTCGAGTATCACAGCCATATTTGCATAGTCACAGACCTGCTTGGCCCTAGCCTGTTTGACTTTTTGAAGAACAACAACTTTGCGCCGTTCCCGTTTATGCATGTGCAAAGCATGGCGAAGCAGATCCTGACCAGTATTGCCTGTAGGTTTGAGTGTATTTCATGACTTAAAATCCGATGCTAATTTTTGATTGCAGATGTACATGACTTAGGCCTAATACATACCGATCTAAAACCCGAAAATATTTTGATTCGCGACCCTGCATCACGCCCAGAACCCTTTGTCAGGCGTGTGCCACCACCAGCATCTTGCGAGAATCCCGAGGCGACAGAACGACAAGTATTGCTGAGTACAGACGTCAAGCTTATTGATTTTGGATCTGCGACGTTTCAAAACGAATTTCACGCCTCTATAGTTTCCACGCGCCATTACAGGGCTCCCGAAGTGGTGCTGGGACTGGGATGGTCCTTTGCTTGTGATATTTGGAGCGTGGGATGCATCCTGGTGGAACTATTTACAGGTGCCAACATTTTTCAAACTCATGACAACATAGAGCATCTCGCCATGATGCAAGTTTTGCTTGGTGAGGACATCAGTCTTGACATGATCAACCAGTTTGATGAAGCGTGGGTGAAGAAGAAGAAGACGACGCCGCAGACACCCGAAATGGCTGGCGAGGCTGCGTCACCTTCAGCAAATCCCTTTCAGGGCTACTTTAAGGATGGGAAGCTCAACTATCCTAGCGACGAGACCCCGCGAGGCTCCAAGAAGCTTGTCAAGATGACCAAGCCTCTAGAGGTATGAACCATCTAATCTTCCATGATGTACACGACTGGTTTACTAACTGTGTAATAGGAGCTGGTACCTAAATCGAACTCATTCCTGGCGCAGTTTCATGACTTGTTGAAGCAGATGCTCACTCTGGATCCCACACGTCGGATGACGGCTAAGGTTGCCCTAGCCCACCCATGGTTTGAAGAGTATGATTATAGTGACCAGAGGGTCCACGAATTGCAGTCTCCAAAACTGCACAGCGACTGTCAGGGTGAGAAGGAAAGTTGCATTCAAATTCCGGCGTCTGCATAAAATATGTAAAAGCGTTTTTTTGGGGCCCCTACAGCACAGTGGGCAATTTGCTTTATTCTTTGGTTTTACGTCGAAGCATACAAAACATGTACATCTAGCTACAGCGTTATGAATATGGAAATGAATCATTTTGGATTGTAAAATACTTGCGTCGCTGTCGTTGTTGAGTGTTGGTCAACGGTTATGAGAGCGGCACTGGAGCTTATCTCTGGAGAGAACACGCTAGGCAAATAACACGGCCATAAATCTTGAGTGTCTATAATTATTACTATAACGAATACAATAATTAAATGCAAATTTTAATAGGTAGACACCGCAACACGTGTCTTTCGTGACTTGCAGTAGTGTATGTGCTCTACCAGTGGTGCTGACCGCCTGCTGTTTACGGACAATGGCAGTATATTGCCACTTCAGGGACGACGTCAACCCGAATTTCAAGCAGCAGAGACACAATCGCGCTTCGCATCCCAGCCAATCCAGCGGGCGGTTTTGGCATTCGAAATTCACAATATATAAACTATGGCGACTAAGAAGGGCGTAAACTGGCGCCTCTGGTCCAAGGTCATCATCGGGTTCGTGGGCGCAACAGAAGCTTTTTTACACACCAGCTAACCAAAGGTCTACGTTACAGAGGAACGGCCGTCAGTGTCGGAGGACCCATGTTTACATACTGGCTCGTGCCTACGGAGGAAGAGCTGCGATCACGATATAACCCCGACCTGCTGAAGCGCAGCATTGAAGGGCGCGAGGAGCGCGAGAAGGAGTTTGACGACTTTGTGACGAGGCTGAAGGAGTACTCCAAGTCAGACAAGCCGAGTGAGTATTTTTCCCGTCGTGTCCTGCGATTGTGACCATGGTATTGTGATTGAAGCAGCTAGCTAACAGGCCCGATGTAGTCTGGTTCGTCGTCCAAGAGGAAGAGGAGCGAAAGAAGAAGGCTCTGTTCGAAAAGGCACGCGAAGATCAACGACAAGCCGAGGCTCGACGGGAAGAGATGCGAAAGGAGGCTGGGCTGCAGACCAAATAGTGACTTTGGCGCTGCGGTGTGTAGGATATACGGCGGCGCTCGAAGAATGGGCGATGTCATGACGCGGGAAGGACCACGACGGGGACTAATAACTAGCATGTACAATACGACACTCAAGCATATCCACTTCTATATTCAGAAAGAACAGAACGCAAAAGGCAATCAATGTGTATACCGCACGGCAATGGTCGCTTTTCTTGGGTTCGTCTGTTCCGTGACGAGGCTGCCCTTTGGAAGCAGCGTGTGACTTTACCCGTCTAACGATTTACCCCGACGGCCTCGACAACTTGCGCATAATAAGCCACTCCGGATGCAACGGACGTATTGATTCTTCAGACGAAAATTGATCATATGGCCATCACCATCACCATCCTCCGTTGCTTCGAGACCAAGGCTGCAGACCAAGGCGCCAGAGGACGCCAGGACCGTACAAACGCCACGAAATACTCGGGCAGGCAACAAAAACCTCGGGAATTTGTCCTCTCAGACAAGGCTCTGTGGCGCATTCTCTTGCGCTCCCTCTTATGCTTATTGAGATGTCGCTGTGACCGCAATGGCGGCGCCATGTGCACAGGGCTAGGCGCTTGCGGCTAGATACGGCGCCGCGTGCTTTGTCGCTCACTCGCTCCAGAGGCGATCAATTTCCCAGTGGTATCTCTATCTCCAACGCGTTCCTGAGCTGTATTATGCGCCGCTATTCACAGCGCCCCCCTTTTTCCAGGCCATCTTTCACCGTCTCGTTTGACTCGCTGTACCCCAAACTCCAAGGTCCTTCCTAATCCAACTATGGGGTCGTCCGTCCCCGCCATTAAGAGGACCTTTTTTTTGTGGTTTATTACCCCGTGTCATTTAACACTTGAGATTTAGTGTTCCTGGGGTACGTTGCATCGTACGGTAGACCGCCCCGTGGGGTTGTCGACTATTGGATGGACTACTGTCGTGTAATGCCCTTCCAGAACACGGAGCGAGCCAGCCAACCGGGACGCTAGTTGGCGAAACACCTGCATAGTCAGCTGAGGCTTCACTGGTGGATTCGTTTATTCGCCTTGCAAGCGGCCTCATGTCATCGAATGAAGGATCCTTTCGTGTACTTCTAGCGTGGTAGCTAGCTAACCAGCTTAGTGGTGCATTGTCTCCGTGCCTTTCCCCGCGGTAGATAATACGAGGGTGTGATCATGTTGGCTATCTTTAATTCCCTTTAGGATTTGTATTTGCTTGGTAAACATTCCGGATACACGGCCACGTCGTAGGGACTTTTTTTTTTTTTTTTTACCACAGAATCCCCTCGTCGTACATGTTAAACGAGCGTGCGCGACAAAAGTTCGCTTCGCACAGCAGTGGAAGTGATATCACAAATGATGGCCAGTCATGGTAGACAAAGTGGCTTTTTGGAGTGTGTAGAAATTGGTTTCTCATGGCATGACTCGAGACGGAGCCAATTCGTGGGGATGATGGAGTTTGTGAGAATGGTGGCTAAACTGTCGACCTTCCTCTTCGGTGTAGTTCCGCCGCCGGCGCTGGCGCTTGGCTCTGGAGTCGAGCGCTGATAATTGTGCTCTCGTTGGCTGGTGCTCATTACGGAATTAGTCTAATACAGTTCGCCCACTTACCTTTGCTTAGCAGCCGTTAGGACATGATGGCTTAGTGCCTTCGTTCAGCGAGGAACTGCAAGCACATGGCAGCTGTATGCGGGCCGGCCGCTGTCAGTGGTTTATAAATCGCGTAATTTCAGACGAGGGTCTGTCTGCCTCCGCTCTTTGGAAAGCATGACAATGAGTTATTGAATCTAACAGGCACTAGAGTGCTATTGCTGTCACTGGTATGCTATTGCTGGTGGTATTACAGCGCAATGCCGCCCAATTGGGCTTGTCAAGTCCGATATACACGCATTGTTTGTGTGCGCCTCGTGATTGGATTGGATTAGAATGCATTTGTCCTTTTTCCAGCGCCATGGCCGCATCTGCGTGCAATCGCCGCAGCGGTCTCGGCGATACACGGCCATGGCCTGGGCACCATCCCTTGGCATTGGACGACCGACCCCGGGCATTTTTTTGAAGCTACAAAAGGACCTCGGGACATCAGCTGTGGTGCGGAACAATGACGACAGAAGAAGAAAAAAGGTTCCTGAACGTGGTCTTTTTGTCGGGTACACTGACCATACCTTTTGTATTTTAATTGCTTATCTTGGCAAAAGTAAGGCGAGCGGGCGGAGAAATCCCGTAGCGGTCGATCAGGGCTTAACACACACGGCACTGTACCTGCAAGCACGCAAGCTGCGTTGGGTTGCGTGCATACTGTGCCATAGTCACTAACTAATAGAAAGCTGCGTTCGTGTTTTTGCGCTAGTAGTTTGTGCTATTTCTGGCAGAAGGTTAGTTCCAGGAATCCTTAGCGCTGTGGCGTCTGAGTTTGGTTGGATTTCTGTTTTTTTGTCACATTTTTGCAGGGAATAGAGTTTTTGTCCCATCAGACCGTTTCCATCTCAGCTATTGCAAAGCGTGATAGCCGACGGACGCTTCGCTTGCGCAAAGAAGAGAGGGATTTAATGACAAGGAAAAATATACTGCTGCTTCAGCAGGTAAAGATTGTGGCGAAATCCAGCGGGCATTCCATCTCGACCTAGAACCAGGGTTCTTGAGATTCCGTGACCAACGCTATGGAGAACAACTGGGCCATCTCACGCGGGCCCTCGGGAGATTCCACACACCCCCAGGACCAACAGCACCTTTTGGAGTGGACCGGATGGGCCAATCACCCCCCGCCTGATGCGCGGGCCTAGCATTACATTACGAATTAGTTTGTGCATTTTTTGCTAGTTGGTGATGATCCGTTCGGTCGGCGAAAAAAAGGGAGGGCCTTTTGTTGAGGTGAACTCAAAACGAGGCTCCGAGCCTACACTTGGCGTTGGCTTTTGGGTTAGATCCGACGGTTATTGCGGCGCTGTGGCGGCGAATGGTTGTGTACTGTAGCAGTGTTGGGTGTAGTACTGTACTCTGCATACTCTAGAACAAAACGAAACGAACCCAAAAAATGCGCCAAACATTGGAAAAGTCGTTTAGTTGAGGCTTTCACGGCTTCCCCCAAAAGGGGACCACCATCCACTGAGGGTCTGGGGTTCTATTTTCGCGGGGCGTGAGATTTGCACCTGGGGAAAGCCCACAGCCCGCCCGCGTATTGGATTAATGTGCGTTAGTAAGTGGTTGCTCTCAGGCAGAATGCAGCATCCCATTTCTCCAAAAGAACCTTTGTCTGTGGAGTATCGTCGCGACAGGACAGGCCTCATTGGATGGGGTCGTGATGCCTTGGCAGCACTGCTTTGGGCAGGTGATGGAAATTGGGAAGAGCGGGAGTTGCGCCTCAATCATAAGGCTTTGTTTCTGTTGTACTGTAAGCATACAGTATTGGTGGACAATAGCGGACTGGAACGAATGAAAAGACGAAGCAGCGAGCAATGGCGTTTTGATGGCGGCGCCCAGGCATTAGTCGTGCGCTTTTCTGTTCTACCAAACGTACGAGCCTGGAACGGACGTTGTACAAGCAGCAGTTTTGTGGCTGGCTGCGTCTTGTTGGTGCTGAAGAGTGACCCTGCTACTTTTTCATTATTGTTACGCAATGTCTTTTTTTCTTTGTAGCGCTATCCAACAGCTGCAATTTCCTCGGGCATTACTACTAATGCTAACTATTACTAGCGGCCTGAATGGACGTTGGTTTATGCCGAGCTGGGTGGCTTACGGGCAGCCATGCCGCTGTGGCTGGGCGATTACACTGGGCGATGGGATGCGAGCGCCGCTGGTCTGGGCGTCTGTGGCTGCTGCAGATGTGCAAGACACAGCGTGCTAATTTCACGTGGGCGCACCCTACACCGTCGCCTAACCCGGCCAATACAAGCATAAAGTGCGCTACTTGGGGGCAAAGATGCCGATGGGAGCGCCACAGCTACTTTAAATTGACCTGGACACACAATGCCAGTGTCGCGTAGATATCTAAACAGCAGCATAAACAGATGGTGATAAGAGGCATCCGGTGAAATTTGGGGGGCATTCCAGGCGATAAATACAACAAAGCGCATCAAATACTACTGATTCAGCGCCAACTGCGCTGTTTTGCGACGGTCCAGCGGGGGGCGCCAAGCGTCGCTCTCGCGGGTACGGCGCCCAAAGCAGAAGGAGCTCCGCCAACGCCGAGGCCACCCGCCCCAACTTCTATCGGGGGGACGAACTACCAAGTACAGTATTAGCTCGGTGCACTGAGTTGGGGACACAGAGTGTAGTGGACAAAGTGCGCTGTAAGCCGTCCTCTACAGCGGGCTCTGCCACAGCTCAGCGCTCTTTGGGGCTGGCTGCCTAGGGAGGGCCCGCTACAGTGGTCGAGGCCTGGCATTGTTCGCTTCCGACGACTGTTGGACTCGCCCATATTGGCCCCCACCCTCCAATGGTTCCAGCGTACAGAAGCCCTAAACAGGGCAATCCGGTTCCCTGTAGTGGCGGCGGTTGAACGATGATGGCCTTTGTGCACTCCCCCCTCCCACCTGCACGCCCCCCTCCCCCCAACTTTCTCCAACAACACCCACATTGTGACCCTGCGCAAGCAAAAGGTCTCCCGCTGGAGACAGACACTAGGCTAAGAGCGAGAAAGGACCTTTTGTTCGCTTGCTGGCTCCACGATCTAGTGTCTGCTCCAGTTGGGGTAAGCCTTGCCCGCCAATGGGGCCGTCGCGTCTTTGGCCGCCCACCTCCCCCCGCGAGAGTTTCTTTCTGTATAACTACCCCAGGAACGCTCCTCCTCCTCTTCTCATTGTCCCCTGCTTTGGTTCTTCTTCTCTTGTGCTCAATTCATCCCATCGTTTCATTCTCTCTCCCCCCCTCTCTCCTCTCCTCTCTGAGCCCCTCCTCTCATCTCATCTTCACAAGAGATAAGAAAGAAGCAGCCAACCGCTGCACCAACACCACCAACGATGGGTGCCCTCGATCGCATCAGGTCCAAGATGTCGGGCGCCGACGTCGAAATCACCAGAAAGACCACCGCCGAGATCAAGCAGACCGACTCTGAGCTGCGAAACTTCCGCAAGCAGCACCGCTGGGATCCCTTCCTCGATGTCGACAAGCTTGACAAGCTCGACTCGGCCATTGCCTCTGGCGATGTCGAAAAGGAAGATGCCCTGGATCACGCCCTCATCCAGGATGACTCTCCTTACCCCGAGGTGCGCTCCTCGGTCCCTCCTACCGACGTCGACATGCCCGTCAACACCATCCGCTCCTGGACCCTCGGCGTCATTCTCTGCACCATTGTCGCCGCCTGCAACATTCTGCTGCAGCTGCGTGCTACTCCCATCTCCATCACCTCCACCGTTGTCCAGTTGATCTCCTACCCCATGGGTGTCGCCTGGGCCAAGTACTTCCCCGCGTGGCGCTTCACCATCTTTGGCAAGACGCTTGAGCTCAACCCGGGTCCCTTCAACGTCAAGGAACACACCATCATCACCCTCATGACTGCTGCCGGTTCCACCTACTCGTACGCCATTTCGATTCTGCTCGCCCAGGAACGCTTCTACCACCAAAACTTTGGCTGGGGCTTCCAGATCCTCCTCATCATCTCTACACAGGCCATGGGTTTTGGTATCGCCGGCGTCGCTCGCCGCTTCCTCATCTGGCCCTCGTCCATGGTGTGGCCCGCCGTCCTCATCACCACCACCGTCATGTACTCGCTGCACGACCACAGCCCTGCCGACCCTACCAAGACCAACGGCTGGCAGATTGGCCGTTACGCCTTCTTCGTCGTTGTCGCCGCCAGCACCTTTGTCTGGGAATGGGTCCCTCAAGTTCTCGCCACCTTTATGCAGTACTTTATGTTCCCCGTCTGGGCCGCCCCTAACAATGTTGTCGTCAACCAGATCTTTGGCGGTCAGTCTGGCCTTGGCATCATCCCCATCTCCTTTGACTGGTCTGTCGTCACTGGTTTCTTGGGCTCGCCGCTCCAGACACCCGCCTTCGCCATTGTCAATGTCACCTTTGGTGTCTTCCTCGTCGCCATCGGCTGTATTGGTCTCAACTGGGGCGGTCCCGAGCTGTTCAAGTACTTGCCTCTCTCTGCCAACAAGAACTTTGATCATTTTGCTCAAAAGTACAACGTCTCACGAATTATGAACATCCCCGAGTACACCATCAACATGGAAAAGTACGAAGCCTACTCTCCCATTCTCATTGGACCAGCCTTTTCGCTCTCCTACGGTTTCGGCTTCGCTGCTCTCATGGCCACCATTACCCACATTGCCCTCTTCTACGGACCCGACGTTTGGAGACGCGCCCGCGACAGCCGCAGTGAAGAGGACGACGTTCACATGAAGCTCATGCGCAAGTACAAGGAGGCCCCCGAGTGGTGGTTCATGGCTATTTTCGCCGTCAACTTTGCCTTTGGTCTCATTGCCTCGCAGGTCTGGCCAACTCACATGCCCTGGTGGTCGTACATCATTGCTATTCTCATTGGTAGCGCCCTCTTCATTCCCATTGGTATCATTCAAGCCATCACCAACCAGCAGGTCGGTCTCAACATTGTTACGGAAATGATTTTCGGTTACATGCTGCCTGGTCGCCCCGTTGCCATGATGTTGTTCAAGTCGTGGGGTTACATGCTGGCCTACAACGGTCTCACCTACGTCTCCGACATGAAGGTTGGCCACTACATGAAGATCCCCCCTCGCTCGACCTTTGCTGCCCAGGCCTTTGCCGTCGTCTGGCTGTCTATTGTGCAGATCTGCACCTACAACTTCCTCATGGGCAACATCGAGGGTATCTGCACCGACGATCAGCCTCAAGGTCTTACTTGCCCCACTGCCGTCACCTTTTACAACGCCTCCGTCATTTGGGGTGTCATTGGTCCCAAGATTGTCTTTGGCGCCGGTGCCCTCTACTCGTGGTGCAACTACTTCTGGCTCATTGGCTTCCTATGTCCCTTGATCCAGTTCCTCATTGCCCGCAAGTACCCTCGCTCCTGGGTCCGCTACGTCGTGTTTCCCGCCATTTTCGGTGCCGCCGGCCAAATCCCCCCTGCCACTACTTGGAACTTGTTCATCTGGTGCTGGGTTGGTCTCGCCTTCAACGTTGTCATTCGCCGCCTGTACCGTGGCTGGTGGACTCAGTACACCTATGTTCTTTCCGGAGCTCTCGACATTGGTACCGCTCTTTGCGTCGTCATTGTCGGTCTTGGTCTGGGCTTGTCTGGCACCCCTACTCTTAAATGGTGGGGTAACGATGTCGTCGAGAACAACCTTGATTTCCATAAGAACGCTACCACCAGGAGATTGGCTCCCGGCGAGAAGATCCCTGGTGTCTGGTAAGCAGCGGCTTCGTGCTGCTGCTCCCAACCTCCTCGTGCATTTTCCATTTTCTCTTTTCTCTTTCCGCAACCCATTCTTTGGACCTCAATGTGTCGGACGCTCTTCTTTTTTCTTGGATAAAACAAAGGGCATAAAATTTGCATATTATTCATGACTTGTATAAATAAACGAAGTAACCTTATACCCCCCTATACACCTGGAATGACATATGAACATTTTATTCACTAGCTTCTATGCGTGAAACTCTCTCTGCACAATCACTATGCAATATACAGCATCACGGTTTCTTAAGATCAACACGACCCCATACACACGGCTCAATTTCACGAAAGATTATCATTACATTAATACTTCTATAAAAATACATGGCACATATCTCTAAAATTGCTTGTCCTGATCCCACAACGCAAAAAAAGAAACACCAAGCAGCCTGCTTAGTTCTTCTTCGACGAAGGGAAGGTGACGTTGCCAACCCATTCGCGGAAGATGGCGTCGTACTCCTCAGGCTTCTCCTCCTGAGGCCAGTGAGCAGTCTCAATGGTCTTGTTGTAGTGGTTCGTGAGGTACTTGGACGAGCCAAGGGCGGTAGCGACAAGATCCCAGCGGGCGACAGGGTCGTGGACGGGGTAGAGGGTGAAGGTGGGCTGGCTGAGCGTGTAGTTGCCCTGGGCACGCTCAAACTGCCAGGTATCGTAGCGGTTGCGGCGCTGGTAACCGTTGTAGGCTTGGTACGACTGTTAGCAATTTGCATTTTCTTTTTCGGTATTTTCACATACTGTTGTAGAAGCCCTGCTTCTTGTAAGTCTCGACCATGTAGTCCTCGACCTTCTTGGACATGATGCCGGAGAAGGGGATTTCGGTGCGGTTGTTCTTCTTGTTGTCCTCCTTCCATGCGTCGAGGAAGCTGGTGGTGTCCTTGAGGAACTTCTCGGGAACCTTGGTGTCAGCGACCTGGGCGCATGAGCGGATGGCGCTGCGCGGGTCGGCGTCCATCTCGGCAGCACCGCCGCTGGCGTTGTTGGACAGGTACAGCTGGTATCCGAAGCCGGGGGCAAGCTCGACAAGCTTCTCGGTAGGGACAAAGTCAAACTCGGACGAGACGTAGGGGACGACGGCGTTGAAGACGCCAATGAAGCGGTCGGGGCGCATGCGGCCGGCCTCCCAGCAAACTTGGGCGCCAAAGTCGTTGCCCATGCAGATACCGGCGTCGACCTTGGCGTGGTCCATGATGCAGAGGAAGTCGTTGACAAACTGAAAGGCACAGAGTTAGTGGGGTGCGAGGATAAAGGAGAAAAGTATGCTTACGTCGGGCATGGTGTTGGACTCAAACAGGTCGTGAGGGTGCTGCGAGTCGCCGTAGCCGCGGTGCTCGGGGATAATGAGGCGGTAGTCCTTGCCTAGCGACAGGATCTGGTTGCGGTAGGTAGTCCAGGCAGACGGCCAGCCGTGGGACATGACAATGACCTTTTCGGCAGTGGGGTTGATGTCGAGGTAAGCAAGCTTGAGGTCGATATTGAGGGGCGTCAAGCTGCCGCGCTCGGCGGCCTTGCAGGTGACAAAGTTCTTCTTGTAGTCGTTGGGATCAAAGTCCTTGTTGGCCGTGGGGTGAGGGGCAGCAACGGCCAGGCCAGCCATGAGGGCGGCGGCGGCGGCGATCTTAGTAGAGAACTGCATTTTGTTCTAGTTCTAGTAAATCAATCCTTAGGGAACCAAATTTGACGAGACACTAGAAGAAAACAAAAAATCACAGTGAGGTCCCGGACGACTTATATACGTGCGGGCGGCTACGGCGTCATACCGCGGGTCCACGACCCGATGACTTTTTGAAGCGAAGATTACCCATCGAAATGTCACTATTACGGAGTCAGACATTCCAGGCAGCAACCCGAAAGATGAGAGCTTCTATGCCATTTCCGGTCCTGGAAAACAAGAAATCTCTCGATGCTACCAAACTCCGTGCCGGGCACTTGGCCCTGAAAGCCGCATCGTCGGGTCCCCGATTGCCGGAGTTTCACCGCAGCCAATCAGGTATTGTAGATCGCCGCCGCTTCCCTCGGTAAGTCCGGCGAACGGGGATTTTGGTGAGACGCCTGCGGGATGGTGATTGGTGGAGAATCGCCGGTTGCGATATGATGTTGAGTGTTGCAGGGCTAAGGGCACGCTAAAGACTGCGCTATGGGACGCGGTGCGCCGGGAAAAATTGGAATATTAGGTGAGAAAGCTAATGTACCTGCGACCGAAGATAAGATGGAGCGGCGATAGCCTAGAAGAAAAAAAAGAATGATTCCATCGTGGCTTACGCGCTGATGCCGATGGAACCTATTACAGCGGATCTCGGTGGTGGGTTGTATGTGTACAGCACCATGGATCGTGTTATCAGGGCCTTTGTTTGTTACGCTGCTGGTGGGTGAGGGACTTTTCGTAGCCTAGATGGTCTGACGGTCAGTATGAAAGAGAAAAAAAGGATAAAGTATTTCCGCAATGGAATCTTACTATTTACCCGAGTTTGAGCCATGATCTCTCTGTGTCTTGTTTGCATTACAGCTCAGGGCCCGGACATTAGCTGTGTAGTATTGCAGGGCTGTCTCGCGAGCCAATCTCGCAGCGGCATGCCGCATTCGCGTGGTTGGTTTAGCCGCCTAAGGCTGGGCTTCGAGGGGATAGTGTCTTGCACGTTTGTTGGGTGAGGCGGCCAAGAGTGTTGTAGTCGGGTCTTCTGCTGTGTGATGTATGTGAGCTTTGTCCTGCATGGTCATGAAATTGTCATTTAGAGGCAGCCGGCAGTGACCAGTTGTAGATCCGTAGACCCGACAGACTGTGGATATATAGACAAACTGTCAAAGGGCAGGGCCGATGTATCTATGTGAACCTGCGGCCATTCAAGGTCGGCAATAGCATTCTGTGTATAAGTTCAGTCACCATTCGGATATTCTTTCCGAGCTCTTCAAGTTGTCGTAGTGATATTCAAAGGTAGTGGCAGCAGATTTCATGACAATGGCGTCGAGAATGGCGCTATGCGTAACCTTGGCCCCTCAAAATACTTTTGGCTTTCATTCAGTCAGTCTCTTCCCAAATATGAAAGCTGCCAAAACGTGATGCAATATAGTAGAAGCCAACGGATACTGCTTTCACTTGCTAGCCTTTGAGATTCACAGAACATCAGGTGACTCTCGCAGCTCCACGGTTCAAATATTCTCCACAACCGTGTAGTAACGAGGAGTGCTGTATGATCACCAAGTCGATTCCGGCCGATAACCTTGTGCTAGTTGAGACTACCATCATAATAGTAAGATGCTAGGCACGAATGCCATCGGCCAACGTCGTCGGCCAACGTCGGCAATTCTATCAGGTCTGCGTTCTAAAGGGGCCATCCCAGAAATTGGTTCTGTCGAACAAGCCAGCACAATGACAGAGAACCTGTATGGGAGTCGACAGTCTCTGCATATGTACACGCAGTCCACTCTTCTAATCATCAATACAACCAACATTATGATCGTCGACTACACCTTGCAGTGTTGATCGACGTCGGCATCACCGCCAACTCTGAGAAGAGATGAATGGACGCATCATTAGGCCTTCACCCAAGTTAGGATCGGCACATTCCGCCCAACATCTCTTGGCACTGACTAGGTGTCGTTTTTGACATATGCCGAGAATCGCCTTCTCCTATTGCAATCAATGGCACTGTAGTCACCTGCCCGTCTGGGTGCTGTCAGTCCACGGTTGCCCTGCAATCTGTGTCATTACCACTCACGGCAGATATTTCCAGTATTTCGGTGGTTTTCTATTCAAAGTAAAGTCAAACCAATTATGACACATCCATTGACACCGGAACGGCGTCACTCAGCTCGCTTAGGCGACAATGTAGCCCAAGGTCGCGCCAGAACCTGGCCTTCCTATTCGAGAGATAGCGCCGGACACCACTGTCAGCGAAATATGGCGAAACAAACAAAACGCCGTGTTTGGTTCTACTAGCAAGGAACTTCGGAGCCTGCCAGCGCCACGAAGAACATTAGCGCTTCAAGCCACACCGGTCAGCCGGTCAGCTGGCGCAACGACTTCGATCTCAAGACGGAAGGTTCAATAACGCCAAAGTGCATTGGAATCCGTGGAAATAATGCAACGCCGGGCGTTGGGTGACAATTCGCTTGGCTTTGGGTTGCATTACCTCGCCTTGCATTTGTTTTGTCAGTGCTGGTTCTTAGGCTGCTTCTTGTTTCGGCTGATTTGCACTGTCTTGTTCCTTGATTGCCGCGATGAGTTTGGTGTTGATCTCTGCAGCCTCCACTTCTAAACAAACCTTGCTCTCCTGATGTTTGCCGATACAGGAGTAGTTCTGCCTGCCCCTCCAATGATACGGCAGATATCCAGGTGCTGAGTAGGTCATCAAGGAAGAGGGGCCACAGCCCACGAGGACACTCGCACTTGGGCACACAGACATTCCCAGCCGGCCCTACTCGTCGTCCCCATGACGACTTTGAGGTTAGGCGAACTGCGTCTTATCCCAAGTGCCTTGCTTAGGCCTTGCGCACCCGATGTTACATCAGCTCCTCACCGCAACGCTGTGGCGGCGCTGGCGCAAGAGCCAAGGCGATCCCATCGACGCCATGTTCCCTTCTCCAATTCGCACTGCATCCGCTATATATGTTTCGAAACTTTTAGTTCCATCCTAGTTGGCCGAGTTGGAGATTCACCCTCTGTGCTGCGCCAACGGATTTAAGAGGCCAAGGCTTTTGGAAGATGCGAGTCATCGTGACAGCGGCACCGATAGACGTGAGCGTGGCTGCTGGCCGACACCGCGGGGAGCATAATCCTCCTTCTATTCTCGGTCTAAACTCCCCAGTAACAAAGTCCTTATTACTTGTCCCCCACACTCTCCGCCCCCCGAATACGGTGACTTGCTTACGAGGCACAACGATTCGCCATTGCCCCCGCACGAGGGAGCCCAGCGGGTGCTCGGTGTTCCTCTTGGTCGGCCCCTATTCTTGCATCATATGGCCGAAATCCCATATTCCCCGTAGCTGGATTGCACCATCTCACCAATAAGGTGCCGGAGTCGTGGAGAAGGACAAGGCATGAGGGGCAACAATGAAACTTGTGCGGGCCCTAAGCTTTGTGATCAGCAGCCTAATTCGGAAGGTCGGCCAGATCCAGGACCAACGCCAGCCTCTCACATGTCGTAATAGTTATGTCCAGACAAGGCAACTTGCCTATGATGAAGGTCTGTGGGGAACCTTTGGAGAACTCCAAAACGACGGTAACCTGCCGAATGTAGAGCCTTGCGCTGGGTTCAGTGATCCACCAAACGGACCGGTTTTGCAGATCGCAACACTATGTAGGAGAGTAGCATGTAAGTTGATTCGTACGTAGCGCCGGCAGTGTGTAATTCAGCGTGTTTCCTTGGATGGTACCAGCGAGAAACGAGGCTAGTGAGCTGCTCATAGCGTTTCCTTTCAATTGTCTGTTGTGAGTATAAAGGCTTCCAATGTCCCCATGATACTCGACCTTTCCCTTATTCCTCATCCCATCAAACAAGCCTTTCTCCTTCTTCCCTTTTATTCTCTTAAACAAATTTCACAATGAAGACCTCCAGTGCTCTTCTCCTGGCCTCTGCCGTCGGCGGCACCTTTGCTGCCCCTGCCTCTACCAAGGCTGGCATTACCTTCAGTGCCACCACCACACACACTGGCAAGGTCCGCAACGCCCTCGACGATCTGGCATACGCCTTCAACAAGTACGTCCCCGCTGAGAAGCAGGCTGCGATCTTGGCCTCGCTCCCCAAGCGTGACACCGGCTCTGTCGCCACCAAGGCTGAGCCCAACCCCGCCGGCTACGACAAGCTCTACTTGACTGAGGTCTCCATCGGCAACCCTCCCCAGAAGCTCAACCTTGACTTCGACACTGGCTCTTCCGACCTCTGGGTCTTCTCTACCGACACCGGTTCCTCTTACACCGGTGGTCAGACCCTCTACAAGCCCAAGTCTTCTTCTTCCTCCAGCCTTATCAACGGCGAGTCCTGGGCCATCCACTACGGTGATGGTTCTCAGTGCTCTGGTGTTATCTACTCCGACGACGTCACCATTGGTGGCCTTACTGTCAAGGGCCAGGCTGTTGAGTCTGCCCAGAAGGTCTCTTCTCAGTTCACCAAGGACAGCCAGAGCTCTGGTCTCCTCGGTCTTGCCTACAGCAAGGGCAACACCGCCAAGCCTACCCAGCAGAAGACTTGGTTCGACAACATCAGCTCTAAGCTCGACAAGAACCTCTTCACTGTCCGCTTGAGACACGGTGCCGAAGGCTCCTTCAACTTTGGCTACATCGATTCCGCCCAGTACACTGGCGACATCAGCTACGCCGCTGCTTACACCGATGATCTCGGCCACCGTCTCTTCAACTCCGATGGCTACGCCGTTGGTAACGGCGAAACCAAGAGCGCCTCCATGAGCGCCACTGCTGATACCGGCACCTCTCTCTTGATCATTCCCGACGAGATTGCCGACGACTACTGGTCCAACGTCCAGTCTGCCAACAAGGTCCAGACCCAGGGCGGTAACCTCTGGGTCTTCAACTGCTCTGACTCCCTCCCCGACTTCAGCTTCAACGTCGGTAGCGGCAAGGCCGTTGTCCCTGGTGACAACATGAACTACGCTGCTCAGGGCGATGGCACCTGCGTGGGTGGTATCTCTTCTCACCCTGGCCTCGACATCACCATCGTCGGTGACGTCGCCATGAAGTCTGCCCTCGTCATCTATGATGATGCGAACAACCAGCTCGGCTGGGCCACTGGTGCTTAAATATAATAAAAGAACAGAGCAAAAAGTCATAAAAATATGTATATAACAACATAGAACATAATATGAAATGATATATGATGGAAAACAAAGTTCAAAACAACCTCCCCCCCAAAAAAGTGTATAACAAGTGTCGAGTGTAAGTGCCCGCTGTCAAGCTCTAGGTGCCAAGTGCCAGGCAGGTGGCACAAATCAGTTGCCAAGTGTCACAAAGAGTATTATGTCTGGCTCGAGGGTTAAGCAGTGGCTTCACTGTAACAATGGGGTCAGGAATAATCAGACCATGTCACGACCTGCTGGATCGCTCTATAGTCTGTCGGTCACAACACTCACGACAGTTACAATGTCGAAATAGTTGCTACGCAACGTGTTCGCTTGCTAGCTGGCAAATAAAGAAGTTTCAACAACAAGTGTTTGCCAGCTGGCAAAGGAAAGCCGCCAGCTGGCAGGACCACAACAACCTTGTATAGAAATAGAGAAGTGAACTGTGGAAGGAGGGGAGGGATTTGTCCTTCTTCAAGTTTGTTGTCTTCTTTCTATCTTATATATAGAACAGTTAACAATAGCATTATGTTTGGCGAACTTTTCTCGTAATACCTAGACAGCTACGTGACAGACCACCACGTAACAGAGCCCCTGCCTTTCGTTCTTCCTGACTCCGAACCAACGACGAGGAGCATTGAGTTCGAATCGTGCCACAGGCGTTTTGGAAAGTGACGGGCTTGGTAACATCTAAATTTAACTTTTAAAAAAATACGATATGTCACGTAGCTGTCCAGGTATTACGAGAAAAGTTCGCTAAACATAATGCTATTGTTGACTATTCTATATATAAGATAGAAAGAAGTCAACAAACTTGAAGGAGGACAAATTCCTTTCCTCCTTCCACAGTTCACTTCTCTATTTATATACAAGGTTGTTGTGGTTCTGCCAGCTGGCGGCTTTCCTTTGCCAGCTGGCAAACACTTGTTGAAACTTCTCTATTGGCCAGCTAGCAGCGAACATGTTGCGTAGCAACTATTTCGACATTGTAACTGTCGTAAGTGTTGTGACCGATAGACTATAGAGCGATCCAGCAGGTCGTGACACGATATTAAATATTTAATGCTCCCCGAGCTTGTCACAGTGATTTCCATAACATATTGTTTTATAGACAGGTGTCTCTGGCTTCCCGGGTAGCAGCAGCCTGCGCAAGCCTCGCACGGAACTGGAGGAATATGTTGATGCACAGATAATGAATTTAGAAAATTTGCGAAACCTCTAACTTCGCCCTAAACACCGCCAAAGATTTTCCCTTTCTACTGAGAAGCATTTATGTGTGATGCAGGTATGGATAGATTGATGGTCGTCATTGGCTGCGTAGACAATAGGAACGTTGCTTGCCGACGCCACTTTGCAGCGGCTATTATTTGATGGCGGTTACCGCGACTAACAGTTAACGGGAACAAGGTCTGGGGTGTTGGAGGTCTCGGTAAAAAATACAACCCTTTCCCTGCTATTGTTCTATCGAAACAACCAATAACTGCCCCCTTGCGGAGCGGACTTTGCAAGCCACACCAGACCGCACAGCCCGCAACGAGTCCGTAGGTGGACGTTATTCAGTGGGGAAACCAGCTCAGGAACGAACGGGTGTGGCCTTCTGTTCATCTGTACCGTACGATGCTCCAGTAGTTACTTAGCACATCTCTCCGCGAGGGACTGATCGGCCGCATACTCTCTACATGTATGGGTGAATGCGAGTATGCAGCAAGTTGTGGTTGCCAACCACTTTTTGCCGCTTACTCATTACAGCGTATTAGTCGTTGCCTTTTACCAGCGGGTGCCACCACGAATTATACAGCTGTGCTGTTCGCTTGTGAAGTCCACATTTAGCCCTATATTTTACAGTTAATCAAGTAAGCCTTGTTACAGATACGGGCATATTTCGGCGCGGCTTGCGCTCACGCACAGAACTTCGGCGGCGGGCTAACCCGGATGCCGCGCCAATGGGCAGCCAACCGGCCGAACGAAGTAAATCATTTTTTCTTGTCTTCTGGGCGGTGGTCTCATCAAAGATTAAATGACAGCGGCCCCTGCCTGTCAGTCAGTTACGGAATACTCGGCGACGCGGCGCGCCACGCCAAGCTCAGAGGAAGTTCGTTCGTTGTTGGCGTGTCTTGCACGAGGTGTGACATGGTTTCTACGCTGGGCGCCAAGCGGTGTCGAAGGCTTCTGCTCGAAGACTGGGACCGTTTGCCATGTGGCGGTATCAAGGCCCTTTTTCCCGCCTTCTTTTGCCCGTGGTCGTGTGCTGCAAGAAAACAATAAACTTGTCTGAGATGACGGAAATGTAAAGGATGCAGACAAAGAGCAAGCCAGAGTGGGGCTCGAGCGAATACGCGGAAAAGCAGCATTCGATAAGGGGCTTAGTGGACACCCAAGGCTGTGCCGGCGAGCGAAAGCGAGATCAAGATTTATAGTTTTTAGGTATGCTGATACGCGTGTTTGTGTGCTGTTATGGCGTCTGTCCTCGTGAGGCGAGTGTAGTTGAATGGCATTGTCCAGTTTGCTCTGAAGTGAGTTGTCGTGTAGGTGGGAATAATGATCAGGAAATACGCATATAAAACACATTTTACTTTTTTTTCGAGACATTCGCCCAAGGTTTGCAGCGATGTCACGCTGCCGCAGAAAGCATCTTTTTACAGCAGCCGCATTCTCCTCACGCGTAGTCTGCAACGTTATCTGTTCGGCAGTTAAGACATGCGCGTAACTTAAAAAGCAAAAAGAAGAATAGAAGAGCCAGAGCGTGTTTGAAATCAATAGGAAACAATGCTCATCATCCCCCAAACAGGAATTGCTGCCGGCTCTCCCGTATTTCCATCTAGGCAAAGTAGAGCGCGGGCGCGGGTTCGGGAAGCTGTAGCACCCCGAAGCTCGGGGAAAGGACTCCTAAAGATGTCCAAATTACAGCGGATTGTAGGTGAGGCCGGCGTGCGGACGACGGACAAACCCCACCAATGACCACCGTAACGGGCGTACCACTGCTTTGCTTATGGGCCTAAATGCTGCTACTGTTTGCTCACAAGGCAGATGCATTTTTTTTCTCGGGAAATTTTCCCTGCCAAGGCTTCCGAAACATTTTCTCAGTTTGTCCGCCGTGGGGGGCCTTATTCCGCGTGTGTATTTCTTTTCGATGGTTGTTTGTTTTCTTTCTGATGTATACCTAATTTGCCCTGCCCACTGCCCCCCAGTCCAAGGCAGCCGTGTCTCTCCTGTGCTCTGGTTGGTGTAGGAGCGATTAGCAGGTAATAAACTCTTTTTTTTTCTGGTGTAATTTTGTTAGCGCTGCCATGGCTTCCCGTCCCGATGCGTCCAATACTAGCCGTATGCTGTAGAACATGGTGGGGCCTTCCGCAAGCAATCCCGCCAAGCTACAGTGGACCCAAGGCCCTGGGATTGCCTCTCTGCAGGCGATCCTCACGCACCGGCATGACATGTGCTGGCATAGAAGGCCCTGCAGCAGGGGCGCCAGGCCTGGCTCCAGTGAAATCTCCGCCAGCACAGCGAGCCAGTTAGCTGTCTGCCTGCCCCCGATCCGTCTTATTTGCCCATGTCCGAGTCCGAATCCACCACGCTAGCGGCCTGTACCCGGGGAGCTTACAACCCGCGACTGCGTATTTTCTGGTTTCCCGCTCACTTGAGGATTTGACTTTTAATCCTTTTGGCCCCCCCTCCTCGCCCCCCGGTGCTGTCTTCCCCTCATCCTTTTCTACTGGCTTATTTTAAGCTTCCTTTTTCCCTTTTCTTAATCCAATTCCCTTCTTTTCCATCTTCTCTTTCTGTTCTACGGCGGAGGGCTTCATCAACTGTCGCTCAACCGCCTGGCACCGCTGCATAAGACGCTTGCAGGTGCTACTACTACTACAACACCAAAACACAACACAATCCCGCGATTGTCTCTTCGCGACCTTCCCTACTTAGAATCGACACCCGAATAATACAAAAACAGCCTGCGCTTTCGAGTGCCCACAGGTTGTCATCATGGTCATGCAATATGGCATGAATGCCAACTTCGACGCCACGGCGGCCACCCAGGGCGTCCCCATCACCACGCCAGGTAGAGTCAACGAGGACGTCGAGGAGGATGGCGTTGCTACCGGCCAGGGCAGCGATGTCACCGACGAAAAGATGGCCCGTCCTGGAGAGTTTGAAACCGCTGAGGGTGAAGCCAAGGAGATGGATCGCCGTCAGTCCGTCGTCCAGGCACTGGCTCGTTCTTACTCACGCGCTTCCGCCGCTGAGGGAGGCAATCCTTTCCTTGCCGGCGAGGATTCTCCTCTCAACCCAGCTTCGGCCAACTTTAGCGGTCGTGAATGGGCCAAGGCTGTTGCTGCCATGGTCCACGACAGCGGCTCCGACTTCCGCCATGCTGGTGTCTGCTTCCAGAACCTCAATGTCTACGGCTATGGCGCCTCCACCGATTACCAAAAGGATGTCTTCAACGTCTGGCTTTCCCTCGCTGGCTCCGTCAGCGCCAAGCGCCAGCGTATCGATATCTGCCGCGGATTTGACGGCTTGGTCAACCAGGGCGAGATGCTTGTTGTCCTCGGCCCTCCCGGTTCCGGCTGCTCTACCTTTCTCAAGACCATTGCTGGTGAGATGAACGGTATCTTCGTTGATGACGACTCCTACTTCAACTACCAAGGTAAGCCACACAAAATCGACAAATTCTCTCTCTTCTCATTATTTTTTGCATCTCTGTTTGGGACACTTTCCTCTTTCGCCCATGTCTCACATCCGCTTCTGTCTCACTTGCCCCGTGTCTTGGATGCGCGCGCCCGACGCTGTGTAACTGCGCTGGCGCACAAAGGCTGCAGAGGAGAGAGAATATACACTCAGCTGTACAAAGTAAAGAAGAAAAAAACATGTTTGCTAACGATTCTCCCTGTAGGTATGACCGCCAAGGAAATGCACACCAACCACCGCGGTGAAGCCATTTACACTGCCGAAGTCGATGTCCACTTCCCTCAGCTCACCGTTGGCGATACCCTCACTTTTGCTGCCAGAGCTCGTCAGCCTCGCACCTTGCCCGAGGGCCTCAATAAGATCGAGTTCGCCAACCACTTGCGCGATGTCGTCATGGCCATGTTTGGCATTTCTCACACTATCAACACCCGTGTTGGTAACGAATATGTCCGTGGCGTGTCTGGTGGTGAGCGTAAGCGTGTTACCATTTCTGAAGCCGCCCTTTCTGGCGCCCCTCTTCAGTGCTGGGATAACTCTACCCGTGGTCTCGATTCCGCCAACGCCATTGAGTTCTGCAAGACCCTGCGCCTTCAGACCGAGCTTTTCAACAGCACCGCCTGTGTTTCCATCTACCAGTCTCCCCAGAGTGCCTACGACCTCTTCGACAAAGCCGTTGTCCTCTACGAAGGTTACCAGATTTTCTTTGGCCGTGCCGACGCTGCCAAGCAATACTTTGTCAACCTGGGTTTCGAGTGCCCTGCCCGTCAGACTACTCCGGATTTCTTGACCTCCATGACCTCCCCTCTTGAGCGAATCATCCGACCTGGCTTCGAAGGCAAGACCCCCCGCACTCCCGAGGAATTCTCCAAGGCCTGGAAGAACAGTGAGGAATACAAGGCTCTCCAGAAGGAAATCGAGGCGTACAAAGCTAGCCACCCCATCAACGGTCCTGATGCTGTTGCTTTCCGCGAATCCAAGAAGGCCCAGCAGGCCAAGGGACAGCGCAAGAAGTCGCCCTTTACCCTGTCTTACTCTCAGCAAATCAGACTCTGCCTCTGGCGTGGTTGGAAACGTCTTTCTGGTGACCCCAGTCTGACCATTGGTGCTCTCATCGGTAACTTCGCTATGGCTCTCATTGTGGGCAGTGTCTTCTTCAACTTGGGTGAGACTGCCGACAGTTTCTTCCAACGCGGTTCTCTTCTCTTCTTCGCCTGTCTTATGAACGCCTTTGCCAGTGCTCTCGAAATTCTTACCCTCTACGCCCAACGTCCCATTGTTGAAAAACATGCCCGATATGCCCTGTACCACCCGTCTGCCGAAGCCATATCCTCGATGCTCTGCGATTTGCCATACAAGATTGTAAACGGTATCATATTCAACGTGGTCCTCTACTTCATGACGAATCTGCGCCGTGAGCCTGGAGCCTTCTTCTTCTTCTTGCTCATCAGCTACGCTACCGTTCTCGTCATGTCCATGATCTTCCGTACCATTGGTTCCGCTTCCCGAACTCTCTTCCAGGCCCTTGTTCCGGCTGCTATCCTCATTCTTGCTTTGGTCGTCTTCACCGGATTCGTCATTCCTACCGGCTACATGTTGGGATGGTGCCGTTGGATCGGATACATTGATCCGCTTGCCTACTCATTCGAGGCTCTCATGGTCAACGAGTTCCACAACCGTGAATTCCCCTGCACCAACTTTGTCCCACCCAAGGGCAGCTATCCCGACATTGATGATGCCGCTCGAATTTGTCTCTCGGTCGGTGCTAAGCCTGGCTCCACCACGATTTCTGGCGACCTCTACACTGAGACGTCCTTTGGCTACTACTGGGGAAACCGCTGGCGCGACTTTGGTATTGTTATCGCTTTCACCATCTTCTTCCTTGGCTGCTACATGTTCTTCGCCGAGTACGTTTCTGAGAAGAAGTCCAAGGGTGAAGTTCTTGTCTACCGCCGTGGCCACAAGCCCGCTGCCGCCGCCATGGCTGAGAAGAAGCACGATCCCGAGGCAGCCATGGCAAACATCGGACCCATTGTTACCAACCAGCGCAGCAACACTGCCGGCAAGGGCGGAGGTATCCTCCAGCAGCAGACCTCTGTCTTCCAATGGCACGATGTTTGCTACGAAGTCAAGATCAAGAGCGAGACTCGCCGAATTCTGGATCACGTTGACGGTTGGGTTAAGCCTGGTACTCTGACTGCTCTCATGGGTGTTTCTGGTGCTGGTAAAACCACTTTGCTTGATTGTTTGGCTGATCGTACTTCCATGGGTGTCATTACTGGTGAAATGTTGGTTGACGGACGCCCCCGTGACATGTCTTTCCAGCGCAAGACTGGCTATGTTCAGCAGCAGGATCTCCATCTTCAGACCACCACTGTCCGTGAAGCATTGAACTTTAGTGCTCTCCTCCGCCAACCTGCCCACATCCCCAGAGCTGAGAAGCTCGCCTACGTCGACGAGGTTATCAAGCTGCTTGACATGGAAGAATACGCTGACGCCGTTGTTGGTGTTCCCGGTGACGGTCTCAACGTTGAACAGCGCAAGCGTCTCACCATTGCCGTCGAACTTGCCGCCAAGCCTCCTCTGTTGCTCTTTGTCGACGAGCCCACTTCTGGTCTCGACTCTCAAACTTCCTGGGCCATTTTGGATCTTCTTGAGAAGCTCACCAAGGCTGGCCAGGCCGTTCTCTGCACTATCCACCAGCCGTCTGCCATGCTCTTCCAGCGCTTCGATCGTCTCCTCTTCCTTGCCAAGGGTGGCAAGACTGTCTACTTTGGCGAAATTGGCGAGAACTCCAAGACCATGACCAGCTACTTTGAGCGCAACGGCGGCCACGCCTGTCCTGATGAAGCCAACCCTGCCGAATGGATGCTTGAAGTTATTGGCGCTGCCCCCGGATCCCACACTGACGTTGACTGGTTCAAGACTTGGCGCGAAAGCCCCGAGTACGCCGACGTTCAAGCCGAATTGGAAAACATCAAGGTTGAGAAGCAGGCATCTACTCCCACCAGCTCGCTGGAGCAGGACCCCGGTAGCTACCGTGAATTTGCCGCCCCCTTCTTTGTCCAGCTCCAGGAGAACCTTCACCGTGTCTTCCAGCAGTACTGGCGTAACCCCGTCTACATCTACTCCAAGGCTGCTCTATGCACGCTGGTCGCTCTCTTTATTGGTTTCGTCTTCTTCCGCGCCCCCAACTCTATCCAGGGTCTCCAGAACCAAATGTTTGCCATCTTCCAGCTCTTCACCGTCTTTGGTCAGATTGTGCAGCAAACCATGCCACAGTTTGTCATCCAGCGATCTCTGTACGAAGCCCGTGAACGTCCTTCTAAGGTCTACTCGTGGAAGGTGTTTATGCTTTCTCAGATCATTGTCGAACTGCCCTGGAACTCGCTCATGGCTGTCATCATGTTCTTCTGCTGGTACTACCCCGTCGGTCTCTACAACAACGCTATTCCCGCCGACCAGGTTGCCGAACGTGGTGGTCTCATGTTCCTTTACCTCTTGGTTTTCCTCCTCTTCACCAGCACCTTCTCAACCTTCATCATTGCTGGTTTCGAAACCGCCGAGGGTGGTGGCAACATTGCTAACCTGATGTTCACGCTGTGCCTGATTTTCTGCGGTGTCCTTTCCACCAAGGACCAGCTTCCCGGCTTCTGGAGCTTTATGCTTGTCGTCAGTCCCTTCCGATACCTCGTAAGCGGTATGCTGGCCACAGCTGTCGCCAACACAAATGTTGTTTGCGCCGAAAACGAAATCTTGCCCATTCTCCTACCCTCTGGCATGGGAACTTGCAAAGAGTACCTCTCCAGGCTCATCAATGGCACCACTGTCAATGGCCACTTCTTCCCTGGCTCGCACGGCACCGTCGCCAACCCTGACGCTACATTCACTGCTGAGGGCACGCACTGTCTCTACTGTTCCATGGGATCGACCAACAGCTACCTCGCGGGAGTCAACAGCTACTACGAGGACCGCTGGACCAACTTTGGTGTCATCATTGTCTACATTGTCTTCAACATCTTTGCCGCGCTCTTCGTCTACTGGCTCGCTCGTGTTCCCAAGAAGTCCACCGACCAGAAGCAAAACAAGAACAAGAAGAACGTCGAGGCCAAGACCGAGAACAAGGAGTAAAACAGCAATGCATATTACTGAAATAAAAAAGATACAAAAGAATACTATAAAAAAGACTATAGAGGGCACACAGCCTTGGGAAGATTGATATTTTGCAGGTTGCATACATTCTTAGAGCACTGTTACAAACTCTCCCTATTTACTGGTTTAATCATTGTACATTTTATTTAACCATCGTTTAGCTTTTTTTCATATACAAAGTTTGTTTATTCGTACTGTCCATCTTTAAAACTCGTAGTAAACTTTTGTGTGATAAGATCTGGTGATATCTTTCGTGACAAGTGGTACAGCTAGCAAGTCTAGCCAAGCGCCGCACCTAATACCTACTCTTGTATACACCGTAGCATCTCTGTAAGGCCCATAATCGACTTGCGTAAAACAAGCCCAGAAAACTCGACGCGAAACTTTTGATACGGAAATCCCACGACCATGTCCTCTTGATGGAACATCTTCGCGTTTTGCCGTACGCGATCGAGATATTCGGCCTTTTCATGCTCATCGAGACCAAAGGCTACCAAGTGACCAGCGTGCTTGAGCAGCAGTGTGTTGAGCAAGATCCGTGCTACGCGACCATTCCCATCTAAGAAGGGATGGATCATGACGAACTGGTGGTGATATCGGGCTGCCGAAGTGTACGGGTCGATGATGTGGTTGTCTGTTCTCTTCATATGCGCTCTCAGGTGTGATACGAGAGCTGCCATGTACTTTGGCACTGCAGAGGCTCGCATACATCTGGCCTTTTTGTTCTCGCCGTACCGAACCGCGACTTCATCCATACGATACTGGCCTGGTACAAGCCCTTCTTCTTCGATTTACATGTTATCAAAGAGCATGGCATGAATCGTAAGAATCAAGGATTCTGTGATGGTACCATGCTTGCAAACAACTTCATTGATCATGTATTTCAATGCCAGAGCGTGATTAATCACCTCGTACCATCTCTTCTTCTGTTCGTTGGTGCCAGTAATGGCAAAGATCTCTTACCCTCGAAAAACAGCTCGGCAAAGTGCAACCGTTTCAAGAAAGCCGGTACCAGCGGACTCAATCCGATTTGAGCCGTAAATCATGAACACTACTTCGTGTTCAATAGTTGGCCAGATACTGTTGAAGAAAGCAGCGTGGTGACGTAAAGAAAATGAAAGGCAGAGACGACAGAATATTTAGACATTTCGTGTGTTGAGTCGGATGGAGTTTGTAGGAGATCTTCTTCGTTGAAACTCGCATCGTTTTTATATCGTTACAAATAAAGTTGGTGTGTGTCTAATTTTTATTGTTAAAACTCCAAACTCAGCAAAGTTAGCAGTATATGGTGTGGTATTGGACACTTCGCCAACAAGGTTTTACAGTAAACGCCATATTATGCTTAAATCTTTTGCGTTGTTCTATTGAAAATTTTCCTGTATCAAAGATGTGATGCAATGTGCAACATTTCTAACATGGTTTTAAATGTCAAGAGATATGTAGACATTATGAGTTTATATGTGTACACTGGGCAAATGGTGAAATGGAAGTTGGTGCAACGCAAGGAAAGGTCTATTGGTGGATTGTAGTTGTGTTGTGTCTAATACAAGATAATAATAATACAATGGGTTCATCGCTTTTCTCCTTCTTCTTTCTCTCCTTACATTTCTCTACATAAAGTTGATTCCAACACCAAGCTGCAGACCTTTCGTGGCAATCTCGCCCTGGCGCAGGACAAGAGGTAGGCTAAAGTTGAGCTCGAAGCGCGCAACGGGATGCGCATACACCAAACCCATACCCGCAGCCACACTAGGAGCGCCATTGAACAGCTCGCTGACGGCGCTGGCCATGCCGCTTCGAACAGCCTCAGGCTTCATACCTGCAGTGCCGCTGCCATCGTTGAGCGCAACCAGTCTGCCACCATTCGCAAACATCTGGAAGCGCAGCGCTGATTCGGGGCCCTTGTACGGCAGCGGCATAAGCAAGTTGACAGTTCCTGCAGCAAAGAGGTCGCCACCAACAGAGTCGCGTCCATCATGTGGTCCAATGCCGCCGAGGACAAAGCCGCGGACGTCAGTCGGGCCGCCAAGCTGGAAGCGGTCGTTGATGCGGCTGGGCAGAGCCTTGCCTCCGACATTGAAGCCCTGCGCTAGCGGGTACAGCATGCCCATCTTGAAGCCACCACCAATGGAGAAGCCTGACTTTTCATGTGCACCAGGCACTGGGATCGGAATAGCACCGCTCATCTCCAGCTCGCTCTTGGAGAAGGCGACGTCACCACCTAGTGGGCCAATGCCCGCCAACTCAAGCTTCGAGCGGACCATGTAGCCACTCTGCGGCAGCTGCGGGTTATCTCGCCGCTCGCGGTAAAATGTGTGTCGGATAGCGCTCTTGACAGAGTCTCCGGCATCCTGGCGAACCGCGGGGCTCGCTGCGGCAGCTAAGCCGGTGATTTGGCGCCAGAGGCCGAGGTATTCGACGCTGTGGGAGTCCTTTTGCGGTGTCATCCATTGGAACTGTAGCGAGCCGCCCTTGAGAACTTCTTCATGAGAGGCCCAGGGCTTTTCAGAGGCCGAGGCGAGACCTTCCAGCGACAGGCGCATGTCAGGGTTGCTGAGGACCGGCGTGCTAAGGTTGGCGCTGTAGGCTGAGCGTGTGCGGGTGCCGGATCTGGCGTTGAGTGTGAGCATCTCGGCGCCGCCAAAGATGTTGCGCCAGAGCAGCGAGCCGTACGCGGAGCCTTCGCCGTTGCCGACGTCGGTGCCGGTCTGCAGCTTGAAGCGGCCGAGCTCCTTGAGGCCAATGGATACATTGACGTCGTTGGGGGAGGATGTGGCATCGGTCGGGTCGGCTTGTTGGAGGAAGACTTCGGGAGGCTGTCGTAGGATTTCTGAGATGTGGTTAGCATGGGCAACCGGTCTTGCTGGAGGTAGGTCAGGACGTACGAAGGGCGCTGAGCTTGTTGCTGGCTTCTTGTAGCTTTGCGAGGACTTCGCCCATTGTTTGAGGTGACGATCCGGAGTCGTTGCTGAGGATAGGGCTGATGATGGGGTCGAGGAAACCTCGGCGGAGGTTCTTTGCGCCAGTGACTTCGATTTTGTTGACGCCCATGGGCATGGACGATTGATCGGCCATCTGTAGAGCTTGTTAGCTGGGCGGTTGTGTGTGAAGATCGGCTGAGATGGGAGTGTACCATTTGCGCGACACGTCGGTTTCGTGCATCCTGCTCGGCAGCCTGGAATTCAGGTGTTGCTTTGGCATCGCGCAGGACGTCGAGGCCGTCCTCCTGAAGCTTGTCAAAGCGAGAGGCCTGGAGGGTGGTGTGTTGTTAGCGGGATGATGAGCGACGAATTGGTAGGTGATGCTTACGGAGCCTCCCGATGGTCCAATGTTGGAAGCCATGGCCACAGAAACAAACTTGGTCGCTGTTGCAAATCAATGTTGCGCAACTCGCAAAGGTAGTTGGATGGATCTCGTTTGCCTCCCCCAGAAGCGGCATGATGGTGTGGCGCATGAAGTGTGGCTTGAAAATATACTGCGCCATATTTACGTACGGCTGTTCTAACCACTTCCACGGGTTCCGAGGCTGTGCCTAGTCAATCCGATTCACTCTCCTTCAGTTCCGTTTTTTCGCACCTCCTTTTCCACGGGCACGGCGAGAGCACTGTATTTTTGTATTTTAATTTTCATTACGCCATCTCCTGCGCCGTTGTCTACCTCGAAGCGCCGTTTCCTACTCTGTATTTATTATCTGGGCGGCCCTAACCACACCTCACGCGATCCCACGTCCCACGACCCGGCGACTTTCACGTCATGGCCAGCAAGGCAGCGCACAAGCGAGTACGTCTTTTATCTATGCGCCGCTGAATGTAATATGTCTTGTGAACCTTTACTAACGTCTTGTGTAATAGTTGACTCGCGAGTACAAGACCATCTCCGAGAACCCCCCTCCATACATCACAGCCCACCCCTCCGAATCGAACATTTTAGAGTCAGTTTGGCAACATACCATTGACAACTCGCGAAATACATTATACTAACTACGCTTTTGTAGGTGGCATTATGTTATAACAGGCCCGGAAGACACACCCTACCATGGTGGCCAGTACTGGGGCACTCTGGTCTTCCCTCCCAACTACCCCTTCGCACCGCCCGCCATCCGAATGCACACACCGTCTGGCCGCTTCCAACCGTCAACGCGCCTCTGCTTGTCGATATCAGACTTTCACCCTAAATCTTTCAACCCGGCGTGGGAAGTGTCGACGATTCTGATTGGACTGTTGTCGTTTATGACAAGCGACGAGATGACGACTGGCTCTGTGTCGGCCACGGCGGCCGAGCGTAAACACATGGCGTCACGGACAAAGTGGTGGAATTCTACAGGCGGTGGCTCACATGCCAAGGCCAACCACGCAGCAAAAGGCAACGTCAAAGCCGGTGATGGCGGTGCAAAGTTCCGCGCTGAGTGGCCCGAGATTGATGCAGAGAACTGGGAATGGATGCGCAAGTGCAAGGTCGATGCGGTTACGGGGAACCGACTTGACGGCGACAACGGCGCATCGTGTGGTCCTCAACTGGGAATCTCGGGAACCAGCGGTAACCAGGCGCAAACAGTGGTGGATGCCGTTGTGCAGCAGCGCGATGCTGGCCGTGGGTGGCTCTACCGCAATAAGCTGCTGCTGGCTGGCGGCGTGATTTTCATTTACGTTTTGATTGTACGATTGGTCAATGGAGATGAAGGTTTCAAAGCGTAGAAGGAGCGAGTAGAAACGGTATTACATCTCGCATATAGACGGAGAGCAAGCAGCATACACAGTGCAGTGTGTGTTGATTTTGCCAGGACGGTGGTAGTTTTCTCTTCTCTCATTAATAGCATCAAGCGTTTCTTTTCTCTCTGTTTAAAACTTTTTCTTGTATTTGCATTTGCAGGCCAGTTGAATGTGGACCGATTGCCTTTTGCTGCTGATACGCATCGTGTCAGAAGTCGCGGCATTCATGGATATGCCCGCTTGGCTCTATGCGTTATGCAGGTCGCGTCGCTTGCAATGCAGTTGATGCCTAAACTCAAAGACAATAGCAAGGGAATCCGTGGCAAAGGAACGACAAGGCCCGACTAGAAAGTCGTAGAGAAGAGCGAAAAAATGTTATCCCAAAGAGAGGCAAACGTTAGGTTGGTGGTGGTTTACAGCACAGTGAGTTATGGTAAGGGCGCGAGTGAATCAAGGTGTGCGATGATGCGTCAAACGTGATCTACTTCCCGGCCCGGCAAGAGACTACGCCGGTCATGCAGGGCCTCTTCGAGTTTTGTCTCAGGCAAAAAAGAGAACTGGCGGTGGATGCGAATCTGTGACGGCGTTTCATGTTGAGTCTTGGTGGACATGTAGGCGCCGAATGTGACGTCGCTGTGGGGGACAGGAGGACGCGGGCGGCATTCCAGTGGGCGGGTGGGCGGCGGCCGCCAGTGAGGTGCGCTGGAGGGGGGAGACCAGGCTGGAGAAGGCGAAGAGGGATATGCCTGGAATTGGCTCGTATCTTTTTTTTTTGGAGGGTGTTGTTGTGCTGAGTAGTAGGCGCTGCAGTTAGACAGAGCCTTACAGGCAAATATTAAAATTAAAGGAAAAAAGGAAAAAAGCAGAGCCAGGCTCTTCAGATGGCGTCTTTGCAATGAGTGCAGCGCATCATACTGTAATGCCCATGGGTAATATAGGTGGCTAGGGGTACTTGCATCTCAACGGCTTCTTCCCCAGACAGCCAGGTACCCCCTTGCGCTCGCTCCCGCCTACAGTGGGCTATATAGGGCCATTAACAGTAATATAGCAGCCCTTGGTACCTCGTACAGGGCTTCCAGGCCAAGCGAGCACAAAGTCCCCGCTGTGACCTCGGTGGCTCGTGCTGGGCCCCCCTGCAAATGGGATCGTCCCAGCCAATCACAGCGCTGAACCCCTGACAAAACACCCCCTGGACGGCAGCTCACCAGGGCGCCTGGGCCTCAGCCAACGCCTATTGGAGGTACCTGCAGCCGCTAAATGCAGTGTGAGGGTGACTTTGCTGATGGGATTTTCCCAACGTTTGGCGCCCACACTCCACCACCCACCGGACCACGTCTGCTGCCATTCGCATCCTTCCTGCTGCTGCTGCTGCTTCTCCTCCCTTGCGCTGTATTTTCCAACATCACCAAAAAAGAAGAGGAAAAGCGAAAAAGGCGATTGAGCGCTTTTTGTTTGTTGTTCTTTTCTTTTTGCGTGTTTCCTTCTTACAGTCCGCAATAACACTAGCAGCAACTGCACCTGAGCAGCACTCCTTCGACACGCTGGGTTCCATTGTTCCCTCCTCCACACTCGCTATTCAACCCGCCTTCTGCGTCTCACCGGCTTCATTCCAGTCCGCGGCCATTCTTTCGCCTCACACGTCTACGCCTCTTCGGCCTTTTCCTTTTCTCTTTCAATCCCTTTTCTCTTTTTCACTTCTCTTTCAATCGATTCTTCTCTCTTTATCCGTCTTGGCGACATCGACTTTCCAACACCATCTATACATCATCGCCAATAACAACAACAACAACACCTACAAGCAACCTTTCACCACGTCGGGGCAGTGAGACCACCTCGACGCGCACCCTGTCATTCTCGGCACGCCACGATAGGCTTCTTTACTCGGTCACGACCCGCATGCAACACCCGATCACTAGATCTCTCCACTAAACATCAACGCGCGAACCATTCATCAGAGCTTCATCTGCGATTACCGAGTACTATCGACAACTTCGCAGGCGAAGGATCGACATCATCTATTGGCAGGCCCAATAGAGCTCTTCTCTACCAACACACACCTCCAAAGATACCCACTGCTGCCGGTCAGCACTCAACACAACAACTATGCCTTGCTGCGGTAATCGAAGAAAGCACACACGCGAGTTTGCAGACCAAAAATGGGATTACATTAATCTGAGAGACTTCAAGGCCGGCGGCGTTGGTCCCGGATTTGCGTATGCCTACCTCTGGTGCTCTCTTATTATTTCCATTGCTGTCTACTCCGTCGATAGCTTTACTGCCGTGCAGCTGCTCGCCTTCAACCGCTGGTCTTCTTCCATTGAGCCCAAGATTCCTCTCAACATTTCGAAATGGATCTTCTCCGGCTGTATCATCATGTCTTTCGTCAATCTGGGCTACGAATCTATCCGCGCTACCCGTGTCATGAAGCGTGGAAACATTGCCGAGTGTTACATGGACAGCTTGGCTGTTCGATGGGAGTCCATTCGACTCGGCAAAGGACAAGGCTGGCGCCGATTCCTCGTCTTTTCTGCCCTGACAAAGGGCAAAAAGGGCGCAGAGTATATTGCCCTCTTTACTTACTTTAGCTTCCAAGGTACGCTGACACATTTATCTGCCCTTTCCCCAATTCCTACTAATCATCTACATAGCATGGATCCGAGTTTTAGTCTGCTCTGCTCCTCGCCAGGTTGTCAACGCCTTTACTCTGAAATCCGTATACGAAGCCAAGCTGGCCACCAACTCTAACAATGTCGGTGACAACTTTACTGGCTTCTTTGACAAGATTAAGTTTCTCGCCGAAGAAGACTATCGCCAGGCGGCCATCTTATCCGGCATGGCCTTCACTTTTGTTATCTGGGTTTTTTCCGTTCTCTACCTGCTTCTTGCTGTCCTCTTTTACGTCTTCTTCTTGTTCCACTGGATTCCTCGCGCCGACGGTGGCCTCACTGGCTACTGTGAACGCAAGGTCAACAAGGCGCTCCTGAAGATTGTTGCCAAGCGTGTCAACAAGGCCCTAGCCAAGAATGAGGCAAAGGCCGCAATGGCTTTTGGTGAGAAGCCGCCTCATTTGGATAGAGCAGCTACACTTCCCAATGTCGGGCCAATTAACAACGACGCACTGCCCCAAATGCCCACGGTAGCTCATCAGAACTCTTTCGACGCAAAATCGCCAAGTATTGAAATGAGCCCTCTTGACGGCAGCCGCTACGGGCATATGCGAACAGGCACTGCCAACTCCAACAGCAGCTTTGGTGCCAACGCATCTCTTATTAGAGGAGCCGCTGATATGGGCTACGCCAGAACAGAGTCCCCGGCGCCATCTCTTCCCCAGATGGACCTTAACAACATGCCTCCTCAGCGACCAAACACAAGCAATTCTCAGCGTAGCTATCGACCCGGTATGGGAGGACCTCCAGGCTACCCCAATGCTATGCCTATTGCTCGCCCCGGCATGGGAAACAACTCTATGGACCAACATCCTAGCATGAGACAACGACCTGGTCCACCTGGCTACCCCAATTCTTCTGATCCTCAGCACGCTCCTGGTCACGAAGCATCCCATTATCTTGGCGCACCGACCCTCCCCAACCTGGAGCAAGACAGAGACTCGACACATGCCCCTGGTAGCAACGACCTAAAAGGAGTTTCTCGCGAGCCAACAATCCGAGATCTTGCTGCTGCAGGCATGGCCATGGCCCCTCTGAGATCTGGAACATCCAATTCTCAACGACCTCATCAACAACCTCAGTACCACCAGCATGGAGGCCCTGGCCCAACCTTTGTTGATGACTTCACCGTCAGTCCAGAGCTTGCAAGTGAACCTAGGTTCCCTAGTAATGGACGAATGGATTCAACGCGAACTGCCAACGACATGTATGGCAACAGAGGAGCTCCTGGTGCTGCACGCGCGCCACCTCCAGCTCAGTACCAGCCTTACAACCCACATGGATATGCTGCGGCGGCCCCAACTGGCAACCCCTATGATGGCAATGAGCTTGCATCCCAAAGAGGAACTCCAGTCGCTGGCGGCATCGTCTCTCCCATGAATGGTGAAGACTGGGCGCCTACGAGGAACAGGAGCAACCCTGGCCCAGCGCGTGTGCCTCACCACACACCACAGAGAAATGTTACTGGCCCGAACCCGATGACCACGCCTCTCGGTGGATCAAACTCACCGCCAGGACACTATCCACCAAGTCGATCCGGCACCGGCACGAGCCAGGATATGCGAAGCTATCCTCAGCAGAGGCGTGGACCCCCAGGTTATCCAAATGGCCGGCCACGTGCACAGCCCCCGCCAGGATATGGTTACGATGTTGAGGCGCAGCGTGATCGCTGGTAATGATCGAAGTGGTTCTTACTGTACGCACTAGTAATTTACGTGTGATACGAGTTATGGGATGAAATACGGGGTTTTATGAGCTGTACGGGGTTGGGATGAGCGTGTTGTTCTACTACTATTTTACTTATGATACCAATATCCACTTTGCACATTTATAGGATGTCACTCGCACAACATACTTTTGGCTAATCTGTATATATATACATGTTATAAACAAATTAAATTTATAAAAACAAATCTCTGGCGTACTATAATTTGCGTGTAATCCCGGCCTGAGTCAACCTCGAGTGTATGGTCGGCGCCAACCCATTCAGCCTTGCCTAAAGCCTGACTCATGCCGGCAACAGGGGGCATCAAAGTATAAAGCAACATGGCCGCACTAAGCCTCAATGTGCTGTTGAATAATTATCTTTTTTTATTTTGTAAATTTGCTTTATAGCAGATTTACCATATTCAGAATGAAGACAGTACGGAAGACCTACTATGACCCGATGGCCACTACAACGGCTGAAATAGGCGAGATTCTAAAGGATCTCCCTGTCGGCTCGGCCCATCCCTATAGTCCAGAAAAAGTCCTTGTATGTCGAACAGAGGAGGGCGTGAAGAAGATTGATATTTCGGAACATCCAGAGGAATTCTTCTTCAATGCTGTTGATCTGGGAGAAATGGGTGAAGTCCTGCTGCGGCGAATGGCAGGCTTCCCAGCGCTAAGTAAGTCGTTGCACCAAACAAAGTATCTGTGATGTTTCCAGAAACTAATATATTTCTTTCACAGAGTGTTTTGAAGAGTTCCAAATCATGCAGGCTCCCGCGTCGACATTTCGCATCCCGCTAGTGTCCGGCCAGATCACCATCCTGGCGGTGTCGGAGCGAACCCCTACTTACTATGACTTTTGTTTTGCTGATGAAGACTGCAACGCATGTTGTTGGCTTGAAAGAGATACCTTCTCCGGCATAACACACTCGGGAGATATTACTCGTGACAACGATCTACTTGATTACGTCAAAATCTACCCAGAGCGTCTTACAAAGAAGGACATTTGCGTCTTCATCTCTGGGTATACAAAGGTCCAAATCACACGATTCCTGGGCACACATCCCGCTCTACTTGTAGCTGACCATGTTGACAAGGTATGTATTTTGATGTTGGGTTTGTCAAAGGGGTGCTAACTGTATGCTAGATCCTCTACATTGTTCCGGTGCCGCTGGACAGGGCCACGATTGGAGAAGCAACAATCTGCTGCCCGCTGGTCATTAGAGCCGATAATGACTCTCTCATCTGCTCTATCCTGCCGACGGCGACTACTGATGTAGACATGTACTGCAATTCAAAGAAGCTCCAGTCCGACGCATTCCCGGAGGCCATTAAGAGAGCCAACTTCACCATTGAGGAGCGTGCGCCTCCGACAGAGCTACGTACGTATCTTATTTGATCTTCTAATACATATACTAACATAACATGTTCATGTTTAGAAACAACCGATGTAACTTCGACTACACAAAATACTGAGCTCTCAGAGTCAACGGTGGATAAGAAGAACGTTGTATTCACAACGCACTCGGTATCGCTTCCAAAGTGTCTGGATATTCCAAACTCACAAATCGTCCACTTTGGCAAGAGTCTAGAGTTCCAGAAGGACGGTCAAGACGCATTTGCCGGCGATGAATCTTCTACGGTAATCCTGCCGTGTCTCTTTGGGTCTATTCTTGAGGGGCCGCTGCTACTGGCTATGGGACGCGTGCCGGCATCGCTCCCATTTACAGATGCAAAGGCACTCCAGGCGTATTACGCCTCTACTACAAGCGCAGTTTTCATTGTCAATGATAAGATGACTGACAACTGTCGCAACGTGGCCCCGTCTCTGAGAATGAACGGCGTCTTTGTAGTGCAACTACATCCGGCGGAACATCCTAAGGATAAAGCGGCGGTTCTCGAGATGCTGAATTCGGCCAATATCAACGCCGTAACTGCGCTGGCGGGACCACAGTCCCTAGTTCTGGTCCAAATCAACGATACCTTTTATTTCTACCGGGGCCTAGCAAATCTGGTCCATCTTGACACAACTAGTCTTGACTTTGGGCACGACGTCACCGCTATTGTCAACTCGGTCGGACTAGAGGCTCTGCTTGATACGAGAGTTCCCAGAATCGTCGATCTTGATGCTGACAACACAGTAATTCTCGCAGCCTCAGGCCAGTTTGTTAAGCCCAAGGCTCTTTTCGATATCTTCCAAGGCCTTTCTCTTGAAGAGACAGAAGCCGTGACAAAGGATATTCAAACAGTGATTCCACAGATCCAGGTGCTATTTAACCAAGCCAGCCTTCAATCACTCCTTGCGAGCCTAGTCGACCAACTCACTGCAAAGATCAACGCAGCCACCGAGGAGTCACGGACTGCGTATATGAATTTCATGGTGAACGAATTCGACGCAGGAAATAACGATCTACTCAAGCAACGGGCGGCACTGCTAGGAGACCTAAAGAAGGGAATCAAGAAGGCCCGGGCGGCCATGGAGCCTGTCATCTCGTGCTTGGCCAACATCATCTCAGTCCGGGCTACTTCCAAGCGAACGCACGATCTGGCGCGGCTGGCTCGCCACAATAAGATCTATAGTAATGTCGAGGCGACCAAGAGCATGACTTTTGAAACTCTTGGAGGTTACCTCGAGGACCATGCAAGTGATATGGGCGTCATGCTGCTCAACATAGAAACTGGGCCGTACACAACGCTGCTGAACAATCTGAACAATCCGAAAATCAGTACCGAGTGAGTGTCAAGAAAATATTCCACGACACAAACGATGCTAACTATTGAATAGGGATTGTTGCACACTTGACTCTCGTATCCTATACCTGGAGGGCCTGGACGCCAGTATTGTGATGGAGCAGTCTCAGGCTCAGCATAGTGGTCCGCTGGCATCGGCGAGCGGTGCCTCGCAGCCGATTATGGCGCTTCCGTACCTAAACCAGAGAGCTGGTCATGGGTCAATGATTGCGTGGGTTTGCTGGGACGAGTTTGTGAATCTTGAAAGTCCGTACACAGTGCGATGGATGGAGAAGTGCAATGACGGCCATATTGCTGCGCTGCGAATCATTATGCGAAGCACACTCAGCAAGGCAATTGCATCCCGAGAGCTACAACTAGAGCCTGGAAGTCCTCAAGTAGGCGCGCTGATGAGCTCTCTACTGATGGCCGCCATGACGAAGCTTGCTGCTACAAAGTCCACCATTCCTAGCGTCGTTGCGCAGGCTGACGATACCACGACGAGACTGATGCGAGGACTCTTTGGTAATCTCCTCACTATTGCGGGCTCAGGAGTACGTCCCCAGAGCCTGGTATGGCAACTACTCGGGCAAGATGCCAACTTTGATCTTCCGTCGACCGATGTCGATTGGTCTTGGTATGAGGCTGTCCTTCGCCTGTTCCCATACACGGCATGGGACCCTGCCAGACTTCACGAGAATCTGGGACGGTTCATGGATAAACTCATTGTGAGGGTGGTCACCAAGGGTGAAGATCTATCTGCTGCAAATACAGCCCGTCTCACCGACATTGTCGAGTTCTGCCGACTTCGCAACATCGTTCTCTTTCATTCACGAACCATTGTCACTATCATGCAAAAGATGCTTACCGATCCTGAAGCTGACAAGGCGGCCATCGCAACCCGTCTGCTCCGACATCTACCCCCCACTCTGAACCGAGAAACAAGACAGTACAAGAGAATGATCCAGTATCTGAATCGTCTAGCTGCCGGAGGCTCCAGAAACCAAGACGACGATGCTGACTTGGCCAATGCATACACTAGACGGTCAGCAGTATTCAGCGAGCTTAAGAATCAAGCAGCCATGGCTTGTCTGCGGATGGATTGGGACGAAGCCAAGACTGCGTGTAGCGCAATCCTAGCAAAGCATGCTGAGATCGCTGCTCTCTGGGGAATAGATCCCAAGAGACTTCTCCTACAAAACATAACAGCGCATCGAGGAGTTGTCGATGGTGGTTTTGCAGAGGAGACCGGCGTGGAGGCCGATGTAGAACAGAGACTCCAGGAAATTTATTATACGAGACAAGTGATTGGCGATGCGGAGAGGAAGCGTCAGCCGTGGCAAGTTGGTCGAGAGGGCGAATTCAGTCCCAAGATCGAACCGCTGGATGAAGACTTTATCCTGGCCATGCTCACCGGTGAAGGAGATGATATTGATGCTCCAGAGCCTGGGCAAGAGCCGGGTGTAGCTACCGAAAAGACTAACGAGAACGAAAACAAGGTTGTCAAGTTAAGCGATGCATTTGAGGAGTACAAGGATGCGCTTAGACCGTCGTTTGTCAAGACGATGCAAGCGGAAACCATGAGCACGGCGGATGTGTGCGAGGTTCTTCACATTTCGGAGCCTGCTATGCGCCAGGTTGTCAAGGCCCTCAACCCAGAGTTTGATTGGGACAACCTGGGGATGAACCTCCAAAAGGTGGTTCTGACGCTACTGAAGAACCGGTCCGCCAGAATTGAGAGCCAGCCGGTCAAGCAGCTACTTGACATGGAAACAAAGAAGCTAATTACGGAAACATAGCATAGCAGACTAGAATCTGAATAAAACCCCCGATATAAGTTAGAGGTAGCTGATTGGTTAGGACTAGTTGTCTATGTAAGAAGATGTTTTGTAAGGGTCCCAATTCGGCCCGTTGGATCGGTTTCATCATTACAAAACTAGCGTAGCAAAGCCAATGCTGTTGTTGAGGCCGTCCCAGGTAGTATAGTATCGAGAAAGAAGGGGGGCACCAAGAATAAAGACGGAGTGTTTGCTGTTACTTCCATGTGAGAGAGAGCTGAAGACAGCCTGGCACATGCCCGGCTGGCCCTCATACGGTCCCAGATTAAAGGCCTCCTTGGGCACAGTGGCATCGAACGTATACTTTTTGGAGCCAAGTTTGAAGGTCATATCAACAGCAAGCGAATCAATGATATCGCATGGGGCACCCCACGAGCCACCGTCGTCAAGAGGCTTGATCTTGGACGAGATGGAGGCATAGATGGCCTTGGTGGTGTTGGCATCGGCGGTGAAAAAGGGCGTGCCGGTGTCGAGGACGGTCGTGGCAGAAGGGATTTGAAAGGTCTTGCCATTCAAAGAGAGGCCCGAAAGAGGTACTTCCCATTGGCCAGCGCCTCCTGTATAGACCTGGGTGAACTTGCCAGTGTATCGGGCTGGGTTAGTGCCGCCAAACGTGGCCTCGGCTCCCGTGGCTCTACCGGGCGGGTAGTAGAAGGAGACGACGGGGTCTTTGATTTGTTCGTACGAGTACAGCTGCCAGAACCAAGACAGCTGGCTTGGAAGACCGGAGACACGCATAGGTCCCATACCCATGACACCATCCATGGGAACATCCTGCATGAAGTCAGGGTACTCGTCGCAAAGGAGGAATTGCTGAGCAGGGACAGAGAGGTTGGCAACGCCTATAGTATCGTTGACAATTATACCCGACACGCTCGCGTCCTTTTGAAGCAGCGATGATGTATCGACTCCAGTGTCATAACCAAAAGACTGAGGGATACCAGGCTCGGCACCAAACGTTTTGGATTTTGTTGGATCAAAGCGGGCGGCTTTACCGCAAGACTTGCAGTCTTTGGATGCAATGAACATGTCGTAAGATCCGGTGTCTAGGATGATGTTGCTGGGGTCCGTAAGCAGGTATTCCTCAAGGACAGACATGGTAGGGGATATTGCTTCCTACTTACAACTCTTGGGGAGGCGTGCCAACTTTCAACTTAGTGTACCACTGCAGATCGGCCGTGTGCTTGATCCAGTCCTGGGCAGGCACGCTGACGACGCTGCCGGTTTTGGCACTAGCAGCAAGACGGCGGCCAACTTGCTCGGGCGAAGGAAGAGGCACATCGCGCTTGTAGATGGGAATCGTGACGGCAGCATCAGCGAGGGCAGCGCAGAACACGAGCACAGCAGAAGCACCAGCGAATGTCTTCATGATGGGCGGCAATTGGGTGAGCAAATGTGTGTCCTGGAAATTCTCAGCGCTAGAAGAGGGCCATAGTCCTTTTGTAGTTTAACCCAGGTGCGCGATTCATCCCAAATTTCGCATTTTGTTCACCTTCCGTGTTAAGCGTGGATTCGCTTTCGGAAGCTGGAGAGCGATCCACCAGGTTGTAACGCTAGACTACCGAGTAATGAGCCCAAACAGGGAGGTGGGTATAAAGTGGTCCGAAGTGCTCATAGTCTTTATGTATTTAGATCGGCATCGTTGTGTTTTGGTGAGATGGGTGTAAAATAAAAGCTATGTAGCTTCTGGTAGGTGGTGAACTGGGATGCCAGCTGCTTTGCCAGTGCCAAAGCTCCGACTCTTGTGTTGTGCCAGCTGACAACCCTGGCGACGTTTCACAAACTAATTTTGTAGATGGGTACTTGTTAAACGGTAGCGGTTTAAGCGTTTATAAAACGCTGTTGCTATGTACAACGGAATGTAACTCTTGCTCAATGAATCAAAAAATTATTGAGAGACTGCTGCTCTTTACTGGGTAGCCTACCCTGGTGTATATTGGAGACATGGGTATGATTTACATGTGAGGTATTCAGCACCATTTAATTGAATATTTTACTTGGAAATTCTGCTATTATCTTTTCTTTATAAACTGTTTTATATCATGTCGGACATGAGTTAGATGCTGTGTGTTTTCGTCAAGTGTAAAGGTTGTTTGTGACTGGTAGACTTGAACAGTAGGGCATGCTCTATATAACCTCGCAAACTAGCAAGGACATATTTTCGAATAAAAGTACATTTTCTAGGAAGTGTGAATACACAGGCATCACATATTTTTTAACTGTTGTGTAACGGCGTCCTGCATTATTAAAGGGCTGAATACAGTATAGGGCTGTGGCTGTAGCCTGGACATGCGATTGGTATTTCGGACAAACGGTAAAATAGGCAAGGTGGACTTGACGTAGGTGTATATCTTTTCTAGTCGATTTTCCCTCATTATACCACCTTTGGCAAACGTGTAATTCATTTTTTAAATAATTATTGATAGAAATGTATTTCCTCTGCTATTCGCACCAAGTTATCCCGTGTTTAGTACAGTTTACGAGCACTCATGGCCGTGAATCTCCAGGCTGATGCAAAAGCGGGGACTTGCGATTGTCATAGTGGATTCACAGAATCACCGGCGGGCTTATCAGGAAAACTATTATCCGCCAAGTACAGGCCAGCAGTCAAGGCGGTACTAGGCAGCTACGCGCGTCGGTATTTTGTGGTTGCTATACGATCTGCAGATGCAATGCCCCCTATAGCTTCTAATGCTTGTTTTTTTTTTCTATTTCTTTTGCGTCTCACACCGATCCAACGGCACATCACGGTGTGTCATCACTGCTTTCTCGGCATCATGCGGGCCATCGGTGGTGACATCGGAGGCATGCGGTGCAGACGCAGCTTGTCTTTTTAGCGTGTGATGCCCTGTAAAGTGTAAAGTGTCCGCCCCCCCTCCGCTGATGCGTAATCCAGCACCAGCTTACCAGCGGCGATCTAAATATCCCGTTAAAATTACTGGTGTGAAGTTGTCCTTTTGAATATGTAAAATAGATCTCGAGTTACTCATATTGTATCTGCAGCTGATCCTCTTAAAAACAAACAGCCTCATGTCTCTGCTCTCTTCCACTTCTCCGATGGCGCCATCGTCCAGCCTACAGCAAAAGGGCCTGGATTGCATCCCCACCCCCACCTGGGCCAATCTTTAACCAAAAACAGCGCTGCAGACGTCAGCCAGGCCCTTGTAGACTCAACTTTCTAGCGCAAGTCTCACCTGTAAAAACCTCCGTACCACCTAGCGGGCTGCGCCCCTCTGCCCTACTACCGTGCTACTGCAGCGCAAGTGCACGCTAACTTCTGGTTGCCTAAGCAGTGTGCACAGCACGCGGCGTCCACAGAAAAGCACGCTGCCCGCCTCTTCCACTTCGCCATTGCCCATTCACCACTTGTCTGCCACTTCTCAACAAACAACAAAAAAACCCTTTCTCGCCAACCCGCCCAGCGGCTCCTTTCCACGCTCGCAATATTGCGATCTTCCGCCTCCTGCGCTTCACTCAACCTCATCGCCGGTTTGTCCGCCTTCGAATCCTGCACCCGGCGCACGGTGCTGCTGCTCCGACATTCCCGCACTGCGTCCGCAGCCACTGCTGCAACTGCAACCCCTCCTCGCCTCGATTGACTCCCACGCCGGCAGCCACCGAGACCGCATCGCCTGTCGCCGCTCACTGCCTGCCTGTTATCGAATAATTATAATTTCCACCATCCTTCTCGCTCCATAACCACCACACACAACATGTCAGCTTACGACTTTGACTATGTCAAGAAGATGACGCCGCCGGGCTACTCGTTTCCCTCGCATCGCCTCAAGCGCACTTGCGATGCCGGACGCACGCCTCTCGTGCTTGTCGCTTGCGGCTCTTGTGAGTCTTTTTATTCCCGCTCCGTCCTTGTAAAAATTATTTTACAAAAATACGGTCGAGTGTATACCGATGAAATAAAGGATTCTAATAAATTGGATGAATAGTCTCCCCCATTACCTTCCTCCATCTGCGCATGTTCCCGATGGCTGCCGACCACAGCAAGACGCAAGGTACGACCTGCAACACCCACAACCCATGATTTACTAAAGAAGAAGACGCAAAAAGCTAACTTTCCAATCATCAGGATTCGAAGTCGTTGGCGGATACCTCTCACCCGTGTCCGACGCTTACAAGAAAAAGGGCCTCGCTCCTGCTTCTCACCGTATCCGAATGTGTGAGCTAGCCACCGAAAACACATCTAAATGGCTCATGGTCGACCCTTGGGAGGCTGAAAGCCCGACATATATTCCCACTGCTCGCGTGCTCGACCACTTTGACTACGAGATCAACCACGTCATGGGCGGCATCGAGTGCTCCGACGGCACCCGCAAGCCCGCCAAGATTGTCCTCCTTGCTGGCGCCGATTTGATTCAAACCATCAGCACACCCGATATCTGGGACGCCCGCGATGTAGACCACATTCTTGGAGATTTTGGCGTCTTTGTCCTCGAGCGAACGGGCACCGAGCTGGACTCGGCACTGGCAAGCTTGAAGCAGTGGGAACGCAATATCCACGTCATCCGCCAAGTCATTACCAACGACATTAGCAGCACCAAGGTGCGCCTATTGCTGAAGCGCGATATGAGCATAGACTATCTGTAAGTGTTTTTTGTTCTGGTTAAGAACAAGCAATAGAGCGGCTGGACTAACATGGACATGTAGCATTCCTGACGACGTTATCCATTATATTTACGAGCACAATCTTTACAGAGACTTGGACATGACAACGGCACCTAATAACAAGGGTAATATCCAAAGCAATACCGCCGTTGCTGGCCCCAGCAGTTAGTTGTGCGAGAACCTGCATCACGATGGGTGGTTCTTGTCCAAGGCATTGCTGGGTATTGTGTTTTCCCTTTTGTATTTTCAGGTTGCGTCAAGGGTGTTTATTTGCTCTGAAATCATTATTCCATCTTATTGATGGTTGGCTATGCATGCATTTGTTTTCGGGGATGGTATAGGGACATGAGAAGATTTTTTACAAGTTAGAGGTGAAAGGCAACACTAGCCTACTCTGTTTTCGTTTCTGGTTATAGGCATAAGAGGTGCCGCAATACGTTGAGCGTGCTGTCTTTTTGGAGGTTATATTAAAGTATACATTACGAATATATTTTGCCAAGCGAAGCCTCAATGGCTAGTATCTTGGCCCACGAACTTTTGTCCTCTGTCGGTGTGGTGGTCGTAGTTGCGAGAAGTGTCGTCTATCCAGAGCCACGACCAAACACTATTCAGTAGTAACATCTAACAAAGGACTCGACCTATTGAAAGCAAACGGAACAGACGGCATCTCAGAGCATATAAGGACCCAGTAGATTCCCATCGCGTAGGGTTACATTGCAAAATCTATTGTATTGACCGATGTGAACGGCGGCCTCCGTCCCACGTGCATGAGTATCAGTCCACCACTACACTCAACAACAATTCGCTTAGGAGGGTGGAAAATTAAATAGTCCCATTTGTGCCAATTGAAACAATCTGTTCAGCAGTCTTAGTCTGCATGAACTAAAAGGACTACCCGATATTATTTTTTCCCGCATCGCTTACCGAACCTGCATCAACGCTGCAGCACCCACGTGCCCTCTCGCAGTGCATTCTACAGGCCCCGCGCCACCCCAAGCCAAGCAAAAAGGTCCTGAATCCCAAAAGCCCACATGCGCTGTTACACTACAAAATACAGGGGCCGGGAGATGCGCTGAGGACGCCGAGACCACGGCTGATGGACGATGGGCTTGGCAGATGCGGTAACACCGCTGAAGAGCCGGCCTAGACAACAAGGACGCTACGCAAAAGAACCGACCCATGCAAGTCAGCCAGTTGCCATGGAGGAGAGTACAAGTAGGCGTGGATATCCGGTTTTCTTTTCTTCCTCCGAGTCGCTTTTGGTTACCGGATTCTCTTTGCTTCCCTTGTCCTTGTTGCCATGAAGTCGACCTCCGTCTGCCGCCTACTCGGCGCCGCCCTCTCCGTCGCCGGCTCCGCCACGGCGCTCACCATTGCCGAAATCAACGGAAACAAGTACAATTCGCCATACGACGGCAAGACTGTCAAGAATGTCACCGGTCTGGTCACGGCTACTTCGGATAACGGCATCTACTTGCGCTCGCTGACACCCGACTCGAACCCGGCTACAGGCGAGAGCTTGTACGTCTTCAACAGCGACATTGTTAGTAGTGTCTCTGTCGGTGATGTGATCAACTTGGACGGAAAGGTCACCAAGTACCGGTAAGCCCTTACGAGTTGGATATATGTGAATCAATTGCTAATAATAATGGATGGGTTTCCGCAGATCCAACAAGAACTACATCTACCTCAACGAGTTCACCAACCCGGCCAACCTCGACGTGCTCTCTTCTGGCAACGATGTGCGCCCTCTTGTCATCGGTGTCGACACACTCTCTCCCCCGACCGAGCTCTTCTCTAGCCTCGACCAGGGCGGCATCTTTGGCGTGCCCAACGCCGTCACCAAGATCTCGGAGGCCAACCCTGCGCTAGACCCGACCAAGTACGGCCTCGACTTCTGGCAGTCGCTCCTTGGCGAACTCGTCACTGTCAAGGGCGCATACCTGACTGCGCGCCCGAACAAGTTTGGTGATGTCTGGGTCCGCGGCGACTACAAGGCTACCGGTGTCAATGCCCAAGGCGGCATCACCATGCTCCAGGGCGATGCGAACCCCGAGGCCATCCTGATTGGCAGCCCCCTCGACGGCTCCAAGAACCCTACCGACACCAAGATGGGCGACTTTGTCGGCGATGTTACTGGCGTCGTCTCCAACGCCTTTGGCTTCTACCGCATCCTGCCCCTCACCAAGGTCGCTGTCCAGCGCAGCGCCTCTGCTGACTATGGCACCGCTTCGTTCACCAGTGCTGGTGACTGCAGCGGTCTCACCATTGGTGACTACAACGCGGAGAACCTGATGCCCAACTCGGCCCATATGCCCAAGGTTATCGACCAGATTGTCCACAAGCTGCTCACCCCCGATCTGATCTTCCTCCAGGAAATTCAGGACAACTCGGGCAGCGAAGACGACGGTACGATCTCGGCCAATGTCACCCTCAGCACGTTGACCAGGGGTATCGAGTCCGCCTCTGGCGTCAAGTACGCTTTCGCCGATGTCGATCCCGAGGATGGCATGGATGGTGGGCAGCCTGGCGGCAACATCCGTTGCGCTTACCTCTACCGCACCGATACCATCCAGCTGTACAAGCCCAGGCAGGGCGGTAGCACCGACGCCAACGATGTTATCAAGACGGCTGATGGCCCCGAACTGACCCTCAACCCTGGCCGTATCGATCCTTCCAACGAGGCCTTTGCCAACACCCGCAAGCCCCTCGCTGCCATGTGGAAGACCATCAAGGACGGCAGGGTCTTCTTCACCGTCAACGTTCACCAGACTAGCAAAGGCGGCTCGACCACTCTCCACGCCGATGCCCGTCCTCCTCTGAACAAGGGTGTTGAGAAGCGCACCTCGCAGAACGAGGCTACTGCTGTAAGTTGCACCCTAACTGTATATAAACTTATTCTCTTTGCTAATACGCAGCTACAGAGCTTCATTGCCAAGATTATTAACATCGACTCCAACGCCCGCGTCATCACTGCTGGTGATTTCAACGAGTTTGCCCAGGTTCAGCCCATGACCACGTTTGCCTCCAAGTCTGGCTTGACCGACCTTGACGAGGTTGCTAACATCGAGCCCACTGAGCGCTACACCTACCAGTTCGATATGAACAGTGAGGCTCTGGACCACATCTACGTCAGCGCTGGCGTTGGTCGCGATGCGCGCTACCAGCACCTGCACCTCAACACCTGGCAGAACTTTGAGGGACAGACTAGCGATCACGATCCTAGTGTGGCCAAGCTGAATGTCTGCGGACCTAAGAAGCGCCGTTGCCCGGAGAAGTTGATGAAAGCGTAAAGTGACGAAAATGTCATGAGGGTGTTTCGGAATTAAAATAGTATACAAAAATGTTGCAATATAAGGGAAATATTCATTCTTCTTCATCGTCGTCGCTCTCACTCTCGTCCAGGCCCGGGTCCGGCATTACAATGCTGTTAATAAACGTGACCTGATATTAGAGTTAGTATGGCGAATCGATGCAGTGCGCTCTGTCGTGGGCTTACATATCCGGCCAAGCTGCGCATGATATCAGCGAGCTTCTCCTGTGCATCATCCGCTGAGAGCAGACTCTCGTCGATATCCGTGCCAATTGTATAGTTTTTAAGCTTGAGGAGCTCGATATCTCGATGTGTCGCCTCGTATCCCTAGTCAAGTTAGTAAGTCGCCTGCAGACTACCAAGATTGGGAGATGTACCATGGGCTTCTTCTTCAGCGCGTTGGCTTGGTTCTTAGCAACAAAGGCTTTGATTATACCCTCCACTCCTGCGCTCTTCTTAACATTTGGGAAGCACGTTTGCTGGAGCAGAGGATCGCTGAACGCCTCCCGCCAGCGCTCCGGGTGGCGGTCGATGCTGCGGCGCAGCCTTTGCACATATTGTGCCTCAGGGTGCCAGAGCCCGCCGCCAATAAAGGTGTTTCCAGGCTCGCAGTGGATATAATAAAATGCATACGGACCCTTGCGACCCGTCCGCGACCAAGCAGCAGAGAAGTGTGCCTTGTATGGTGTCGCGTCTTTGCTAAATCGGATGTCGCGGTAGATGCGGAATACCACGTCCTTTGCAGGCAAGTCGGGAATCGTCTCGTCCACTTCGGTCATGGTTAATGTGGTTGCTGTAACAAATGATTCCCAGTCCTTCCATGCTCGTCTATATTCTCCATCGTGGGCTGTGCCGGGTTAGTGGATGCGTTGAACAGTTTGTGGATTCTGACTTTACCTTTTAGCCAAGTTCGTTTATTATTAGCCTTTAAGTCTTTGAGGAAGAGCATCGTGTTTTTGTGTACTCTAGAATCTTCATATTCAACACCACCCGTTCCTCTCATCTGCTCAAGAGGTATAACAGTAACTTTGGGAGGTTTCGACTCGTCGACGCTCTCCTCATCATCTTCGTCATCGTCCTGGTCTTCTTCATTCGCAGCGCCATCATCCTTGTCCTTGTAGGCATCTTCATCATCATCTTCCTCTTTTTGGACTCGCGGCTTTCGTGGAGTAGCTACTCGCGCCGTCTTTTGCGGTCGAGCGTCGAGCTCACTTTCATCCTCGGAATCCTCGAAGTAGACGCTCTTCTTGGACGAGGTGGACAGCCGACCAGAGCGACGTCTTGAGGATGCACCGTCGGTATCAGCAGCTCGCTTTTGAGCTGGCATATTCAATTGATTGGCTAATTTTGTACAAATTGGGTTCTAAAGTGCACTTTTAATTGGTACAGCACTGTATGTCGTCATTGGTTTCGCGGACCGTGATTCGGGGTGGAGTCCCTGTCGCGTAATCACGTGTACAAGCTAAAGAGGTCCTGAATGGCACATCTGCGTTCATATTGCAACATATTTACGTGAATAATGAGATTTCGTATTTCAGTTGCTCTACCTAGCCTCTTGTCTTTTTCCAACGTAGCCCATAGTCGAAACTCTGCCATTGCATGAACTGGAAATCAAATGTTTGCCGGGCCAAAGATGTCATTGCTCAGCATCTTGTTTTGCTCGAGCAGCCCGATGTTTCTTTCTAGCCACTTGATATCTTCAAACTTAGCCTTCTTCCAACTTTCGGCCATTTTCTTTGCTTTCTGGTCTTCAGGACCCAGCATGGCAGCCATATCTGCACAAAGAACCACCACACCTTTCAATCGTTGCATGTCACCCGTCACGATCGCCTCTTCCTCCTCTTCAAGATATATGATGTCCACGATTTTGGCTAAACGTTGGCTGTATTCCATCCCATCCCATTTAAAATCGTGTGTAACATCGCCCAGTTTCTCGCAATAGCCCTTGAGTACTTCCTGCGGTATGTTCACCAAGTCGGCTTCGCGTGCCCTGAAAAAGACGCCAACCTGGCTAGGGTTGGCAGCGAACGAAGAGTCATTCCAACCAACTCGTCGCATTAGTTCGCCTTCTTGGATTCCATTTTGAACATGTTTGACAATATCTGTGATGTCACGCTTGAGGCCATTGTCAAGGGGCGTCCTGCTCAGTCGACCGAGCAACTCGTTCAGTGTAGGAACATCCCTAAATGTAGAAGAATAATTAGCAGCAACTTAGCACATTAGGCTCGGCGATATTCTTACAGTAGTGTTCTTGTGTTGCTATATTTAACATTCTCAGCCTCAAAGCCATCCATATCCACGTCGTCTGATGGTACATATCGTTGACTGCGCATCTTTTCTGGGCTATCTTGGATGAGAATCGCCTGGGGGTACATGTGTCTTGGAGTTTGAGCCATTGTAGAGTTTCGGTCTAAAAATTGTTACTTGATATTTTGCAGAACTAGATGCCTGATATACGTACCGCTGTCAAGCTGAGTTTTACTCCTCTTTACAGGGCCGTCTCGCTCAAGTCTATTGGTGTGATGTTGACTTCCACTGGATCTCTTTCGAAACTTGTTTTTGTCGTATGATAAAATACCCCTCAATACTGCTAAAAACTCGTGTCGATTCCGGGAGCGAGAAAGAATTTCTATTTGCCTGTTGTGGATTGTAACAAATTCTGAAGGAATTATAGTCAACTTTCTCAAGGTGATGTTGTTTGGCAATGTGACGCTGAATGATCTTGTTTCGGCGTTTCGTTCGCAGTTGAGCACTTGGCCGACGAAGTAAGAGAGAGTCTCTGCGACAGACAAGAAACCGTAATCTTCAATACATCCGATAACTATACGTTGATTTAGAAGATCATCAAGGGCTGAGTAAACATCTTGGGCAGCGTTGGGTGGCATGGTTGGCAGAGGCTTTATATAAGTGTACAAGGCAGCCAGCGGATATTGGACGGATGAACGAAAGGTGAACCGTTGCGTAACTGAAGCAAAAGCAAGACGTGAGATGGCTACTGTAGCACCATTCACCTCCTTTAATTATTTTCGAAAACTGACGGACCTGGCGCAGCTGGTGTCTGCCAGCTGGCACCACAGGCGGACGGACGGACAACCACATCTCGGCATGGTGCAAACAACGCCTCTCAAAAGCTAAACGCCGACGGCTACACGCAGCTTGTTTGCGCCAGCATAATCATAAATTTCCGGTTAGACCAGGATATGTTGTTTAGGTACATGCACTGAAATAGGAACAGTTGGGTCAAGAACGTGAACTTTTTGATTCAACTCAATTATGTCTAGTTTACAGTGTTTGCGTGCCTGTAGATTCAAAATGAGGGATCTTTGCCTCAAATCTCCACAAATCACACGACAAAACCTCTTCTATAGCTTTGCGTTACACATCTATGCATTTACAGCTCATCGTGGAAGTCACCAGCATCCTCGTCACCACCGGGGGCACCGCCCTGGTACATCTTGGAGGTGATTGGGTAGGCAACGTTGGAAAGCTTCTCCTTCTGCTCATCGAAGTCCTCGGCGGTGGCGTCAGCGCCGTTCTCCTCGAGCCACTCGGTAGCCTCCTTGACAGCCTCAAGGATGGTCTCCTTCTCCTCCTCGTCGATCTTGCCACCGAGACCCTCCTCGTCGTTGACCTGGTTCTTCAGGCTGAAGGCGTAGTTCTCAAGACCGTTGCGGGACTCAATACGCTCACGGGTGGCCTTGTCCTCCTCGGCGTACTTCTCAGCCTCGGCAACCATGCGGTCAATTTCCTCCTGAGTAAGGCGGCCCTTGTCGTTGGTGATGGTGATGGACTCCTGCTTGCCGGTGCCCTTGTCGTGGGCAGAGACCTTGAGGATACCGTTGGCGTCGAGCTCGAAAGAGACCTCGATCTGGGGAACACCACGGGGAGCGGGGGGAATGCCGGTAAGCTCGAACTTGCCAAGGTTGTTGTTGTCCTTGGTCATGGAACGCTCACCCTCGAAGACCTGGATAAGGACGACGGGCTGGTTGTCAGCGGCGGTGGAGAAGATCTGGCTCTTGCGGGTGGGGATAGGGGTGTTGCGGGGGATGAGCTTGGTCATGACACCACCAGTGGTCTCAATACCAAGGGTAAGGGGGTTGACATCCATGAGAACAATGTCCTCGGTACCCTCCTCACCAGACAAGACACCAGCCTGGACGGCGGCACCGAAAGCGACAGCCTCATCGGGGTTGATACCCTTGGAAGCCTTCTTGCCGCCAAAGTACTCCTCAATCAGAGCCTGGACCTTGGGGATACGGGTGGAACCACCGACAAGGACAATGTCGTCAATCTCGGACTTCTTGACGTCGGCATCCTTGAGAACCTGCTCGACGGGCTTGATGGTCTTCTTGAAGAGATCCATGTTAAGCTCCTCGAACTTGGCGCGGGTGAGGGTCTCGGAGAAGTCGTTGCCCTCGAAGAAAGCCTCGATTTCGATACGGGTGCTCATCTGAGAAGAGAGAGTACGCTTGGCCTTCTCAGCCTCACGCTTGAGCTTACCCATGGCCTTGAGGTCCTTGGTGATGTCGACAGAGTTCTTCTTGTTGTAGGACTTGGCGAAGTAGTTGATGATGCGCTGATCGAAATCCTCACCACCAAGATGGGTGTCACCAGCGGTAGCCAAAACCTCGAAGACACCCTGGTCAATGGAGAGAAGGGAGACATCGAAAGTACCACCACCAAGATCGTAGACAATGATCTGGCGCTCACCCTCGGTCTTGTCAAGACCGTAGGCGATAGCGGCGGCGGTGGGCTCGTTGACGATACGGAGGACGTTGAGACCGGCAATGACACCGGCATCCTTGGTAGCCTGACGCTGGTTGTCGTTGAAGTAGGCAGGGACGGTAACGACAGCGTGGGTAACCTTCTTGCCCAAGTAGGACTCGGCAACCTCCTTCATCTTGCCGAGAATCATGGCGGAGACCTCCTCGGGGGTGAAGGACTTCTTCTCGCCAGCGACCTCAACCTGAACGGTAGGCTTGCCATCCTTGGCGTAAACCTTGTAGGGGAAGTGCTTGATATCGGCCTGAACGTCCTTGTCGCTGAACTTGCGGCCAATGAGACGCCTATTTGTGGGTTAGCGGATGAGTTCCAAGAGAAGGAGAAAGATTGGGCTTTTTGCTTACTTGACATCGAAGATAGTGTTGGTAGGGTTGGCGGCGGCCTGGTTCTTGGCGGAGTCACCGACGAGGCGCTCCTCATCGGTGAACGCGACGTAGGAAGGAGTGATACGGTTACCCTGATCGTTGACGAGAATTTCAACCTTGCCCTTTTGCATCACACCGACGCAAGAGTAGGTAGTGCCCAAATCCTAGAAAGGGGGTTCAGATTAGCCTGAGCACGCGACAGGATCGTCGTAGGAGTTGAGCGAGCAGTGACTTACGATACCAATGACAGTGCCATAGTCGTCAGCGACCTCTGCGTTAGCAGTCTGGACGAAGGCGAGGGGAGAGAAGAGGAGGGCGATCCAACAAAGGAGCCCGAGGCCAAGGGCCATTGTGCTGCGTGAGCGAGCCATCGTTTGAATGCAATCGGCGTCGATCCGCTGTGGTGTTTTTTGGTGTAGGGGGAAAAGAATAAACTACAAAGAAATCGCAAATCAATCCAATTAGCAGCGACGAATAAACCTGTCGTCAAGCTGTGGAATGAAGATGGTGGATGAAGGAGGTGGGATGACGGAGCGTAGAACGGGCCTGTGGGAAACTTGGCTTTATTAGGGACCCTTCTCCAAAAAAGTGTCGAGGTGTCCAGATGGCCGCAAAAGGCCAGATTTCACAACTGCAGGTACCAAGAGACGCCGCAACCCCAATTCCCAGCCCCACGTGACAGGGGTGTTGTGGAGAATTGGCACTGGTTTGGGCACTGTACTGTGGGCCGTGTTGGGCGCGACACCGCCAGAATTGCCACCAATTGCGTGCCTGGTCGCTGCTGCGGCACTGTGCGTGCTCGGAGCTGTGCACTGACGCCATTAGTCGTGGGCCTGGTTGGTTTCAAGTTCGGCAATGGCTTCTAGTCAGCCACATCGCTAGATAGCCCGAGCTGAAGTCGAAGCAAAGTTTCGGCCGAATTCTATTGAGTCAACAGGTGACTCACGCCAAATGACACCGTGCAACAACCTGTGGCGATTTTGAAACGGCCAGCGAAGCTATATTCTTTCTTGCCATCGTGGTTTGCTCCAGTTCTGTCAGCAATCCTCATCTGCTCTGGGGAAGACACAGGCTATTCCCAAATAGGTTCGAGAATCTTCTTCACCATCCAGGTTAGCACGGCGGACACGATGCAACGTTGTGAATTTGGAGAGTAGCACTCTGAGTAAAATGCAAGTGGATGGTTTATTCAATAAATGTTCAAACGCCTATTTTGATTGTCTAATATTTCGTGAACTTTTCCTGTCATTACTCCAACAGACCAGCAGCAATCGTTTCGCCACTGCTTCGGATGACGACACGTTGACCGGCCTCCAGAGGAACTTTCTCCCCAAGTTTAATTAAGATGCGAGCCACTCCACCCGGCTGGATAACCTTGGGCTTCTTTTTAATGACCTCACCGGTAGCCTTGTCCAGGGTAGCGACCATGGAGACGATACTTCCAGCAATATGCAGTCGCCCCTTGTGTAGGTCAATAGGCATGGGCATGATGTGCTCAAATGCCATAGCCTTTATGGTGATAGTGTCTGTACAAATGATAGGGTTATCATACGGGCACAGAATATCACCTACCCTCACATGTAGAGGATCAGGTCCAGACAGACCCAGGCTCACGTTTTGGCCAACAACCGCCCACTCCTGACTGTCCTTATCAATGACAACAGACTTGACGTAGACAGGAATGGCGTTCGGTTGAATGAGAAGAGCATCGCCAACCTGGATTGTTCCTGCGTCAATGCGGCCGGCCAATGTCGTGGTACCCTGCTGTTGAGATCGGAAGATTTCAGACACGGCCATGCGGAAAGGTTTCTTAATAGCTTGCGAGGTTACGGGCTCATAAGCCTCAAGAGCTTGGATCAGGGTATTGCCCTTGTACCAAGATGCGGAATCAGCCTCAATAGGCTTGACAATATTGTCTCCGTTTAATCCTGATATGGGAATAAAGTCGACGTTCTTTGCCTGGAAGCCAAGGCCAGTGAGGAAGCCCATGACCTCCTGATTAATGTCGTCGAAGCGGTCTTTAGACCATCCAACCATATCAAGTTTGTTGACCGCAACAATGATACGTTGTAATCCCAAGCTGCGCAAGAGAAGAACGTGCTCCTTTGTCTGCCCCTTGAGACCCTTTTCATATGCACCAGTGTTGGCATCAATAACAAGGATGGCAAAGTCGGCCTGGCTGGCACCTGCGATCATATTTGGGACGAAGTCCTGATGGCCAGGAGCATCCAAGATTGTGAATTTCGTCTTCTCTGTTTCAAAGTAATTTGTGGCAATGTCGATGGTGACACCTCGCTCTCGTTCCTCGCTTCGCTGGTCCATAACCCAGGCGAGGGCGAACGATTGCTTGCCAGATTTTTCGGCTTGTCTTCTGTATTTTTCAACAGTTCGCTCTTCGACGTACTTTAGCTCGACTAGCAGACGGCCCATAAGCGTACTTTTTCCTGCATCAACGTGCCCTGTGTATGGTCAGCGCCTCCGCTACGCCCTGTAACGGAAAGTCATTACTCACCGACGACGACGAAACTGGCTGTTTTCTTCATGTTGCTCTTTTCATATTCCTTTATAACATCATATCCCTTGCTCTTAGGTGCGGGAATATCGGTAATTTTGAGGTTTGAGATACTCGTTGAGACATCGCCGGTGGCGGTGTCGTCACTAGAACTCTTTTGTGCTTTCTTCGCCGTAGATGGCGCCGTGGTCTTTTTACCAGCTAACCGAGAGAATTAGAATTAGCTTTTTATTTCATCCTGCCAAAGTTCGAACCTTTTGCCTGGGCGGCCAGAACTACATCATCGGGACTCGGCTGGGTAAACGCTGATGCAAGAAAGGAGGAAGAAGAGGTGTAGGGCATATCAAAAACATCTTGTCTTTGATCATGACTAGTAGCGGAAGACGACCCGACCAAAGTCTTTGCAAAGGCAGATGGAGTAGCTAGACGACCACTTGGTGCTGGGCTGTCTGAGGGCTGGGTTGTCATAGACACATCAGCAGCGCCATCCAGCCCAGCAGAATATTGCGACTTTCCAGTTTGGAGGGGATTTGTTGCATCCACAGCTTGCCGTTTTGCACTTGGTTCATCTTCTGACTGTTTTGGTTTTCTTAATAAGGAGGGCTTTGGGGTCGGCCGCTTGGGCTCTGATAGTGACAAATTTTGCATGTCATTCCCAGCCTGATCCGCTTGGTCTGATGCTTTCTTTTCCTCAACTTTCTTCTTCCGCGCAGCAGCAAGTGCTTGAAGCTTTGACATCTTTGGTGCAGACCCGCTGCCGCCAAGAAGGCCTCCTCGTGGCGTATCCGGCTCGTGAAATGTACTTTGTCTGTCTGGCGATGTTTGTAGCCAGGGCATGTCGTTGAAAAAGTCGGCCCTCGAGGATGGCGGAAGGGGTTTAGATGCATGGTGTTGAGCTATACTCCGGCCGCTCCAAGCACTTGCAGTTCTTCCTTCTGCGTCGTCCGCGAAAAATGCAATATCTTTTGTGGCAGCATAAAAAGAGCGTATTGACTTACCCTCTGGCGCTTTCTTCGGCGTAGGTTTAGGTGCAGCGTTGATAAAGCTTTTCTGCAGGAAAGCTACAGACTTTTCCACGTCATAGTAATAATGCCACAGAGCATCTTCAATCTGCTTGACGGTAACCTTATTGGCATCGCCGCCTAAAGCTTTGCGGACATCTGCGGTACCCTTGGTCATGGATGCACGATCTTCCGGGCTGAGCTCATCGCCACCTTCATCACCATATTCTTCTTCGTTGGGGTCGTAAAAGTCATCATCGTCAAAATTAGGCGCCATTTTCGAACGATTTTCAGCTAAAACAAAGGAGTGGTGCGGTTCTCTTGAGCTGCAGCAGCGGTGGGTGGTGCTAAGGTAGAGTCGGAAATATCTTTATCGGGGAGTAGGAAGAAGATATCGCAAGATGCACCAGCCTATATATAGTAGATGATACTATTAAACTTTTATGCAAATAGGATAAAAAACGCCAAAGGTAAGTTAAATATGCAAGAGAGTTTGTTTCTAAAAAGCGTCATAGTAGCAGCCCACATGGCGGGGTCCCGCGCTGATGGAGGGGTAGAAGCCTAGAAGTGGCGGACTTTTCTTTTCCCGCGGCCGCAGGTGAAGGAACGGCCCCTGCTCAAAATTTCGGAGCTGTGGACTCGAAGCTTCGGCGGCACAACCCCTCGCTCGCTTCGGATTATTTGGCGTCACCATATTAATTCGACCTCACTCAACATATCTTTGAATTTCAGTTTGCATATACATCAGCCAAAGAAACAACAGGAAAATGGATTCGCTCAGTATGTTCCTATGGCCCCTGCAATCGAAATTGTGCCCCTCTTGCTAACACGCTGCCTAGATCTGGACGTCGCGAACGGTACGGCTAACCACACGACCAACGACTAGAAGTGATGATGTAGCTAACAAGGTTTCGATTATAGCGGCGGTAATGAAGGATGAGCAAGGACGTCCATTCATCGTCGTCAGAGAGTACGTAATGTCGAAGTGATACCGCCAGACCGCCGGCGCTAACTAGTATCCAGCCAGGGGAAGAAGCGCCGCCAATTCGGAAACGAAGCCGTCAAGTCGCACATTCTTGCCGCCAGAACTGTTGCGAACCTCGTAAAAACCTCTCTTGGACCCCGCGGTCTCGATAAAATCCTTATTTCCTCCGATGGCGACATTACTATCACAAACGACGGTGCAACAATCATGCAGCAGATGGAGATCAGCAACCACGTTGCCAAACTTCTTGTTGAACTGTCCAAGTCTCAGGACGATGAGATTGGTGACGGAACAACTGGTGTTGTCGTGTTGGCTGGTGCCATGTTGGAGCAAGCTGCGGACCTCATCGACAAGGGTATTCACCCCATCCGTATTGCCGATGGTTACGACCAAGCCTGCGACATTGCCGTAGCCGAATTGGACAAGATCTCCGACACCATTGAGTTCAGCAAGGAAGAGACTTCCAACCTTGTCAAGGTTGCGCGTACTAGTTTGGGCAGCAAGATTGTCTCCAAGGCCCATGACCAGTTTGCCAACATTGCTGTTGACGCTGTCCTGTCAGTTGCCGACTTGGAGCGTAAGGATGTTGACTTTGAGCTTATCAAGGTTGACGGAAAGGTTGGTGGCTCCCTCGAGGATACTATCCTTGTCAAGGGTGTTATCATCGACAAGGACTTCTCGCATCCTCAGATGCCCTCGGAGGTTCGCGATGCCAAGATTGCCATCTTGACCTGCGCTTTCGAGCCCCCTAAGCCCAAGACCAAGCACCACCTCGACATCACCAGCGTTGAGGAGTTCAAGAAGCTTCAGACCTACGAGAAGGAGAAGTTCGTCGAGATGATTCAGCAGATCAAGGATACCGGCGCCAACCTTGCTATTTGCCAGTGGGGCTTTGACGACGAAGCCAACCATTTGCTTCTTCAGAACAAGCTCCCTGCTGTCCGCTGGGTCGGTGGCCCTGAGATTGAGTTGATTGCCATTGCTACCAATGGCCGTATCGTTCCCCGATTCGAGGACCTCAAGGCCGAGAAGCTTGGCTCTGCTGGTATTGTTAGAGAAATGACTTTTGGTACAACAAGAGAGAAGATGCTGGTCATCGAGGAGTGCGCCAACACCAGAGCCGTGACAGTATTTGTCCGCGGAAGTAACAAAATGGTAAGTCCTAGCTACATTTGCATGGGTTGAAGAGTGTTCCTGACACTGACACTTTCACAGCTTATCGACGAAGCGAAGCGATCCCTCCACGATGCTCTGTGTGTTGTACGAAACCTTGTCCGCGATAACCGAGTCGTTTATGGTGGTGGTGCCGCTGAGATTGCTTGCTCGCTGGCTGTCGAAGATGCTGCTACCAAGACTGCCGGTCTGGAGCAGTATGCCATGCGCGCTTTTGCCGAGGCCCTCGATGCTATTCCCATGGCGCTCGCTGAGAACAGCGGTCTGAACCCCATTTCTACTCTCGCCGAAGTCAAGAGCCAGCAGGTCAAGGCCAGCGCTTCCGAGAAGGGCAAGCTTGGTGTTGACTGCATGAGCCGTGGAAGCAACAACATGAAGGAGGCCTTTGTCATTGATCCTCTTATTGGCAAGAAGCAGCAGCTGCAGCTAGCCACACAATTGTGCCGCATGGTGCTGAAGGTGAACAACGTCATTGTTTCTGGAGCGGATGAAAACGACTTTTAAATCGGTAGATATTAGACAAAAGTAATGGTATATGAGCTTCCTTCTTCAATGCACCGGATACATTTTGTAGATCAGTGCCCACCGTTCAAGTGGCCATACATGCTATAGATTATCATAGCAATGACGGATATTTATTAAATCCACTGTATTTTGCAAGATGAACACTGCCAAATTATTTATTTGCCCATCCAACCGTAGACTGAATTGATGATGTTTTGCATTGCTAGCTCATTGTCGGCTTGTTTTTTTAGAAATGCGACTTGCCAGTCCTATGCACAAAAGACCACCAGCAAATGATAAGCGAGAGGACCAATTGGATATGCATGCGGCTTAATTGACCGAAAAACCGGTCGCCTTGTTTCCTCCCGGAGATGCATGCATGAAAGACCACCCCTGCAAACGCGTTTGTGTTGTAGCCTCGGACTTGACCAGGCTGCGTTTAATCAGGCTGTGCGCGCTCGCTCTCGCTGGTCGTGAGGATCGGCACTGGTTGTTTTCCGCCCCCGCGCAACTCGTTCCTCCTTCTCCTCCAATACACACCAACGCTCCCCAGCGCATGGGAATACCAAACGCAAGCTGTTCGCTACCACAGCATAGCATGAAGGGCGAGAACGATGACATGAACGGCGGAACAAAGCGGCAGAAGCGGTGGGCAAGACGAGCAAAGACGGGTTGCCTCGTGTGCCGGTAAGGCTGGAATCCCTAACGTTCCGAAACTGCAGTGAGGCGGCAAAGCAAAGCTAACATGGTCCGCGTACAACAGCCAACGAAGAGTCAAATGCGGCGAAGAAAAACCAGAATGTGCACGATGCGCGGCCTTGAAAGTACCATGCCACTACTCGATCCTGCAACAGGACTCACAGCTGCCCCAGGCGATGGCAACTCGGCCGGTGGGTTTTGACGGGTCCCAGGAGGAGCGACATCTCAACTACGAATTTTGCAATCGGTTCGCATCGATGTTTTGCGACGAATTCAACAGCGAACTGTGGGCGCAGCATCTCCCACAGACAGCATACCACGAGCCAGCTATATGGCACATCATCAGCGCCATTGCGGCCCTGTTTCCCACTCCGCCAGCTGACCGGAACAGTCCGCATGGCATAAGAACGTACACAAGAGGACTGCAACACTATTCGTTGTCAGTTAAGGCTATTCAGAAAATGATTGACGAGAAGGAAGCCGACCAGGACATTTCCACACAGAGAAAAGAGACCATCCTGACCCATAGCCCCTTTTTAGCTATGTGCGAGTTTTGGATTTCAAATAGGCGATCCAAGGTTAAGAGCTCAGGCGGTATTGGATTGGTGCGGCTTTGGAAGGGCTGGGAGTTGCAGACCGAGACAGGTTCACAAGCCGTCACGCAGGCTACGCTCTTCCTCCTGAAAGGCCATGCTTCATCCGAGGGTTCACACTTTGTTGCCCCCAGCGAGTCGTGGGACTGGCAAGAGGCCCTTGCATATATGTCTCGGCGGCCAATTACAAGTTTTGCTGGTGCCTGTCTCGAAACGGAAATGCTGCTGGCTAGTCTACATCGTCTCTTTCGCAAACTCCCCGTGCAGCCTGATGCCTATACCATTCGCTCAGCTGATATGAAGAGAGCGGTTTACAAAAGCTTTGTTGCCCTTTTGGGCCCCAGGCTGGAACAGTTTGCGAAATCAATAACAATGTGCAAAATGGAACTCTTACGACTCCAGATCATCAACATCTGGATTCTACTCATCACCGTCATGCTCAAGGTGAACTTGTCATGCATCGAGCTCGGTTGGGACGACTTTCTTCCGGATTTTGAACAAATACTTGTACTTGCCGAGGCTATATATGCCCAGAATGACCATGATCGAGTCTTGCCACTATTTACCCCGTTTCTGAGCAAGGCGTTGCACATGATGGCTCGATGGTGCCGAGAGCCCGGGCTCCGCCGACGCATCATTAGCACATTTGAGCGTCATCCACCGTTTTCTTCTGGGTCTGCACCACGCGGTTGGACATCTCTGATTTGCACACTGCAGGAAATAGAGGAACACGCATGGCGAGAGCCCAGGGAACGTGATGTGGGCTGTGATAAGCAGCTTGGGTGTGTAGCTGGAAAATATGTTTGCAAGAACCACCGCGTGGTCAACGTTCAACTGAGGGAGGATCCTGAGCTGGGGCGAATATTCACCTTTACAACTTTTGGCCAGGCTATCAGACATGCGCCAGGCAAACAGGTTGCTATAACTGCACCGTTCTGGGGTTGAAGCGCTGTTTTGGGTGGCATTGCTGAGGTGTGCTGCACTAACAACGGTTTACAGCGGGGCGCGCCAACGGTAGCGGGGTTTCTTCAGCGCCCTCCAGCGACACGTAATCTGCCTTGCGCAGGGGTCGTCAGCCTTTAAACTTAGCAGCCGCAGATTGTCAGCGCAGGGCTGAGGAGGGCAGAGCACAACAGGGACATTGTCTTCCTACTTCAACTCACAACCCCCTTTTTCAACGACGTCTCTATAGAGGCAGCGCTACACATCTCATCGCCAAAAAGTGTTTACTTGCGCGGTTAAATACAGGACACTCAGCTGCATCTCTACGATGATGAGCTCGGACACGGCGTCCAGTGAAACTGGTGTCTCCTCACGAGGGAGCAGCCCGACAGACCTCTCAGTCCGCGTGAAGCGGCGCCCAATTCCGCGCAAGGGTCATCGCAAGTCGAGAAATGGGTGTCTAAGCTGCAAGCGACGCAAAGTCAAGTGTGACGAAGTTATGCCAAGATGCGGCATCTGCACTCGTCTCAAGCTGACTTGTGTCTTTGATGAGAAGAGATCGAATGCCCCCGCAGGAGGCGCACTCCGCCCACCACAAGCACCACCAAGATCCCTGACAACAGATCCGAGCTGGTTCAATATTAGTGATATCAGGTTCCTACAGCACTTTATGAGCTCGGCATATCCGACATTACCATTGGACGGATGGGTTGTTTGGCAAGGTGTATCGCAAATGTCCCACGAGGTATGTTGCGTTTTTCTGGTTAACAATTAACAATCCCTCTGACTTGTTTTCCTAGTACGAATTTCTTGTTCATGCAATGCTGGGTCTTGGAGCTTCGCATTTAAATTTACTGCTTCAGGGATCCTATGCTGAAGCGGCTGTCAAACATCGAGTTATTGCCATGAAGGGCCTGAACACATTCTTGTCCAACGCCCACCTCTCTCTCCATAACGCCGATGCTGCTTTTGCTGCCACCCTGATTCTAGCCTTTCAATCGTATCAGATGGAAGATGGGCTTGTCGATTTTCTTACCATGATTCGCGGATGTAAGTTTGTTTTCTCTTGGCTGAATTGACTAGTGCTGACTTCCTTGTCATTATAGGCCATCTGGTAGGAGTGCATGCACTCGCAGACTTTGATAACTCTTTATTCCGCACATTTGAGAGGGAAATGTATCTCAAGTCGGTAGGAAATCTGATACAGCCCGAGACAATTTCAGACAACTTTGGCCCGACACTAGCGCAGGGCTTCTGTGACAACACGAAAAAGCTTGCACCGCTGTGCAAGAGTGTACAGGACTTGGAGTACTTGGGATTGCTGCAGCGAGTTGCAACGGCTACCATAAATGACCCTCTCCAAGCGCATCATGACCACACAATGCTGTATGACAAATTAGGGTCTTTTACGCCGGAAGAGTTTGCCCATTTTGTTGACCCTCGCAACTACACAGCACAGCTGCTTATTTTGCACATGCTACTGTTGGATTATATCATGGACGCGAGCTTGGATGGTATGACGAAAGCGTCCACAAACCGGCCCCAAAACAAAATTGACTTTCATAAATTTATCCTGCTATCATGGTCAGAAAAGATTGTCGAAGGGTTACCTGCCGCGTATGTTGCTTGCGCTGAATGGCCCATACACCATGCAAGGCAGCTCTGTTTGGGGGATACAAGCGAGCTGTATCTTCCGAAAGAGACGGGTGAGGAAGGAAACCAACCATTTACGCTCGAAATGTTTGAGCATCTGTATTAATAATGCCCAATACAATCCGAATTGGACCAAAATTGCATTGATTTATGTGCATTAAATTGTCATGAATTTTCGAAGTAGGGCAACCAGCACTGGCCGCGATGCAAGGACCCGGCTTGGCTGTGTAAGTCTGAGCAAGGCTAGGGCTGAGGCTTGGCTACACCAACTGCAGGAGATGGTGTGCCAGTGGGGGGTATATACGCTAGTTCATGCTATAGAATCGGCTTCAGTGGATGTGTTGCATAGAAGCGCCGGCTGCCAGCCGTTGTAAACGGAGCACCACACGCACGCAGCCGGTATACTAGGCACATCAGGCTGTCGACCGAGGCCGTCTTCCGACGGCATTTCCGCCGAAAAGGGACTATTGAATAAGGCAGCCAGCCAGCCTGCTCCCATGCGGAATATATCTCGGAAACGTTATTATGAACACAGTGAGAAGAATCCGGGTTCGATAAGGCTCCAGTTGGCGCTGCGCACTGGCGACGGTGGAATCGCCGGTCATCAAGCCGGCGAGGAGAGAACACTAACGCAGATGGAAATACGAAAGAAATTCACGCCCCTATGTGAGTGATTTCCCTGGATGCACTACTACAAATGCACGCTGCATTGGCGGTGGCAATTGACCGCTCCTTGGCTGCTGCGCCGCGGGTTGACTGAGGCGACGCCGGGTTACGAGGATGACTCTTTTGGCTGGCCCCAGGCGGGGCTGCGAGACACGGATGGCGGCGGTGACTGGTGGTGACGTGCACCATCCTTCAGCTATTACTGTCGTAGCGGTGTCTGGGCTGCTGGCTGCCGTCACGGGGAAATCGTGGGGGCTAATCGTGAACCCAAGCTTTTGTGTTGTGGTTGGTGGTCGTGCTTAGTGGCAACAGCAGCGAGGAAACATCATCTAGGAGAACAATCAGAGTGTTTTTTCTCAACAGTACAGACTCGAAGAAGCTACTATCATTCACCGGTAACCGCTCTCTGGGCTACTTGTTGAGGAGGGGATGACCATCTACCACTCTAACCGATGCAAAGGTAGGCGGAAGACTTCCCCGATGCGAAACAAAAGACGTCAGTCAACCAATGCAGGCCGCGACAACAAAAACAAGAAATAAAAGAAAGGGAATAGATAAAAAAATAAAAAGAATAATGTTTTGATCTTTATTATTATTTGATTTATTATTATTATTATTTTCTACAAAATAAACACCAGGCACTGCCCGACTAAGCAATCTGCAGGGCGGTGAACAAGGCCGCCGGACGCTATGAGGCTGCATAATTTCAAGGTCATCTGCCTGCGAATTGCTGAGCTGGCAGGCCACCAAGTCGCTGCAAGTATAGGCCGCTTGCCACCCTGAATCCACTGGGAGAGTGGTACGCGGTGCGCTTTTTTGTTTTGCATTTCCGCCGCTTGTTGGGGAGGGAAAAAAAATAAAAAATAAAAATATAGAATCATTTTAATCTATTTTATTTTTCAATACACTTAATTTTATCTGCACATTGAATTCAATTTGCCTCTCAATTCTTGTTGTTTGTAATCATTTCGTCTGCTGTCTTACTGGTGGTGCTGCTACTGCGACTCCCACGCGCCACCACCACCGCCGCTCTGTTACTGGTACTGGTACTGTTACTACTACGCCTGCTATTGAATTTGGGCTTACCTGGCCTGCCTGCCTGTCTGCATCATCACGCACAACAGACCACACGCGGCGCCCACCACCAACAACAGAAAAAACACGCTTAGCACGCCTGCAGCCGACGCGAACCAATGACCTCGCCAGTTACTGCCTGCCTCCCAATACATCAGGCTCCCCTTGGCTGAGACGTCCATCGTGATGTGATCTGCCCTCCCTTTTTCCTTTCGTCTTGATCCCGGTCCCGCGCACACCCTCCACATTATGCCTTGCACAGTGATCACGGGCCGGCCCTCGCTACGTATACTTGACGCCGCTACGGTGGCCGGCCGCCCTCATATCGAGGTTACGGGTTTCCGGCCATTGCTTTGCTAGTGCCGGGCGTCAGCGGCATGATGTCCTACGTGGCAGGCAATCGACGTACCGTGATGCCTTTTTTGAGTCGCCGCCCAACGCTACCGTTTGTCTTTTGTCTCTCGGTTCGATTTACCGTAGCCCGTTAGTGGACATACGCGGGGTGTGAGTATTCTCCCGTTTATTCTATTTTTTTTTATTTTAAAAAAAATATTTCTCGATTTCCTTATTTTCCAAAGGGGCTTCTGGATTTCTCGTTAGGCGCCCAAAGCGAGCAGATGAGACTTCCTCGTGTAGATGGACCGGCCAACGCATTCCGACTGGGTCATGCTTCGATATTCAGGCTCACATAATGATTCTTATTGAAACTGACAAAACGTGCTGGTCTCAGAGAGCTGTAAATGTCCTCGGACGTTTGCTACTGCTGCAGCCAGTCGATACCAGCGGTTTGGGATACACGATGGTGTCGCACCTCACCACCAAACCGCCGTAATGCATGCACAACGCTGCTGTCCGACATTGCCGTCATGCCAGGGCCAAAAACAGGCACATGTCTTGAATCCAAGCTGCAGCACAACTTTCACTAGCCTGTGGTACGAGACCTGCATTGGTTCTTGATGTCTGTCGTAGACAATATATGCAATGCAACACCACTACCAAATCAATCCAGTTTCGCCCACACTACTATTACTCGATGATGGGGAACGGATAAACCTCCGGAATATTCGGACCCGTAAATTCATACTTCTATCAATTACTCCGTGCAGGAACAAGTCGTTCATCCACCCGAGCCAGCCATGTTGCTAATTAAAACACCATGGCACGTTGTACACTGGTTCACGTTCATCGTCGAATCAGATCGCAGCTGCTCATCCCCGTTATTAGCGCCTTATTCTGGCGACCCCGTTTTGACTCACGCACTGTGACGCACCTGAAAAAAAGGACAATTCTTACACGCAAAGGCACGTTTTTCCTCTTTACGTGACTCATCTAGTGGGCATCGTACCGGATGCTTTCCTAATCGGGCTGTGCTCTGAGGCGGGGCTGCGACGTCAGACGCCAACTTGGCTGATCGCCCCTCATCGAAACTTTTTTCTATATCAACCACAAAACTTCGCCATCAAACCAGGAAGTCTTCTTGGTATCACCAGTGTATTGTTCTTTTTTTGTATTAGCGACAAAAGCATAGCAGCGCTGTTTTCGAATTCGCCATTGTACAATACCTTCTGTCGTTTGGCCCTTTCATCATCTTCAGCATCTTCGCCACCATTAATCATCCCCTACACCATTCTCGCGTCACGCCCGCTGATAAAACAATCATGCTCCCTTTACACCAAGCTACTGGTTCCGCTACAACACGGAAGCAGGCTACAAATGAGGCCCATGGCTCTCGTATTGTGTCTAAGCCGGTCCCTGACGCTCAGGCCCGCGACCCCCGAGGCTATCAGATTTCTCAGATCCGCAAACGCTATGTGCCTACAGAGTCCACAGCCAACGACGGAGCTGCGCTTCTCAAGTTTCACTTGAAACCATCCGATCCCGATTTTCCCTTTGAGCTCGCCTATCTTGATTGCGAGATTAAAGTGCCCAAGTCGTATCCTAAGGGCTCGCCAGAGCTCCGCGTTCTCAACAAAGATATCCCCCGTGGATTTAGTATCAATGTTGAACGGGGCTGGGATGCCCTAGTAACAGAGCGCAAAGGTGCCACGCTTTTGTCGCTTTGCAATGCGCTCGATAAGAACTTGGAAAAGTTCCTCTCCGAGCAAAAGGTGGAAACCATCAAGATTGTGACTTACAAGGACACAAGACACTTGGATCAGGCACAGCCAACGCGCAACACAGCCATCTCACAATCTTCTGCTCCAGCAGTACAGCCTCCAGCACCGTCTGCCGCTCCTGTGTCACAACCGGCAAAGTCGTACGTACCTGAGCGAACCTTTACTCGAGAAGAAATGAACGAGGCCAAGGCGCGCCGTGCGCAAGAGGTCCGACAGCTTGAAGCTCGTATGAGCAAACTCACTCTATACCGTCGCTCCGCTGATGGTATTGTGTATACGCTCCCTCTCGAACCTAAACGAAAGGAGGATTTGCCTGTTGGACTACGATCTGTCAATAACATCCACCTTATTATTCCCATGCTCTACCCGCTACAAAGTCTAAGGGTGCAGTTGAATGAAGCTGACGCGGCTGACGCTGAACCTATCGAGGACATGTTTGTGGAAAGAGCGGAAGCTCAAAAACAAATGTCGTTGATGAGCCACGTCAACTATCTCGCGCAAAACTTGCTAGCCATGTCCAAGCAAGCGCAGAGTAAAGCTGCCGCTCAGGCGAAGCTTGTAGCCCTACAAAAAGCACAGCTTCAAAAAGAATCCGAGGCAAATCTCGAAGTCTCCCAACCAGCAGATGATGACAAGAGTCACATCAAGGTTATCCCCCGCCCACCTGAATGGAGTTTTGGCGAAGAGGATGATGAATCCTCGGAAGAATATACCGATTCGGATGGCGGTGCTGCCATCTCAGATGAGGAGGCCCCGCGCGAAGTCCACGATGCAGTCAAGGATGTGCCAGAACGTGGAACCATGATTTCGTTCCCCTCTGTTGAGCTTCATGGGATTGAGCTTTTGCAAGTCTCCATCCTCAATCTCAATGTCAAGTGTGAGCGCTGCAAGACCGTAAACGAGCTGACGGGACTCAAGCCCAACGAAGAGAAAAGTATAAGCTGCAGAAAATGCGGCACTATCTTTGCGGTCACGTTCCACCCTCAGCTTGTACATGAACACTCCACGCGAGCTGGCTTCATGGATCTATCCGGCTGCAAGGTTGCAGATATGTTGCCCAGCACATTTGTGCCCACTTGCGGTCGTTGTTCGACTGCTGGTATGGGTCTTGTCGCTGTTCGAGGTGACAACATCTCCAACGTTTGCCGCGAGTGTCACGGCAAGTTTACGTTTAAGATCCCCGACGTCAAGTTCCTCTTCATTACACCAGGTACGGCACCGCCACCGACAACTGGCCCGCGCCGAAAACAGGAAAAGCTGGGCTTAGTGGCAGGCGAATCACTACCGAATCACGGTGCCTGTGCTCATTACCGCAAGTCATACCGTTGGTTCCGGTTCTCTTGCTGCAACAAGGTCTACTCGTGTGACCGTTGTCATGACGAAACCGAGGACCACCCTATAGAGTGGGCAAACCGCATGGTTTGTGGTTGGTGTAGTCGCGAACAAAACTATGCAGTTGAATCCTGCCGTTTCTGCGGCAGAGGCGTCATTGGACGCAAAGGCCACGGATTCTGGGAGGGCGGCAAAGGCACGCGAGACCAGCAACTGATGAATCGCAAGGACCCGCGCAAGTACAAGAGGTTAGGCGCGGCCGTGAAGAAGGCTTGAAAGTTGTAAACAGATCTGGTTAAGCATACTGCAAGGAGACGGAGGTGCGACAGCCGTCTGTCACTAGCGCTGTGCCACATGTATTCTAAATTTGGTAGCCAAAATAGAATGTACGTTTGCCGCCCAATGAAACCCCGCCGTGTGTTAGCCCGTGCGCTGGGATCGAAGTGGCGCTCAGGGCGTCGTTTGTGCTTGCTAGGCAAGGCTTCGGCAGTAGGTGGCCGACTGGAGACTAAGTTGGCACAAGATGGGGGGCACACAGGGTTAATGACGTCGCAGACAGTTTGGCCCGGTGAGAAAACTCGAACCCAGTAATGTATGATCAGCACATTGTTTGGAAACACGTCAGCAGAAACGTATCCATAGTCTGTTGCAGCTCATGCTCTGGTTCTGGTAAAGATGAACCAACAGGTCATAGCCATTCTCTGTAACAACCAGCCATTGGGATGGCAAATGGTAGCAGGTAGTAGTTTACACGACCCCAGACGAGAAAAGAGCTGTCAGCCGCAATTTCCGGAAAGCATACAGAGAGGTACAGTACAGACCTGCGCGGAACCAATGCTCCCTCCACCTCCACTGGTCAGGCTACAGAGGGGCTTGCCGCTAGCGGGCGTTGCTCATTTCCCCTTGCGGCGCCCACATCCGTATGGCAGCACAGCACGCGACCTTGCTCCTTTCTAGGCCGACGCACCGGCTGCCGCGCTTGGAAAGCCTGTGTTTCAATGTGGCGTGAATGAAATTCAAAGTGTGGATGAGCGCGGACCGCCGACAACCTGGGCCGGTCTTTTTCAGACGAGGAGAATGCCCCTGCCGCTGTTTTGGACACCATCAACTAACACCGTCTGGTTCGCAATGCCGGTCGTCTTGCTTCTCAATTCGTGGCACAGGTAAGCTGCATTCGCTGTAACCGCCAACGTCTTCACTTGGACCAAGAAGCACGCGCCGCCGTGCCTCGTTTGGAACCGCGCTGCAAATCCAGCATGAGAGAAGGAATGCAGCACCCCCCATGCACCCGTATGTCACAGTGGAACTTTGCGCTGAAAGTTAACAAGAGAGCCACCCCACAAGTGTAAACGCCCTAACTTAGTTGGTCGCTGCCCCGCCAAAGGAAATTTTGCAGTGTCCTTTTTTCGTGTCGCGTGCACAGTCTCCTCTTTCGTATAGCGGGCGGCGGAAGCCACTCCTTTTCGTATCGGCACGCCCCCTTTTTTACGGCTGGCAACCGAGATGAGTTGGTCGGAATCTCAAAGATCGTGAATTGAGAAGGCTCCTGGTTGATGCTTTCTGCCGGCTGTGACGATGAAAAGAAACAATCAAGTGATGATGGTGTGGTCGAGTCGGCGCGTAGCAACTTGCATCGGACGGGTCTGCCAGGTGCCATGATGACGTCTTGACGGCCCAGCCAGCTGGCAACACAACAGATGTCGTGAAGACGGCCCCCTTTTGTTGCTTCTTTCTGCGTCTTCCACGCCTTTTTTTTCTTATGTAGTGTCTCTGTATTTTCCTCTTCTCTCCGCCGCCGCTCAGCTTTAAAGCAACTGCCGTCGTTTCGCGTGCGTGCCACCACCAGCTCTCATTCCTCTCTCATCTCCCTTTGTGCACCTCACATATCCTCCTGTCATCCAATACTGGTTAAACATCCGCCCGCCTCTCAATGCTTCTCCTTGTAACGACACAGACAATTCCCCGCAAAACAGGAAGAAACTTCACGCCACGCTGAGCGGTTTCGACCAACACGCTTCGCGCACGCCCCCCTTCGTCCCTGGCGGCAGACGCCCATGACGCTTCGCTCATCAAAGAGTCGCTGCAAACGAATCAGCCCCCTGGATCCCGCACTAACTTGGGCGCGCTAGTGCTGTCGCCTTTGCCCATACTTGTTTCTATACTAGTCCTAATATGGGGGGAATTTGAATGTAGATATTGGGCCGGTCGTATTCCCTTAAACACTCGATCGCCTCTTTAAACTTCCTTGCTCCCCCCATTCTTTCCTACCACACCTTCGCTCCCTGACTGCGGCCCGGTTTCGTTTCTTGTTTTTCTTTCTTTGCAGGCAAACCTTGCCATCTGCTACTCTCTTCGAGTAGTCAACCTACCGTCCTACGACTTTCATTATCGACCTCTACTTTCCAATGGTGTCGTGATACCACAGACACCTACAACACTCGTTCGAATCAACTTCGCAATCGCTCATCTATCCCTAATACATCTAAAACATGGAGACCACCTCGCCTAGGCGCCAAGCCTCGCCTTCACGCTCGTGGGCGGGTGCCATCCTCTCACGCATCTTCCGCGTGGTGCGATCTCCAACAGCCTTGGCTAGCTCGCTTGGCAACCGTCGCTTTGTCTTTGCCTTTCTTACTGTTGGCATCCTTTCCGCCAAATTTACCCATGTGGCAATGCATCTTCAGGCTCTAACAACAGATCAAATTATTCCATGGAGCTACTCTTTCTATGGTCAAGACTTTGCCCTCCTTCTCCTCGTCAGACTTCTTCTTGGCGAGTGGCTGTTTTCGTCAGAGGGACGACGCGGCTGTATCAAATTTCTCGGTCAGATTTTCACATCGCTTCTCATCATCTACTGTGGCTCCATTAGTACGATGAGCGTTTCATTCTATGCTGCGACAGGTTCGCAGGTCCGCTGGCGCAACGCCGCCTTTGCTGGTGGCGATGCTGCCTCCCGTGCACTTATGATGTCTGGCATCATGTACTTTGTCTTCATTGTTTCTGCCTTCATTGTCAGTGCCTGGCTGCTTCGAAACATGATATTCAACTTGTTCGGGCTCGTTATTCAAGTCATCGCGCCACCCTTTGCCCGACTATTCCGTCGCAACCAGCCCCGCGGCTGGGTCGACGAAACATATAGCGACAAGTACGCAGAAGTAGCGCAAGATGACTTGGAAGACGCCGTCTTTGAGCCCGGTGCTGGCAAGCTTGGTGGTAGAATCACTCGGCCTACGCCAGCAACCAGGATGGTCAAGGCGGCAATCGCATTTGCAGTCATTTTCCAGATCTTCTGCTACGTCTTCCGTCCCTCTTCTACCTCCATGACCTTTTTGTCATGGACCGCACCTCTTCTGCCAGTTGTTGAGTTCTCAAGCTCGACACCTAATCTCGAGGGTATCGCCGAAGTCTACAGAGGCGACATGAACCGTCTATACAAGGCCCCATCTGCACTTGGCGAGCCCATCCCTCTCTCATGGCTACCCAAGGGCGACGCTCGCAGCGGATTCCGGGACTGGTACAATCAAAGTGCCACGCATTACCGTGCTACCAACGATCCCCTCAAGATTTCCAATCTGGAATCGCCACTATTGCCCGAGTTGAAGGGCATGCTAAGCAAGGTGCCCATTCGCCACGTCATGGTAATCAAGTTGGAGAGTACACGAAAGGATCTCTTCCCGCTCAAGAAGGATGGTCTTATTTGGAACCGCTTCACTGAATCGCTGGCCAACAAGAGCCTGCCAGACGCCGCTGTTGAACGCCTTCGCACTTTGACACCCGTGGCGAACTATCTAACCGGCGATTATGACGACGGATTCGAGCACCCCAAGAAGAACCAGACAAAGCGCGGTGGTATCAACTTCAACGATGCCTACACTAGCTGTACCTACACTCTCAAGAGTCTGACAAGCAGTCTCTGTGGTGTCAACGCGCTCATGTCCGATTTCAACCACGACTTTGAGCATCACATTTACCAGCCTTGTCTGCCGCAAATCTTTGATACCTTTAACGACCTCGATGCCAAGATTGATGGTGATTTCAGAACTTACAATTGGTCGTCGACATTTATGCAGTCTGTCACGCTAAACTTTGACAAATTCGACAAGCTCATTCCAGAGCTAGGCTTCCATAAGGATCGCATCATCGACAAGGAATACCTTCAGAGCAGCAAAGCCAAATTTGGTGAAGTCCATCTCCCGGATGTAAACTACTTTGGATTTGTTGAGACCCCGCTCGCCGATTACATGCACGATGCGTTCTCCTCAGCCAAGAAGAACAATGAGCGTGTTTTCATCACCCACGTCACCAGCACCAGCCATCATCCCTATGGCATTCCTGAAGAGGAGCCGTATGTGCAACTAGGCGACGATCTCGAGGACTTGTCCAAGTACGTCAATGCCATTGGTTACGATGACCGTTGGTTGGGCAAGGTACTTGGTATTCTGGATGAAGAGGGTGTTGCCAACGAGACCCTGGTGGTATTTGCCGGCGACCATGGTATCTCTATTCCTGAAAATGATATTCCTGCGTCATACTACAACCCGAGCGTTGGATGTAACAAGATCCCTCTTGTCTTTTCTCATCCTCTTCTCCCAGCCATCACTATTGAAGACGCCGTCACCAACCTACAACTGCTCCCTACAGTGCTTGACCTCCTTCTTGAGACGTCATCGCTTGGGCCAACAAGCACCCGTGCAGCCAAGGATCTCCTTAGAAATTACGAAGGTCAATCCATGATCCGACCCTTTGGCAAGACCACCAAGGGCAACGGGGTCGATACTGGAGACATTGATGTCTATCCGGACTGGCAGTTCACCATTATCAACCCTGGCTACAGCATGATTGGCGTGCGGGACACGACCAACAAGAACTGGCGCGTGGTGGTGCCTGTAGTGGAAAACCAGGAGTGGCAGTTTTCAGACATTGAAAAGGACCCTCGCGAGCAGAGCCCTGTCAAGGAGTTTGACTTTTTAAACTTTATCCGCAAAGTCGAACTCTTCCACGGCGCGGATGCTGCTAAGTGGGCAGAGGAGGCATCGTTTGCGTCTCGCTGGTTTGTTGAAGAGAATCACAAGAGATGGAGATATGGCAAGTACTCTGACAAGTCTGAAGACGACTTTTAATACGGGTATTTGACAGGGTCTGTTTTCTTGTTTTAGGTCCAGGGATCTGTTTTTAGTATTATGCCCAGGCCAATCTTGTACATCTAGTACGACGCAACGCGATACGAGCGCGGCGCGTGTTGAACACGCGGTCATGTATAATTAGAAGTAGTGTACGCATTATCTGTAACACGACAAAACCACAGCGAAAATATTATATTATATTCGTCATCTCCCATGTCCCCAAAAAATAAAGAAAAGAAAAATATTAATAAAAGGGACTCTGTTCAAATGTGCCGTGTGTGCAGCCTACTTTGCACTAGATGCATCCTTCATCGTGAAGGAGGGTGGCTCAATGGTGTACATTGATTGGTTTGCACCCGGTGCATACTGCAAGAGGTGCTTCCCCGCGAAGCTAAGGCGGCGGATGCAATTTCCGTACCGTGCCACGAGGAATCGGGATGGGTTAGGTTGGGGGGAGTCAATAGCAGCCAGTTGCTAAGAGCTGCTGAGTTCCCGAGCCAATCGGGACGAGGAGATGTCACAGCTGGATTTGATTAGTGTCGGGGAACGGGCGAGGGAAGACAGGAAAATTGCCCTTTTGGGCCTCCGTAACAGAAAACGGGCAAATACGAAAGAGGCAACGGGCGAGCCGCTATCACAAGCTTGCCGCCGGTCTACTGAGGTCGGCAAATGGATGCGGCAATACAGCAAGCCGAGCCAGTGTGTTGCTGGTGGTTTCGGTGGTGGTGGTGCGTGCGTGTGATGATGGGGTACTTGGCGAATACAGCACCGCTACAGCGCACAAAGGCCCTGTAACTTGCGTTGGTTCGGCCGCACAACACCGCCGCCGGGGCGCAAACAGAGGCGCCGAGCTGCGCTGACCAAAGGGCCGAATGAGATTAGGTGGTGGCTGGGGAAAGGAAGCTTCGAAATTGATTCCATGGCCAGTGCGTGGTTCGTGTGTCAGATAGAGCATGACATGGCAAGGTCAAGGGCCGTTATTCACCTTGGCTCTTTTGCCACGTCTATTTCATTTATTATTTTCGCTTTATGTTTTATTTTACATTTTTATGGAAATCATTTGTCGCCGTCAGGTGTTGGAGTTTCATGATTCATTGGGCGGCCCTTTGTCTTTCCCCAGACTCCAGGCGGGCCAGTCAAGTGACCACAAACGATTGCTTGCGATTCTCCACCAATAGCGTGGTCTGGAATTGGCCTCTTGAGTTTTGTTTGTATGGTACAGCGATAGCCGTAGTCAAACTTGGGGCAAAGTGAATGAACGTTGTTCTCCTGTCAGCGTAGAAGCGGGTAATCGAGAAAATAATTAAATAAATAAAAACGTCAATATCCCTGACTGTCTCTGATAAAAAGCTGTTTTTTTTTTAAATTAAAACGACAGAAAAAAGGTCACTGCAGGCATTGTTGTGTTTAAACTCGCCGCTCAGACCCAGCCAACACCGACATGGAGGCCTAGCTGGTACTGTAGGTACTTCTTAGTGCCCCCTAGAGTACCTAATTACCTACTGTAGAAATAAAAGGCCGGCCGCCACAGTTACCAAAGTTCCGGGTCCCAGCGCCGCCGCCACGGGTGCAAAATCTGGCTGCCTAGAGCGTGTAGCGGGCGGGGGTCGGTGGTCAGAAGGAGAAGGCGCGAGAGGCTTATGTTTCTACACTTTCCGCATTCTGTTCTCGTCATTCAGCACAACGAGTACGTGAGGGATATTCAAGCAATTTCCCGCCCCCGCATTAGTCGGTCGACTGTACTTGTTGGTCTGTACGTTGTACAACGATTGTATACGATGTTTCAAACACTCTGTAGAGTTAGCGCTGATCAAAGCAAATCGGCGGGTTGGCGGGTGCATCGACCACCGAAGGACACCGTCCCTCTTTGTATCGCTGACGTGAAGAAAAACAAGCAATTGCCAACAATATTACACAACAAGCTATCGCCCCCAAGCAGCCCTACCTCTGCCAGTAAATACGGTGAGTAAGTGGCTGAGTGCACGTCTTGTTGGACTGCAGCAGCAACGGTTGCAGCAAAGAACCATTGGCTGTGCTGTGCTGTGCTGCTATGCGGTGCCTATTGTTGGCCGCCGCGCCCAATGAAGAAGGACACAAATGGAACCATGAATCAATTCAATCATGGGGGATTAAAAAAACAGGGTCTCCGTAAAAACCCAAAGATAACAAAATGGAAAAGGTGGTGGGAAATGGATTAAAAAAATGATTATTTTATTTTAATCCTTTTTTTTAAATCGCCTCCCGGAAGTATCCTGTCTTCTTTGGGTCCTTTTTTTTTCTGCGCCGGCTTCTTCCCCACCTTCTCTCCACCGGGACACCTATCCCGAAGCAAGCCACCCCAGCACGAAAACCCAGCAGGCCACTCACCAACCAAGCAGGGCCGGTCAGACTGTACGGTGCCCCGAGTCACGATGCCTGGCAACCAACCAGCTGGGACCTTTTGAAAAAGGCCTTTCATACTGTCAAAGACACCGAAAATAAGCAGCCTCGTTTGTCTGAGAAGAGTGCACACGACACATGGGCTTGGCCGGCGACCCCAGCTGATGGCCGACAATGTTCTAGAAACGCTTCTTGAGATTCTGCCGTGGCAAAGACTACGACGTAGCATCTGCGCCGCTTCTAAACCAAGCTGCCAGTATATCGAGGGTGCCGCAGCATAGTGTACATACAGTGGCTCAACCGCCAGTTTGCCTCGCTAATGGCAAGTCGCCGCGCCGCCGCCAAGCTCTTCTAGACGTTACTTTCCCTTGCCCGCCGTTTTCTGCCTGGGCCACTATGCGGCGGCCGCGCTCGTTGCAAAGCACCAAGCTTGCCCATTACTGTAAAACATCCCTGCCCGTGGTAAAATTGGCGACGCGAACTGCGGTTCCCCTACTAGCATCGTCAACATCTGCAGCAGCGTAATTAGGCCAGGGGGTAAGGCAGAGTCAATCACGCTGGGCATATTCTGTTTTACTTTGTCATGTGCGAAGGCGTGTTTGCCGACGGCTATCTAACTTTATGTGCCAGCCCGGAGAGCCCGCCGCCCCAAGAATGAGACAATGCTATTGTTTGCCCGCCGGACAGCCACTAAGAGCACCGGCACGAGCACTACCAGGAGCAGCGTTATCGCCTGGAGCGCAGAAAAAAAGCCCGCCAATCAAGCAACTTACAGCACTCTGTGGGTGGAATTGCTATCAGCTTCTAGGCATTGGGTCTACTAATTATAGGGCACGTAACGTTTCCATAACGTCAACTCGCGGCTTCTGTACGCACAACGTGTTGGTCCCGGCGGGCTGGGCTCGCCTTCATGCAGGTTCATCGTCTACGGATCGCACAGGCCCAGCCAAAATAGGGGAGGGGGGCCGCTGGCTAAGCCGGGCTCCTTTCCGCAGCCAGCGCCTGAGCCGGAGAAGTCGACGCAAAAATACAAAGAGAAGCGTTGCAGAGAAAGGGCTTGGCTGGTGTACCTGTGTCGGAATGTCTCACCATCTCGTGCAGATCAGGGCCTTGCAGCCATCGACAATAATTACAGCAGCTAGCAGCAACCTTGATGCCTCTGCTCTGTTGCCAAACATCTTCTTCACGTGCCGTAGCACTGGCCCGCCGCTTTGGGCAAGGCCTCAGCAGCCCTGCAATGTGTGCCCACGGCACTCGTCGAGGTGGGTTTCGGCGCCCGGGACGCTCCCGCGGCGCCAGGTCGTCGGTGTTGCAGCGCGGCTACAGTAAGCAGGGGGGAGGTCATTTGGTCCTCGCAAGATTTCTTCTATGCGAGCAACCCAAGTAACTGTAGATGCCGGAGATGCTAGATTTCCAAGCGCTCATGGCGCGATGATGTGTCTTTGTTGCCACCCCGGGGCTGTGTTTCAGATGCTGTATTTGCTGGCAAGGCGGAAATACACTGAAGAATTAAAAGCATTTCAATTTGTAATATATACAATTTTATTTAACAATAAATCAATCAATTGATATTGTATTATTTATTTCTTTTATCGAGTCGTATGGGGTGGTAAAGCCGCCTCTAATCTACTAACAAGCCTGATGAGTTGGATATAGGGCTAAGAATAGGAGACTTTGACATTCACCACCTTACTTTTGGTAGATGTTCGTTGCTCTTTAGTATAGCAGTTAAACCTAGTATACATGTATACACAGTCAATCGAAGCAAGAAAGAAGAAAACGACTGCCGTGACAGCTTCTCACTCGCATGATCTGCAATCGCACATCGCCCACGTCCTCGGGAGACAGACAGACAACCAGTCTCCTGGGCCCATTTGCCAAATACAAAACGAACATTATAAACAAAATGTAATAAAATACATTATTTACTTAATCCAATAAAGATATATCCAATAAATAAAATAGAAGACATTATTTCTATCACATTCCCAGCCTGACAGCAAACGACAGGCGCTCGCGTCAGTCGCCGCCCCCGTTCCCCTGCGTCCCATCCCATCTCCCCAGTCTCCATCTCACCGCAATACTAATTATGAACTGCCCTACGAACAGAACCGCTCCCAGCGCCCAGCGGTACGCCTCGCGTAGCATCACGTCTCCCAAATCGTCTCATGTTCCCAATGCGCTGTTCCCGCCACGCAGATGCACTGCCAGCTTCTCCAGATTCCGGTGCCCGCGAAATTGCCCATGTCATCGTCTGCGGGCCGAGACGCGAGCGGCCGCTGTTCCAGCCCGTGAGGGGATCATACTCTGTATTAAAATAAACTTTTTTTCTTTTCTTTTCTCTGTTTTTCTTTGAATATATTTTCCATGTATTTTCGGGGCGGTCTAGTAGAAGTGGCCGTCTTTTACAGCCCAAGTGTCCAAATGCGGCGATGAGTTCCTTTTCTAATGTAATGGTAGGCTTTGTTCTAATTTAGGATACGTACTTTGTAGGTTCAGTTGCCTAAAGCGGACATGTTTGTTTATACTGGGTGTTGGTGGTTTTGATATAGTACGTTGATGCCTTGGACGTTGGTTATACTGGCGCCATATCGCCCTAGGAGTTGTGAACTCGGCGTGTAGTTAGCTGGTAAACACTTCCCAGGCCACTTTTACTATTCATCAAGTTGCCATAATTTGTGATTTTATTTATGGTGAGCCCTATGTAGCAGCGATGATTATATTCAATGGGCAGAGCATCAGCACAAGAGTGTCTGATTAATCTAACAGTGTAATCATGTAGATGGTGTCTCTCGACACTGACGTTGCGCCGGCTTACTAAATATCGCCTTTCCAATTTACACAATTGTTACTATCACGGTACTTCATTTACTATTCATTTCTGCCAACATATTAAATTATATTTATTTGCGCTGAAGTGGAGGGTTGCAAAAAGAGATTAACGATACGTCCAGGGTAGTATCTCCCACTGGTTTGTTTATATGCCGTTGACGACTTCCTATTCCGCCCACCGTTTTAAACCAAATCCCAACCATAGTTGATCATTTACGTCACGGATAAATTGCCATTTTCTAGGCAACGGAATTATTGGG